TAGAAGATTGCAACAAACTCGTGGTGAGGGTATACGACTAATTCTTCTAGCCCATCCTCTTCCTTTGAATCCCCAGAATTAGAAATAATCTCCACTAATTATTGTCCTCCGAGGCTGCCGGACGAAAGGCAAAATTACCAGATGAGTGTGGTAATTACCGAAAACGAGACTGGGCGAATCACGAGCAAAAGACCCCGGGGACCCACTTCCTTCACGAAGCCTTGGGAGGCTGATGGCGCTGGCCACAGTGGGTATGTACAGTAGTTGTAGAAAAGAGAGAACAACAATAAAGAAGAGAAGAAAAGAGAAGAGGCAAAATTGCAATTGGAAATTTGTAAGAATTAGACTGGAATTACAGAACATTGGTGTTGTGGACTTGAAACTGACGATCCTGTAGCTATGATGTATACCAAGTTGTTGTGAACTGGCAAGTCGATCTCACAAACTCTACTTTGATCATCCGGTTCCAGGTACTTGTGCGTTCATCAGGAAGAAACACGTACAGAGACAATAGTGATCTCTGATTGCTTGCTGCACACGGCAAAACTGGATTCACCTTAGTCAATTGGCTACTGGTTTTTCTGCCAATTAAAACAAACTGCTGTGTGTGTCTGGCAGACAAAGGATGAACGAAGCAAGCCGGGTCCCCGGATGTTGCCCCCACTTCTTTTTGGACCTTTCCCCGGGCTTCTGTTACCATTTCTTGCCATTCCTCCCTCGTTTCATGGTTTCCTTAACTCCGTAGCCAATTAGATCAGGTGGTTGTACGCCCAGGGCCATCCTGTACTGTACAGCCTCTACGTCAGATATCATCCCCCTCAAAGGCTCAAAGGCTAAGGATAATTTCATGGGAGATGTATTATTCTTGCCATTGACTATTCAGTAGTCAACCCAGAGTAATTGGAAAACTAGGGAGACAGTATGTTGTAGATTGTACATAGGAATGTGTGTGTGTGACCACTCCCGGTCGTATGTACAGGCTAATAATAATGGCTGGAATGGCCGATGCACAATTATCCATTTACTAACTAACTAATCCCTGCTCCGCTATCCCGTCTTCTGTCGTGAGCCCATGCTCCCATGCACCGAGAGGTCCTGGAACGCCAGCAAGGAGATTGCAATTGAACAAAGCGCCGTGCATTCTACCGTAGTCGACTCGGTATAGTCTACCTACTATGTGGTCAGTGAAACATTATATAGTTAGTAAGAGAACCCAGCTCCCGCTGACTGCATTTTGACCAGGAAAACCCACAATCTGTTTTCTCTTTGCCTCCGTTCATTTCCCCAATTTTCCTTGCGTCTAACTATTATTATTTCTCCCTCGTCCTCCCCAATTTTTTTTATCTGTCCTCGAGTGTTCAGAGTGTCCACTTTTTGATTCCCACTCATCTTTTTCCACCTCAATTAACCTCCGTTAGCGTCAGTGGGACTGGTCCTGCGGCTGCACATCATTGCGATTTATTGAAACACCCAAGTCGAGCGGGTAAGTTGGCCAGTGGAAAGAACTCCACTTTTTCCTTTCTGCTTTGGAAATTCTTCTTTTTTTTGCCATTCATTTTTCCCCCAATTATTATTATTGTTATTATTTCCTTTCGTCCAAGAGGGTTTCGCTGTTTGGCCGGCTGAGCGGGTTAGTGACCAGCTCCGAGGTCTACAGCCGAAAAAAGCTGAGTTCCCCGTTCCCCGTTTCTTCCCCAATCATCTTGGGACTTTGGGTCAACTGGGACTGGGCCTGGGTCAACTTGGAGCAACGATTTGCAGTTTGCGAGAGGAATTATTATTCCATTATTCCCAGCCCAGACTCGGTCTGCTCCACGGATATAATACCTCCGGTTGCACCTCCCCTCCAGTTTCTCTTCCTTTTTGTCCTCCCCCTCTCCTCCTCCTCTTCTCCATCTCCATCAATCCTATCCAGCAGTGCTGTGTGGCTTTTGATTTGATCGCTTCTTTGTATAACTGTGTTATACTTCTTTCCATTGTTCAGCGAGCTGAACTCCCCTATTTTTGTTGTCATACCTTTTTATAAAAACCTCACCCTAATTATCAATTGTTCGTCGGTGATCCCAGTGATTCGCGATCAACATGTCTTCTACCGAAGTCACCAACAACGGAGCTCTTGAGAAGGACGTCGGCACCGCGCCCGTCGCTGCCGACAATGGAGCTCCCGTCCGCCCGCAGATGTCGGCCGAGGAGCACGAAGTTGCTCGCGCCGCTGCGCGCTTCGGATATGGGCCCTTGGCCCAGGTCAACACCGAGGACGCTCGCCTCCGTCCCTTCGGTGGTGAGTTCCAGCCCGGTCTGTACAAGTCTGTCGAGAACCGCAAGTTCGCCAACCCGGCTCCTCTCGGCCTGTGCGCTTTCGCTCTCACCACTTTCGTCCTGAGTGCCATCAACATGGGCACTCGTGGTCTTACTGCTCCCAACATTATCGTCGGTCTCGCTTTCGGTTATGGTGGTCTCGTCCAGCTGTTGGCTGGTATGTGGTAAGTTTGTCGCAACCCTGTGCGATTGGCCTTCGTCCAATTCAAAAATTCGTATCGTATATCGCGCGCGCATTGCTAACCCGTTTCGCACCAGGGAAATGGCTGTCGGGAACACTTTTGGTGCCACTGCTCTGTCCTCGTACGGTGGTTTCTGGATTGCCTTCGCTATTGTCCTGACTCCCGGTGGCTTCGAAATCGTGTCTTCGCTCGAGAAGGATGGTGGTCCCGACTTCTTCTATGACTCGATGGGTCTGTTCTTGATGGGCTGGTTCATCTTCACCACCATCCTGCTGTTCTGCACCTTCCGCTCGACCGTTGCCTTCTTCCTGCTATTCTTCTTCCTGGACATCACCTTCCTGCTGCTGGGTATTGGCTACCTGGTTCGCACTGATGGCGCCCCCACCACCTCCATCATCAAGGCTGGTGGTTTCTTCGGCTTCCTGGCTGCGTTCGCCGCTTGGTACAACGCTCTCGCCGGTCTGGTCGATAACAGCAACAGCTTCTTCATCATTCCCGTTGCTCACTTCCCATGGTCCCCCACTGGCCGTACCCGCCGTGGCAAGACCGAGCGTGAGCTCGCATAAACGTTGGATGTTGAATGTTGAGTATCGGAGATGTGCGCGTTTGGGTCGCGTGTAATGTGATGATATACCCCCTCCATGCTTGTACCATCCTAGCCACGGTAAGAAAGAGAGAAGAGCTGAGAATTGGGATCTTAGGTGCAGGTCTGTTGACGCGTTTGTTCGTTGTCGGTTTGACAGCTTCGAGATATAGTCCTCGTCTCTTTTTTCTCCTTGTCCATGGCTTGGAGTCTTTGTTTTCGTTCGGTCGGTCTGGTTTGATCGGTCGGGTGGAGGCAGTTGCACAAAATGTCCGTATCTTCGTCGAGGCGTCCTTGGATGTTGCTTCGCGAGGGTGCGGATTTATATGGGGAGGTGAAGGATCTTTGGTGGTCCCACCCTCTCCTATTTCCTTGTTGTATTTAGTCTCCTTGCCTGTGAATTGCGTACTTAGTTAATAATCCACTGATGTTATGATAATGATTGTTCTTGGTCTTGTATAAACATACCTCGAAGTTTGATCTGATACTGAGCAGCGTATGCTTGTCTCCAGTGCATGGTGTGTTCGAGGTCGAGGAGTCTGAGTGATGATCAATTGAATGCTCGTGTTGACACTGTGGCGTAAAAAGGTTGAGGGACTTGATGGAAGGTATGGTGGATGAGTGAGGGAAGTGGCGTGGTTGAGGTTAGATTGGAGTGAAGAGTGAAGATTGGCTGTATCCAAATGACTGCAGGCATGCTATTGTCGACTTGCATATTTGTGAGGTGATCTAGATGGTTAGTGGAAACGTGATATGTATATTCGACAGTAAATGTGCACAAACAGGCGATGCAAACAAGCATCAGTACGTGAACCCGAGGCCTGTCCGAACTCTTGACGTCTGGTCTGATAGCATTAATCAGGCCGTAACTGCCACCATATATACTCCTCCAGTCGCTGAAAAGACCATATTTTGAGGCCGCTCAGGCTCATCAAAGTGGGGAATCAAAGTCCATATTAGTAGAAGATGTTTCAACGACTAAAGCAAATAGTCCGAGGCTTCGCAAGTGAAGATCGAGGGGAAGTAATTTCCCATGAGCCAAAGGTTAATCATCTCTATTTTTCAGTCATCAAAGGAAGCGGACGTAAATAGGAGAGGGGAGAGGGCATACCTAAGTGGGCCACTAATTACCCGGGCCTTTCTTTCTGGATTTGGTGGTTAGTGAAAACCTACCACGGGGAATCACGTTCTCAAATGAAAACGAGGAATTGGCAGCAGCGTCAGAGTAGAAAAAAAATGCAGAGAAAAGGGGAATGAGCAGTTATTTAGCTCCCTCCCTAAGACTAGACTGAAACTGCTTCGTGAGTTAGTTGCTTGTTGCTGCCCGAGCGATCACCGAGATCCACCCGGTGCAAACTCGGGCCATGCTCGGCCACCATACTGTAGACTGAAAGCTGGTGGTTGCTCGGCCTGCCGGGACAGCGCGTGCCGAGCGGAGCTGTTTGGCTGCTGCGTGTTTCATTCGCTGCTTGTCATACTGCAATGGGCAGGTGGTAAAATACATGCAGAATCACACAGGAGCTGGGCCCCTGATTATTATAATTGAAAGCTATATGCGCCCTTGGTTGGCGACCGGACCAAAGGATGTTTGTCCGGAATTTCCTACGGTCTTTTAGTGGAAGTCAAGAAAGAGCCGGAGATGATTATACCCGCGATAGCAATGTGAATTTTTGCGCTTCGGGATTTCCGAGGGGGTTCGAATTCAGTTGAAAGTTTATTTAAGTAGGAGCTATAGAGAAATGATGTAGGGTTTGGTAACCGAGGGCCCTGGACTCTGGAGAATCCGGATTTGGGGAAAGCATCTATTTTAGGTGCTGATGGTATTTTCTCTGTGATAGCACGAATGCCTATGATCCACCGTTATTCAAGCCTTGGAAGAGAAATGACACTAAATCATCTCTACCGAAAACCATTGATCAATTCCTGTCCACGGAGATCTCACTTTCTTCTTCAGCCCCCTCAGCTTTCCCTTTGCCCTTCTCCTGCCACTTAAATATAACGGCGATGCTGATAAACAGACTGGCTGCCAGAAGCGAGAGTCCAAGATATACCTTCGCACCAATGCGCCAATGGGGAGCTTCCGAGGCCGGGAACGCAGCAATAGGCAGGAATGCGCTAAAGAGGTATGAGAAGAGAGTACCCGTTGCGAAGAGAACCGTTCGGACTTGAGGCTCCTTCTCGAGATGTGCTGCTGCCCAGGCGCAAAGGAGCATGGTTGATACACTGCACACATTAGCTTCCGGAGATCTTTATGGTGAGATTCGGATCACTCACGCCCCCATGTAGTTCATGTACCATCCAGCCATGTAGAGATGTTCGTTACTAGGACGAATGATTAGGATGATGAGGGATGTGACGTTGATGACCTGTAGTTGTCGTCAGCTTAGAAGGCATGTTACACTAGGGTCCATGGCATACCGAGTGAAGAAGCAAAAATGGGAGTCTGACACCCAAGTAATCGCTGAAGCCGCTGAATAGTAGCTCTGCGACGAGTTGTATAGCCTGACCTGCGATTGGCAGGTAGTTGAGCATAGCGACTGAGCTTCAGGAATGGTTAGTTACTGAGATACTGTATTGTGTGTCAAAGATAAATCTCACTATCTTTTGGTTCCGTCTGCATTCTTCAGAGATTTCAGCCATAGATTGAAATAATTTGAAGGCGTTTGGTTGGTGCCAATGGACCAGGCGACTGTTTCATTTGTTATTTTGATTTCAAAAGACTGCTGGAAGAGACTTACGCGCAAACATCCAGACGTGCCAGAATTTGAAAGCACGCAGGAATGTCCTTGGAGTAATGCCGATCTGGGGATTCCGACCGATTCGTCTATTGCGCGCCCTGGCAATCTCTGATGAGAGTCTGTCAGCAACCTTTATCTTCCCTTCATCGAAGGTTAAATTACCAATATCTCGAGGCCTAAGGTAGAATTTGGAAAGTGGATTCTGTCGTTCGGGCTAAATATATTGTATCAGTAGACGTCTCATCGTATCAAAGATGGCATACATACAAAGCCTGGTAGAAGGATGAAAGCGATCAAGGCGACAAAGATCGTGCAAATTCCCTAATCCGTCAGACTGAAGCTTAAATATGAGGATGTGATGCGGATTGATCAAGCTCACATTGATAATGAAGGCCCATCGCCAACCGCTGCGGCCGAGCGAGCCCTCAAGGTTGGTCGAAAGTGCACCTTGCATAGCTCCGGAAAGCATTGCGCCGACCGGCTGTGCGATATTATACAAACTCATTCGGAGAGCCATTTCATGCGGCATGTACCATTGACTAGATTGCTTTAGTGGGCTAAATTCAATATTATACCTGGCCTGAGTGCTTACCTGATGATTGTAAAATAACCTGGCCATGTTGCGCCTTCGAAGAAGCCGATAAGAAAACGGAGTCCGTAGACCTAGAGGCAGATCGGTCAGCCAGATTCAAGAATCGTACTCTACAGACTGACCTGTTTAGCGTTTGTGACCGTTGACAAGCAGCAAGTCAATATCCCCCACATCACCTGTTATGTATCACTGTTAGAGACAAGTTTCTGTGGATTTGTATATCAACCATATCTCACCTCACATGTAGGTAACCATTTAGATGGACCAATATGGGAGATAAGAACACATGAAGGGTAGAGCATTATCATGTATCCGATGCTATCCAAGACCAAGTCAGCGAAGCTCTGAGAGGGCCCGATGGGATAGAGAAAGCATACTTGAAGTATGTAGTGAAGTAATTCAGCTCATTTCCATATAGTTTTAGATCTGTCTGCATTCCCGAGACGTATGCATTGCTCTAAAAAATCTGTTAAAATCCAGGTTCATCGCGTGCATCGATGCTTTACTTACAATATTTGTTTGATCCAGGTACTTGAATGCATAGCCCAAGAACCCGATGGTCAAGAAGAATAGATCCAAACGCCATACCTTGGAATAGAATCAGAATGAATTAAAATCAAATAGCCAAAGAACGAAGCACATACCAAAGCTCTCTCATCTTTTGGGTCGATGTCAATATCATCGAGACGACCAACGGTGTTCTCTGGGACCTTGGTGTCAACGGGCGCTTGACTACTCATTTTCCTTGTGTTTGAAGTATTTTTACCATCTAGCAAGGCTTCGAAAGCTTCGTAGCAGGCATATAAGTTGAAATCAACTCGAAGAGTTGTTATGTAGAACTGATGGCATCAGCGGGGTTCCAGAAGGCGTGTGCTACGGTGCTACTACGGAGCTCATTTAGTTCCGACACATGGGCATGCCCAACCAACCGGGTATTTTGAGTAACTTAGTAAATTAATGCCAACTGAAGCTAAGCTCATTAGTTAGAAAACTGCATCTGCAGATGATAAATGCACTCTCGCTTTCTTGCGCCGACCCAGAGACACATATGATAGGAAAAGAGTTATCACGCCATCAACGCTTGTATGGCAGTATGGCAGATAAGCCCACAGCCTACACGTACTTTTAAACATTTGAGCAATAAAGACCCACTATGGGGTAATTGACATTGTCTTATAAGTATGTAGATCTCGGACACTGGCCGATCGTGTGGGGTTTGTGTTAGTGTCGTGATCATGAGAATAGCACTTCTGTGGCGCCCGAGACTGGGAGCCTTGCAAAGGATCAAGGTGCTTCTCAATCCGTATAAGGACCCAAATCGTCTCTCCTCTTACTGTGTAGGGAAGTTTCAAAAGACTCAATAAGTGAATTTATCACTCGATACAATCCCGACCACCTTTTTATCGTCAAGAGATGGTGAGAGCCACATTACTGATCACATATAATAGTGAAACGGCGAATCCACAATTCGGACAATATTGTGGAGTTTAGACATCTTCTGAGTATCCCGCTGCTTGTGAAACTCTAAGATGCCATGAAAAGGGCGCTGGACTTGGGAAGCGTCTGAGACATATTCCAGGACTTTGTGAGAGCTCACCAAGCCTAAGTAAGACTAAGAATTCAGTGTATCGGATCAGAACACAAAACGTCATAATTCAATAGTAGTGGAAGTATTATCACCGTGAGTTGGCTCGATACTGCTTGCAGTGTTTCAATTGCGACTGCCTGTGGAACTTGACTTTATCATGAGCAAAATGTGCGCCTCCCACCTTGAACTCTCCCCAACACACCATCCTGAGTCCACAGATTGCTATCGTTGGCGCCGGCCCTTCTGGCCTTGCTCTTGCCGGAATGCTCGAGAGACAGGGAATCTCTTATGTCGTCTATGAGCGCAGTGCGGAAGACACTCCTCCCCGCGGGGAATGCTTGGATATTCATCGCAGCAGCGGCCAGGATGCCTTGAAGGAAGCCGGGTGTTTCGAAGAATCAAGAAATATGCCAGGTATGGCTATGCTACAATTCACACTCAGTATGGGACTCTCAGGGCAACAAACTCTTCACTTTCGGAGAAGGTCGAGATCCGCCGGAGATAGACCGAGCGCAATTGAAGCAGACACTCTTGTCGGTGATCCCAGATGGGAAAGTGCGTTGGTCAACAGGAGTGGACTCCGCCAACAGAGATGGAGAAGGCAAAATTGTCCTGAGTTTAGCGAACGGGTCAAATGAATCTGGGTTCAACCTTGTAGTGGGAGCGGATGGAGCTTGGACCAAAATCCGGCATTTGGTATGCTAAGTTAGTAGTCATACAGACCATGAGGAAGCTGACGTCTTCCAGGTAACATTTTCGGAGTCGAAATACTCAGGCATGCTTCTTCTCACGCTTTTCATCCTACCTTCCAACGAGTTTTACCCGACTTTAGAAGAGATAGCGGGACAAGGACCCCTGATGATCCCCGGTCGATGAAAAATGGTCTGGGTTCAACGCCAGGGAGATGGCCACTATCGAATGCATTTTGGAAGGAAGGGGCCTGCTGATTTTTCAGTTAGCGAAGGATTCGACTTGTCTGTTGAGAATGCTGTCAAAAGACGTCTCCTCAGAGATGAACAATTCGGTGGCCATACTTCACAAGTCAAAGCGATGATAGAGGCAGCGACCGGGCCATTCTGTAGCTGGCCATTGTACTACTTTCCTCCGGAAGATCTCAGCTAGGACTCTACTTCTGATGTCACTTTGATAGGAGATGCTGCCCATGTTACGCCACCCTTTGTCGGTGATGGGGTTAACTGTGCTATGCGTGACTCTCTCGTCCTATCGCGGATGCTGAAAGAATTCGATATCACTCAATAGGCTATCGCGAGATACGAGGAAGACATGTTCCCGTATGCGGGCGATGTGATCACAAGAAGTGTTTCCACAGGGGAACTAAGTTTTGAGAAGGATAGCCCAAGAGGCTTTATGGAGATGATGGCATCTGACAACCCCTTGGTCAAGATAAGCCTTGACTACTGAGCGAGGAGTGGGTGGGAGAGATTGAGTTAGCTTGCCGATATCTCACTCATCAACCTAATGGACTCATAGCCAGATCTAATAGATATTGCTTGAAGCCAGGATATGATAAGCGAAGTTTGTATTATGACAAGTGCCCAGTGAGTTTTAGCCTCGGCTTGGTTCTTCATCTGGGCTTCGGCAGCGATCACCGAGTCTTCAATTCTCCAACATTTATAATCAAGGCTCCCGATAAGAACTTTCCATCGCCTGATGAAAGCAGTTTATAACCCATAAACTCGGCATTATCACATTTGATCAAACTACCCCAGGCCAATTTTTGGTGCTTAAGGCACCCCACCACTGTAGAAGCAGGGTGTCTAATCATAACCGGTGATGATCGCCCCCACCATCCACCCAAACTATTCCCTTCTGGGCATCCATTGCGAAGGCTCCAGTCAGTGATGGCGTTGCCCAGTCGTAGTAAGATCAAACACGTGGGAGACTGTAAATGATAAAAAAAACATCATATATCAGCCTCGGTTTCGGTGATCTTGTGAAGATCTACATTGTCCAGATAAAATGGCTCTCCGCCGCAAGTCACGCTTGGGGTCCTCAAGGTACCTCCTAACGAGCAACGCACTATGAGTACCCAACCGAATACGAAGGAGTCGATGAAATCCACTTGGCGTCGATGGGATCGAAGCCAGTGGAAATTCCCCCACAAAATCTTCGAACGCGCCAACGTCTACCACATCGATCTTGACCGAGAGGTTCCAGTTCATTCAAAGGAAGATAAAGTGCCCTACGTTTCTGACTGGTCGATGAACACTTGGGTTATCGTCCACGCGGGCATTCCACTACTCCTCCATCAACTATACGTGTACCTTACTGGGGAAAACTTCGGGCCAATCGTCGCATTCGGTTTTTACTACTATGCGTCAAGGGTATTCACGACTAGGGAGCTGCGCAACATGAAAGAGTTGGGACACAAATATGGGTTCCTGGACGGGGATAAGCATGAGCGAGATGGTGTGCCTGATGAGGGTGTCTCCAAGGCCCTGACATCAGTCATGCTTGCGGGCTTAGTGCGCCCATTGATGACGGTTTACCTTACCTATCAGACGAGCAAAGCGCCTATATCATTAAGCTGGCAATCACTTCCTCTGGAGGTCAGCTTATATGGTATCGTTCTCGACTTCTGGTTCTACTGGTACCATCGCATCATGCACGACGTCAACGGACTATGGAAATATCATCGTACACACCACTTGACGAAGCATCCGAATCCCTTGCTCACAATCTACGCTGACTCGGAGCAAGAATTCTTCGATATCGCGGGTATTCCCATCATGACCTATCTTACGATGAAGTTCTTGGGACTCCCAATGGGCTTCTACGAATGGCACATTTGCCAACTATACGTCATGTTCGCGGAGTTGGCAGGGCACAGTGGTCTCCGTCTTCATGCGTCGCCACCAAACCCTCTCACCTGGCTCATGAGGATTTTCCACGCGGAGCTTGTTATTGAAGATCATGATCTTCATCATCGCAAAGGTTGGAGGAAGAGCCATAATTATGGCAAGCAAACGCGCGTGTGGGACCGAGTGTTCGGCACCTGCAGTGATCGAATCGAGAGCGTAAGCGAGAATGTCGACTATGAGAATACGATTTGGATGTCACTCTATTAGAAGATGCCGGCTGTAGATTAGGTTGTTTTCGACCTTGGGGGTGACCGGCAAAATGATAGATGATTAGATTAGCCATGAGCAACACATATGAATTGTTTTACATACTCTCTCTGCGTCACACAAGTCGCAATAATAATGATGATGGCGCACGGAGATAGTTTGCGGCTGTGTCCGCTAATACAAGCCTGGGGATCCACCTTGGCAGGGAAGAAGCCTTACATTAGTGGGTTCCCCCAGTCCCCCCGCATTTTGGCGAAGGCTTACGGCTGAATTCTGCAGCAATATCCTTCAGGCTTTATTATAGTTTAGGCAATTCGGCTCGGTTAGAAGCTGGGGAAACCCTCCCTACTCCATATTAAGGTTCTTCAGGCGATTCGCGTCGGAGACATGCCCGTTTTGAGCCGGAAGGGATTGGTGGGACTCCAATTTGCGCCAGTGTTTGAAATGGTGTCTCCGAGAATGGTGGAACTTCTAGTGTCGCATCTTTACCCCGATGTGAAATCCAGACACAACTAGTTATTTTAGCATAATAGGGGCCCGGTTAAATGAAATTAAGGGATGGTGAAGGTTTGACAACTGAGTGGATTTTATCCCAAGTCGCGAATATAAACATCAAAGGTCTCGCCAGTCCAATGCCATTCTTCCTCCATCAAACTTTCTTCGTTAGCCTTCCATAATCCACAGTCTACGTCACAGAGCATCCATCATGGTCTCCTTCACCCAGCTTTTCCTGGCTGCGTCCACCATCGTGGGTGCCTTCGCTGTTCCCGGCGAATGGAACAAGCGCCAAACGATCACCACCAGCCAGACTGGTACCAACAACGGCTACTACTACTCTTTCTGGACCAACGGTGGTGGTACCGTCGACTACACCAACGGTGCCAATGGCCAGTACAGCGTCTCCTGGAAGAATTGCGGTGATTTCACCTCCGGCAAGGGCTGGAGCACTGGAAGCGCCCGGTAAGATGTTCTGCTCGCGATTCAAGATTTGCTCGCTGTCTAACAAATTGTCTCCTTCATTTCAGGAACATTAACTTCTCCGGATCCTTCAACCCTTCGGGCAATGCTTATCTCGCCATTTACGGCTGGACTACTAGCCCACTCGTCGAGTACTACATCCTGGAGGACTACGGTACCTACAACCCGGGCCCCAGTATGACCTACAAGGGTACTGTTACCAGTGACGGTGCCACCTACGATATCTATGAGCACCAGCAGGTCAACCAGCCCTCCATCCAAGGCACTGCGACCTTCAACCAGTACTGGTCCATCCGCCGCAGCAAGCGCTCCAGTGGTACCGTGACCACTTCCAACCACTTCAATGCTTGGGCCTCGCATGGAATGAACCTGGGTAGCCACAACTACCAGATTGTCTCTACTGAGGGTTACCAGAGCAGCGGCTCTTCTTCCATCACTGTTTCTTAAGCATGATGCATTGGTCGAGATTTTGGGGTGACGGTTGTTATATGTGTTGGGGGAAGTCGAGAATTCAGGCTCCTGTTCCTTCAAGTTTAGTTCAACACGATGGCAGGAACATACGTGGTTGCTTCCTTGTATCTGAAAAGACTGAGGGATAAGAGTAGTCTATGAGATTAAGTGAATTGAAGTGGTGTTAGAGAATTGCGTATATCGCGGTGTGACACTTAATTGCCGTAAATCAAAACCAACTGGTAGTGTGACATAGCCAAGAAATTCAATAGTATCCTCATACTTTCACTAGACCGAGTTGTATCAGACTTTCTGCAGTGGCAGTGACCGCATCAGCATTCGAGCGGGGGTTCCAGCCGAGCACCGTTCTAGCCTTCTCATTCGACCCTGGACGAGATTCAGGAAGGGGACTACCAGAGCGATTCCAGAATCAAACAGCCCGAGGAACCTCAACACGAAATTTGGAATAGTCCTTGTGGGCACTTTCCTCGCTTTCGGGCCAAGTCGCTCATGGAAAGTCAAAGCCATGTCCTTGATCGACATAGCCGGTGGTGCCATGCGCAGAAATCGTTCACCTTTAGCTTTGGGATGGGTCATGGCCAGCAGATGTAGGTCGGCGACATCGCGAACATCCACGATGCCAAACTCGATATTTGGGCATCCCGGTACCGCGCCGTTCAACAGGCGGCTGGCGACTTCGATAGAAGTAGATATGTCGGATCCCAAAACGGGTCCCATAACATTGGCCGGTTCACAACAGACAGCTCCAGACTGCCTCCTTCTTTCTCGATAAAGTCCCACGCGGCACGCTCAGCTAGTGTCTTGCTCTTTTCATAAGCTCCGCATCCAGGTCCGTCAATGTCAGTCCAATCTTCTTCGGTAAACGGTTTAGTTGGGTCCCGATTGCGATGGCCATGGCCCATAGCGGCGAACGATGATGTGACAACAACACGCTTCACGCCAGCATCTCTGGCCGCCCGTAAGACATGAAGAGTGCCATCCCGGGCGGGAATAATCAAGTCATTTTCGTCCTTTGGAGCCTCTACTGGAAAGGGTGACGCGACGTGGAGAACATAAGTGCAATCTTGAACAGCTTCTTTCTAGCCATCCTCCTTGGTAAGATCAGCTTCCACAAATGAAACACTCTCCGCATTAGGGGCGCCCGTAGCTTGAAGCGTTCGGAGTACAGTCTCTTTACGCTCTAGCGACCGGACTGTCGTTTTCATCGTTTTCACCCGGTAGCCTGCAGTCAAGCAGCGGATGATGCACTGGGTACCGACAAAGCCAGATCCTCCTGTGACCAAGACGCACTCATTGTTGGTCGTCATGGTGAATCATTCGCGTAAGAAAAAGTCAGTGTTTGGGGACTTCTGTTTATTATGTGAGATAGAAGATTATTAAAACCTGTTTTACTAAATCTAGTTAGTTTTACCGTTTCTGGGCTGGCGCCCTAATACAATATCACGTAACCTCTCATTCCTCACTGTTACTGCCGAAGAGGTGGGTGGGTATGTCTACCGTACCTACGTAAATATCATTACGGGTCATCTACGGAGTAGATATTTGAAAAATATAGATTACTAATCACTCGTCTCCCGAGCCTGTTTGGACACTCGCAAAATAGATCTTCCCGCAGAGCCCTGTGTTACTGTCGGCCTGAACTGCCCTCTATCCAGTTGTTGCCCGAAGTATCGTTTTCACACTACCATATGTAAAGCCACCTCAAAATACAGAAGATCCTTCGATTACCAGATGTAACCTCGCTTCGCTTTGATACGCCACAGTCCTTGAGTCTTGCTTAGTATGTAGGTCTCTGGCACGCAAGAGAGACGGTTCTCTAGAATTGACTAATAATACATAGTTGTCCCTTAGAACCCTGATCAAAAAAAGGAAAAACTAGAATCAAAACAGAACATAGCAGTAAACGGGACCAGCCTTTGGGCTGTTTCAAATTTCCACACCTTAGTTCACGAGTGATCTCAAGCCTGGCGGATTTCCTGGGCAGGGCGTTAATCGGAGTGGTAATACGAGTAACACTGCCTGTATTAAGCTAGTTGTCTAGTCTAGATACCACCTACAGGGTGCTAGCGACTATTGTCGAGGTTTTCCAAACCACCTGGAGCTTGCTTGCCCTTCGGTTTTATATTCATCATTTGCCACACACAGATAAATCAACCTAAGAGGTCCAATTTTCAGCGCAGTGTGCGACATAGGCGCCTTCACTTGCGTACGAATGCTGAAAGAAAAGGGAAACCTATAATGATGTAGCCCCTGGTATATGGTCAATACTGGTGCCTCTTAAGGTTATTCACTAATCTTGCTATAAATCGGAAAAGGTTTCTATTACTAGCTGCCCCGCGGAAATTTTGCTCCTGGTGTTGGAGGTACAATCCCCTGCTGAATAGCGCACACTAAGTCTCGTCAACCGACATTTCCGCGCAATCGCGCAGCGACTTCTCTGCTCAAAAGTTCAATAGTCTTAAGGAAATCCTGAAAGCCCTCCACCAATAGTTCTATTCCTACAGACCATCTTTTCTAGGCCTGAATCAGCCGCATATATCAAAAGCATCCAACTCGAGGGCCGATACCTCCCGATTTACGTATCCACGTCACCGATTAATTCAATTCCAGTCTCTAGCGCTGCGCTAGACAATGGAATTGAATTCATTCAGAGAACTGGCGTCCTATATAGCGACTTTTGGATATAGCAATTGCGCAAAAGCGTACTCGACGCTCTTGTGGCTCTTCTCCTGGCTCAACTTCCAAATCTGAGGCAACTTGTCTTTAGACCTGTCTTCTTACAAAGAAGTACACTTATTAGTATAGTTCTCAGCTCAGCCATCTGTAAGCCTGGAGTGTGTTAGTTACTAGGTTTTCCTTATCTTATAGATATGTCGGTCGTATGCCGATTAGTGTGGGATTAGACGCAAAAGAGAAAATGTCCAGAACAACCCAGATTTCCTGCCACATTTTGATCTGCCGAATTTGAGCGTATGTCAGTGTCGATAAGGAGCTCAGCCACATTCAAATGGCCAGTAGCGTATCTATCCCGACCCATCAAGGCTAAATTCGCTTGAATTGTTAGCTATCTGAGAGGCACATCTCATCGACATACTCTCAGTCACCAAAAGCCTTGAGAAATTGAGCTGGATGTGGTATTATGACTTTGGGTTAGACGATCAATTCAATAAAACTAACGTTAACCTGGACCAGATCGGTTCTGCATTGCCTCAAAATCTGCCTTCCTTGAGAGAACTCAATATTTCAGCCGAGGTTGGGATGGGAGGTAATGATTGCTGGTATCTAGACGTAGTTATCAAGGGATCGCTGTATCAACTGGCCAACTTGGACCATGTGAAGAGAGTCAAAATTCTATTGGCCTTCTTGGTTGGCTTCGCGCAAGACACCTCGAAAACATTGCAGAACAAGATGCTAAAGAATCTCGAGTTTTTGACCCTCACCTACGACCTGGGCATAGAGGAAGATCCTGAGATGCCCGAGTTCGACTGGGAGGATTGGGCTGTTTTAGGCTCGCTTCAATCTTGGCTGGATTTTTGGAAATCATGTACGCCGCGTTTGCGTGAGATTACTCTGGTTGTCGAAAATTTATTTGGATTGGATAGGTGCATGCGACTCGGACACGATGTGCCGGCTCAGTGAATTGAGTATTCAAACTAGAATCCAGCTTGATTTGATACGAAAATGATGGCCTATCTGAGACTCATATTGCAAGAGGGAAATTTTATGCGATGTGATGGCTTGTTGAGAGATTCGAACAATTATATGAATGAGAAGAATTCATTTGACTCGTGTGAGCAAGGTCAGGCTCCCCGTGTAAGACTATCTTGACAGATAAACGATTGCTGGGCAACGTATAGACAACTGCTCATCCTAACACAACGGCCACTTCTTGGTGTCTACAACCTCTCGATTATCCAAGATGGTCTATAGTCTAGCCTCGTGTAGGATTTCCGCACATTTAGATTTGGCCAACAGTATCCAACCCCCCTGTGAGATCATTCAAATCTTATAACTCTAACTCATGACGATAGCCGGGAGTTAGAGTCTTAACCCCTAGAATTCTCGTGCGCCGATAGGTGAGATTGTCAAACTTGCATATTTGAAGTGTCAAAAAACGAAAATTAGCGAGATCTTCAGTCGGCTTATTTGTATTGGTGGGACAAACAGCCAGGGCGGGCGCCTCCCCGCTAGTTGCCGTTGGAATGGGGTAAGAGTCAGAACAGCCGCCAGTTAAAAGGAATTGTCCAGGACACTCACATGAGAAGGCTCGTAAAGAGGCCCTCTCTTATTCCATAAACAGGTTAGGCATGATAAGTTTCCAGATGGAGCACCGTGTAGGTCTTCAACGGCTCTATACTGATTTGCTTTCATATTTCGGCCCCCATCAGGATTCAAGCCACAATCAGACACTTTGTCAAAAAATAGCGTGATTGACCGGGGGCATACAGTACTGACAAGGATTAGAACAGTTTCAAAGTTTGCCCAGACTTGTACAGTTACACAGCAATCGAAGTCGCAGCGACAATATAATACAAATCGAAGGGCATCAAGTCACTGAGTATCTAGTTAGAATCCCTGCGTAGAATCACCAGATCTAATACAGTAGTTTCAGTGGCCTTTGATTTGTCTGGCTGGCAGTAACTTATTAAAGGCCTTAATGGAAGACGACAGTCTAAAACTGACTTTCTTATCGTGTGGAATCGCACTCGTTCACGTCTTTATTTACAGTCGAAGTTTAGTCTCGGATGGTTAGATTTGTTGACCACCCAAACATTCAACGGCTATCTCTTTACGACCTTGACCCTTGTCTGCAAACACGTAACAGTCGAAAAATAACTTATAGGTTATTTCTATGAAATTTGAATGGTCCTATGAGCCACCACTATCAACTACCGGTCGGCTTCTCAATCCCCAACCAAAACATCCCGAAACGGCGGCACGCTAACTGTGTCCCTCTTAGCGCAATCACAATTCACGGAAGTGACTCGTTACGGAGACCTTCTCCGATGATGAAGTCCACATTGCAGGGTACCCGTGTTGCACGTGGCTCGACTAAGTAAACTAAGTTATCGGCACACTCGGTTGACAGCGGGTGACGAGGCCCGCCCCCTTAATAATCCGAGATACTTTCGATTAACTATTGAGAAGGTTAGGAACTGCGTTATTTTCTCCTCACTTCTCTTCCGACCGTGGATCTCTCGCCCATCACTCCACAACAAGTTCTGGCCATGGCGGATCCACAGATCGATGTGGTAAGAGATATTCTTCAGCCAGTTCCCCGTGCTTTTGTCTGACTGAAGACACCAGGATCCGAATCTCCACCTCCCGAAAGACGCCGGGGGAACTCAGGATTACGAGTCGTAAGTGTGTACCTTTCGGCGGGGGAAACTCAACGATCACTAATGACCCACAAGCGATACAACATCCATCGCTTCGCAAATAGCCAAAGGTCGCTTAGAAAATGGCCGCAGGTAGGAATAGCTCGTTAAATTAGTTTCACACCATGATGCTGAATGAGAGATCACAGATACCAGGCATTGAAGGATGATGTTTACTGGTAGGGAGTCGTCCAGGAGAACGATTATCCTGGCCTTTCTTCCCACAGCTAACATGCATATAGGAGCCCTTCAGATGAACAGCAGTTTGAAGCCTTCGAACTTGGGTAAGGCTTTATTCGCTACCATATTATGAGCGAAAGTGATCTGACATGCAGGTCTAGGCATATGGTATGCATAATGCTGGACTACCATCGAGCCAACCCTCTCTTTGCAGCTCCAATCGGTGAAAAGCCCAAGGTACAATCACAACCTCGACCTTCAACATGCATGAAACTAATCAAAATTATAGCACATTCTCGACATTGGAACTGGCAAAGGCAGTTGGGCCATGTAAGTCTCGTGGCTGATCGCTGGCGAGACTCCGCTAATACGTGAACAGTGATGTCGCAGATCAATACCCTGATGGTAAGTGTCGCTCTAATCCGACTATCTATGAGGTTTGAAAATTGACCAAGAAAAATAGCTACCGTTCGCGGAGTGGACCTCTTCCCTCCTCCAGTCACCTGGGTGCCTCCCAACTGCCTCTTTGAGGTAGACGATATTCAGAAAGAATGGACGTGGAGAGAGCCCTTCGATTTGATCCATATTCGCCAATTGCTTGGATCATTCACTCCTGAAGGCTGGAAAGGACTATATCAGCAATGCTTCGAGTGAGTTTCCATTGTTTCAAGCATTACATTCCCATGAGCTAACACTGTATTCTCATGATAGGAACCTAGCACCCGGTGGCTGGATCGAGCAAATCGAATTCGATGTCCGAGTGAAGAGCGATGACGGATCTCTGCCAGCAGATAGCGTGCTGGCTGGCTGGGGTGATAACTTCATAGGATGTGGTGAAAGAGCTGGCCGGTCCCTGACAACCCAGGAGACTATGCGAGCCTCTATCGAGGCGGCCGGCTTTGTCGATGTGCACGAGCGCCTCTACAAGGTGCCCATGGGACCCTGGGCAAAGGATAGGCTGCTCAAGGAGGTTGGTCTCCTTAACCTTCAGCACTGGAAGTCTGGACTGGAGGGTTATGCTATGTGGCTGCTCACAAAATTCGGCGCGCCGACTCCATGGACAAAGGAGGAGGTCGAAATCTATTTGGTCAACGTGCGAAAGGAGCTGAAGGATAGCCGTATCCATGCCTACGGATATGCGTGAGTTTTTCTGCGAATGTCACCGTTTGATGCCTGTTCTTATACTGACTGAGAATACACAGCCGGCGAGTGTGGGCAAGGAAGCCGAGAGATGACCACATGATCCAGACATCAGCCAAAGCTAAGGAGTCATCGTGATTAATGTGAGGATATACAATACTGCAAGGACAACATTCGTAATGATTTTTATATTGATTTCACTTAGCGACCGTGTGAATTCACCTCATGTATATCTGCTGAGAGGCTGACGAGCATTTCTCTATAGTCTTGTTTGAATCTATTCTGTTCAAGTCACGCCTAGAATGCCCCGGCAAACTTAATCGAATCTGTGAATTCAGTTTCGGAGCGCAAATTATTTCTCTCTGCATGTTGGGAGTGGTCGACTTAAGAAATCTACGGTAATGCCGCTAGTTTAGTGTTATCTAATCAGATGTTGGCATAAAATCGGCATATCTTGCATTAGGGGGCTGCATCGTGGTCTGATCTCTCGCAGGGGGTCTTCCTACTATTCCCCACCTCCCACCCCCTGCATCCAAAACGTGTCACATGAAGCTATACATTTTTGTTTGGCTCTGGCTTAAAAACTAATAAGTTGTGTCGAAATAAGAGGAACGGCTAGTGATGTTGAACCTTCTCAGCGGGGCCTTGCAATATGTGGCTCAAACTGGCCAGAGAAGAGATGTGAATCGATATCTACAAACTGCCACACAAGGTCAGACATGGCATCAAATTGAGCGTCCTTAACATATAGCAAGAGTTTTTGTGAATAGTCTGACCTGTGTGGTTTAGAATCTGTTCTTCGTGATTTACTGAAAGCACTCCGCCAGAGAAGATCGGAGATCAAAGATCTAGAGAGAATCTTCGACACTCATGCCCATCATTGTAACTCTACACGACAGCGCTGTGAGTTGAACTTTCAACCTTGTATCTCTTTTGCTAATTATGGGCCCAGACTGGAGCGAGGAGAGCCTACAAAGTCATATTGAAATAGCACATCCGCATCTTACAAGCTCTGAAGGTGTGGTGCAGCTGCTTTGGCGAAGTTTCCATTTCTACGCATATCACCCATTTTCACAGAATTCTATCGGAGGCAGAATTGACTGGAAAGCCTTCCAGCGCGCCGTTGCAATGCTAGCCGCCCAAGGCGCTGATCTGCTCGGAGTTAAAGAAGAGATCGAATCATACTGGCGATTCGATGGCGAGAATCTCTACGATCAGGCCAAGCTGAAGAGGATCTTTAGAAGCATCGGAACACCTGAAAAATCCACCGAGCTGAGTGATGAGTCAAGGCACATATTGGAAGAGGCTACCGACGTTTTGGCTATGACACAGCCTTTCTTCATGCACAATGGTCCTCATGAGCATCAGCTTACTCCAACAGCACAGCGACTCCTTGGGGAAGATCTGATCGGGACTCGGCGTCGCGTGACTCAAAAAGACCTTAAAATGCTGTTGAACATCCTTATTCGGCTAAGCTTGTTTAAAGAGAATTGGGGGCTAAGTTTCCCGTTCGGTGGCTTTGGACCAACCGAGCCTGGCGCCGATGGACTAGCCAACATCTTGGCCAGCGAATTGAAGGGTGGTCAAAGGCAAGAATACCTGGGGTTTAACCGAGTCAATCAAATCAAGCATCTCCTGGTGAGTTTCCCCTGCAGCCCAAGTTTTCTCAAAAGGCTAAGTAGGTTGCTGATTATCACAGCCGAACTTGTACATTCGGTTTTATCAGATGTGGGCCGTTCTTTTCCAGCCCGCTATGACGAGCAGTTCCGATGCTCGTGCTCGAGGGTCAAGTCATATACCAGGACCGGTCCTTGGTTCAGTCTCATTGTTCATTCCCCATTCGGTAGTCTCTACTCTTAGGGAGTCAAGGGAAGAAGACAGACGCATTGCCTTGGAAGACCCAATCCTATTAAGGGATAATGTGACTGCCGCAGTTTTCTCTGACGCCTTGTTCAAAGCCAGTCGCCCTCATATACTTCTCGTCACTGGGACTGATACATCAACTTCCGAGCTTACAGTATTCGGAGCATATTTGGCTCCGAAATCAACGGGTGTTGCTTTGCAGCTATTCTTTCAGCTTCGACCGTGATTCCGTCTACTTCGGTGGAGTGATACTCAGGAAGGGCTGGTACATATTATCGACAATGCCAACGAACTGATATTGTCAAGCTCTGTTACGGGTCCTCAAGAGAGCGTCGACAAGGACACTACGTTCTTTGCTGGACAATCAGCGGAACGGAATCGCATTATAATCGACCCGGTAAACAAGTTGGCCACTTTAATGGCCTTTTCAAGAGATTCCGAGGATCTTGAGCCTTTGAAGCAGAACGACAGCAGTTCACATGCCTTGATCCAAAGGGAGAATGTTGAGGTTCTGTTCAGTGACGTTACTATCCTAAGAGTCTCTGGTAGCGTGCCCACAGCAGTGCCGGGTCTGATAAAAGCGAACTGGACAGGTGATCCTCTTGTAGGTATTCCAGAAAATGCTGAGCTCAGAATTCAGGGGGAGGAGCTGCGAAGCCGGATCATGGGCTTTGGCTCAGGCTGATAGTGGGAGCGCTTAGTGGGGGCCAACCTGGCTTACACAGTAGCAGGGGTTCTGCTGTTGAAATTTAATCCCAGCCTCATTTGTCAGGTGACACCACCTTCATACCTGGCGTAGATAATGACGTTCCTTCCTTCTTTGCTCTCTCTGTCTCTCTCACATACACACAATCGTATCATCGTATTTAGAAATCTCCTTTGCTGTTATCCCCGTTCAGTAAGGCTACCGAGCTCTCTCCCTCGTTTTTCACCTCTCGGTTGGCGTCGTGCCATCACAACCCCTCGCTCTGTCTCTACATGTGATTCCATCTCACTTGCACCATGGAAAACGAAAATGATTCTTTCGCCGAAGAATTTCTAGATGCGTGCTACGACGGTAAGCTTTCAAAGGTCCAGGAAGCCCTCGCTACCGGGCGACTATCTGCCGAGAACCTAGGTGAGGGGCTCGAGACTGCCACTGAAGTGGCACACACCGAGATTGTGGCGGCACTTTTTGACGCTGGCGTTGGAATATCGACATCGGCGATAGATTCTCTTCCCGGAGCTAACTTGACCCAACACGTGGGCATTGTTCTCCTCTTCTTCAAACATGGCCTAGATCCTAACGCCATTACATCGGATGGCGAGCCTATTCTAAAGTAGGTATAAAGCCTAATAATCGATTTCAGGGAGCTAACTCTTGATTTCAACAGATTCATGAATGATCCTGTATGTGCTCGCGAATTCCTCTCACGAGGCGCGGACCCAAACCGTATCGGACCGTCGGGAATACCTATCCTTGTGAGCGCTATCATAAGTAGCGAAGATACCTCCCGGATTGAGGTTCTCCTCGAGTACGGCGCGAAACTCGAAAATGAGTACCTCTTTGCCGCCTTCAGGCGACGTGTTCGCCAGAAACTGCTGAAAACTTCTTTTCTACTAGCAAAGGGGCTCGATCCTAACCAAATTAATGCTGAATGGGGCACTCCTTTACACTGTGCGGTCGCGAATGGTTCTCCGGGTCTTGTCAAAATGCTCCTGGATGCGGGCGCAGACCCTACGGTGCGGTCCACTGGCAAACAATACTATGGCGAGCCACCCTTAGCAGCAGCGGAAGACATTCCAATCCCCAAAAACAAAGAGGAAATCATTGCTTTTCTTCAGTCTTGGCAAACTACGGTTCACGAATGAGTTGTGTATGCTAGATTTACGATAAATGATATTTTGAGATACGGAGCAGTAACTTACCATCTGACCAGGGTTAACTATACCAAGTGGCTCGCTTTTACCTCTTGTTTCATATCTTTGGCATTTCGGTCGATGTAACACCGGGGCTACCCCGATTTCAATTGACCTCTACGGGCCTGTTTCCTCTACTCTTGACACTTCTCAACCTCTTTTTTTTAGCACCGCCTTATTAGTTCACCACACCATGCCTACTACTCGATCGATCACACGGGCCAGTGAAATAAATGCTGGGAGGAATACAGCAAAATGCGCTTCAAAGCAATAGAATGATCTGCATGCTATCAGCAACACTACCACGAAAGCAAAAGCCATTCATCTCCAGCGGGAAAGCCACCTCGGAGCCACCAGATTGCTAGAAAGGATATCGCTCAAAGATACGATGCAAGAAGGCCAATGTCAAAAAATCGGCTGGGACAGCAAGAGTCCAGCTGAACCGGGACGAGTATCAAGACCACGAGTCAATGAAGAGCCAGACGTGGAGTTACATATATGCTAGATCTTTTGCTATCAGTAGACAATTGACCTCTTCCCATGGAGATCAAACACCTGTCGGGGGGTCCGACAAATAGCCGACGTAGTTTCCGTCGAATGGCACAACTTCTCAGTCTCGCACGAATCATGTGGTCAATATAATCCTAACGTCTAAACTTCGTTTTCTGGATTTCTAGAATCATAAGACTTTGTTCTTTTTCAATACAGGCATGTCCATCTCCAACACAGCCCAATATGAATTGAAGAAAGCGATGCGAGAGCAAAAGTCGAGTTGTTCATCGCCGGCTGGCCCCTTGTGTTTTTCTTTCGACAACGGAAGCGTCCGCGCAATTTCAATTTGCACATATCGCCTCAAAGTGAGTCTATCAGTGCGCCAAGCGAAGGTTACCCAAACAGCCAAAATGACGATCACGAAACCACCTATCCAGAAGGGGGATGGATCGCATGGAGCGTGGTGCTAGGGAGCTGCATGTCATGCTTTGGCTCTATGGACTTAATGAATAGTTTGGGAATCTTCCAGGCATACTTGGAAAATCACGAACTAAAAAACTATTCCTCTGGGAAGATAGGCTGGATACTAGGGCTTTACACATTTCTCGCATTTTTCTGCGGAATTCAAATTGGGCCTGTTTTTGACGCTAGAGGTCCACGGATCTTGGTAATCTGTAGTGGCATCGGAACAGTTTCACTTTTGGTCCTCTTGAGCTTTTGCACAGCCTATTGGCAATTTATGGTCATCTTTGGTGTTCTTGGAGGTATTAGCCTTGCCCTTGCTTTCAGCCCTTCGATCTCGATTGTTGCGCATTATTTTCATCAACACAGAGGCTTAGCGACGGGTATCGCATCTTCCGGGGCTTCTTTCGGCGGTGTCATCTTCCCTCTACTTTTCCAAAACGTCGTCTCTCGGATTGAATTCGCCTGGGCAATTCGTGTGATTGGACTAGTCGAATTCATCGCGTTCGCCGCTACGGTTCTCCTCATTCGGCCCAGAAGGCCCCCCAATGGAACTACTGCTAAAGCAGTTCTCCTCGATTTATCTATCTTCTGCGATGGCGCCCTCATGTTGGCCAGTATGGGAATATTTTTTCATGGAATGGGGCTTATTTGTTCCAATCACTTATTTGACCTCCTATGCTTTACTCCATGGTATTCCATCCCAGTTTGCCTTTCTATTGTTATCTTTGATGAATATAGGAGCAATTTTCGGCCGGTGCATCCCAGGCTATTGTGCCGACCGTATCGGTCGGTTCAACACCTTCATCATCACTGTATTTGGATGTCTGCTCTGCACTGCCTGTTTGTGGATACCTGCAAACGCTAGCAAGCCAGTTATTACACTTTTCGCATTGCTTTTTGGATTTACCAGCGGCAGCAATGTTAGCTTGGCTCCAGTATGCATTGGACAATTATGCAAGCTGGAAGCGTATGGGCGGGGCTATGCGACGGCCTATGCCGTAGTCAGCATAAGGTGTGTTTGCCGATATTGTTTAAATTTATTCTGATAGATCTCCATTTGCATTCTTATAAGATTGGATATTTTGTGCATTTGAACTGACCTCGACAGTTGTCTCACGGGAATTCCAATAGCTGGACAGATTCTCACTCAATCTCAGGGGCAATACTTGGGGCTGATCGCTTTTGCTGTGACTAGCTATGCAGCAAATCTCATCTGCCTGATTGCAACGAAGCTCTACTGCTGTGGCTGGAGGAATCCCAAGCCAGTTTTCTAGACTGTACCAGGATTGACATTGCAGGTAGAGCATTAAATCACCCTGTATGGCTCATAATAAACAGCAATATCTTACAAGAGGCTGCAGCGGCGAGTAAATTAATCGAATGAAATCTGAGTGTTATTACTCCCGAATTTAGTTACATTCAACCCTCCACAGACATAAAAACTAGTGGTTTCGAACTCGTTTCGGATATTAGACTCGGAGCTCTTTCCCTGTGTCTCATCAAAATGATTACATCGCCCGAGCTTCAGCTTGTAATGCTGAATAGTGACAATACTTATTTGCCGTCCTGGCTCTCATTCTCTTCCCATAGTAGATGAAGGCGATTGTACCAGGGACCAGAGTCACCGCCATGAATATCCCAATCGTAAGAAACATGTTTGAAAGCCCGACAGCGGCAGTCCATGGAGTGACTGCAAACACCAAGGCCGTTGCCAAAAGGTTTCTGACGAAAGTTACACCCACGAGTGAGTCGGCCACGATCTAGAACAAACATCAAAATATTGCTCAGTCATATCCCTATCCCCGTTGAGGTCTCCGAATCACTCACGTTTGTATAAGCATCCGTCAAATAGGTCAAAGAAGCACTGCTCACAGGGCCCATAGCAAGCCCAAAGATTGCGTAGCCGATGGCAACGATATACCAAGGCTTCGAGTTCCCGAGGCTATATCCAAATAGTAGTATCCCTGCCGGAACCAGCGGGGCAAAAGCCAGCAAGATCCATAGGCGCATTTCAGGTTCGAATAGCCCACCATTTCTCTTTGCCAGCCTCAGAACTAGCCTATCACTCACGGGCGCAACAAGCAAGCTCCCGATCGTAGTTCCGATGAATGGAGCCAAAGTCATCAGACCAACCTGGGACGCATTAAAATTATATGGTGGCTCAGGCATGACAGAAGCAACCACGGTAATCATAACTTGCCAAGTGGCAGTCAGAACTCCGTAAACCACGGAAACATAGAAAACTGCTGGGAAAGTGAGAGTCACAACGAGAGGTTGGTAAGTATGTCGGACAAAGAATTTAAGTGATCCTGGGGATGGTGACCATAAGGAAAGTTTCTCCGAATAGGTTTTGCGAGGGATGGAGAAATCGATTTCTGGAGGAGTTAAGCCGAATCGCATGCAAGTCATTCCGTCAAATTCTGTATCGATATCTTCCTTCGTTTTTCTGTCCTCTTTTTCGCCTCTTGGAGAGAACACAGAAACTGGTTGTTGGGTTAAGTCCGCTGGGGCCGATCCAGTGATACAGTCAACAAACTTAGTCTCTTCGTAAAGAAAGAGGAACAGCACAAAGCACACCCCGAAAAGAATGGCCATCCACCACCATACCCACCGCCAGCCCTGAGACACAGTTATGTAGCCTGCAACCAGAGGCGCAAGGGCAGATCCAACAACTAATATCCAGACATAAATAGTGTTCATCATGCCTCTTTGATGTACAAAGAAAGTGTCAGCTACCGTCATTTGAACGATAACTTCCGCTAAGGCCCCAAGAAGGCATGAAAATGCGTTAACGAGCATTAAATCAGCAACTGTTTGAATTTTCGCAAACCAAATTGCCACGCCGCATTGCAACAATGTGCTGAAGACGTAAACTGGTCGTCGGCCAAACTTCAACGCTATTGGAATGAACATCAAGGCTCCGACACATAGCGTCGCACTGCCAGTCGCGTAACTGTCGTTCAGAATCTCGTAGCTGAATCCTAACTCAGTATTCATTGACGCCCATGTGGGCGTGGCAGCACCAATGCTAATTATTAGTTGAAAAAGCCGGCGTTAGTGGAGCATCTTTGCTATAGTATCCTAGTAGGACACTATAAGGGACGTAAGTGAAAGGATATAAAAAACCTACAAAGCGAAGACAAGTAAAGAGTAAAACAGAACGAGGCCGAAGTTAACATATTTCTCCCACAGTTTCCAGTTCTATTTTTGATCAGTAAATGAAGTTCTGAATTCGGTTTACTGAACGCACTAAAGGGTCATTTGGATTTCGTGTTGGAGTTGGTTGAAAAATAATTGCATCTCCAGAAGAATTCCTTTGGAGGTCTTGACAGCAGACTCAAATATTAGCAGAGAAATATCTCTAGATAATATTTAAAACAGCTTACCTTCTAGTGGCACAGTTCCAGGAGGTGCTAGGAGGCTGTTATCGGAGGACATTATGGTTTGACTGGTTTCTAATGAGAGGCAATGCCAGATAGGCCAGCTTCGGCGTTGAACAAGTCTAGCAGTGGGGTTGACAGGATATTTTTAATTCCTTTAGAATTCACCTAATGCAGAATCTTGGTCCTTGATATAGTATTCCATGCGAACCTCCTTTTCTCCTCGGCGTTATCTACACACTCGGGTACGCAACCTGTGATAGGACAACAGATAACGTCAGGAAAAGAGGGATACAGATAATGGTGTCAATCGATAGAATTGCCGACCAGGTTACCAGGTCAGTGCCATCGCGATAAGCGTTCCCGTCCCTTTTAGAGGGAAGCATAATTTGCGGGGTTGATATTGCTTTAAACTCAGTTGGTTCTCCGCGTATGTGACGAGGTTTTCGGACTGTCCGACTCCACCCCCAGTAGCCAGCGTATGACTGCGGGTCGGCCGCCACACATATCTACCTATCATGTGGTAGAAAATGAGAATGCCTCATCCAGCAAGTGGATATGACAGTTATACTTGTCCTATCATTGGTGAACAATTCGATAAAGGCTCCTGGAATTTGGACACCCACCTAACAGATTCGTACACGGCCAAGCTTTATGAGGTAGTTTTGTGGGTCGATGCATCATTTACCCTCCTTTACATGTCGACTACTTGATCGGTCCCAACGTAGTATAGATTGACTTCGTATAAATATTGTTGACTTCGGACTGAAATGTCACTCGTTAACTAATTTGCCGTCCTCTGAAACACATTGACATTGTACGGTAAAGTGGATATTATGGAAACATGCAAAGGACGCTTCCACGCAGAGGTCGTAAAATCTTCGTTAATTTTAATACTCAACGAGCTGGCGTATTCCATAAATCTGTATCTCTTTCTGATGGATGGATCATGAAGTTCAAATTATGTCCAGATCTTGTTTCATTTGATTTATCTCCTTCATCCTCTAGCTAATGGGTTGGCATTCAAACACCTTTCTTCCCCTGACCCAGGTTTGATATATTTTTGTATTCAGCAATGTCTCTGGCGTCCATTCTGTCTCCAGCACTATGAAATCCGCCCGATGGTCGGCGGCGATGCTCCCCACCCAGCCCTCAGCGAATCGCGAAAACGCAGCACCGTAGGTCGCTGCGGCGACCGCCTGTAGGAGTGTGATCGCGCCATCAGGGTTAGTCATTTGATCTGATTGAGGCTCGAGGGCCGATTTCCGAACGGTGGCGTTGTACAGGTTCGGCAAGGGTAGATGTCGTGCTGTTGGCGCATCCGTCCCGAAAGCTAGACAGGCGTTCCCCTCGAGATACTCCCGATATGGGAATGCGCGTTCCCATAAATGAGGTTGCAAAATCCGAGGGTAGTCCTTGGTGAGTGCTGGGTCAGAATGAACGGGCTGGACGGACGCGGTGATCCCCAGCTGGCCTAGCCGCTTCCCGTCCTCCACTGAAGCAAGCTCGAGGTGCTCAATGCGATGTCTTCTGCTGGGAATGTTGGTGGCAGCAATGCTGTCGATGGCTTGCTTGATGGCTACATCGCCGACAGCATGGATTGCAACTTGCAAACCCGCATCTACAGCCTTTTTGACCACCTTTCTCATGCCATCCACAGACCAGATTGGATTCACACAAGTTGCGCCATCGGTTTGGATGTAAGGATGACTGAGAGCCGCGGTACAGCCGTCAACCACACCGTCGGAAATGATTTTGATACCAACCACACAGAAGTCTGGAGAATCAGATGGGTGAAACTCCTGATGCTTTGCAATTGCTTCTTCGATATGCCTTGACAGCTCTTCATCATCGTCGGTGAATGGGATATACCAGTGAGCTGCAATATGAATTGGGACGTCTTGTCTAGCTCGCAGCAACCTCAAGGCCTCCCATGCACCATTGTCCATGGCCATGTCGACCAGTCCTGTATATCCGGACTCAAGGTAGACTCTAAGAGCATCATCCAATGCATATAGTCTCTCCTCCATGGTGCAGACATTCATCAAATGCGGCCATACAATTCCTGTCTGGGCGGTCTCATCTAGAAGACCCGAAGGCTGTCCGTTTTCGTCACGATGGATCTTGCCTCCCATCGGGTCTGGTATCGCCTTGACTCCCAATTCGTTCAGCGCAGCAGTATTGCACCAAGTGGAATGGAGATCCAAGGCCTCAATAAAAATGGGGCGAGAATCAATGTGATCGATCATGCTCGCGAGCGCTTTTCTGTTGGTTGACGGCTGATGCCAACCCCGGCAGAGAAGCCGTGGCAGCTCTGGATGCGCCTTGGCATATGTGCGAAGAGAATTCTCGATGTCCTCGAAAGTTTTGCAGTCACTAAGATCCAGTTTCTGTCGAGCTAGACCGAAGAGGAGAAAATGCGTGTGGCCATCAATAAATCCCGGCAAGACCACTCGGCCCTGCAGATCAATCACTTCCGCACCTTCTTCTTTGGCTGTTCTAACAGCCTCGTCTACCTCGTATCCAACATGTGTTATGATTTCGCCGGAGACCACAAAACTACCCGAGAATTCATTCTCAGTTGGGGCGTCCTTTTTAGGACTAAAAATCCTGCCGTTCCGGAAGACAATCATTTGTGCCATTGATGCCCAAGTTGTTTTGAAGTCGCAGTCAATCATCAAAATAACAGGTCATGTGGGAGCATGATGATTGAATTTACAATTTCTTCCTCCTTGACATATTTGATTGAGCTTCAGTTCAGCGAAAAAAAAAAAAAAAAAGAGACTCCCTTTCTCTGTGGCCCGCAAGTGGCTGTTTCGTATAGCTATCGGTAAGCCCGACACAGAGAAGGTGTGGCTAGAATGTGTTCCGATTCGGCCATGCCGAAAAAAACCTCGGAACAACCGACTTCTGCCAGCAACTCAAACATTTACTCGGATGACATTCCGTACTGATAGGTCCTCAGGATCTGTTTCTCGGGCTAGCATGGCTCAGATTCCCCGTTGGCTAAAGCTCTGACACAAGACGCCAAGAGCAGAAGACGAGACATCTATTTGTTAACTTCATTTTCCACCTCTGAGTCTTGGGTTCAGTATTTGCGCTGAGGCCCCATCAAACAACATGGCCAGTTCTACAGGCACTGCCCCAAAGAGCTGTAGCTGCAGTGCCGCACGCACTACGTGCAACGACGTCTTAGTTCATCCTTTAGGTAACGGCTCTTTGACTTGCGAAGCAAAAATTGCAAGGCAACTAATATTTCTGCCCAGATCCGCTTTCAGCCGCTGAAATCTCACGAACGGTAGCAATTATCAGCTCATCAAGCAAATTAGGCCTCAAATTCAATAGCATCACTCTGCTTGAACCTAGGAAAGCCGACTATGCTGCCTTCCGTGATTCAAGTGGACCGCGCCCGATCAGAAGATCTTTGTCAATTATCATCTCTCGTGTGAGCCAAAACGTGTCTGAGGTCACGGTGAACTTGATCTCGCAAAAGGTCGAATCCTGGCGTGATATTAAAGATGTCTGGCCTATATTGACCTTGGAAGATCTGGATGTTATCGAACGAATTGCAAGAGTTCATCCGCAAGTCATTGAAGCCTGCAAAGGCCTGGGAATAACCGATATGTCCAAAGTCTTTTTTGACGGATGGGCAATTGGTGTAGATGAGCGCTGGGGATTGGAAAGACGACTCCAGCAAGCCCTCGCGTATTATCGTACGTCACCGACAGATAATCAATATGCACATCCACTTGATTTTACTGTCATCGCGGACACCGAGCGGGAGCAGATCCTCTCTGTGGACATTCGGACAGTCAATGGTGAACGTACGCATATTCCAATGGAGGAACACAATTATCTACCAGAACTTGTGGGGAAGAGCCAGTATCAATTCAATCGTCTCAAACCGATACACATAACTCAGCCGGAGGGAGTCTCATTCACGATGCATGGGAGGGAAATCCACTGGGCAAACTTGAAGATGCATATTGGTTTCAACTATCGGGAGGGTCTTGTGCTGTCTGACATTTGCATGCGAGATCCATTCGACAGCAACAACAGATACCGCACGATCTTCAATCGAGTGAGCGTGGTGGAGATGTTTGTACCTTACGGATCTCCAAAGAGCCCACATCACAAAAAACATGCATTTGATATTGGAGAATACGGCTCCGGGTTCATGACTAATTCTCTCAAACTCGGCTGTGATTGCAAGGGTGCTATTCAATACTTGGATGCAGTCGTGAATACGTCAAATGGTGATCCACTATTGATTGAGAACGCGATATGCATCCACGAAGAGGATAACGGTTTGCTCTATAAACATACCGATTTTCGGGACGGACGTGTCATCTCAGCAAGAGATCGGAAGCTGATAATTTCCCAAATTCTGACTGCGGCTAATTACGAGTATGCCTTCTACCATACGTTCACATTGGACGGCACCTATATGCTGGAAGTCAAGTTGACTGGCATGTTGAACACATACTGCCTCCACCCAAGCGAGGAGTCGGCTCCATTTGGCACGGAAGTGGCGAATCGAATCGATGCGCAGAATCATCAGCATATTTTCTCTCTTCGTATTGATCCAGAGATTGATGGTTCTAGGAACAGTGTTATTCAAAGTGATGCCGTTCCTGCCGACATTCCGGCCGATCAAAATCCTTATGGTAACGCATTCATGGCAAAGAAAACACTGTTTAAGACAGCCAAAGATGGTGCTGCCAACTATTGCCATGAGACATCTCGAACATGGGATATCGTGAATCCAAATATTGTGAGCAAGATTTCCAAGAAACCTGTCGGGTACAAGATCGTGAATACCCAATGTCCTGCGCTCCTGGCCCAGACCGAGAGCATTTTTGCAAAGAGAGGAGCCTTTGCGCAGAAGGCTCTCTGGGTTCTTCCATATCGTGACTACGAACTGTTCCCAGCCGGGTCCTATGTGTGCCAATCAACCGGGGAGCATCATCCAAACAACTTGACCATCACCGACTGGGTGGCACGCGACGAGTCAATCGAGAATACAGACATAGTCTGTTATGTTCAATTCGGGCTCACACACTTTCCTCGTACTGAAGATTTCCCTATCATGCCAGCGGAACCCGTCAGGGTTATGCTGCGCGCATCCAATTTCTTTGAGAAAAACCCTGCACTTTGGGTTCCGCCCTCAGAGCTAGATGCAGACTTTTCTTCAACAAGGGTGCCTCTGGAGACCTTGAAGGAACATGGTGTTCAGGGCAAGAGCGCTGTGTTGCCCAAGCTTTAAGGCTACAAATGGAAGCGCGATGGTAGATGCATGAATTGATTCTTAAACCGTTCACTTATTTCTTGCGGCACATCTATCTTAATCCATCTCTTGAAGTGAATTTTGAATTTTATACTTCTGCGCTGAAGAACTGAACCCCTCCAAACTTGAATATTGTAAGTATGAGATCGATCACCGTGTAGCTGCAGCTTACCTGCTCAACTTGACTTGAAGAAAATAATGTGAGCTTGGCACCATCGGTGCAGCGCCGAGAGATGGCCAAGTCACCTGATGGTGAGGCAGGGAGAATGGAAATGACCGTCGTTGGGTTGAGGGGCCATTTGAGATTTCCCATGCCCCGCCATTCTCCCATCCTATCCTATACACCCTCTTCTCAAGTATGACAAACCCCAGGAATGGCTGCAAAGTCAATATCGTTTGGTAACACAAACTCGGGACTCCAAATTGGAGAGAATTACGGTTCAATTGGTTCAATCAGGCCCCAGGTGTGTTTCACAATTACGTGATGTCAAGAACCTTGGAGTCAAGGAAACGTCACCTAATAGCTGTTGTCTTTGATCAAAGAGCGACCAGAGACCCCGCCAGATCCGGATATTTTCATCCCCTTTCGACGTGATCCGGACTTTTGTGGACCGCGGCACGATCCTCGATGATATCGCAGAGAGAATTTCTGCCCTAGCATCGAGGATAGCACTTGTCGGCCTCGGTGGTGTTGGGTCAGTACAGAGCAGCCTAGCAGTAAGGTGGTATGAACATTCACTGACACCACTGAAGCAAATCCCAGCTCGCAATTGAGTTTTGTCACCGGGTCCGATCTGCATCGCCAAATACCTGGGTCTTCTGGATCCATGCCAGCAATGCGGCTCAATTCGAGCAAAGTTTTCGGCAGATTGCAGATCAAGTCAAATACGAGGTCGCGGGCATCCCCAGTCCAACATCTTTCAACTCGTCGAAAATTGGCTTCAGGATACCAAGCACGGCAAGTGGGTTCTTATCCTCGATAATGTTGATGATGACAGTCTTCTTCGTATAAATCAAGGCCAAACCCAGCATCACGCAAATGCTTTGACAAAACCGCTTTTGGAGTTTCTTCCTAGAAATTCAAATGGCTCGAGTTTGATTACAAGTCGCAACAAAGAAGTAGCCCTGAAAATGCTGGACCCCAGGGACGTGATTGAAATTGGACCACTGGACAAGTCGGAGGCACTTGAATTACTGCGCAGAAAGATTGGACCTCAGAAACCAGCCTCCGGGGCCTCGGACGATGCACAGATCTCGGAGCCATCACAAGTCCTAGAACTTGTGGAAGCGCTAGACTTTATGCCCCTGGCCATCACACAAGCTGCCGGATACATCGCACATTATGCACCCCGACGCTCGGTATCCGGAAGAGCTTCAGGTGGAGGCGTTGGAGACGATGAGGGTGAAGCTGAGTGAGGATCATCCGCATACAATTGAAACGATGGGGTTTTTGGCTATGACCTGGAAGGAACTGGGTAAGACTGGTGAGGCTTTGGATTCATTGAGGCGTTGCTTGGTTATGGCGGAACGGGTGTTTGGACCTGACCATCCCAAGTTCATGGAACGGTCTCAAATACCTGATTGATTGGGAAGCGGAGGAGTTGGGTGTTGATGACAGTCCAGATTAGGAATTAAGTATGGAAAGAGTCTGAAGGTTATCATTCATTAAGGCTATTCCAGATGCTTCGTATATACCAGCATCCACCGTCACTTCCACGGGAACAGTACATACTAATTACATTATTTTGAATGGAGATTTAATAGTTTAAGGATCATCAAGAACCTCACACACCAGCCGGATCCATCCGTCCCTGAACCTCCTGCCACACCTGCCTCAGTGTAACCAAGTGGACCCGGTCCGCATGGAAGAACCCAAGCAGAATAGACCGGCACTCCTGCCAGGAGGTCACACCATGCAATTGCACCGCCGCCGCCAACTCCGTAACGAAATACGTGCGCTCAGAGGGCATCACCTGACTACAAGCCGCACCAATGAAAAGCACCCAAATCAGGAGATCGCGACACAGCGAAAACAGTCCCGAGGGGATAGTCGCTTCCAGGGCAGCCCGCAGTGCTAGAATCGGCTTTGGCAATAAGGGCGCAACCATGGGGTAAAAAGTCCAGATGGCACTGTTATGGTAACAAAGGCAGGCAAGGCGCGTACAGCCCTCGATCGAGTTGTCGCCCTTGATTTGGCCAGTGGGCGTGTATCGGTCTGCGTGGAGAGAGTACTCGACGTAGAGAACTTCGAAGTTGAAGTAATCTTCGGTGTCACTGTCGAATTCTTGGTACCCGCTGCTACCCTTGATCCACTCGGCGTACCAGGAGAGTTCGAGGAGGTCGTAGATAATTTTGGAGAAGGTGTCGCTGAAGATTCCTGGGATTTTCATAAGGGGGAGGAGACGGGTTGCGCAGAGGCCAACGTCGTCGTTGGGTGGAAGGAGGGACAGTCCTGGGGGACGGGTGGAGCGGACGAAGGGGAAGATGGGTTTGGTGAGGGCCATGCATGCGACTCGGATATCCGTCCTGATGGGAGATTAACAGATTGGACGTCAAGTCTAAGCAGGGGTTATCTTACCAATTGATTTGGAATCGGATGTCAGATGGCACGTCGGCGAAATTCTTGCGCATTCCGATCATTTGACGCAAGCCAGCCAGATGGATTTTTAGATAGTCGGGGTTACCCGATGCAATCTGATCACAATCAGTCTCAAATTTCGTCAGGTATATCAAAGCTGGGTACTCACCTCGATCGTTAATAATGTAGACACTGCAGCAATCAATTCATCACTGGAACACTTCACCGGGTCTGATAGACCCTCATTCACTAATCGAATCGTCTCGCCTCGATGGTGAAATGTATCAACCACAAGGGCACTGCGATGCTGATTCGGATCCCGAATGGGCAATTCACCCCGTTGCATGGCTGCATTGGAAGTAGACATACAAATTGCCGCATGGAGAATGGCGGGGTCTCGCTGAATAAGAGCGGCCCAATGGGCCTGCAACTTGGGTTTATACCGCGTCTGCAATGGATGCGCTTCTTGTGTCAAATCCCACAAAACTGTTGATTTGATGTTAGTCGATGGATCATAAATCCATGCTGGGGATGTCGAGGGGAAACCAACAATTTTGTAAATGCCGCATCATACGATCTGTAAGCTGTGTATGTCCCGTATTAAACGGATCATGTACTCCCGATCCCACATATGACCATGGAGAATAGCGTTGGGATGTCGTAGAAAACCCCACGACTCCATCGACTCCATCATAATTACTGTCCTCCCATGAATCCTCGCTCCAGGTTTGCTCAGTCCATGTTGCTGTTTCGGCCGGCACAGGCGTATAGTACTCCACGGCGGACGTGGTGGGAACTAATTCGTTTTTCAATGGAGGCGACTCGCTGACCTGCGAGCCCAAGCGACTACTGCTCGACGAGGACGAGGGTGTTGACACCGGGGGTCGGGGCGGACCCATTCCCCCCGGGATCGTCTCTGGTGGCTGAAAGGCCAGGTGTTTCCAGGATTTGCCTTTATATTTCTTGGTATTCTCCAATCGCTTTTTGCGATTGTGCTCTGACATGACATGGGACCGAATGCGCTTCAAGGTTTCTTCCTTTGTTCCCCCGGCGGCAGAGTCGGGGTCGGAATGGACCCAGAACAGCGTAGACTTTCCCGCCGATGCATTGGCCGCCTTACGAGGCTTACGGATCTTTGTAGGGGCATTGCGGTCTGTGGACGTGGTGGTGGCTGTCGCTTGAGCTTGCGCTGGCTGCTGAGATGTCGCATTGGGTGCGGAAGCTGGCGCTGCGGTCTGAGGGGGCGGTGCAGGTGTAGTTGGGGGGAGCGACAGCATTGACATTGTATAGGGGTCCGTGTCGAAATTCGGGTCGGTTTCAGCCCATGTCGAGGAGTCGGACGCTGGAGGCCGAGTGAGCACGGGGAGTGTTTGCTCATAGCCTCCGGGGAAGGATTGCTTGGCATCCATAGGTACGAGCTTAATCGGACAGCGTCCAGTGGGAGGAGGAAGGTAGGAAGAAGACGAGGCAGCTCGTGCGTACGAAGGACGGACTAGCGGGGTAGTCGAAAGGGGAGGTTGCTCGGCGAAGAAGACGAAGAAGTAACTCAGTCACTGTGACTCTGCCCCGGCGAAATATCCCTGACCCGTTCAGCTAGGAGAAGAATGAATTCTTCACGTTTATCATCGCATTGTCCGACGAATCACGAACCCCCGCTAATGTCGCTAGTGAAATGGTCGGGACTGCGCCGGGCGAGAGGTGAAATTTGTGCAAGATCGCGTCTTTTTTTCTTTCTCTTTGGACCCCACGGTATGTCTTGTAGGGGGGAGGGGAAGAGAGAGAAAGTGGAGATGAAGACCCCGAGGGCCCAGAGGGATGCGAAAAGAGAAGAAGAGGAAGAAGAACAAGATGAGCGTTGCTTTTCTTTGCGGCGGCCCCGGAACCCTAAAACCCGTTTTAAGTCTTTGCGCCTTAAGGGGCGAAGGGGGGTTCTATTATTACTGAACTTTATGTTTAGGGACTAATTACTCTCTTCGATTCTTACCTACGGATCTATTCAACTAGAACATTGCCGATGATTCCAACCCTTCTCGTACGACTGATCACCACCAATAATACCCAATCTTTTCCCCTCTCTTTTTTAGCGCCTCTAACGGTTCAGCAACGCCCACTGGGGACCTTTACTGGAGACCAAATTCTATGGTACGAGCTGCAATTGGCACATCCACCAACTTGACTGGGTCTTCACTGGACGAAAGCATCGGATCTCGGCCCCACGAGTCTCGACCATCTCGACCCTCTCTTCTTTTTGGGCTGTTCACTGTTGACTCCAATGGTCTCCATCAATAACCCATCAGTACTTCTAGGGGGTAATCCTCGTCTTGTTCAAATCAACTCGTTTGGCGGGCTTATTCTTTTCAGCTGCAGTTCGGTCCCAACTCGACCGAAACCCAAATCCCGACCGGACTCTCTAGTCTCGACGGTGCTGAACGGCGCTGGACTGGCGTCAATCCTAATAGACGGTGCATGAAGCGATTGCGTCTGAACCTTTCTGTCGGGTCCGTCAAGACACGCTAGTGGGAGATTACACTCAACTTCAAAGTACATATACAGCTCAGCTGCTGTTGTTTGACGACTAGCAATTCGGAGCTGAAAAGCAATTGATCACTGCATACATTGCCTACACCAAGGTCTTCGTACTGCGTCAGTCGAGTATATTGCAAGATCTCGTCGCTGTTTCTATTGAAATTGAGGATTATTTCATAGTTATCGAATGCTTGGTTTGGGTACTTTCGGCCCCTGCATAACCATCGTAAGATGACGAAAATCCCAAAGACACGAAAGTACCGTACTCACCTATACTTCGTACTTTGTACTGCTCATTACTTACGTATGTGCATGCTGGCCTCCAATGCCTTTTCAAGCTTACCGACTACGAAATTGCCGAGTGTCGTCAGCGGCGATCATCCTAGGCATATAAGCCCCGTGGCGTGCAAGCCAATCTGCTCTGATATAAGCACTACGGTAAGATCGGCAGCGATGATGTCTTGTATCCTTCACGCCTGTACAGTACACGGGATTACTCTTTGCCACTCGACGGGATATCGGCAAGACATGAGACCAAATGTAAAAGAATAAAAATTTCGCTAGATTATATGAACGTCATTGCCAGGGATGAATTCATCTTCTATCGATTGCGTCACGGCGCAGAGTCAGCGCAGCCCCGACTCAGCCGCAGAGAGACGTGCGAGCAGCCCGCTCTCGCCGGGCTAGACGCATGGAGACAGAGGGGGGGAAGAGAAGAAGGTAGATGGGCAATATGGAACGAGAAAGAGGAAGTGAAAGTACAAGAAAGAGAGGAATCTGAAGATTGTAGGTGTAAGGAGAGTCGCTACCATCTCGAACCCGTTTTCCCCATGCCTAGTAAATCCTGCTCTTTATGCCATGCCCGGTCTCGGGAAGACAGAGACTGTTTCCATCTGTTCTAACCCACCCATTGTACCGTTTTGGCCGGTCTGCCACCCTTGGCCAGTTTGCTGGTTGATGAACTGACTTTGGCGGAAGGGATTGGTACTTCCGGTCGGGTTGGGCCGCAGAGGAGCTGCTGCTGGAGGCTGCAGTCCTCCGTTCTGGGGAGGCGGCACGGACGAGCTACGAGCGAATGGGTTGGTTCCCGTGCGTTGGGGCTGAAGTGCTTGCGGCTGGGCCTGGGCTTGCGGGACCTGGGGGACTGGAGGAACCTGAGGTACGGGCTCGGGGGCTCCTTGATTGTAGTTGGGCTGTGCCATAGATAGGCGTTTGGCGAATGGGTTTGTGTTTTGCCGTTGAAGAGGGGAAGCAGGTGCAGGCGGTGCCCCACCCGTGGGGTTGTTGAGTAGCATTGATTGCCGGAAGGGATTGGCGCCAGTGTGCTGGGGCTGCAATGCCTGCGGCTGTTGTAGCTGCTGAGGCTGCTGAGGGAACGACGGGACCGCGTTCTGTGGAATGGGAGCCAGCTGTGATTGATATCCGTAGGACTGTGGCTGCGCCGAATATCCACCGAATCCTGCCCCAGTGGGCATTGATTGGAGTGGCTGCGCCTGCGGCTGTATTTGCTGCTGGCCGAAGGGATTGCCAGTGTTTTGCTGGGGGAAGCCTTGGCCATATGCATTCTGCTGGCCGTACCCAGTGGCCTGAGGCTGCTGAGGGAAACCAGTCTGCTGAGGATAGAAAGCTTGCTGTGGCTGTTGCTGCTGCTGGAAGCCCGTTTGTTGATAGGCCACTCCAGCGGGCTGGGCCATTGGTTGTTGGTTCTGTTCAATGGAGTCAAAGAAGTCAATCAGATCCGTAGGGGCTTGCTTCGGCGCTTCAGCCTGCTTGGGCGGGTTTGGCATGGGCTTAGATTGGTTGCTGGAAGAGGGCTCTGCGAAGGCGGATTCGGCACCAGAGGTCGGCGCACGCCCATCCTTCTTGATCCCTTTACCAGCCAGATATTCTCGCCGGCGAAGGTCGAAGTCCGGATCATTCAAATCATCTTCAAGGAGGCGCGCCAAGTCGGTGGAAGCATGCTTGAGCTTCGGGATCTCCAACCGGGTGGCGGATTGGAAGTGCCGAGCAACTCCCAAGAACTGCACCACTTCCTCCGTCTGTTTTGTGAATGTCTTGTAGATTGCCAAGGCACGTTCACTATCCGGTCTCGACATTTCAAAGTAATGCTCTGTTCATGGATATTGTTAACTAATGATGTAGCGCTTGGGGCCAGGAGTAGGTGAGTTTACCCAAGACATTGATAGTTCCTTCGTTCATGACAGAGTACAGCACCAAAAGGTCGAGTGTGAGGAGGCGGAACGCAGTCAAACTGATCTCATTCTCGGGTTCGTCTGTCAATAGCTGCGGGGTCTGTCAGCACTGCGCCGCAATCCAACTTTGGGAGTTGACGTACATCGCATCGCAACAGCGCACGAATCTGCTTCTGTACAACTTCTGTTTCCCTTAGAAGACCCTTATCCACGCTCAACCGCTTCAGGCGTCCGGGTCCGCTCCGCACGTAGTCGGTTTTGGTAGCGTCGAATGCTTTGGCGCGCGTCATAAGGTACTCGGCATATCGTCGGATGTTATGTCCCTGTGATTGCGCTACTCATGATATCAGTACAAAGTATCCGCGCAGCGTCTGTTGTAATGATTCACCTTCGGAGAAGTTGCTGGGTGCGATCTTCTTGGGGTTGTCGGAAAGATAAGACAGCGCTGCGTCTTGCTGGCCCTCCCGGATCATAAGGTGAACGATGATAAGCGCCTTGAACACGATTGTCCATGCTGAGTCTCGAAGCCTATGCTGGAGTGTTCGGAAGATCTCTGCGACACCTGCCTCGCCGGTATGAGTCGCCACCAAGATTGTTTCGACGTATTTAGATTTAGGGGCCGCAAGCTGTGCGCAAAGATGTGTTACTACTTGAGCAGATCAAATCCATTAAATAAAACCAAGCACTTACCTTGAGCTTGGTAGCCCCCTTTACCGACTTCTCGAAGTTGGTCATTGCCGTCAAAACTGCAGGTTGTTGGGGTCTGCTCCTGTCAGGGTCGATTGGGTTTAGGAGAACAAGAGTCTAGGTTGACAGTTGTCGGTGGAATGACTGAAGGGCCCGCTTCAGATGTCGTTATGATTGTGATGTGCGTGTAGAATCTCAATCATCACTGGTATTGCGCACGGGGTGGCTCATTGGGCCATGACGGAAGCCTGGGAGGGGGAGACGACGGCGCTTTGCGGGAAGGGAGGATAGGGGTAATCGGATTGACCGGGTTGTCAATTGGCAGTCCGGGCAAGCCCACGAGCACGACGATAAGTATGCAGGATTAAAGATAGGGTCGAGAGGTCGTGATCCCAAGGGACAACTAAGGCGGGTGGGCGGAGCTTAGGTGTCGGGCTCGTAGCCCCCCAATCGGGTATAGCGCCGTTCTCCAGCACGAGGATCGGCTGTATGTGCATGGCATTGAAACATTGCCGAAGATTGAATAGGGACTGTATACAAATATAGGTATGGCTGTAATTCTATCAAATATTGTTCGCTGTTCTCTCTTTTTCTGTTTGAGTCTTGGTTATTTGACATATCTCAGTCACAAGTCACAAATGTTGATGTATATTTATTGACATAGCCAGACAACATCGCAGTCAATATATATCTAGCCCAGGCAAGGTCAAGGTGGCGAATCGGTTGAACCTTACAATTCCACCTTGAGAAAGACGTGAATTGATACTAATCTGATAGATAATACACGTAGTCTATATATGGAAGTGTCCACTTGCGACACATACCTCCTTATAGGGAATGGGAGTCTCCAGTATCATAGTGACGGGCCCGGATCTGATCCAAGCCTCAACCAATATGGATGGAAATACGAGAGGGGAAAAAAGGACGCCATGGTTTTTCTTACCCCACGGGTTGATTCTTATCTAGGGTTCTTTGTGTGTCGCACGCTCATTGGCTTTGGACATGATGAACAGGTTCGTCGGTACCTTGCTAGATATAAATGGCTGTGACCGAGAGCCTACCAGGACAATTGGTCCCGTTGTTGTTTAGATATGCCCAAGCAACCATTACCTCCATCGTATAAAAGATATCCTTCATTCAAAACTCCACAGGAAATCGGAAATCTTCGGATCCTGGAAGTCAACTCAAAGCTAGCCCACTGCATGGCCATAGCCGCATTCACACGCTTTCTTTAGATGATCCGCGAGATAAGCCAGGTATGAGCATCGATACCAGGAAGTGTTCCTCCGTTCTGTCCTCTACTATAGTCTACGAGCAAATAGAAAGCCAAAGTCAAACAACTCGAAAATTCCATGGACCACAGAAATATGCAGGAACGGAAAGGTCGATTCCTCCTATCGTATCAATGACAACAGATTAAGAGAGCAGAAAACCCGGCATGCGGCACTGGGAACACTTTCATCCCAATGATTTTGGAGATAGCCCTCAACCAGGGCGGGTGTACGGTTTCCATGGCAGGAGGATCGATGAAATATTTTTGCTTTTTGTGTGGATACACATTCTTCAGCAAGGTATCTGGGACATGGAAACTCGTAAACTATCCCGAACCCCGTCCAAGAAATTCCTTTATATCCAGTTCAAACCGCTTCCGTCCATTCCGAGCACCCAGATCAATTCAACGCTTAGAACTTGCTGAAAGACTTGACGGCCTTGCCAGTGCGGGGCAGGACACGCAGGACGTTGAAGCGGACCTGTAGAAAGTCGAGTTAGTCAGGGATCACGGGGAAATGTATGATAGAACGATGTGAAGTGGGAGACGAGTGTAGCCAAAGGTTGAGACAGAAGTCGAGGATGACCAGCCAGTAACCTCCAGCGCCATCGTTGAAGTGAATTTTTTTGGCGTATGAATTTGAGATTTTTCGAGATTGGAAACGTACGGTCTTGGAAAGAGGACGGCACTGGCCGACGGTAACCCAGTCACCCTCCTCAACACGGAAAGCGGGGGAGACGTGAGCAGCCAAGTTCTTGTGGCGCTTCTCGTAACGGTTGTACTTGGAGACGTAGTGGAGGTATTCACGGCGGATGACGATGGTGCGGTGCATCTTGGTGGACACGACACGGCCGGTCAGGATACGGCCACGGATGGAGACGAGACCGGTGAAGGGGCACTTCTTGTCTGTAGAGTTCAGTCTGTTAGTGGGTTGATAATTTCACAGGGATATGGCGATTCGAGCAAGGTCTTCAATATCGCGGATCATTTTCTCCGAGGGCGGAGAAAGCGGCCTTCGCAAGCGACTGGAAAGAGACTGAAAAGATCTGCCTCTACGAGTTCATCGCATATGCCCGATGCTATTCACATCGCTATTCACGGGCCCAGAACGTTGCCCTGGCCGCTTGCTGTTCCAATCTCCACCCTCATTGAAAATACCAAAAATATCGTAGATCTCGTCGTGTCGCCAAAATTTTCGTATCGCAGGTCGTTCATACCGATGTAGGTGCCCTCAATGGCGGTCTTGGGGGTACGGAAACCGAGACCGACATCCTTGTACCAGCGGCGGGTCTGACCAGCCTTCTTGGACTTGGCCTGAGACTTCGAGTTCTGGAAGATGTGAGGCTGCTTCTGGAAAGCGCGCTCGGACTGGACGGTCAACTCGGTCGCCATGGTTGCGGTGTGTGTCGACGGGGAAGCGTTGTCGAGCTGGATAGAAAGTTGGCGTGTCGGGTCTCGGGATAAGGACGTCGAGGATGAGAAAGATTCGCTAAAGGCGTGGATTCTTGTGTGTGTGACCGCTAGTCTACTTTGGGACTAGTGCGGGTGCGGGTTAGGGCTTGCCATTTGTTTACGTTTTGAGTTATCACGTGATTTATTTCAACGCGCCGCGGACTCGGGGGGACGTGTAGATCTGCATGAGATATGATTAGAGAGAATGCGACCTGCATTTGATTCTCGAAACACAAAAACTCTGTGAACCTAACATGCTCGGCTGATTGTGGTATCTTTTGGATGCTGCCAGAATGTCTACACGACCGGACTCTGCGGCTACGCGCCCTCGTTCGCGCCGCTCTCTTGCCCATGTCCCGCGATCTAAGATGACGTCTGGCTTGGATAAGGAGAATGCGACGACGGACATCGGAGCAATGGCACCGTCTGGGTCCAACACCAGAGCTTCTGCCAAGGATAAGAAGTCCCGAAGCAAGAGCTTAGGACCTGGAGGACTCGATGCGCTGCAGCATTCTAATGGAAATCGTCGCAAGGTGGGTGTCGTCGACAGTTCCCCGCACGCATAGAAGACAGACCAAGCTAATATGGCATCCCCTGCAGTCAACCGCCTCATTTCCTCTCAAATCAATTCTCAAACCTACAGTCCCCGTGTCCCCAGTGCGAAACATTCCATCATTCGAAGAGACACGCCGGCGCACCCCGGCTCGGGATACATCAAGTCAGAAGGCCAATGTCGTCGGCAATGATCAAGGAAAAGAGGGGCTTCTGATCGACTTTGCAACACCACCCCAGCCCGCTCATACAGGGGAAGGAAATGTCGATAACCCATTCGACACCTTTAATGCGACATCTGCCATTCGCGACGAGATGGCTGCAACCAAAGAACGTGACGAGAAGGAGCGCCGGGAGCGGGAACGCCAAACGATTTTAGAGAAGCGAGAAGCCCGCCGAAAGTCCATGGGTATGTGCTCCGTGAGAACCAGAAAGCAATTGATCGTTGCTGACTTTCAATGTCTACAGCAAATCGTCGTGTCTCCTTCGCCCCCGAAGCCACACTGCACACCTGGAACGTTGTCGAGATACCCGATGATGCAACCTCGTCATCTGCGTCAAACTCTACTCGACGGGCCTCATCACTTACGAATCACCAGGACCAACAGCCCGCACCTACCCCGGCAAAGGAGGCCCCTTCGTCGCCAGATGATGCCGAGTCGGACTTTGGATTCTCCCCCGTTCGTGAGCAAGACTTGCAGCAGATGAGGGATCGCTCGGTATCAGAAGGCACAGATGATAGCCATGCAGACCTTTCCTCTAGCCCCTTCAGTGGAAGCTCAGCTGTGAGCGAAGATACTGGCGTTCACAGTGTGGAGGAAGAGGATGGAACTTCCTCCGCATCCGAGGACGGATTTGATGCCGAGAGCACTGCCATGAGCATGGATGATCTGACAGCCCGTTCTTCTGCTACCGTGCAGTCAGATATTTCCTCTAGCTCCAGCTCCAGCGCTAGACTCAACGACGCACTCCGCCAGGCTGCGAAGGAAGCTGGCACCCAAGCAATTGACGACACTGGTGAGGTTTCAATGGAAATAGCGGACCAAGAAATCACCGGCGCATTTCAGCCCTGGATCAAGAAGGGCCAAAGACAAAGCTTCGACTGGGATGACCTTAGTGCTCGACATGATCAAGAAAATGTCGAGCCCGCCAAGGCCTCCTCGGCGCCAGACTTCCCCGGTTCGGATGATATGGATGAGGACGAGGAGCTGAGTATGGATGTGACTAATGTCGTTGGAGGGATTTTGGGCAGAGCAACTGGACGCCGCCAGAGTGCTGTCAGTCGCAAGTCCCTCGGCCAAGAAACTAACTATGGTGATCAGACCATGGAGATGACTGGCATGGTCGGTGGTATTGCTGCCGCAGAATCTCCTGCTAGGACCTTTGACGAAGGCAATGAAGATGAAGAGATGACTATGGAGTTCACATCAGTCGTTGGTGGAGTGTTGAATAAGGCCCAACCGCCTCAACAAGCTGCGGACATCAGCATGGAACAAGCGGGCTCCTACACTCCCAAGTCGGACCGCATGTCTGTCGAGGAGGATGATAACTCCGACGAGGGCATGGAAATGGACATGACTAGTGCTGTCGGTGGTATCTTGCCACCGGGTTTGGAGACCCCAGATAAAGCTCAGGCCAAGAGGATCATGGAGCTTGAAACAGAGTCCGGCCAGCTGGGAAGCTCGCCCTTCCAAGACAGTGTCCAACAGTCTCCTCAAAAGTCTCCTGCAAAATCACCTCTTGCATTACACGTCGCTACTGTTGCCTCGGAGAATGGCAGCCCCAGCCTGACGAGTGTCCCGCCTAGACGGCTATCACGACGTAGCTCCGTTCTAGGAGCATCAAGAACTCTAGAATTGGACCCTCAACCGCAGTCGCCATTGAAGAGGCCAACCACGCCTCCGAAACAGCTGACGCCTCAACCCCGAGCTACAACGCCCAGCAAAACTCCTCCGTCTGCCAATGTCACCTTCCGCAGTGCCTCCCCTAAGAAGCTCTTCAAGCCCGAGCTTAAACAGTCGGCCGAGAAGCAGAAATCGTCTCGTCTGAGCATCTTTGAGCAGGACCTTTCCACTGGTCAGTCAACACCTCGGATTGTTCTCCAACCTCGCGAGGGACGTCGCTCTTCTGGCGTGGGAATTGACAAGGAAGGTCTTGGATCGCCTCGCGTTGCGGCTCTCCTGGATAAACGACTCACATTGGGTGAAAACACGCCGCAATTCGTTCCTCAAGAGCGGCCTCATGTTGGTGGTGTACGTTTTGAAGACCCATTGAAGTTGCAGGCTGAAGAGGAGCGGGAGCGCGAGGAGGAGGAGCCTCGAGAAGATGGTCAAATTCCTTTCCTTAATCCTACGAATCGGGATCCCACCACGAGCTTGAAAGATCTGATCTCACGCATGAGTCCGAAGAAGGGCAAGATCGGTAGTCGCAAGAGTCTCCATGTCGGTGCTGCTCGCGGTATTCTAGGCAAGCGTCCTGCTGAACTCGACTTGGACGATGAAGAGGCAGAGAACTCGCCAAAGAGACTGCGTGGTCATACTGTCAGCCCAGTCAAGGGTGTTCGGCTACCGGCTCCAAGCCATGATAGCACAAGCCGCCGATCCCCGATGCGTAGAGCTCGCAGCTCCTCCCCACTGAAGGGTAGTACCACCCCTACGCAAGAGCGTACAAGCGTTTCCACCAACGGAACAACGCTCTTGAAGAGGAGTCTCGATGCTCTGCATCTTGCTTCTGATCCTCAGCAGCCGGAGGAGGAAGAGGTAGTGGCTACTGTCGAGGATCAAGTTGAGGATGTTGAGCCGATCGAACTTCAGGATTTCCTTAAAATGACCAATATCCACTTCATGGAGCTCACCACAACAAAGAGGCGTCACACTACCGCGCCTGGCAGCGCTTCCAAGAGGCTGAGTCGGGCGTCTTCGGAGCATGTTGCTAAGCCAGGCGTGATCACTTTTGACGACTGTGTGACCGCTGGCTTCTGCACGGTACCTATGCTAGAGTTGTATCAACACGTAAGTTGGACTTAAACTGACCTGCAATCATGGAACTGCGTTGCTAACATACCTTAGTCTTGCCGTGAACTGAAGTCATACATCTCCGAAGGCCGCCAGGTGATTCGTTCCATTGAAGCTGAAACATACGAGGAAAACCCTCCTCTCTTCCGCGAATATGTGACAGCCCCGCCGGAAATTCGGGTCATAATGGACAACCAGTTCCGAAACGCGAAGACCCATGCACGCCTGCTCAGCAAAGCCACGTGGTATGAGTGGCGCATGAAGCTTCTCGAAGGCCTGAAGGAGGGTCTCCACCGGCATGTGGCGGATATGAAGGCAGATGATGAGCTGCTATCTAAACGCGAGGAGCTCCTGGGCAACGTGGTGCCTCCTCTGGTAGAGAAGCACGTGTCTCTTGAGCAAGAGGCAGCCAATTTGCAGCAACTAGTCGAAGAAATGGAGAACTGCGACCAGGAAGAGCTGCGCGGTGCACGTAAAAAGCTTTCTAGCGTCGAGGACGAGATCGAAGCTAGGAAACGCGAGCTTGGACAACTGCAAGCGGAGGTGCTGGAGAAGACTAACATCATTGAAGCTGGAAGCGAGCTGCGCGATGAGTTCCTTGCACAGATTCAGGAGGCGGAACGTGTCAAGGAAGAGTGTCGCGGATGGAGCGCTCGAGATATTCGTGAGCTCAAGTCTTCCGTCCAGAAGATCGAGCACCAGACCGGTTGGTCAATCAAGTCAGCGTCGACTCCAGCGGAGGAATCCGTCAGCCCGATGTTGACCATGACATACCGTGACCAGCTGCAAATCAAGTTCCACCCTGGTGCATTCACTACGAAGAACTCGGCCGCCGAGAAGACCAATCTTTCTCTGGAGTTGACTTCTATCAAGGGCAAATCGATTTCTCTCATCGCGTCTCTAGTCTTGCAATCATTGCAGCAGCATCTCGCCTCGATTCAGCAGTCCAAGATCACGCCGAAGCAGCTGCTACGCTTCATCTCAAGCGCATGGGACCGCACGACCGGCCTCGAGAACGAGGCTCGTATGCTCGAGTTCTGCGGTCTTACCCGCCTGACTCTCTCAGATCCTAGTGACGCTTCGCTGTCCCTGCGTGCTCGTTGCACCATCCTCGGCAATGCAGCTCCGTCATCTACGCCCGGCCATAAAGGCGCCGCGGCGAAAAACAACGGTGCAAAGCGGATCGACGTTGACTTTATCGTTCGCACGCGTATCGATACTGAAGTCAAGGACATGGAACAGATCGGGTCCCTTGACTTTGACATTGATGTCATCGCCACGAAGGTCTATGGCTTCGGCACTGGTAACAAGTCAGGCCTCTCGGGCAAGGAGATGCAGAATATCCTGGGCAATGGGATGGTCCGGGATGAAGGACAGACTCTTGGGAATGGGGTCTGGTGTAAGGCTGTGCAGACGCTTACTGGATCGGTGTTTTAATGGGGGTTTATGATATACTGGTATTTTTTAAGGGGCTGGATGGATTGGGCTTGGATTAGGATTCGGACGGGACGGGTTTGGGGGTATGGGTTTAACCAATGGTGTCTATTGTGGTTATGGAGCGTTTTATTTTACCTCTGGCTTGAGCGATTACCATTTAAATGATTATGCCTATTTTTCACTTATACACATTTTCATCTTCTGTAAAAACTGAGTGGTGATATCCCTCGAAGAAATGCCCACTTCCTCATCCTAACGACTCAACCAGATGTCCAAAGATCGTCATAAGGTAGGAAAGCAAGTAGACTATCCCATCAGATGACAGGGCAGAGCAAATGTACAAAGAAAAACACTGTACATACATACACCCACACGAAGAATAACGACCGGAAAATAAACAAACGCTAAGATCAACCCATAACTAAAACAATCCCAAAAACCCATTCGGCCAAATCATCTCCGCCGTATCCTGCGCCATCCCTGCATCCTGCCCCGACCTCGGCGGCATATAATTATTATACCCCATATTCATACCAGAACCGGGACCTGTATACCCAGTCTCCGCAGTAGACGGATCCGCCTCCGCGGGAACATTCAAGAACGATTCCGCCGATAGAATGGGGAGTTGAATATTCTCTGCCTGCGCGGAGGAAGCGATGGCCTCGCTGGGAAAGAGTCCGGACCAGACGTTATCGCCGAATTGCCAGTCTGCGGTTAGAGGGACTTGCCATGAGGCGGGGAACATGGTGTTGCCTGGTGTGGTGCTGCTGGTTGAGAAGGGGGATTGGGTACTGTCTAGCGGGGAGGATTCGGTTGTGTGTGCTTGTGCTGCGGCGGTTTCTTGTGCCAATGGCCAGGTTGAGAAGTCTGTGGCTGTTGTTCCGTTGAGGTTTTGTAGGCCCAGACCGGCCGGGTAGTTTGTATTTGGGAGAGGGGTTTGCGAGGGGAGGGTTGATGGGAAGGAAGTCGGGCTTAGAGGGACGACGTAACCGTCTGAATTGACAGATGGGAAGCCCTCGATGGTTTCAGGGATACCTAGCGCGGACATGTGGGGATACGTTGAGGGTGAGATAGTGGATGCAGGCGGAGCTCTGGATTTGGAGTGGTGGTGGGACCCCGTGGAGTCGGTTGTTGTAGATGTGCGGAGGGTTGAGGGTTGATGGCGGGTCTTTGCGTGTGATCTTGAGGGTCGATGGTCATGTCGCTTTGCTCCAGGTTGTTGACTCTCATGGCCTCGGTCATCTGGACTACGGGCCCGTTTCTCTTCTTTCTCGATTGCTAGTCTGGCAATGCGTTCGAGATTGGCACTCATGCGGGTCATGAAACCGGCGTAATGGGCAGGCCCGTCGCCTGGATGGGATAGAGTTGCGAAGAATGTTGCCACCATGTTGAGGGATTGGAGGTCATCCTGTATTTGGGAGTGGCGGGTGTCGCGGATGATGTGTGAGAAGATAGTTGCTGCGGCTAGGAAGATGTAATATAACAAGGACCTATAATGATTGTTAGCCAGGCTAGAGACAGAATATCGAAACCAAATAAGCGTTCTACTTACCAGACCCATGCAATATCTCCCCATGGCATATTGTTGACCATCCTAAGCGTATCCCGCGCAGCAGTCACACAGATGACACTTGACTTGGCAGCATGTGCCTTGCTGAGCGCCTTAAGCTCCCTCGGCTCTGGCCGTTCATTTATCAAATAGTTGAGTAGGAGAGGTATTCGATGGATCATGATCAAGGCATTATAATAGACGAAATGCAGGCCAATGGCTGCGAATCCCATCAGGAAATTCGGTTCAGCAACTTTCTGCCGAGGATTTTCATCGAAAGGATAGTCTTTTCTCCACGCCCTGAGTTCTGCATCTAGCTCTTGAACTGATTGGTAGATCTCGTGAGGTGATTTGAGCAGTGCTTTGGCGGAATAGAGTTGACAGAAGATGCGACTTTTTATCAATGACATGCGGCATAGCTGGCGGAAGAAGGGAATATTGGTTGAAGAAGAGGAGTCGCGGTCATCTTCGAGTTCCTCGGGCAGGGGCACATCAAAGTCCTCGGGGTGTTGAGAGGGAGCGTTTCCAGCACGCAAGCATGTACTAAAGGGCAGTCGTTAGATTTGGATGCAACACGGCTTCTTATTTGATACGAAATTGCTTACCTCTGATCAACAGTAAAGGCCACCCAAAACACTCGCCGCCTCTGTTCTTGCTCGACAGGGCTCAGCTCTGGCCTTGGGAGATCTCGGTGAAGGCCCATTCGCTGGCATGACCGCATGGCTGCCGTAATGAAAGGCAATGCTGATTGAGTACCGGAATTACCTCGCAGGAAGAAGGCCTACCGCAAATATTAACACATGATTATGATCAATTCCAAGGAAGAAAGAACTTACCATGCTCAGCAAAGCCTGCACACTCAAGAGATCCGTACGGCGCAAGGCTAGCTCCGTAAAGACAGACATGGCATTCTTGAAATACAAGCGGGCCTTTTCACGATCCTTTTCTGGCTTCAAGCTATTCGAGAATCGAAACTCGTATGCCAGACAAATGACCATGTTGATACTCGCCCATCGAGCGGCATCCTCACAGGTTTGCTGTGTATATTGCCACTCTACCATCTTCATGAAGCTTTCTTCATGATAAATTGGGAAGAGTCGGTTGGCCGTGTTGAAAAAGTCTTTGATCAGGGAGAAGACTTCTGACCTGGGCGGCAGGGGTTTGTAGACCTGGGAGGCGAACAAGTCGTGAAATACATCGGGACGCCATTGAGTCCACGGATTATCATGGATGGAGTCGGTGGTCAAGATTTTCAAGAAGCTGACATCACCCGTCTTGCTTTTGATCCATTCAATTCCACCCCGTGATAGGAGTGATAATGAGCATGAGCGTCCTATGAATTCCAAGTTAGTGGGTTCTACTAGCGAAAAGGAGAGCCCGGTAGCAACGAACCAAAATATCTAGAATCGTCTCGCTCGTGAGACCTGAAAATAGGGGCGGCCTCAACGTCACCTACACTGGGGAAATAGTCCACCTCCCCAGAAGACGCACGAGACGTAAAGGAAATGTGCGATGAAACGTGTGATGTTTGACCCGAAGATTGAGGCCGTGGATTGGAGAAATCCCCCTTCTCATCCGTTGGATCATAATCATCCTCAGATAATTCATCTGGGCTGATGTCACCTTCATGCAAGATGCCGGCTGCCTTCAGCAAGGATTCGATCCTTGAGAGACGATCTTTCAAAGAAGCCACATATTCATCTCTATGGAACCAAGTAAGTATCGAGATCTACCATTTTGATAAAACGTGGCCCATCCTCAAAGAGATAAGGAATTGGAAACCAAAATTCCAAAACACATACCTCTGATCCTCCTCACTTAGCTCCGACACGGCGGGAAATACACAATTCGTCCTGCGCCGCACACACTGTACACAAATCGAAGCAGACCCCTCGACTTCACACCTCGTCTTCTTCCGATAACACATCTCACAAGCCTATCAACCAAGTCAGCAAGGTGTTGAACCCCATCAAACATTGCCCATCTGGGCCCATCGATCCGAGCCCATCAAGACCACATCCAAACGAAAGCGGGACTCGGCGGGACGACAGAAAAAGCAGGCACATCACATACCCTCTGACTTCGTCTCCGCCCAACAGACGGTAATGTATTCGCCATGGCATGGGTGGAGTCGTAATCCTCAACTTTCATGTCATGGCGGGGGGTTATGCTAACCGTTTGCCGCATTGCGTTGTGCATTTGCCTCCCCGGGAGTCAACCGCGACAGTTCATGCCAAGACTTTTTTCTTCGAGTGGGCGGCTGTGGTCATCGGCGGGAACGGGAGGCTCTTTTAGCGCGGACTTAGACGCGCAATCTTTCTTTTCTTGTGAGAATTGTGGTCAAGTTGATTTGGATAGAGGCCTTTGATGAATCCGTGATTTTTCTCGAATTTACCATGTCGGAGTTGGGGATTCGGCGGCGGAGTTGCTGGGGGGTCCGTCGGGCACTCGGCACTCCGGCACGTTGCGTCCCGGAGTTTTGAGCTGTGATGGTTGCACTCGAGGGAATTCTGGGGATACCTACGGGGGACTTGATCTTATACGGTTTCATGTGGGATTTACAAGTAGTTTGCATGTACCTTGAAAGTAATGCACACACCTTACAAACCCTTTAGCCTTGAGGTCGGAGAATAAATCCATTCAGAACAAGCCTTGGTGGCAACGGGCTCTAGGACACTCTTGGGAAGGGTTGGCTGGAGGCTTGCTCTCTATAACTTTTGCTTTTTTAGTTCCATAAATCTATCATGTTACACGCTCGTGTACTATACAACTGTCTTCAAGTGCGATGAACCTGCGCTACACCACCAACGAGAACTCAGTACCCTGGACACGGATGATAGGCAACTCTTGATACCTGTCGTGCAGAGTATATGGACGACACCCGAGCAGATCAAAGCTATTCAGTAGTGGATAACCTTAACTATAGGCTAATATGATCCAAGATAACCTTCAATTCCCCAGCCGAGGTAGTTTATCGCTCTAGTTTATCTGCTCGGGCACCTGTCCGTAGCTGACAAATGATCCCCGCACTGATTCCGCCTTGATACAAACACTTGAGATAGGCTCTATGGAGACGATAGCACGATGCTGATGGGAATCTGGATGTGGATGACGCCAGCATAAGCCTGATAAGACTCCGTTTGCGTGCTCTGCCAGATCTCTCACTACATAAACACCTAGTCTCCTTCGTAAAACTACTTCTACAGTATACACCTTATTACCCAACATGCGTGCCACCACCGTGGGAATCATCTCAATCGGGGACATGGGCCTAGGCATAGCCAAACTCCTCCAAGCCCACGACTACCGAGTCGTCACCGTCAGCGAGGGACGAAGGTAACCTTACTCAACTTACCCCATCCCCCATCTACCCTACAAAAAACCAACTATCTCACAATCTCTACACTAGCAAACATACCCTCTCCCGCATCCACGCGGCCAATATCGAAATCCTCCCCTCCGACACAGCCCTCGTCGCACAGGCGGACTACATCTTATCCATCGTCCCACCACGTAACGCCTTAGCCACCGCCCAACGCATTGTGGGGGCCTGCACAAATCCCGATACAGCACGCCAACGGGCCACGATCGACGATATCAACGGCCAGCCAGCCCGTAGCCCGCTCTACTTTCTCGAACTCAACGCCACCCCGCCCCGATTAGCGGGGGAATTGGCAGACCTCTTCGTAGAGGACGAGTCCGCCACGTCAACACCTTTCGTGCGGTGCCACTTTCTTGATGGTGGGATTATTGGTGGGCCGCCAATACAAGCACCAGCACCAGCTGCGGCACCAGACGCGAATCGAGACACAGATAGATCCCCCGCAACGTGGAAAAGACCCAGCGTCGTCCTGTCGGGACCAGTGGTGGACCACCTCCCGCCAACCTTCGCGACACTCGCAACCGCGCTGAACGCGAAGATCGTCTCACACCGCATAGGCGCCGCGTCAACGCTAAAGCTCACCTTCGCCGCTTTGACAAAGGGCCTCACGGCACTATCAATTCTCTCCTTCTCGACCGCGCAGCGCGAATCACTTCTCCCAGAGCTCCTGTCCCATCTGGACGAGTACTCGCCGGCGACGGCGGCGCTGGCGCGCGGCGGTGTCGTCGCGATGAGTCCCAAAGCGTACCGATGGGAGGAGGAGATGCGCGGGATCGGGGAGGCGCTGGATACGCAGGGCGGGTGGGATGGAGTCGGGGCGAGTGTTTACGGCGGATTCGCGGAGATATATCGCGTTGTTGCGGAGGATACGGTTTTGGGGCGGGAACGGGTTGGGGCGCGAGAGCGTGGGACGAGTGTTGATGATGCTGCGATGCTGATTGCGGATCGACGGCGGCGAGGAGATCGCGATGAATATCAAGAGCCGAGGTCTTGAAAATGTAATTGCAATTGCAAATGCATGATTCAGGTTTGGATTTGAGGGGACCTTCAAGTAGTGTCTAGATCCCAGATCTAGATCCCGTTGAGAGAGATCTCACTTCACCGTTCCGAATATGGTTATCAAGCGTTCATGCATTAGTGTCGAAATTTGGGACCGTTTGGACGCTGCGGAAGTAGCGGACAAAAGTACCGGAAGAGCTCCATGCTCCATTCTGCGGCCAAAGCTAAGCATGTCTAAGACTTGGAAGCCGAGATGGGGAATGAGCACGACATCCGCTAGTTTGATGTCATCGGGGAGGAAGGTGATATCGATCACATCGGGCAGCCTTTTCACAAGCTATTTCTTCTTTTAATTTCTTTTCATTTCTTTTTTTCTTTTTTTTGTTAGTGCCGCTTCAGAGCGTTTCCGCCTGGACACATGGAGCTGCCAAGCTTTGGAATTACGAGAGTGCAACGGGGCCGTTCAGACCGCGTCATCGGAGGACGGAGTGGAGAGGGACGGAAGTGTATGTCCAGTGTCCACTGGTGCTCTGAGTCTAGAAACAAGAGAGACAGACCGGCGAGCTGTGATTGGAAAGCTCTTTCTAGACATCTTTCTCCATGGTATAGATACTATTTCTGTGGTCTATCGTTCAACTCGTGACTGCGAGATCTGTCCGGGGGTTCACACTTATGGAACCCCACTGTATCTGGTCCAGTTGGCTTGTAAGTCGGTGGTGATCTAGTAGTCAGTCCCTGGTTAGAAGTTAGAACCAGTAGGAGAAGTAGGAGAAACTCAGTCCGAGCGGAGGATTACCGACTTACAGTATTGTAACTTGTCATAATTATCTATTCGCTGGAGCCCCTAAACTTTGATAGAGCGCGGACAGTTGGTGGCTCCTCCGAAACAAATCTGGGGAAGCATTTTAGCCGCTATTCAGTTTGGGCTAGAAGTGAATGGGCTTTAATAACAATAGCTCTACTGCCTTCTATCCTTTCATTTTTTTCTACTTTATATTCACTTTTATGAATTCCTTGTACAGTTCTGATCATATAGTATTTCCCATTCTCCTTCCTTTCCCACAAAGCGGTGAAGACTCCCTTTTGGGAGGAGGCCGAAACGGACCAACCAGACGGCGTGATCACGACATTTCTCCATCTGATCAGATCATCAGCGATCTGCTGCGTGGCTTGTCCTCTTCCAGTTACTGTCGGGTTACTAGTCCTCTGGTCACTCTTTATTTCTCGGCTTCACTTATATGGTTCCGTATCATTTCAATACCATCTGCATACCGAGGTTCTCCCCCTTCTCCCCTACTTTGATTCCTATCATCATCACTCGAATACATCTCCCATACCAACTAGTATCGTCATTCCTCCTCCTCCTCCCTTCTTCTCTTCTACCTTCTCTTCCTTCTTCTCTCCCGACTGGTCCATCTCATCTCCCCCTCCCCGCTCAATTTCTTCCTCCCCTTACCAACTTCGTCTTTGTGTTTGATTATTTTTCGCCTCTTCCGGCTGGCTGGGCCTCGTGCTGGTCGCTGCTTATGTTCCTTGTTCCCCCCTTGTTGGACCTTGTTCCTCTCCTGCCCCCTGGACTCTGATTCGTGTTGTGCGTGGCGCGTTATGCGACTGTCAGTGGGGTCCGCTTGAACAGTCCGCGTGAAGCTGAATCGAGGCCAACCCGCTCAATCTCTCAATCATCACCACCACAATCCATCACCGAACAACCATCCCACCAGTGAATTGTCGGGTCTCTGCTCCATTTCAAACTCAGGGCTTCCCTCGGCTTGCTCCTCTTTATATAATCTTTTTTTCTTTTTTTCTCACTGCTTATTTCTCCATTGGCACCCCCCTCCTCCCGAAAGATCGTCAGATTCCATCTCATCTGGTCCGGGGTTCCAGTGGAAGCATTCACTTTCACACATCCCTCCTGCTTTCCCCCTCCAGGTCAAAGCTCCATCCACACACACTTGGGAACATTCAAATCCCACGGCCATTACCACTGGTTGTTGCGCACATCATCTTATTCCCCCCTCCTCCGCCCTAAACGCTAGACGGTCTTCAGCCCTTCAGGCAAATCTGGTCGCTGGTTCCGGGTCTTTTTAGTTTTTCTATTTCTACCTCTTCCTCTAAAATCTCGCCCTTTTCCCCTTTCTCTTTTCTCCCCCATCATGCCCGAGGAACTCCCACTTCCTCCCCCTGGTCCCCCCTTCGACAAGATCGAAAACTTCAACTTTCTTCTGTCGCGCACTGATCCCGCAGCCAAGGCTGCGCGCCACTATTCCTTTGACGCGGATACTGGGCTGGTCCCGTTTACCAACGTGAACATGGATTACGATCAGACTGAAGGCATGGGTGGCCTCTCGGTCAGTTCCTACGATAGTATAGATGATGACCGCGGGTCCCTGGATCTCCGGGGTTATCCATATCATGGTACGTGCATAATTTCTCTTTTTTGTCCATTTTTGAGGATCCATATCCAATTTCCCATCTTGATACCCCAAGCTTTGACTTGGTGCGAGAGGTTGCATCTGTTGCGCCATCGGGAGGCCTTGTGGTTCGTGTGCTGGCGTCTGGGCGTGTACCCTTGACGGCCTTTGATGAACCCTGCTGCTGGCAGCCGCCAGCAGCCGCAAATGGGATTTGCGCGCGTGAAGAGTGATGAGATGAGAGACCCGAGTCAAGCAGAATGAAGTGATTGAGCATTGCATCCTCCCCCTGTTATGGTTGTGCTTTCTTATTTTTGAATTCCATTGTGATTTGCTCGTATGCGTTGTTGCGTTTCTACCGTGACGGAGCTACTCCTCTCTCTTCCTCGGACTCCGAGACCCGATTATCCCCTTTGGACCCATTCATCTTGGGAAAATCAGACTTGCAAGTCAGATTCACTTCGATTTTGAGTTTCCAAGCTCGTGCTCCCCAAGCCAGGATGATCGGTCGTGGTGCAGTTCGGAATGAGGATGAGATCACCATTCCCAAGCGTGTCGATAGCGAGCACGCAATCCCGCAAGCAAATGACAACCTGCAGGACAACCAGCCAATTTGCTCCCAAACTGCAGTTACTCCGCCATGGCTGCCTGGGGCTTCTCCATTTGCTCATAACGCCTGCGGTTGTGCTCATCTGCCCAGTCCCCATTTGCCTGTTGGCCCTTATTGTCTCTGCCCTATCCCCATGGACCCTTCTTTTCTTATTCTTGGGGGTTGCTACTTGAAGCATGATCGCGTGCATTTCCTCCCCTCAACCCCAGGGAGGGAGGCGATCTATCACTTTGTCTGCTCAGTTCCCTCATTCTGCTCGGCTTACTTCCCGTCTCTCCTCTTTGCTGCCTCGTTATCTCTTCTTGCAACCCTATTATCACCCCTGAGGCTATATCAACCTACTGTTCGGTGATATAGCCGAAGGTCCCTGACCTCCTTCTTCTTCCTGTTGCTGCTCTTGTAGTACATCCAACACATTACATATTTATTTACCATCATGCCTCACACACTTGATCGCTTACTCCATCCCCCAGGCCCAACCGGCGACAAAGGAATCAACTACTCCATTCCCGACCACATCATGCCGTACTCGACACACTCTATCTACCCGCCAGTCCCCTTCGCGCCCGATGACTTGGGCCACGCCCCGGGAGCCATGACTCCCTCGGACGTCTCATCATCAATCTCCCCGCCCAACGGCCAAATGGGCAACACCAAGTACTCCACCTCCATCTCAGGGGACCGCATCGCAGCCGCCCTGAACCAAGAGGAAGGCGTGCGGGTTGCGGCCGAAGAAGATCGCCGCCGTCGCAACACAGCCGCCTCCGCCCGCTTCCGTATGAAGAAGAAGCAGCGCGAGCAGGTCCTCGAGCGTACCGTGCGCGAGACCACAGAGAAGAATGCTTCTCTCGAGGCTCGCGTCGCACAGCTCGAGATGGAGAATCGCTGGCTGAAGAATCTGCTTACTGAGAAGCATGAGGCGACTCCTTCGCGGATGCCGCCTCCTCCACAGGATAGTACGCCTCTCGAGTCGAAAGCGAGCAGTACACGCTCGGGTCAAAAACATATTCAGCCTAAAAAGAAGGGTGTCGGCACTGATGAGTAGGCTTTAAATGGAAAGTTGGCTCTTGCTTTTGTGTGTGTTTTGGCTTTTTGCCTTGATTTGATTCTTGTTTTGCTGCTGTTGCGTTTGGCCTGGGTTTGTGTATCATCTCCCATCTTGCGGTCATCGACTCCGATTCCTCGAGGGACCCTGTTATGTGTTTCTTTTAGTCTACCATGTCATTTGCTGTTTGTTTGAGTGTGATTTTACCTTGTACTCCCATCCTGACCCACTTTCATCCCATATTTACTACACAGGGTGACTGATGGAGTCAGGATGGGAGATACGGTAGACACTCATGCCCCCCATGACGATGTCACGACCTTTCTCCTTCTCGTCTCTCCACGGTTCAAGACTCAGGTCCGACCGTGGCTTCTGCGATTCTCAGAGATGGTCTTTGCCTCTGTGGGTCTATCTTCTTGCTTGGTTATCTTTGGTCTTCTCTTTGCTATCCTCGTTTTACACTCCTCTCTTTATCTCCCATATACTCCTCTCTCACCCGATTTTTACCATCGGGCTCTTGAGTTTTCTCTTTTATTACAGGCTTTTACGCCACTCATTGCTTGGATAAGGATATATGCATGATATGTGGTTCTGCTTCTCCCCAGTGGGAGATTGGAATGTTGTTAGGTCGTGGTGTTGTTGCCGAAGAACCGTCTCGGTTCTCGGGTGGTCTGGTTTCCCTCACTCGTTTGCTCTTGTTGTTTTTTTGGGATTTGAATCCCCTTCTTGCTAGTCATTTGAGGAGTGCGCTGCTTGCATACTAAACTACTTGCGTACTGGATGTGTCTTTGTCCGAGTGACTGACTTTTTTTGCTTTTGTGACCTCTCGTAATTAGCTTCGTAGACGGACAAGCCGGACCTGATTCGGCAGTTATGCTAACCCTAATAATATCCTCGAGCCAGGCAAGCCCTCATGCACCTCTTACGTTTTTAATCCCGAATGCTGTAACAACCGGCCCTGTGGATCACTCACAGCCGGGAATCTGAGTTCCGTGGCTTTTCACTTGGTACTTTGTCCGACAAGGTACGACAATAGTACTGGATGATTCCTTCCTACCTTATTTAGTCTCCTCAGCCGCCTCAGCCGCCTTACTTTGCTTACTACTGTACTCAGTAACTAACTTATCATCACCCTTATACATACATACTCTCATCTCCCATTGAGTCTATGATTCCAGGGGAAACAGTAATAAACGCGGCGTCCGAAAGAGGTCAAGGTTGCTTACGCGATGAGTCACGACTGATGACTCGGGATGCCTAACTAACTACAGTATGTGGGGTAATCTCATCCACAGTCTTCACAACCCTATAAATACCCCAGAAATAATCATATCCGGGGTTTGACTCGATATCAATTCCACAAATTCAAAGTTGAAAACTTACAAGCCACCAAAGGCTATCTATATATCGGAAATTTCCGTTTTCTCATCAAAATGACCGAATCCACCCAAATCAAAGCAGACATCAAAAAGGCCTACGATGCCATCGCCCCCAAATACCTGACCTGGACTGAATCCACGCATAAAGTCCGCCTAGGCTACGTGGAAACCCTCCTGAAAAACTTCAATTCCACTTCACCACTCTCAATTTTGGAATTAGGCTGCGGCGCCGGCGTCCCAGTAACCCAACACCTCTCCACCCTCCCAAACACAACCGTCACCGCAAACGACATCTCATCCACGCAAATCAGCCTCGCAAAAACCCACCTCCCACCCTCAGTCACCCTAATCCAGGGCGACATGATGGAGCTCACTTTCTCAAACGAATCCTTTAACGCCGTTTTGGCAATGTATTCGATTTTCCATCTCCCGCGCGAAGAACAAGTTACCATGTTAACGCGGATTTATGCCTGGTTGAAGCCGGGGGGGTTGTTGTTGGCTAATTTTGCGGCGGGGGAGTTTGAGAACGAGTTTGATGCGGCGTGGCTGGGTGGGAAAGACGGGGTTGTGCATTGGAGTGGGTGGGGGGTTGAAGGAACGAGGAGGGTTTTGAAGGAGATTGGGTTTGGGATTGTGATTGATGAGGTTGTGCAGGATGAGGAGCGGGAGATGGATGGGGGGGTTAAGAAGGTTGATTTTCATTGGGTTATGGCTAGGAAGGTGTAGGTATAGAGGATATGGAGGAGCTGAGTTAGGTGGGATATGGGGATGATTTGATAGAGATAGTATAAGGGCGTGAAGTAAAAGTGAAAGCACGATTCCATTAACACCTAATTGATTACCCTGGTCCAATGACCATATCCTATCCTATCCTATCCTATCCTATCCTCATTCTGAAATCTCATCCCCGAACGAGGCTTCGGCCAATATAAACCCACGAAGAAAAAGAGAATAACAGGACAGCACAAGATGGTATTACATTAGAGAAACAAACAACAAGGGACGAAGGGAAGTCAAAGCAGAAAAAGAGGAATGCCCAGTCGTTTTCTTTCGGTTGTGCAGAGTCACACATGTACCCGATTCCATCTCTTAGAATAGAACCTGGGAATCGGAAAGGGAACCGACTGGAGCATGGGGCTCCTGCGGCCCACAGTCCCCCAGGAGCCACACAGGACAAAAAATCGGGGTAACGGCAAGCACGACCAACGGGTGCGGTATCACGACATAGGCAGGAGATCATCAGGTGGACTCAATGCAAGGGTTCGTAGATGGCTGGCTCGGAAAGTGATGGCCAGGGATGGAGAGACATGAATGACGTGACTGACATCCATCCCGGGGTCGACGAATTAAAGAACGGAAATATGATGAAATTCCGTATGCAATGCCAAGACCATCTCCTTCTCGAGCCGGGTGAAACCCTAGCACCGGACAACGCAGACGCAGAAACGAGTGTGGTGTTTGAGAAATTGGAGAGTGGAAGTAAACGGGGATTGAGGTGAAGATCCAGGTCTGAGGCCGAGGTACGAACCGTAGATTTACTCCGATCCTTTCCCTCCATCTCATGCAGCCCTCCAAACTGGGCGAGAAACGAAGCCGTCAAATTCGTGAAGTAGGAAAACAACAAAGGAAACACAAAAATACCGAAATCATTGTGTCGCCTTTACTTAGGAGGCGAGGGGCACCCGCTCCTCCTCGCGGCCGCGTGTCTCGCCATCCACGGTGCTGAGAACGTCCTCGCCGTCATCGTAGCTCGGGTGCTGGTCAGCAGGCAGCCAGGAGTCGCGGTCTCCAGTCATGGGCTGGTCTTGGTGGGATAGGTCGACACCTTCGCCGCTCTTGTTGACGTTGTTACGGTGGCGCTGGGAGAGGGTGCGCGAGCGCTGGGACATGTTGGACTTGACGACCGCCTTGGAGGAGACCCAGTTGCTGAGAGCATCCTCGCAGTCCTGAATGATGGCCTTGCTAGCCTCATAGCCGTCATAAGCGTGGCGGGTCTCACCGGGAGTGACGGGAGTGTCATCGATCAGGTCGAGCAGGTGCTTTCCATAACCGGCGACAATGGCGACCTTCTCGCAGTGCTCGCGGAGCGCATCAAACTGGTACTGGAAGGCGGCCTTGACCTTTTCACGGGTGATATTGGACAGCTGAGCCTCGGCGACGAGAGACTCGGCCTCGGCACGGACGAGCTCCTGCTCCAGCACGACGATGCGCGGCGAGTTGGGATCCTTGTACTTGAGCTTGGCGATCTCATCGGTGATCTTCTGCTTGCGGTCACGGCTGGGCTGGACCGAGGCCTCGATGTTGCGGATGCTCTTGATGGTCACGCGGTATTGGTCGTAGCGGTCAACGAACAGATCCTCAAGCTCACCGATCTCGTAGATAAGAACGCCCAGCTTGTCGGTTACGTCGGAGACATCCTCGTCGGCGGCTTCACCCCAGATGGAGAGTTGTTGCTGTAGGAAAATTCACCGCTTAGTTTCGAACGAGAATTGTGCCTAGCCACTCAATGGCGAGGGAGGTTCATAGGATACATACAGCGACCTCCATGCGCTCCCGTGCGACCAGCTCCATGCTGCGCATGACGTTCTTCTCCATCTTAACCAGCTGCGACAACTTGCGGGCGAGATCAGGGCCGAAAGCACCGGCGGCGTTTTTACGGAATGCATGGCCTGTAAACAGATGTCAGCGATCATTCTGAGACGAGTGATCCCCTCGTTGCTCGCTCTATGTTTCTCAATTGCTGGTTGGGAATCTCTGAGGCAACTGGAGTATGCCCAGTCAGGCTGCTTCGGGCTCCTCGGGACACCCCCTTTGAGAGCAACCAAACCTCGACAACCGTCGAGCTCACGAGGATCACAGTTTGTATGGTATGCCACTCACCAATGCCACCCTTTCCGAGCCACCGGTTCGACTTGGTAGAGGACATAGGTGGTGGGGGGTTCTCGATCTGCGAGGCGGTCGGGGCGCGCGACTGGCGCATAGAATAGGTGCGATGCATGGCGGCGGTAATAGTAGGAACCGATTAGGGGGTTTGGAGTCGAGGAGGAAGGATAAGGAGAGAGATTGATTGAGATTGAGGGTACCTGCAGCCAGCAGAGTTAGGAGTTAAGTGTGAGAAGAAAGAGAAAAAAAAGGAAAAAAGGCGATGGTGCCTTGCGCAGTAGTGACGTGAGCTAAAAGAGGGGGCCGGGGCCATTGGGGAGCTGTTGAAGAGCTTACGGGATGTGACGGAAGAGCACTGCAACCGGAGATCGACAAGGGGTAATAGTCAGGAGATGCAGGAGATGAGAGAGAAATATTTGGTTCACTCTGTTCGTAGTGGTAACTGAGCAGAAGTCGAGGCTAATATCTCCAGCCGGTGACTTTTACTGTGGATGCAGCTGGATGGTCTCCCCTGGTGACGTCGTCAACTTTTGATGGGGGGCACCTTACCCTTTTCGGTGGAGAACTGGGGGGAAATTGGAGAAATTGGAAAGCCACAGACGACGAAGTGGATGAGGTGGATGATGCGGAAGGTGAAATCTTGCAGATCCTATCCAGTAATTGAGAACGATGGAGTCAACAGAGCTTGATGGGAGTAAACTCCAGCTTCGGACACTGGCGGATCCCTTTCAGACTGGACTTGTTGCTGCGCCTCCCAGTTATGAGTTAGCAATTGAGGAATTGAGCAGGCCAGCAAAGCATAAAGCGAGACACTAACCACCAGAACAGTTAGGAAGAAGAGCTCCATGGGGCATTAGTTCATGTAGATCCAATAGCGTCGATTGTGAGATGCATTATTTTGGATGGAAAGGAAAAGCTGCGATCGCCGACGTCATCGTCCCCCTAGGTGCTGATGTCATCGGCGTGCAAGTTGGACGATGCCGCCGATTCAACCATGTCATGATTTGTCTAGCGTTGCATTATTCCTAGGATGAAAATTCTGTCTACTAAATCTAAAAACCTGGGATGGAAAAGCAGGTACTCTAGATGAGAAGAAGAAGAAGAAGAGTCAAAATAACTGATTCATTTTAGACAATCATGCAGTTCCTGAATATCGTGGATCATGGCGGTTGATCGTCAGTGGGGGGAGGAATGCTGGGACACTGCTTATTCGGTGGGGAGTCTGCAAATTAATTATGTAAGATAAGATGCCTTCTACGGTAGTTAGAGTACGTAGAGTGTTAATAATGAAAAAGCTTCGGTGGTACACTAATAGTGGACAGGCGCCGCCAGTCTGGTTCATGTTGATCCATCCATCCATTAGGGAAAAGTGCAGGTGTTCGTACACATTCGTAGATTCGTGACTACTTGGCTATGAAACACACCGAACAAGAGAATTACATACACAATAAATGCCCTCTCATCCTCTCCACCGGTTCATGCAGCCGACGAGTCCACACCCATCTTTCGCTTCTTACTGGCGCCACCCTTGGCACCTTTACTCCCTCGTTTGCCCGAGCTCGAGCCCTCCTCGGCCCGATCCTCGGTGGCTGTATCTGCACCTGCTGGTGCAGCTGCCGGCTCCTCACCACGGGCCTCCTGCCGCAGTCGGCCGAAGGCCTTCTCCATTCGGCTGGGACCACCACTACGTACCCGTGGCGCAAATGCTCCCGCGCCCAGAGGGCCCTGCATGAACTGCGTAATGTTCGACTGTGTGCCTTCCTGCGCCCGACGATTCATGTCTCGAATGACCGGCACCAGGACCTCGTCGGTGCGCTCTTGACTCCAGCCGATGGTCGTCATGAGGAATTGTCGAAGGCCATTGAGGTCTGGCACACCCCATTGGAATTGCGATGGGTCTGCATCGACTTCAGGCTCCAGGTAGGCGGTATCAACCCGGGTGTCGGGGAACGACGGTGGAAGGAAGATCTTTGAGGCTTGTTTACGGAATTTCTTCCGGAAGGCCAGATGCGCATCGTCTGGCTTGTTGACACCCATCTGGAGCTCTGTCCACCACTCTCGAAACTCTTCAAGGCCTGAGAACTCGGTGATGATTTCGAGGGCTTTGACGGGGCCAATACCCGGGATGCCTTCAGTATAATCACTGCCAAGAAGATGTGCAAAGCTGATAAGCTTGCGTCGGTGGAGCGCGTACTCCTTCTCAAAGTCGGACGATAGATAGCATTCCACAAATTTGCTCTGGTTGAACATGTTTTTGTAGACGCGGGTGCCACCGAAAAGGAAAGTATCACTATCGTCGGTGACAATCCCATCCACCAGCCCCAAGGTGACAAGCTCGGCACATTGCGCCTCGGCCTCCATCGGAGCAGTGATATAGGGCAGTCCAAAAAGTCGGAGCAGCTGCTGGCACTCATTGATCATAATCTGTGTCACCTCGTCTGCATCTCGTCGATCTTTCCGTTGTTGATTCCGGAGTTGCTTGAGTTCTTTCTCGTAGTCAACCTGATTGAGAATGACATCCGAGTTGAGGGTTTGCGCGAATCGGACGTGCTCCTCCCCTTCAGCTGCTAGTTGTCGCATGAGGTCTTCATCCTCTGGGTCACTGAAGTCGCCATCGTCTTGGCGGAGAAGATCAGGCGGCGCAAGTTCCTCTTCTGGCTCGGGATATCGATCGGTGACCACAGTAATCTCAGGAGGGCCTGCGGTTGGGACAGGAGCGGGAGAAGGGGGTACGACATCTTCAAACTCGGGTTCGGGAGATGACTCTTCCTGGAAAGATTGATCTGGTACATTGGCCTCTTTCACGTCTTCTTCGATAGTGACTACATGAGGTTCTCCAGCTGTGGCTTTGGCCTCGAGCGCACTATGGATAATCTCATTTTCGACAGACTCTGCAGCCACAGATGGGCGAGGAGGGGACTCTGGTTTCGTTGTTTCTGCTTCTTCCGATAAAATGGCTTCGATAGGCATAGGGGCTTCAGGGATCTTCTCTGAGTCTTCATCTAGATCAATCACTTCCTTGACCTCCGGGGTGTCATCAACCTCGATGATATCTGGTGATCGCCGATTTGAGAGGAACAAGTGATCTTGGTGTGCGTCATTTTGATCCTTGCTGTCGTTCTCGAAAATTGGCTCCGAAATAAATTCTTCACTCAACTTGTCTCCAAAGAACCACGGTGGAAGCGGCTCGGTCTTCTTCTTCTTCTTTTTCGCAGGCTCCTTGACGAAGCCACCAGCATCCTCGTCCAGTTCAGGAGGTTCGTCGGGCTTCTTAGTGGCCTTGTTTAGTGTGATAGATTCGAAAGGAAGCGGTCCAGAGAATGGGTTCTCAATGAGAGACTTCTTCTCGGAAACCTTCGTCTGAGCAACTGCAGCTGAAAAGTCCATGTCGTCGTCACTTTCATCAAAGGTCGGTTCTGGCAAAGGTTCTGGAGCCGTTATAGCCTGCAAAGGCCGGTTAAGAGAAATGTCAGGCATGTCTTCGTCTGCATCTTCGTTGGTCTGCATTGAAAGTGCGAGGGCTCTCGCGAGCTCGTCTTGTTCATCTTCTTCGAATATGTCTGAATCTTGACGCCGGGACTGCGATAGGATATCCTGATCGTCTTGGACGAAAAGCGCATTCTCATCGGCTTTCCGGTTAGAGGCAGTGGGAGGATTTCTGCGTGACTCGAATATTGCTTTTTGCAAGTCTCTATCTTCTTGAGCTTGCTGTAAAGAGGTATCGAAAACTCCCTCTTGAAGGAACGGCAGCTTGGGTAGTCTGTTGACCCCTTCGATAGGCACATCCTCAAACTCGTCATCATCCGACACCTCGTCCGAGTCTGATATAGGGTCCGGCAGGCCATATTGATCTACATCAATAGGCTTGTCTTCCTGTCCCGCATCCTTATTTCCCACAACACCCAAAACCCAGCCACCTTCATTTTGGCTGTCTTTGACTAGGACGTATTCTCGTCCACGCTCGCCAGCGATTCGCTGTCCAGACTTGTAGAAAGCCTCTTCTCCGTTCATACCATTGATGTTCATTAGTCGTTGCGTTAAATCATTTCGTTCCGTGACTCGTTCAATCTGAAACCTTGAGAAGGCCATGCGATCGGGAAACATAGTATCAAGTTGTTCCTTGGAATAACCCATTCTCAGTCGACTCCTAAGCCGGGCTGCATTCAAAATATTGTACCTGTCCGTGGCCGGCAGGCTGAGAAAGAAAGGACTGTCAAAGTCTATTTTAGAAAAGTCGTAGAGGTTGATATCTTGGCCCTGATGGAACTGTCGTGCATATTCCTCCAACTCTTCCTGGGACATAATGCGAGGGTCATTCGGAGCACCCATCTCTTCAAGCGAGACATCCAAGTTCGGCAAGTGGTACTGGTCCTTCTTTTTGAATTTTCGGTTCTTTTGCCTTTCCTGCTCGGTCATGAGAGCCTCGTCCGCATAGACTGGGGCATCAGGCACCACCTCCTCTTCATCTTGGGGACGCTTTTTGTTCCGTCGTCGCGACTCCGCTTCTTCTTCTGCGGTCCGCTGCATTTGCACTGCAAGCAACTTCCCCGCAGTCCTTGTCGCATCTTCTCTTCGACCCTCTCTTCTTTTCTTCCGCGCCGCAATCGTCTGTCGTTTCAACACCGGTGCGCCGCCATCGAAGACGAACACCGGCTTGATTCCAAAGTATAAAAGCTTGCATATCCTTCGAAAGAAGCCGACAATATGTGAGTTACGGAGGGCATTACCCTCCTTGTCGCGCACTGCTTTTAGGAACTGATAAATCCAGATTGACGCGTCAACGGCTAGCCGCTTCTTGTTGAGTGTCTCGAGTTTGATAGGTCGGGCGCAGGGCTGCAACACTGTCCAAAGGCCGGTAACACCCATCTTGGTTTAGATAGTGGGTGACGTTCGACTGGACTCGAGCACTGTGAGCAAGCTCGCTGAAGGCTCACCGAGGTGAGGCTCATAGGGTTCGAGTCGTTGCGGCGGAATGCGAATTACGTCAGTTTTCTGCTTCGGGCACGTTGAGATGCGCGTTATCACGTGATCTATCTTCCTCTATTTGGGTTAGTGCGCGCATCGAAATTAGGTAAGCATTTGATTGTGGAAGGCACACTTCGACAATGTGCGTCTACCCAAAAGAAATATAAACTGACATTGATTCAGTGAGGAGAGAGTAAGAGTGTCAAATTTCACTACGCCGTGGAGTCTGGGGAGATGCCAGTCTCTCTTGAGGTCAGTGCCCGCATATATGGGGATCTTCAGTGTATGGGTTATCTTGCTGACTCAAAAATTGGCAGCATGTGGATGCATGTCTCCCAATATCAGCCTTGAAGGTGTTTCAATGCTACGAGCGTGCTTTCATTCTTGAAGGGCAGGGGCCATATTTTCGAGTGGTCGATGACCAGAGTGGCAACGTCTCTGCTCATGTCCAGGCATTCAAACGCAACCATGTTCATGGCTTTATCAACTTTCCTTGCCCGCAGAAAAGCGAAGATGACTTATACTGCAGGAAAATTATGGTTTGGGGTGGTAAATCGCTGAGAGTCATCAAAATTTCCATTGATCGAAACTATGGAGTCACATTAGCAGTGTCCAGTGCTGAATTCCTCACCCCAGACTGGCTTATGAGCGGTTGCGCTGCTGTTGCAGGACAGCCCAACACAGCTTTCCTCATCACTGCAAACAATGCGCTCCTAATGGCCAAAGTTGAAGACGGCTACTATGCGCAGTATAGCAAGAGAATCTGCATTTATCAGCTCGTAACGAGTGTAAAGTGCATTTTGTACGCTGCTGACATCGTGGCTCTTTCGCCTTCTCATGTCCTGATTGCTTCGGGAACCGCCTTTGGCGAGATTGTGGTTTGGTCTTGTTTTATAATTGAAAACGAGCCAAGTCAGCTCAAGGCAGTTGGTTCTATTCATCACTACTTCACTGGTCACGATGGGTCTGTATTTGGAGTGCGAATCTTTCCAAATATCTCATCTTTGAACGGCGGTCGCTCTGGCAGGTTGCTGGCAAGCTGCAGTGATGACCGGACTGTGAGAATCTGGGACATAACCGATTGCGAGACAAAATCTCCCAAGGACCCATCTGCCTACTCCACAGATGGCTTTGAGCTCCGAAGCACTGGATATGGCAGCGGTCTTGGAACCGAGGCATGTGTTGCGAAGGCTTTTGGTCATGCTGCTCGTATCTGGAATGTTATTCCATGCCCAGCTGAGGAAGATAATCCAAACACCCTAGGTCTAGTCTCTCGAGGTGAGGATCGGACCTGTGTAGTGTGGGAACTCAGCTGGGAGACGCCATCTTCTGGTACCACAAAGTATCAGCTTCGGGAGATGTCCTCAGCTCAACCTCATTTGGGACGACACATCTGGGCTTTTGATCTCTGTGAGCATGGTGTAGAGACGATAGTCTATACTGGCGGTGCTGATGGGGCTTTGAAAAGTTTCAAAGTCAGGAAACATGTGTTCTCTCCGTCGCAGTACAATACTCCGGGCCAAAATAATCCTACAAGCCAGAAGAAAATTTCCGACCCTGATGCGCCTAGAACAATCGATTTCGTCTCTCCGGACTGTCTGATTGCTTGCTCTCTGCGCAGCGAGCTCCGTCTTGGACACGTGAGCCCAACGGACAACGCGAAAGTTACGTGGGAGACGCTTTGTACTGCAGAAGATCTCCGGTCATACTCGCTGATTACTGGGATTCCAACTCAGCGACTAGCTTTGATTGCCAACTCGCAAGGATTGGTCAGGCTCTACAGTCACAGCACGAGATCGGTCATTGATTTGGTGAATCTAGGCAAGCGTCCTCGGAGTATTCTGATTGCCCACGAACAGGCGCTGTCTGATCACATTTCAATTATTGTTCACTACTACGCTGGTGAAGAAGCCACTTTGATGACTGTCACAGGCTGGGAAACCAGTTGCCCACAAGCTGAGGTGCGACCCTTCAGTTTACCGAAAGCGCCATATATCGTGACTGCGGCCGCTTTGTTGTACAATGGCAAGTATTTGCTACTTGGGTCCGAGCTTGGAGGTCTGGCAGTGTACCAGACTGCAGGTCTTGGTCTTTCTTCCAAGCCATTGGTAGACAAAAGGCGAATCCATGGCCACGAGGGCACCACCTCTATTCGGGCTGTGAAGCCAGCCGCCGGAGAGCAGGAATACATTTTAACATGTGGACGTGATGGCAATTACTGTTACCATGAACTACAGGTGAGAGAAAGTGAAAGCGTTACTGTCTCACTCGAAACACTCGATCAGACCTCTTCGGGTCTCGGCCAAGACCTTTGGGGTGTGTACCTAGAAGAGGTAACTGGTGATCTCATGGTATACGGGTTTCGATCGCAGAACTTTGTCCTGCGAAACGAGACAATACAACAAGATGTCATCTCCATCGCCTCAGGCGGCGCTCGCAGGGTCTGGTCATACCAGCCCGGTACGGAAACCAGCAAGCCCCTGCTGGCTTGGCTCGAGAAACCCAATCTGCAAGTGATGCGCATTCAAACCGACGCCAACCGTTCTATTCGGGCTGGTGGGCATGGACGAGAAATCAGGACTATGGACGGAATGAGCGCTGTCCAAGGGAGAGGATCATACTTTGCTACTGGAGCAGAGGATACCATCGTACGCATATTTGCGGCATCGAGCCAAGCAAATGAAGGCCCATGGGGCTCATTCAAGTGTCTGCGCATTTTGGACAAGCATCGGTCAGGGATTCAACAAGTAAGCTGGTCAAAAGATGGCCGATACCTTTTCACCAGTGCTGGACAAGAGGAGGTTTTTGTATGGGGAATTACCTGGCTTCCTTCCTGTGACATCTCCGTGAAAATGGTAGCCGATTGTCCGAAGAGTGACCCAGACTCCGAGATGCGGATAACAAGTTTCGATTTGGTCGAAGTGGAAGAATCTCATGCTGGAAAGGGGTTCCTTCTCTGCTTGACACTGTCCAACTCAACTATCAGGGTATGACCATCTCCTTTCACCTAACTATAGATTATTAACTGGAAGTAGATCTTCCACTTCTCGCCCTCTGAACTATTCCGATTTACCCTGTTGGCTCAGGGGACGTACATGACGAACTGCCTGACCCAAACAAAACTTTGGGTGAAGGATTCCTCGGTGAATCTCATAACAGCCGCAACAGATGGCTACTTCACCCTCTGGGACTTGACCGACACACTCGAATCATTCTATGACATCTCGTCATCTATTCTCAAAGCGAAACGGTCGTTTGAAGGTTCTTCTATCATACCTGAGGATATCGCCTGTGAAAGCAGATATCGAGTCCACTCCAATAGCACCAAAGCAATGGAACTGGTGCCTCTTTCAGATACGGCCGCCGTCATTGTGACTGCAAGCGATGACTGCTCAATAAACGTGTCACTTTTGAGGACCCGCTCCGCGGATCCTGATGCCGATGAGATCGGCGTCAACGCGTGTGTGTCGACCGTCTCCATTCCAGACGCTCATGCAGCATCAGTGACAGCCCTGAAAATTCTTCGCCAAGAGGTTTCAGCCACTGCCTCCGGGCTACCCGTCTCAAGGCTGACCTTTGTGACTTCTGGCAATGACCATCGGTTGAAGCTATGGTCTATCACAGTGGATCCCACAAAACAGGGCACAGAAGGAATGATTGTGGAATTTTTGTTGGATAGATACAGTGCCGTGGCTGATATCGCCTCTCTGGGGTTCCTGCCAGAACTCGATTCTCAGTCAGGAAAAACACAAGGAAAGCTACTCGTCGGTGGTGCTGGGATGGAAATGTTGGAGGCCAGATTGATGTGAGGCCTGAACTTCATGATGTCACGTAATCCTTGCTTGTACATAGGTAGGAAAAGCATGAAACCCGAACATAATCAATGTTGTGGCGCTGGCCTCATTTGCAAATTCTTCATCGTTCTAGTCGTAAGCTGTGGCTCACGAGATGAAGCCCTTCCTCCTTCACCTTAGCCCAAGCCCCGTGCCTAGAAAGGCAACATTCCGCCTCCTCAATAAGGTTGATGAAGAAGTGGCGTTTAAATGAAGATTATGGATGTCATAAGTAATACTAAAAAAGGGCGGAGGTTGCCCCGAAGAGCATAAGATCTAGAACCCCGCAGTGTGCGGAGTAATTTCTTCCTTCCAGTAAAGCTTGCCTAATGACGCAGAATGTATACGAGCCAGTTTATTGCAGACGAGCATCAATTGCGGATACTTAATTGGCACCGGACGAAGGGAATACTTCTAGGAGCTTTCTCTTTTGTGAGATCCACCTTCAAGCCCCGTTTCCCTTTTAGTCCTCACCCAACGCCGCCTTTAGAGGTTGGGATCGTGGGGGGCAACTTGTGTAAGCATAAGCACGTATTCATGAGCGTTGAGTGTTGTATAGATAAGCGCGCCTTATTGAGTTAGGGCTGCCTGACACATTGAAAGAAGCGTTATATCGTCCTTGCACTTTTTGCTGAGGTGTGGATGCAGGACACGGGACTCTGTCAGACTTAGTACATATTTCTCAGTCCAGACTATGAGTGTCAGTTGAATCACCTGTGACAAGAAAGGGTAAGATAGGGTTAAGTCGACTAGTAGCAGACTACAGAATAGCATAGTGGTCCTAATTTTACCCACTGGTTCCTAGCCTTCTGCGACTCTCAACGAACTGCGAGAAAGCACTAACCAAGGTCCTCATCGTATTCCGGTAGCGAAAACACAGAAAGATTCTCATCTCGGGAAGCAAATTGCCGATATCCCGTAGCCCTCGACTGAAGAGGTTGCTGGGCTCCCCGGCCAGTCAGCGACCATAAAATCTACCCCGGTGGCGGCAAAGATCGCGCTGCCGACGTGCTAAATTAGCGACTTTTTGCCTGTCACATAAGGCTCTGATTAGTATCGAAGGAAGGAACGCAAAGTAGTAGAGCAGGCAACAGAAACTCACTTTCTCTCATCACTCCTCCGCCCCATCTTACCTCCCTCAGGCTCGGGCATTGTCCACGCGAAAAGGCGTCTGCGAGGCCCTGGACTAGACGTTCCTCCCGTGAAGGGCGATCATTTCGGACCGTAGATGCTAAATGAAGGGACCTGATATTTGGGGGTAGAATCTGAACCCCAAGTTCCGGGTCGTCAAGGGGATCCCGTGCCCCAAGCCGGGCATGGATTTCATCCATATTGAGAAACAAATGGTGCAATACACGAAATTCTCGAAAGCTTATGACCGGTCCGGGATTAGAGACATTCTCGAAATCCCATTTATGCCGACTATCGAGATGGATAGTTTCGAGGGTGGCCCGGTGTCACGGCGTCGCCTATCTGCACGCCCTTACCGCGTACATTCGGCCGGTGGGAGCCGCGGACTGATTCGTAGTGAGTGTGACGCAACTTTTGACAAGCCCATAGAATGTTTTTCAAGTCCAACTTGCCAAGGTCGGTATACGTAAAACGTAGCGTAGGGAGCTGAGAAAGAGGCGGAAACGGTGTGGGCCGACTCCAGAGACTCTCGCACATGTGCAGATTGAGGGTCTCTAAAGAGGGTCAGGCTGCCCACAGGTCACGAGCATCCTCATCTAGGCGAAGCAGCCGTCTATATAAGACGGCGAAGCTCCAAAGCAAATGTCGATTGTTTCGATAGGCAGTTGGGAGACTCGGGCGGCGCGGAGCCCGGCAGAGCCTAGGATTGAATGGACAGGTAGACCGATATGCAGGCTGAGATGTTCCAAATTTGGGAGATCTGTCATCAAGCCAGCCAGTAGATCGCCGACGGAAAGAGAGCGTAGGGCGTCGCGCTCTAGTGCCTGTGCAACCTCTCGGAGGGTATTTTGCCCTTTTTTCTGAGTAATCGGTTCCGTAAAATTGTGCGTAGCCAAAGTCGCGTATCAGATGCGGGTGAATGTAGATTTGCTTGACAAGGGAGGCAAGATCGCGTCTGTGGGTCACGGTGCGCATGAACGCGGTCAGACGACGGTCCCAGGTGTAATGTCTATACCATCGTGGTTCGCCATGCCCCAGCATGAACTCTTGGGATAAGATTGGTTCCACCACTTGCCGCAAATGCCGGGACACCAGGCACAGATTGCGCATTAAGTGACGCTCCTTGGGATACGAGAGAGTCTGCTGGTCCCCTGGTGCATATGGTTGTTGGACAAACAAAACAGGGGTTCAGACAGTGGGCGCCTGCGCGTACGCATCCCTAAATGACCCAAGATCATATGCAGGAGCTCCAGTGGAAGAGTCTCCAGGCTGACAGAAGCCACCGTTGTGGAAAATCCCTGTCGGGTGTGGTGGCCGAGTGTGCTTTTGGAAGGGTGGCGGAGGATACTCCCATCAGTCTGTCCTGACTGGTGTTTGTGTTGTGGCCATGCAAATATCTGTGATTCTCTTCTCCGGTCAATCTGAGTTGTTGATGGAAAGAGGAGCTTGCCATCACCCGCCTACGAAAACCCGCCCCAAACGGGTACCATAGCATCCCAAAGGGGAAGTGTCGGCGAGCACAAGATTACGCGATATCTTTAGTTTATTTTTTAAGTATCTTTAGATGGTGATACAGGCACAGAAGATTATATACGATCGTTTCATCTCGCCAATCATGGCTATTGATGTACATTGTTGCGTGGGTTGTTACACACAGTATTATGTACAGCTAGAATCGATTGAGCAGTTTGACCGCAAAATCATTAGAAGGCAGAGAGCACTTACCACGGAAAAATGTACACATTTGAAGTAAGTAAATCGGATTATACCCCGCAGTGTGAAGTATTGCTGGCAGGGATTCCCCGCATGAATTCTTCAGATGAGCACCTTAGCTCGCATTAAAGCGGCGACACCTCCCGATTAGGAACGGGCCCGTTTCGTATAGGTCCATAGGTCCATAGGGGTCTATACCTATCATGTTTAGGTTATCTGGCATCACATACGGGTACTTTAAAGGTGCCCCTTCCCCTCGACCAGTTTTCTCGAGGGTCAAGCAAATTTTGACTACAAGATGAAGCACTCTGTCTTTTCTCTGCTCATGGGGATCGCAGCTGTTGCTGCAGTGCCAACACACGGGCATCGGCGCTCATCGCCAACTTATTTCTTCACTTTGTAAAAAAAAAACTACAGATAATACACCGAATTATCCTGAAAGGAAATAATACTAATCAAAGTCTCAGTGGCGACTCTTACTCGATGACTAGTTTCAATGTTGAAGGTACACAGCCATCAGCTTCAAATCCCATGGGGAATCCTACACTTGGTACGTTTCTCATCAGTACTGGATTACTTGACCCGGTTTTTTGACTTCTACAAAGGAACGGGAGCTACTGGAGGCGGCATCAATTGGATTGGATACTTGACGACTACGGATAACCCCTCTCTCGTCCTAAGCTACAACTTGGCTATAGGTGGTGCAACCATTGACAACGCTATTCTCAATTCTGGATATCCGGACATGACCGGTCAAGTTGCCACCTTCCAAAGCAACTACAGCAGCAAGCCCGCTTCTGCACCTTGGTCTTCTTCCGATTCCGTCTTTGGCTTTTGGATTGGGATCAATGAGTAAGGCTTCCTGAAAATATTGAGAGAAAGTGTTACCCATACTTATCAGTTGTTTCTAGTGTTGGCTGGGGCTTCGGAGGTTACGATGCCAGCGTTCTCGTACCAACACTCATGGCCCAGTACAAGTCTCTTGTCGAGGAAATATATGCAGACGGTGGGCGCCGATTCCTCTTCGTAAATGTTCCCCCGGCGAGTCGGAGTCCATATATTCTCGACCAAGGGGCAAGTGTGTCACAAAAGCATGCCACCTGGACGACTGCGTATAATAAAGGTCTTGCCTCGATGCGTGCCGAGTTCGAGGATGCTCATGATGATGTGGGTATCCATCAAATTCGATCCTTAGTACACAACTAACCGCATGTAGGTTGAGACTGTTCTCTATGACTCTTGGACTTTCATGACAAAGATCTTGAATAGCCCCACGAAATATGGATATACAAACGCCACTTGTATCAATGACGATGGGGAGAGCTGTGTGTGGTGGAATAACTACCACCCAGGGCAGAAGTACCATAGATTGCAGGCGGCCGATATGAAGAGGATCCTACATCGCTTTGGGGCGTGGTAGCTTGATGTCATGGAAGTCATGTATTGATCTGCAGTCATTTAGCAAGCGAAGAGAAAATTATTCTCGGCTCCTTCGGCAGAAGAATCAAATGCTTCAGATATGTTATTTGTTATTATGCATCGGTGTAAATTGTTCCAGGTGGAGATCGCTCCTGTTTCAGGTGCGACGTCCTATTCGGGTACCTGATACATTTGAAACTCAATCTCAATCAAGTTCCACCGACTCCTGCTGCCATCAATTTTTAGCTACCGTGATCTCGTCTCCAGAATCTCAAAACAAATCGCGGCATCTTCTTGATAGGGTAAACTATGCCGCTTTGCCCCGCGCCCCCGCGTCGATCGATTCCCGAAGCGCCACGGGAGTCTCTAAACCAGCCTTCCATGAGCTAATTCGTGCTGCAACTCAAGCCACCAGTGCCTGAAGAATGTGGGGAAGAGTCCTGCATAATAGTTTGACTCACTTCTTATGAGATAATATGTACGGAGTAGTGATGGAGTGACGGAGTGACGGTCCCACTAACATCAAGTTATGGGCAAAGTCGTCGCAACGCATACGTCCATGATCATCGTGTACGTCTGGGCGACTTGGCAAGCTCCGTTTCATGATTGGATCCGGCAACACACGGCCATCTTTCTCCATATAGTAAGCAGCAGGAAAGTGGAGCGATCTTGGCTCTTCCCTTTGGTGGGGAATACCGGCCATGGAGAATCCCCATGAAACGTCCTGGTAGTGATAGACACTCGATATTTCCAATTCCTGCCTTAAGACAAGCCTGAACAATGTCGACGGGATGGGTGCCGTTTTGTACGTTCTGCACTCCGTGTCCAATTCTTTCTGTTATTCGGAGAGAAGACGGAATCGTTCGCTTGGCCTTAGTCGCATTCGGATAGGGGAGTTTCGCACAAAAGTCTTATAAGATATAAAACCAGCATGCTGTCCCGGCCCTGAGGAACTTGGTCAACGCCTACTTCACAGCCCGGTTCAATCTACACTCTTGTCACTTGGATCTTCCACCAACATCACCGATATGAGACTGAATAACATTATACTGTTGGCTGCCGCGGCAGGATCTGCGGTGGCATCTCCCTTCAAACATGCAAAGAGAGCCTCTTCTTTTGAGTGTATGTATAATCGTGGTTTCTCAACGCTTCAGGGATGATTGACACTCATGGACCGCAGGGTTCGGAGCAAGCGAATCTGGTGCAGAATTCGGGGAGGGCAATCTCCCTGGTGTCTGGGTGAGTAGACACAGTCAATCAGTGAGATTTCTTGATTTGAATGTGAAAAACTGATGGGCAGTTTGAAGGGAACCGACTATATTTTCCCGGATACTGGTACTATCCAAACACTGATCGGTGATGGCATGAACATATTCCGAGTTCAGTTCCTTATGGAACGACTGACTCCCAACGGCATGACGGGATCCTTTGACAGCGATTATTTAAAGAATTTGACAACGGTGAGAGCCATGTACTGTGCGATTGTTGATGTTGAGGCTGATACCAATAGGTGGTGAACTATATCACTCAAGCCGGCGCTCATGCTGTCCTTGACCCTCACAACTATGGGAGATTGTAAGGCCTTCTTTTCGATTGGTCTGCTAACTCCGCTATACTAACAACTTGGGCAGCAATGGTGCGATTATCTCGAGTACCTCGGACTTCGAGACTTTCTGGACGAATGTGGCTGGGCAGTTCAAATCTAATGATCTGGTCATTTTTGATACGAGTGGGTATACTCAATAGATCTTGATGCAAAATAATCACTAATGCCTTTGATTCAGACAATGAGTACCATGACATGGATCAAACCTTGGTGCTCAACCTCAACCAAGCAGCCATCGATGGCATCCGCGCTGCGGGCGCAACATCGCAGTACATCTTTGTCGAAGGCAACTCATACACAGGTGCCTGGACCTGGACCACAGTGAACGACAACTTGAAAGCCTTGACAGACCCACAAGACAAGATTGTCTATGAGATGCACCAGTACCTCGACTCTGACGGGTCCGGCACCAGCGAGACATGCGTCTCAACCACGATCGGCAAAGAGCGAGTCACCGACGCAACACAGTGGCTCATTGACAATGGTAAGGTCGGTGTCCTGGGCGAGTTCGCCGGCGGTGTCAATGACCAGTGCAAGACTGCTATTACTGGTATGCTGGACTATCTCGCTGAGAACTCGAATGTATGGAAGGGTGCTATGTGGTGGGCAGCTGGGCCTTGGTGGGGAACGTATATCTACAGCATGGAGCCTCCAAGTGGTGCTGGTTATACTGGTATGCTGTCGACTTTGAAGCCGTACTTTGCGTGAGTGTGGTTGATCATATGGATTTTCTATGTGGATATGTATATCTGTCAAGCCTAAGTATATATATCCGGACCGGAGGCCTGAGAATGAGTAGGAATGTAAGGAATCATTTTTGAAAAATTATGCTGAATAGCTTTGTAGAACATTGATAGCAAGGGAACAAGTATTTTCACTGTTGTCTCCTAGGATAAGAAAGGGATACTTATTCTTCGGTTTGGAGACAGCATGACAAGGATCCAAATTAGGATGAGCGGAGCGACCGACACATCAAGTCTTGGCAACAATGCAACCCGACAGGAGTCTCCGTCATCGCCTCTGGCTAGTGCGAGCGCACCCATCCCAAATTCGACAGAGCAAATCTGCATATCCCTAGACACCAGGCAGCGGCATACCTTACTTTAGATTCAATCTAGATTGTCTACACTGGAACAATTTCATCAGCAGAGAGCTATCTAAGCCCCAGAAAACTTAATCTTGAAACATAAATATAGAAATCAGGGACACCGGGAGTGGATAAACTTCGGACTATGAACATGGGAACTGCCTAGATCAAGCAATAAGAATACGACTATACTCATAAAGACTAGAGCAATTCTGCGAAGGGCACAGTGTGGTGGAGACTGCGCCCGTTGTGTGCGGAAAACGGCATCTCTGCCAAGCGTGAAATGAGGAAGCCTAGGCTAGATTCTGGCTAGATACGAGATTGCGCAGGGCTGAGGGTTGCTTACTAGGGTCATTCAAGTCATTAGCTAGAGGAGATATTACTCCGTACCAGTGTACGGAGTACGGAGAACATAGCGGACATGAGAAAAGTCGGACGGTCCACAGGGCTGGAGGATGACGAGGCTTGGACAGGGTGGGTTGCTTCATTTGGGCGGGTGGTATGGCGATCCTGCGCTCGACCGTGGGACATGAAATTTTCGGGTAAAGATTACGATGAGAGTTTGGTCGGCCAGGGGGAATTTCCAGAGGAGGAGATACTTTGGATGAGATTTGATTCGTTGCTATTGTGTTTTGATGTTGGTTTGGTTGGATGATTCTACTAAGATATTTGGTTCAAAACCTTCTATCATTACAATCATCATCAAAAAGACTCAATAGATTAACACTCTGACTGCCTGATGACGATGATGTTGGGAGGGCAACCTTGATTACCCAATTGGGTTTAGCGTTGACACGAATAGAAACAAACGTGGCGTGGCCCAAAGTGGGTCTCAGTTATGCTTGATTCTGATTGGCTCGTATCGCTTTCCTGCGCCTCTAACCTACCGCACCAGGGAGGCTGGAGACTGGAGTCGTCGTTGCCAGTGTGGGTGTGTTGCCAAGTTGAACGAGGCTGTACACCCCCCAGTACTGCGGTATTCACCGTCCCAAGTGCCGATCATGAAAATGATAAAAACCACCGACCTCCCCCATTTCCAACCTTTCTCTTCTTCATCCGACCTTCCATCCGTCACCCTCTCCCCACCCATCTCTACCCAATTGACAACCATCCAAATCAATTCACAATGGGCAAAGCCGGTCGTGTCGCGTGTATCTTCACGCCTTATGTGCTTACGATCGCCTCGCTGATCTGTATTATCATGGTTGGCTTGGGCTGTACCAAGTCCAGCTCTGATACTTTGAACAACCTTTATTTCATGCGGGTAAGTTCTCTCAATAATTTCTCACCGGTACCTCGCGAGCCTGCCACTAACGATATGACGGGACGTTTATAGATTGACCTCCAAAATATCACCAGCGAGGGATCTGAAACAGTAACCGAGATTGAAAACCTACTTGAACAATACGGAATTACCGATGTCAGCGCGCAGAATGTCTCCAATGTCCTCTCCAAACTTCAGCAGGACAGCACACTCGCGGACTTCTACCAGATCGGTCTCTGGGGATATTGCGATGGTGACATCAACAACAAGAAGACGAACGTTACGGAGTGCTCCAAGCCCAAGAGCGAGTTCTACTTCAACCCCTTCTCCGTCTGGGGCTTGGACTCCTCTGATATTAAGGACGAGCTGCCCAGCGAGTACAACAAGGTCATGAACATCTACAAGACTGTCTCCAAGTGGATGTTCATCGCCTACCTGGTCGCCTTCATCGTCACCATCGTCGAGATCGTGGTTGGTTTCTTCGCTATCTGCAGTCGCTGGGGTAGCTGTGTCACCACTCTCTTCGCTCTCCTCGCCTTCCTCTTCACCGCCGCCGCCTCGATCACCTCGACCGTCCTCTTCTCCATCTTCAAGTCTTCCCTTGGCACAACTCTCAAAGCCTACGGAATCAGCCTCTCCATGGGCAAGAACATCTACGTTGCTACCTGGTTGGCCGTTGCCTTCTCTCTCGGCGCTCTGATCTTCTGGACCTTCAGCGTCTGCTGCTGCTCCGGTCGCTCGCCATACGGCCACCGCAACAACAACAACACTCGCGGCATCACCGCCGAAAAGGCCCCCTACACCTACGAGCCTCTCGGTGCTGGTCAGGTCCCCTACGGCCACCAGCAGCCTACCTCCTACCCAGCTCCCGCTGCTCACGGCGGCCAGTACCCCATGACCACCACCAACCAGCGCTCGAACGCCTACGAGCCCTTCCGCCACTCCTAAGCTAAGCGCAAAGCGACTTGCTTCAAAATCTCTTATCATGTCTTTTTGTATACAACACTCGTGAAGCGTTCTTAAGACTCGGATACCGCGGCGTTCGGGCTCGTGTGACTTCTGGTTATATGGGCTTGGTCTTTTGCATGATTTTTTCTAACGACTACTTTCCTTCTTTCTCTGTGATGACTTGAATGATTATCAGCAATATTGCCGATGGCCCTGCATACGTTACATATCATACCTCACGAAAATTTTATTCCAAAATATATGATCAACCCGGATTTCAAGATTTCCAGCGTAAAAGGCGTAAAAAGCGTAAAAAGCGTAAAAAGCGAGAACAGCGTAACTCGCCGCTCTCAATTTCTGGGTTACTAAACATTCTTCCGCAACCCCATCGTGGAACAATAGTACTCTCATACAAAGTTCAATAGTGAGATATCAAATTCAATAATTCGCCTGGAGCACCCGTTATACCGTCTCGCTCCACAATGGATCTCACTAATTTAAAGTCGACCGCGAGTATCAACTCGCTTCCGATATGGCGCAGCCTTGTACAATAGACACGCTACTTGTTACAGAAATTGCCAGACTGCTGACGAGGCACGGTGTTTGTGATATTGAATACAACGTGGTAAATGTACATGAATTACTGGAAAGAAATTCCACTGGATAGTTCTGGAAGAATTAAAGTGCAAACCGAAAGCCATATCATGACCCTAATAGCGTCGCCGGCATCGCATTAGGTGCCATTTGAGCTCTTTCCCGATAAAGAAGTCCACGTGAGGTTCGATGCCCTAACACCATCGATTAACGATGTGTTGGCCGACGAATGACTCCTTTTTCATCCAGGAGAATCTTAGCTCCCCCGCGACGCCGTCGCTCGCTCAGCACGTTCTGGTCGGCTTCGGCCCAGGTCTTGAATGGGGTCGTGGGGTGATCGGACCAAACAGGCTCATTCCTGGACCAGATATGCCGCATCGAAACAAACCAGTTCTCTCCTTCTTCTTTTTCTTCTTCTTGCTGCTCGTCTTCGCTCTCGGGTTGTGTTTCAGGGACGTCGTCAGCATGTGACTGGGAGGTAGCTGAGATAAATGTGTCATCCCCGAGTTCAACACTGGCAGTCTCGTGACGGGTGTCATCGGGGTCGAATTCCTCATTGTCCGTTTCTTCAACTTCGGCCATACTAATATCGCCCCTTTCGTCTTGGAATTTTGCGCTTTGAGAGCCTGCAGGATGAGCATCAGCCTGTTCGGCTTGGACACTTGCGCTTTGACTGTCTGTGGGATGAACATCGTCCTGTTCGACTGCGACTTGACTGTATGTGGGATGAACATCGTCTTGTTCGTCTTGGAAGACTGCACTTTGACTATCCGTGGAATGACTCTCAGCGGTATCTGGCTGAGGGTTGTAGAGAGCGGGATTATCATTGAGTGAACTCATGGGCGCTGTCTGTGTACACAGTATCTCATCTGGATCCACTTCGTCGGAGCCTTCAAGTTTGATGAGTACAGATGAAGAGCCGGTGTCCATCGAAGATGTTGCGTGGTTGTCCAGCGCAGGGAGACCAGAATGGAAGACCGGGAGACCGTGGTTGACAGGTTCATCAAAAGAATGGGCGTGGAAGTTGGAAAATTTGTCCACGAAGCTTGTTGCGAGTGAGGTGTTCATGCCGTCTCCGGTCTGAGAAGGAGGATCCAGCAGGTTGCTAGCCTGTGTAGGTGTAACTTCAGGCAGGGAGTATTGGGGTGCTGCCTCGGTCTGAGAGGGAGGATGCATCTGGCTGCTAGCCTGTGTAGGCGTCACTTCTCGCGGAGCGAACTGGGATGCAACGACCTCGATGGTATAACCCAACAGACTGCGTTTCCTATTCACTGACTTTGAGAAATTCGAGGTGAAATAATTCTCATAGCTCTGTGGTTCAGTAGATGTTTGGGACGTGCAGCTGTCCAGATAGGAAGGATACTGCTGAAGGTGCATGATAATAAAATCATCCCACAGGTTGGACCGGTGTAGCAAGCCTTGGGCTCGGACAGCCTGTAGTTTTGAGCAGAGCTCGGTGAAATGGCCGTAATCACCGGTGTAGCCAGGGTAGTCGTTGCAGAACTTTTTGTATACTTCTTGCGCCTCAACTGATTTTTCTAGATCACCGATGAAGCCTGACCGCCGGGCAACTAGTTCAGCACTCTGCGTGGCGGGAGCCTCTGGAGGAATCTGTTGTGGATTTTCTGTCATTTCTAGAGGGCCCTTAGACGGAGACTGGTATGTGCTGGCGGCTGAAGAGTCGAACAGCGACAAGTGCGATGAACTCATTGGCTCGTTAATTGAGAGCTGAGTCATAGGCTCTTGAGTTGGGTCGTGAAGCTGCGAAAAGCTCATGTCTGCAGAGCTCGCGAATGGGTGATTCGACGGCTCAGCGGGGGGATTTGAATCCAGACGAGGACCGTCGTGGTGGCACTGGCTGGGCTCCGAAGACTCGAGCACGACTTCGTGCGCTGAAGGGTCATATGTGCCTTGTGATTGGTAGTTTGTGCCACTGGACTGAGTCTGAGGCACGGCGATTTCCGCTTGAGACGCATAAACTTCCGAACGAAGTGAGGATGAAGTTGTTGGGCCATCAGATGACAGACTCTTCTCATGGCTACCCGGGTAAGGGTATGTGTTCGGAACTCTAGATTGCGAATAATGTTTGTTGCTTTGAGAGGAGAACTGCAGGTGCGGAGAGTCGGGTTTTGCCTGATCGTTGCCTAGATTGCCTTGTGGTCGACTGTTCCCCACCAGAGGAGTCACAGCGACCTGAACATTATCTATGACGGACTGAGAAAGGGGTTGAGCCTCGCTTCGAACATCTTCCTCGGCCTGACCACATTGTGTAGGCGGCAAGCTTTCGCCCAAAGCGAAAGGAACCGAATTTTCCATTATTGAGTCCTCATCACTAGCATCTTCAGATTGCATATCATCATCGGCTTGTTCATCAACAGACTCTGACACGTCGGAGTTTGTGGATGATCCTTCCTCGGAAACAGATGGGGCCTGATCTAACCTTGGGCCCTCGAGATCAGCAGAGGAACCTTGCATCTCTACATGGCCAGAACCATCCAGGTCTTTCGCCCTGCCTTCGGTTGAGTCCATCGAAGGATCCAAGTTCGATTTCCCACGCCTAGCTGAGGTAGTAGCCCCCGGAACCGAGGTCTCAGGCGCGGTCAGTTGACCAGTAACTTGCATCAGAGGCTGCGAGTTCTCTTGCGACTGAGTGGTTTGGGGCAAATCATCACGACTTTTTCTTTGGCTGCTGGCCTTGGGAGTTGGCTCTCTTCGTAATGACATCGGTTGCCGTATGGGGCTGCTTTCTGGTGGCAGATTTTGATGTCCCCCGACTGGGGAGCTGCCATCCCACGGGTAATTATCCTCTGGCTCACTTTCGGCTGATTCGCTTGCAGTGGATAGAATTGATTCTTGGCTCGAGGCTGGAGTTGCGGGCCTTTCTTCTTTTCGTATGTTATCCGGGTCTTCATGGCTGAGTTCATGCCTCTGCCGAGCAATGTGGTTCCACTGCTTAAGAAGCCAAGGTGGCACATGTCCACGAGGTTCAGGATTGCCCGGAATTGGCGGAATCCAGCAAAGATCTTGGTCCAGGAGTTCGGCCTGGTCCTTGGGAATATTGACATCACTCGCACGGATTGCGGAGAGCCCTTGCCATGGGTTTGTTCGAACTGACGGCTGATCAATTGCAGATTTGAGATTCGGCTCAGCTCCTTGATTCCTCTTGGAATGAGATACTTCGACTGCCCGCTGATCAGAAGAGACCGCTCCTGGTGACTTATCCTGGGTAGTCTCTTCAATTCGCTGCATTTTCCTGGATGGGGAGCCCAGTTTGACCCCTTGAGTTGGTCGACGAGAGTAACTATCATCGGAAGCAACTTCGGATTGGACTTCCGCACTCTCACGATGTCGTTTTCGGGAAGGCGAGCGACTGGCGTTTTTGGAAGGGAGCTGAGTGTTAGCAATCTCGCCTGGGTTCAGCAAAGGAGATGTTGGTCCTTGCTGAGCTTTTTGCGGAGATCGCTTTGCTAATTGAGGGCTGCACACCTCTAGGCTTTCGTGTGCATTCCTAGTGTTGTGTTGCGGCTGCGACGAGATGGAGTTTTCTCGACTAGAGCGATCCTCAGACGGAGATGCCGATCGCCGGACACCATTCGCAGTGGGTTCGCCATCTGCAAGGACACGAAGAGGACCCCTAGTTGTCGTAGAGCCGATTTTCTGCTCCTGTCGCTCCATTGATGGTACTGCTAGGTTTCTTGAGTTTGGTCGAGAAGACGGTCCAAGATGGTGAAGAAGCTCGTTGGCCCCATGCTGGAGACGGCGGTCCATGTTTGAAGTGTGATGCACCACATCTTGACCGTGAGATTGGACCTGAGAGAACATTTGCTGTGACTGCACGTCATGATGAGGGCGACTTTGAGACTCGGGAAGATGCTGATCAATTGGTGGAGGGGATGGGTTTGCAGGTAGCACTATTGACCCATTGGACTTGGAAGGGAGGCTCTCGCTTTTCGCTTTCTGGAAGGCCTTTTCCAGTAGGACCTTAACGGCCTTGTTTCGCCTCAACATTTTTGTAGGCTTTAACCCTTTGATTATTCCTTCCTGCCAGTCGATACTGAAGCGATTGACGTTCAAGTGTACATCGGGAGTAGATGTCGAGTATGTGAAGACCACGGCGAAGTCCAGAAGCTGTATCCGATGGTTTTTGGGGCTGGTCTCATTCGAGTAAGAATTCTGTGTCAAAAGATTCGTATCCGACAGATCGTAAGGAAACATTGCGAGTATCTGGCCATCGGCATCTATCAACTTTGCGCTGTCATGCGAGGAACCTAGACCCCACTGATGAGAGGCAACCAAACTATCAGCCTTTCTATATCTCGTAATGTATATCAGATGAGGGAGAGTATACTTCAAAAATAGCAGCCACAGACGTGAGATCGGGCTTCCTGAAGCGCAATGTCGCTCCATCATCCTCCACTTCAATGCCATCGCGCGCAGTCTGACCTAGGTAGGAGCCTAGGCATTGCTCCACGAGGGTGGCAAGCCATGGAGCGGGAACACTCATCGTACATGCCAGATTCAGAGTATTATAGAGTGCGATGCTGTCAATTTCATGTCTGACAGGGCGACCCCGTCCAGGGCGTTGTTGTCACGAAATTTCGCATGTTCAGACAGTCAAGAGCGAAACCACCTGCGATAACCGATAAGACGCGCTGGTGGACGCGATCGGATGACTCAGCATCCCACCGCCCCGGCGTGCGTCATTGGGCGTCCATGCTCTGGATGAGCTGCGGAGAACGAAAGCTCCTGCTCGTTCGCTCTTGATAACCTCTCGGATCTCCTACCTACCTACCGGGCTGGGTGTCCTGATCCCAGTCCGTGATTCTTGCACGCTCTAGCCCTGGATGCCCCGCGACGAGCTGAATCCCGATTCTCATTCGGGCATAATTCATGAGCTTTCAGCCTGACCGCATCAACTCCGGAGTCCTCACCGATGGAGCAAAAGTCGCATGAAACACCAAGCCCCTCTGCGTCGTCCGGGTTTCTCCCACTTGGACGGCGCGGGTCGAGGGGCTCCCTCGCTACGACACAAACAGATCGAGAGAATATCAACACAGCCCTCGACCAAATTCATAACACAGCTTACCAGTCCGATTCACTCACGCTGTTCAACGAGTTCACGAGCCCGCCTGCACCGGCACCGGCGTCGGACGATAAAGGACTATCGGAGGAGCTGCAGGGGGGTCTCAGCGGACTGTACAGTCGCTTCAGAACATCGGTTGGGGGAATGAGGGACATCGTCAGTGGTGGAGCAAAGATTACAGACAAGAATGCTGTGGATAGCTCTACGGTCAAAACTCCGAGCTCAGAACGGTCCATGACCAAGTCTATCTCAGACCTTACGGTTAGCTCGGCAGACAACTTACCGTCATATCCAAACTCCTCCCAAGGCTCGAGGCTGCATTCTCCAGTCGTGCCAAATTTCCATCCCAGTCAGGATCCTACACCACAGTCAACCGCTGGCAAGATCTCCAAACTCTCTTCAAAGAGCGTCAGCATCGCTTCCAAGGCCTCCGTCTCTGCTGCTCCGGCAGGAAAAGCCAGTCTTGCCCCTTTGACAAAGTCTACTGGCAACTCTGTTGTAGCAGACCCATCAATCACCCCCATCAACGTGGGCGCCATTGGTCAACCCCGCCATTCAAGAAGCAGTTCGGTCAACGTGCCTGCTCAGGCTTTTCAAAATGCAGAATCCTCCAGTATTGGCAGCAGGGATGCCCCTACGGATATGTCTGCTAGTCAAACTTCTTCTGTGCTAAACCCGGGTTTCTCTCATTCACCAGTGCTGTCCACAAAAACTCACGGAAGCCTATACGAAGAACCTAACTCATTAGAAGCCAGCGGTTCTATCATACCAGCAAACCACGCGATGGGTAGCTCGTCGCGAAAGTCGTCAAATGCAGGTCAATCAAGGGTCCCAGATGATATGTCTCAGTCCAATGCAACAAGAACCTCAAAGCCCTCCGAGCTTACCCAGGACTCAAGAATTCAGATTCCGGAAAGCGGGTCAAACTCGAGGCTGTCAATTGGTGGACGTGAAGACTCTACGACACCAAGCGTGCTTTCAAACAGTCTTTCGAAGATGGCATCTCAAGCCGGGGGCTCCTATGCTGTTGACTCAGCGTCCGATAGCACAGCTGCAACTCCTCGAGACGGAGCTTCTGTCGGCGGACCGGCAAATTCTTCTATTCCAACATCCCCAACAGCTGGGAAATCACATCCACAGGCTACGAAGAACCGATTGCCAGGCTACGTAATGTCGCGGGCGTCTACAGCTGAAACCACCACTACTGTGTCTTCTTTACCGCCATTGAACACAGCAGTTCCACGGATAACAACCCAAGGCCCTGGTCGCAACCGCCCGCAGGCTGCAGGCGATGGAGTTCTATCTCAGCTGAGAAGCAGATTGCTGAGTAGAGACTTCTGGATGCGTGACGAGAATGCTAAAGACTGTTTTCATTGCGGAGAGCCATTCACTACGTTTCGCAGGAAACACCACTGTCGGACTTGCGGACAGATCTTCGATTCGAAGTGCACCCTTCTCGTTCCCGGTACGAGGTTTGGTCAACCTGGGACCATCCGTGTTTGCAAGCCTTGCGAGCAAATGATCAACGCACACGATGACGATTCGTCTGAGTATTCAGATAGTGAACAGAGCCCTATCATCGTGAACCCACGAGTCTCTGACCTGGGCTGGGGCGGCAGCAGTGCTCGGCCCTCTGGAGAGGACGACGATGCGACTTCCATAAGGTCTCAATCTATCGACCAAGTCCTCAGAACCCCGACGATGGCTATTCCAGCCACTCGGCGTGCAGGCGAAGGCCACAATCGTGGCTCTGCAGTCCTTGAAATCAATTCCGACCGACCACTCACTAGACCTACCTCGTCGCGGTCATTGCGTTCTTCATTGGGAGTTCGGCCCCATTCCATCAGTCACAAGCGACATCATTCTCGTCAGCAGTACATCCGAGGCTTTAAACCCTTCCATGACGACCGCGCTCCTTTCCAACGTCGTCATCCAGAGGATTTGACCGCCGAGTCGCGTCTACCAGCATTCCACAAGGACAATATCATTGACCCTGATTTGGCCCAATACCTGTCAGATGACGCTTCTAGCGGCGATGAGCAACCTAGCCTACTCTCTGCAGTGTCTGAAGGTAACCTCTCGAAAAGTGGCGGCGACACTGAAAGAGCAGCGGGCCTCGGTGGATTCCTTGCTGCCATGAAGAAGGGCCGATCTGCATTCGGTGATCGAAGTGCGCCTAGCGTCAATAATCAATCAGCCCGAGATGCAGATGACGCTAGTATCACCAGTTCAAGAGCAGTCAATTTGCCGCGCTCTTCGCGTCGTCGGAATCTGAGTGTTGCCAGTAGCGTTCACGTGCGCCATTCGCCACGAACGTCAAAAGAGAGTATATTCCTTCAGGACCCGACGTTCCCAGTAGTACCCTTTGTTACTAGCCTGAAACAATCCGGCTTTAAGATGACCAGAAGCTCGTCAATGAGAGGGACTGGGGCACCGCCGGTTGAACTCAACAAGGCTAGTCGGGAACATGTCCAAAAGCTTTTGCGCCAGCTGTTGGTAGAAGCATCTTTGCCAAATAGTGAGAACTGGGAAAAGGCCCTCATGCCCATTCTCTTGAAAGCAGCCGACGAGGTCGACCCAGATGTCCAGCGCGGAGACGACATGGATATCCGGCATTATATCAAGCTGAAAAAAATTCCTGGTGGCAGGCCTGGTGATACCTCGTACGTTTCTGGGCTAGTGTTTTCTAAAAACTTGGCTCTCAAGAGCATGCCGAGAAGTATCCCGCGCCCCAACATCCTGATCATCACATTTCCTCTTGAGTATGCCCGCCAGCAGCAACAATTCATGAGCCTGGAGCCTGTCATCCGACAAGAGCGTGAGTTCCTTGAGAACCTTGTCAGCCGAATTGCAGCCTTGCATCCAAATTTGCTCCTTGTCGAGACAAATGTATCTGGCTTAGCACTTGCTCTTCTCGAACAAGCGGGAATTGCCACGGCATACAATGTGAAGCCGTCTGTTCTTGAAGCCGTTTCACGATGTACTCAAACCAGAATCGTGACCTCCATGGACAAACTCTTGACAGCTACCCTTCACAGTGATTGCAGCAGCTTTGACGTGAAAACTTACGTGCACGGTGGTCGAAGGAAGACCTACATGTACATTTCTGGCTGCCCCAAGGAGCTTGGGTGCACAATCGTTTTACGAGGTGGCGATGAAGGGATTCTCGGGAAAGTGAAGCAAATCACCGAGTTCATGGTCTATGTTGTGTACAACCTTCGACTCGAAACTTATCTGATGCGAGATGAGTTTGCCAAATTGCCCACAACTTCGGAAAATGTTGCGGTCCAAATTGTCTGTTCTGATGAGAAGAAGGCTCATTCCCAACTGGTAGTTTATCAGACCAACGCTGGTGCCACAGAGTCCAACTCTGTGAATGAGAAGCCCGCTGAAGATTCTGAGCATCCGTTGCCCATGTCTACAGAAATTACCGAAGTGCCCGATGATGTACCGATGCCAACATATCACAATGACATGGTGCACGATCATCAGACGAAGATCTTATCCGCCTCGCCTTTCGTCAAATTCGAGCCCCCTTACCTACTCATGCGAACCAGAGAGATGGAACGTCGATTGGCGTATCTGAAACGTCTTCGTGATCAAGTCGAGTATACAGAGGAGACCTCGGAAGAAAAGACGAAGCCTCAGAAGTTCATTCTTATCACTCCGGAGATGGTCCATGCATCTCCACATGATGCTCCTCCAAAGGTTAAGGAGGTCTTACGTGCAGCCCATGACGCAGAATACGATCGCGCCCTTTACCATTATCAAACTCAGAAACGACAATGGGAGGCCTACGTGTCTGGAAACTCCAATATGTTCGATCCGTATGCTCACCAGAACATCGTTGTTCTTTTCAGCCTGGTGTGCACAACAACATCGGTGCCCTGTTCTGGACCTGATATTTTCGCTCTGGAGTTCTACAATGAACATGGTGACGATACAATCTTCGAGCCCGACTGCACAATTGGGCAGTATGTTGAAGATCTTTGCCATACAGCGAACGCCGTCTGCAACGTGAACGGTTGTGAAAAGCGCATGTCTGAACACCATCGACAATATGTCCATGGGGATGCCCAAATCAGTGTCTTGGTCCAGCCATATCCTTCAAAGCTTCGGGGGATGCAAGATACGGTGTTGATGTGGAGCACTTGTAAAATATGCGGCAACGAAACTCAGGTCACCTTGATGTCCGAAAACACATGGAAATACTCATTTGGCAAATACCTGGAGGTCTCTTTCTGGGGCCGAAATATGCATGCCCGTGCTGGGGTATGCCCGCATGACCTCCAGAGAGATCATCTCCGCTACTTTGGCTTCAAAGACGTTGCTATTCGCATTCAATATGACACGATTCATCTTCTTGAGATCGTTGTCCCACGCCCTCGTGTCACCTGGAAAGTGGATAATGACTTGAAGCTGAGAAATTCAATCTACTCAGACACTAGTGAACGGCTGAACAAATTCATGAAATCTATTCATGTGCGATTGAAGGGCATCAATGTTGAAAGCGTTTTACCAGAACTCCTGGACGAATGTAAGAAGCAAATTGAGTCCTTGATCAAGAAAGCCCAGGAGGATCATGCAGCTTTGAACAAGCGTTTGCAGGACAGGTATACCAGTTCGCGTTACTGGGAGGTCATTCCCTTGAATGAGGTCCTACGCGCAATTCAGGAGAAGGTAGTGGAATGGGACACTATCTTTGCCGACTTTGAGAAGAATTTCTTCCCGTCAGAGAAGGATATCAAAATACTGGCAACCTTGCAGCTCAAAAAGATCTTCTTGGACAAGGATGCAACATCGATGACTACTGAGGATGGACTTCAAACTCCGACTGGCATGGAGGATGACACAACCCCTACCGATGAGAAGCCAAGGATGATGCGACGGATGACACTTTCTCCCGAAAAGGCCCAGAATGTGCTAGTATCAGTTGTTGAGGAGCATACTGGCAGGACGCAGCGAGATGCACCGCCCGAGAGTACTGAGCTGACTCCGATGCCTACCCCAACCAACGAATCCGCGCTTTCGGTTGATGCCGTCGATGGCAGAAAGTCTTCTCCACAAGACGAAGCCGTTTTGCAAGAAGAGGTCCGGCATCTCGATTTGGCGGTTCCTGCGGGTCAGTCTGAACGATCGCCGCCAGACTCAAGCACACCTCTCGACAAACCTCTATCCAAAGTGGATGGTTCAACAGCTCTTGCGGAACATGAGCCACCTCATAGTATCAGGGATGTCTCGACTCCATCTCCCCCAGATGCCTGCGAACCTGTTCCCGGAACAAAAGGCAAAGCGAATGAGGAGAATCCTGCTACCCCCATTTCAAGTACGCCTCCAAATCGGCCGTCTGCCATTCCAAGGCTTGCTGAGGTGGCTTTCAGACGATCTGGAAAGACCCGTTCTCCTCCGTTGATTCGTGCTCAATCCCAACCTGCCCATCTTGTTAGGGAGAAATCTTTTGGATTGAAACTGAGTCACACAAACTCAAATGAATCTGGAACGTCCCGGGGAGATTCGACTAAATCATCGGAAAAGAAGTTTACCGAACGCCTTGGGTTGACAGCCCTAAAGAACGGGCGGTTCGCTCCGGGACATTCTCTGATACCTCGTTCAACTCCGAAACGAGGTACCACTCGCGTATCAAACCTCGCCAGGCACTTTGAACAATTGAGTCGTGAGTTTGAAAAGGAACGACAACGCGAAAGGCGACAGCGGGCTGCAAGGAATACATATTCGCGCGCATTCCCCCTTGCATCTTCAAAGCCGATCGTTGAGGTTTACCGTAATGTGAAAGAGGCTGTTGAAGAACGAGAACCACATGTGGATGGGGATGACTCTCTGCCGGCGGCTCGACGACGTCCTTCAGAGGACGCGGGCCGAAAGAGCGACGACTCCATGAACCACAGGGAGCCCGAGGAACCTGTTCCAAAATCTCCAGTGCAGGTGACTCCTTCAGAATCGTTCGGACCTGGCGACCTTGTCCGTTCCGATTCTCAGCTCATGTCCGACGCCGAGGGAGATGATGGACGCAGTGACGAAGAGCGCAATACTGCCGAAGATCTTCATCATGTGGACTCTCAAGACGATGCTAAAACATTACCGGATGATGATTCTATCGATTTCAAAGATCTTCCAAAGCACGAACGAACGACTCTGCTGAAGATGCTGACCAACTTCTGGTCTGAACGATCTGCAAGCGGATGGACTGCCCTTGATTATCCTCTCAGCGCAGGTGACCACGTCTTTTCCGACTGCGACATTATTGTGCGTGAGGACGAGCCGAGTTCTCTAATCGCGTTCGCGTTAGACTCGTCTGACTACAAGGACAAATTGGCCAGCATTCAAGAAAGATACGATAGGGAGGATCAACCACCAGAGTTTGAGCAGGATACAGTGGCCGCAAATGAAGCTCGGTTAGAGCATGCTCTCTTGCGGCAGACTGGGACCCATCTCAAATATCAGTTCCAGGAAGGTCAAGCAAAGATGCTTTGCAAAGTGTTCTATGCCGAGCAGTTTGAAGCACTTCGCAAAAAGTGCGGTGTCGCCGATCGCATTGTGGAGTCACTGTCCCGTTGCTTGAAGTGGGACTCCAAGGGCGGCAAAACCAAGTCCATCTTCCTCAAGACACTAGATGACCGATTTGTTCTCAAATCACTGGCACCCGTCGAGACCCAGGCCTTCCTCAAATTCGCACCAGCATACTTCCAGATAATGTCCGAAGCGCTATTCCACGACTTGCCGTCAGCCATCGCCAAAATGTTTGGCTTCTACCAAATCATCATCAAGAACCCGGTGACTGGAATTGAACAGAACTGGTTCCTGCTTCTGATGGAGAATCTGTTCTATGATCGCGCGCCTAACCGTCTCTTCGATCTGAAGGGATCGATGCGTAACCGCAAGGTAGAGAGCACAGGCGAGCAGGACGAGGTTTTGCTGGATGAGAACATGGTTGATTTTATCTATGAGACACCTTTGTTTGCGCGGGAACATTCCAAGAAGCTTCTGAGCCAGAGCGTGTGGAACGACACCCTATTCCTCGGCCGTCAAAACGTCATGGACTACTCGTTGATGATAGCGATTGACGAAAAGCGCAGCGAGTTGGTGGTCGGAATCATTGATTGTATCCGCACATACACTTGGGACAAGAAACTGGAGTCTTGGATCAAGGACCGAGGCTTTGCTGGCGGTGGTCGCAATCGTCCAACGGTGACGAGTCCGAGGGAGTACAAGAGTCGTTTCCGAGAGGCGATGGCAAGATATGTCCTGCAAGCCCCAAGGTATGTATTACAGACTTTCTTCTGAGTGATTGATTTATTCTGACAAAAAATAGCTGCTGGCACCAATTTCAACCAAGTGCCATGTACCGATATCCACAGGGCGAGCACCATATTACCAATGCGACGGATCTGGACGTCATCGATGGGCCCGAAGCTGGTGCTTTTCAATGATGAACGCAATGATGCACAGATGAAATTAGATTACTATCCTTAATGACTGATGACTACACGACAATACTTATGCCCAAGAACTGCACCCTCGAGATTTACTGAGGCATCGCACATATGCATTGAATTTTGTTTTAGCGCGTGTGGCTGCAGGCATGAATGGAGGGAGTTTCGGACACTCGAACAGGTGCATTCCTTAACTGGTGTTTCTTTTGTTTATTATTCCAAATACTGTGACATAGCCGTGGTTGTATCATGGACTGTTATTCTACTGCACTTAGAATATGTCTTAAATTAATCAATATCTGATTGAATCATGCCATGCACACTCACTCTCATCTGAAATAAAAAATGCACTAAGAATACCCCCTCTACTCGGTTGGACAAGTCAAATTTCCAACTCTAATAAGACTCCAAGCGAGGAAAGTTATTCCTAATCTCAAAAAGAAATCGATCGGTCCTTTGAATGTATGCCAATGAAGAATGTCACACTCAAAGGACTCATCATCTACCCCTGAAATCAAAGATCCGTTGACACGCAAGATCGTGAAGTCCATCCAAGGGACCTAAAGTGAAACCTCTTACAAAGGTGGTGGATAGAAATCCTTGCCCTCACGCTTGGTGACTTCTATGGCTCCTAGATCAACACCCTGTAGGAGGCGTACCTTCGAGTGATATGACTTAGCGTATTCATCTTTGCCAAGGGGTCATTTTCAGTGGTGTTGACTTACATTGATAGCACATTTGCCAAAGATGAACTTTGGATTCACCGATCTGTTGTACACATTGGCACCACAGGTTCCGCAAAAGAAAATCTTGATGGAATGCGTGCCGAAACGATATTCCTAGATAGATCACGACAGTCAGCGATTTCTCCAGTATCTTCGGAAGGGTAGTCATAGCAGCCTATACCTTGAGGGCTTCTTCCCCTTGGCGGATTTCGATGTCATCCGCGAACGCATGAAAACTGCCTGAAACGTGGCAATAGCTGCCTGTTTCCTGATTGTTAGCTTAATTACTCTCATGGAGGCGTACATGAGCGTATAGGAAATCACGATACATGCAAATACTCACAATTGCACGAAATGACTGGCAAGCTCGGTATCTCAGAAGGCAGTTTCACAGAATAAAGCACAGCTTTGCAATGACAGCTTCCCTCGTAGGTGACTCCCGTACTTTGATCAACGGGATCTCCCTTTTCGGAATTCTGGGATAAAGCCATTGCTATGGACTAAAATATCGATTGGGTTGAAGACCACTTTCTTTTCGTCGTAAATTCGCGTTGCTCTGGATGATAGAGTGAAATTGAATCATCGAGCTTGAGGGCCGTAAGGACTTAAATAAGGGCAGAGTCAATATTCCATGATCGGGAATAAGAGATGGTAGAGTATATTCTTCAAATTGAGTGATGGTTGAGAACTTGGGTTATGGACTGTTGAGCCGATATCGTTGGGAGTTTTGTGCGCCGTCTGTTGGGCTTGACCAGATGTGGCAAATGGAAGGAATTAAGGAGTTTCACCACAGGAATATGTTCGTTTGCAACAGCATTGGAGGACAGATATCTCGCCTCCATTACATCTACTCCTATTTTATCACGATTTGACAACTGGATTGACCGTTAATGTACACTCTGGCGCTTTGCCCAATGCCAAATTGACGCCTTTAGCAATTCCAGATTTGTTTCTCTGTTCTTCATCTTGGTCTTTTATGTATACATTCTAGGCACGCTATATATCAATTATGGTTTCTTAGATATCCAAATTTGTGTCAAGAGGACACCCACATGATCTTGATGTTAGTTCCGTGGGCAAATTCGCCTGGTGTTACCAAACTTGGCCTCCCAGGCTTGACAGTGACAAGATAAGAGAGCCTGGAAGCCAGAAAAGGTTCAAAAATAGGAGATCAATTTGCAAGACATCCGAATTGAACATATCTCATGAGGTAACCCAACAAATCTCGCTGGGCTTTTCGATATGTTGGATGTCGGCGCGATTATTCATCTTCATCAAGGGGTTGACCCCGTAGTGGGGCTGTTCAGTAATCAAATAATCCGACAGCACATAGCACACCTCAACTCTCCCATTTATTTTCTACAGTGTGCATGCTCTACCTCTGAATTGACTTTCAACTTGATGAATAACCATTCTAACGGGAGTACTTACCAACAAACAACTGCCTTGTCCCATTTCTTGGTAATTAGCGAGGACGATCTAGCTTTGCAGCCACAGACTGCGATGGCTCCAGGTGTGTGTCATGAGTTCTGAACACCTAGAATGCCAAATGGCACTTTTTTAGTTAATGAATGTTTTGAAACCTGTTCTATGTGACATAGGTACGTCTTTCTACTTGATCCTTTTTTGGTTATACTAGATCCTGGGAGCACATAGGCTACGCTACTCATAGCTTTTCCACGGCGACTCCTTGTCTGCTAACGTTACGCGAGTGCTCCTGAGAAGCTCGAGTGACAGTATCAAGAAATTTCCTTGAGAACCTGATCACTTCCTTTCCAAGCTAGTGATCTTACCGTCACCTACTTCGCTCCAAATAAGAAGCATAGCTGCTCGTTGCTTTGGTCCTACTCCAGGTAGAGAGACCCAGGGATAGCCGTTTCATCTCATCAAATCTCTATAACAGTTCCTGACGAAGAAGATAGAAATACAGTCAATTCATGTCAGATTGTTAACAATATCTCTAAACTGGAACCACCCAATTATCCTCCAGTAGCAACAGATATCCCCCCAACAGCACCAGCATTAGCATCCACCATCCGCCTCCGCCGATTATCCTTATTCATATATTCCTCGTACTTGATTTCATAGCGCACATAATCACGAAGGTACTTTTCTTCGTTATTCCCATACTTTTCTCTGCGGGGTGGTTTGGGTTTCACAGAGCTGAAACCGCCGAAGCCAAAGCACATGTGGGAGGAGGAAGTGGGGATGGATGGTTGTGTAATGGAGGGAGAAAGAAGGTTTATGATTGTTGTGAAAGACTTGAAGGCGTTGGTTATATTCCAAAGAAGATAGATACTTGATAATGAGTTATTGGATTGAGCTGTGAAGGGACTATACCTACCTGATAATAACCGCACTTTATAAGGCTCGGGGTATGTCGCCGAGCATACATAGCCCCCAGGGCCAAGACTTGGAAGTCTTGACTTTCGTCATAGCTGGGGCCGACGACAGAGCAGACACTGTTCAATAGAAGATTGAGTATCAGGACAATGATATAATTCGTAACTCATATTAACTCAATTATTCTCCAAATAGAAAGAACAGCAAGTATTCATGGCAGCAAAGTATCAAATTGTATTAATCTACTCGATATCTGTACAAGATTCATGCCTTGTAAATCAGGCTGCTAATCCATCCCATGTATCTTTCGGCGAAAGTCGGGAACAAACGGGGCCGCACTCGGGAATTATCTTCTGCCATCGGACCAGAATGAACTTTTGATTTCTTTTTTCATTTTTTCCTCTTGATCTTCGCGTGCAATTGATCAACTCTTTGACCTTGTCGTGCTGCATGACTCTTCAATGAAGAGGTTTATTGCGACTATGGCGAGAGTACATACGCTGTATACTTGCCCGGGTGCCTGCAGGACACATGCCTCGGCCTCGGAGTCCGGCAGCGCGTTTTCGTGACCCCCGCATTGAGGGAAGGCCTTTCCGGTTGACCGTCGGCTGTGCCTTTCCTTTCTTTTCTTTTCTTTCTTTCTCCCTCTTTTCTTTTTCTCGTGGTTGAGAAGCAGGCTCTTTGCTCGCGTGATGCCCTTGACGAGTCTCCCAAAGAGAGAGTACCTGAGCAAAAGACGTGCAGGAATGCGCGCAGAACTTCCCGTTGCTTTGAACAGCGCGGACGAGTACGAGACAAACTAACCCGCTCACTAACTAGGGACTGACAATTTGTTCCCAGGTCTAAGTTTGTTCATTCCTCTCAAGGAAAGTCTAGGCTTACTCGAACAACGCATTTGACCTGGAGGCATTAGATTCATTCTCATGTACATCAACAATGCAAGCACCTCTTCGCAAGAAACAGCAATGGTCCAGACCAAGGAGCAGAAACGAGCTTGAGGCTGGAAATAATGGCAAGAAATCTTTTTGCAGATTCAAAAAAATAATGAAAAAATAAGGTATGTATCCGACCCCTCGCACCAGCGATAAACCAAAAAAGAGAAAGGACTAAAACAAAGAATGGAGCAATAGATTCGTGGCCTTCATCATATGGCACCGTCGAAGATCTACTCCATGGCCAGGCCGAGGTTCTCCTCAGCAGGAACCACACGGACGGTGTTGGTGTGGCCCATACCGCCACGCCATCCCTGAACACAGACGATGGGGTCGCCCTTGTTGATGATGCCGAGCTTGAGACCGTGGTTGATACCCCACTTGAGGCGGCGGTCGACGTCCTCCTGCCAGATCTTGACGTTGAAGTCAGGCTTGTTCTCGGGGAAGTAGAAGGGCCAGACACCACGGTACAGGTGGGAGTACTGGAAAGAGCTTTCGTTAGCTTGGAACAGACTTGCGATGCTGGAGCTTCAGAACTTACCCGGGAAGCGGTGGCGTTGCGAGTGACCATCAGGATGGGGCAGACGGGGCGGTACTTGGAAAGAAGGCGGGCAGTCTTGCCACTGGTGGTCAGGACGACAATGGCACCGGCGTTCAGCTCCAGACTGGCGCTGACGGCAGCCATGGCGATGGACTCGGAAGTCTCGGTGGGACGAGGAGCCAGGTTACGGAGCTCATCGAAGATCTGGAAGTGGGGGATGGTAACCTCGGCCAGCAGGCAGGTCTCGTGCATCATCTTGACGGCCTCGCAAGGGTAGTTACCCTTGGCGGTCTCACCCGACAGCATGACACAGTCGGCACCGTCCAGGACGGCGTTGGCAACGTCGGAGACCTCAGCACGGGTCGGGCGAGGGTTGTACGTCATGGACTCCAGCATCTGAGTGGCACAGATAACGGGCTTACCCTTGATGTTGCACTTGGCGATCATCATCTTCTGAGCGATGAACACCTTGGGGGCGGGGATCTCGATACCGAGATCACCACGGGCAACCATGACACCATCAGTGGCCTCAAGGATCTCGTCAAAGTTGTTGACACCCTGCTGGTTCTCAACCTTGGCAATGATCTGGATCTCCTTGCCTTCCTCGCCGAGGACTTCACGGATCTTGTCGATATCACTACCGCGGCGGATGAACGAGGCGAAGATCATGTCGACCTTGTTCTTGACACCGAACTTCAGGTCGCTGATATCCTTCTCCGACAGAGCGGGGAGGTCTACGTCGGTACCGGGCAAGTTGACACCCTTGCGAGAAGAGATGTTGCCATTGTTCAAGCACTTGACGCGCAGGGTCTTGTCATCCACCACCTCGAGCACCTCAAAAGACAGAATGCCATCATCGACATAGATGAGCTTGCCGGGGGAGATCACCTGGGTGATGTTCTTGTAGTCGAGGTACCTGCAATCCGGCACTGTCAGTCTCTGCGACACCAATTTCGTCCCACGGTCGGCCGATCAATCGATCCAGATCATCGGGCAGATGGGAATTCTTACATGTTCTTGTCATCACTGGCGGTGGCATAGGCCTCGTCGGTGGTGATGTTGAGCTCAGTACCAGCAGAGATGGGGAAATCCTTGTCATCGACGGTGTTACCGGTACGGATCTCGGGGCCCTTGGTGTCGAGGGCAATGGCCAGAGGACGGCCAGTCTGGACTTTAGCAGCCTCGCGGGCGTTGTCAATGACCGATTGGTGGTACTAATTGATGTTAGAATCATCGTCAAGTCTTGACTACAAGTCGGAACCATCAAGCTCTTACCTCATATGAACCGTGGGAGAAGTTCATGCGGACAACGTTAAGACCAGCTACAATCGAGTTAGTCTATCTTCTTTGACGGTGGATCTATCAGATTGCAGTCCATACAAGTGCGGAGAGCGTTGATCTTCTCAACGGAGTTGGTCTTGGGACCTAGAGAGGGATTGACCATTAGCAACTTTTTATTCATCGAGCGACCATGCGCCATTTCCCAAAGAGACGGGCGATGAAGTCAAGAAAACTTCTACAGTCGTGGGACATGACATACCAATGGTACCGATGATGGAGGTGCGGCGGAAGTTCTTCGCGGGGACCATCTCGGTGTTGAGCTTGGAGTGCCACTCCAGCTTCATCCGGTTGGACAGGTGGTCAAGGGAGCTAGTGGCCGCCATTGTGAATGTGCTAGACAAAGCTAATGGAGGAAGTGGGTAGGGGAGGAGAGAAATTGAAGAATCAATTGAAGAGGATGAGATGGAGAAGAGGGAGGGGAGAAGAAAACGGAAGTAGGATGGAGGGTGAGGGGCGGGAAGGGAAAATGTTGGTGGCCGATGCTCCATCTCCTCTATCTCCGCCAACCCGCTCTGCTTTTTCTCTCAGGCACCCAAACTAGGACGGGTCTTGCCCCAGGTTACTCGCCGGTGTACACTGCTCCTACAGTTGCTCCAGCTCTGCTTTTCGGTGGCTTGGCCTGTCAATTACAGTTTATAATTTAAATTTTACCTTTTACAATTCATAATAGAAGAACCATCTACTAGATAAAAATTTCTCTGCTCCCAGTACTCTTAATGGTATGTCTTCTTCTTCATACTTCAAGGATTCCATTGTAAACTGTCCCTCCCAATCTGCCCCTCTGCCCCTCACCGAGACTGATCCCCAAGCCAAGCCAATCGGCACCGGCGGCATCCGCTATGAAGGGTAGAAGAGAAAAACAAAATTGATACCAAACGCCTCACAGCGGAGGGGCCCGTGCTGGTCTACGCGCCGTACATTGGATCCCTTTTATCGAGTAACGGTGACAAATAGCAGGGAGTCAGGGCTGGGCCGACAAGCCAGACAAGCCAACAAAAAATGGGTGGAAAAAACGCCAAAACGGACTTTCGGTGGACGATTCAGCCTTATCGATAACCCGTGCCCGTTTTGGGGAAAGTCCAGCTCCAGCTTCGAGATTATGTAATCGTGTAGCGCTCCGTTCCACTTACCTCATCAACCCCAGCCACATCCGGTGGCTGGCTATGTCCGTTGTCATGTGAAAGCAATCCACGTGATCCATTCCCCGTCTTCTGCCGTGGATCATCTGCAACTGTCTCTCTCATTAAGTCCGACATTTTGTATGCTCTTCACTTTGATAACCCTTTCCACCATGGTAGGAAGCTTCCGTTTCTTGAGCTTGATCGGTCGGGGAAGTACGACAGCTTGACTAACCTTTCTTCGCTGAGCAGTTCGGGCGTCTCACTCACTACGCATTCGATGCGGTGCTTCGTAAGCTATCCCCTCCCTCATACCATAGAGATTATATACAGAACACTAACAGTCACTCTCATCGATAGTCTCTGCCTTCCTGGCTGGTGTCAAGCGATCCACAGGCCTCACGTAAATACAACTTCCCTTCGAACCCTCTCGCAACCCCCTCCACTCTCTCGCCATATTTACCTCGAGCCTAAGAAGACAGTCCAGCTAACTCGATTAACCCTCACGCACACCCATAAACCGGGTCGCGTGCGTGTGGGTTGTTTCCAGCCCCAGTCTCAAATCCGAACAGATCTCCGAAAACAAGGAAGTGAAGCGCTGGATCGATAACTACCTTGGCGTCGGAGAGTGGGTGATGGATCAGTCCGTGGCCGTGATGGGCTCCTCAAGCTGGTTCGAGCGCCGTCGATGATCTACTTTCTATTTCCAAAGACGGGGTGCAACTGGGCGATTTACGATTTCATCCCCATGCTTTTCCGACTTGACATTTCAACTGAGGTGGTGTGACATGCGAGCACACATCATGGCTGGACTGACGTGTGACGATCTACTCCTCTCCTCCCTCGCTGCTGGATTTCTCCTCCTTTTCTGGCCTCACCTTCAGAGTTACGGCGTCTTTTGGCTTGTCTCGTTCTGTGCGATACCTTTTGACTCTCTGTATCTATTCGATTGCACTTTACACAAATTTCATGCTCTCTTACCTGAGGCTAATACTTTATCAATGAACTATGTTGAGTGATGGATGTGTCTCATACCTGATAGGGGGTAGCTCAAACAAAGAGTTGTATAAACTTAAAGCACTGTGTTTGGGTCGACGTTGTTGACAAGGGCTTTCTCGGGCAGAGGCCAGAATGTGCTTAGATCCGTTTGGTAAAAGATCGTTGTTAATCTTGCTAGGGTATGTCTTATCTCGAAGATGGCTGCCACTTGGTGTATAGTTTTTGGGACAGGGCAGCTCAAAGTTCGGTCTTGCTCCATGTTTGCTATCATACGGATTTATACGAGACTAGCAATACCTACGCTAGTAGAGTGATGTGATGTAATGTTCTTATTATTGAAAGGCTAAATGCATGATCATTTCAATTGATTGTGTCATGAATCTACCTCGATACCTTTGATTCTTCCTTCCCTGGCCCTCGGCTGACTTCAACCCAAAATTTATACCGAACTGAAACCTATCGAAATTACACCAAGCCTGTTCTCAAGAATCAAGCCCCCTGACCCGCTTCAATCTTGCACTGAACGCAAGCACAACCCTTTTCAACAGGCTTCAGGCTAGCCCAAAACTTCGCCAAATACGAATCAGCAGGATACGTCCACAGCCCCTTCCTCACACTATTTCTAGTCATGCGAACCGCAAACTCATCCGCACCCTCCCCCTTCAACCCCTCCAGCGAAAGCCACCCAACAGCCACACAAACCATCCCCAAGTTCTCCCTAAACTGCGCCGAAGGCTCAACCATAACATTCTGCCTCCCACACTCCCTCTCCACCCGCCTCGCCAACCCATAACAAGCCTCAACAACAGCCTTCCGCCTCTCATCAAAACAAGGACTAATATAACGCCCATCCCCGATCTTCAAACTTGGCCGGAATCGGGATAACTTACCAGCGACGGCATTTTGAAGGAAGTAGATAATTTGCTCGGATTCAACCTGGAGATGATTTCTTGTAAAGTCTTTGACGTTAGTTTCGATCCAGCGGCACTTTTGGGTCCATTCGGTCAGTTTGTTGGTAACGATTTCTCGCCAGGATTTGAAGTCTATGGCAGAGAGGTTGGAGCATTTGAGGAACATGAGTTCTTCGCCGGACCACCAGAGTTCGGGGGACCATTTTACGCCGCGGCGGGGGTCTTCGTTGAAGAGAGGGGGGGAGCAGGAGGTCGTACTCTGGGGGGGTGTAGGAGTGATCCATAGCTGGGGGTATGCTTGGTTGCTGTTTGGCTTGAATGTTAGACTGTTTGGGGATATGGAGATAGTAGATTGTATCTAATGGCCAGATTCGGCGGAGTAGATTGGGTTTTTATGTTGAGAGGAACATCCCTCTTCTTTGTGAAGTATACTATACTTGTGTCTTTGATTGAGATCATGGTATAATGAATGCTATTGTTAGCACGGTGCGTTCACAAATCAGGGTCCTTTCCTTTTACATTTACTGATCAGTCTTTGGCTTGGTTCATTGACTTTATTTGAGACAACACCTATTTATTGTTTTATAATCAGCCTATGACAATGGTATTGTGAACTTCAACGACTTATCACAATTATAGTCAATTCGTTCTTAGGTGGCTGGAGAATAGATACGGCTCCATTTTCAGCACATATCCCTTGCTACAATAATTTCATGTCTTTGGAGTTTGTCATTGATTCATGAGCTGATGAGTAGTCGACAGAGGGCCTATACTGAGGGAGAAATCTAATAGGGTATGAAGAAAGAGGGAAGGAGAATCCAGTTAGAAGGAAGCACCAATAATGCACCTGCGAACTACACTTAGGTCTGCAAGAGCTCATCGATATCCACGCGGCGGAAATACGAGATGTGGCCCATCTCCTCCCAGTAGTGCGCAATATAATCGGTAGAAACAAGGATGAGTTGAGACGTGGTGTAAGAATCTGTGATGAGAGCGTGAGTCAGAGAGCTGAGGTACTTATAATAGGACAAATGGCTTACCATCGCGGAAACCAAGGCCCGCGACGTGCCCAAAGCAATGTACTATACGGGCACCCGCAAAGGGCTCTTCATCTGCCACACGTATGAGGCCAGCCGGCCCGATATCTTGCGCAACAAATGTGACTTCCCCTCGTGGAACATTGGGATCCCCTGTCAGCTTGACGGCTCTCAAGGTGTTCGACTGCTCACTCCCCTCGCAACGAATTATTTGGTAGATGAGGAGAAATTCACACCCATGCGCAGAGTAATCTCCAACCCAGATTCCTTGGTATGGCTTCTCTTTCGTGGGGACGTATAGTGATGGATCGATCGTTGCATAATTTGATATCGCTTCGTTATCAGTTGGCGTGATCTGAAGCCTAAAGTTGGCCCACCGTTTGATGCGGAACCCGATTGAGGAAGCTTCTGATGCACAACTTGGCAAAGATGTTCCTGCCGAGTAAATAATCCGAGATATTCGTTCCGCACTAGGAATCATCGCGGGCGGCCAAAGCCTTGCCGGTGATGTTGATTTGTTGTTTTCTGGTAACTCCCTAGGGCAGAGCATAAGCGAGCTGAATACATGCTGAGAATCAGCCGCCATAGGCATCCGGCGATCAGGGTTCCATGTCTGACAAGGGGCGATCGGGTTCGATGGCTCATGATCTTTGAGGAGCAATACTGGGTCATCTAACCACAAGCTGATCTTGGGGTCAAACGACTGGATCATCACATCCGGATGAGCTTCCCAAATATGAAATTTTGGTTGGCGCCGGTCTGCAATAACTCTATATGCCTCTATTACGCCTCGCCGATTGTCGTACCGAGCTAGGATCAGACAGCCGTGGGCTTCGGTATCCGAAAACCAGATCTTATTCTGGGGAATGAACCAGTAGGGGAGGTGGGCAAGGTATAGTCGACGGAATGAGTCGAACGGCCCCGGATCGTGGATGTGGAAGGGAATATGTGAGTTTACGAGGCTAGCCCAAAGGTGATCGTTGGAGCCATGTTCGGCGAATATGCGACACGTTCTAGACACGCAAGCGAGGTCCCGTGCGGAGAGGTGGGATAGGATCTGGTGGACGAGTTCGGCGGGAAGTTTATCGAAATGGGATCTTTCTCCAGCAGTTGGAGTCCATGGTCTCTCATGAAGGATCTCTTCAATGAGCTGCTGGTGGTCCTGGAGGCCGCGGTCGCTCGGATGCTACACAACGGATCAGATAGTTTTCGGGAGAGTCGGTCAAAGGCCACCCCATTTTCCAAGCTCGACCGGCTCCATCTAACGATTTGATACTACTTACCTCAGCGGACAAGGCTAGACCCGCCATCGCAGCGGTGTCCCTTCTACGGTGTTGAAGAAGAACGACCAAAACGGACGTGTACTGCTTGATCTCCTTCAGTCACGCAATGACATCACTGAAAGGCGTGGTGGTGAGGACACATGGCCGGCTGGTACCTGTGGGGTAAAGAGAAGGTAGATGGAGGAGGACAAAGACTCAGGCTCGACAAAGTCGCTCCCGGTGGACGGGCTCTAATGCCGGGCACCATGCACGGAGTTGGAGAGAGGAGGCGGGGGAGCTCTTTGAGTGGTGGGGTCGTTGTTGATAAGATAGGACAGAATGGAGTTATCTCCACACTCTCAACGAATGAATTCTTTCATGATAAATGAGCTCAGACAAGCGAGGGTTCAGAAATGGACCGGCTGGTATCTTCCTTTGGTGGACCAATACGGAGTTACACAGGATGAAAATGTTCTGGGCCAAGATTTGAAAGTCAGATGACCTGCTTAAAGCAAGGATATTTGGTGTAAAGATGAATTCAAACAGGTGCGGGAAGCTTACGTAGTTCAGGTCAGAGACCAGCAGATAAGAACTTGGGTCAATAACCATAAGCTTTAATGTCCGGTATCTAAGATTCATTCAACTATCTCTTTACAAGAATACTATACACATTGATGGAATCATCGATTTGCACATACTTGATAATGTTCTGCCTGAGGCCTCTATGTATCATGTGATCGCCGGAAGAAGCAGCTTGTTTACATGTCCCGATTAGGAAAGTAGGGCCCAGGCACGCGCCTGTTGCCTGCAGAAGCCCCACCTTGTTTGTTTATGTTGTGATCTATAACGACTGGGGATTATTCAGGGTATTTATTGCATTGCCTCCCATGACTCGACTTTATAAAACCAATCGGACTGCTTCGCCTTCTTGTTGTTTTGCCATTCGCCCAGTCCTCGACAATTCCCTTGTCCTACCACTACATTTGCAATCCAGCAGTGGAATAAATACAGCTTGTTGAAAGCTTATACATACTTTACATTTCCAACTCAGTTGCTGCTGAGTATTGCACATTGACGATGGAGACTCGACAGTCTGCGCGCAAGCGCAGAAACAATTCCATCTCCGATTCAAGGAGTAATTCTCCAGTTTCGCATCGGACAAGAAATGCGGTAACTGCAGGGACAATGCTTGACATGCAAAAGGCTACTGCAAGTACCCCGAAGAAGGCTAGGAAGCGGGTCCGATTCTCCGATCCTGGTCCTAGGCTGCTTGATACTCCGGATTACTCGACCGGCCTGACACCTGCAATGAAACGCACCTCATTCAAAGAGTCGGACTCTGGGTGCTCGAGGTTTGCCACCAGCACACCTACTCGGCGAGCTCACCGGCGGAGGTCAGCTCCAACACCGCGCTTCCAGCGTGCCTTTGATCCGATTGAACAATTCGAAGACACAAGCAACGGAAGGGTGATACAGTTCACTCCCCTGCGTCAGATCCTAGACACTCGCACGCAGAGAAGGATACGACGCTTTGGTCTAAGTGACGAGATTAACAGCATTCAGCGCGAAAAGCGCGTCTCTGCAAATTTCGAAAAGACCCTTGATTGTTTACGGCAGGAGAGAGATGCTCTACAACAGGAACTGAATGCCTTGAAGCAAAGGCATGAAACTCCAGAAGACCAGCTGCCATCATACGAAACTTTTTGGATGTCCCCTCAGGTTCGCGTTCGTGAACTCGAACGTGAAACTACTCGGCTTCGCGATGAAATCTCCGTGGCATCCAATCACAGCCTGGATATGCAAGAACCATCAATTGACAACGACGGGGACACATTTGCCCTCAATGATAGTGCTCTCATCATGTCCAACTCACCGGATCTTCGTGGCATGCGTTATCCACACTCGCCAGTATCAAACAGCCCAATGATATTCGACGAAACAAATGCCGATGTCTCGACACAGACACAGGTCGTGGAAACGACAGAGGATTCTGATATGCAAACTCTCACGTCTGACTTGGAGACTGCCAGAAATGAGAAGAGGGAGCTGTTCAATGCGTGTCGTATGCACCTTTCTACCTTTGAGGCATCCGGCTTTGGTGATGCACTTCGACAATCATCTCCGCCTCCAGACTTCTTGGACAATGTCATCCATATTATGACAGCGGCGCTTTCTCGTGCCTCTGATGCCACGCAAGCACTGGAGGGTATCAGCCAAGAATGTTCCAGTTTAGGATTCACTGGTTCTAGCACCGACGAAGTGATCGATGATATGAAAGCTCACTTCCGGGCTGCGCGTATTGAACTAGAGCGAGCGATTCCAGGCGAGACTGCGAATGTGAGCCTCGAAGATGGAAAAGCCACCCTTGGTGCGTTGGTACAAAGGGTAAAGACTCTCGCGAACGACTTGAAAGCAGAGCGTGACCACTACAACGGCTCACTTGGCCGTGAGAAGGCTCTTCGTGGACAATTCGACAACCTCTTACACCGGTATGAAGCGGCCGCAGTTAAGATCAGCAACCTTGAAGACTCAATCGCATCATCTGCAAGCGATATGCTTCATACAAGAATGCGACTGCATGACCTCGAGAACGAAGACCAGGAGAAAAGTATTGGGATTGACAGATTAAACACCGCCCTCGACAAGTACCACGAAGACGTCAGGGGTCTGGAAGAGATGGTGAGCCGTTTGGAAGACGAGAATACGGCTACCAAGCAACGATACCGACAAAGGATTTCCGAGCTGAGAGCGCAACTCAAGAGTGAGCGCAATCAACGGTCTGCAATTGAAATCTCAACCTCCAAGAACGAAGCCCGTATTCGCCAGCTTGAAGAAACTGTGGAGCAGAACCACATTCGGACCTGTGATCTTACAACAGAGATGGAGGTTCTCGAGAAAGAGCACCAGACAGTACGTGAACGACTTGAGCGAGCATCAAGTGAGAAGCAACAACAGCATGAAGAAGAGACCGGAATCCTCAATGTCCGCATATCAGAGCTCACAACATCTCTCGAGGGCGCGAGATCAGAGGTTGATCGTCTGCAACAAGTCAACAACGGCCTCGAAGAGCAATTACGCATGGAGATGGAAGCTCGCGATGAACTCCTCGACAAATGGGCGACCGAACAAGCGCGCTCATTCGCCTTCATGAAAGAATCCGTCAATTCCGAACGCCGACGAGCCAAGGTGCGCGCTGCAAATTGGGAACTCAGATCAGACGATCTCATGTCGGATGGGACGACGATGATGGGTAGTGAGCCCATTACCCCTGTTAGCATGACTCGCTTTGTTGACGTGGAGATGGGGAGAGGCAAGAACCGTCGCCGTATGGATAGCGGCATTGGTATTCTCTCTGAAGATGACCTTCTGGAAAATGAGGGTCTTGCGGATCTAGGGCGTGGGGTTGATTCCGATATTGACCTGCCTGCTTGTGATCTTATTGGTGTATAGATGGGTCTTCCATTCCTTTCATTTAATTTAATTTTTCTTTTGTTGCATCTTTGAAGCCCTTCGTGGATATTTAGTCTCAGTAAGTCTTGAAAATCGTAATGGAACTACAGTAGAAGTTCTCCAAGGATGCGAGAAACAGTCCAGTTAGATTGGCTTGGCTTCGTTGTTTCAGAGGTTTTTGAAAATATACTTCGAAATATCTTTAGCAGAGATATCTTAGCCTATTATCCAACTCGAGTCTAATGAAGTGGTTTGGAAGTCTTCTTAGTGTTTCAAAACTAGTCTATCTTCAAGCTTCAACAGTAGGAGTCAACCCATTTAAGTTCCTATGCAGCGTTCCATCCAATTCATCACAGCCTCGGCCCACCTGGTGGATCCCCGGAAGTAAGCCTAGAATGATGTCATTTCATCGCCCCGGGTAAGGTGTTTGAAGAAAGAGAAAAGAATCACATTAGTTTCTGCAAACATGTACCCCAGTCACTCTTAAAATTGTATATGGCTTCGTGTGGTAGTTACAGATTTTTGTTCACGCAAATCAATCCCCGTAGTAGCATGAAAAAGAACGAAGGTGTGCATGGTTGCGCAGGAAACTCTATTCCATGATGGTAGGGCGACGTCAATGGATCGACGCGAATCTTGTTTGAAGCTTGAATTTAGATCATTTATCTACTCTCCACACCCAAAATTTCTTATACTTCCCCTCAACTCAAACATACCATCCTCGAAGCAACCATGGTACAGTCAGGAAAGCCATCAAAGTATCGTCTAGCAGTGACTGCGGGGCTGGATTATGACCCCGCGACACATAAACCAGTTGAAGTCAATGGCAAAACGCTGCGACTCGATGACGATCGTGCGACATTCGACTTGAACGTTCGCATCCAAGACTACACCGGTATAATGTCTAAAATGCAGTGTTTCAGAGAAACAATCACTAACAACAAACTAGGCTTCCCCGATTCTTCCCCCAAAACAAGTCCCTACTTCCAGCATCCCCTACACACAAACGACCAATACTCGATCTGTTTCTCCTTCACGCCAAAACAAAACATCAACGGAAACGACCTCCTCTTCGGCAACGATTTCGACAAACCCCTTCGCAACCGTCTACCCCCGGGCTTCAACGCAGCCCTGCGCGTCGTGAAATGGACCATTGATCCGTCTCTCGAAGGCGATGCATACGCCGATAAACCCTATCTTTACAGTCCGGCGCTGGCAACGTGGAATTATTTCCGAATTGGCGACAAGGATAAGAAGTCAGATGCGCTGATGGAGAAGGATCAAGTGGTTGAAGAGGGTGCTGAGGGGCAAGGTGTGGAGAAACGCGGTCAGCATAAGATTCCGGATGCTGCGAATGAGCGGCGGAAGTATTTCCAGAAGGAGGATCATCGGCTTGGGTTTGAGTTTGAGAGTGGGAGGACTTACTTGGCGGATTTTGGTAATCAGTACTTATCGTTCAGTGGTGAGTTGAGAATTCGTTCTTGATTTTTTGTTGATGTGGAGGGGGAAATGATCATCTGACACTTGACACCAGAAACTGCGATTCGCCTGCCAGGAATCCATATTCCCGTTGTGGGTATGGTCGATGAGGATAACCATGAACTGCGATACGTCCTAAAGGATTCTAATACAGGTCGCGCGTACCTGGTCGTCTGCTTCATACTCGTGAAGCAGGATCAGGAGTCAGAGGACAGCGAACAGGGACAGCAACGTGGGGACTGAGTCGTGGTAACCTCTGCTATTGCTCGTGCCTGACCAAGGGAACGATACTCAATAGACGCAACTACACATTCATATTCACCATGATAATCATTAGACGCAAACACACGAAATTTTTGATTCCTGCTACTATCTGTAAAGCTCATCTGCACCCACAACATTTTATGTACAAATTAATTTTCTTACAGTCTCTTGAGGACATCATCCAGGACCTGCTGAGTAGTGGCATTGCCGCCCATATCGGGGGAGAGGAACTTGGCCTCATCCAGGTTGGCATCAACAGCAGTGTAGATCTTAGCAGCAGCGTTGGGCTCACCCAGGAACTCGAGCATCAGAGCAACGGAGCGCAGGGTAGCGATGGGGTTAGCAATACCCTTACCCTCGATATCGGGGGCAGAGCCGTGGCAGGGCTCACCAATGGCGAAGCCGTCACCAACGTTGGCGCTAGGAACCAGACCCAGACTGCCGACCAGAGCGGCGGCACCGTCAGACAGGATGTCACCGTACAAGTTGGGGGCAACAATGACGTCGTAGTACTCTGGCTGACGGAAGAGCTTGTAGACCATGGAGTCGACAATCTGCTCCTCGACGTGGATGGAGGAGAACTTCTCGGCGGCAAGGGCCGCGCGCGCTGTCTCACGGAACAGGCCGTCGGTCTGGGACAGGACGTTCGACTTGTGGGTGATGGTAACCATGGGCTGGCTGTGGGAAGAGGTGCCAGGGGCAGCGTCACGGATACCCTGGCGACGCAGGGCGATCTCACCAGCGATGGTGGAGATGCGGTGCGAGGCACGCTCGGAGATACGCTTGATGGCCTCGGCGACCTTGCCGTTGGGACCCTCCACAGTGCGCTCCTCCTTCACGTACAAGTCCTCGGTGTTCTCGCGGACGATGACGAGGTCAATGGGCTTGCCGTTGCTGCTACCGGCGGTGGTCTTGACGGGGCGGACGTTGGCGTACAGGTCGAGCTTCTTGCGCAGAGCAACGATGGGGGAGGAGTAGCCGGCGACCTTGGTGCTCGGGGAGCTGGTAGGTGAGAAAGAGGTCAGTAAGTGGAAGCTACGCACGGCAAAGGTCTCAGTCTTGAGATGCTCACCTGACAGCACCGAAGAGAGCACCATCGCACTCCTTCTTGAGAGTCTCGACAGTCTTGTCGGGAAGGGCGGTGCCAGTCTTCTGGAAGGTCTCAAAGCCAGCATCGAGGTTGACGAAGCTGAAGTTGAGGTTCAGGGAGGAAGGCAGAGCCTCCAGAATGCGACGACCGGCCTATAGAAGGTCAATTGGTTGTTCCTTGCTATATTCCTCGGTCCTGTCGTGGGAGCTACCTACCGGGATGACCTCCCGTCCGATGCCGTCTCCGGGGATGAGGCCTGTCGAGTTTCAATTAGCCTCAATGCCAACTCAACTGGTAGCTTTCAGCAATTGAGCAGGATACACGTACCAATGCGAAGTGTCCGAGCAGCAGCAGCCATGGTGATTTATTCGAGGGATGCTTCCTAACTTCAAATTAGTCGCCGTCATCGGAGTCATTTCTTTTGTATACGGTGCAGGAAGATCATTGATCCGGCTTCACTCCGGGGTCCGGAGGAAAGCACGTTATTCGCCTATGACTCAAGCAAGACTCGATCATGACTCGAGCAGCAGCTTGTGTATCACTAACCTTGGGCATTATGACTACAATATTGTACTTGAAAATCGATTCATACGATCCGCATTGAAATTCATACTTTATCGACATGCTTAGTCGGGTCTCAAGTGCCGAGAGAGTGAAGCAGAAGATCGCCAGCAAACTACCTAAATTGGGACAGTTACCGCGAGCACAATTGGGCTGGGCTGATCTGAGCCTCTTCTTCTGCACTGGCTAGCTGTGACTAGTCGCACCCATTATTTCTGTTCAGTCGCCCTTTCTGACCCTTTCTGGTCTCCGGTTGATCATTGAACCAGACAATTAAGGTTCCGTGTCCAGCTGAATGTCTGCGCTAAACCCAAAATGGTCAGTAACCGCGATATGCTCCACCAGGCAATGGTCCATACCAGGTATACTGTACACCTAGAAGTAAATGGACAAGAATGAAAATTCAATGAGGGTCGACAAGTATTTAAGTATGGACCTCATCTGCTCTGTAGAATCATATGCAGCATACTCTCAGCAATATCAATATTAGCATCACCATGTCGTTCAATACTGATTCTACCACGGAGAGCTCAATCTCAATTGGCAAGCGTAACATTGCCATTGCTGAGCTTGTTATCTTTTCTCTTATCTTCATTCTTCAACTGCCAATCCGATACATGCAAGAGTGGCGCTATTGGCATCACAGAAAAAGGCAAAGCACAGCACGATGCCTCCTCTACTCCTGGTTCAGCATGATTGGAATATTGTCACAGAGTAAGTGGAACGCTACCATGTACAAATCATCAAAATATGCTAAATATCTATCCGCAGTTCGAATTGCTAGTTCTGCTATTATACTCTCGACATCGACCCCGACCGAGTCAATGCTCACAGCTGAGTCCTCTTTGCAAAGTGTAGGCCTCTCGCCGCTTTTCTTCGAAGTCAGCCTTGTTCTGCTGCGATGGTACGTAACAACCGCATATACGATCAACCTCCAAACAATGCTAATACAATTCTTCCGTTATAGTGGCCAGGCCGGTGAACATGGGCCAGGAAAGTCGAAATACCCCAAGTCACTGCGTATCATGATGCATGGCTTCCGATTTCCAGTCGCAGTGGCCATCATTCTAGGCGTGGTCGGCGGAAGCATTGAAATGCCTGCCCTCGGTAAAGCCGGGTCGATTGTTCTCATCGTCGTATTTGCTTTTGTCTGCGGCTTGGTTTCTTGGCTTGCGGTCAAGTCTCGCACAATCTTGACTCCGGCAGGCCACCGCGGTATCCTGTTGACCTCCTGTACTTTGCCTTTCTTGCTGGTCCGAGTCATTTACTTCTTGTTGTTGGAGTATGGACCTTCAAAGTTCAACCCGGCAAATGGTGATATTGCTATCTTGGCTGGTATGGGGCTGGTGATGGAGATCTTTATCGTTTCCTTGTTGATGGCGGCTCGGACTGTGGCGGAGCCAATTTCTGGGCCGGCCGGTATGAAGCACATTACATCTGTTGACGAGGAGCAGAGTGGAAACTGAGGGGTAGTAGACTGGTATTCTGGGTTTCTTTTGGCAGAATGTTTGGTTGTTCAGATGATTGGAGTGTTGGTAGTTCTCGTTAAGTGACATTTGATGACAAAATGGGCTCAAAATTCTTGGGTTGTGACGCAGCATAGACTTTTGAGAATTGATATAGACGAGCCAATATCCATGATCTTGTCGTAGGATCTGCGACCTCGATGGCAACTCGTAGAGGGAAACCCAGTCGATAGGGACCAAGGACACCGACACTACTATATTCAACCGATCGACAAATTTGATCACGGAAGTATATCACCATGGCGGCTTGTGGACCGGAACAGCCAAAGTTTTTCAGAACTTCGTGAATGATGATCATGTAGGCATAGTAGCTGCAGTAGATGGTCGCTTGAGTCATATCCGAGTATGTCAAGACAATCGGATACAATGGGTCGTCAGTCGAAGTGAGAGTTTCAACTGGCGGGGGAGCAATTTGAGAGAATTGCTCGTACCACAATGTCAATTTTCCCTGCATATCGAGTGCCTGTTCCAAGGTGGCGGATATGATCTGTAGGGCTTCTGGAGTGGTAATGTCGATTTCCTTGAGATGATAGAACTTGTGTACCAGGCTTGGGGCGTATGTAAAGTAAGCAAAGAATTGCTCGATACAATTGTGAAGATCGGGCGAGATGCCAGGAGCACGTTGTTGCCGCATCATCTGATGCCACTCCTCGGTTGCTAGGAAGCAGGGTTCACCAGAAAACATTGAGTGCATGACCTGGTACTGTCAGAAATGGTTAAAGAACATCTACTATGGGGCAGAACTTACGATAAGCCCTCGAGAAACCTTCAGAAGTGTTATGTCCAAATCATTACGGTAACGATCAGGCCCTCTGGTTCTGACCAACTGACCAAGTCCTTTTGCATGCTTCATCCAGGACTCTGGGTCCTCGGTGTCGGTAAACAGCTTGATGGTGTCAATTTCGACTCCTGCATCCTTGAAGACATAGAGAGGATATTTTCCTTACCTCGTACATGCACAGTAGTACAACGGTGTAGAAGACATGTGAAGAGAGACATTCGGAGGGGTCCTTCAAAGACTTTCGGAGTCTGAATAGGGCCTCTCCATAGGCAGATCGAGCATATGCAATCATCTGTTCATTTTGAAAGACCTTTCCAAAATGATGTGCTGTAAATGACTTGATCGAAGCATCCAGCGCCTGGTTATGTCCGTAGACCGAAGGTAGGAAACTAAACCATTGGGAAACGAGGTGCTTCTGAGAGGCTGAAGCTGGCTGAGAGAACTCATTGATGAGAGCTGCTAGGCTCCGCATAACATTGACATCTCCGTATACCAGAGACCACGGCTGTTCTTTCAAGACAACTGCCTGGCGGCTGTCTTGGGAATGGTTGCCTGCATTTGGGCTCTCGGTCTTAGACTGCTGTTCGCTGAGTGACCCAGTGACTGTCTTTGATTTTTGCCTTGGAGTACGATATGGCTTTCCAGCAATGAACTTGAAGCCCCTATCATATCCTGGGCATGGCTTCCCGTATTTCTCGCATCTAGCGCACCCAGTGAGTCTTTCATCACACTGTGGCATAGTCAGTACATGCGCTGCTCAGTTTCGGGACATATGTGTCATACTTTGATGCGACGCTTCACACATGTAGCACAACCGCTACTGTGAGGTACTCCGACCATCTTTGATCATCCATCAGTAGAGATAGGAGTCATAATGATGAATCTCGTATAAGTGCGTACTCACACTCCCCATTCCATAGCTGCTGACATAATGTCGGTGATTCATTAGACCGGTCCGACTCAACCATGGAACTAGCCATGGCCAACTGTCAAATCTACTACATGTCTATGATGGGAAGATACATGGACATTGATCTCATGTGAGATATTATCATGAGAGGCCTGTAAGTATCGCGTAGAGAATTATTGCTCCACATGAAAGCAGAAGTGCCTTCCTCTGTGTACATGCTGGGACTACAGTATGTTTGAAATTCTAAAGGATCTGAAGGATCACCCTAAACATAGTGGTGGGGATTTACATGTTCCCAATTTCCCACTAGGCAATCTTCTAGAACATGACTAGCATCTGAAAGGAGATGATATAGTTCTGGAGGACGGAGTACTCTACTCTCACTAGTCTACGGAGTAGTTCCCGGACCATGGTTTTGTCGCGGTCGGAGTTTGGGACGCGATCCATTGTTTACACTGGGCTTTTTTGTTTTCTTTGATGTGTTCAGTAAGGAGGTGGCACTATTGGACCATGGCACCAGAAACTAGAGTTAATGGATGTGGCACATGCATATTTCTTTTACTGAGGTAGCTGTTTCGCAGCACAGATCATAGAAGGGACATGCACGGGACCTAACTGCAGTCAGCCAGGCGAGATGAGGCCATGTTTCCAGGAGCAAAGACCAGCATGAGATCATAAATCCACTGTTACAGACAGATGAGCCCCGAGACCTCTGGGTTGGCCCCTGAAAAAAGGAGGGGACCTCTACTTTAGTACTGTAGGGCGAAGTTGTTTCACCCCATTGGACGCGCTAACATTCGCTAGCGTCGTAGCGTCCGGATCGGCCTCTCCTCTTTAACCTTCCCTTTCCACTCCCCATACTTGCTGTTCGCAACACCGTGTTCTCTCATTACTACAGTATCGTCCTCTCTTACGGCCTATACCCCAGGAGGGGGTTCCAGCGGGATCAATCATTACATTCAAGCCCCGTCCCACCGTCAGCAACGCGCCGCGGTGCAGTCAACGCGTCCCCCGATTTCCCCTCAGTCCCACCCCCATGCCCCTGACCACTTAACCTTGTGTCGCCATTTTGGAAATCATGTCGGACAACGCCCATCCTGGTGTTCGCAGCCTGCTGGCCAAGTTCGAGAACAGCCAGAGCCCGATTACCTCCCCGCCGTCTCGTGGCCGATCCCCCGTTGGCTCAGATACCCCAGGCTCGGCCAGGCAGCTGTCCAAGGTTCGTGCCAGCTTTGTGACTGTGGATGGTGCCATCCAGTCAAGCCCTGGCTCGCCATTGAGAAAGACCAGTGGTCGGAGTGACAGCCCGGGAATCTTCGGACCCAAGATCAATGCGGACGAGATTGAGTCGCGACGCCAGAACAATGTCATTTCTCCGACGCCTGGTGGGCATGGCAAGTCTTACACTGGCATCCTTGATGGTGTGGTAGATGAAGCTCAGCCTGAGAAAGCTGCAATTGCGACAAAGGAGCGCAAGGTCAGCGACAGTCAACGGACGACGGCATACACCGACAGTGCAGCTCCGCCAGAGGCTGCGCCGGCAAAGAAGGAAGCGCCGGTCTCCAGTGCGTCAACCATCACGGACGAGAAAGCGAAGACTGGACCGAAAACAGTAACCAAGCGACCCTCCAATGTCCACACTGCCAAGCAGAACACTACAGCCAAGCCGTCTACCTCATCAAGAACAGGCGCCAACAATGGAACTGCCAAACCTACCTCGGCCCGCGAAGTGGCCAAGGAACGGGCCAACGCTCTTGCTCACAAACCCAGTCGCCCTTCACTAAACCCTGCAACCAAGACCACCACCCGGGCGACGCGGGGCGCAACCCCATCCGCCGACGCTCACAAACCATCTACCGGCAGCACCGTCAACAAAGCTCGATCCAAATCCCCAACCAGACCCGCTCGCCTACCAAGCTCGATGACCGCACAAACTCAATCATCCAATGCCAAGCATGGAAGCGCTGGACCAGCGACGGGACGGGCCGAAAAGCCAGCCGCAACTCTCACGAGAAAGCCATCTACGCTCAAGAGTGCGGCAGGCCCTACGGGAGCCGTTCGGCGGCAACCATCTCGCCCTTCCCTCCCCGCGCAGACCGCCCCTGAGCGGCCCAGCTCTCGCGTTAGTGAAACTGGCGCAAAGCCCGTCAATGAAAGTTTCATTGCCCGAATGATGCGCCCGACGGCTAGCTCCGCTAGTAAGACCCACGAAAAACCCGATATGAAGCCTCTTCCAAAGTCTGCAGCTTCCAAGGCTCCTCGGCCGTCAATGGGACGACCCTCAGACCGTGGCGTGGCTCAGGCAAAGGCCAAGCCCGCGGCTTTGAAGCCACAGAGTGAGAAGTCTCAGCCTGCGCGCAAGGAGGCTCCATTGAAAAAGGAAGAAGTGAAGGCCCCTCGACAGAAGGAGGAAAGTGACAAGGAGAACATTGAGGATGTCGCTGCTGCGATTCCTGAAGAACCTTCTGTCACAGAGACCAATGATGCCATCATCGATGAACCCGAGCCAGAGGTCTCTGCCGAGGATGTCGTTGAGGATGTCGCCGAGAAGCCAGCAGAGTCAACTGTCGCGGAGGCCGAGCTCGAGACATCCTTGGAATCAATCGTGGAGCCCACTGAGCCGTCTGTCGAACCAGCTGCCACGGAAGCTGCAGTTGAGGTTTCCACTGAACCTGTCTCCACAAAAGCTCCAGAGGGATCTGATCATCAGGAGGAGACAACCGAGGATGTTGAGGTTCCTGTCGAGATCCCTGCTATTGAGACTACGGAGGAATTGCGTGAGCAGGAAGAAGAGGCGCCTGCTGTGAATGCTGTGGAAGATGTACCCGCCGAAACCCCAATTGAGACCAATGGTGAGGAGCAGTCTTCTGTCTCGCAGCCTGAGCCAGAACCACCCAAGGAGGAAATCCTTGAGGCTGTTGTCGAACCCAGCGAGCCTGTCGTTGCCGAGGATGTCACCATCCCTGAAGAAGACCAGACTCTCAAGGCAGAGCCCGAGGTCTCTCAGCAGACCGAGGCTCCTGCCTCAACTTCCATTGACGATGCACCCGAGATCACGGAGGATACGAGCGAAGCTCACCCTTCCGAGAAGATTCAGGAGCCTAAGGAGTCTATCCCAGTTGTGGAGTCTGCAGCTTCCGCCAAGTCGGATACCGTCGACATTGACTTTGCTAACCTGGCTCTGAGCTAAATTCGCGATTTACTTTCTGGGACAACACATTCTAATATTTTGTGCACGGTCATACCCTTGGTTCCTTCTTCTTCAACAAGCCCCAGGCTTGTTTCATACCCTTTGGCTTTTATCCGATTTATTGTTCCTGTGGGCATGTAACCTCATTTTACCAGGGGTCTTTTGTTCTACGAGCGCTCTTGGTTTCTTGCGCTACCTTTGTCACTTCCCATGACACTCTAGCTGGAAGTCTCCTGTGTCGCTGTTACATTTTTGAGTTGATATCGAGAGCATATGGTTTTATTGAGCGATTAAGTTTGCATTCTTCGGTTGAGCATATTACCTTCTATTTCTTGTCATTTGTTACCAAGAGCGTACTTGGTCTTTGTGTATTAGTAGGGCAATGCAATTTTGCCAATTTGAAAGTCTTTCCCAGGATCTTCGTTTGGCATAAAGAGAGGTTTGAAAGTATCATTATATATTGTGGCTGCTTCAGTCCATTGTAATTCCATTCATCTTGTTTACACCAAGAATACGAATGCGAATCGGAGGCGAAGAAAATACCGCTGAGATGCAAGAAAATAGCTCAAAACCAGAATGCAAGTCGAAAAAAGAAAGGAAAAGAAAAGAACCCTCTGCCAGAGACAAGCCATCATCCATCAAAGCTTCTTCTCCAATTTCTTAAAGAACCGATTCACACCACTCTCCAACTTCATCGCATTCTCCTCAAGCTTCCTCGGCCGCTGTCCGGGAGCCTTCATCGCCTTCTGCGCATACTTCTGTCCATGCCCACCAGCCTCCGCCTCTGTCGGCCGATACAGCTGACTGTGGATATCATACCCCCGGAAGAACTCGCCTGCTGGCCCTGGGGCTGCGCATACGAGTAGTTCGAGTACCCACCAATCTGAACTGCCGGACTGACCTGCTGCTGAGGCGGCGACTGAGGGGTTCCGTAGACTTGTTGAGCGTAGAGATGTGCGTTTGGATCTTGGGGTGGTGGTGCGAATGACATTGTGCCCTGGCCTGGGGTGCTGGGCCAGGTTTGGCCTATGTGGAAGGATTGTGGGTATCCCGGGATGGACCCGGGGCTTTGGACGGATGGTTGAGATGGGAAGGAGTTTGTGTGTATTAGGCCGGCGCTTGGTGGTGGTGAGGCATAGCCTGTTGGGGCGATGGCTGGGGCGCTCGAGTAGGATGGTATGCCTTGGGCGGAAGTTGGTGGGGGTGCGAATGAGCTGAGCCCTGGGGTGCTGCCCATTTGGTGTGGAGATGTGTATGGGATGCCTTGGTCGGCTGCCAATGCAGCTGCGAGGCCGGTTCCTTCGGTGCCATCTTCTGGAGGGGGAGTCTTTTCACGGTGCTTGATTGGCTCTGGGGCTGCGGGAGCTGCAGGATTGTATGGGAGGGGAGCGAAGCCGGCTGAGTCTTGCTTGTCTGCTGTAGAAGCCTGGGATCCGGAATTGACGGATTGTTGATCGGCTGTTGGCACGCTAGGAGGTGGAGGAGGGAAGCTCATGGCCTGTGGAGGGCCTTGTGTAGCTGGAGCTCCGACAGCAGGCTCTGATCGAGAGTTGGGGGTCTGTCCATTCTGGTAGGCTGGATCGGAGACAGCCACGCTCTCGAGTTGCTGAACCACCGAGCTCATCGGCGGATCTAATTGAGCATTTGGCCGGTCTGTCTGTAGCTGAGCGGCGGGCAGCACACGACCGACCGTGTCCAAGAATTCGTTGGTATCGTCTATTGTCCAAAAATAGATATCAAGTGTATGCAGTCGATGTAGCTCATGCTGACCACTGCGCGGGTCTGCCCCTGGTAATCGCCAGTCATGCTGAGAGACCTGCTGCGGAGGCAGCCCAGCAACTCCGTCCACGGTCACCGTGCAGTGAGTTGGAAAATGGGTCGAGTGTCGAACATGCACGTTATTCAACACCCCGTAGAATGCATCCTGGTCTGGAGTTCCAGGGTTGTTGGCAATCTCGATCCGTGCCCTATTCTGGGACGCATCGTGGTATACATATAGATATGAGCCTTTATCAAATCGGTGGTGAAGAGGCCTCGGGGTTGGAGCAGTGAAATAGTAATGAATGTCGGCGAAGCTAGAGCATTACTCGGGTTGTTAGAGCTCGTCCACCAGCAACGTGTGGCACATTGCGGGGGTGCACCTGCGGGGATCGTTAGCTCGACTCACACAGTTAAGAGACGCTCTTCGCCCGGTTGTGGAGGCATGTTTGCCTTGGACAGTATAAAGTTGAAGATGCGGGGAGGTGGAGGGTTGGGGGAAGGTGTATATATATTATACGAGAAAATCAATCGGACGATTGGGGACTTACGCTATGCAGCTACCTTTATAAACGAGGGGTCGAATGGTCGGAGGCTGTGAGGTGCAGCAGCCGCCGAGTTGGACTTGGGCGCTTAGAGAGTGTGATGTGATAGGAAGTGGGTACTCACGAAGTAGTACAAAGTACTGAGTACCAATCATACGCAAGTTCCCCACGAGTAGGGAAAAGTACCGAGTACCAGGGGACACGAAGGGGTGGGAGTCAACTGGCGAGTGCTCGGTCGGAAGCTCGGTTTCTCCGAAAATTTCCATCGCGAAGAGCTGCGGTCTCGCGATTTGGCTCGACTCCGACCAGTGTGACCAGTGTTACCAGTCCAGCTTCACTCAATTCCTCTACCCTCGCCAGCGCGTCGTGATTCTGACTCCCTCTGTTCTTCGGGACCCTCCGTGAAATTCACTCGATCACGTCCTCGAGCGCCATCCGGCCAACGTCTGCTCTCCGCACTTTCCTCCTTCCCCGTACAAAGGCCCCGGAAGGGCCAATTGCTCGCGACAACCGCTCAACATGTCTCTCGTCAACCTTGCCTCCGTGTGCGCCCACCTGAACAATGCCACCAAGGCTCGCCTGGGTCTCACCTCGATCCCTAATAGCAACCTCCACCTAAAGCTGTGCCAGGCCCTCCAGAACTCCGGCTACATTTCCTCCGTCGTGCGCGGTGGCCCGACACCTCCTCCCACGCATCCTATCCTTGGCCATCCCACCGCAAACGATGAGGTTGAGGGTGTTGAGCCCATCACTCGTGATAATGTCGCCTCCCGTCGCCTCTGGCTGGGTCTGAAGTACTGGCAGAACGAGTCCGTCCTCGGCAAGGTGAAGTTGGTCAGCAAGCCCACACGTCGGGTCCATCTCAATGTCGAGGAATTGCGCCGGGTCGTCCGTGGTGAAGAAGCCGGTTACGTGGCTGGACTTCGATCTCCTGGTGAAAGTCTCTACCTCTCCACGGACCGTGGAGTCCTGGAGGCTCGCGAGTGTGTGGAGAAGAAGCTCGGTGGCCTGGTCCTCTGCCGGGTGCTATAAGCTCGTGGATGGTAAAAAATACCGGTTTCTCTTCGCTGTTTGCTGGAGGAACTATCTTTTAGGGTCACTTTGTTCTTGTCTTTTGCATTTACCCTGGAGTTTGTCGGTTTGTCGCAGCGGGGTCTCCTCTTGGGATCCGTCTTCTTTTTGCGACTGTTAGGATAATTGCCTCGTTCGAGGATGTCTGTATATTAGATGTTTGCGTTTATCGCATTTCCAATGCTCTGCTGGGGGTGGTTGCGGAGCTGCCGCTTTACCACGGCGCCATGTATAGATTACGATTTGAAAACATGTCCAGATTCTCTGCTTTCCATGGAGTGTGCTTCTCTAGATATCTTGTCTATATTTCTTACACTTTCTCCCGTTATTTGCTCTGGAAGCAGAATGAACACATCTGCTTGCCTGCCGATCCAGTGGTTGCACATCACTTCGCAGTCACGCGCCCTGGTCGATCCCTGGTTCGCCGCCCGGCGAGTATAAAACCTCAACCAAACTGCTCTCTTGGTGGCTTGCGACACTCCAAAACTCGATAATGCCTGAAAGAAGCATCTTGAACTCAAGGAAAGTCCTCGTATCTGGCGGCACAGGATTCGTGGGCGCTGGTATAGCGCGCAGCTTGGCGGACAAACACCCTGGTTGCACCATTACTATCATTGACCTGAGTCCGCCGCAGCCCCAAAATGCCTTGCCAGAGGAGATTGAATTCGTGCAAGTCGATGTCACTTCAATGGCTGAAGTGAGAAAGACACTCCAAACGTTCAAGCCGGACATTGTCATTCATACTGCAGGGATCGTGCCAGCTCTTGCCGACCGGTTTGGACGGCGACTGGAACGCGACGTATGGTGGACCAATGTCCAGGGTACAAAAAACATGGTCGATGCAGCCGTTGAATGTGGCGTCAAGGCGTTCATCTACACCAGTTCCTGCTGTGTGACGACAGATGACATGAGGTTTCCTTATCCCAACATTAACGAGGAATGGCCAACGTCACCGACCTCTCTGATATATGGCGAGTCTAAGGTTGTTGCCTCATATATACTATCTTGCTTGAGTATGGAGTGGGAAGAAGAAAGAAAAAGCTGACCAATGCCAAATAGGCTGCAGCAGAGGCTCTAGTCCTGCAGGCGTCCAGCGGTCAAATGGCGACCTGCTCTCTCCGGCCCTCGGTACTCTTTGGACCCGGAGACTACCAGCTGATTCCATCCATTCACGCGTGCATTTCCAGATATCAGACTCCATTCATCATTGGAGATGGATTCAATCTGTGGGATGTCACGCATGTGAGCAACGTCGCCGATGCTCATGTCCTCGCTGCAGAAAACTTGATAACATCGCGTACCGCGGCGGGTGAGGCATTCTTCATTCAAAATAACGAACCGATCACATTTCGTGATTTCTGCCTGGCCATCTGGGCACAGTTCGGGCATGTTCCGCCCTTCGAAATTCATATCCCGGAGGCACTGGCGTATGTGGCAGGGTTTGTGTGTGAATTGGCCACTTGGGCAACGAGATCTTCCACTACCCTGAGCCGTGGAAGTGTCCGGGATGCATGCGCCATGCGATATGCCTGCGGCGATAAGGCCAAGTTCATTCTGGGGTACGAACCTCGGATTGGCATTGAAGAAGGTATCCGGTTGAGCTGTGAGGTAAGCACATAACGGAAGGATCCAAGACCCCCTCTTGTCCCTCTTTCCCCTCTGTCTACGGTCCGTTTAACGTCAAATGGTTGCAAGAATTAGCAACTGACTTCAGACGTAATAGGAGTACGCTCATCGCATCGGAGTAAATCTACCACTACATCGACCCTAAAACTGGAGGTGGTACTCCCGGTGATAAAACATTTAGATAAATTTCCTTGCCATTTGATAGTGTGTTAGTCCGAGCTGAGGAATGGATACCCGGTACATGAACCCCGATGGATATGATTTCACCCCAAGTCTCCGCCGGCTCCATTCAAGAGGCGTATTTTAGCGCAGTTTCAATAATTGCCACTCCACTCCTACAGACTCTACGGAGTAGATTCGCAAATCCCTCCATTCCCCACTGACGGGGTCGAAGGTATCTAGAACCTAAAACCCGCGTTCCTCCTGTCTCCGATGTAAGACATTGGGCGGGCCATTGGGCTGCAAGGCGGTCCTCAACTGATTGTAGCTCAAGGCGGCTCTCCACCTTTCCACCGAAGTGTAGTCTGTGGCCCGGGTCGATCACAGTTGAGATATAGAGATGGTCCATGCGTTGATTGGGCCTCAACGGCCGTGCATGCCCAATCGCATAGTATCCTGTGCGATCGAAGCGCATGGAAAGGGGAGATACCTGAGGAATCTGAGATCCCACTGAAAGATCACAGAAATGTCGTGAAGAGCAGCAAAAAGCAAGCAGGAGCCTTCGACGTCACGGGAGCGGCATGTGCTTCGCCTCCACCGTCAGGCTCATCTTTTGCTCGTCTTCTCCTTTCCACCCTCCTTGTCCTCTATGCAGATCTTCCACCTGCGCATTTGGGTCGTCATCATCCAACAAGATGCGAGGCCTGACTGTTCCATCATGTCCTCCTACCCAACTTGCTGCCCAAGCTTGCGGCCCGGGTCCCTTGTCACACCAGGTTCGAGTGGCGTTGGCTGTTGGTCTTTGCGACCCCCCTAATCAATGAAGATCGGAACGTCTGGATAGCAAATTCATCCCCCATTTGATCCAAGGTGGATACATCCCCCTTTCTCTCCATTATCCAAGAGCCGCCCCAGATCGTCGCAAGCCACCGTAGAATCAAGGCATCTAACGTACTGGAGTCGAACTCGATCGATCGAGATCCGCTCCGGATGCACGCTATTATGGCATAAAGTTGCTATTAGGTACTTCCCTGTCCCACTGATGCAATTGGATGCGATCAAGGAAGAGTACCCATCCCACGAATGCGATATTTGCCAAATTACTTGCTCCACTCCTTACCTTTGAAGGTCTTCTAGCGCGGCTCTTCATCCACTGGCGGGCTCGGATTTACCAGTTCAGGAGGAGGCGTCAGGCACACCTACCAAAATGCTCGACCCGGGTTCTCCTGGATATATATTACTCGGTTTGTGACCAGCCAGCGCTTCCTCACCAATGCGGATTCGTCTATCTTGTCTACACTCATCCCCCGGCTCTTAAAAATAGACCTGACACCCCCTCCGTTGCCTTGCTCTCGCTCTTCTTCTTACTTTATTTGTTACCGTGATCACCTGTCTTCATGGTTCCTGCCCTATCCCACCCTCTGACAGCTGTTCCAGTTGGTTTCCAGCCACTATCTGCATCGCAAGTAACCCTCGGTTCTCGAGCGGGCTCGGTCAGTAGCAAACTGGATATCCTGTCTCGCCCTAGGTCAGCACAAATGAAAACCACCCCGCGCCATCCTTTCCCTTCTCCTTCTTCATTTCATCCTTTCATCCTCTTTTGCTCTCCCTTCAAAGTTTGTCCAGGGTGCTGTACACATACTCACACTTTATTACAGCGCCATGGCTCAGCATCCTATGTATGCTCCAGCGGGAAACTCTCCCGTCATTCATCGACCAAGGTACTTCCACACTATACATTCCGACCTTTCTCATCCCCGAACTTCTCAGAAAAATATCACCAAATCCCTTCAAATACACGTGCTAAGTGGCAGAAGGGCGCCTTCGGCACCTCGAGCCTACCCCAGGGACAACCGCCAGCTCGTACCACTGGGAACCATAGATTTTGAAGCACGCGCTCAGTACCATGGATTTTCATCCCCTATGGATAGCCACGGCCACATGATTCCTCAGCCCACTGGAAGAGTGTCCTACCCTCCGGCTGGACAGCCAATTACCCCGGTCCCAATGTACTCTGACTGGAACCCATCCCCACACATGTCGCACGAGCCACTGCGTCATGATATTAGGCCACTAAATCCCTCGGAGAGCCCGGAATATATTGTGGAGAGAAACAGCCGTCGAGCCTCGGATGCCAGCCGTGGAGGAACCCAGTACATTTCCCAGAGACGGTCCTCAAACCGGGATGAATTTGATGGCCCGCACCAAATCCTGGATGCGCCTTCCTCTCGGAACCTCCCAGCCCGGGAGGAGGAGCTGCCCCAGCTCCCTACTAATCTCGATGCCGCAGAACAAGACAGAATCTTACACGAAGTCAACGACCGCCTGTCTCAGTGCGCGTTTGACTTCTTTGCGAGATATCAGTTCCCTATTCCCATAGAACAGGACAAGAGGCGGGTTCAGGTCCCCTCGGACCGGGAGTGGAATGAATGGGTGCACCTGCTGAAGAGGCTGGCCACTCGTCGGCGCATTCCCCGCCATGCCCTGCACAATGGCCAAATCAAGCAGCTCATTACTGTGCTGGAAAACTCCCTGGAGATGCGCCACGCTGCCAAGCACAGCTCTCGACCCGTCAAGGATGACCGTAATGTGCTGCAGCTCATCTCGGCTGGTACGCAGGTTGCCAAAATTCTCAAGGACTCTAGCGCTATGCAGTTCTTCGATTGTCTTTATGTTGACACGGAGAAACTGATTAGCGAACGCCGCCGCCGGGTGAGATTCGCGGACCACTGAATTCGCCGGATGCATGTCTTTCCTTAACCCTCGTTAAAATGTGGCCTTGTCATTACTTTTTGCCTGGATTATCCTGCCTTGGACCATCTAGCTTTTTGATGTTTCACGTGCCCACGGATCACATTGTCTTTTCTCCATTGTCCACTTGGAAGACTACCGAGGAACATTCCCTATCCCGGCTTCCAGATTTTTCTTCTCTACTATCCCAGGACTTTGCCCAAACCTCCTGGCTACCCACAGCCTTGGATCTCAATCTATGAAGGGACGCCAGGATACATTAACAACACCTGAAATCAAACCCCATACCCAAACTCACCACCTACTCTGACCTTGAGTGAAACTGCTTCCTACTTTGGATGAGTTACAGACTGCGGGGTCATATATTGGTTTACAACTCATCGGCAGCAACAAGGAAATGGCAAGTTATAGTTATGTATGTGAAGTACGACACTCTTCTTGGATTTTGAATATGTCTTGTCTTGATTATTTTTGTTGGAGTCTCTTGCTTTTTTTTGATCGGGTTGGCTGTGTCTTATACTTTTTTTGTCTGTTTTGATTTCATGTGTTATCCGATTGGCATGACTATTATGAAGGATTTACGGGATAATGCTGGTCATCAATCTGTTCAGAGATATGTCAACGAAATCTCACTTATTGTTCTGCCTGCTTTGCAGACTAGACTACCTGCTCTCTTCCATGTCACTGACGGAGGGATAAAGACGGGTCTGGTTTTCCATGGCGGTTTTGAGAGAGAATGAACGGGTCTCTTTCCGTCGATTGTTGAACTAATGTTGACTTATCATATCCCTCGCATCTGCAATCTGAAAATGATTCGGCACTAATTTCTTTACGGATACCCCGAAATCCTGACTTGGTCTGAGACTTATGTAGCATGGACTGATGCACCCCGCGCTTCTGTTTAGCGATTAGTATGGTGGTAGCAGACGTTAACTGTCCTTGCATGATCTTCCAAGCTCTACGAAAAACTAATCTTGAATCACATCCTACTTGGCTTATTGGCCATCAGGATCTTTTCGATCTATTCTCTTGTCAATAGGGTGGATTTTGGGGCATCTCAACCTACCCCTTTCCCTTATTATTTCCCCCTTTTCTCCTTAACAATCACTCGCATATCCCAGATGATTCTAGTAGTCCTTATTCGTCACCACACTTACTAGTTCGTTCGCTTCTTGAAACATCACCCAGAATGGATCCAGCAAGTACAAGACGAAATCCAACCTAGATTTCACCCTGTCAACATTCCGTTCCTGGTCTTCTGGATGGGGCACAATATTGTATCCCAGAGCAATCGTGAAATAACAATTCGTGACCATTGATCGCTTGACCAAACGATGGCTTGGTCAGTAGTGCTGCTATCGCCACTCTGAACCACCGTGTACGTGTCACCAAAGCTGCTATCGATGGAGCCTGGCGGACCATCAAGCATTAGGAAGCCGTATGGGTCCGCCCCATAGTCGGTCGAGCTCGCGCCGCCGTGCCCATTGTCTGAGTAGGCCCAGTCAACGTCCGAGACCTGAGTGGTATAGGCATTCTCCCATAAGTCATCGGGATTGACCGGCCAGTCTGTGCCATTGTCGTTGGCGGACTGCGCGGGGTTATGTCCCCCGACGTTGACTTTTACCCTCGGAGATTGTCCTCCATCAGGCCTCCAACGCAGGTGTTTCATGATCAACCTCATCCCATCGCTTAGAAAGTTGGTGGGTCTCCCAGTCCTTGCCGTAGCGGCTGCCCTCCCACCAGGCGTGCATGCAATCCTGGCCCGAGCATAGCATCCCATCGGCGGCCTGCAAGTCCTCAGCGCCGGCCAACCGGGAGTAAAGTAGAACATGGCCGCGGTCGTCGATATACACGAGCAGCACGTCCCTCGGGCCATTATTTGTCTCCTTGTCATAAATAAGCACATGGCTCCATTTGGCCGCTAGGTGAAAGATCGACAGAGCATAGTCAAAACTGTCCACGCCGGCCTCGATAGCCTCATCTCGTGTTCTCCGCTTCCTCTCATTGTACCAAGCAGCAAACCCTGGTGTCTCCTCGACGATTTGTGGGATACGAGTTAGGATACTATGCAGCGACTGTAAACCGTCGTTGGAACCCGCATCGTAAAGCGCGGCATCGTCGAAGACTGCTCCGTCGTACTCGGCCTCGGAAATCAGCTTGGCCAAGTTTTCTTCCGAGTCTTCGCCAAAGAAAGTGCATATGAGACGTGTATAGCTGACTCCTCGGCGGTCTGACGCCCTGCGGACCCGAACGAGGAGATTCTTCTTGTCCTCTGTAATATCATCTTCGCTGAGAGACATCTCGAGTCGCTCCACATACGGCTAAAAATCATGATTAGCTATTGCTCCTGCACGTAGGGTGCCTAAGATTGACTACCATACGGCCATGCGACCCAAGCCCTAGCCACTTGCTAAAAATCGCTGAGCGCTGTGCATCGTCGGGGATGGTATGGACAATTCTCCATTGGTCCTAGCAGACAAACCTATAAGTGTCTCACTTCGTTTTATGTCTCGAGGGGTTTCTGTATGTGATCACCAGGAGATACAGGTCAGCGGCATGGATTATCACCGTCTCCTGGACGTGGGAGCGTTTCAGGGCGTAGGTCGCTAGGCATTATGGATTTGTGGACAAAGAGGGGCTGGAGAGGGAATAGCGTTGCAATCTTAGTCCCTTTTGTACCTAGGCGGAGTCGCCAGGAGAGGTTAATCCAGGAAGAAGTGCGAAGTCAAACTTGTGCTGCGAAGTGAAAGGTGAAAGATGCAAGGCTAATACATAATAGTTCCCAACATCCCCAGACAGGAAACCGGACTCGAGGCGGGGTGATGTCCTCTAACACAACAGCCACCACAGCCAGCGCATCCTCCACATCCGTCTCTAGAGCCCCAGAGCAGACCGGAATTGCCCCTCACTGTAAGTCGTTCTCTCAGTACAGCATCCTGATTGGGACCTTTCATTTTCAGAGCTGAAAAATGTAGGTGTTGCGTATTATGTCGTCAAGAGTGGTGATTCCTGCGCCGGCATTGTAGCAGGATTCGGCAACTTCACCATTGCTCAATTCTACAGCTGGACCCTGGCTGTCGGCTCGACCTGTTCATACCTCGATATTGGTGGTTGCACTCTTCCCTCCCCCTGAACCACGTCCTCACGGCAGCTCACCCAGCGATACAGGTGACGCCGTTTGTATCGGTTCCGCGAGCAGCACCTCTGCATCGTCAGCGACGACAACAGCGACGTCAACAGCGACAGATACCACGGGCACAAGCACACTTGAACCAACCACCGACCCCAGCTGCATCAAGTACCACAAGGTAGTCGCTGGAGACACCTGCGTTGGTATCGAACAGGAATATGGTATTACTGCTGCTAAGGTACGTCTGCACAAATCGGACGGCCCTCGTCTCGACATTAATCACGAGCTTGTATCGTTCACTCATCATATTGACATTTTCTGGCATGGAACCCGACTGCTGGATCATCGTGTAGTTTTCTCTGGCTCGGCTACCTGGTCTGCGTTGACGCCCCTGCCATTGGAAGCTCTTCCACCACGCACTACAACGTCGAATCCGACGTCGACGCCGGCAGTCCCGGACGTGGAACCGAGCACCGTCGCTGAATGCATAAAGTATCACCTCGTCGTTAGCGGGGACGACTGCTAGACCATTGAATCGCAGTATAGTATCACCGCAGCCTAGGTGCGTACTGTCCTTTCCACTCTCGAACAAGTGTTTCCTTTGTGATTATTGACTATGGAGCGAATTGAGAACGCAGTGACTCACTTGGAACAGTTCAAGTTCAATGAATGGAATCCATACGTCGGGGCAGGCTGCCAGTCCCTGTGGCTTGGTTATGACGTCTGCATTGGTGCACCGTCGAGCTACCCAACGAGCTATTAAGAGCAGCCGCATGGCATAGACAGACTGGAACGGCAGATGATAGGATCTATTTCCAATGCCTAGCCCAGTGATCAATTGACCAGTCCCGGGCAGGGCGAAGGAGGGCAGGGGAGACCGCACTCGAGTACTCGGGGGGGGGGGGGGGGGGGGAGAGACCGCAGAGAACTCGCAATTTCTAAACAGTGTGCATTCTAGATAGCGTGCATTCGACCCGGCTATTTCATTGAAATTGAACCACTGTTCACCCAGATTCGTGCTTCAATTCAGCTAAATTTGGTATAGCATAAACCTTGTCCATTTATTCATCAATTGGCCGGATGGTGTAGTTGGTTATCACGTATCGTTAACACCGATAAGGTCCTGGGATCGAGCCCCAGTCTGGTCAAAATTTTTGCCCTTATTCCCATTTGAAGTTTCCATAATGTAGTGGGTGGTTGAGATTTTTGGTGCCGTGGGTGGATCTCGGGTAAGTTTAGCTTTGCAAATATGGATCACGTGGCCATACTACTGTATGCAGGATAAAGTTAAGCACCACACGCTAGGCCGAACTCGGCTACCCGTCGCCTTACGCGAAGTCCACATACAATCTGCACCTTCTTTATGTCGCTCTTAGTCGCCTTATTGTTTCTTTTAGATTGAGCCCTTGATCTTCCATCGACAGAACCCTCACTATAATTAGCCTGGGCAATGGAGCCTATTTCCAGTTCTATGATCAAGCGATCTTCTCCCCTTGGATGTGCTAAACGCATACACAAAAGCCGTCACCTTTAACGTAGAACAGGGAACTTCGTTACTTGCCGACAAATGGCTTCATGTACCATTATTACCCTCTATATTTTCAATATTCCGTTGTTGGCATTGCGGTATGATGGGATCGCGAGATGATCGTTTTGTCCATGCATTATAATTTTGACTGCGGCTTAGGCTTCGCTGTGGTTTGGGATAGACAGGAATCCAGGTGCGTCTCCCAGCCATTTGGGAACGAGGATCGTACTTCCGGCGTAGCATCCAATCAGTCTTGAGAAATGCGCGCTTCATCCTCAGACCATCGGGCGACCTCTTGTTCAAGCCAATACGCCGTTTCCTCGCATATACGAGACACATTCTCGAAAGGAAGTCGGTATCCTGTGCGGGGGATTGTGATCTCCTTCACCCAATTAATCGTCCAGCCACCACTGCCGCCGATGCCTATGCCGGTCCGCGTGCTTCTCTTTGCGAAGATCTGGTGTCGAGACAGGGCTCCGATCGCCAAAGAGATAAAGAACGGACGGGCGGACATGCCGTAATAAGTTCCACATTAAAATGGGCTCATAGCGGTAGAAAGAATATGTCGCATGGGTAGGGCCAATGATGTCGGCGTGAAAGCAAGGATCGTGTTCACTCAGGGTAGCAGGGTCACTCTTCGAGCTCAATCATTTCCGATTGTCAAAATTAGGACGCAGGTAGTACATCACCTCTTGATCGCGAGAGGTTTAAGGAGTGACGGTATCCGAACCTGGAAGGCCGTGCAGACCGTATTGCAGCCAGCGCTCGAGCACCCTCGGATCCCAGGTCTTGAACTGCTTCTTGAAATGAGTAGCCGCTTCTGCACGAGATACCCACGTATCTTTCTTGCTCAGTGATAGTTTAGAAAAGATCGGCCCTTTCCGGTGTACATATCCTTCTCGATGACCGGTTCAATGAGTGCCAGGGAGGTCAATAAGCGTGGGTGCATCACAGATAAAAGCACGCTAGATAAAAGAATTTATCGGCCGGTGGCTTTCGTTTGCTGGGAGATATCTTAACGGGACAAGTAACTTACAGTTGGCCTGCCCCGAGATTATGGCCGATGCCAACAATGGGCGTGGCATGTCGGCCTTGAACTGGTTGATCATGTTGAGGAGGTCGCGGGCATGATCAAACCACGATACTAGGCATCCGCGTTAGCTGGGGCATTTATTTCAGAAAAGATGGAAGCATACTAACGGCTGTTTCCCAAGTACTCCCCGTTCAAGACCCCGCTCGCCGCTTGGTTGGCAATGTCTGCTATCCGGATTGAGCGGATGCGAATTCCCTTGTCATGTAGCTGTGAGAGAACCCCCTCCCAGATCGGTTCGTACAGTTCCTTTTTCTTAATATGAGTAACTCTCGGGACGAGATGAAATGCGGTCAGGGACCCAATGAAACATGAAGACTACTCACCTTTGGAAATCCACTTCCATGGGCCCCGATGATGGTCAGATCACCTGACTGGGGATTTGGATTTGATTTAGGAGTGTATCTCTTGACTACTAGCTTGAGAGCATCTTCGGCCCTTGTTGTCGCAAGAGGATATTCTCGGATATGCTGTGAGTCAATAACATGCTCGGTGATATGGAACGGTAATGACGCTGCCATTGATCTAGCGATGGACCTTGCTCGACCCCAAACTGCAGTGCAACAAAAAGGAAGAGCCTTGTCTGGATGGGCTCCCCAACAATGTACTGGGATGTCATCATATATGTACTGAACTTGTGTATCGGTAGCGCGGTGGGTCAATGGAGGGACAGATACTGTACGTTTACTGTACTCGCACGCTAGGTGAACTACAATAAACTGTCTACAGTACAGTAGTGAAAAGCCCCGCCGATGTGGAGAGCTGACAGACTCCCAGATTCCCCAACAGTTTGCATTTTCACTTCTTACTAATACGTAGTTCGTCAGATGTTGGACTCTGAATCCCTGTGGAGTCGAACAAATTCGGATGGCTCCTGTTCTTGCCGGCGACCCCGAAGCAACGCTATGCCCTCTTGAATTATTGTTCAGAAATAATACATAAGAACTGAAGAAAATTTCGTGTCGAATATGGTGGCTGAGTGACTGAGCTGAACGGGCGCTCGGCAAGTATATAGGTCCTGATAGCGCGTGGGCTTCTAGAAATCTCTGGTGGGCCAGCCCCTATACGAGCTTGGGGCACAAATCCTTCTGATTGCACTCCGTTAGCCTGACCCTACTGGACAGCCACATGACAATTGCAGCACCAACGTGGCAGTGACGAGGATATTAGTATAACTACTTAATAGAAAGTTATATCAATTTGGAGAAAAGAAAACAAAACAGCACGGCACGGCACGGATAAAATAATCTCAGCCGTGAACCTTATTCGCGTCTCAGCCACGAGAAAGGCGCCCAAGTAGTTAGAATCAATGTTTCCAAAAGCCGCAAATCTAAGCGGTCAAAAGTTCTGAACATTGTACATGATACGTTCAAGTATAATTGAATCATGGTACAACCTTAAACAGGATTGAAGTAAAAATGAGACGGCGTCTCTTTTTCGTGTTGTGTACAATACGTAGTGCATTGTTAGCAGACAAAAGCCTCCAGCAAGAAATATCCCTAACACTGACAGACCGTTCTCCCGAGCGGCTCGCTCCACCCGGAACGAGCAGGAATTATTGTCTATCTAACTTATGAAATTCATGTTCAAAGGGAACAAGCTCGATACCTCAGGTTGCAAGATCTACCTAAATAGTGAGTGTCAGTGACACCTTTTCCTTTTTTGAGGGTCAGGTCGCTTGTTGGATTATGATCCACTATCAGTGCCGTGAACTTGACTTTTTGCGGAAAAAAAACCCCCCTTTGAAAAGTTGATCCTCAGCAGGTGCTCAGCTGCGTGGATCTCAATTTTTACCAAAAATAGACCCCCTGCGGATTTTGTAGGGGCCCTGAGGATTCGTAGAAATCATTTGGCGGACGCTAATCTTACTTGAGGAATTTGACCACGTTCAGTTGACAGTAGACGCCCACGAAGGGATCCATATTTCCCAGAGGATAATACGCGCTCTTTGTCAGAACGTCTACATGGGAGGTATTCAGGGCAGGTCTAGGTAGCTGATTGAAAATTTGGCCGTCAACATAAATGGGTATAAGCAGCCTGACTTGACTGCCAGAAAATATGGAAAAGTTTCTTCTGCCCTTCCTTCAGAATTGGTTACAATTTTGAACCCAGCTTCTCTTTAATCCTCCACCATCTTTTTCTTCTCTTCCTACGCCATTGATTTTTTTCTTCCAGAGAATCAGTCATGGTAGAACGATGCCCGCTCTTGCGTCCAGCCGCGAAACGTTCAGGATTCTCATGCTACATGGTGAGATAACACATCGTGGAATACAGCTCATTCATTGACTGACAATAACTTCCGGGGTACGCCCAGTCAAGCGAGGCCTTCAAGGTGAAAAGGCGGCTACTTATGCAACACATAAGTCAATCTCTTCTGCCACGAATGACAGGAAAATACCCGGGGGCATCGAGTTCATCTTCCCCGACGCTCCTATATCTCTGAACGAAACCATTATCGATGAGCAAGACCGCCATACCAGCATCGACCGCCGGGCCTGGTGGCTGAATCTAGACAACACAAGCAGATACATATGGTTGCGAGATACCATCGACACCCTGGGTCGTTCACTTGGGGGAAGGCCAGTCCATGCCGCCGTGGGGTTCTCCCAAGGTGGCGCCTCCACAGGCATGATTGCCTCTCTTTGTGATGCGTCATCCATTCACAGAAAGAGAGAAATGCTTGAGGCTCAGGGATTACCAGTCAATTCATTCCTTGACAACCTTTCCGGCCAGCGTTCTCTGAAGTTTGCAATCTGCATCTCTGGGTACCGTGGCACGATGAGTACTACAACAGTATGTACTCCCAGAGTCTCTCCACGCCCTTTCTTCACGTTATTGGCACCCTGGACACGGTAGTAGAGGAACACGAAAGTGAGATCCTCGCAACAGTTTTCAAGCAACCCAGCATCTTTCGGCATTTTGGTACCCATTATACAGCATTTGGACTGCTTCCTCGAGAATGCCTGTCACTCGAGGTCAGATGCCGAGGTTGACGCCAAGATGCACCAATCTTTAAGCCCTCGCTTCGTGGCAATTAAAACGGTTGTGAGGTTACTAACCTATTTTCGAAACCACTATGTTGTGAAGAAGGTAACTCGAATCAGATGGCGTGGGAGGGGATATTTGGCAGATATATTAGGTGGGATTTCAGATGATTCATCGGTTTGATAATCGGGGTTGATAATCGGGGTTGATAATCGGGGTTGATAATCGGGGTTGATAATCGGGGACATGTACTCTGTCTTACAATAATATGATAAGTTTATGACCTGCAGAATCAGATTCGGGAATCCGCTGTGTATAAAGGTAAAAAATGGGCCAGGAACAGAGTCGAATGAATTGTCATTTCGATGTGCCTCTCAATACATATCAGCGTCTGAAACAATATTACCTAGCTTGGAGACCGTCTTGCCAAGTTACAAAATTCATTTGAAAGTGACAGGCTGTGTCAGAATTTCGTCTCTCCATTACTATGCTCTGGCACGACGTATTGCATCTTTGTAACGATAATAGTATCCTTAACTATATATGCTCTTGCTCGTAGTATGCAGCAGTTCCTTCCCAACCTTTTTAAAATGTCTCTCCGAGGCATCACTGAGCGATTCTAATCATATAGCCCATTCCTTCAACTATAATAATAATGATTTGTTCATTTGTTGAAGGGTTTCAGGGACAGGTGATGGTAATTTAACGAATCATAGTGGGGCAGCAATTGCAAAAATCTGCGGTCAAGTTGAGACAGCTGCATAAAATCTGCGGTCAAGTTGAGACAGCTGCATAAAATCATCCCACTGACATCTGTCAGTGCACCTAGAGCAAAAATAGTGCTGAGGCGAGAGAGAATCGAACTCCCAATCTTCTGGAATCTCCATTACCTGGAATCAGACGCGTTACCTATCGAGGTGAGTTAGTGGACAGCTCGTTGGTTGATGGACCCACTCTGCAAACTTACCATTGCGCCATCACCCCATTGAATTGACGGAAAAGCAAATGTTAGCCTACGAGAGAGAAAGCTCGGTTCCCCGACTCAATGATTGGCTGTCAAAGTCTCCACGTTGACTTGGCCGAGTCTCCTGTATCTCCTAGACTAGACCATGGAACAAACGCCCTTCCGTCGCATATTTAAGTGATTTATACAAGATTAAATGCGAGGCGCATACTTATACAGAGGTAATTTGACAACAGCTAGAATATCATAATGATGAGTATCTCACAGTGTGTATAGATCATAGTTTAATGGAGAAGAGATTTCTGCCAACTGTAAATTACGATTGCGAAGTGGTATGTTATTACAGGTAATACTGTACTGTATGAATGTATTTGGAACTTGAAAATGTTGATTGTGGGGCATGCCCAGTCGAAGGTACATAGCTGAAAAGAGTATGAATTCCCCTCCCCCCAACCGCATTTTTCATCAAAGTAGATTTTTGATCCTCTGACTATTAATGCAGAATTATTACTACCTAGCTTAAAAACAAGATGCTTTGCTTTGATTAACTGTGAGCTTTCCTAGTAATGGATAGTGTACAGACTAAAATTAATGATCAGAGAATCCGCCCGCTTTAATAGCCATATGCACCCACGTTGATTTAGACTAGGGCTAATCGCACAACAACTTGTGCTTTCGCACGACATAGTATACTATTTTCGGACTCGCCCGTGGATAGTAGGTACATAAAGTACCTTGACATCCTTATAATACCTACTAATGCTTTTATCACAATGCATATGGTATGATTGCGATACGTTAGAAGCCCAAATATTTCAAAATAGTCTTATTAGTCACGACTTTGAACGATAATAGACTATAAAGAAACCTTAGCTATCAAGAGAGATCAAAAGACGGTTCAAAGGACAGTTCAAAGGACAGTTCAAAGGACAGTTCAAAGGACAGTTCAAAGGACAGTTCAAAGGACAGTTCAAAGGACAGTTCAAAGGACAGTTCAAAGGACAGTTCAAAGGACAGTTCAAAGGACAGTTCAAAGGACAGTTCAAAGGACAGTTCAAAGGACAGTTCAAAGGACAGTTCAAAGGACAGTTCAAAGGACAGTTCAAAGGACAGTTCAAAGGACAGTTCAAAGGACAGTTCAAAGGACAGTTCAAAGGACAGTTCAAAGGACAGTTCAAAGGACAGTTCAAAGGACAGTTCAAAGGACAGTTCAAAGGACAGTTCAAAGGACAGTTCAAAGGACAGTTCAAAGGACAGTTCAAAGGACAGTTCAAAGGACAGTTCAAAGGACAGTTCAAAGGACAGTTCAAAGGACAGTTCAAAGGACAGTTCAAAGGACAGTTCAAAGGACAGTTCAAAGGACAGTTCAAAGGACAGTTCAAAGGACAGTTCAAAGGACAGTTCAAAGGACAGTTCAAAGGACAGTTCAAAGGACAGTTCAAAGGACAGTTCAAAGGACAGTTCAAAGGACAGTTCAAAGGACAGTTCAAAGGACAGTTCAAAGGACAGTTCAAAGGACAGTTCAAAAGACAGCTCCATCAATAGATCTTTATATAAGAGAAAGTCCAAGAATATATATTTATATAGTAATCTAGGTGACGGTAAAACTGCCACCTTCAGGGAGTGATCGGCTCGCAGAGCACAGGCCTCAATCTGTCTTTCATCTCATGTGAGAATTCCGATCTCTACGCTGCACCATTCATTTCTTCAAAATGCAGGTTTCGTTGCACTGTCGATTCTATTAAGCTTACTAAATTGGGCCCGGCTTGATCCGAGAACCATTATACACTACTGCTATCGAGCAAATATTCGTACCTGCCCCACGAGAAGCCTTGGCTGCGTTGATTAGCTGTCCTAGGCAAAGGTAGACATAAATTCTGTTCGAATCCTACCTGTGGCTTTTTGCCCACCCACGCCAACGAGACGGTGTTGGTGGGCAGAAGGTATAGATACAAGTAATCTCAAATACCTGTGCACGCTTTCTTTCGTCTACCTATAAATTTGACAGTCTTTAATTAGCTACATTAGAAGGCTGAGACTCCAGAAGCCATGTCGATTACATACCTGATCATATTACAAGTTGTTTTGACTATAGATCCGAATCTTATCGCTTTTTCTTACTTCTGCTTTAAACACGATGGCCGAAGGAGGTACCGAGGCCTGATATATGAATAGCCTCAGGGTCTCTTTCCTTACGGTTTCCTCCCTGTATCTAGGCTAGACTAACTTCAATTTTTCCTACTTCATCTCTCTACTGATTAAAATGCTTCGCGTTTACTAAAGTAATTTTGAACCATCAAAGGTTCTGGTAGCTAACACCGAATCCCCCGTAAAGGTGCTCTTTAATTAATTCTAAATCGCGGTCTATTATTAAAATAAACGTGCTGAAAGTAGGGACGTTAGCCACACTCCAGTATGTCTGACATCCACCGTTGAGTGATTTCCTTCAATTCCGCCGTTATAATAGTGACTCCAGTCCTTTGAAGCAAGGTTCTTGTTCCTGGGGGCTTGATAATGAGCCTCCAGGAGCCCAGGCCGTATTCCTGAGGACGGTTTGTGTCCTCTGGGAGCTTGGCTGTTTTGTTCCAGATTTCCACTAACGCCTGGAAGTGGGAGTGAACATCATTTGTGACTGTCTAGATGACTCATACTGTAGACCAGGCGGTACTCTCCTAGTTGATTGATTGATTGATTGATTGATTGATTTATTCCGAGTCTGTCCAAATCGCCTTTGTGGCAGCTATAAACGTACATTCATCCCAATCCTGCCAGGCTTTATAAAATTCATCACACAACTCACATGGTAAAATTGCTTGTACCCTATAGCGCTCTTCGGAATTCCAATTAAATTTACTGATATTGCGGAAAATGTCGACGTCTTGAAGTCGACGGTACGTGTTTTCCAGGTTACAACAATGTTACAATTCGTGATGGCCACGTCCAGAAAACACAGCTTGTTTCTCGCTCTTCTGTATTACTCTCTGCCACTTTTGCTGGAACGGGGGATACGACTTCGACACTCTGACCCAAAACGGGGCTTCGTCAAGCACATTCAATATGGAGATTTGCTCAAGGGAGAGTTTCGCACATACGAGCCAAGCAGAAGTTTGGATGTTTTGTTCCAGCACGGTGCTTCACTGTGCGATGTGCCGTGTGGGATGAACAAGTTGCTCGAAGAAACTGTTCGCAAAGATGCGGATCAAACTGCAGTTCGATCGCAACCACCCTTGTGTCGGGTACAAACAAGGCTTGTTCAAGGGTTGGGCCACTACAGGTGTTGAAAAAACTGCATCGCGCTAATCGGGTAACGTATGAAAAGTAGAGCCTAGAGAGAATTCTCACATCTTCCAGCATGGACGTATTGTTCCAACAAAAATGGTTACTTTTAGTCCCCAAATCTGCCATGCATTAAGGCTGACATGCAGATGGACGGTTCGTTCTAACAAGTTGCAACCAATCATTCTTCACGCTCTTCACCGATCCCCCGATAACCCTGGTTCTCTACACACCATCAGCAATTGCTTCGGACATGGAAAAAAATTGTTGTTGGTCAATCTGGTGATGCACTGACTTTTCGTCTGGGTGTCAATTTTGTGAGAGTATTGTAAGGTAGAAATCGCACTTGTCTCCTGGAAGCTGAGCACATTCTTTGCAGAATTTAGCGAAGATAAATACCCCGGCTGCTCCCCGTCGTCCTCTTGTTCCTTGCTCCTTATTAAACCTCACCTCCTTTTTAAATCTTTTTACACTCACACGTTCAGGTTCCTCCGATTCCTTCTTCAAGTAGCTGGAAAATATGGTCAATCAAGCCCTCATCGACGACGAATCTGTGATTTCTACATTCATAGACCTATATAGGCAAAATGAGTACGCAGATCTGGCGAAGAGAGCTGCAGTGTCATGCGAACGGGCCCTTTCGGAGAAGAACATACCCCATCAGACCAAGAGCCGCGCGAAGAATCCCGAAAGTCTCCGAAAGAAGCTTGAGCAACGCGAGCGCAAGAACGGTCCGTACAAAACTCTAAAGGATATTCATAACGACATCGTCGATCTTGCCGGGGCTCGCATTATTCTCGAGAGATGGGAAGACCGTGATCTTGTCAAAGGCATTATATACGAAATTTTTGAGGTTCAGAAGGAGGAATATAAGAAAGAAGGAAGTGGATACGAAGCGGTGCATTATCGGGTGTACATGAAGCAAGGCGGGTACCTGCGTGGTCCCCATATGACGGAAATGAACCCGCTGGTTGAAATCCAGGTTCTTTTCTTGTACATGGCGCAATGGGCCAATGATGAACATGATACACGGTATAAGACACCCGTAGAACCTACTCGAGCATTGAACAACAATCTCGATATCCGTCTTCAGGTGCTCCATCTTCACGAAAACATTGCCCAGCAAACCAGGGAAGAGAAGACAAGACAAGCTGCAAAGCACAAGCAAAAGTTCACCAATGCCAATCACGTCGGTCATCATCTAAAGAAGTGGATTTCCAATCATGCTGTGGGCTGGGCAAAAGATGAAGCCAAAATGATAGGATCTGCCACAGCTTTGACAAAGTTTTTGGATGCTCGGGAATGGAGAACTCCCGAGTCTCTAAATCAGTTGCTCCAAGAACACTTTGGTAATGGCGCGCTGGATGAATACTCGGCTCTCGCAAAGATATATGCCGGCATCGAATTGAACCTCATTATTTATCTCATCGACCGCACAGTCCTAAAATGCGAAAAGAATAACGCGCATGTTTTCCAAGTCCCCAACAGCCATGAAGAACATGCCTACAAGATCCAGGTGATTCTGAGCACCTTCATCTGGATGAATCGTCTCTTTCTGCCGACCCTTGAATGGCAGCGTTTGTTCACGCGTTTCGAAGACCAAAAGACCCTTCGACAGGGCATCCTTTGGCTTGGAAACGGAGCCCGGCAAAACTTCATCGGAGAAGGAGACTCGTTGACAAACGATGAGATTGGTAAACTGAACAGACTGTGGGATTGGTTTGGGAGAAATCCCGAGCGACCAATCATGTTGGCTTTCATGATGTCGAATCAAGGTGTAGTTAGAGATATCCCACGAGAAAAGGATGAGCTGGAAAATGCCCTTGGGCCACTGGGTCGGGCCTTGGTTCGCGCTTCAGTGTGAGTTTTGAGGTTGACATTCAGGGAATGAAGGACGGAAGATAAGCTTCCTAAAGATTGTGTTCCTGAGCGAGAGTTATATCATTACGGGGTTTTCAGCGCCTAAAAGTTATGTTACGCCTGTTATCTGGGTCTCGTCGTTATTTTCGGTTTTTGCTTCGAAATATATGCCTCGTGAATACGCTAGAGATTTTCATGTCTATTTTCGTATTCCAAATTGTGGAGATTAAGATGCACAAAGATACACAGAAGGATTGTTTAGTCTCAGGGACATAAGTTAAGGAAGTCCGTTCATCACATATCTTCTATTTTTAACCATCACATGACCGCTTGCTTGTCGACCTGTCGATTTCAGGGGCGGATGAGTCATATGAGTTACCTCTCACGTGGCTCAATACGGTGTCCAGGAAAAAGCAAAACAGCAAAACCGACAGGTCAATGGAAATAAGCAACATATGAAATTGTTGAGCTCTAGCGTCACCGTGTCAAATTTTAGTCGCCTGCAAGACTGGAAGCTGGAGCTATAACTGTCAGCCGAGTAGTTCTTGTTCGAGTATAAGAAGTTCTTGTTCGGGTATAAGAGAGGTCTTATTCGAGTAAGAGAGGATGAGGCTCAGGCAAGCAAAGTTCTCAAATTGGTATTGCCAAGACGCTTTTATTAATGAAATTAATACAAGCGCATTCTGGCAAAACAACAGGCGCGTAACTTTGTCTGGGTAGCCTGTCTCTTAGTCGTACTTCTGTCAATGAAATAAAAGGCGGCATTTCTCTTCTCTCAGCCAGCAGAATTTTTGAATTTCCTAGAAATTGTCAGACTTCTGTACTGATAGTACCTTGGGTGCAGGCTTGCGACGAGTAGCAATGTGTTTCTCCAATTGGTTGAGCATGGTGAAACAGGCACGAGGTCTCAAACAGTCCTCGGGGGAAACGGCAAAAGCAATGCAAGTCGGTTCACATATGATAGGGGCTCAAGATTCCAGCGTAGTCGCAGAATTTTACGCGACTCGAGCAGAAGCTGGTATTGATTCCCTTGTGACATCATCAATGAGGTTCGCTGACCTGTTATTGGCACAGAGCTCAATCCAGTTCTTGAATACCTCCGGTTTGAAGCCATTTTGAAAGGTTCACCCCCTCGTGATATTTCCGAAGCCAGAATAAGGAGAATGTGGCAGATACTCGCACTCGCTGAGGACAATGGGTGGATCGGCTCCTTGAAAGCCGGACGAGCCGTTGACTTCTGGATCTGGTGTGGGCTGAAGCCGGAACGATGGGCCTTCGTTCCGGATCAAGGCCTATGGGAAGAGTTCTCAGAGGAATGCGGGCTGTATAAATACAAAGGTGAGTGTGGTTGCAGGAAAGAGAAAACGGAGATGAGGAAGGTATCGATTAGCTTTGATCTCGCGCACATCAGCATCTGGGTTTTTCCGGAATGCCAATTGGATAGGTACCCATGCACAGAGCTAACTGGAGCTAGATTACCCCAATGCAAGAACGCAGGAATTGTCTGATCTGTCCATGTGGACGCCTCCAAAACTTGGGGTCACGAGAATGCCTGAATAGTTGTTCGAACGCCACTGAAAGCTGAAAGCTTATTATCAAGTGAGTATCAACTGAAAACACTTCTTACCTGGAAAGGTTGCTAATCATAACTGTAATGATGTTTCTACAAAGAAGCCTTTGAAGAGAAACCCTTGCGATACACTTATACAACGGCATTTTATCTGAGAATAATATAGGAGTTGAGGGGGTAGGCAAAAAGCTTGAATGAGAGTGGTTAAGGGGAGGATATGAGAGATGGCATTAAAAAGAGGGGGGGCCATGATACCTTACTGTCCCATGCGGGTGGACGCTGAATCGTGCAGATCTCGGGGCCTCGGTCCTTTATAGGTTCATGCAGACAGCTAAGCGCGTTGCCCGCTGGGATTGTAATTTTTCCTAATATTCCTTGTTTCCCGAAAAGCTAACATTGGGGTTTGACCCAAAGATCTGTGTAATTCATCCTCTTTACCTTCGTCAACCCTTTCAACACATCCATTGTTGAAACTTATTCTATAGATTTCACCTTCACGATAGACAGAAAACATCCTATATGTTAAATTTCATTAGCCTCATGATTGAAGAGACCAGAAAGAATCGCTGCCTTATATGCCACTTTTCTTGATGAGTGTGATGCATCCGAAAGGAAAGGCAGTATGGTATCACAAACCCACGGGTATTCTGGGTTGGTTTCTGTAACGGGCCATAGTCTGGCAGTGAACCATATATCATTCTGCATCCTCTAGCGGACGATGAAGGACAGGCATCGCTTTCGGCAATAAAACAATCATCCCGTTTCACCGCCGAAGCGGGAACGATTCTCTTCCTCTCTTCAAAGTTTGTTGTAACAGCATGTTGGCCTTACATAATTAAGTAAATTTTGCTTCAGCCCTTCACATAGATAATCCTTTCCGGTTTATACCTACCCTATTTGATAACTTAAAGCGAAGGATCGAGTGAATCATTGATTTCTAAAGAATTAATAGTCGCAAAGAACTTATTGCGAGCAACGTTAAATGTTACTGCATATCTTCTAAAGGAACTTTCAGGAATAAAGTTTGCAGGTGGGTCGAATTCTTGTTTAAGTATTTCTGAAACGTGCCAGTAAAAGTATAGTATACTAATTACTATAATTAGGGCAGGGATATAGTTTCTGAGCATATCATTAGCGCACTCACTATTAACGGTCCTCGCCAGCACCGCGCCGAAGGTTGTAGGGATCTATTACCTAAATCATACTAACGGACAAGCTCAACTGCAGTAGGTAATAATGATAGGTGGGGTGAATTCATTAGACGATTGATAATTTCAGAACAGGTAAGTAAAGGCCGGCGACAAATTGGATTTTTGAGTTTATCTTTTTTGAATTCCAAGGGAACGACAGGGAGGGAAGACGCGAGCTCAGGGAGCATTGTCGGAACAAAGGTCAGGGGGCCATCTGGTTGCACCCATAGAAATCGCAATAGGCCTAAATTACTAGCTCCTATCTGACAATTTGTAGTTAACTAGTTAACGTTGAGTTATGGGCTCAAATGCATGACTAATTATGTCAGATATAACTAGTAGACTATAGAATCTCCTGTCTCCAGGTATCTGCCTATCCTGCTGCTCTGACGCTGACGAGCATACGGGAAAAAAAGATGGTGAGCAGGATCACATCACGTGCACGTTTGATGACTAATATTCTGGTAAAAACGGACGCACAAATTGGCGGCAAGTGTAGCCATTTTCGGCGCCATATTTACCGTTACCTAGCGTTGTGGTGTAAAATCCTTTCTTAAGTCTCGATGTCAAGGATCTAGAAATGCGTGTTGTTCACTATACCTAAAGGGGGTATAGTGTGTTGTGCAAAAGCACAAGACATTATGCATTTAACCTCGGCCTTCATTTGTTCCCGAGCATATAAATGCGAGTGGATCGAACATACGCCTTAAATATTTCGACTCGGACTGGTAATACCCATGGCCTTTCAAGTTTTGATCAATGTCTTTAAGTACTGTCATAGAAGTACCTCATTCTTCGTAACATCTCATAATTCCTTACTTCGTATTCCAATGAGATTGCCTTATGATGGGCTTTTCTAAGTAGAGATAAATATGTTTCTTCCAACATCGTACTTGTTATCAATCCTATGGCTTCAACTTACCCGAATGAAGAATATCCGAGAATCCGCGAAGTGATCGAAGCCGATCTGGCTCCAGTTGGCCCTGAGATCAATGAATTCATGGAGCAAATCCTGGATCAAATATTCCACAGTGATAGAGGACGAAAGATCATACTCTCCTCCTTCACACCGGATATTTGCATTATTTTAGCCATCAAACAGAACATCATCCGGTAATGTTCAGCAATAATGTTGGAAAGCTTCCGGCGAGTGATTTGGGGACGAGAGCTTCCAGTTTGCAAGCAGCAGTCAGATTCTCCAAAAGATGAAATTTGGCCGGTATTGTCTTTGATTCCGAGATACTACTTTCATGCCCGGGGCTTGTGGGATACGTGAGACAAGCAGGATTTGTTTGCGGCACTTATGGCCCACTAAAAAACATTCCAGAGAACGCAAGAGTGAGTAACAGGGCTAACCATAAGTGAACTTTGCTGTCTTAGGAAGAATTATGAGGTGTACTCATGCTCATACAGCAGCTAACTCAATCTAGGCACAACGAGCGGCGGGCGTTCAGATATTGATGGCTGATAGAGTTAGACTTGTCGCACCAGTGCTTATAAAAAGCCATGCTCACTGATCTTTCAATGCATCCACTCAGTTTTAACAAAGCAACCAAATGGTCACTATTTAGAACCGCAGATTGGTTCGGATTTTTGGGTCTTGTAGCATGGATGACATGGATGGTCATGTGAACACTGTTGAAGCTTTGACGCGCCATTTTTTCAGCGTTCGTTACTCCTCTCTCCTCATCTGGTATCTGTCTCTCTAAGAGACAAGGACTACATCAGCGACATTCTATGTCTGGCCCGGTTCGCTGGACTGCCGTCTCTATATATCAATTCTGGGCTCCGGCAAATGTTTCAGAGAGAGATTTGCCCAACTGTACACCATTCCCAATCAAGTGTATCTATCATTTACACTGCCTAGATATCGGAGCACTGTGGAAGGTAATTGGAAGCAGAGGACACGCCGATACCGTCAAGGCGTCCGTTTTCCCATTCCTACGACTTGTTTCTGATGGCGGCTGGGAAGAAAGAAAGGTGGACAGGACAGTACCCAGATTGAGTCAAAATTTCTATAAACAGGGTCACTGACAATTTAAAAGCCCAGATAATAGACGAATGCTTGACCTGTTTCGACAAAAATCATAATCGTACAACAATGGAAACGGCACCGGTGTGATTAGTAATCATGTGTGTCGGCGTCCGGGTACCGTATCCGTCACGTGATATCACATCCGCAAAGCTAACCCTACCCGAGATCCACCCACGGCACAAAATATCTCTGAACTACCCACTTCACGATGGAGACTTCAAGTGGGAATAGAGCAAAAAATTTGACCAGACTGGGGCTCGATCCCAGGACCTTATCGGTGTTAACGATACGTGATAACCAACTACACCATCCGGCCAATTGATGGAGAAAGGGCTGAGATTTATGCTACAGCAAGCGAGCTACAGACTAATTAGGAATCTGAACCTGTTGAACATGTCTTTCACTTCACAAATACCTTCAATTCCACCTTGAAGGATCTTTCTGGCTAGTGATGTTGCAATTAATGCCCGGAGTGCTGGATTGGGCTTGAAATTTCTCAAGGCTACAATAAATAATTGACGATTTCCCTTCTCGGGTTGGAGGTTTTCTTTGGGGTATCAACGAGGAAATATATATATCTTAGGGTTTGCCGGTACTGTCTGTAATGTTGATGTTTAAGGTTGGCAATGAGAGAAATGCGCATGGCTCGATAGAGATCTGGAACTGAGCTACATATAGACATACGAACGAGAGGGGAGTGGAATGGTCTGGTCTCAAGCACCTGGCCAAGCTGTTGCGGGCACTGACGATTAAAGTTGGATATCCACAAAGCCGCCGTAACAGGTTATCTTACATCCTAGGGCCCTGCCAGAGCTACCAGTTTTGTATCGTTACGGAACGCTGCTTAAAGGCTTAGTACACCCAGCAGGGACGAGAACAATTGGCGGGGTAGCTATTTAGGATGGACCAATGCATCAGAATTTTAGGCAATTAGGTCCACGTATCCTACGTTGCAGCTCTAGAAAACCGAGAATAAGAATAAAGATTCATACATCATCAATTCGGAGATAATATACATAGGTATCTAATCGAAAGACATCTAAGAAAAGCCCGCCAGAAAGCTATTCAAAAGCTGGCCATCTCAATCCAGCTTGCGACGAAAGCTAGACGACGGCCCTTATCCGCCGCCATTCGTCGTGAAAACTCCTCAAAGCTGAGCTTGGCTCCACGACCACCACGCTCCTTAGCCTCACGTTCGACTCGGTTGAGTTCGACCCACCGGGCGAGAGTACGTGGCGTGGGTTTGCGTGGAACTGCAGCCTCGTGTGGTGGAGTCGTCGATTGAGGTGGAGGTGGGAGTGGTTGCATAGGCGAGGGAGGCGGCTTTGGTGCTGTTTCCTCAGCCTCCGCCGAGGATGAGTGCGGAGAGGAGGGTGCAGGGAGAGAAATTGTGTTGTTTGGTTCCAGGCGGAGTCGGTTGGGGAGATCAGAGGGGGTCGAGGCACTGTCTTCATCGTCTGCCATGACCATAGGTTCATCTCGGAAGGAGAGCCGTGGACGAGTCGAATCCGAGTCAGGACGGAATTGTGGGAGCGTGGGGTCGTAACCTAACGCCTCGCCGAAGCTAGACTCGGGTTCGACATCCAAGGACTCGACATCCAAGGACTCCGCGAAAGAAGCGTACTCAGAGGGACGAATGTGGGCCCCCATGTCGGATGAGCTAGTCATCGAGGCTGTTTCATCGTCATCTTCGGTTTCTTCAAACGGCTGGTTCTGGCCAAGCCCGTCCTCATCATCAGGATTGGCAAGATGAGTTGGCGTCACATCGTCATCCGGTGACATGCCATCGGCCAAAGGAGGTGCCAAGACTGGCTGGGCATCTGCAGGTTCCAGAGTCGGGCTGTGTACTGCATACCCAGCACGACTCAAGAGATCATCCAGCGATCTGCTGTCAGTCATTTCCTGGGGATGCTCCTCATCCTTTGGGAAAGCAACTCCATCCTTGGCAGTGGGCGACGTTTTCCGACCCTGAGACACCTCGAATTCTTCGATCTCACGAGCCCAAGTCTTGCGATCAGCCCGAGTGCGGTAGACTTCCATCATCAAGTCTTCCTTCGGTTTGAACAAAACATCGAGAAGCTCATTGAAACCTTGTTGCGTAACTTGGTACAAGATTTCCTTGCCGACGTCCCTCTCAACCTCGGGGATCTCAAAGCCACCCCAACGCTCACCAACAGGGATGCTGCGAGAGGATGTCGAGGGATTGGACCGCACATCATAATCATCCGCAATATCATCCTCAAAACGAACCTTGGAGGAAGATCGGGAACGAGGAGATGGCGGGTGCGATTCGACAGCAGACGGTTCATCCATAGAGGCTTCATCGCTTAAGTCATCATCAAATGTTGGGTCTCGTTGGTAGCCCTCGGGAATAGTGGCGCCATCCTCCTCGTCGGTGTAAAACTCTCTACGCCGCCAGCGTTCATCGATCCCATTGCGGCGGGTTTCTTCAATCCGTCTTTGATCATCGTCACGCATTCTGTTGTAGGCGACTGTCACGATACGAGCTCTGTCGACGGGGTCGGTGATTTCCTCAGGGGGTACGTACGTTCCGAGGGCTTCAATAATGACTTCGGCATCGATATGCTCTCGTGGTGGCCAATTTCCACTGGCGGCCGATGAACTAGACCCATCGGAGTCACTCGCGTCCTCGCCATCGTCGTCATCGTCGTCATCATCGTCGTCCTGTGTGGGATCCGGCTGCTGAGGTTCAGTCGCGGTATTTGGAAGACGTAGTGTGGATGGGAACAACGGCCTGGTACGACCAAATTGCCCTCTGACAGAAGCATCGCCGATAACGGCGTGTCGATTGCCTGTATCAGTCCCATCCTGCCGAAGGATTCCTCCGTTGTCGACAATCTCCATATCACCTTCCGGGTTGATGCGCTTGCCTTCGCCAATTCGTGAAACTTCACCTGATGGAATACTGCCTGGGAATGCAGAGCTGATGGGCTGGCTGCCGAGAACAACATCACGGGCACACCCTTCGAGGAAATCATCCTCCAGCCCAGCAACCATGTCACGAGTCAGCTCTCGACTGAGAGTGTAATATGCCCTGAACACGCGTAGGAAATCCTTTCGTTCGACATATCCATCACCATCGATGTCATAGCCACGGAAGACGCGACGAAGCCTTTCATCGTTGCTCTTATTGTTTAGACTGGCTAGGCCTTTCAGGAACTCTTCAAAACCAATGAGATTATCGGCATTGGTATCATAGAAAGCAAACATGCGATCGTAGATGAGACTTGGTGGAGGCGGGCGAATCGAGGTATTAGGCACGAAGCACCGGTCAAAGGTCTTGCGGTCAATGGCCATGCCAAGTTTGTTTGGATCATCGGCCCATTCATGGCTTGCCAGACAGCGGAACTGATCCCAGAGAGCATCAAGCTCAGTGTTTTCAAAGCCAGTTTCTCGCATGAGGCGCTTTGCCAACATACGAGGGAGGCTGCGCGCGAGTAAATTAGGCTTTCCAGGGTACCAGACAGGCTGAGATTGACGTGGGTTTCCTAGGAATGGAGCGGGGATGCGGACTTTGTAGAACAGATGTGTCTTGATATGCACCTGCATGGCCTCACACGTCTCGCAGAGATCGTAATCAATGCAATTGGCGCAGCGATAGCGGATACCCTGGATGGGCATGGCGCCGCAGCTATTGCAAGTCACTCCCCGATGGATATAACCATCCCGCCGGGCCTGGTCCTCAGCTATGTGGTAAAGCAGGTTGAGCAGGTTCTGACCCTCTCGCGAGGGGGGAGGAGTCATTATTCCCGTCTCTCCAGGAGAAAACGCTTTGGTCGTCGACCAACGCTGGCTCCCTGCCTTCCGGGTTCGGGGGCGGCGCTGCGACGTCGGGAAAGGTCGAAGTGGAGAGAGTAACGCGTTCACCATTTTGACGTCGACGGCGAAGTTCATCGCCATAGTTATCATCAGCGTTGAACCGGGTCAGTGCTCTCTCAATTCCCGCGCGTGAGATTCCTCGTCGTTCCAACTGCTCCGTGAGATAAGTCCGTTCGGCACTGTTTTCTGGCAAAGTATGGACCGAGGGAAAGTCAAGCGCCAGGAAAGACTCGAGAAATGTGTCCTCCATCATCTCCCGCATGCGCTCGGCGTGGGCTTCGGGAACGTTGACCTCCTCCATCAGCTGATCGCGAGTCGCCAGTAGTGACGGTAGCAGTCCACTTTCAACCCGTCTCCCATCTTCTGTTTCGATTCGGAAGGTCCCATAGACACCATTCTGGCGCTCCAGTAGCTCCAGATGGGTTATAGCACGGTAGGATGGTGTGTCCACAAGTCTGAAAGGCTCGGGGTCTGATCTCCGGTGGCGGCGCACAGCGTTTCGACGTTGAAGCGGAGCTTGTGACGAAGGCTCCGATGAGACGATGTTATTGCGAATGTAGAGGAAGGCATAGGCGGCGGCGACACCGGTGAAAAGGTAGAGAAAGGGCCGATATCGTGTCAACGACACCGGCCCCGAGCCGGGCTCGGACATCGCGGAGGTCGAGCTGTTGGGAGCTGCGCGAACGACCTCACGATTGGGCGAAGCCCACAATCAGGCCGTTCTAATGTCGAAGGTCCTAGCAACAGTTACCTGGTCAGTTGGGGAAAGTTGATGGAATTTGAGGCGGTGACAAGGCGGTGAAGTAAATCGTAAGATCAGATGGAAGGGAATTTGTTTCATCGGATTTGGGCAGGAGCTTGGACGTGCACGCCACGGGGCGGAACCCCCCAGAATTTCCGCGTCACCGCAGCCACATTATACAGTACGGTACCTCCACTTTGGAGAATCACTATAGATTTGCTAACGCGACGATACACGATACACGATACACGATACACGATTGCTACTTTGAAGATGCACTCCTTGTTCCGGTTGAAAAGTGTAGTCATGGTATTACCATCTTCTGATTAGGATATCATGGTGGTAGTTCAAAAGTCCAGGTCTAGAAACCAGATAAAGAACTAGCCAGATATGCTTCAATACTTTCATTTGAAAGATCTTTCTAAATGTTTATAAATCATCTTTATTAATAGCCTAGATACCATTTCGATGGGTTTTGGTTTAACTCGTGCACTCCTTAGGTTATTTTGCGGATTTGTCGGTTTCAAACTTATAGAACCTATAGTTAGTTATTATGGAACCTACAGAGTTACACTTCGTCCACCCTCACTCTACCGCCTAGTCTTCCGCCCTTGATCCGAACTCTACTGGTCTCTAATCGAATATAGGAGAGACTTAAAATTATTTCAAGATAATTATTATTCAACTTTAGTCATTAGAATCTATTTGCCAACTCGAAAGCATAAATTTCGAGCAGGGGAGGTAGGAAATGGAGAAGCTATTTGACCGGCAGAATGTTATGTCATCACTAGGTGGACACAGACTAAATAAGGTTATGAAACATCACTGAACACTAATACAACACTATACTAGAAGAAGTGTTGTATCGTTGCTTTATGAATTCTCAACCTGAAAACTTAGATACTCCCCGGGCACTTTGTTAAACTTGGATTTGCCTTCAAAACATCATTTTCATATGTTGAAATATGCTTGTGTCGTATTTTGAAGCTCGTTGTTGTGCTCAGAATGGAAAACTTTAACCTCTCATCATCACCAACCCCAGTCACGGCGTGATACACCTTCAATCTGATTCCATCACCTCCCATGCAGTTTTTGATACCTTATCAACTATGCAGCATGTAATTCATGCAGCCAAATCGTTTATCTTCGTTTCAAATCCAGAACTCACGCGGCCTCGTGGATCCTTTAACGGGTGAGCTTAGCTTCCCGCATGAAAAAGGCACTGAACAAAGCAAAAAACACAATCACGACCATGAAGGCGAAGCCTTTGTTGACAGACGACCCGTAACAGTCGCGCACGATTTGCGCGATATCGGGGTCCAACTTCTTGATGTAGTCGAGACTTTCTCGGACTCCGTTAACGATCTGGTCAATGTCTTTGCTGTCTCGCAAGCCCTCTCTTAATCCATCGCGCAGTGACTGCTGAACAACAGTCGAGCCAAGAGAGAGGCCGATGACGGATCCTAGAGATCGGAAAAGGTATGAACAAGCAGTTACAACTGCCTGATCCTCAAAAGTTGCATTCGATACTGAACAGATTGTTAGCTATTGGCGAGAACGAACTTGATCCCAGATAAAGGGCAAGACTTACTCAACCCGATCAAAGTCGTAGTGACACCGATGCCATTTCCGAATGCCGAGATGACCGTGCCGAGGATCATGGGAATCACGCTGGCAACAAGGCCACCCGAAAACATGTAGATGGTAAAGCAGCCGGTTGTCAGGAGAGAGTAAGCAACAACAGTCAACCAATAATACTTTCCAGTCCACCTCATGATAAACCCAGAGAACAGAGAGCCGGAAACTCCAGCCAAGATGCATGGCAGAAGGCGCAGGCCAGCAGTAGTGGCCGAAACCCCATCCACGGCCTGGAAGTAAAGCGGAATATAAAACAATGCCGCAAGCCATCCTCCAAAGCTGAAGAAATTACAGCAATAGAGGGCGAAAAATGTCCGATTGAAAATGATATGGCCAGGGGCAAAAGGCTCAGCTGCGAGATAAATCTCGACCAGGATGAAGGCAATGAACAGGACCACCGAGACACTCAGCGAGGCAATTGTCAGAGGCATGGTCCATGAGACATTACTTCCGCGGTCCAAACCAAGGAGGAAGCCTAGTACGGCACCGACAAGGACGATTGCACCGAGGAAATCAACCCGACGAAGCTTGTCTTTCCAGTGCGAACTCTCCTGAGCTGGCAGCTTGAGCATGAATGAGACGGCAATAAAGGCAAGAATACACATGGGGAATTGCGCAAGGAACGCCCTAATATATCATGTTAGAAAAGCTCATGCTCATTCTCACGAGAAATTGATAATCCATACCAGCGCCAACCGATGTAATCGGCCAAGATTCCGCCGAGAGGTGCACCCGTTCCAGACCCAGTGGCAAAGATGATATTGATAACGCCTTGCCAGAGCCCTCGGTCTCGCAAGGGGACAATATCACTCATCAATATACTGACCACCGTGGTCATACCTCCACCACCAATGCCTTGGAAGACCTGTTGAATTGTTAGTTGTGAATTTCTGCATCCAGGGTATAAGACACCCCCTAGGAAAGAGAAGACATACACGTGCAGCGATCAACTCGTTGATATTACGAGCCAGACCACAGAACAAGCATCCGATTCCAAAAATGGCATAGGCGAAAAGCAAACAGGGCTTCCGACCAAAAATATCACTCAGCTTTCCATACAAAGGCTGGAACGAAGTCAAAGTCAAAAAGTACGAAGTGGCAATCCAACTGGTCAAATTGAGAGCCTTGAGATCACTTCCAATCTGACCATAACTGGCCATGATAATGGTCTGATCCGCCGCAGACAGGAAAATCTACAATTCATTCATTAGCCGAGGTGTTGCGACATACTTGCAATAACCCGCAAGTATGATTGAAAGTGAACAGAATCAATTCATACACCTATCGAGATTGCAGGGACAATCCACTTTAGCTGCTTCTTCGCATCAGGAAACGGCTCCTTCCCTTGGTCCTCCACCGACGGTCTGGGCTCCCCTGACTCCGCATCGTGACCGACAATCGCCCCGTTAGAGACAGTGCCGTTGCTCTCACCCAACAACGGGGACGTCTCGGTGGGAGTCCGCTGTGGCACCATCGAAAATGAACGTCTTGCCAGTCAGGGTCTCGCCCCAGGAATAGCTTTTGAGAACTTAAAGAAAGTGAAATGACTCAAATGGACGAGGAAAAGGCGCGACTTACTCTTTTCGGGACCCCGGACGCGGTCACGTGCTGATAAGCATTGTTCCCCTCTCTGACAAATCCATCGACCTGGAGGCAGGCCAATCATCGTGGTCCATTGGAGTTTTCCTTCTGTATGATGGCCCCCGTTCTCGGGCACTCAGGCCTCCCCTCGGCAATCTGTTGCCGAAGATGATAAGAACATGCCTAGGCTTATCAATTGCAATGAAGCGAGCAATGGCGATACATAGCAGAGTATTGTCTTGCAGAGTATTGTCTGTGTGAAGCTCAACTTGAAACTTACCGAAAAGAGCTCATAGGGACTATAATTGCGTGATGAATGTCGATTATACACATTTGTCAGCGGTCAGAGTGCCAAACGGGCTTGATAGATCTGCAAGATGCAACAGTAATTGGGGACCCTTAACTCAGACAATAATCTTTGTTGACGGAAACTGCTAACTAGTTACTTAGCTAGTTGATTAAGCATTCGAAACTGAAGTGACCAATCACACTAGACGAGGCTGCAATGTTTATCAACCTTGGTGGCCGTAGCTTGTCATTTAAAAGAGGGGCCAGCCCCGCCGAGGGAATTCAAATCAACATCATTCAATGAAGAAGAGCATCGAAGCAAAATTCATATTCAAGTGCCTGACCAATGAAGCCCGCTACTAACCTCCCCAATTACCTAGGTCCATATAGGTAGTATGTACATGCTAAACCCCAAGGAGATTCCAAATGCGGCTGCGAATTGTTGAAAGAAAATACATGTCGTCGTGTCACATCGTCAAAAGTTCTCGTCGCTGTTGAAATCAGAGAAACCATTACACCTCACCGCGTGAGATTGCATTCATCACATCACACATTTATGCCTCACCCCAGATCTCGTCGGCGATTTGCCGAACCAGACCCAGCTTCTTCTTCTCATCGTCGAGGCTCAGGGGGTATCCGCTCTCGTGGGTGCTGAAGCCACACTGAGGGCTGACGCAGATACGCTTGAGCGCCTCCTCGCGGCTCTCGCCACTGCCGGAGGCAACGTATTCTGCGGCCTTGTAGATGCGCTCCTTCATCGCCTCCTTGTCCTCCAGGTCGCGCAGCTTGGTGCTGATGACGCCGACCACGACATTCTTGTTCCTGGGCAGGAACTTGAGAGGCTCGAAGCCGCCGGCACGCTCGGTGTCGTACTCGAGGTAGAAGGTGTTGACGTTGAGGTTCTCGAACAGCTTCTTCGCGATGATGTCGTATGAGCCCTCGGCGAAGTGGCGGCCGCCGATGAAGTTACCGCGGCACAGGTGGATACCGGTGTGCATATCGGCGGGGATCTTGGCCAGACAATCGTTGTACAGCTTGACATAGGCATCGAACAGGTCGTCGACCGAGCCAATGTTGTCCTTATCCTCCTCCCAGCCCTGACGGAAGGACTTGGAGCAGAAGTAGGCCATGCCGGGGTCGTCGAACTGGACGTTACGGAGGCCAGCCTTGTAAAGAGCGTCCAGCTCGTCCTGGTACACTTGGGCGACGTCCGCGAAGTACTCCTCGTCATTGGTATAGGCCTCGGGGGTGTACGCCTTGCCCTGCTTGTATCGCATGTGGAACCAGGCGGGAGTGATCATGGTGAGCTTGATGTTGCCCCACTCACTCTCAGGCAGAGATGCCTGAACGAGCTTCAGCTCGTGCAAGTTGGACACGGACTGCTCGGCGCTCCAGGACAGCTTGGAGCCGGCAATGACCGAGTCACCGGGCATGACCTTACGGTCCTTCTCAATCAAACTGACGACATCGGGGTGGTACAGTCTGAACATGGAGGCCTCAGCGTCCTGAAGACGGATAGTTCCTGAAGATCTCAAATCAGTAACGCACTCGATGAGCTAACAAAGCTTTCATTGGACCTACCTTGGAACTCATCCCACATCAGACCCCAGAAACGGGTGCGGTTGAACTCGCCAGAGTTGACAGCCTTGTAACCAAGGTCCCGCTGGAGCTGAACGACATCCTTAACGGCCTCCTTCTCAACAGCGTGCAGACCAGCAGCCTCCTCCGAGATACCGGTGTCACGAATCTTAGCGCGAACCTCAAGCAAGTTGTCAGGACGCAGCAGCGAGCCCATGTGCTCGGCCCGGAAGGGCGGTGCGCTGTGAAGCTGGTTGGCCATTTCGATTGGGGGAATTCCGGTTCACGAGAAGCCTACTGAATTGACTTTGATAACTGTCCCGCCAGATGATTGTGGGACAAAGCTGTTTTGTAGGAATCGCCCTCACTGATAAGCAAGGAACAATAATCAAAAAAATCAAAATGAAAAAGAGAAGAAACGAAGACCAGAGCTGAAGGCAAATGTGGTGCTGCTGATGTGGGGAGGGTAAGCTGAGCCATAGGTGGGGCTGCCATGACAGCCGAGCAAAACCGGCATTGCTTCTTCTGCTGTGGAGACAGATAAAACTGCGATTGACTGGTTTTGAAGTGCTTAATTCTGGCGATATCATCTTGAGCTTGGACGAGGGTTGAGATACTCCCTTTTCTCCATTCCAACTGCAGCTTTGACGCCGTGAGACATGAGATCTATAGATCAACCTACATACAGCGAGCCCCACATGAGCTCGACGGCCGAACATTGTACATACACCTTCCTATAAAGGTGTATGTTAAGAACAGGGTTCTTAGGAAAGGACTGAGATGGATGTAATCCCAAAACATCCTTCACTCTTAATCTTCTCTACACCGAAAAGTTCCGTCCCATGACCGCCCCGGTGTTCACTTGTGCATACCCTGTAGCAGAGCTTGAGAGCCCTTGACGATGCCCTCGAGTCAAACTCTGATATGATGGATGTGTAACAGTGAATTCCCCGTGCCAACAACTGAAATACTTGTTTCGGCTGTGATAGAGATATGTACAAAAGCTCGATATTGACCGAAACCTTTGCCATCTTGCACTGCAGCCAGATCCATTGACTGCACCGGTTTCTATTCGAGATAAGAGGCACCCCACGTGCTCAATACAGTACAATAATTGCTCGAGCAAGTTCAATCTTCTAGTTAAACCAACTTACATTGTATGGATCGATCTGTCTCATATTTTGAGACAGTTTGTCGTGGCCCCACATTGGATTGTATAGAGCGAAAGACGCTCCGATTAAAGATATCAAATCATTCAAAGGTTAAGTTCATTGAAATAGATACAAATGAATCTAGGCTAAGGTTGATCATACGATAACTTATGCTTCCGCACAACAGGCTGTACTATTTTTGGATCTACTAGATAATTAGTTAAAACATGTGTATTTAGTTTTTACATACCACTGTAAAGCCGTTTCTTCAGTATAAATGGCGAGGATCCAGATGTATGTACCTGTTCTCCACTATATCTCACAGGGGGCATAGTCTGTCGTGCAGGTACCTTCTCAGCCTGGTTCTACACCAATTTACATTATCATACACAGTAGTGCAACTCAAGATTTGAAGTATGGACATGGACAGGTCGTTAAATTTTGCTTCAAGATAGGCTTAGGTATTTGAACATAGATGCAAAATCCCAAGATTTACACTCAGTTTCCATTCTCCACCACAGGCATAGGGACAGGACCACCTGGTGAGTCAGGAAGACGAGCGGTCAGAACCTCCACGCCATCCTCCGTCACCAGCATAGTATGCTCGAACTGCGCCGACAAAGAGCCATCGGCAGTGGTACTAGTCCAGTCATCCGGCCATGTACGGTCACGGTGAGTGCCAATGTTAATCATGGGCTCGATGGTGAAGCACATGCCAGGCTTGGCAGTGCCGACAGCCTTGTTCTTGCCGTAGTGGGGGACGTTAGGGGCGCAGTGGAAGAGTTGGTTGATGCCGTGGCCGCAGTAGGTCTTGACGACACTGCAGTTGCGGGACTTGGCGTGCTTCTCGATCACATTTCCGGGGTCGCGGAAGAGCATGCCAGGCTTGACTAGCTCGATTGACTTCTCCAGACACTCGCGCGAGGTCTCGACGACGCGGACGGCATCGGGGTTGGCGAGGGCCTTGTCGCCAACATAGTAGGTTTCGTTGATATCGCCGTGGAAGCCCTTGTGATATAGGGTCACGTCGATGTTGACAATGTCGCCGTCCTCCAGGGGCCGTTGATCGGGAATACCGTGGCAGATGGTCTCGTTGACCGATGTGCAGACAGACTTGGGGAAGTGCATGTAGTTCAACGGCGAGGGATATGACTATAGAGGAAAATATGTCCCAAATCAGTATATGATCTCACATCGGTTTCCATGGGAAATATCTTACGTCGCGCTCAACACAAGCCTTGTGAACAATCTCATCGATTTGATCGGTGGTGACGCCCGGCTTCAATGCACGAGCCGCAATATCCAAGACCTCACGAGCCAGACGGCAAACGACACGCATACCCTCCTGTTCCTCCTTGTTCAGGATTTTAATCTTATGCTGGCCCCATAGCTTCTGCTCGGAGATTGGAATACCACCTTTGGCATAGTCGGGGTGGGGGATGGACTGAGGAACGGTGCGGGTGGGCGAGAGTGGGTAGAGGGGTCGGAGGGCGCCAGTAAATTGGAACGAAGGGAATGGGTTGTAGTGACCGGTTGCTGGATCAGGTTCAGAAACTACCTTCGGAGGAAAGAGATTGGTGAGGATATTACTCTTCTTATGGATGGTCTTGTGCTCGCTCTAGATATAGCAAAGGATGAGGTTAGCAATGATTTTGTTAAGGCCAAGCACGCAGCTAGTCACTATAAAATCATTCTTTGAGAGAGACTTACCCAACTCCGCTTGAAACAGTCTTGCGAGCAGAAGAAACTGTCGGTGCCCATCTTCAGGCAGGTCGGACATTGGAGCGTGCCTGCATCCTTCTCGCAGTCCACACCAATACATTTCCGAGGTGCAACGGCGGCCATGGTGATCTTGACTCTGTGAATGGCCCACCAACGGTATCGTTTCGCGGTGGAATCTGAGACTTGCAACAAGGAATGTTCCCAAAAAAGAAATTCAACTCCCCGCGGCCTCGGGTTCGCGGTTGCCCGCTAGTCCCAGATAGGACTAGCGTGACCAGCCGATCACATCTGGCAATTCAGGCCACAAGGCTGTAAGACCTAAGGCATAAGGCAATAAGGCTGCAAGGAATCCAGTATGGCATCATCGCGGTTAATTTCGCCGGCCGGGACTGAAGCCGATTACTCAGCAAATTCCCGGTCGATCGTTTTGGAAATATTTCCCAATTAGGAAACGGCCGATGTCGCTACACGTGACAGAGTTTAATATCGACTCATCCGGGGAAAGGGTCTCGTTTCCAAGTTGAGAATCTCATTTCTCCCGTGGTCTCTATTCACTCTGCCCCATCATGGCTACCGCAACTCCCAAGCAGAAAGTGGTGGTGGTGGGTGCCGGTCCCGTGGGAGCCCTGGCAGCGTTGTACGCTGCATCCCGAGGCGATGAAGTCGAAGTATATGAGTTACGTGGAGGTACGTTCTAGTTCTGCTTGATTTGAATGTCGATTCTCTTCCCTCTATTGCCCCCATGCGACCACGAAGAGAGAGAAAAAGAAGAACGAGAGAGATCAATGCATGGAATATGCATGTACCGTCCTACGGGTGCAATGGTCTCGGAACGACGAGTAAATTTTATACCATGCCACCACCTGCTGCAACCGTCTCGCAAGGTCCCCTACGCCATAAGGAAACACAATATCTTGGGATTGATTGATGTGATCCCGAATTGACTCCCACCATCTACAACTTTCTCTTTGCGCCCGTTCATGTCACCGCGTTGCGAAAATTCCCGAAAGCAAAAGTCAAATAATAATTTTCGTGGCATCCGTAGATCTCCGCGATCCCACCACTGTGCCGCTAAACTTTACCAAGTCGATCAACTTGGCCATTTCAGAGCGCGGAATCAACTCTCTTCGTCATTCAGAGCGACCAGGTCTGATTGAGAATGTACTCCGCGATACCATCCCCATGCATGGGCGGATGATCCACGGCCGAGACCGAGGGCAGCTCTGGGAGGCTGCTCAAGCCTATGATGTTCATGGTCGGGTAGGTACCTGACAGGTCCAATACGCATCAGCCTCAAAATTGACAGCGGGAAATGGGCTAATTATTCCGATATAGGCTATCAATGCTCTGGATCGCAGCGCTCTAAACAATGCTCTACTTGACGAGCTAGAGCGCGAACCAAATGTCAAGCTCTTCTTCAACCACAAGCTGACAGGCGCGGATTTCCGGACTAACAAGGCCTGGTTCGAGCGACGCATCCCCGGCGAGACACCTCAGCCCGATAACCTAGGCGTTGCCGGTCGTGTACCAGAAATCGAAGTTTCATATGACTACCTCATCGGCGCGGACGGAGCACACTCCGCCTCGAGATTCCACATGATGAAATTCGCCCGCGTCGACTACCAACAAGAGTACATCGACACACTATGGTGCGAATTCCGAATTCCACCCTCGGAGGATGGAAATTTCCGCATCTCCCCGAATCACCTACACATCTGGCCGGGCCGCGAATTCATGTTCATCGCGCTGCCGTCTGCAGATAAATCTTTTACCTGTACATTATTCGCGCCGTCGGTACATTATACCGCGCTGGAGAAAGCGCCAGAAGATCTACACGCTTTCTTCGATCTGCATTTCCCCGGCGTATGCCCAGAACTGATTGACCCCGAGGCGTTGAGCGAGCAATTCAACGTGAACCCGCATCTACCTCTGATCAGCATCAAATGCAAGCCTCATCATTTCAGCGCCAGTGTGGCTATACTGGGTGACTCTGCACATGCCGTCCTCCCCTTCTACGGCCAGGGGCTAAACGCCGGCCTCGAAGATGTCCGCGTTCTCTTCGAACATCTCGATAAACACGGCGTCTACGACAAGGACGTTAGCGTCTATACCCGGGGCGTGAGACGCCAAGCCGCCTTCCAAGCATACACCGATCAGCGCTGCGAAGATACCTATGCCATCAACAATCTGTCGAAGGAGAATTATCTCGAGATGCGTTGGGGTGTCAAGTCCCCGCTTTACAAGCTACGCAAGTCTGTTGAGGAAACACTTGATCGTCACCTCCCGTCTCTGGGGTGGAGGACGCAGTATGCGCGTGTGAGTTTCAGTAATCAGCGGTACTCGGAGGTTGTGCGAGCTGTGGCGAGGCAGAGTGAGTTGCTTGGTATGGGTCTGAGTGCTGCGTTGGTTGCTGGCGTCGGTGCTGTGTCGATATTGATGTGGAAATATCCGCGGTGCTTTTCGCCAGTGCAGTTTTTCCGGGCTTCACTACGGTACTTATCTAGAGCGTTGTCATAAAAGGAAGGGGGAAGGGAGGGGGGTATGGTGTGACGAGAATGCTGTGAAGCACTGCATTTTGAAAAATTTGGTTTGCATCCGAGAGAAGCTCTCCCATCTTGTTTATGTGTTCATGTATAGATCATGTTTTGGATATCCTTGTTGCGAAATGAAGATTCGAGTTTTTGGAAAGTGACAAAATGAGGTTACCAGAGATCATCATTGACCGTAAGGGAAATCATCTCTAACGCCTGAAAAAAGGCCGGTATAAACATCCGCAAACTTCCAAATCTGCGTGACACCGTACAAAACACCTAATCCCAGTACTTGATAACGCCCTCCAGACCACCCGTAACAACCTTACTCGTCTCTTGCGGATGCCAGTCCAGACAGGTAATAGCGCCGCCTTCCTTTCCACCCGCTAAAATCTTATGATACATCTTGCCAGTCTTCCAATCCCAGAAGCAAACGTAGCCCCCGCTGTCACCAGAGACGAGGAATTGGCCATCGGGCGAGATTTTGATATCAATTCCGTATCCGGCATTGTTGTGTCCGCGGAAGCTCTTCTTGCGATTTTGTCGGAACTTGTCTGTGGCGCCGTAGACCAAGATCTGGTTGTCGCTGGACTGGAAGGCGACGTATTTGCCGTTGGGATGGGGTGTAGCCCGTGTCAGAGCGAACATGTACGGTTCGGCGATGAACTTGATTGGGACCGGGATACCGTATTCCCAAGCGCGCAGCGACTTGTCGTCGGAAGTCGAGATGAAGCGTCGGTTGTCGTCGACAAAGGTGATGGTGTTGATGGCTGCCAGGTGGTGGTCGTATTCTTGGACCAACTCGCCAGATCGTGTGTCGAATTGGACAATCTTCTTGTCCGACATACCAGCCAGGAACTCGTGTCCATGTTCGGCGCCGGGGTTGAAGCGCACGACGTGTGGTGTCTTGCCGGTGGAGAAGCGGCCCAGACACTTTCCGTATTCCGTATCCCAGAGTTTGATCTGTCGGTCGTAGGAACCAGTCAGGAAAGTCTTTCCAGTAGGATCAAAGTCTGTGTCGGTGATGGCCTTGGAATGACCAGAGAAAGTCCGGAGCAGCTCCCGAGAGTGATACACATCCCAGATCTTAGCCTTTCCATCCGCCGCAGAAGAAAGCAGCAAGTGACCGGATGTCGGGAAGAAGCGAAGCGAAGTAATAGGCTTGGTATGAGACTTCCAGGTGTGCACCAGCTTCTTGGGCACGTAGTTCTTGACGCTGCCCGGCTCCTTGCGCAAGTCGATATCCAGATCTTGAGGGACATGCATATACGTCCGGCCCTGGTAGTCGAACTGCTCGGAGCCGTGGAACTCGGTGGTCTCCACCTTCGACGTATCCCCCTGGTACTCGGTGGCTTCCTTGCTCATGGCCGGCATGGGCGCGGCGGGAGCCAAAGTCTCGTCCTCTTCCGCCCACTCCTCATCACTTGCGAGCTCACGCTCCTCTCCCGAGCCGACCTCAATTTCCTCATATTGCTGTTCGTTTTGATACTTCGCCCAGGGCCCCATGTATGCGCCGTCGCCTTCCACGATACTGGAGTCGCCTTTCCTTTGTCGCTTTGCTCGCCATGCGGCAGAAGCCTCCTTACTAGGTTTCATCTGTACGACATCCCGTCCTCCAAACTGCGCGACTTTGTCCATGTTTCCAACGAACTGGTCCGGCAAGGTCGGGTTGCGGGTATATCCCAGACTCTGGAACGTGCGATGTTGCGCGGCGAACGTCGACTCGCTGATGGCTGCTTCCTCGGCGAATCCGGTCGGAACATTCTTCCGCTTGACTCCATTGCCGGGGCCTGCTGGTTTGAAGGGGTTTACGGGACCCTGCGAGGGCCGCGTTAGATCATCGTATGTGGCGTTGTAGGTGAGGGCTTGCGACGAGGTGTTGGCGAGGGTCATCTGCATATGCGCTTGGTCCTGTAGGGCAGTTAGTCTTATCTGGTCGTCCTAATATGGAGCGAGTGCTAGAGATCAAGGCATGGGAAGCAGGCAGGGTGGCATGTGGGGGACCAAACCTCTGTATTGACCTCTGGTGCAGCAACGATCTTGGTTGCGGTCGTTACTGAAGGGTTGGGCACGGTGGCGTCATCGTCGCTCGAGTCGTAGCCTGCGCCCAACAGAGACGCCATATTGGAATATGTGGAGAGAATGTGCTTATTCAAATTGAAGCCCACCCACGACTGCGACAAAGTGATGGGATGGGGTGGGAGGTGGTTTGGCAGTTGGGCGGATGGGAATTTTACGGGCGTCGGGAGACCCGCGAAGTGAAGAAGTGTGAGGTGAGTGAGAGCTCGCCCACTGCGGCAAAAGGTTCAAAGGTCCGCATCGATTCTCCTCACCCCGCAAATATCTTTTCAAGAATGTAGATACTTTATCTGACTGTAAATTCCTATTTGGTGCAAGTGTAGTCTTGACTTTTGTTCTCTTTCTTTCTTTTTTTTACGAGAGATGGGAAGAAAAGACTTGGGTATCGTACGCTCTTCATTGCCAAACCGCATGGGAGGTATATACAGCTCGCAGGCCGAAAGACATGACAAGATCAACATAGAAAGACAAGAAGAAAAGAAACATAAAGAGAAGCGAATCTGAGCAGCCCATCGGAAGAAATTTCATACGCCTCTCCTGACAAGAATCACCCCGACTCGTCAAAAACCACACCGCAGGAAAATCCCGAAGATAATCTCTATTACGCACCGCCACAGCAAATAACCAACCATCTAGAGTCAAGGACACACAGATCCTTACACGTTAATCCATCAATTCGTATCCCGTCAACCCAGAACAACCCAAGAGAGGAAAAGACACCGCGATATATGGCATAGCGGCTGCCCACGGGAGATGCAGTCGTACCCGATAGGTACAAGCCGAAGGAGCGAGAAACCGGCCGAAACCGACGATGCGAAGCTCCCGAAAAGCATTCAGGGAATGTAACGACGGCCTGGAGCTAGTTGGAAGGGCCATGGCGCATGGCATGTTCCGCCTTTTCGCGAAGTCAATGGCCTTCGTCGCGGATGAGGGCGACGATCATGCTGTAGAGGTAAAAGAAGAACATCAAGAGGTGGAAGCCTAGCTTGATGAAAGATTCCTGTAGATGGCACACACGACCGGGTCAGTGACAAAAGCTCGTGATAGAAGACTGATCAGATCCCAGAACCAAGCGATAACCAACCTTTTTGTGCACGTTCAGCTTGCGGAAAATCTCGGTCGCATCCAACAGGTGCTGGTTGTCGTAGATCCTATATACCCAGAAAGAATATCATCAGATTAGCCTTTTGCTCCCGAGATTGGGAATGCGGAGGCCGGCATCGGCCAAAGGTGGCGGGACGTACTTCTTCGCATTGAATGCCAGGAGAGGCAGGTTGAGGAAGATCGCGAGCCAGTAGCCGTTGATAACGAAGAGGAAAGTCAAGAAAGCGTGAACAGCGGCCTCGGGGATGATGTAGGCGTTCAGACGGTTGCAAAGGTCGATAGGGTTGATGTAGTCACTGCGCAGGAAAAGGGGAGGCGCGAATTAGCTATGCTCCTGCGATCAACGGCTCGGCTTTGGGAGCTCGAGCCGATAGGGATTCAGGAGAACGACACTCACCACTCGAGATCGCTGTACATGATGGTGAAGAAAACCTGGAGGAACAGGTTGACCGCATTGATCAACACTGACAACAGGTAAAGCCATGCTTCGCCGGACATCATGGGCAAGGTATTGACTCCTCCAGGAGATTAAGCTAGGGTTCAATGACTGGAACGAGGGATTCCAGATGGTCAGATCGGTGGTGGTGAACAGGGGGAGGTGGAGATGCGGGTTTGGGGGAGGAGGAGGGGAGAGGTTTCGAAGTCGTGGTGCGGACCGCGAGGCCGGAATTGGAGATGGAGTTTGTGGGGTCCGAGGCCCCAAGGAAGACGGAGGAATCGCGAAGACTCTTGGATAGTTGTGGAGGGCGGGGAGAAATCGGGAGATTTACTCACAAATTAAGGCCTGCGTAATGACACAGTTGGTGGAGATGGAGAGGCGCAAAAGTGAGGAGATGCTGGACAAAAGAGCAAGAAGAGCTTTGGGAGGTTGGGGGATGAGTTTAGTTAGCGAATCTCGCCAACCTGAACGGGTCGGCGGTGGGCCTAGCTACTACGACCACTACTGCGGAAAGTTAGCGCGTCATCCGCCAAAGAGGAAGGGGGGCACTAAACAGTGTATACACAAAGCAGATTATAGGTTTGAGCAAGAAAAAGAATACTTGTAAATGCTGGTCTGCTTAACTGAGAACGAGAATGGATTAGGCATGAGATGTTTGATCAGGCGGAGACAGCAGAAAAAGCAAAAGTCCTTAGGTAGGTAGATACTCGGATGACGTCGAAACACGTGCTTCGCATTCCAGATGGCTGCTGGTGATTAGCCCAACTTCCATATGAACACCGTGGAGGTATATACTGCAAATTATAATAGGCCCAGATTGTATACTTGGTCACATAGCATGGTCTATATACACACAAATCAAGTTGTAGGCCTACCTCGAAACATGTACTTGAATGCAAGGTAGCTTCTCAAGTGCTCTCTAAAACTGAAAAAACATCACGTTCACATAAAACAAAACACAGAATAATAAACTGCAAGAACGGAAAGTGCCAAATAAGGGACAGAAACAGGGATCTCCTAGTCATGGTAAGGAGAGTGAGTCAAAGAATCCGAGCGGATCTACCGCTTCTCGACAAGTAGGAAATGCATCGCTCCGTATGCAATGATGATAAAGGCCCCAGAGATCACAGCGAGGCCAATCACATCGTGCCAATAAGCAAGGGTGTTGAATCCGAAGGCACTCAGGATCGAGGCTCCGGGAACTTCAATGTCCAAGCCGTACTTGTGGTCAATCAACGTGAGGAAGGTGACCTCGTTAACAATAAGAGCTTCAAAGCCATAGTGGAAAATTGACAGCTAGAAACGAATTAATGAATAAGACTTGACGTGGGGGATCGAAAGAATAGACTTACGCTTTGCAACCACAAGGCAGATGCGGGAATCGCATCGTGATTCAGCAACAGACCGGCAAAGAGTAAGCTGAAAAGCATGACAAGACTGCCAATCAGGTTGGCCACACCGCCATCTCGGAAGATGATACCAATAAACAGGCAGATGCAGGCTGCCGCGAGGTTAAACAGCACCAGAACCAGCATGAAGCGGAGGAACTCGGGCCATGCAGGAATCAATCCGGTCATGGGGTAGACAATAATACCCATAATGATGGGAGGGATGAGTCGAAGCGGTACGATATCAAATACAACCTTGGCGGCAAAGTATGTGACCGGGTGGTAATAACCGTTAGCTCGCTCGCGGACGAACAAAAGTCGCTCCGTGGAGAAAACAGTCAAACTGGTAAGGGTGCTAAAGCCGAAAAGAGCAAGAATGAAGAAGAAAAGACCCAGGCGATTCTGGAAACCCTTGATATCATCCGTCAACCCGTAGAAGAGATATCCAGAAAGAACAGCAAGCAAAATAGCAATAGCATAATGTGTGAGCATCAGCATCGGATTGCGGTAGAGGTTGCGCCATGTACGTTGCGACAGGATGAGGAACTGCCGAGCCAGACTGACTCGAGCATAACCTATCTGCCCTGTCCCGGAACCATTCGTCAGGTGCGAGTTGGTGGAGCCATTGGTATTTTGCGCAGACTGGATGACAGACATGATCTCGTCGTGGACTGAGCGCGAGACGTCTGAACTAGCGTAGCTGGCAACCAGAACATCCAGGTCGGTTTGGCCAGGTGCTGGGGGAGGTAGCTGGTCGGGATCATCAAGAATCTGCGGGGGAACATTGCCCGGTTGGCGATGCAGACGGAGCCATTGTTGGGTGTTCTCCGCTACGTCCAGCGTAGCATCTTCCTCGTCAGTCTTTGGTGTAAATGGACGTTGTTCTTGATCCTTCCGTCGCGAGTAAAGCTGACGATCTTGCTGCTGCTTGACAGACACCCTTCGGTTGTGCTTCGGTCTCCTTGTCGGCTCTGCTGTTGTGCTTGAGTTGTCCTCAATGCTCACGTTGGAAGCACTGGCGACGGACTTAACCGCTCTGAGGCTACTCGAAGCAGTCTTGGGCGGGCCATTATGTCCATCCACTGCAGATCCAATTTCATCAGAGTAAGAGTTTGCTACACTCGCGTGCATCGTAAGATCGACGAGGTAATCCGCAATGTTGAACCCAGGAGGGCATGAATATCCAATATGGTCAAAGTACTGCTGGCATGTTGAGAAGGGACCAGAGTAGACTGTGCGTCCCCCCGCGAGAAGGATGAGTCGGTCAAAGAGAGCAACAATGTTGGAGCGCGGCTGATGAATGGTGAAAATGACGGTTCGGTTGTATGTCTTGGCCAGGGTAACCAGGCATTCGACCACATTGAAAGCGTTGTATGCATCCTAGAAATCCATTAGCATCAGGAAAAGAGAAGGCATTTGGTGTGTATCATACCAATCCACTGGTAGGCTCATCCAAGAAAAGAATGCTGGGACTGGTGACCAACTCGCAAGCAATACCGACACGGCGTTTCTCACCACCGGAAATACCACGACCCTTGCCTTCTTCTGAGCCAATCAGTTGATCCCTGATGTGATAAATTCCAAGTTGCTTTTCAACCTCCAGCACCTTCTGTTCCTTGGCAGCCCGGCTCATATCCCGTGGAAGCCTAAGAAGGGCACTGGTCAAGATAGTTTCGTGAACGGTCAAGGTTGGCAGCATCGTATCCTCTTGGTCGACGAAGCCCACCATGCTTTTAAATTCGCTGTCTTCCACCTTCTCGCCATTCACATAGAAGTTGCCCTGGACGACGCCGCGCTTGTTCTTCCGCGCTAGGAGGTCTAGGAAGGTAGTTTTGCCTGCACCAGATGCGCCCATGATCGCGGTGATCTGACCCGGGCCCGACGCACCATGGATATTAGAGAGAATCTCTTTACCATTCAGGTAGTAAGACACATTATCCCAGTACAGTGCTGCAGGCCGATGCTCAGCCAGAAGCTTGGCTGATTCGTCATCAGAATCATCGGACAGTGACAGACGGAGATAACCCCGACGAGCAGCACGGCGTGACAGATACCAGACAAGCAAAATCACGGCAACGACGAAGAGCGAGCAACCGGCGATCACACCTGCAATCAGAGGGGTGTTGATCTTCTTGATCGGCCGCTCGTAGCCTGGTTCGTCGGTCTTGTATAGACACTCCCCAGAGTCACAGCTCAAGAAGATGCTGGGGTCACCAAAGACACCACTGATCAGGTTGTTCATTTCGGGCTCGGAGAAGACGCTCTTGGAGCCATCGGCGGTCGTTTTAGTAGAGAAGGTAGCGGGTCCTTTGATGACTTGATCAAGGAAGACACCGAGATCGATGGATCCATTTTCGCCGCACAGGAACCTGTCCTTGATGCAGCTACAGTGGGCATTCTCGCACTTGTAGTTGGTCGTGTTCGTATCGTAACTGTTCTCCATGCCCCACTCGCAAGTATCCAGACCACAGTAGAAGGACTCCTTTTGGCCTACCCAGAATTGGAAGTTGCAAGTCTTATCCTCCTCCTTACAAGAGAAAGTCACTTGAGGTTTCCGGCCGTCAAGCTGGTCCAAGATCTTTCGATTCGTTACATCACACATCTGGAAATTCTCCTTGACGGTGACACCTTGTTTGTAACACCTGCCGCCCTCGCCTTCAGGCATCATGGCATTGCAGGCATTGTCCGATTCGCAGACATTGCAGTTGATACCGGTCCAACCTTCCTTGCAGCTACAGGTGTCGCCTTCGCGCCTCGGGCGGTTCTCGCCATCGGCCAGCGATCCGCACACGGGGGTCGAGCAGTCATCTCCTCCAAAGCCCGGCGGACAAGAGCATTTGCCGTTGTACTTGTTGCAGGGCGCAAAGTGGGTACAGTTGTAGGAGTCGAGCTGGCAGTTGAAGCAGGGCGGACAATCGGCAGGCCGGTCATCAAGGAGCGAAAAAGGGGATCGAGGAACGAGGTTTACATCGTAGACATCGCTCCAGGCTGCTGATGAGACAGAGCAGCAGACCAGAGCGATTACCGAGAGAAGGAATGCGGAAGCCGACCGCATGTTGCGCAGGGGTGGCTGGGCGCTGGTCTAATGCCGTACCAGCGACCGAAGCGAGAATGCGAACGCAGATCGCAGGATAGCTTTAAAGCTAGAAGTGAGCTCCAAACATCCGTATAGCTCGTGGGGTTGGTGTTAGGCAGAGAGTGGGTGAATGATTGAGTTGGAGGTCCCCAGAGCGGAGAGGAGATGGCCCCAGACGATGACGCGGGCGGAGAACAAGTGGCTGTGTCTTTAGGGGTGGGCCAGGAACTCGCCATAACTGACACATAAGCAAGGTAGGAGGAGACTCAACAGTAAGCGGGGTTGACGGCTAAACAGCCACGAGGTGCGTGGCTTTTGACTGTAAGATCGTGGTCTTTTTGACTAGTCTTATTCGCTACTTTAATATGGCGTTGCCTGGCTTCCGAACATCCAAACAAGCTCTACCTGATTGGCATATGAATCAATGTCTGCACAAGGCTTACAGGTATGTACCTGCAAAGCTAATGATTACCGTGTATCAAAGCACGACAATCATTTCGCTCAAGACATATTAGACCAAGTGAAGTCGAAGATAAACGCTTGCTCGAGTCTGGCTTCGCAAGTCGAGCATTCATCATTACATCAGAACATGGCAGTGTGGAATAGATTATTCACTAACCAATGCTCCATCCACCGTTCATTCCATACAAGCTGTCTCAGTATACATACTCTCTAACATCACAATGGGCGCAAGAATCCTCAATGTACGACGACAGGTGTAGACCCACCACCAGCATGTCTTCTATGCGAGGTGGAAATCCCATGGACGGGGGAGAGTGGGATCGCAAATTCTACTGATCTGGATCGGCTACTCAAAAATCAATGGAGAGGTTATCGGAAATCCAGTTTAAAGCATGTCATGGTGCCATCCAGCAAGATTGAAGAGGCATGTTTTGGTGATTTGCCCCGTCTATGGTCATGTTTCTGTCACGCTAGTGAGTCCAAAAAAGATATCTTGAAGTCACACACTAAGTATTATAGTCATCAAAGAGTCCAGCAAGAAATATCACCTAACGGGTATTAACATAGTGCAAGAACAACCAAGTCTACCCTACTATATTCCGACAGATCCAACGATCGCGAGAATTGGTGGAAGACCTAATACTCGATACGACGTCAAGCGTTTACCCGATTCTTTGCAGCCAAAGTCGGATGACAACCAGCGCACTGCAAAGGGGAGCTACTTGGGTATATTGTTCATGCTCATTGCTGAATAATATATGCTGGAGTACTGGGAACGACACCCACTGAAATCAAACTCGCGACCCTCGTCAGTCTGCCATACACTGATATCAGAGTGCTCTGCCCAGAGAACTACACCTTAAATGACGTCGAGAGCATGCGCAATACGCTTTTGGCATTCCCGTAGAACTTGCCTAATTGGTTTTGGCGGAGACGGTTTCAATAAGATCTGTTTTTTGAGTTGAATATTCTCATGGAGTCTACCTCATCAGTAGATTTTCAGATGTTACGGCTTGATCTGATGAGTCTTGTGTCTGACCGGAAATGGTATACTACCAGTGGTCTAGCAAATCGTGAACGAATACTCAAAAAGACTGTTGGTATGAAAAATGATCTGAAAATGAGCTAGATAAAGACGACTTTCGCTATGAAAACCCACTGCCCTTAATCATTCAACAATTGTGCTAAAGCTTTGTCGATATATGTATCCAACGTATGTTCCTCAGGTGTGCAACCTACCGTACTTTATTCGATGCTTTGATAATATTATTTCCTTCCAGTGCTCTTTCGAGTGCTCTTTCCATTCTTCTTGAAGTTTTATTTTCACGTACAATTTCCTTATTTGAAAGGCATCTATGTACATCCAGTGATGCTGTCAGGCTCCACAGCCTCAATGCGGGGACAGGAGACCACGTGATTTGGAGATTTGGCGGGCCTCGGAGGAACAGGGACGCGACTCTGGAAACACCGAACAGGCTTGACATTTTGGTGGCCAGCGAGACTTGAGAACTTTGACCTTGAATTGAGAAACTTTTATCTCATTTCTGATCCAAGAATCGGACACAATGGTGAAGCTAGAGGCATTCGCTGTTGAGCAGGTAAGCTCCCCCGCATTTGTGCATGAGTCAGTCGTTCGTGGGCTGCGTGTGAAGTATCAAGACTGTACAAGGACGCTGACAAGCTCTAGTGGATGGACAAGTATGAGACAACTGCCAAGTACAACACCGCCGAGACCTGCTGCGCATCTATTTCCATTGACGACCTCCGCGAGCTCTCCGAGGACAAAGATACCAACCCATTGACTGCGCTTCAATCCACCAAGCTCACGTACGGAGCTATTCGGGGTTCCGATAAGCTGCGGGAGACACTAAGTAACCTTTACTCGGTGAAAATCCCGAATTTGGTTCCAAAGGATAATGTCTTGATCACAGCGGGTGCTATTCAGGCCAACTTCTTGCTGCTGTATACTCTTGTTGGCCCTGGTGATCATGTTATCTGCCACTATCCCACATACCAGCAGCTGTACTCAGTTCCTGCATCTCTGGGTGCTGAAGTCAGCTTGTGGAATTCCAAGGAGGCGAATGACTGGCAAGTCGATATCGAAGAGCTAAAGAGCCTAATTCGTCCGAACACGAAGTTGATTATCATCAAGTGAGTTGGAATCACAGATTGAATGGCCACGGACTATGTAAATACTAACCATATATTACCTCATAATAGCAACCCCCAAAACCCAACAGGTGCTATTATCCCTCGCGACACGCTCCAGAGCCTCGTTGATCTTGCCCGCGAGTCTTCAATCACCCTCTTCGCAGACGAAGTATACCGTCCTCTTTTCCACAACATCAGCCCTTTGGATTCACAATTCCCTCCGTCCCTGCTTTCCTTCGGCTACGAACACAGCGTTGTAACTGGGTCCGTCTCCAAAGCATACAGTCTTGCCGGTCTTCGAGTGGGTTGGATCGCATCTCTCAGTAACAGCATCATCGAAGCTTGCGCCAGCTCGCGCGATTACACTACTATCTCCGTCGGTCAGATCGATGACGCGATTGCTAGCTTTGCGCTCGCCCCGGATTGCATTCATAATATCTTGAAGCGAAATATCGCGCTGGGACGAACTAATCTTGCAATTCTGGAGAAGTTCATCGAGTCTCATCGCTGGGCGTGCGATTGGATTAAGCCTCGCGCCGGCACCACGGCATTCGTCCGCTTTAACAAGATGGGTAAGCCGGTGAATGACGTCGCTTTCTGCGAGATGCTTCAGGATAGGAAGGGTGTCATGTTTGTACCGGGTAGCCTTTGTTTTGGAGGGGGAGAGGACTTTAAGGGATATGTTCGTATTGGATATGCATGCGAGACTGAGGTGTTGGAGAAGGGTCTCGAGGCTGTCCGGGAATTCATGGAGGATGATTATGATGAGGTCCCTGCGTTGAAGAAGGTGAAGGCACCTCAGTAGATAGGGAGATGTATATCAAACAAAATATGAAGGAAGTATATTGTCTACCTCAATAATCCTGAATGAGTATCTCGTAACCCCACACCGATGTGTTTATCCGTGGAATCTGGAGAATACAACACTGGCCGAGGAGCTAGAGGCTTAATCGGGGACGATCGCCGGTGTCCAAGCTAATCTTTGAACGGTCTGACGCACCTCGCGAGCCTAACTACGTGGGGTAAAAAGACACCCCAGCTTATATTGGGTCTTACCCCATGCTCACAGCTCTGACCTGTGCTATCAAGTAAAATAAGCCGAGCCACCGGGCCATGTGAAGGTGGTGCAATTCATGCTTTCCCCCGAGATGCCCGTCGCAGGTTGGAGCGTAAAGAAAAGAGTAGAATATTGTGTAGGATGGAATGTAATGTAATGAAATCGCGATGTCCCGTTTAAAGTGATCAATATACTATAAATATTGGAGTATTAGACAGATAGATCTCAACGGTTGGAACGTGGGGAAGAAAAGACGGGGTGAGATGACGCGGTGTAGCCACCGCACCGAATGCATAAATGCAGCATACCATACCTCAAGTGTATTTGCGTACATAAACCGGCCTGCGATCAACGCCGTGCCGAGGTAACTTTCATTCACACCTTTCGCATTGTCGCAATCCTGGGCCTCTCTCCCTCCCCTTTTGCCATTTATTGCCCCCAGACTCGAGCTCTTATACTAGGTTCTTTGCATTAAAGCTCTCTCCTCCCCATTCTGTATATCCTGTGAGCTACTGCCGTCGGCATTGACGTAGCTTCCCCGGCCGGATCGCAACCAGCCACGATAAGACAAGGTCGTACGATTGCGACTGCGCCCTTGACATACCAATTGTTCTTCTCAGCAACTCTCCTCAATCCCTACGGGTAACGTTCAAGATGCCGCTGTCATCCTGGCCAGGTAAGGCATTCTATGTGTAAAAGAGTTGAATGAGCTCTGCTAATAGCTCCCCTCGTGGAGACATCCCCTTGCGCTATGCTCTCCCTGCCGCCGCAGCCACGGCGGCATACCTCAACGCACGATGGTCGCTCTCCTACGATCTCGGCCTGATCAAGTCTCTTCTAAAGATGACGCTCAAATCACGCCACGCCGAACGTGGTGATAAATTGAACCTTTTCTATGCCCTCGAGAACTTCGCGCTTAATCCCGCGACCGCCGACCAGGAATTCATTGTATACGATGGCAAGGCGTGGACGTTTCACGAGACATACCTCATGGCCCTTCGCTACGGCGCCTGGTTCAAGAAGGTCCAAGGAGTTCGCCGGAAGGATATCGTAGCTATTGACTTTATGAATTCCTCGACTTTCCTGTTCATGGTTCTCGGACTCTGGAGTATTGGCGCGGTCCCCGCCTTCATCAACTATAACTTGGCTGGCAAGCCACTTACCCACTCAGTGCGGACCTCGACCGCGAAACTTTTGATCGTGGACGAGGAAGTTCGTAACTGTTTCCCGCCGGAACAACTGGAGGCTTTTGCGTCGTCGAGTTTCCGTGATGGCAAGGGGGCTGTCAAGGTGGTCTTTTTCACTCCCGATGTTGAGTCTCAGATTTTGGATATGGAGCCGTCGCGTGAAGATGACAAGGTGCGCGGTGGTTTGATCCCACGCGATATGGCAATCTTGATCTACACCAGTGGCACTACGGGTCTACCAAAACCTGCCATTGTCAGCTGGAAGAAGTGCTGGTCTGGTAGCTTGTTTGTAGGTGACTGGATGCGGATTGGCCCTTCGGACCGCTTCTTCACCTGCATGCCACTTTATCACTCTTCCGCTGCGGTTCTGGGATTCGTGACGTGCTTGATGAACGGGTCGACGATCATTATCGGACGCAAGTTCTCTGCTCGCAACTTTATGAAGGAGGCTCGCGACACCAATGCCACTGTCATTCAGTATGTGGGTGAGACACTTCGGTATATCCTGGGCGTGCCTCCCGAGATCGATCCCGTTACAGGCGAGGATCTTGACAAAAAGCACAATATTCGACTTGCCTTTGGCAACGGTCTGCGCCCGGATATCTGGAACCGCTTCAAGGATCGCTTCAACATTCCCACGATTGCCGAATTCTACGCTGCGACCGAGGGCACCTCTGGTCAATGGAACATTTCGTCCAATGACTTCTCCGCCGGCGCTATCGGTCGCAATGGCGCTCTGGGCAATATCATTCTCGGTCGTGGCTCGGCCATTGTGGACGTCGATCACGAAACTCAGGAGCCGTGGCGCGATCCCAAGACCGGGTTGTGCAAGAAGGTCCCTCGTGGCGACCCCGGTGAGCTTCTCTTTGCCATTGATCCCGCAGATCCTGCGGCTACTTTCCAGGGATACTTCCAGAACTCCAAGGCAACCGAGGGTAAAATCGTGCGCGACGTGCTGAAGAAGGGCGACGCCTATTTCCGCACAGGCGATATGGTTCGATGGGACAGCGATGGACGCTGGTTCTTCTCCGACCGGATTGGGGATACTTACCGCTGGAAGAGCGAGAACGTGTCTACCAACGAAGTTGCTGAAGTCCTCGGGGCACACCCGGATGTGCACGAGGCCAATGTTTACGGAGTTGCTCTGCCCAACCACGATGGTCGTGCTGGATGTGCGGCTATCGTGTTCAACCAGCAGATCGCCAGCGGGAACACATCCGGCCTGGCACTGGAGCCGTCGTCTGCGACGCTTCATAGTCTGGCGGTCCATACCCTGAAGAATCTGCCTCGATTCGCGGCTCCTCTTTTCATCCGTGTGATGCCCGAGATGGTTTCTACTGGGAATAACAAGCAGCAGAAACATGCATTGCGCACGGAGGGAGTCGATGTGTCGCAGGTCTCCCAGAATGATCGCCTGTACTGGCTACAGGGCGATACTTATGTTCCCTTTGCGCAGAAGGACTGGGAGCGGTTGAACGGTGGTCAGGTTCGTCTTTGAGTGACGGGCCAGTTTTGCAATTCATTTGTTCTCTCTGCCTTGACCTTCGACGCTTCTTTTGTATGATTCACCTCCTGTCCTCAAACCCCAGATACCCCCACTGTCCTTGAACCATGATCCTAGTCTACCAATATATTCTGTGAATACCATCTTATCTGATTGATTCCATTTGGATCCATATTTCTACCGAATCCCGCTTTCAAGAATGTACAGAGGTTCTCCTATGCAGCCCAGCTGGGATCTACTAATCTCTAGTATGGAAAGAATACAGAACCCCCGTCGTACTCTGATGATATGGAGGTGTATTGACAAAATCAGTGCCCGAGTTCACGAGAACCCGTCCATTTTCAAAGTCCTTGAAGCCACCATCCCCGACTTTATTCGCTACCAGGTTCAAGATCCCCGGGATCAGACTCCATCCATTCATTGTTCTAACGGCCCCCACCTGCAAAAAGGCCCGGAGTTAAAGAAAGCGGAGACCGACCCTCCCACCTTGACTCCTCCACTTTCTGTTCTGAACTCCCCATCATCCATCGGATTTCTTGAAGCAACCCCCGCCGGATTGAGCCTGGAATGCACGACTATTATTATTTCGCCCCTCGGTTTTACTAAGTGTGCGCGCTTAGTCTTGATCTCCACCCCCCATGTCCGACCTTCCAGTCAATCCCCTGGACCCGCTTGGCGATCCCGCGACCCCAGCGCCCAAGAAGAGGACGCGGGTCCAGTTTTCGTGTACAGCATGCAGATTCCGAAAGTACGTTAAGCTTTTATATCAGCTGTCGGATTACTTTGCATGAATAGCTTCTCCCCGTTTCTGTTGTGGTTTCTGTCTAACCACCTGCAGATTAAAATGCGATCGCTCATACCCTTGTACCAACTGCAAGAAGCGGGGTGAGGCGGGCACGTGTACTTATGTTGGCCGTGGTCCTCGAGGAAAAGCTCAGCATGGGCGCTCGAGCCCAACGCTGGTGCAGGATCGTCTCCAGCATTTGGAGAATCTGGTCATGTCCTTGTCTCAGAAGAAGAGACCTGCCGAGTCAGTGATCGATTTCAACACAGGCTCATCGGATAGTACAAATGCATATGATACGCCACCTTCAGTGGGTGATCGTGAGACAAAGCAGTCTCCTACTGAGACAGGCACATTGGTGGTAAAAGATGAGTCAATCAGTTACATCGACAGTGCTGACTGGCGTGCGGTTCTGGAAGAGGTTTGTACTGATAGCCTCAAACCATTACATACTAGAGGACAGGACTAATAAGATTCAATCATGCAGATCCACGGCGTGAAAGAGTATATCGCCGAACATGAAATCTCTGACCAGGAGGATTTCGAAGATGGGCTCGGCGAGGGTCCATCTCCAGCCTTGCTGTTGGGAATGTCCAGGCCAGTCACCAAAGAGGAAGTACTCGCCGACATTCCCCCGAGACCAGTAGCTGATCGCCTGGTGTCTAAGTTTCTCAAGACAACAGAGCCAGCATTGCGTAGGTTGATCGCGAAGCTGTTTAATGAACTATATTCTAAAACTGTCGCTAGTTTGCCTCCATATTCCGACATTTCAAAGAGAGTACGATCATTTTTGGAACAACCCGCTCAGCATGTCATTTACTTGGATCGCCCTACTCTTCGATATCCTGGCCCTATCAGTATCTTGGTTTCGCCGATGCGAGCAAGCCCTACCATCGGAACTGGAGGACGGTGCGACTGCTTGGGACACTTTCCGCAAAAGAGCTGCCCAGTGTCTAGTGCAAGCGAACTATATGACACCGGGCCGTTATAAGTGCGAGGCATTGTTTATCTACGCGATATGCGAATTCTACCGGAGCCAGGATGCTCAGGTTGGCGTTTCGTACCTACTCACCATGACCATTCACCTAGCTATGCGCATGGGCTACCACCGTGATGCAAAACACTACCCGAGTCTATCTGCATTTGACGGTGAAATGCGTCGTCGTCTCTGGGCCTTGCTCTGCCAGCTAGACATTTTGATTTCCTTCCAGGTTGGAATCCCACGGACCATTCAACCGTGGCACTTTGATACAGAATTGCCCTCCAATCTGCACGACACAGAGTTTGACGAAAACACAGTCCAATTGCCACAAGGACGAAGCGACGAGGGAGAGGTTACGCCTTGCACATACGGCAGAGCCAAGTCGCGCATCATGACCGCCTTTGGTCAAGCCGTCGACTTGGCCTATTCGCGAGAGACAGCGGCTTATGATGAGATTCTTGCGACGGACCGTCGTCTAGAGGAAGCACATAACCTGCTGCCCACCATATTCCGCATCCAACCCATTGCCCAATGTATCGCGTTACCAACCAGTCTGATCATGCGACGGTACTCATTGGAATTGCTTTATCAAAAGACGCGCGTGGTGCTGCATCGTCGGTATATGTCGGAGACGGGAAGCAAATACGCGTATTCGCGATCAGTCTGCCTTGCTGCCGCGCGGGAGACTCTGCGACATCACTCCGATATCTGGAATGAGTCTTTACCTGGAGGTCAGCTGTACGCTGAGCGGTTCTTTGTCAACTCTTTCCAAAACACGGATTTCGTTCTTTCTGCCATGATTCTCTGCTTGGAATTGTCTCAAGATAATGAGCGGGGTAGTGCTTCTCGCCTGGGACCTCAGGAACGCACGGATCTGATCTCGTTGCTGGAGGACACGCATCGGATTTTCAAGGATGCACGACGTCGATCTATGGATACGCAACGGGCATTTGCCGCTTTGACCATCATGCTCAGCCAGATCCATGGCACGAGTGTCGATAGTCTGGTAGCGGAGCCCGAGGAACAGGAGATTCCAATGGAAGGTAGGTTTTTAAACCGCGCTTTACTAGGATTCAATCTGACGACGAACGCAGATCAAGTGACATTCCAATTAGCTTCGACGACGATGGACCAGGAGCAGTACCCGACGTATACCACGGCAAGCGCCGATGACATGCAAGCCGCGATGTACAATACTACTAGCTCAACGCCGTCCTACTCATCACTCGAAGTGATTGGGGATATGCTAAGCACGCCGGCTCAAATTGATTGGGTAAGATGTCATTCCTTAGGGTAATTAGTATTGAACTAACTTTTGGTTTTAGCGCCTGTACGACAGTCGTGTTTCTGGGTATCCTGTGGTGAGCCAGGATAATTCCTGGTACCTGGGAGCTCAAGCTTTGCCAACAAATATGGATTTTACTTATCCCAATGGTGAATATTCGACGCACATAAGTAGTTAGAGGCTGCTAGTTGATTAGAGGACCTACTGATACAGAGGGATGAGTTTTCTAGAGTCATGATATATGAGAAATGGAAAAAATATGTACTTATTGAGATGCATATATCTTAGAGATTATGGCCAGTTCAGTGTAATTGAATAAGAACTATGTATACTCCATACAGTACCTACTCAGAGAGTAAATGGGGCCTCGGCCAGAAATGCCGATCGCCGCGGACTCGGGGTCTTTTTTCGCGGAACTCACATTCAACACAATCTCCAACCACAACACACTCGTTCGCAACTTCCTCTCTACACACTTCACTTGAACCATGCGACCCACCTGCCACCCGCGACTACCATGTCGCACAATCCTCTCCTCAACCCGGCCACACTGCCCGGCCCAGCGCACCCTACCACGCAAACAACCCACACCTCGAACCCTCAGCACAGCACTCACTCGCCGTGCAATTCCACAAACAACCTCACCAGTCTCAAACACTCACCACACACAAAAACGCACCTTCGGCCTCCCATCACTATCCTCCTTCCTCCCCTCCTCCCCAAACGGCAACGGCGGCAACGACTCCTCCTCAAAGCGCGTCCTAACCGCAACCCGCACACTCCCCTACACACCAGCCCTCCTCTTCAAAGTAATCTCCTCCGTCGAATCCTACTCCCAATTCCTTCCCTTCCTCAACGAATCCACCGTCACAGCCCGCGACCCGAAAACAGGGTATCCAACACAAGCCTTCCTCACGGTGGGCTACGGCCCGCTCAGCGAGACGTTTACGTCGCGCGTGGATTGTGATCCTGCTACTTGGACTGTTGAGGCGCGGAGTGGGGCGAAGTACGGTGATGGGAAGGCTGGTGGGAGTGGGAGTGGGTTGAGTAGTTTCTTCCCTGGTGCGTCGGAGGGAATCTTTGAGTATCTTTCTACGAGGTGGGAGCTTGTTCCTGTGCCTGGCGCTGGTGGGGAGGGCTCGGGGTTACCGCAGACGAAGGTTAATTTGGAGGTGCGGTTTGAGTTTCGGAATCAGTTGCATGCGACTGTTATGGGGGCTGTGGAGGGGCAGATGGCTAGTATTATGATTGAGGCTTTTGAGAAGAGGATTCGAGAGAGTCATACGAGGGGGCAATAGAGGGGAGAGATGGAATGGAGGGGAGGTATAGAGCTTGGATATTTCTGGGGTTTATATAGATTTTGTATATTATTGGTGTTTTGTTAGACATATATATGTACAGTAATATATAGACTATCTCCTATAGAAAGAAGTACTCGCATCATGATCATGATTGAAGAGTGCAATTCTATCAAACAGTATATGCTGTACAACCAGGAGGATTCAGATCCAAAACGAAGAAGAAAAATGTGATAGTATATATAGTACAGATTATCCAAACAAACAAATGCTTTTCCCTTCGCTTAAAGCATGCTCAGACTCCGATCCCGGTTAGCCGTGCTCCGCGCCCCCTTCACCGAGCTAATAGCATTGTAGTTGTCAAACACCACATCCCAGTTAATCCGATCCCACCACCGCTCGAGGTACTCCTCCTTCCCAGCAATACCATAGTCCATCATCCACGCATGCTCCCAGGTATTAACACACAGAATGGGCTGCACGTCAATAGCACCGGGGGCAAGGCTCTTCTGGTTCTGGGCGTGGGCACCCATTGAGCCGGCGAATTGGTTGCCGAGGGGTGCGTCGGGCGAGTGTGTGGCCATGTCGACGGGTTGGCGTCGGGAGTGGGCGGCCGGGTAGGGCGAACCGGCGTTGTAGGTGCAGAAGATTTGCATTAGGCCTTCGCGTTCGAGGTTCTTGGCGAGCCAGACGAAACCGGGGCCGAACATGGCGTTGGCTGTGGCGAGGAAGTCCATCTTCAGGGATTCGACAGAGGAGCAGGTGTCGACGATGTCCTTGGCGAACTTTTCGGGGATCTTGGTGGTAGTGGGGGACTATACAACGGAGGGTGTTAGTTAAGAAGAGGAGTGCACTCATGTCAAACAGATACTGACCAGGCAGTTGAAGAAGAAGTGGTTGTTGTGAGCCATGGAGGCATAGTTGAAGACCGAGGCCATCTCCGGGCGCTTGGAGTACTTGACCAGCAACTCTCCAGGCTTAGCGTCCGCATCGACGGTGTCTGTACAACAGCAATCAGTATATACTCCTCGATCCCTGGTCACCGAATTGACGTCTTTGCACGAGACCAATTCGGCCGGGCAAGTCGGATCTAACCTTGCGTCAACAGGTTGAGCTTATCCACAAGGAGAGTCTGATACTGGGTCCAGGAGAAGTCGAAAGCCTCGGGAGACATAAACTCAGGAACACCATTCTCCTTGTAATAAGCATCATGCTGCAATTGAGGGATGCGGTGCAGGGCGCGGGTCTGGAATCGCAGGGCGGAGGTAGGTGTCTGGATAGAAGAACAACGCGATCAGTTTCTGAGGAGCAAAGCAACCCCGAGTTGCCAATTAGACGACCCCCGAAGCAGGCAGGACTAACCTGGAATGACGCCGCGCGCAGAGCGCCCGGCCTAGCGAGTCTGCTGAACATGATGTGGGCGTGGGAAGTGACTTAGCGTTTCTGGTTTGGAGCTTCGCGAAATCGAAGAAATTCCCAACTCCCGACTACATTGCCCGATCGGGAATAGCACTGCTGACATAATCCAACCAATCAGGTGCTCTCGTAGTACTTCGACTAGTCTTTACGCCTTCACTTTGGTCTTCTCTAAGCGCCCATCTTCGGTCAATCTGCACTTCTCATCCTGTGACCCTGGTCCAGTTGGCTGATTCTGCAACAGGCAATCTGGTTTAGCGCCCGCTATCCTGCATATTTAGATCATGCAACTCATGCTGAAACTCGCCGGTGGTCCTTTATTGGGACCCTGGGCGCGTGCCATGAATAGCAGCCTTCTTTGTAGGCATCGTCAATGAATGGATGAATGCCTTTGATGGGCACCTTTCTTTATTTGCCTGACTGCCTAATATAGTCTCCTATATGTTTCAGCCTGAGACTGGTGAATTTCTGCCTATTGGCAGTTTCCTTTTCCTGCTCGTTGAACTTCTTCCTCTACTTTTCTAGACTCTCTCTTTGCTTCATTTCGTCTTTACTGGGATAGTCTTTATTCTCCAGCTTCTGCGACACTTGATCTCTGCTTGATTTTTCAATATCTTCGGCTTATCGAGTACTACATACACACTCGCGACGCCAATATGGCGAGATCCTCCATGGGCGTAATCGCCAGACGGTCTACCGTCCTCCTTCTGAGCTTCATAGCCAGCATTCATCCAAGCCGTGCTTTCGCATTTGATCCTTCAGACCTGCTCCCTCGAAGTTCAGGGTCTTGTCCCAGCTCTTACAACACCTGCGGGGGCAGTCTACCGGATACCTTCTGCTGCCCTTCCACCTCAACCTGCGTCAGCCTCGATGATGCAAGCTCGGCCATATGCTGTCCATCCGGAGCCAATTGTGACTACATCTCACCCATCGTCTGCGATGTCCAAGAACAAAACGCAACCGCACACCCCAAAAGCACAGTCAAGACAACCAAACTCAATGCTTCCCTCCCCACATGTGGAAGCGCCTGCTGCCCCTTCGGATATACATGCCAAGGGAACAGCACCTGTGCCTTGAACACGAAGACTTCAAGTACAGCCACATCTTCAAACTCCTCAACAACATCTTCTTCTACCACCACAGACACAACCGGCACAACATTCACACCAGTCTCCTCACCATCATCCTCCTCCTCAAATTCCACATCCACGGCATCCCTCTCATCAACATGTCCCTCCTTCCCAACAAAAGCCGTCCTAGCAGGCTTCTTCCCCGGCGCCATCTTCGGCGCAATCCTCGCCATCCTAATAACCCTCTGTCTCCGACACCGCACCCAAAAGCAAAACCACCACACAGACCCAAAAGGCCTCCACTGGTCCTCCCGCTCCTCCTCCGGCGCAGTAATGGGAATATCCGGCCCCATCGCCTCCGAAGACAACTCCTACCGAACAGACTTCCTCCTCCGCACCCCCGCCTCACGACGCTCCTCAACAGGTGGCCGCTCAATGCTGTACCGTACCAATTCACGCATCAGAAGCCTCTTCTTCGGCCAACCACGAACAGACAAGGACGTTCCTCCCGTGCCGGAGGTACAGGTTCAACAATGTCCTGCTACACCTCCGTGCCAACGTCAGCCTAGTACAGAGAGTATCAAGGTGTATTCGCCGCCAGGAGCGTTCTCGCAGTCGAGGAAATTTTTGGGACCGGAGCCGTATCCGGGGACGATTTCGAGGCCTGATACTACGTTTACGGATTTGGTGCAGGCTGTTGGGTTTAATGATTCGAAGGGGAATCCTTCGTACAAACTTAGCGAGTTTAAGGAGGTGAAGTTGTGATTGCTCCGATATCTGGTGGTATTTCGTTCGTTCCGTCTGTAATTGGGCATCGAGGTTGCCTATTTTCTTTGAATATTGGAGCATTTGATGGTGCATTATCTGGGTTAATATCGTTTCATTCGTTAAGATACCTTGCTCTGACTTGGCCCACGCATTTACATTGTTTTCTTTGCTAGTCAGATGGTTTAATGAGGGCTGGCCCGCAATGGAGAGACATATTGTGACTAGAGAATTTCAAAATGCAACAAATTATCAATAGTTAAAACGTGTATATGCGTAACTCCTAGAATACAAAGAAAAAACACCTCGACTCAAGTTGTCTATGATGTGGATCGTCTTCGCGCTTTCCATCCTGCTACAAGCCGCTTCAGCTCCTTCATCAGACTGACCAGCAATGGGACACCAATAGGACCCAATAGAGGTAGGTAGACGGCAACCTTGTGCTCATCTGGGAAGTATACCTGGCCAACCATGCTCTTCTCGAAGAAGCTACGCTCAGCTTCGGTCTCTGCGATCCGAGCACTGGCGAGAGCAGCACCAAAGCGGCCATCACGGAGATGAGAGCATGTGGAAGAGAGATGGGAAAGTGTCGTGGAGACAGAGGATGCGACTGTAGCGGGGATGGGGATAGAAGGCAGGGATTCGGTGAGACGAGCTAGAGAGCCCATAGTAGATGACGCGGAAAGAAGGAGAGTTGCAGCACGGACGCGAATCAACGATTGGAGGCGGAGCGGAAGAGAAGCGGGAGTAGTAGGGGTGCCCAAGAGAGTCAAAAGTTGATGGGAAAAGGTCATGAAAGCCGGGCGCAATGACTCTTGAGTGATATGGGCTGGGTTCGTTTGGCTGCCGCTCTTGCCTGACTGTTCAAGAGGCGGATTGAGAAGGAAGACACCACCCCATTGTGGCACAATCCAGCTGGATGCATGGTTCTCCTTGACAATCATCGGCGATTGAGAAGGATCCGGCACGTAAAGAATGAAGTTGAGGGTTGGCCCGTTGCCAATGCTAGGGTTCAGTGGCCACTCAGCGGCATTGATAAAGGCACTGAGATCCTCCTTCTTCAATGTCCATGCCGACTCCTCCTCATCGTATATAGGTGGCGGTGCCATGGGTGAAAAGGTGGCATAAAGCTGAACCTGAGTGTCGATGGTGAAATTGCTGATGGGTCCAAATGCGTGAAGGAGAGGTGATAGGTACTCTTGCACAGCGGCTTCGATATCCCACGAGGACGGAGCAGAGCCAGGAGTAAACAAGGAGAATGATAGATGATATGTATCGGCGTACTTCATTGACCGACGCAACCGTCGGCTGATGCGCTCCGAGTCACGACCGGAGTTGTCCCCAGAAAGGATATGGGCAATGGTGGCTTTCTCTTCGCTATACAACCGTTGCAACTCTTCTGCGATGAAGACAGAGAGTGGTGGATTTGAAGATGAAGGAATGGGCACCTGGCTCGGTGGGTAGAAGATGTCCAGCTGAGTTGTGTCTGCGCGTAGTTCGGACCTAGGGGTAGCCAGACCCTCCTGGGACACCACACGAACGGTCAATGCCGTGTCTGGCCCATCATCCACCATGTTTCCAGCAACATAGGTGCTATGTTCACTACCTTGCGCGGTATAAGCAGCTGTGTCGTTTGTCAACTTGAGACGCAGGTGGTGGGCGGCGAAATCATTGAGATCGTCGAGGGCATGCTGAGTCGTGCGGACGAGATGTTGCGACTCAGGCAATTGCATAGTCGGTGCTGCGACGTGAATTTCAAGTGGGAAAACCGGGCGACATGTCTATAGCGATCAGAGTCAGGCATTGGGCTATCCAGAAGGCGCATGTAATCTCCCTCCCCCAAGCATCACATACCTTGCCATCGGCCCAATCAGCCATGTCCTGGATTGGCAGATGCGCCCGGTAAATAGAAGTTGTCTTCCACCATATTGGGAATCCCAGAAAGATAATCACTGCCCAAAAGGCCGCAATGACTCGGAATCGCGTTTGGACAGCTTCCGGGGTCTCGGGGGTGGAACGCGCTGAGCGCTGGGTTCGAGATCGGCGGCCGTTGATGTGGCCAATGTCTGGGGAGACTCGTGGTCTCCAGTTTTGCTCGTCATGATTGGGACATGCTTTGTGCCCTGGAGACGCACCGCTAGAGGGTGTTTACTCGAAGTGCTGGTGTGGAGTTGGGGGAGGCGGAAGGCGGAGAAGGGAGGAACAGGTGGCACGGCCGAACAGGAGCTCTCTGTGAAGTATACGGCCAATCCAACTATAACGGATTGAACTAATACATAATTAAGCATATTCCCGGATCATTGAAATATAAGTTATGTAGCGAGGTAGAGGCATTTGTCATTTCTAGACTTATTTTACTCTTGACAATCTACGATTCAGCGCATTCAGACACAGTGCCTGGTCAACTACTCAACATGTCAAGTTGAAAGCGCCTCAATCTGTGCAGGCAAAGAGAAAGAAAAGTAAATGCAAAATGATCTATGCAATGTATCCCATTAAATCAAAAAGGGTATCTGTTTTGTCCAAAATAACGCCAGCCCAATGTAGTTGCCGAAATGTATCGAAGCGTTTTTGACATCGTCCTCAGTATTCCTTTTCGAAGATTTTCTGGATTGGTTTGGCTGCCTGAAGTCACAGAGATCGATTAGTAAAGATTGCAAATACCCAAAGAACAGACGAGGAGGGCAAGGAGCAGCACGCACATCGATGAACTTCTCCAAATCCTGATCCAAATTGGCCAAATCATCCTTCCGTTTCTTGTTCTCTGCGATCAACGCTTGTTTGCGCTTCAAGAGCTCTTGACGCGCCTGCTCGAGTTTCTCTCGTTCGGCATGTTCATGATTGATGCGCGCGATCATGAGGTCGTTTTCATTGGATTCGCGATGCTCGGGGAATAGGTCCAGGAATTCCTCTACAGGAATTAAAGGCAGCGAAAGGTACTTGTGACTGTGAGACAAGGAGAAAAGATCTCGAATTAGCGATATTCAGAAATGAAGATGCAATGCGGATGAAATTGCAAGAAAGATGCCACTCACTCATAAGACTCGCAGGCGGCGATCTCGCCCGTAAGGTGCTTCTGCTCATAGTACAAGTTTTGCAATTGTAGATGTAGTCGGTCGATCTCCTGGCGAGCCTCGGCAGTGGCGTGTTTGGTGTCGCGCACCCGGAAGATAGCATCTCGATTCTGGCCGCGAAGTTGAGCCAATCGAGCAAAGAGAATCTTTTGCTGCTTGGACACGGCCAAGGACAGCTCTTTGAGGCCGGCGGGTTCGGTCGGGCTGTTGTCGGGGTTCAACAGCGCAATCAGCTGCTGGCATTGAGCCAAGGTCTCTGCACTAGTGCCGAGCACGGGCAGCAGCGACTCGTCAGAGACGATTTCACTGATAGCCATGACTTCAGAGGAGCAGGTGGCGAAGAAAGACGGTAGGATTGATGGGTTGGGGGAAGGGAGAAGATCCGTTCGAAGGTTTGAACGATGAATGAGGTGGACCGAAGTGGAGACCCGCCGCGTTGCGGGACGGATCAATCAGTCCGTTCGGTCCATGTGAATGCTGGGCGGCCGGTGGTTGGGGGCAACTCTGAATAAGACTTTAGCCCGTCCTCATTCTTCCTCCTCTTATCCTCTTCTCTCTTGAACACCCCCACCTTCCTCTTCCCCTCGCCTCCTCGGTCATGTTGTGTACATAGTAGTCTGTTCTTCCTGGTTTCAACAGACTCTTTTTTCTCCCGTGTATAACCTTCTCCTTACTTCGCCGCTTGATGAACTAGTTCCCGAATCCTCAACACTCAACACTCAACCCCCGGACTTCCCCGACCCACTACACTTGGAACACAATTATTTGCGACATTTTGTTTGTGAACAACCAGCCCTTGGAAGGGAACACCACCGCTGTTCAACAATGACCTGCTCGGCATCATCAGTGACCATGGAGTCCTATGCAGAGGGGGTCGCATCCTCCACGGCAACTCCCAGCGAGGACACTTCCCTCTTGCGAGACCGGCGACGTCGGCATTCTTATCATGCTCCCCGCAAACTTTCCTGTGACTATCAGGATGCCGACACTGTCTTTATTCGAGTGAGCCTCACTCCTGAGGGGTTTTCCGGCCACCAGTTCCGCTCTAACCGTACTCCAGGTTGAACTCTTCCTCGCCGAACTTGAGCGCCGTATGTCATGGATCGAACAATACCGGAAATCTCACATGGATCAGATCGATTCCAGCCTTCGACGTGGCTACGCTACCCTGGAAGCCGTGAGAGATCAATGCTCGCTCGCATCCGGTGAACTTATGGGCAGTGGCAAGAAACGGGCCAAGATCCTCGTGGAGACGCTGGAGGAGGGCTACAACGAGGCCCTGGCAACCAAGGAGACTCTCGAACAAAAGGCGCAAGCTGGAGTGCGCCTGATGGAGTCTTTCCTATCCGAACTCGAATCTCGAGCACACGCCATCCACGACCGTGGTATCTACGGCACCTTGGATGATGGCTGGAAGGCCATGGACTCTAAACTCGTCCACGCCCGAGAGGTGGTTGACGAGGGAATGGAGCGTGCTCGCCGAGCCCGCGATGCTCTCCGGGAGAACATCGATGAGGCTATCCGTCTTGCCCAAGAGAAGCGCCTAATTACCTATGCCGATCTGCCGGACCCCTGGAGGGTAAACCCGCACATCCTGAACGGTTACCGCTTCACCACCTCCAAAGTGGAGTGTATCCATTCTGTGTTCTCGTTCTCAAACGAGTTCGTCAACATTTGGTCCCACCTCATTGGACTGATCGTTGTTCTTGCTATTGCTTTCTACTTCTACCCGCTCCATACGAATTTCCATCTGAGCACCAAGGCAGACATCATGATCGCCGCCGTGTTCTTCTTTGCGGCATGCAAGTGTTTGGTCTGCAGTACCATCTGGCACACCATGAACAGCATTGCCTCCCAATCTCTTATGGAGCGGTTCGCCTGTGTTGATTACACGGGCATTTCTTTGCTGGTGGCCGCGTCGATCGTGTCCACCGAGTATACTGCTTTCTATTGCGAGCCTACCTCTCGCTGGACATACATTCTTCTTACCATGTGCCTTGGCATTGGTGGCATCATCCTCCCATGGCACCCTACGTTCAACCGTCACGACATGGCCTGGGCCCGAGTGGCTTTCTACGTCACTCTTGCTCTGACTGGATTCGCCCCTCTCGCCCAGCTCTCGTACTCTCGTGGCTTCGAATGGTGCATGTATTTCTACGCCCCTGTTGTGAAGAGTATCACGGTCTACTTCGTCGGAGCTGTCGTGTATGCCTCCAAGATCCCCGAGCGTTGGAAGCCGGGCCTTTTCGACTACTTTGGTGGCAGCCACAACATCTGGCACTTGGCCGTGTTGGGAGGTATCCTCTTCCACTATTGCGCCATGCAGGACCTTTTCACGAATGCTTTCCAGCGTGCTCAGGGCGAGTGCCCCAACTTGACATCGTGAAGTAGCCGCTTTATCGCTACTATCTCAATAGCAGTGCACGACTGTCTTTGCTTTCTTATGATAAACGAAGATGAGGAACCATGATCAGAATTTTTCTGCCTCACGTTTTCTAGATTTGCTAAAAACTCTCGGTTTTTCTTTGCGACTTTTTCTTTTTCTTTTGACGAGATCTCAAAGACATTGTTCTTCACTGCGCCGATTGGCTGTTTTTATCTTGTGTTTGGTGCATGGATGGAGTTTGTTGATTTTGCTGATTCGTGTCCATTATTTTCTCTTCTCGATAAGCTTTTTGCTTTCGAGGGCTTGTTGATCTTACTCGCCATGAGCTAACAGCGCTCAGTTGCGGTTGGATCAAGCACACATTTTTCCTATTCCTGTACCTAATTTTGTGTTGCATCTATTGCGTTTTCAGTTGCTTCTTGCTGTGTTTGGGGTGTGTTTTAATACCGCCCTGCTATAGTTGCTAGAGCATGCACAGTCTTTCAATGAAGATTCTAGCTGTTTATTCTTTACTTTGGTCCTTGTCAAGATACTCGTTGGAACTCTGGTTTTATCATTATTTGAATGCGAAGTATATTCGTAACTCTATCAAATGTGTATGCAAACGTTTCTATCATCTTCGTCGTGCGGGCTGTCATGACGGTTCGTAGACAACATCAGCCAAATGGCCCGGGTTATTGCGACTGGATGGAGGCTATATCGGGGTCCTCTAGCAAAATCAAGCGATGGAAATTTCACTGCTTGTTTTTCGCCACCACAGACTTGAAAGGACGCAGTGGGGCGTGTCGATCAACATCTCCAACGCAAACAGAGACTTTTGTGTTGCCGGAACAGTGGCGATATCCCTCGCAGTGGACGGTATGACTTGAGAGGAACAATACCGAGATTGTGGTCTGTTCATTGAGAGAGAGCTGTCGAGTGGAAACGCCAGGGGCTGAGACTATCTGCTGAGCAAAAGCTCATATTCACTGGCCGTTCTCAACGCCGTTCTCGGTACGGGGCTCTGTCGTAGCAGTATCATCGCGTTTTTGAAAGTTGGCCTGCATCCAGCAGCGGTACATCTTCAGCTTAGTCTGACGGTTGACGATAAGTCGGCGGTCAACACCCAAGTGCTTGACTTCGAACGGCGCAGCAGGGTCCGCAGCCACAGCCTCAGGCTCAGTTTCGAGATCAACCTGTACGCCCTTCTCCGGAGTCCAATGACTCCAAATCTGTCGCAGCTCTTCCATATCAAAGAAGTAGACGCGAGTACCGTCACCACGGATATAGAAATTCTCAGACATGTATCTGCCCTTCTTGAAGCGCACCTGGGCCAAATCTCCACGGCCGTAGTCACGGAACAGGACACAACCACCTGGCTTGAGGACACGCCAGATGTTGCGAAGTGCGCGGTTCCACTGATCCGGGTTCAGGGCGGAGAAAATGAAAATGAGAACCACCACGTCGACAGAGCCCTCGCCCAAACCGGGGGGCAAGGAATCCTCGCTCTCGGTGGGCTCTGCAGCGACATCCCAAACGTCGGCGACCATGTATTTCGTATTGTACTCCTCACTCTCCCGCATGACCTGAACCGCATACTTGGAGAAATCACAAGCATGCACCTTCAAATATTCATTCTCATTATGCCTGATCAAAGGAAAAGCGGTATTTCCCGCACCAGCGCCAACTTCGAGAACGACCTTAGGCCCAGCCTCTTTCTGAGTCACATCGGCCAGAACAGGAAATTCCTGACGCAGCCACTTGCGATCCTTGAAGAAATTGGCCGTATTATTCTTGTAGAAATTATTCCACCACTTGGCGGGGTCATTGTTGAAGCGGGTCTGATCGAACTCGGAAACAGGCGCCGCACGCTGCTTTTCGTACTGGGTCTCGGCGAAGGCTTTGAACTCGTCATCTGGCTCGACGTGGTCCCAGGCGTTGAACTCGAAGATATCGTCGCCTTGCTCGAGGTACCGCGATCCAAATTTGAAGGGGTCGGACCGCTTCATGTTGTTTGAGGGGTCGTGCGAGCGGTGAGGTGGCTGCTGCGCTGGTTGCGCATTGCGAACGGCATCGTGGACTTCGTCGTCGTAGGGCATTGTGCTGGTACTCTTGAATGAAAGGAATAGGGATAAAGACCAAATGCGCGGGGCCAAAATCAACTCGGAACTAAAAAAAAACTTTGAGATCGGCCCGCGGGGGGTACCTGATTATGTCAGCTCTTATCGATAAGGCCAGGTGGCGGGGAGTCTTATCTTTTATCCATAGGGAAGTCGGGGTTCAATTCATTCCCCGATAAGGGAGTATACAAGGGGATTCTATGAGCTTAAACCCAAGTCACTATGTAAATCATGCGATATGACCTTTAGGGTATCTACGAGTATAAAAGAAGTGGGTCCTGATACGAAATGATAGCTAATAGAAGGCTCGGAAATTGCATTGTATTGTTGACAAAAGCACCAAAGCTGGAGATCAGCCAAAAGGAGAGTTTTAAGTATGTAACAACAAGCAAGCGATCCCAAACTCCCAAGCAGACAGACGATCAGAAACCAAGGTTGACCCCGAGATATTCCTAAATAGCCTCATAACTGTCACATACATAAGCTATTTCCAACATTGGCTTTTCCAGCTCTTGTCAGGCCACTTGCTCACGCTTAAGTTCCTAATTAGGAGTATCTCGAAAATATGCTGCCGGACCGCCGCGTCCTCGGATTTTTCCCAGCCAAGCCATTGGCACAGTTTGGCACTCTGGGTCCTAACAACGAAGTTTGTTCCGGACTGACGAAAGAAGTCTTCAAGCCATCTTCCAGCGTCCTTGTTGACCCAAAGACCAGAGACCGTCTTACCAAGGGACCGAAGCTTCTCAGGTTCTGCTCCGGAAACGTCGAACTGAACCCGATTCAGTATCTGGGCAGTCTTTGAATTATCATCAAACCAAAACTTGGAGTCAATATGAGCCCTCGCTAGAGGATTGTTGCTGAAGTCACATTTATGGGTTATCTGCACACAAGTTATGGGACAACCAATATTTGGGGTCAATGAAACATGAGGGCGGTCTTTCATAGACCGAAGGGAGTGTAAAAACCTTTTGGAGTATTGACAAGTATCCAGGTAATATTGAAACCCACGGAAGGATATACTCTGGCAGGGACAAAGATCGAGTTCGCTCGGACGCAGAAAGACAAGCCTTGTTGTCAGGGCTGATGGATGATCGCAGTTCCCACCATATAGAGCGCGGATGGAGACACGCACATCCTATACAATATCTCCAATGCTTGTTTTGAAGTCGAAGTAGTAGCTCTGCTCTGTGCGAGATCGAAAGAGCACGGGATAGTAGCCACATTGGCCCCCAGGACAACACCTGGTCTGCCCGCAACTTAGACTTATATATCCCATTCCGCTGGAAATCTGATATAAAGCAAGAATATATGCCTTTGCAGCTCAGCGCAAAGCAAATCTGGTCTGGTGCAAGCAGAAATATAAAGATAGATTCCACTATTTCTGGTGGGATTCTCCAGAATATGTTGGGTTTGACTCCATGAATGGAAGGAATTTTGCATGAGATAGTGCGGAGTCTCCCCAAGGTGTATTCCAGGCCAGTGTAAATGAGAATTTGAAGGCTGAGTTCAGAGGAGAATGTTGGCGGGGGCAGGCATCTCCATTTAGTAACTTGATGACACGCACTGGCATCATAGACGAATAACAAATTTTACTATTGCGATAAAAGCATGAACGATAATATGGCAATGTTTTGAACTATTTTAATGCTCGGAGGAAGTTGTTAGAGAAAGTTATGCTCGAAGAAGAAGGAATCATGATGATGTTTTTTTGGACGGACACATTAACCCTCTGATTAGATGATTAGGCTAGGTACGTAAAGTAACTAACTCTACACAATTATCATCTATTTCGATAGGACGGGGAGCTTACGAGTCTAAATAAGAATTGACAAATGATTCAAGGCCAATCTCATTCTCCTAACAAAGACCCATGGATACAGTGTGATAGATTGCATGCCTCAGGCGTGAGTGCTGACATCAGCGACCAATCACGGGGCCCAGGAATCTGGATGCCTGCGCCCTGCGGCACCCGTCCGCAGTCCAGTCCCCTCCATCTGTTCTCTTTCCCCCCATCTTCTTCTTCCTCAACATTATTTCTCTGATTCAAACACTCCCACTTTGTGGACCTTTCGCTCTGCATTGTCGTTACTCCTGCCCAACGAGTTTATCGACTCGAGTGGGACTGGGGAGAGCCTCCCCCCACCTGCCACTTATCGTGCTGATCCGATCTCGATTGCGGCTCTAAGAACTTCGACGGGTGTTCGTTTGCTCTGGGATGCAATAGCTTTCTTGATCAAGGGCTTCACTTTCTTTGGATAATTTCCTTAGAAATCTTTATATTCTCTCGATTTATCATTCCCTCTTATTCAAGTTCAATTCTTGAACTTATCAGCAGCAAACTGCCTTCCCACTTGCGTTCTGCTCTACCTTATCACCATGTCCTTCCTTGCTGCGCTCTGCGGGTGCTTCACCCGCAGCGATGTCTCGCCTCAAACCTCGTCAAAACCGGAGATGCAGACCACCGTCTCTTACACTCGAAGCGGTGTTCAAACAGGCAGTTTCATCCTCAATGACGAGGGTGAATTTGTCCGCGCAGATGGTCCTCCAGGTGGGCGATCCGGGCACGGGCCCCCACCGAGTGACTCGGACACGATTGGGGGCTATGCCAGCGTGGTCCCGCTTCCGCAATACACGCCACGCCCGATGAGCATTCACGAGAAGACTCTCGAAGCTCATTTGCGTGACCCTCCCATGTCCTCAGACTCTTCTATTTACCAAGACGAGAAACGCCGTCACATGTATGATGAAGAAGTGACATCGGACAGCTCGTCAACTATCTCGTATCCGAGCAGCTATGGTAATACCTCAACCGCGACACGAGAGACGCCGCCACCTCCGTATTCGCCCCGTCATTCCGTTATGTTGAGTCGATCTCGCGCGACCTCCATTTCCTCGGCAATGGCTGTTACCATCAACCCCCCGCCTATGGCACGGCTAAATGGTGCTCGTACGGGTCCTCCCCCTCCGATGCTGACGATCGATCTATTCGGCGTCACCGGAGAGCTTCATGGGAGAGCCGTTAATCAAGCTCAGCTTGACTTGGCTCTCAACCCTCTATTTGCCGTCATTTTTGGTGGACCTTCCCCTTCCCATGCCTACCCTCAACATTGGGCATGGGATCCACGATGATACTCGATCTGGAATCGACTATCACAAGTTCTGTGAACTTTCTCATGCTGCATTCCCTTTCCATAATTTTCTCCCTCTTGTGCATACGACGCGACGACCTTGCAACACACTTTTGATTTTTCTTTATTCTGCATTGCAATCATTGGATCGGATATCTTGGGATACTTAATAATTACGGCGATCGGATGGATATATGGACGCATTGGATATACTTGTTTATAGGGTGAGGCCTCTCTGATTCTACAGACAGTGCGAACTACACAATCAAGAAAATATACAAATCGATTTCGGACTTGAATGACTGGCCAGACCCTAGAACTTATCTCTCAGTCCTCACCAAATACTGGATCAGAGTCAGTCTTGCAGAGTGACCCAGCATCGATGTATCAAGTGTCTGTAATTCGCTTCTATTCACAAAACCAGCAGCATATCATCTTGAAACTCCAGCGCAGTCCTCTCCTGTACATGCCGAAGAAGATACCCACAAGATTCAGCCGGAAACTCCAACAACTTCAACACCAACGGATCAAGACTATCCTCCAACAACATACAAATAGCCGTACACTCCGAACGAGCCCGATTGACCATCCACCACTCATCAACATGACAAACAAGCGCCAACCACCACGCAAGCAAAATCAAAGCAGGCGGATCCTTCGCCAACAAACACTCATAATACTCCGGCTCCAACCTGCCCATCCACATATTATACGTCTGCGAACTCTTCGGCGACATTTCAATAACAAGCAACCACGACAACATCCTCAACGGCCAGAGATAAGGATTATTATCCACAGTTGAAGACTCGGTAATTCCACATAGATCAGCAAAATCAGGATCTAGATCCTCACGGCCGGGCCGTTTATCTTCAAAGTCGATATCAGGGACACGCGAGTCCATAAATGTAGCCCACCAGATACTTTCGGACATCCAGGGAGTGGTGCGTTCGAGGAGGTAGCGGAGGCCGGATTGGAGGAGAAGCCAGTTTAGGACTGTGGGGTCGTTGGAGAAGACGAAGGAGGATCGCGGGTTGAATTCGGGGAGCATGAAGGAGTGGACGGTGAGGAGGATGCAGGCTGAGTAGAGTTTGTCCATGTTTTCTTTGGTTACGCCGCTGGAGACTTCGTTGGAGTATTGGTGGATTGCTTGGGCCCAGTGGTGGGCTTCTGTAATTTTGTATTGGCTGTTGTTTGGGACGACGCTGCAGAGGTGGGTGGTTGCGATGCCGATGATGGCGTGCATGAGGAAGGGTGTCTGAATGGATATGTTAGGGATCAATTGGGATCTACAGTCATGTATGAGGGCTTCAAAGTGGCTCACCTCAAAAGCAAGTTTTGTCATCTTAACTCTCATCATATCCATATTGGAAGGATTCTTCTTAGAAGAATAGCTCGCCACTGTATTAAGGTTGAAATGCTGGAGAGCTTCCAAGAGACGACCCGTTGTCTGCGAGCCTGGACGAGAATTAAGACCAGGTCCAGAAGCAGCTCGGCTGACCTGGAGAACTTCGATAAGTTTCTCCGCCACAATTTGCAAAGACATAGATGAAGATAGGGATTCTCGAGACATCAAATCAGGATGTGATATGATAAGTTGACCCACCACCTGGTGTTCATCTTTAGTTCGGGCCGGCTGAGCCGTATAGTCGCAATCGAGTTTTTGTTTCTGACAACGTTGGCAGTGTGGTTTTGTTTCGTCACACTTGAGCCAATGTATATTGTATTAGTGGGACTTGCTCTTTGTATTGATTCTATTAGGGACCTGGTGGAACACTGGGACCTACCTTAACTCTTCGCTGCTTGCAATTGGCACATCCGCCACGAGACTTCCGATGGGACCGACGAGAATGATAGGTCCGCACCGCCGAGTATTCCGTAGACCCATGCGATTGGGCCGTTTGTGATTTGTAGTTGGGGATCCGGAATACAATCTTTTGCCCCTGCATAGGCGCAGGCGGGTCCTGGCGGCTCGTGGACTGGTGCATACTTGGACTTGTCGAGAAGGTGGTTTCACTCTCACAATTGAATAAACCAGTATGTCGAGGTACCGCAAGATTTTTCAAGAGATGAAATGGAGAAAACTGTACTATTCACTGGAACTGATATAGGGAACCACGCAAGGCAGACATATGGAGCTGATACTCGTGTTGTAGTCACAGCCTGCGCCCGACTGAACAGTACTGGTGATAGCCACGATACATAGACCAATCAGACGGATGGAGCTAAAGATGCCCTCGGCTGACTGACTTGATCATTGGATTGGCTATTCAATATAGGAGAAAAGAAAAGAGAGAATGATGCAGTCCATGAGATCGCCTTCGTGGGGTTACGGACGCGCTAATCCTAGATAGGCAATTCTCGTATTCATCCTCTCCGGGCAACTTGGCAGGCGTTGCGTCTTTCTATCTTTAGTACTTGATGCCTGGTGGTAAATTGAGATCACTCCAGGAATATGAACATTAAAGAGGCTGGACATGAGGGCATATTACGTTGTTTTCAGCTTGTAAGCTGGGCAGGGCTTGTGATAGTAACCTCGCCGGTTGAAGATAGCTTTATAGTTCATCATTCATTGTCAGAGCAATTTACAGCCCTCGATGCACATAATTCATACTTCATACATGATATGATCTTGGAATAGGACATGAGGATCGACTTTATGGTCTCCACAAAGCATTAACCCATCTTTGCGTTGGAGAAGTCCATCTCTGTTTTACATGTTAGCAACAATCCACAAAAAGGCCAAGCACAGCCTTGAAGCCCAAATGGTTTGACAGAACTGCCAGCGCAATGACTTACCAGGGTGCTGCTCCTGGAACTTCTTCAGCAGATCCATCTTCTTCTGCTCATCGCTGGTAGGACCTCCCATCTCCTTCTGTCGCTGATCATACATCATCTTCTCAACCATGGCACGGGTCTCGCCGTCCAGATCGCTCAAGCTGGAGTTCTCGGGCGTGATCTTGGTCACGTCGATCTTGGGCGCCGACTTGACTACGTGGGGCCACCACTCCACCTTGTTCACCTTGTCGAGGTGGATGTTGACCTCCTTGCCCGGGAACGTCGATGTTGTCTCGAGGGTCCATGATGATTCATCGACGAGGATGGGGTGGGGGAAGTCGCCCTAGCAGAGAATTGCTTGTTAGTCTGATGATTTTCAATAGCTCGGCCTCCCCACCTAGCGGAGTGCACTGGATAGTCTTTATGGCTCATACCTCGATGATCGGCGCCTGTCCTTTGATTGCGACGCGGATCTTGGTCTTTGTAAGAGTGACTTCCATGTCGCGACCCTTGATGTTGCTAGCAACCGGCGCTGTGACGTCCACGTCGCGAATGGTTTGGGTCCATTTGTAGGGAAGCTGGGCCTGCTCCGCCTCCTCGCGGGCCTTACGGTCCTTCTCCTCTTGGTCGCGCTGAGCCAATTCAGCGGGCGAGAGGTCTTGTTCTAGACCGGTGGAGGACATGGTGAGTGGTGAGTCGAGCTGTGAGGAGGGGAAGATACGTTGATGTTTATCACCAACTGACGAAAGTGCGGCAAAATGACCCAGCCAAACGCGGTGGGGAAAGAACAGCCCACTTTCAGAGCTTCGATTCGAGCATCGTCATTGGTCCCTTCAAGAACCATCACAAACTACTCCGTACTCTATGCACCATACTCCAAGACATTTCCAGGAAAATCACTTCAGAATCGTCCGAGAAAAACCGGAAATCAAACAGACGTATACCTTCAGCCTGATCTCGACCTCTCCAGCTCTCCACTTTCTGTCTGGACGAGTCGATCGGCAACTAAATCCTGCTAGCCGCGCTATACGCGTCTTTTCTTTTTGTCTTTGACCTCCTTGCATGGCCCATCAAAGCACACGTCAAGCCTTCAAGAGTCCTCCCGAAGGATCACCGGAGTTATGACAGATCTCCAGAACATTGGCCAGTCTATACATCTCGATTCGCTTCAGAGTGCTCCGATCAAAAGGGGCAATGGATACCGACAGGTGCCACCCGATGCGACTGATCGACAACGGTGCGGAATGCTGTCAAAAAAGAATTGACTGCTGCATCGCTGCAGGGAGACTCGGAGAGTGGCCGGTCGATCAACAACGCGACACAGAGCAGACGCGCAGATCGTGGGTATGTGTCTGTTTGAGAAGGCTCGGATTTCCTCGGTGCTATTTACAGTGCAGACCCGAGATGCTTAGCTGCATACTACTATATACTACTGACACTGACATCGAGCGTGCCGGGATTGTCCATGGCGTTGAAGCTCGTACAACACACCATATACACCACTGCAGCAATCCAGTGATTATAGTCATGTCATGACAAGCTGAACCGTTCAGGCTGAAACCGCGTGGGCGAATGGGGATTCAAGCCGACCGGTCGATCGTCGCCGTTGACCTGCTTCGTTCTCATCTGCATGCCATGCCATGAGAGCCAGATGGGGATGACTAAATCGTCGATCTGAATCATCCGGAACCCTCGCTCTGGAATGCCTGCCGGACAAGCTGTAGATAATCGACAGGGCTAGACGGGACGTGGAATGCTCAACGCTCACGCAAAGAAGCCAACAATGAACGGATCAACGAATCAATGTCCGAACAATGAACAAACGGTCGCAATCACAATGGATCATGAACAATGATAGTCATCAATATGGATTGAAAGAAGAAACAGTCTTTCCCCAGTAGTTATTCGGAACCAGGCCAGGGTGAGAGAGGAGATCAAAACCAGGGATGTGTATTTCCCCCCTCGGATATGCAAGTCCTCGCCAATCACCCACTTTCTAGAAGATCGTTCATTGGTACATGCAATACAAGAACAATGAAAAAAATGCTGGAAAAGAAAAATTCATAGCACCACCCCAAGGCTGAATCAGGCCCTTGGTGGCGGTGCTGAAATGCCATTGCTCCCATGCCCCTTCTCTAAACCAAAGCGCAGCACAACTCCAAAAGGAAAAAAAAGAAAAGAAAAGTGAACAAAGCGATTGTCTCCGGAAGTCAGCTTTTAAATCTCATCAATGGCTGACTTTCCACCCATGCAAGTATAGTCAAGAAGGGAAACCAGTCACAAGAACACCTCCAAAGAAGGGGAAAAAAACAAAAACAAAATAAAGATGATAAAAAAATGATGAAATCAAATCCCAAATAAACTCCGACCAAGTGCGTAGACAAGATTCAAGAACTAAGAATCAAGAATGGATCAACGACAGTTAAAGCCGCAGATTAGGCATAACCGTTTTGCGTTGCGCAAGGGCGGACCGGGCATCTCATCGATTCGAAGCCGGGCTGGACTTCCCGGCTTGTTCTTCATCTGAGTAACAAGAAATCAACTGTCAGCTTTGATGCTCCGTGCATATGATACATCAGACGTCATTCAGGGACGCCGGAGAATCGGAATTGCGCACCTCGAATCTTTTGGATTTGCTTGGCTGTGTCGTCCATGAGTTGGGCCCATCGGCGCTGGTATTCTTCCACGCTGGTCATGGGCTTGGATTCTTTCGTGGGTTGAGGGACGTTATTGGTTTTGATGGAGTCCATTGTGAAGATAGACCGAAGTATAGAACGAGGCTGTGTAAAGAGGTACAGTTGTCGAGTATGGAAGGCGAAGTTGAGGAGTATGAAGGAGGATATGCCGGAGGTCAATAAGTGGTCTGATAAAGTGTCTATCGAAGAAGACAGATGATGAGAAGCAGTCAATAAAAGACCGTTGGCGCAAGTCTAGAGACTCTAAAGCGAAACTCGACAGCGATGACGAGCCCAAGCTCCCCCTTTATATAACATCTGAACCGGCGCCGAGTAGAATATTCTATATTCTATAATCCATAAAAATAAAAAATAAAATCAAGAAAGCGAATCCACAATGGAAGATGTGAACGATGCCTAAAATGATAATCCATTGAAGTATATTTAATTTTCGTTTTTAATACTTTTTAATATTGTTGAAAATGTTTGCTTTGGACAAGAAAAAAACCGGTCACGAGCCGCAGAGTCCAGTGACTTTCCTCCAACTTCCCAAAATCCTTCGACAACAACTCTCCAATCATTCAATGAATCTACTCAGGAAACATCATCAACTTCCCCCCCTCCTCCATCCACCAATCAGGCTTAAGGCCAATCGCGTCTGCAGCTGATCTTTGGTCTACTTCAAGCCTTCACCGACTCTCTTATTCCCACGCGCCCCCCTGGATTCAACTGGATTTCACCCCTCTCTGACCCTGGACCGCTCCGCCCAAACCCAGCCGACTCTAACAAGAGACACGGGTAAATCCCGGCATATGCAGGTATTGAGATATCCAGAGTATCCCATTGGATCGACCCAGGGCCACTAGTCACTACTACAGTACTACTGACACTAGGGTGACAGGTTGTCAGGTAGACAATAACACTTGTCTACATCTACAGGTTTACCAGGGTTAAACAAGCTGGGATCTTGAAATCGGCGCCAGTCTTCCCCCCACTTTCCCAACCCAATCCACTCTATGTACCGACTAACCCCACCTCCCTCCCCCTGAGCCCTGGGCTGAAAATGGGAAAAAGCAAAACCAAAAAACCCACGTCGAAAGAGCCAGAGCCGACGGTGATGTCAGACCGCGGCAGACTAGTTGAACAAGTTACCATCAAGTTACCAAACTCCCTGATCCTGATCGCGCTCCACCCCATCGCGGCCCCAGTCCGACAGTGCCCACTGCCCCAGTGGCCTCCTCCATCCCTTCCCCCTTGGGGCCTGGCTAATGGGAAGTCTTCCAGACAGACCCTCCAAAGGAGGCCCCGTACCAATCGGGGGGTTCGATGCCTGCATCCGCGCCAGCCGATCTGATATCTGTACTGTACTATGCCTGTACCCCTTTCACTGCCGCCTGACGGAAGGTGGGTTGGAGGGATTGAGGTACAAGGGAAGGAGGTGGGTGGGAAAGTGGACGGATGTAAACTGAAAAAAGAACGAACAAGACAGGTCGTGCATCTGTACTCTGTACCTGTATACTGGATCAGGCCCGACAGCTGGATGCATGTACGGAGTACATAATTAGTACATCCGCTAAACACCCAAGCCCCGGGGATTCGGGTTGATCTTGAAGGATCGGCGCGCCCGATCCACATCCACCCGATCTCCATGACAGGGAGAACCAGCGAAGCAAAGGACAAGAAACAGAAGCAAGAAACAGAAACAGAAACAGAAAACATGCGCTTCTGCCTATTCTGCCCTGCCCTGCCCTGCCCTGCACCACTACGGCCTCCTCCTGCCTAGCATACTTCCGACCTTATTGGCGCCCCAATGCACTGGGCTCAACCTTCACCGCTGATAAGACATTTCGAGTCGCAAAGTCATCGCGGGACGTTTGCATCTTCCCATCCCACGTGGTGCGCGGCCGCATGATGACCGTTGTTGCCAACTTGCCTTGGTGGTTTAGTCGTCTTGTGTTCTTTTCTACGCCCTTGACCGCATCATCGCGGGGCCAAGTATGTGAAGACACGTACTTAGACCGACGATGATTTTGCAAGATGACAGGGTGCTACTTCCCCTCTCCGTGGCTATCAGATGACCGACGCTCGGCCTATGTTTTAGTTGCTGCTGCCGCTAGCTGATGCTGATGCCGATGCTGCTGTGCGGTGACAGCAGAGTGACGCCGACAGATGGTAGCGAGAATAACGACGATGTCGGCACTTTGGATGCACTGCGTCGGCGGACGATATTAGCACTCGTCCCATAGCATAATAGCGCGACATTTGGAGGGATTTAGGTTCTACTGGGACGTTGGCTTGGTTGTTTACCGCCAACTGTTGATCCAGTAAAAGGTGCAGGCGCTGGTGAGATTGGACCTGGTGGCTGAACGGTATAGTTGTCATTAACTAGGTACATATCGTAGATTCTTCTCATCTCCAGCTTTAGATGGTGGAATTTCTAACCACGTAGAACTGGCAGATGGAAGACGACTTCATGGTACTTGGGAATTTCCCGAAAATAGAAGTCGCATGCGTACTAACTAATGAAACTATAGATAATTCGCGGAAATATGAAAAATAAAAATAAAAATTAAGAACCCTTAAGCCTACAGCAGCAAGGCAACCATTCCACTCTTCTTTCTTCTCCCCATGATCCTGTAGCTACTAGTACTATACAGGTCTAATCCACCATAATCAAGCTATAATCCAACTACACCCCCGGTACCGGCTAAGCACTCAAAAATCTCCACTTCCAATATACAGTAGTACAATACTCCCTCCCTTCTCCACAACATCACCCGACAGAACGGAGTCGTCGCCTTTCCCATCCCACCCTACTGGTACCTACCAACGAACCCCCTACATCTACGATACTAAGTATAGAGCATAATGTACTTATCCGACAACCGGCCCACATCCCCTCCAACCCCCAACATCGGAAAAGAAAATCCCGTACAGTCCAGGTGATCGACATCCATCTGTAGGTACTTTCGTCCAAACCCACAATCCACCCTCCCTTCCACCACGACGCGGAAACACGGACAGAGCGCAAAGATACTGACGTGGCAAAAATACCTGGCCCAATCAGGCTAGAAAAGGTACTTTGGACACGTCATTTTGAGCTCTAGCGCGGATTGTGGAATCTCCGATGAAAAAGATACGTATCGATATTGACTAGTGGGACTGTAGTCGTACTAAGTACTTAGTTCTGTACTAACTACTCCCATGTATTCGATCGCGATGTCCCGATTTGGATATTGGGGGCGGAAGATGGATGGTGTATGTACAGTGGCAGTTCAAAAGTCTGAGACTACAGTAGAGACAGGAGAAACGGCGAAAACCAGGGCCCAGATATGCTTCAAATTTCTCTTATTTGGAACTTCATCCTCAAGGTGTTTGAAGTTGCCTTGCTTGATAAGCTCAGGTTTCATTTTTTTCGGTTAATCGTTCGGCTCCCAACTGTGATGATTATGAATGAACATTTATGGAGGCTTGAAACAAGTACGGATGGAACCCCCGCGGTACTACTGCTTTACGGAGTACAGTAGTTCTTTTGTTGGTTGGTTTAGGAGATAGGGCATCCAGAGGCTGCGACTACGATATCAGGCACATGATTGGCAACATGCAGATGTCGAGATGTCGATGCTGCCACGTCAATTCAGAACAGGAAAAACCTATTCCTAACCTCCGTGATGCTTCAGGTATCACCCGACGACGATCCAGCCATGAACCTCCGACTTCCAAGCTTGCGCCGTGGGGGTTGAAGTTCTACTAATTCGCCGGAGTTTTAGCGGTCTGGTGGCGTATTGATAGTCATTTCGTGGACAAATTAGATGATGATCCGTGGATATTCGGATAGGTCTTGGGGGTATTTTCGATGCACCACCTCACGGGCACGGTCACGCCGGCCAGTGTTTTGATATTGATTAACCTCTGGCTAGGAACTTATACCTACATACTTTTGTACCCGCGGAGGCGCGGACCGGAGAAGAAAAGAAGAGAGGAGTGGAAGAGATGGCAAGGGCGGATCAGGCAGCAGGTGGATGTACTATACCAGTGGAACATTGACCAATCGGATCGAGCTATCGAGAGGGGTCCTTTTTGCTAGGCCCCATAATCCGGTGTTCCGTAAAGACTGAGCCAAGGTACATCGGCTGTTCAAAAGTCTGCATCGAGAAGCTAAGGAAATCGTTCAACTCGGCTATGCTTCAATATCTTCTTCTTTGGAACTCCACTGTACTTATTTCCCAAAACCGGCGGGGAAATGCAACATTCCCTGGACTTTTTGCCTTTTACAAGAAAGATACACCAGTTCTTCGACCTCGTGGGTAGCAGATCACTAGAAATGGATAAGACTGATCACGATTACGAGTAATAAATATGGATATATGGATAAAAAATCGAAGGATGCTGCACAGCCCATCATGATCGTAAAAATAAGTCCCGCCGACATTGCCGTGCCATGCTGTGCCATGCCATCCTTCACCAAAATCACGCGCTGGATCAACCAGCCTGGCAACCTCCAAACCAAATAAAAAATAGAGATAAAAAAAATAATGATACGTACTAGAGTAACTGGCTCGGTGCCTGCATCCATTGGCCAGCCATGTCATCAAACCGGTCTGTGTTCCTGCACATCCAGTCGCCGAAGAAGCAAAACGGGGCACAGGACCGCCCCCCGTCCGCTATCTGCAGCATTGGTCCGATTCGAAAGATGTGTTGAAAGAGGAGGGGGTAGAACAAAAGGGGAAAAAGGAAGAATCAGGAGACAAAGAGTGCAGTGCAGGATATGCCGTTAGTAGACGCCCCCTCCATGCCGCAAAACGCCCAGACGAAGGTATTTCGCGCCAGCCCGCCATGCATAGATCGCTTCGGAAAATAGATCCCGTGCAGAGATGTTCGAGGTTGATGTGGTGTGATGTGATAAATGAAAGGAAATGAGAAAGGTGGTAGTCTTTCCTTTTGACGCCGATGCCGTGGTATGAGGAAATATTGCTAATGGGAAAGAAATGGGCGGAAAGGCCCGTGAGGATGAGGATGCATGGGATGAATGTAGATGCGGTGAGTGAGGTCGTGGCTTCTTTCATTGGAGAAAGCTTATTCAGATTCGTCACGTGCGCCGGTAAAGCTGTCCGCGAAGAACATAGTACTTGATCCGACGTCCGTGTTTAGACCTGATGACAGCACCTGCGATTCGCTAGGTTGAGCTGCCTCAGACTCAGTGTCGTCCATGAGACAGCTGGCTATACCGCCCTCAGTGTCCAGCTCAACGAGGTCAAAGAATTGACCAGCAAACTCGGCAACTTCATTGGCAACCTTGAGCTCCAAGATGCCTTCGAGCACCTGCATGTCCTTTTTCCACTTCCGCTCCCTCCGCGCCTTCTCTTCCTCTCGACGGCGGCAAGTCCCGTCACGAGCACGGACTTTCATGCAGTTTGGGCACAGATAATTTTCCTCGCAGTAGGAGCACTTGCAAGGTGGATGCGCTTGTACACAATCCTGGCAGACATATACGGCACAGGCCTTGCATTCCCGGAGGTAGCTTGGGCACCGTTGTCGTTGATCCCCGACAGCACGGTATTGAGGGCAGAAGAAGGATTGACATCCTTGCCACCGTGGCGCTTCGAAGGGGGACTCGGAGGATACGGATGTTGGCGAGCATGATCCGGAATGATTGGAGGGTGGAGCAGAGAAGGAACGAGTAGCATTGCGGGAGAAGAGTGGATGAGACGATCCTTCGACATTGGGCGTGTCGAGTTCGGTATCATCTGCGACGATATTTCCCTGCGGATCGTCAATAAAGCTACTGTTGGCGGAGTCGATGATTCGATGAGTTCGGAATGGAAGGTCATAGCCGGGAAGTTGTTGGCTGAAGGAGGCATCAGGTGATAAATGTGCCGCAGATCGAGTTTGAATCGTCATTTTCTCGAATGCGAGGTCCCTGTAGCCGCAGATGCGCAGGCGAAGCCCGCGCAGGTCGTGTTCAATGCAGAGAGGCTTGGAGCAGCTCTTGCAATGCACTTTCCACTGTGGCGAGTCGTAGCACTCCTGGCATAGGTTACGCGGGCACGGTGACACCTGTCGATTGGGCGGTCCAAGCAACCATTTCATCATGGCAAGGTGGCCCGTTTCCAGCGAGTAGTCCGGTTTACTGGGATCGCCGTAAGCGTACTTAGGGAAGGTCTTGCTCCACTCGCTGACGGTGTACTCGAGATCTTCCCAGCCTTGACCGCGGGGCAAAGGAACAGCACGCACTTGATCAACATCTCGACTAGGAGTGCCGATGCTGATACCACCTCCTCCAGAGAAGATGGGCTCCGTGCAGCACCAGTGGAACTTGAGAGCAGGATGTGACGTCGGGGCGCCCCCGTGGAATACACCGTTGTCCATTGGGTTTGAGACTGGATCTTGCATCGAACTGGGTGAGAGGGTCGCCCCCGGAGCCCACCATAGGGAAGTTGAATTGGTGGAATCACTGTTACTGTTGGTTCCAGAGTACGTAGCTGACGCTCCTCGATGAAGGTAGGGCCGCTCATAGGCACAGCTCGCACAGAGCGTTCTCCGACACCCTACACAGTGCATCAGGATGCTGCACTGCTCGCACCGTTCTGAGATATCGTCGAAACAGTTGTCGCATTTCACGTTTTGCACGAACTGTGTATGGCTATGGCGTAAATGCGCCGGTGTCATTTTCCCCTCGCCGACATCTGGCCCTTCACCAGTCCCTAGAGCTTCACCATGACACCCCGTATCGCAGTTCTCCCACAACTTCCCATCAGGCACACGCGGTCGCTCTGTTTTCGAGTCCACAGGACCGATCCAATTCTTGCATCGCCATAGCCGGTCGAATACCACCCAAACCTCCGGTGAACCTTGCGGAACCCGCATCGAGACATACCCACGTCTGCGGAAACACCTCCCAGCCGGCGTCGTGCACCAGGCAGTGTCGGTCCATATCCCTAACTTGTGGCAAAGACTCACTAAATCATGAGTGGGCTCCGAGTCAGAGTCCTTCCGCAGTAGCGAAGCAGAGAGGTACGGCCGCCGCCGATGATGACGGCATCGGTACACGTAGAGACTCTTGAGCGCAAGTCGCTGGAAGGCTGGGGAACTGCCAATATTCTTCTCCATATCCACATCATATTGTAATCCGAACATGGTCAGATATGGGATGACGTGGTACTTAAGAGATACATTCTTGCAGCCCCGAACTGACAAGTGCTCCAGTGTTTGCCGACGCGCATGCAACACAGTCGAGATCAGAATCTGACCCGAGACGGCCGTATTATCCAGTTCCAAACTCCTCAGGCACCCACTGAACGGGATCACTACGTTCATCAGCAGCTGATCTAAAGCATACGGTCGTGATTGGCGCTGGGGTTCCTGATCCGACAGGCCCGGGATGATGATCCGTGTTGCGGGGAGGGTGCCCGACGGGCAGAGCAGTCGAAACGAAAGGGATTTCCATGCCGTCGGGTATGACTGAAGGAACGTGCGAAGGTAATGGGAGGTGTGGTAGAGCGCGAGGATGGTGTCGGTCGGGACTTGGAGAAGTAGAGACTCGAGGATGGGGGCATTGGTGGTGATGACCCGTTCGAAGAGGGAAAGTATTCGCTGTTCTGGAATGACGCTATTTGGCAGGGCATCCTCGACGAGCTGTTGCGGTGCCTGCTCAGAGCCCGCGAGTGCCTGCGCCATGGTGGTCGTGTTGCGGCGATTTGACGCCGGGCCCGCGTGAGTAGATACCGATTACCGAATCTCGATCTCGCTCGGTCAACACTTAATCCAGCTCAGGTCGAGAGATGGAATGGCGCGAAATCGCGGTCGGTTTGTGTCAGGACGCAGCTCATGATAAGGTGGGCTGGAATTTGGGTAATGTGCAATCACATCTCCAGACAAGCCACCATGCAAGGCCGTACAGCGTTGAAATGGGTTCGGTAATCGATAAGACGTGGATCGCAAGGGCTGGGGTGCGGATCGGGTATCCGAAGGGGGAGCGAGGGAGGGAGAGGGGGAGGGGGGTTTTACGAAGAGAGGGAAATAGAGATACGAAGAAAAAAGGAAGAGGAGGAAGAAAATTGAGAGGTCTCACGGGATTATGCACAAGCCCAAAAAAAAGGAAGATCGAAAGACACGAACGACCATCCCAGTTGTGTCCGGATGCGCCCGTTAGAGAAGACAGCGTCATGTGATACGATGCTGCATGGACTCTTCATTCAGACAGCAAGGGTCTTAGAAGGAGATGAATAATAGTTACAGCTACGCAATACTTATAGATTGAATATTTCCACTTCCAATATGGTTGATCGGCACCATTATTTGCATTCTTTCGCTTGTATGTACAAATAGGCTGTGATGGTTTCCGTGTGGTGGATGTCTTCTATAGGGCGCTCGGTCGTCGCCTCCAAATGCCCAAAGAGCGGCGCTAAACTAATGTTTCTCGCTCGATTCGCCCACAGTGTAGCCCCTCGCAATACCCTTGCGCCCTTCCTTGACGAGCGTACTGTCCGATGGATCCTCCTCTTCGTCGTACCGAATATCGAAGTCGCTTCCCAACCCCTTCCATGTACGTTGAGACTGTAAGAACTCCGCCCCTGGCGAGACGGCGTTGCCGATCATCGCTAAGTCGCCCTTAGCTCGCCGGGCCAGAGCCCTAGCAGCGGCTGGTCCGCCCGCGGTCGACCCGTCGATCTGGGAAGAAGCGCGGGGTGCGGGATCTCGCATCGGACGGGAATGCGAGACGTATCGTCCTGTGCGTAAGTCGAACTCGGGCGGTGCACTTTCGGGTTCCGACACGTCGTCTTCGTCGTTGTCCGCTGCACCATTGGAAGTCGTGTCCTCATCTTCCTTTTCCTCCTCGGCAGGCTTGTCGAGGACGGCCTGGAAGTCGCTATGCCACGATCCGGTCCAAACTCGCTCGGCATCACTCTTCAGCGCTAGTTCCAACTCAAATGGAGTGATGACGGGCTTCCAGAAATCCCTGCTATCCACCAGCGAACTCTCCCAGCAACCAATAACCACCCAACCGCCGATCTCACTAAAGTTGGCGACCTTGGCAGCATTGAGCTTGCCCACCACGAACATGTAGCTTTTCTTGCCCGCAGCAGCAATCTGCTCCTTCACATGATCCACGATATGCAGATAATTCTTGACACTGAGGGTGTTGATCAGAATGCCCCAGATCGGCACTGTGTTCAATGAAGTCAAAATCGCATAGCGACGGCGCAATGCAGCTGAAGTAGAAGCCGGGAGGGGCTTGATATTGGTGTTGCTTGGGTTACTCGTGGGGTAAATATGAATGGCGGCAACGCGTGAAGCAAGGATCAGGAGCAGGGTAGTGGGTGGATCGGAGATATGGAACAGCTGCCAGTCTGACAGTGTCTCCTGGGCCTCTCGAACAGTCTCGGGCACAGTGCGATTGGGAATGGGGGAGGAGGGTTCGTGAGCCACCTCGGTAGCAAACAAATTGCTGTAGCCATCCTGCACCAGGCGAGCGTAAAGTTCAGGGACATGACCGGAGTAGGTCACGTCGGCTGCAATGATAACTTTTGTCGTCAAATCCGGATAGGTTGTTTTGAACGCCTGCACGACGGGCTCTAGAGGCAAAGCCTTGTGTGTAAAGACATAGATGACGGGCAGTCTGGCACTCGGCGACAGACAGGATCGCCCGTAATGCACCACGACGTCTGCGTCGACATGCTCCGCGGCCACTTCGTCCACACAGCAGGTGCCGTAGGAGGTATCGGCCAGAATGTACAGTCGAGGAGACCACTTCTCTGTCTCATCAGCCATAGACAGCCGAGACACTGACTGGGTTATGCCTCCTTCCGCATCCGCGGCACCATCCTTTGTCTGACCGGTCGCGTGTGTCCCGTTCGCACCGGCAACGTCCTCGGAGTTCAGGCCACGGCTGAGCAGTTGGAAAACCCGTGGCGCATCGGGGAGCATATCATCGGGGAACTGGAGGGCAATGCGTTTGTACCGCGCCTGGCGGATCTCTTTCAACGTGCGCTCGATGTCGTAGGTAATGGAGAGTTCATCGTCAGACAGCGGCTGCTTCGCCTCGTTGACAATAACGGGCTCGGTGGCCTCGAGGATTCGATCATCGGGGGTTGACAGCACGGGAGCTGCCTCCATTTCGGAACCCATTTGGAGAGTATATACTGGTAGGTGGGTGTTGGAGGGGTAGACAGGCGATATGGTGGAGGGACCTGAAAGTTTTGGAGAAAAAAAATAATTCCCCCACCTTCCCCCGCCGATAACAAAAATTGCGGATCAGCCCATTGGCAGAGGCTCAACCCTAACATCGTCACAGCAAAACATGATATTATAGAGATATACTCCGAGAAAAGTACGACGGATCAAGAGCTAGTACTGATCGTTTCATAATTCTAATATAATTCATCAAGTGAAGTTCCCGCTATACATTCTTATCTACAAATCCGCCTTGGCCGGCTCACCCGCCCATACTCGGCGGATCAACTCGCGAATAGGAGCCCGCTCAATCGCACGAGGGTTCCAGTAAGGATTAGAGACAGCAATATCAGCAGCCTTGTCAATAGCCTCTTCCTGCATACCAAAGTCCTTGAGACCGCGCGTGACCTTCAGCTTCTCAAGCAGGACGTTCAGGCCATGGATGGCATCACCGTTGCTATCCGGCAAGGCATCTGCTAATTGCTTCATAGCCTCGGGAATGTTAGGAGCATTGTAAGAGATGGCATGGGGCAGGACTGCGGTGTGAGTCTCCGCGTGAGGGAGGTTGAAGCTGCCGCCCAGAGTGTGACACAGCTTGTGGTGAATGGACATGCCCACACTACCCAGGCAAGTACCGCACAGCCAGGCCCCGTAGAGGGCCTTGGACCGGGCTGATTGAGAAGAAGGATTCTCGATAATTTCGGGGAGGGCGGATGCAAGGGCCCTGGTGCCTTCGATGGCCATCATGGTAATGATAGGGTTGGTGTTGCGGGCGTAAAGAGCCTCGACTGTACAGTTCAGGGCACAGTTAGTTGAGAAGTGCTTCCAGAGGGATGTTTCAGGGCATAGAAAGAAACTGACCAGCATGAGCAATAGCATTGACACCACTCGTAGCACTCATAGCAGCCGGCAGAGTCATCGTCAAGTCTACATCATAAATCACCGTGCCAGGCAGGATCTTAGGATCCGAGCGAGTCTTCTTCAACCCATCGGCAGTTTCACCCAGAATAGGAGTCATCTCACTGCCCGCATACGTCGTCGGAATACAAATATGCGGCAATCCAGTGCGAATGCTAATCGCCTTGCCAAGTCCAATCGTGCTTCCACCTCCAATCGAGATGACTGCGTCGGCGCCCTGCGCCTTTGCATATTCCAATGCCTTCTCGGTAACATGAGTTGGTGTGTGCATAGTAGCCTCGCTGAAAATGCCAGCGACCTGACCCTTCAAGACATCCTTGACGGTCTCGGCCTGGCCGACCTGCTGCGGTGTTGAGAGAACCAATGGTGCCTTCACCTGCAACCGGGCGATTTCATCGGGGAGCTTCTGTAGGGTGCCGCTGCCGAATACGACGCGGCCTGGGTTGGGATTGTATTCGAAGGCGTCCATGGTGTTGAGTCTGGGGTATAGTTAATTTCTTGTCCCCCCTGATAGAGAGCGGACCAATGCAGTCTTATAATTGTACTTCCCCCCACACCCCACCATTGTCCGGAGAACGGCATTGGGATGATGGGCTACACCCGTGGGGCCGTGGGGTCGGCCATCGGCAGTTCGATTGAGCTTGGTTCCGATGTGCAATTCCTCCGGTGGTTTAGGAACGAAGATCTTGGGTTATTGACTGAATTGCATGGTTGATTAGACAGTTTGTATGCTCCTGATACTTTATTCTGACCTGCCTAGCTTCAAGAATTGGCCCAATGCCTCTACAAAATCGCTATCTACTCGAGCATCGCGGAAATACCCCCGGCTTAGTTCAGCATGAATAAGCGCTCCGCAGATGCTCAATTAGGTTAGTACCAGTACCAGCAAGAAGTTGGGCTAACTTTCGGATATACTTCTGCCTTTTGCTGGGCCCTTTCGGATGTGAACATAGCCTTACGGATCAATGCCAGACTTCGAACTATACCTCCTAATTACTTTACTTTCGCACCTTCGGAATAACAATAAAGTAACTTAGAAATGAACTCATTTCTTTGGTGGTATCCTAACAGATAAAATGGGTATCAGATATTGCGGCTATGAATAGTAGGCCATTTTCTCTTCTCGTTTAGTCCATGTCAAAAGCCATGACATCGGGTCCAGTGCCACGGCCTGACTTGCCCTTCTTGCGCTTCTTGCGCTCATTGGCATTGGCATTCCGTCGTTCCTCTGCATCACTGTCATCGGAACCATCATCGCTGTCGTCGCTGTCACCCATCATGTGCTTCTCTCCAGCAATGCTGTCTCCGCCCGAAGTGTTCACAGCATCATGCCAAACCTTGACGATCTGACCACCACCAGAGACCATGCGACCCTCAACGTCAAATCCAAGGCCGACCACACCATCAGTCTCGTCGTGGACAACCTCAGATGACACCTTATTCTGGCCGATGCGAATAAATTTGATCAATCCATTGCCGAGACCGGCTGCTACCATCTTGCCCTTTCCCAAGAAATCAGGCACAGCGGTCAGGGTCTCAATTGCCTCGGCGCCACCAACGTAGATGCGCTCATCTTGATCATCCCACGCGCCCTTTTCCCAAAGTGTCACGACACCATTGGATCCACCAACAGCCACCTTCTCGCCACGGCTGGTTCCGCTGCTAGCGAGTCCGCTGATAAATGCGGTGCTTACCAATTCCTCTTCTTGATCTTCACTGCGGACGAGGACACCCCGGCGCAGATCGGTCACCGCTAGTGTGGTGCCACCGGTCGTGATCCATTGCTTGCTGAAGCCGGAGGTGCTTGTGTCGGAAGCGGGGAGGGGAGTCAGAGAGGAGATGTAGTCGTCGTGGGGGTGGTGCGACTGCTCGGGTTTGGCAGACACCTTGGAGTAAGGAATACGGAGATCGTAAATGTGCAATGCGCTTGAGTCTGTCGCAAGCAAAAGGGTCTGAGGGGAGAGAGCGTGAATCACGGTGGGCGCATCAATGGACCTGCGGGGTAGAAAAGAGAAACATTAGCCCGAGAAAGTCAAGTCAACGCACTGGTTGATAATATGAAGAAGATGTACGTACCCGCTCTTCTCGAGAGGAATTGCAATCTTGTTCTCGACCTGGCCGCTCTCTGACTTGGCGATCTTCACCAAACCGTCTGTGCCAGCAGAGTACAGCATTTCTCCGTCAACGCTAAATCCCAAGCACCGACAGCTGCCCTTGTGCCGCCGTGTCCTCCACATGGTGTCAATATGTCCCTTGCCATTGCGGCCAGACGAGGTCGAGGCATCATCATCGCTGTCATGCTCTTCTGTCGGCAATCGGAAAGTTTGAACGTGGCCCGCAGCCAGACCGACGGATACGACAGGCTCCTTGGGGTGGATAGCCTGAGTGAACAGGTCCGAGGACAGCGGAAGCGAACAGACCGTGTCGAACATGATGACACGGAGGGTTGTGCCTAGCAAGTTGCTGCTCTGGCAAGACCGGAGGTAGTAATTGCTACGAAGCTACATCTCGGAGTTGGAGAGCTTTGGAGCTGCCCTTTTTTTTCGCGGGCCGGGAATTTTCCGCCCTTACCGCCTTTTGGCGGTGCAGATGTACATACTTTTGTGATCAATGACATCATAGATACAAGGTAAAGAATGCTAGTCAACAATCTTTTAACATGAATGTTCAGACATGACAATTCAGACGCGTATTCACGTGCCAATTGAAGTGAATACCTACGAGGATACAGGAAGACTGTGAAAATCGCAAAATGAGACGCGCTTTCAAAAAAAAAAAAAAAAAAAAAATCTGATGTCTGAATGATGTTACTGGGGTCTTCCAACGCTCAGAGTAAACCTGGCCCATCCCGAGACTACAAAGTTGGATTCCTTTGCCTCGCTATGAGCCTCTTCTGATATCTCCTGTAATAATCTCGGCGGTGGACACTGCAGAAGCGCGTGTTTGTTCCGCTATTTGACCTGTCTGCCTGTCAGACTGCCATCGAGCGCTACCCGCTTCAACAATTATTCCTCAATTCCGCCTCAAGATCTTGTCGGTCCAGCAGTAGCCTGATCACCGTTTCATGTCCACCTTCAGACGCACAGGATAAAGGTGTTCGATCCCAGTTAGCCTTTGAGTCCACCTCAACATCTCGTCGGTCCAGCAGTAGTCTGACCACCGCTTCATGTCCGCGCCAGGCCGCGTATAGCAACGGTGTCCGACCCGAATTATCCTTCGAGTCCGCCTCGACTTCTTGTCGGTCTAGCAGTAGCCTGACCACTGCTTCATGTCCACCTCCAGCCGCAAAGGACAACGGTGTTTGACCCCAATTAGCCTTTGAGTCCACCTCAACATCTCGTCGGTCCAGCAGTAGTCTGACCACCGCTTCATGTCCGCGCCAGGCCGCATATAGCAACGGTGTCCGACCCAAGTTATCCTTCGAATCCACCTCAACATCTTGTCGGTCCAGCAGTAGCCTGACCACCGCTTCATGTCCACCTCCGGCCGCCCAGGATATCGGAGACAACCCATCATTATTCTTAGAGTCCGCCTGGACATCTTGTCGGTCCAGTAATAACATGACCACCGCTTCATGTCCACCTCGAGCCGCATAGGATAATGGAGTCAGCCCTTCGTTGTCCTTGCAGTCCGCCTCAACATCTTGTCGGTCGAGCAGCAGCCTGACCACTGCTTCATGTCCGTCCGCCGCATAGGATAATGGCGTCCGACCACAGTTATCCTTAGAGTCAGGCCTGATACCGCGGTTTGCGAGCAGTAGCTTCATCAATCCGGCCTCCCCTTCCCTTGCGACTAGATGAAGGATCGTCCTCTTTCCTTCGTCCTGAAGCGTGGTATGCTGAAAAGTTAGGACCCGTGCGAGCCCAGGAGAGGCACGCAAGAGAGACAGCAGGTCAACAGGCGTAAGATATTCCGCGGAAAGCAGGATAAGTTCGAGAGGGAGTTGAGCTCCTACCCTAGACACTCTCATTATAGCGCTTCCCGGAGATACGGAAACAGAAGATGTGATTCACACGTCCAACTAGGAAGTCGAACGACGCAAATGATTCAACGAGGACCAATGTTCAAGGATGAATGAAGTTTCAGTTTCCCGAGCTCGTCGAAGCGCTCCTGAATCCTACCTTGACTCTTTGCACGGTAAACAGGGCTAACTTGCAATACCCGTTGCCGTGATTTGCCTTATATCTAGCTGCCTTTTTCTTCCTCTTTTAACACTTTGTCTCACTTTTGGCCCTTTTCCCCCGCCCGCGTGGCTTACATAACTGCCTCACCGGGTGGCTTGCTAGATTTAGCGTATTAGGAGGTTGTGATTATCGCGACTCTGCTTGGGCGTTTGCCTATTTTGAACTCTTTTTTTCCCAGGGAGATAGCTCCTATCCTAGCCTACGAACACCTTGAGGTATTATGAGATATAACCAAAGATGCTAATATAGCCAAAGTGTTGGGTATAAGATCTACTTGCGGGGTAGAAGGCCTGTTGATCAGGTAAGGATGAACAGCACCAAGTCAAATTAGAACCAAGACTGTTTCTTAGAGAACTCTTAAATGTTCTCCAATAATCCGTATCCTTTTTAAGTACATGCTTCCTCCGTCAATCGGAGGGAATAAGAAAGCCAACATATTGATCGATGAAGAGCACGAAGAAAAACCGGGAGGATCAGGATTTGGTGTAACATGACGTGGCCGCCATGTGCAAGATTCCCCCGCAGCTAAGCAGCCGAAGAGCAGGGGGTTCACCGCCGAAAAGCCACCGACCTGACTCGGCAATCCCACATAGCCCCAAACCGAGATAGAGGCCTGAGGGATAGGGCTCCCGCATTAAATCTCCGAATAACTTCATGTCAAGAAATATCATAACACAAAGATGCCAAAAATGGATGCCTCCGCCGTCAGGCTAATATTCAGGCACCCTTCTAACTCGGAAATACTGCTTAGTAAATCATAGTGCGCACTAGTTTATTGGAGGTAAATGAGTCTAAATTGTTTTTCAATGGGCTTCCCGATTCGTCGAGTTTCGAGTAAATGCCCTCAAAGCAGCACCCAAAGACAGCACCTCGCCCTACGAGCTAGAATCCACATTTTCTCACCGACAATGGCTGTTAATTCTCCTAAAGCCTGTCTTTCGTGTTGTTCTCTTGCTCCAGACTCTCAGAGAGCTTCGGTGCCAGTGTGGGACCAGGCTTGGGTTGGAATCCTATGTCTGTTTGGCCCTCGATACGATCTTCCAACAGTGGAGGACAACTTTCTTGAATCAACATGGTATCTCGGAGCCGGTTTTGTCTCCGTGCTTATCGCGGTCGATCCATCCCCAGGGAATTCTTCACCTTCGCTGTTGAGGAAGTGACCAATTTCGATACGAGCTCGACGAACAAGAGACGATTTAAATCATCGCGTTATAGTACGCGTATCCAGATCATCGCCAAGGCGAACGATGCAGGCTTTATAAATTATTACCGGACGGGTGGTGGTCTTGAGGTAACTCAGGCCATGACGTTGGAGGAGTATTCGAAATCGGGGTGGAATTTTTCCATCAGCGCTGATCAGTTGGGATTGGAGATTGTCGGGATGGAGAAAACAATAGAGCGCGAAGCGGCGGTGTTATCAAATCTTTGGGAGTACAAAATCCACAATCCATTGGTCGATCGACTTAAATTTGCTATTGACGGGTCCCCAACGTGCTTCTCCTCGTAGGTCATGAGCAAGAGTCATTGATCGGGACTTTCGGTGTATTGATCGTCCAGTAGATAAGGGTTTCCAGGAGCGTATACTTAATTTCATTGATCTGTTGATGAGGCGATGTACCATTAGGTTCCGCTAAGGCACAATGAATAGTAGCAATGGTACCAAAGTAAACAGGTTATTGATGCCGATGCTTTTTTGATAGGGCAATAGGGGCGATCTAAACAAGGGTTCAACGTGGATAGGGCTGGTGGTCTGCATTTCATTGAAGTGGCTTAACACTAAAGTTATGCTGCACTAACAGATAGCTGGTACAATGTATCTGGAACTAGGTATACTTGAATTTAACGATACATTTGCACAAAATAAAGGTCACGAATTTACAAAAAAGCATAGCTCTCTCTAAAGAAGCAAATGGAAAAGATGTACAAAGACAGTCCCGAGGTCGCTGTTCAACAGCTTTCAACGTCATTCCTTTCCAACACTGCACGTTTCGTCCCTCTTGTCAGATTCACTGCAAGGTTCTGCACACAAAAGAAAAAAGATACAGGACACAACGAACCATAGTGCTATCCGCTCATCATTTAAGCAGAGTAGGTAGAGCCAATGGGACCAACCTTGATGTTGGAGAAGATGACCTTGGCGGAAGCAGACTGAGCCTCGACAGTCGCAGGAGCGCCAGAGTCAGTGCTGCAAGAGCCACGGGCAACACCAGGGTCAGTAGCAGTGGCATCTGTGGGGTAGTCACTGTCAAGCCAAAGCATGTTGGAGTTGTGGTCATCCCAAATGCTCATGACCAGCACCATGCCCTCAGCCAGAGCATCGCCCATACCGGAGAGACCACCGTGCTGGGAGAAAACGTCCTTGTCGCCAAATGCAGTCTTCTGAGCAGTGCAGAAGTCCGAAGTGATCGAGTTACCGGTAACACCGCTGACATCCGAGGCAGAGTTGGCAATAACCTTGCCGTTCTGCACGTAGATACGCTTAATCTCAGAGAGGCTTCCGGTTGCGGTGCCATCGCTAGTGATGAACTGTGTGACGACGGTCATCTTGGAGTTGGTGTCGACGGTCTTGCCGGGGCCGAAGAAAGTCGTGTTGCCCATGCGGTAGGGGTTGAAGTCGCAACCATCGGGGTCGCAGGTACCGCCGTAACGATCGGAGGAGTAGGTTCCACCGCACCCGTCACCCTCGCACATAGTCTGGCTGGCGGTATCACAGGGGTGGGGGGTTACAGCAGTGGAGATGCTGTTAGCCTCCCAGATATCCATTTCAGCACAGCAAGCGCCGTGGTTGCCAACACCGGCGTTCTTGTCGTTGTCAGAGGGGACCCAGCCCTCGACATTGCCCTAAGAAGGATCGATTAGTCTCAAGCCTGGTGGGAAGGGAATATTTGAATATGAAATTACTAACCTGACCGTTGATGAACTTGAGATCACGAGGGCACTGAGAATCACAGTAGCCGGTACCGTACTTAGCACCGGCCTTGTTGTTCTCGTACTTAGACAGACCGCCATCAGCGTCCATGGAAACGAAGTACAGAGCACCATTCAGGCCGCAGGGAAGGCTGGAAACATCCACGTCAAAGGTGAATTCCTGGTTCAGTAGCTTGAACATCTGGTAAGTGTTGTCGTCCTCCATGAGATACAAGCGGGAACCGATGTTGGAGCCGGTCACAAAGCCCAAGGTCAAGGCATCGCCGGAGGTAGTAGCACCGTAGGTGCCAGCATAGTCGGCACCGTCGAGAGCGCAGTTTGTAGCGCAAGTGGCATCGTCGGGGCAAAGAGTAGCATCCCACTATTTATGGCAAATTTGAGTGGTTAGTTGTGAGGGATCCCGCACGAGAGATGATAAAGCATACCGTGTTACCAGTGTAGCAGTTGGTGTAGCCATCAACAGAGTGAACCCAACGCCAATTGGCATCCACGACAACAGAACCGCTCTTATCCGTGCAGCCGGAGGAGGTGCACTCTTGCCAGGTAAGAGCCGGATGGGTCTCTGTCTTCTGTGTGCCAACCTGCTGGGCACTGACACCTGCCATCAAGGCAGAGAAAAGGAGAGCGCGTTGATGCATCTTGGGAGAATTGAAGGATCGAATAGTTTGTCGGTTAATTTTTCTTTTTGTCTTTGCTCCACACTGTCCTGCAGTTGCTGAACAAAAGCAAGATCGAAGACTGCGACAGGCTCTTTATATAACATTTCGTGCTTCAAATGACATCCACTTGTTGTGCTATGCGAGGCTCGAAACATGTTCGTCCGCGGCCGATTGCCCGGTGTAGCGGACCATGACGCCGTCGCTAAATTGGTATGGACAACAAGATAGAGGTAAGAAGAGACCCTTCATTAAATTCCCGGGGACTGCCAGATTAGGTGACGGCCGGCGTCGTGCATTGATTTGAAAGTGGACCCAGCTCCACGATTAACAGGGGAACGATCGCCATGAGGACTCGACGAAATGGATCTCGACAAGGTCCTCAACTGGAGTCTGGAGCAGCTAGGTAGTGGCTAGCGGTTTCAATATCCATCAGTACGGAGGATTCTCCGATCTGGTTTCGTCGATGGTAGTGGAATATCCGGATCTTTATTTGTCAATGCAGATTGGCATTGAAATGTCCTGTAAATCATCAAATGACAAGCCCTGGCATCTGCTTGTTGATTGCAATTGAGGTAATGCGCCTATACTCCGATTACGTATGCTCCCCCAGAGTCATGAGACATTGTGGAGGTGGCTGAATACACCAAGGTCATAATCGGCGCCATGGCGGCTGCATGGCTTGAGTTGTGGACATATTGCTGTGAACAAAGTGGTTTCTAGTCGGAAGAGGCGTTCTGGGGCAGGAGGGTTCTGCACGCCCGTTCAGGCATGGGCCGTTTCAGATCGGCGACGAAACCCCCTCCCCGGTAGCATTATCCAGGCACAACGGATAAATCGAGGAAAATATCCTTCAATGAGAAGTCATTGATTTAGCGCTTCGTATTCTCTATGGGGGCTCGTACCTGGCCATCGTTTAACTCGAAACAGAAAAGAGTAGCTGTGCTCACTGAGACGCTCTGTGCTCCGCATGACAGTCCTGATATCGCACCTTTTAATCCACTATTAAAAGCGTGGTGGTAGTTCAGACAGCAGTATATTCAAGCTCGAAGCTTTCGTTTACAGTCAAGCTTATCGCCATGATGGACACTCAGACTAAAAGCTTGGGCCAAATAAAACGCGACCGTTGTTCCATCCCGTCTCCAGAGTAGTTCCGGAGCCGAGACGAAACTTCTATTTGATCCACCCGGAGACGGTTAGGGCTTCTATTCCGAGGCGGGGAGAGGCCTTGTCGCTCATTGGGTAGGCGGGTGATTCAATCTGAAGCATCGACGGACGAAAGGGGGATGGAAAGAGTATGAAGGACAACCACGCGGCCTTGGCGGGTGGTGTCGATCTCATTGCGGGGTGTCAGCCACTGGCTTGACGCCGCTCGGCACATACTCTATACCTTATTAGTGTGGAAATTTTATGGAATTAGTATGGATTAGGCTCGTTTCTCCTCTATTGTGACGGATGGATGAGGGGCCCGCTCCGCTTCTTCCATGGCCAAGCTGGAAGTGATCTACATATTGGCAGGGTGCCTGAAAGGAGTCCAGAAAGATCTAGGGGCGCATGAGTGTGGAAATCAGCCCATCAGGTTGGATGATGCGTAGTACATAGCAGACGCTGACAGGGATTTCCCCACACTTCCGATTCTGCAAGGCTTGCAATTGAGGCACTTGAAGTTATGAAGAGTGCATACTGGAAGATGAAGCATATGTAGCAACTATATCATGTTCAGGTCAACAGCCTAGTCGTTTTAATGGTTTCTCCCGCTTTATTGTCATTATGAAGACAAGTGCTGCAGTCATTGATGCCACCTTTCACCATTTCTGCACGCCTACACGCATATCCTAATTTCTCCATATTCCAACAAAGAACTGGTAGTAAATTGCACAGACATCATGCTAGATTATCACAGGGACTTCAAACCAGGACGGATCAAGGCACGTTTCCCAATGTGACACGGTTGTGCCATTGCATAAGTGGAGATATAGTCAACATAGACACAGTCTTGGATCCTTAGCGATGGGTCTGTTCACATAATCTTGGATAGCTAGAGCCTGGGAGAGATCATTATCTTTTTGTGAATAGAACAGATGTATGTGTCTTGGCTGCAGACTTACCATAAGCGAATAGCCCAAAACTCTCTATGAAAGAGTACGCTTCGGTGGCTTAGCGAGGCTTTTTCTAAATATGACGTTGATCCTTGCCCTCTGAGAATCAAAGAACTTCATGTTGCAGAGACGATTAGGCTGAATGCGATCGCCAGCTGTTTAGTGCGGAGTAAACCTCCGTCTTGGTGGGTAGATTGGGCAGCGGTATTCGGCGATAAACATTCCGATGAGAGGGGAAGTTGGATATTCTGAAAAGAGACATTTTGTGATCATCACGAAGTCCCTGCAAATTTATTCAGGATGGTGGCTCTCATCTTCAAATCCTCACATTCTGCCCTCAATATTCTCATTCTCATTCACGACATGTCAGGTGTATGGTGATACTGTACCTGATGACGTCCGCCATGCCTTATCGTTTTATTGGAGGTGGGCTTATCGGCCACATGGGGCCTCGGTCTCTTCCTGCGGCTCCCAACGAGTCCTCTTCTCTTCTTCTCTCCATCGCCCAACCGAACTCATACGCGCTTGTCCATCGAGTTCTCGCATTCTCGACGTTTATCGGATTCTCGTCTCTGTCGCCAGCACTAGATCCCTTCGGTTCAGGGGTAACCGGGCGTAACCATGGCGCTGTACAACCAAACCGTGGATTTCCTCTCCGAATCCTGGGCCAACCAGCGAACACAACTTCCCCTGTTGGCTGTAACGGGCGCATCTTTCACACTTGGCCTCCTGCTTCGGTCGCTGTTCAAGGGAGACAAGCACAAAGACGCCATCCTCATCTCGCCCCGCTCAACGGTGCTGCCTGGTCTGTCGGAGGAGGAGCATCGCAAACTGCCACTCCCGGATGACGTGCTACCCGGCGCACGCGATGTCGCGAGCCCGTACGGGTCTATCCGAGTGTATGAATGGGGTCGAGAGGATGGTCCCAAGGTCTTGCTCGTCCATGGCATCACTACGCCGTGTATTGCGCTCGGCGGGGTGGCCCATGCGCTCGTCGATCGGGGTTGCCGGGTGATGCTGTTTGATTTGTGAGTGCTATGACGAATACAAAGTCTACGATAGGGAGATACTTACCTATGGAATGCAGGTTTGGAAGAGGATACTCCGACTGTCCGTCTGATCTCCCCCAGGATGAGCGACTCTTCGCAACTCAGATGATGCTTGCATTGACTTCATCGCCTATCTCCTGGACGGGAGCTGGATCGGGCAAATTCTGCCTAGTTGGATACTCCTTGGGCGGTGGAATTGCTGCAGCATTCGCTTCTTTCTTCCCGCGACTTTTGACATCTCTCGTGCTTCTTGCACCTGCTGGTCTTGTCCGCGACTCTCAGATTAGCTTCCAAAGTCGCCTTCTCTACTCGGGTGGCCTCATGCCAGAGTCTCTACTGGGGTATCTCGTTGGTCGTCGCCTGAGAGCTGGCCCTCTGGTTGCACCCAAGAAGAATAAGAACGAGAAGCTCAACGCCGCAGATGCTCTCACCGAGGAGTTGCCGTCGCAAACCGCGGCTGAGATCCAAATTCTGTCTCGCGAGTATCCTCATATCAATATCCCTTCTGCTGTCGCGTGGCAAGTCAACAACCATGCTGGCTTTGTGCATGCATTTATGTCTAGTATGCGTCACGGTCCTATCCTGGGTCAGCGACAGTGGGGTACCTGGGCACGGCTGGGGGAGTATCTGAGCGCACAGAATAGCACTGTATCGGATGAGAAGAGTGAGAAGGGTCTGCCAAGTCACAAGGTTCACATTTTGTGTGGCAACACAGATGCCATTATTATCAAGGATGAGCTTGTGACCGATGCTACCGCCGCCCTGGGTGGGAATGCAGTCTTCAAGTTCTATGACGCTGGTCATGAATTCCCTAGCACCAAATACGAGGAGGTGGCGACTTATATCGCGAAGGTGTTGTGAGGGGAATGACCAGAGTTTAGGGAGTCTGACTTTAGCTACTGAGCGCGTTTTGGGTGGACATACATTTCTCTTTGCAGAATAGTTCATTGGTACAATAGAAATACATAGACAAGGATAAACACTCTATGATACATTTTAGGTCTCGCATATTTCACATATCTCACAATTTTTGACTTGAACGTTGACTCTTGCTGATGCATGCCGTTCATTTGGACTTCAGAATATCATCCATCGCATTGACTTGGTTTGAGAGGCCGTTCATGTGTGTGGACCGCTCTCCCATTCGTGCTCCGGCATAGTAGGGGCCATCTGCCGCTGGTGCTCGAGCGAAACGGTTTACACTGTTTTGGTTGGATCGTGGCACTTGGCTGACATTGTTCTGGCTGAGAGAAGAGCCAGCCGGGTTGTGGGAGCTATTACAACGATACTGTTAGCTCTTTTTCAGGAGATACAGGTCTAGCCAGTCTTCACCTACCTGGAGGAAGAAGGCTCAGGAATAGACATGGTGGAATATTGTTGTTGAGAAGTGGTATTAGATGAGTCCTGGGTTGAAGATTCTCGTCGAGGCGCTGAATCCGCTCCAAAGATGGAGAATAGAAGAGGGCAGATGAAGGTAGCCACAATGACGAAATTTTAGCTTTGATAGCTTTGACGCAATTGCTTGCCTTTGATATTGGAGTATGAGATGATGAGGCAAATGGAATGTGATCTGGATTGATGATGGTCATGAAACAGCAGGGATATCGGCTCTATATAAGCAAGAGGATCTGCTACGAGGCTATGCCAAAGCAAAGACATACCATGGCAGACACGCGAGCTTCGACAGGAGCTCCAAACTACCGGTCCACATGGGCAGATAGGAGCTAAGCAATGAACGGAATGGGGGGGGAGGGGAAAAGATCTTCAGTTCGCATAAACTGCCCATGACGGCAGGGTCTCCACAACTCGAGCCTGTGACACCCTTTTTTTCCCACCGTCAGGATTGAGGAGACTCGCGACGAGCAGTGTCCGCATGAACCATATCCGGTGGGCCTGGAATTCGATGCAGAGGACGCTAGTCAAGTTCAGGCGAAGTGGGGAGTGCATAATTCAAAAGAGGCGACAAGGCGGACGGGATTGGTTCCAAGGGGGGAGTGGATGGACAATCGAATGGGGGCCATAAAGAGTAGGAACTAGATGGAGATGTGCGTCGGGCTCATGAGTGGACACTGGACTGTGGTGGAGAGTGGAGATGGAGGGGGTGGTCGTTATGGTTCCACTTTCACGATGCAAGCGCCAACGAAAAGCAATGGATTTCAGGGCCCTTTGCCATGCCTCTCACTGCCAGGAACCACGCGGCACATGGCCAACCACATGTTTCACTGTGGGTGAAACCAGATCTGGAATTTGAGATTTTGTGGAATGAGCCAAGGGAGAGGCACGGCTGCAGCAGACTTGCAGTTTACGTGCAGAGTTTACGCAAGTTGAACGTTGGATCTTCATTGAGAGATCAATCAAGGGTCATTGGAAGGGGAGGAGCATCATGGCGCAGCGGTCTAGAACCAACAGCGCCTGGACCAGGTGTGCTATGGGAGTGACGATCTTGGTTAGCCTAGGATCAATTGGCATCAAAATAGATCAATCAGAGGCGTTCATGCTAGGGCGGTAAATGCGCCTGGAATTCTCGCGTGGTTGTCCTGGGGAGAGAGAAGCTTCAAGGGTGAAACAGGAATTAACAGAATTAATTAAGAATTAAACAATCGTGGGTCCAACGTGGTCGATCACATGGGGAGTCTCGCATTGGCCCAGGGGGATTGTCCCTTTACGGCCTCGACTACTCCACACCTACGAACCTCCTCACTTCTTCCCCCACGCGACAAAGAGCGAGAAAAATAGAAGGCTAAGGCTTTCACCGGTAACATGGCATTTCCCCGGCCACGCGCGGAAGTAAGTTTCTCTCATTTTCCTTTTTCAGCTATGCCCTACAAAGGCTGAATCCTTCAGGATGAGGACGTGGCCACTGTTTTTTGTCTATTATGCGGCGTTCGGCAGTTGAGCTCATTCCAACTAAGCCTCGCCGCTAAGCCTTACGATTCAGCCATTCTACAGTACATAGCCATAACGCCGCCCAAGGAATGTTGGTGACCTCGAGTCCTCAGTGCAAGACCCAATCCGGAGATCGTCGGAGATGAAGACGGTGAGCCATTCTGAAACAAGGCTTCGCGTGTCCTACGAAAGGGATGGCACGTGGACTATCTCGTCTGCTATTTGCTGCACTGCTGACTTTGTCTGACGAGTCCAGAAATCGCCAACATCACAGCAACCAAATGTGGAAGGCATCAGCAAGATGTGTGTCGCCCTAGGCGCCACTAGAGTAGCGGATGGGGTCCCTCGTACACAGCGCCTCCGCGGGTATAACAAGTCTCTAGATTAGGACTTGTTTACGAAACAAAAAAAGGAATAAGCACCGTAATCTTGGAAAAGCCGGAGATGAGCGTCCAAACAGATTTAATCATTCTCACCGAGTGGCTTACGGTCCGCCCCCTCCGTGAAAAGACGGGAGTTTCCTTGTATCCCTCTCGGGGTCTCCGATCCTCGTGCCCTGCCGAGCTATGCAGTGCAGTATGCTGTTCGTCAACTGACCGCCGTAGACATGCAGCGGATGGCCTTGTATGGCCATAACCCCCGCCTTGTGTGCGGCTTCACAGCCACGATTCCCATATGGAAACCCGGCGTTTCAGGTAATAAGGTTGCTTTTCCCACGCGTGCTTGTCCACCGAGCAGATCATTCCAGCCTCTAGAATGAGCAATGTTTAACGACGTTGGGGTCCATAATTTGCTGGGATAAATGCAAGGCACAACTGGTCCGAGCGCCGGAATCCCAGCAACCTTATCTCCTTTTGGTGCTAACCGTCGATCCCCAGCTCAAAGTTCGACGCTCGCTGATCGACCGCATGATGAGCCTTCTAGCGCCCTGTTAGTAAGATGCATGCGAAGTCTGCTCCAGCTCACCAGTCGCTCCGCTCGGCTGAGCTTGGCTTTTCTGCATGATGAGTTGGTTGGTATTTGTTCTGAAAAAACTCAACACTCATGAAAATAATATCCAGGCGTCCGACTGTTCACCACTGTACCCTATTTTCTGGCGATTTAAACCGATCATTACAAGCCAGACCCCGAAAAAGGAAACCGGGCAAAGTTCACCAACCAGACCCCTTTAATTTGTTCGATATTCTACCTATCACACGCAAAAGTCCAATACCCGCACACAAGTGGCAATTAATGATTCTGCCAAGGGATATTATGTATTATTATTTCACAATAGTTCCCCCAGGGTATCGCTAAAAGCGGCAGAGATCGACCGGCTACCTCATCCCTTGAACGTTTGCTCTAACTCGCAGCGAATCATCACGCAGAACGCCTCAGTAGTACTAGTCTGAAACGCGATATCATATTCGAAGCCTCGAACTGTGCCACCGTGCGGCCGTGTCCCAACGGCATACAAACCGGCTGGGATGCCGAAATGATGACCGCCATCTGTTTCCGTCGCAACGGTTCTGAAGTGCGCCATCCCACGCGACTGGTTGTACAAGTACTTTTGTCCATCTTGATCCGGGACTTGAATACTCACCAACCCTTGATACGATCACTGGGGTAACTTGGCAAGTGCCGTTTTCCACACTAACCACCTACGTACTGAGGGCGGAAACAATGCAATCTTGAATCTAAGCATTCCCTGGTCCCCGAAGCAAGTGCTCATGCTGTTTCAGCCCCAAATTATCCCCCGGAATTAGGAATGGACATATAACCCGATCTCGGCTCCGAGTAAGTCCGTCGAAAGTGTAGTTGAACTTGACTGCCAGTTTCATAGCCATAACTCCTTGCCTCGATCTGTGACAGTCTTGGTATGAAGATACTCGGAATATACGAGCATGTCTCCTCCTTCCAAAAGGGGAAACACCGAGGATCGTAATTACCCACCATTTCCTTTCCTGTTGCCCAGCCCATCACTTCTTTCCCTGAAGTTTGCGCTCATTAGCTAAGAAACCTCTGTCTCCCCAACACTAACAGTAGGTAGCACAAACAACACGGATCGACAAAGTTCTTCTACCCGAGCTGGGCGCCCGTAGACGGTTGATCTTCGGTTCTATTTTATTTTTTTTTATTTTTTTTGTTTCCGAAGGTCATCATATTGGTGTAATCCGGTTGGATGTTGTTCACATCATTGCTTTTTTGATGAAGTTTTCTCGAAGGCGCAGTCTTGTGATTTGCAGGCTGTGGAACTAGTCTAGCGCCAAACCGAACTGTCGGGACGGGGATGGCGGAAACGCTCTCCCAACAGTCAGGAACTTGAAACATTAGCCTGAACTTATTTGGTTTGTTTGAGGGGGAGTGACAGATCAACTTCGACTTTAAATCGGTGATTATGATCAGGGTTTGATTTTGGGGGTTGTCCTCCTGCCTATCCGGGTTCAGACAGGGTCTCGATGAGGAGGAGGCTGGAATAGCTCCTGAATCCCGACAACTAGGATGGGCTGCGGGGTATGTTCATTTCCCGCGGCAACTTGAGTCATGATTTGGTGCAAAAGCAAAACCTTGTTGAAATCAGGCTCGAATGTTGGAAAAAGCAATGAAATGATTTGTCCTCGTGGCGCGGTAATCGACGGCGGATATTTCTATCCGCGGAGTTCACCAAGAAAGGATCAATTTGATGGTGGGTAGACGTTGCAATGAGAAGAAGAAAGATCAAGAAATGGATATGAATCCACTGCCTAGTGGGTACACGTAGAAGTTCTAGAATGAGGATCAAGATTTGGAGCGGTTCTTTCGCTTAGATGTAAATCGGTGCAGAGTTTTTTTGAGTGGATATATGTGTTGTTCGTTGAGTCGGCTGTCCTTCTGTTGCCTTCTATTTAGGCGCCAGAGGCGAAGCGATCAAGTATGCGATCCAAAATAGTACACGGGATTTGGATCGAGAGAATTGAGTATGATGCCCTTAGAACTTGGTAGCAGTAATTGTCAAGATTGGGTAGAAAAGTCACCTGTAGAGTGGATATCTTGGTCTGGTGATCAGTTTGCCTGTGGATTGGTCCTATTTTGTCCAGATACAAGTCTCCGGTGACTGGGCTGGTTGTTCCAGCTCCTCTTTTCTCCAAATCCTTCGGCCGAGACATGCGCGAACGCAAAAAATAGGGCATTGAGGCCAGCAGTGTGCTAGGCAGTGGGTATCTAGATGTGTCTACTAAGAAAAGGGAATCGACTAATGTAAGATGAGGCCTAAGAGACCATAGGAAAGTATGATGTTGGGATGCAGGCAGGCTTGGTGACCACCTGGGCAGTTTGTCCCGCGAAACACATGGCAGCCAGAATTCAGATAAAGATTTGGAGGCTCACACTCAAGCGTTGACACCTTGTATGAAAGTCATTCTAGTTGCGATTAGTCTTCATATTGAATAGAATAACGACACAGAATATCAAGCAGCACTCAGATTAGTACCTAGTCCGGACACTCAGCTCAACATGGCAAGCCCGGGGATTTATGAAGAGTTAAGTGTCCGATAGTTACAATAGCTTGTACACATAATTTAACAACGCGTTGTAGACATGACGAGATGGTACGCCCCAGTTCAGGTAATAATGCCTCTGAGCAGAGACATGAAGTTCTCCAGTGACAGACCTGTAAGCTCCAGCTTAACAACAACATCGGGTCCCGGGAGATCACAATATATATCCAATTATTTAGATAGTCGATTGACTGTTGTTAGTCCATTTCTGCTCAACGTTCCACTTCAGCTCTTTCTAGTCTATTTCTTGTCAGTCGGAATTGGTTCAATAGATGGAAGTATACATATATATACGGCAGCTTCAGTGAACAAATGAAAGGGCATGAATTGATACGACCCAAATAGCTCTTGTCCCCGAACAGGTGACTACTTAGAATACCTCCAGCTCAAATGCTGTCGCTCTTAGAAACATATGTCTATGTTGATGTGCATCTCAACTCTGTCATAATCACAAAAAAAAAGACATTTGTTCTCGTTTTGCCGATCGCATTGAAAATGATGAGCCCAGCTCTTGGCACTAGACCAAAAGCAGCATGACGTAGCCGCATCAGCGTGATCGACACTCGGGTAAATCTTGTTTGATGCATTTTGGAATGCTGTCATTTGATCTGTTCTCAGGCTCCGTAATCTGCTGGGAAGACGTTCCAGCCCCTTAAAACTTGTTAAATTTGACACAGGCCACTTTTCCTGCTACAAAGCACCGAGGCCAACTATTTCCCTGTATAGCGGTTGCGCCCTAGCTACCCACCAAAGCGATGGGGTTGACCTATATTTATCACAAATCAATTGCAATTTTCCTCCGAGGTCTCGTTCGCCCTAGACTAGATCTCCATCCAAATCCAGATGAAACAATCTTCATCCCGTCACGGGACACGGGTCGAACTATCAAGGCCCACGTCTACAGACCACCTCCAGAGAAACAGAAGCATCCCAGTCCTGTCTTGATTAACTTTTGTGGGAGCGGCTTCGTGCTTCGCACCTTTGGATCTGACGATGAATTTTGCCGTTTCATCGCGGACAACACCGACTATACTGTGATCGATGTTCAATATCGTCTGGCACCCGAGAATCCATTCCCAGCGGCTTTCAATGACGCTGAGGACGCTGTGACATGGGTGCGATCAGTGCCCGAACAATTCGACATATCTTGCGTCTCACTGTCAGGATTCAGCGCAGGTGCCAATATTGCCCTCGCAGTGTCATGTTCATCCTCACTCTTCAACTCGAAAGACGATCCAGACGTCTTTCGCACGGTCATGTCGTTTTATGGTCCAGTTGACATGGCTCTTCCAACACCACAAAAGCCTCTTATAGATCAATCTAACTTCATCATGCGAAAAATATTTCCGCCTTTCTCCCATTTGTGTCACAAATGTCTCAATTTTACAGGGGTAGACCCAAGGGATCGTCGACTGTCACCATTGTTCGCCGAGCCGAGCAGTTTCCCCGATAATGTCCTGATTATCACTGCTGCCCAGTGCGCCTTTGCTATTGAAGCCGAGAAGCTGGCAGAGAATATCCGCAATGTTGACGGCAAATATGTGATCTGCGAGAGGATGTATGGTTGCGCTCATGGATGGGACAAGGAAGCTGTTCAAGGCACGCCACAGTTCGAGGCAAAAGACAAGGCATATGAAATGGCAGCAAGTATGCTACGGAAACGAGAAGGAGGAGTGGAAAAGCTTCAGGCGACTGTGGTGTGAGAAGTGATACCCATGAATGTATAGTTTTCCGGACTGGATAGATGGACTAGACTGTTTAATCTGAATTGGAATATCGCATTTTACGCAAGGAAGGACTTGGAAACATCGTAATTCGCATATGAATCTATGATTGTAGAGAAAATCCGCTCAAAATGCATGAAGGTGGCCATATCATAACCAGCAGCTTGTGGTAAATATCGTGATAGTTGGCATCAGGATTTGGCTATCACTGAACTCCTTTGGCGACCTTGTATCTCAAAGACATGAGTGCATATCTATGACACGCCCCAGACACCTAAGGGATCTGGACTGCCAGACTGGCTTCTCTGGACCTGCAAACTTTTCACTCGCTTCACCAGAGTTCCGACGCAAATCGGACCAATGATAGTGCATAGGGTAATTGCCCACACCACAACCAAATAGATTTCCGAATTGCCGTTATTGGTTTCCTTGCCAGGTTGTGCGAATAATCCACTTGTTTCTGCCACGGATGCAATGAGATATCCTATCTCGCCTCGTGCAATCATTGCCAGGCCAACGATAGAAGCTGGGTATAGAGAGCGGGTCTGTTTGCTTGGTGCAGGGTTTTCTGATAGCGTCGAAGGGCGGACTTCGGCCCCTGAAGGTTGACGAGACGCCGACGTATTTGTAGAAGCGCGAGATAGACGAGTCTTTTTTCCCTTCTTGTTTCGACCAGCGGCTTGTCTTTGGTTTTCTTGCTTGTGTCGTGACGTGCACCAGGTAGTAGGGATCGCTATCACCCGCTTGAGTTTCATCAGGCCAGATTGTGGGCTGATTGCAATTGGCAAAAGCCAGATACCAGTGACGATTTTTGAGATTGCCATCAGTAAGGTATACACAATACCTCGCCAGACCACCTGGCCCTCAAACATCTGCGTTATCGGAATAGCAAAGCCAATCGAGGCCTGTTTCAGTCAGCGCGTTTTCTTGAAAATTAGGTGGTGGACGGCTAATTCACTCACGAAGAAGAAAGGGCATAGGATAAAATGAAGAGGCGAATTGCAATAAGCATCGAAAGTTTGCTGGCCTGAAGCCATTCGAGATTTACCCTCATTGACACGGCTTAAAGAGGAGCCTGAATTCAATACTCCGCTCTCTTGTGATTTCGGCTGGGTCTGGATGTTGCTGTTCGTGCCTCGTGGACTCTTCTCAATGGCTTGCTGATTGTCGCCACCAGCCGTGATAGATGGATCCTCCCTCTGTTGCGAGCTCTCTTCGAGAGCAAGAGGGAGATCATCAAACCAAGAGATGCAGGCGCCAGCCAGATATGCTGCAAAAAGACCCGAGGTGCCCGCATATGACGCTCCAGTCACGAAGCCAATCAAAGTAGCCATATGTAGAACAAAAGCTAGCTGGGTCTCCTTGCATTTCGGCAATAAGTTCACATTTGCTGCTCGGAGCTTTCGTACGGCTGGTTTAATAGCGAACCCGCAGACGAGAACAATACCAACAGCGAAGCCAATAGCCACACAAATTGGACGAACCACAGTCACCGGACTGAATGATCCAGTAGTAGAACGGCCAATGTTGGATATGATTTGAACCATGACAAGGCCAGCAACATCATCCATAATTGCAGCACCACTGAGCACAGTTCCTAGTCTCGATTTGTCCAAACCAGTTGTGGAAAGGATTGTAAAGGTGGTACCGATGCTCGTAGAGCATAGAGCTGCTCCGGCACCAAAAGCTTGGAGGGGTGTTGCATCCACAAGTCGCATCAGCACAAATGACAGAGCCATTGGAGTCGCGACACCCGTGAATGAAGCAATTGCTGAGAGGAAAAGATTTGCCTTCAGCTGCTTAAACGATGTTGAAAGTCCGCCTGCCTCGAATATTAGCTTAGAATTCAGACAAAAATGGTCACCGTTCAAAAAATACAACAAAAAGCAAAGACAAAAACATACAACAGCCAGGATTCGCATGTGGTCACCCACCATACTACTAACTGGCCGGCGTGTGGCTTAAGTACGGCTGAGCGGACGGGAAGCCCTGTTCTCCACACCCTATGGTCGTATGTGCTAGTAAGAACATACTCAATGCTGAAATGGGAAGTGAATTCACACCCCAGCAAACGGCGGAGCGTACATGCGAAGGTGGTGGTCGACCGACGTGAGCTTGCCATCACAACCAAGGCCTGAGGCAACAACAACACAACGAGTACCACCATCACCATATGATTGAAAACGAGCACCGTAAACAAAAAGTAAGAGGAAGAAACGATATCCTACCTTCATATACAAGAAGTAAAAGGCCAAGATAGCCCAACTGTTGCATCATCTCTTGAGCTTCGAGGGTCAGCCACTGAGCGCCCGGCATACCCCAAGCCACTCCAATGAAAATCTGCCCAATCAAACCGCAATACACCAATTTATCCAGGATAGAGTTGGTGAAGTTGAGAACCAGCAGGAATCCCGATTGGATCAGGATTGTTCTGATTCCTGGCTCCTCATACGCGAGAGCCGATTGGGACGTCATGGCGATTTCCTAGTGGATTTAGTTTGGTTTGACGCCTCTGGACGTCACTTAAGACGAGGTTATCTCAGCATATGAAAAATTGATTGATAGAATGCCGGGTTGGCAGATCAATAATGGCAAGCAGAGCTTGTTGTCGTTTAGAGGAATGCGACAGTCGCAACCCATACGCCAGTGAACAGCCTCATATGAGGTCACATGAGTTTGTTGCCTGAGGCATACATCGGTGCTCTCTGTGGATAACCTTCCCTTTCTGATCTGGTAAGACCAAGAAGAACTAGTGACGGATATCTCGGTGAGCCGGAAAATCGCTTACTCGTCGATAGCGATAGCCATCTACAGAAATATCCTCTTTTGAGGCTCATTGAGCGAGATGGCTGAATCAGCAATTACACTGGAGCTTTTACAGGATAACAGTCAAGTCCGCAAAATCCAATCAATTCAGCGCTGAAATCGATCTCGAAGTCGATTATGATGAGTAAAAAATCCCACCGTCCATCTATATACTAATGCCAAAATCTATACAAAATTCTATATTTTTTCAATGTCATGTCATGTCGCTTCAAGGCTCGTCCGAGGAGTCCTGGTTCTCGTGGTGAACAGCACCATCCTTGACCTCGAATCGGAACTGCTCTTCCTCTGTGGCCAGCTCGGCCTTCAGTTTCTTGTTCGCGTTCCAGATAGGCTTGATCTTGAACAAGCGCTCGACCTTCTCCAGAGGAATACCGCTGGTCTCGGGGATGAGGAAGAAGGCGAAGAAGAAGGCGAGGAAGGACAGGGAGGCGAAGAAGAAGTAGACACCGTATCCCATGGCAGCGAACATCTGTTCGGTGAATCGGGACACGAGGAAGTTGAACAGCCAGTTGCTGGCAGTGGTGCAGGCCTGAGCCAAGGAACGGAAGTTGGGGTCGAAGAATTCCTGTTCGAGATTGTTAGTACTGGTTCAGATGTCTGCGGAAGCAGGGGAACTTACGGAGTTGATGACCCAGGGGGTACCGTTCCAGGTGGGGGTGTACACCGCAGTCCACAGATAGAAGAAGAAAATAGCGGCGATACCACCACCGTTGAGAGTGTCGGTGGGGTGCTTGGCTGGGTCCACGACATAGATGTAGGCACCAATAACCCACATGCAGACAGAACCGGTGACAGCACCGATAAGGAGAAGCTTACGTCTTCCGAGCTGATCAACCAGGAAGAGCAGCCAGACGAAGGTCATGACGGCCTTGATAACTCCGAAAATACCAGTCATAATGCTGACGGTGTCGCTGGCAACGCCAATGCTCTGTGGAAATGAATTAGAAATGACCATGTTTGGCATCGGAGGAAAGGTGACTCACAGTGAAGATAGTAGGCGAGTAGTAGTTGATGGCATTGATACCAGAGCCGTTCTGCCAAAAGAAGAGCATACATCCCAGGAACAGACGCCACATCATGTTCGGGCGCTTGGCAAGGGCCTGGAAAGGATTCCAGAAGCCGAGACCAACAATAGCCTTCTGGGCCTCGTGTGCTTGGTCAATAGCAGCAACCTCCTCCGTAATATACATATCAGAAGTGGTAAGCTGGCGGATCCAGCAGAGGTTCTCCATCGCTTGCTTTCGGTGGCCGTGGAGGAAGAGCCAACGGGGAGATTCCCGAATCCACAAAGAACCCATGAAGAGCATACCAGCGGGAATAAGCTGAATGGCAAATGGAATGATCCACTGCTCACGGCTCGGCTTGATATGTTGCTCAACACCATACTAGATAATGAAGAAACACCAGTTAGCTTCGGGTAAGAATTTCGATCAAGGGTGAAAGGCCGGTAGCATGACTCACGTTAATCCAGAAGCCAACCAAGCCACCAATCTGCCATCCCAACTCGTAGAGACCGACAAGACGACCACGGATAGCCGGGGGAGCCAGCTCAGACAGATAAATGGGAATAATGTTGGACGCAACACCGGTTCCAAGACCGGACAAGACGCGACCAGCATACAGAATACCCAGACCAAGAGCAGAGTTGGCACCGCACTGCAGGCCAGCACCCACAGCGAAGGTGGCAGAAGCAATACACAAACACCACTTGCGTCCAATCCAGTGGCTAAGCCCGTATGTGAGGAGAGATCCGAAGAAGGCTCCGGCGATGAAGAGAGACACGATATTTTCACTAATCAGATCTCTGCCGGCCTTGGACATGTTCTGAAGACCGAACTCATCCTTGAAGGATGTGAGTGTGACAGTGGTACCAATGAAGGCACTTGTATAACCGATCATGTTAGAACCACATGATGCAATAAGAGCAAGCACATAGACTCGCCAATTGTAGACCGAAGGAGGAGTTGGCCGGTCCTCAGCGAGGTGTAGAATGCCACCCATGGCTGCGAAGTCGAACAGCTAGAGGGGCTGTGTGTAAGGCGGTTGTGTAAAGAGAAGAAAATTTCTGACGGATAGAATATTATAGATGGAGAAAAAAGAAGGACTCCGGTCAGGACGGAAGGGGGCCTCTAAGTAATGTTTCTGTCCCCAATGGGTGGGTGTGGGTGTGTGGGAATTTCTTCTCAACGAGCGATCTCCACAACTTACGTCGCGTAGAACCCCAGCACTTCTGGGGCAGTATGGGGTTTGAAAGTGAAGCTACAGAGCGTATGGAGATTCCCTGCAAAATCCCACGGGGTGAGCGATGTTCGCCCGGGGTAGCGTTTTCCCCGGTTGAAACATTCAGCCGGGGCCAGCAAACAGCCTCTGGTATATATCTAACTCGGAATCCTACTTCCTGCCAAGGTACATTATTCATCGATGTGGACCTGGGCGTTTTGCCCAAGCTTTTGTGTAAACTTTGCATCTTGACCAGGCAAGTCTGGCGAGATGCAAGAACACCATCACAAAAGCCTTGCGTTTGGCCAATTCCGTTTACTATGGTATAGAAGTTCTATCCAGGTGGGAATTCCTGAGAATGCCTAGTCGCCACAATGTGCGTAATCATGCACGAGGGACATCCGTTCTCCCCGGATCTCACCGGAACTCGCGTGTGGGGAGAATGCAGGATGAGCGTGATCATTATGGAAATATGCAAATAACGAGAGTCCTATTCGTAGACCCAAGTGGTAGATGCAGAAGAACTCATCGCTGTCCCACGGGGAGAACCCTTAACCATGGTGGAGTAGTCGGAAGATTGCCGAGCAAGGAGAAGGCGAAAAGAAAGAACGAGAAGGCTGCGGGTCACGTGGCCGGGTCGAAGAGGAAAGATCAATGGATGATGGATGATCCCAGCATGCACCCGTCGCCAAGTTATCTATTGGTTGAGGGCCAAGGAAAAGCGGGAGTTCACTTCGGCCATTGAGGTGCTGACTAACAAGAAAATTTGACGATCGTTGGGATTGAGTTCCTGAGATCTCCGTATATGTCATCCTTTGCCTATCATTCTGCTCATTCCCAAGCTAACAGAGTTCAGTGGCTGAATGGCTTCGAGCTCTGGGAAAAACACCGAGCCGCGATGTAGGCCGAACTGTTCTCCCCGAAGTTCTTCCATTTAAACGGCCAAGACGGCCCGGAAGGTGCTCAGCTTGTCGACGGTTTCCACTAGGACGGGAGTCGGGGAGAGACCAAGTGGGGATCCAATTGCCGACGGTCTATAATTGTCACCGGTGAAAAAGTCTGTATAAACAGGGCGTTCCCTGTCCTTCGGACGTAGAATCCGCTTTGGTTCAGGAGTCACATTTGGCTCGCTTGGTCTGCTGCTAAACGATGGTGAAAAATCTGAAGGTGATCGCTTCGGACAAGCTTATTTTCTCGGGCCGCGCTCAGCATGCCTCATCATGCACGGCCCGATTATGCTTAAACGCAATGTACGGCAATCTCACCCGAGATGAGATGCTGTGAGATGCTTTTATACTTCTCCAGTTAGAATTGTTGATTTAATAATTATCAATCGAAATCATATCTCATTGTCTGTCTAACATCCAATTCGCCATGCCTCCTCGGCCGAGTGCCACTCCCGGTGTAGCCAACCGCCTATGTTCATGGATCCATACGGTCTCTATCCCTCGAGAACGTGCTAGGGCGTGTCCAAACGCGGGCAAAGTACCTGATACTGATGTTTTCTGTTTTAAGTTAGTCGGCGCTCACCTTCAATGGATCAAAAAGGCTGCAAATAATTGCAGTCTTTGCGATGGAGCCCGAAGAAAACTGCCCTGTGTGAGGATACCAAAAGTTGCCTGCAGTAATATCTACGATCTGATAGATACAGTATCCATTGATATCCGAGGAGTGGAGAAGACACAGGAACACCGAATAGAAACTCGGCGTACTAGCCGCCACGCTCCTGAATATGTAGTACCGAGATTCAGTCCTTCGAGCTAAATGACTGGCAGATGTTAGCCCCCGTCTGTCTGTCACTCCATCCTGGCTCTTTGCGGCCGCCGGTCAGAAGAAAGCGACCCCTAGGGCTGAGTTTGACGGAAAATCGCTTTTGCTCTCCACCATTGTGGTTTGCAAAGCATGCCCACGTGTTGGACTCTATCTTTATGGCGGACATATGCTGACAGGGCAGTGGCACTTCGGTATTACATTCGGCCACACAGCCGCAGCCACATCCGTCGCAACGAGCAGGCTTCTCGACCTTCCAGAAGACGCTAGTGAAGATGCCCTTGGCATGGCATGTACTCAGGCATATGGGTGAATGTCCGCTCAGTTTGGAAGCAATGTGAAACGCATGCGGCGCGGATTTGCGGCGCAAGATGGCCGCTTCACTATTCTGATGGCAGAGACTGGTTATATCGGGATTAAGAATGTCTTCGAAGAACAATATGGTGTATTCTTGTTGACATTTAGGCAGTTCGCGGGCAAGGAACCGTCGTACCTGGTGGATAGACTTAGGGTGGGCCTTGGAGAGGTCCGGCAGTCTGAGAATACCAGGGCCAAATCGCATGCCTCCATGGCAGGAACACACTGCACAATTGACACGGTCGCACCACAGCAAAATTAATACTCGGACAAACCACGGAGCTTGGAGAATGCGAAGCATCGGGATTGAGATGTCCGAAGTTGCTTTCAAGCATAGCGGATAGAAGGCACATCAGCCACTTCCAGCGTTGGGACACAGATATCCCACGCATATTTTGCTACCAGCCATCGACCGTCAGGTCTCACCATAAGAGTATTACCATGACTTACTCGATAGGAATGATTTATGGGACCTCGTTGACAAACCAGAGTGCTTCCAGACGCCGGAACCAGGCAAGAAATACGAAAGTGTCACGATCGCATTCAAGGATGGGAGTACGGTCGCGAAGACTCTGGCAGCACTGTAGGATGTTTGCCCTGGGTTGTCGAATGAGACTATCCTGGAGAAGTTGAGGCGATTCACGAAAGGCATTATGGACGATCAGAGACGCGACGCGATCGAGAGGCTCGCGTCGGGCATTGAATGGCTTGAGGATATCACCGTGCTGGAAGAGATATTCGCTGGACCCACTAGAAATCCAAGAAATCAGATCGTAGAAATGTATAACTGATTGGATTGGACAAACCTGGTCAAGTACAGAGCGTAATTGCTCGTCGTTCGTTGATCCTGCCAGAGCCAAATGACGCGATAACAGGTGGGCGACAGTTGACAGCCTCAGGCACTGTCACGTGGCTAGGACTGTGGGATGCCTTCCAACCATCAACAAACCCGCTCTTCGTCACAGTCGCTAGTCGCTGAGTAGGGAATCAAATCCATACACGGAAGACGGCGTATATGAGATCCCAAACTTCTGGGGCGTGATCTCTGAAGTGGAGGCAATCACGATCTCAGATAATCTTATCTGCCTACTTCTGAGATGCCCCGCACGCTGTGGTGTTGATCAACATATCTCTCAATCTCCCGTAAGGCCTTGTGACTACCCACCAAGCTATTCCCTTGGAATAGGGACCTTGCTAATGGGTACATAGACTAAAGTACAAGGACAGAGTTATCTCAAGTCCTTCAACGAGATGGACAACTCGGCAGCACCTGCAGCCATCCAAAAAAGCATCTGGGACGGCCGGATTCCCCTAGAAATTGCGCTGGCCCCCTCTGAGAGCAGGATTTATGACAAAACGGATGCTTATCTTGTAATGACCGCACATGTCGTTATGACTGGCGTGTGAAACTGATTAACATTCATCATTCAGGTCTCATACCCACGGGTCTCATACCTTCCCTCGTTGCTACCAAAACTTCGAGCTTTCTTCTCTCCATACCTGATCGAGCCTGGATCTCGACACCACGATGGATGGTTTGCTTTTGAGGGTGTTCCTCTGAAATGGCACTACCCAGTTGGTCTTTTGTTCGACCTCTATGCTGGCGCAGACCCTGCCACCAAGGCCGGGCTCGGAAACGAGGTCTCACAGGAGAACGGATCACCATTCCCATGGAAATTGACCGTCCACTTCAGTAACTGGCCTGCTGAAGATCTCGTTCGACTTGACGAGAATGGCATGGTCATGAACGACGCGTTCATCAATAGCGTCAAAGAAGCAGATTTTCTTCGAAACGGAACCGCCAAAGGTATCATGAGTCTTTCAAAGGAGGATTCCTCGGGTCTTTGGAAGGCAGTGGAAAATGGTAAGCTCCGTATGATTTGACATCGAGTGTATCAAGCTAATTCAAATTTGTTACCAGTGGACCTTCCATCTTTCCATCGCATTTCTCACATTCTTCTACCTCCACCATCGCAGCCCTTCCGTAACGTGCCGATTCGCATCTTCTTGCCACTGCCGCCCGACGAAGAGTCCGGGTCCCTTAAAGTAGTACAGTCGCCTCTTCCTCCTTCAGTACCCAACCCGGGTGTACAGCCCAGCCAATCTATCAGTCCCCGATCAAGCCCAGGTATGCAGCCTCAGACCATAGGGGGTGTTCTGCATACGTTGCTTCCTAATCTTTTCCCGAGTCGGAGGACTCCTGTTCTTGCAAAGCCGATGCTACATGGTGCCGTTCTTCCTATGTCTGCTCCCATCGAAGAGGTGGTGAGGTGCTCGGCATATGGGGATGGGTGGGCTTATGTTGTTGTGCGGATGATGGGGTGACCTGGACTACTTGATACCCTGCTGAATACTCTTTGCAAATCAAGCAAATGTTGAGGTCTCAAGGTAGCCTCGACTCTATGCTTGTAGCAAGCAAGCCAAGTCCAAGTCTTAGTACTCATTGAAAGGAAGAAGTGGAGTCAATCTGATATTCATATTCAATTAAATGTCTGATGAGTTGCCTCAAGGCTTATAATGCTAACTATCCTATTCAAGTTGGGTATCAAGTTGTTCTTGCCGTCCAGCGACCATGGATCTTATCCATCCAGTGAATGTTCATCTGGGGACAATGAAAAAGAGACGACAAAGGAAATTTATACCAAAAGATGCGCCAGGTCCATGAGGAAGTTGAGTAATGAAAAAATGCAAAGTAGAAAAGGGAAGTGAGGGGCGAGTGAAACAAAGAAAAAAAATACACAATGACAAAACGCATAAACAATGACATAATGGCATCAAACTGTAGATATTCCCCGATTAGATGGGGTTGCCGTTGACTGAAATTTCTTCGCCCTGACCCTTTCGACCGGCGATCTTGGCGATCATCACGGTGCGCATCCACTCGATGCGTTCATCGCGGCTCTTCACAGCGAAGTGGTGCGACTTGGCACCATTGTGGCTGAACAAAGCCTTCCTCTCGCCCTCCTTGGCAGAAGGAACAAGGGAGAAGGCAAAAGCGGGCTCATTGCGGGCTCCGCCCATGCCATTGCCATTGCGAAGGACTGACTTCTTGAAAGCTGCTGTCAGCTTAGAGCTGGTAGCAACCGACGAGCATGCGACAGCATAGTCGTCAACATCAATGATCTCGAGGGCACGCGAGTCGCGGTGGGCATCTCGCTCGTCCTTGTGCATGGCCAGATTAGTTCCTCGCAGAGTGAAATGAGCATCTTGCCATTCATGGCGAAGGAGGCGGGTGGTCTTGCGCTTCTTCATATAACCGCTCTGGGTTACCTCTGGGTCCGAGGCCAGAGATGAGTGAGACGATTGGGAAGAGCTGTAACCATGCTGCTGCATGCGGGGACTGCGGATAAGATCCGCTGGAGTCTCGATGGGAGCGAGGGGCCTGCCCTCTTGAACCCGTTGGAGACTCTGAGGAGCACGAGGACGAGCCGACGTGCTGCGTGCAATCGGGTCCCGGTATGGTGGGAACAAAGTTCCGTATTGCATGCTGGGAGGAACCGACTGGGAGGTTTCACGAGCGATTGGGTCATTGGGAATCGCTGTGATAGGAACATCCATCTCCGAGAATGGAGTACCCTGGCGGTAGTGATCAATCGGGTCCATAGTCTGAGTGAAGGGACCATATCGCTGGACCGCAGTGGGGGAGCCATATGCCTCAGAAGGCTGAGTGGGGGTCATGGATCGGTTTGTAGTGACCGCAGTAGTCATGTCTTCTGTGTTTGGGCTTGTGGGAATGGTCAACTTGGGCAGGTTTCGGAGGTTTGCTGCCATGTTGTGCGACTGGAAAGTTGGTGGTGAAAGATCAACCATGTAATCTTGAGGAGGCAGATTGGAGGTCTCTAGCTCTGGTAGCGCACGCCTGGACTGAGTATCCACGTGTTGGTAGCTGAGGAAGTTCCGAATGGTCTCCTGGGGATCCAGCTTCTGAATTTCGCTCAACGCTTCCTCGGAAAGCTTGGGTCCAGGGGCTGGCCCTGGACCAAAAATGTCCGAGGAGGCCACAACCGAAGGCTCGCTGGAGTTTGGGCGCAGCATGTTCTTGGCCGTGAGTGGATTTCCGGGGCTTCCAGCAATAATGGCACCCTCACGAATCACACCGTCGGGGAACTCGGCGGCAAGCTTTTCCAACATGCGCTGTTGTCTCTTGAACTTGGAGCATTTCTCACCCTTGGAGCAGTTGTGTGGCTTGGGAAGAACTTGCTCAATGCCCACAATCGAGACGGACTCTGCTGGTGTAATTTGACTACCGAGAACGTTGCTTGTTTGTCCATATGCACGGTTGGAGAGAATCTCGCCATTTGGGGACACGGAAGCCGTATAAGAGCGTCGCTCAGGGGACTGGCGACCAGGAGACCGGCGTTCAGGGGACAAGCGGTCAGTGGCATATCTCTCAGGGAACTCGGGCATTTGAGGCTCGGGAGTTGGTGGCAAAACTCCCGTCTGCATTGTAGTTTTCAAATGCTCAATTGAGGCCATGATTTGGTGACGCATTCCGAAGGAATGAATACTGAGTTCCTTGAGGTCATCGATCTGGATACTGAGAAGAACAGAGCCGGCAATATCGTTGACAATGAACCTCTCAATGACAGCATCATTGTAACCAGCGATATACAACCAGTGGGCAACCTGGCTTGGCTTCCAGTTGCGGATCTCCTCCTCTGTGAGTTGCGAGACATCGGGGTGGACGGTTGTCAAGGCCTTTGGGGTCTTGGGAGAGAATGGGAAACGGTTGGGAGTATCTACCGACCGCGAGAACTCGCTTTGCAAAGGCGATCGCTCGAAGTAAAGATCGATTTCTGCGGTGGATGGCTCATAAATTGTCGAGCCACTCGAGCTTCGGAACAGGTGAGGACCGTTAGGACCTCGCACTGTTCCTTTCTCGAAACGGATGTTGGCCATATTCTGGTGGGCTTCATCTGGTGTGGGCAATTCAGGAGAGGAAAGGGTAGTGTTACTATCATAGGCGAGCTGCATTTTCTAGTGTTAGAACATACACATACTAGAGTGATCTACCAAAAATTTCCGAACATACCGACTGGAGACTCTGTTGCAGAGATTCTTCATCCGAATCGCTGGCTTCGAAATCGGTGTCGTCGAAGTCCGTTGTATCCGAATACCGGCGGTTTGCGACTTCCTTTGCAGGATAGAAATATTCATGGTTCTTCGTACTGACCGAAGCAGGCGCTGCCTTACGTCGAACTCGGAGGGAATCCTGGTTAAGGTCAGTAGGGTATCTCAATAACAATAGCATGTATAACCAACCATGATGTATACTGTACGTAGGCTGGCCTCTGGAGCACACAAATAATGACCAGCCTGTGCTTGCGGCGAATGTATGGAGAGTGGCAGTTAAGAGGGTCGTGAGATGGTTACTGTCAACAGTGGACCATCCAGAGCAGTATTAGGTCAAACCCGACTGAAGCTGAATGAGGGTTATCTAGATCACGCGAGAAGGCAAGCAGATTGGGAAAACTAAGGAGTAGTTCGTCTCACGCATGGGGATTTGAGGTATATGTACGGTCCCATCGTGCAAAGTGGGCAGGGAGGGGGCAAACATGAAACAGATGTGCTGGGAGGGCGGCAACCGTGAGCAGCAGCGCAGCTAACCAGAACGCTTCTACAGTACAAAATGTCCGTGGCACGCAGGATGGTGAAACACAGCGGCAGTAACTAGGGGACCGGCAGACAAGGACCGAGACGAATGGCCAGGAGACAGCGAGTCCAGCGACAGAATGAGGGCTGGGATGTGACGAGTGGTGATCACCATGCAGTAGCTCAGGTAGAGAGGCCTGTCTCGTGCATAATTGTGGTCCAATCAGAGCTGCTATCACACCGCGGGGATGCGAGGATAAGGTCGCTTCTGGTCGCTGACAGGCCCAGCGACCAACGATTAACTCTCGCCCGATCGCCTGTCGAAGTTTGTCCGCCTGCGATGTGAAGATGTGACTGGCCTGCAGTTAGCGCCCACTTCCATCTGCATCCTTCTGGCCGCCCCACTTTTAGACGGAAGGAGTGTGACGACCATACATCGACCGTTAATTAGCGCCCTCACAAAGCTCGCGGGATGCGACCAAACACTTCCTGACTGGGTTATTTAGCTGCCGCTGAACCCTGGCTCGCTCGAGTCATGGTCTCTTTTTTCTCTCCACGTTGTGGGGGGTTATCTATCGCCTGGACCACAAGTGGCTCACCGTTGGCCTGCCATCACCAAGTCCAATAACCTGGACGGGGCCACTTGCGCCAATCAACGCTTCATGCAATAGTACTCACTGTGCCGCTGCCCGCCGCCTGTTGCATTGGGCAACCAGTATTCTTTGGCCCCTCCGCGTGTGATGTGATAAAAATACGTTGAGGTTTGTTCGCCTGGGCAGGCATTTTGCCCTCTATTTCGGTTACCTTAGAGACATTCCTATGCTGAACAACTCACGGAAGAACGTACAGATAGAATCATATAATCAATTTTACTCTATTGTTTATTTCTCCGACTATCTCGCTCTTTCATCGCTCGAGTAACTGCCGTCCTGAGGCCAGTCGTGAAAGTGGGGATCAGAACCATCCTGGGTCTGGTGTAACCTGCAGCCCAGTCTTTCACTCGTCCCGGTCTTTCGACTCGCTTTATTCTTGAATGCAATTGATTTTAAACACCCGAGCCACCGGGTCACAGGCTCACACCTCTGAAGAGACTTTACACGTCGCATGGCAAGCCACCATCAACTTCTGGCTCGCATGCTATTTTTATTTCTTCCAAGGATCAGAATGTTACATGGGTCATGGAAATTCATGGCAGTTAGAAGGCTGTTCTTTTGCGCATGGATCAGCCGGTTGAAATGCATTTGAGAGGATACCGTCTTGATTCAAAGTGCCCTCGACTTTGATGTGATCCTCAAGTTGATACGGGTGTTCGCTTCCTCAGTGCGGTGCTGATCTTCCAATTTTCGAGAATACATTAAAATAGGGTAGTCAAGATAACCAATTCGTCGTCTTCACAGCTCGATAAAAGCATCGTGCTATCAGCCGCGATATTGCCCTCGAATAACATCGCCCATCGGTGACCTTTATTAAGTATCTTGCATACATTTGACGTTATAGTAGAATTAGATTAAGCGGGTGGATTCTGTGGCCAAGTACTCCACAGTGGCATATCCAGACTCAACAAACATGGTGCCTCATGGAGCATTTTTGAAAGCGTTTCCCCACCATATTGTATGATCTCCGCTACAGCTGCATTATTTGCAAAGGCTCATATATGTTCATGTCTGAAGATACCCGTGAGATGATGTGTAAATTCGACTCATTTGGCAGAGTTATGCCTGCTTTCCTAAATGATCAAAACCGAAGGGCAGGGCCGCTCAAACAACCCGCGCAGTTTCGAAGATTCCATTGAAAGCCTGGTAGCACTGAGTCCATTGCAGAGCATGGATTGCATAACAAACCAGTCTACTAAGCCTGGCCAAGGATGATCCCAGCCTGAAAATATTGTACCTGAATCTGAGCTACCTTGGTCGTCGGATCATTCCAATCGCTCAACGAAGCCTTAATGATTATAGAATTGTAATTCGGTATTGATTTTAGCAGCCTCGTTGGTATACACGCCAGTTTATGCCTAGTATGCAGTATTCCCAAGTTTTTACAATGGGTAGCTCTACTAGGGATCACATCCGCATCTTCTATGGCAGCCGGAAGGAGCCCCGCCCCAGATATATATTTCGGGTGGACTTCGCCGTATAGTAAAACCAGCCAGGTTGGCCATCCATATCCAGCCATTCGTAACAACCACTACCTAAGGGACCATCATCCTCTGGACTTCACTCTAGGATGTGAGACATAGTGATATTAGGGTGGCCGGGAGATTTTGTATCCATGCTACCAGCCAGTGGCAAGATTCCGAACTAAACGTGCAAATTTTAGGCTGGGGACGCCCACTAGCCGGATCTCCATTGATGGTATCTCCCAAGGGGCCGATCTTCGGGTTGTAGGCAGACCGAGGTCTGTGGAATGGAGAGTTCAAAGCCCAGCATAGGGCTCCATTCTAGTGGTCAACGTAGGTAGATAGATGAGTCACATGAGGTTGAAGTATCAGCTAGGTAAAATGATCGTGGCACCACGAGCCCGAGGAAAAATCGGTGCACAACCGGGGTATAACGTTATGCCAACCTGGACAGCATCGAAATCTCCTTCAATTAGCCAAACAATGATAATTAGCCCGTGAATTTGTGTTAATGCGACTTAATCCAAGCTATTTTGGGAACTCAATTGAACTTCATGCAAGTTTAATTATAGTAAAGTCTTTCCGATGGGAGACTAAGATGTCTCTTTCGAGTTTGCTATCCTCCCCTGAGGGGTTGGGTTGGCTGTTGGCTGAGAGAAACTTAATCCCGATTCCAAATATTATGGGCGCTTAATTGTTGCTAATTAAGGGAGAATATGCAAGGTGGAGTTGGGGAAATGCACTAAAGCGATCTTATCACATCACACCCCACCGTGCACGGACAAGATGATGGGCTTGCAGGTTGAAAGGTTCCTCTTCAACAACCGTTGATTGGCTTTCTTCGGCCCACCTAAGTCGTGGGAAATTGGAGAATCTAGCCACTGAGCCAATCAGCATTCTACAATGCGAAGCTTGGCCATGTCCACTTCTTTTCTGTCACATCACAACACATGATCCTTCGGCCAGTGACAACGTCAAGATGGTTGTTCCCCCTCTTTTCAAGGTGACTGATCCTTCGAAAGGACCATTTGATGTTGAATATGGATCAGCGGTCAGAGTCTTCGTTTAGGTATTTGATTTGCGGCATTTTGCTGTCGATAATAGGAATTAAGGGAAATTAGGCTCGCCAAATTTGGGCTAGGTCATTGTGTTGATTTTGGTTCATCACACTCCTCGACAAATGCGGTTTCTTCCTGATCAGACTTGTGACATATTGATAGAAGCCCAGTGTTGCCCTGGAGTTGGAACCTTGCTACCAAATTAGACGCTCCTTCATGATGCGATGTTAGATACCAACTTCTCTTTCGCAAGCGGAGTTGGTGAGAGTACCGTGGCTTGTGAAAGCTGGGAAAACTGTTGGAAGACCTTTTCGTATGCCAAATTATGCCATGTTCAATGATGAGCCAATCAGAAGGGACGTCTGCGGTCACCTCTGTCTTCCAGCACATAAGCCATTCGTGACTAGGGCCGTCTCCATCCAGTCCCTCGAGGAAGTTGAGATCGTTGTGCATGACGCTAATGCCGCCATGCGACCCGAAAGCACTAAAAAAAGATGGCTAATTGACCCAAATTTAGCTGATTGCAACATTAACCAGGCTTCTCTGGCTTCTGATTTGCTGGGCACTTAAGTTGGTTTTCCAGCCCGCGAATATTTTGTGGTGAATCCCAACCCCACTGTTCCTAACCCCCCAATATTCCGATCCTGCAGTAGTTATTTTCTCGTACAGATGAGCAGGCTGATTCCAAAATAGAAACAGCCGATCGTGTGTCCACAAAGCTATCATGAGGTTTAAAGGTTCTCCAATCCCACTGTCACTGGAATCTTCACAATCTTTTGGTTGCACGGTCAACTCCCCACTTACTTTCTTTCTATATCCTTTAGAAGGTAAAGCCTGCTGGTCAAGCTTTGCCATAATACTTGCTGCCTATCTGCGATTGGCTCTTGTTTCAGTCCTTCCAGTCATTCTCAGTGTTACTGTTCGTCCGCCTACTTAAAAATGCCGTCCACAAAGAAGAGTTCTTCGACTCCATTGCTCAGCAAGGCCAGCCGACCAAGGGATATTTCATCTCCACCATCAACCAGCCAGGATGTGTCTCCTCGATCTGGTGACAGAGCTTCTGGTAAAGCGCACAAGCGGTCTCGCTCTGGTAAGCTTGCGCCAACCTTATTTCGTGCCCGTTCCGGCCTGGTACCTGCAAATATCTAACATCGTCTTTAAATAGGCTGTTTTACATGTCGCCTACGTCGCAAGAAGTGCGATGAGAATCACCCAGCATGCGGTGCTTGTGTCAATCTCAGCGTCCGATGCGAATACAAGCGCCCAGTGTGGTGGGGAAATGCGGAGCAGCGCAAGCTTCAAAAAGAGCGAATCAAGAACAAGATTAAGCAGACTAAGATGATTGAGCGAAGTGGAAGCCAAACTGGTGAGAGCCCTTGCAGAACTGTTCACGAACTCACTCAATTAGAGCATCATCTAACGATTGTTTCATGCCAGATGCCTTCCACAAACGCCATGGGTCTCTGTCCTCGCCGACGTCAGCCTCGCCTGAGTACGATTTCAACCGTCCAGTTTATGCGGAACCACATGACATGTTCGCATCTCACCTTCCTACTCCGGGTCTTATGCCTGGTTCCTACGGCCCTTATGTGCCACCATACGAGATTGATGTGAAGACAGAGCGACAAACATACATTAACGATGTCCCGATGCGCCATGATTCCTCGACCTCAACATTCAGCGCCTTCGCACCTCCACAACTCAGTGCTCCAATGCCAACATTTGCTGGGGACGAATGGTTCGGAGGGGAAGAATATTTTACTCACGCTTCTACTTTCCATGGTCTCGATTCGGTTGACCCTACTATCGATCAAACCCTTTGGATGCAAAGCAACATCCCAGTCAGTGAGCACGATCAGCCACTCCTTGATCATTTCATCCACAACGTTCTTCGCCAAATATTCCCCGTCCTGGAGGCTCACCAGCGAGGACACTTGCGCGCTCAAGCGATTCTACGCGCGTTGGAGACTAACAGATGTTACCTCCATTGTTGCTTGAGCGTTGCAGCTATTCATCTTAAGACTACAGAAGGGATTGTGGGAGACCAAATCGATAACGACATCATGCGCCACCGTTATGAGGCCATTTCACAGCTGTGCCAGGCGCTTGGAGAGGATACTGATCTCGAGGAAATTCTTGATGCCACTCTTGCGATGATCTTTTTCCATTGCTCTGTGGGCCCATCTGATGACTACCTTCCTGACATTCCATGGTTTGATCATTTCCAAGCGGCATCAAACCTTGTAACCAGACTTGGCCTTCCGGCAAGGTCAATGGAATGTCAAAATGGATATATGGTTCCTTCATTCAGCATGACCCTGACATCTTGGATCGATATCCTTGGCTCAACAATGATGGGCAAGACCCCTCAATTTGCCCACTCCTACCGGTCAAAGCACCTGAGCGGAACCCCCTCTGGACTGCGCGAGCTCATGGGATGTGATGATAGAATCATGTATCTCATCTCAGAGATTGCCTGCTTGGACTCTCTGAAGAACGAGGGTCGGGTAGACGATCTGGCCGTTTGCTCTCATGTCCAGGCGCTTGGTCGCCAATTGGAGTATATCGAGCCCGCCGACCCAACTTTGGAGAACCCTTATTCTTCGTCCACTGGATCTATTCGCCCTGAAGTCCTTACAAAGACAATGTCAACAATCTTCCGCACTGCCGCTCGAATCTACCTTTGCAGCCTTGTACCAGGCTTTGACCGCAACCAAGCCAGCAACCAAGCTTTGATCGCGGCTGTCACGAATGCTCTTCAGTTTATCCCGGCTGGTCCACATGGATTTGACCGCTCTCTTGTGTGGCCACTTCTGATGACTGGTGTTTACTGCACACCATCTAGCTCATTCCGTACAGTTCTGGCTGACCGTGCTGCTGCTCTCGGGGATCACGCCGATCTCGGTAGCTTTGGTCGTATGTACCGTCTTCTCCAGGAGGTGTGGAGACTGACTGATGACCCAGCCAACACTGAAGGCCTGCCAAGTGACACTTACAGCTCGTCACTCACTAGCCCAATTAGCAAGCTCGACAGATCTGAGTCTCAATCACCCACAGGGACAGGTGCTACCATGGGAGGACGAGAGCTCAAGCGTCAACAAGTCCAGTGGCGAGACATCATGCGGAGGAATAACTGGCACTACCTTCTCATCTAATGCCTGGAGCTTATTCGGATTGATTTTTTTTATCACGAGCTACTCGTGCTGTTTTGCATTACCTTGATGGTAAAAGATACCCCATTTTGCGACCTTTGTTTTCGATATACATTAGCTTTTCTTGCCTTCTACATACTCATGTCCCTCTCTCATACATTTCATTCTGTGCGGCCATCTTATACTGCTGGACAGACTGGAGTTCGGCGTTTCTCTGGGAGGAACCCGGCTTGTTCCAAGCGTGGGCATTGATTGCATCTTATATAACGCTGGAGGATATTTTGGTTGGCCCATGGAGAAGGAGTTTCCGGATTTATCTCTAGAGCATAGTACTGGTTGAGCTTGAAATGACAAAAATTTTTGAAAGCATTGATATAAGAGCATCCTTGAGGATTGAATAAGTAACATACTTGGTACTAATCAATCAACGTGCCAGATTGAGAGCGTTGGATCACTTCCATCAAGACTTACATGCTGCTCCTTGTGAGGCTGAGACTTGACCTCGAAAGAGCATTCTCGTCCACTTTCATGGCTGCAGATCATTGAAGTATGACAAAAGAGACTCTTGAGCCTTTAATCATCTTTTCATGCTCGTCAATAAAAAAGAGTATGGGTAGTGTCCACGAGACTAAAAAGGCTTTAAGCTGATTCAAATATGTCTGGTAGCTGGCTAGAACTCATGCAGTGGATAATCCCATATTTTTTGAGTGGATTAACTCACAAGAGTGCCCATAGAATGATGCCAACATATAATGATAGCGCTAGATACTACAATTCTCACTGAAACAGCAACACTGTAGTGGATTTTGAGAAGAAATCTTGTTCCCCAATGGTTCCCACAGATGTTTCGTTAAACCCCGATCCAAATATTGCTTGTCTAAGCAAGGAGTCGCCTTTCCGAGACAGTTTTGAACGTTATTATCAGCGGCAGCTTTGATGCACACCATACTACCCTATTTCTCCCCTGGCCTATTAATGGCGCGCATTGTCTGAAGAATTAACCGAGGCGCGAAAGCTGTTCAGGGTACAGGACATTGACGGGATCAATTGGCTACAATCGTCGTATCAGGGAAATTTAGTAGCGCTTCATGTTTAGCATTTCGGCTCAGAACACAATCTCATTAACTTCTTAAGGTGCTGAGGTTGATAGCAGACAGCGCCAAGATCCATATGCCACTAAACTTGACTCTGAATACCCCCGTAGGCGAGGCGCTGGCAGAATGGAGAATTGCGCGCGTAAGACCGACGAACCAAACGCTCATCTGGGAAAGTGGGGCTTCAAAACTAGACTGTTGCCATGAGCAACAGCCCATTATCTAGCGGTTCCTGAAGCATGGAGAAAAATCCTATGATTCAGATGGCGCGCGACAAAGGTGCGTGCCTGGTGCTTGGGGAAGGACCACAGGTTTGTAGCGAATCTCAGCAGCATCGGGCATAAGGAATAGGGAGTAAAAGGCTATAAATTCACAGCAATAGCTCCAAGGCCAGATTCAAGAGCCATAAACTCTCTCGTTGCTTTATTATTTCCTCTTGCACTCATCTGTCTTAAGAACTTGTTTCAGTCCTGGCTTCAGTCACAATCTCTACTCATACCCGACAAGTGCAATCATCCATTCTCATTGAATTGATTGCAACTTTTTTGAGGAGCCAGCTTGCTTTCCCTTCGACTGTCGCACCGAACAACCTTGAAGAGTAAGCCCCAAGCTCATTGCCACCCTCTTGCCGCCGAGTTTTTCCCCGAAGGATTTGGGGCTGAATTGCGCCCCTTGTCCCGTGCGCCGGTTGGCCCAAAGTGCTGGTAACTAACGCGAAATATTACACTACAGGTATCTATACAGTTTCGAACTGTAATGCGACGGGCGATTTCCATACACGATCTTGTCTGCCTTGTCTTATAGATAAAACACTCCGTCTCTCCGCAACTTTCTTTCTTACTTCTCGTCGAACTCAAAGGCCACTCACTCACCAACCCCTCTCCTTTTTAACTCGAATACCCTGCTGCTATATTTTCTGCAACCTATACCACCCTTTCGGCTTCTACTTCTTTCTCGACTCTCTTTCTTCTATCCGATCTTTGAATCCTTACGCCAACAAGTTACCTTGTGCGACTGCTGGTCCTCTGTGGGCGCGATCTCTTTCGCGTTGCTATAAACCTCACCCACTTCATTGGCAGCAAGTTGCCTCTACAAACACCATCAATATGCCGAACGTCAAACCCATTCTACCTCCTCTTAAGACCCCCAAGAGCGCAACCTTTCCCTCGGAGTTTCACGATGATTGCCCCTCCAGTATCTCTGATGCTATCAAGCAGGAGGAAGACCTACTCAACTCCAAGTCTACTCCCATCACACCTCAGTCCGCCATTCCAAACTCTTATTTGAAATTTTTGGAGGATTACAACACAAAGTCTCCTCTTAAGACCTCGTCTTCTTCATCTTCTTCCCAGCCTGTTAGTGCAATGAGTGGTTCTTTTTCATTCAGCGATTTTGTGCGATCGCCCACTGTATCATTACCGCCAACCACGCCTCTTTCTGCGGTGCCTTCGCGACGAAACCTCCCAGTGCCTCGTCGTCTCCGAATTCCACCATCATTGAAATATTCCCCAACCACAGATTCGCCAAAGAGCGCAACCTCTTTGCGAACGCCGTTCTCACCTTCTGGGGACTGGAGGATTCGCTATCTTGATCCACCTCGTAGTGCCAATGGAAAGCCTGTTAGTGTGAAACAAGTTGTTACCCGAACAGTGACCTACAAGCGCACCCACCTTGACGCTCCTCCGAAGGGAAAGCGACGCAAGTGTCGTGAAGCCAAAGAAGGGAAGGAACCAAAGGATGTCAAAGGGATCAAAGTGATCAAAGAGCCCAAAGAGCCCAAAGAGGTCAAGGAGGTCAAGGAGGTCTAATTTTCTTCTTTCCTCATGCGTGACGATACCTGTTTTTGCATTTAGCTAGCTGGGGGCTATAAGCGATGGAAATGGAGTTTTAGGCGTCTGGAAGGGCGTTATCATTCAAAACCATACAGCGGGGGTGCAGGTCATCAGTTCTGGTTTTCAGATTACTTTGGGTTTTGTCTTGTTCTATGCTAGTTTTGAAAGCAATAATGTTACCGCATACTTATTGTGCCATGGTGGCTTGAAAACATATTATAATTCGAGAGTTCAGACATTTCTTAGGCACTAAGCTATCGTACGCATGCGAGAAAGCCGAAAAGACGGGTCATTCCACCAATTCGGCCCTATCAAAGATCTCGATTAAAGCAGATGTATGCCATTCATTTACTTTCTGTATTCTAGGCTCAGGATGAATTCTGTCCGCTACGTACGGTTGTCAGGACAAGCAATTGAAATACTCAAAGAGAATGGTACTCTCACGCCCCCAAACCAACGCCTTTCTACCTCCGTTTGCCGCTTAGAGACTCTTTCGTTTTCGGAGCATTGCGCATGTCATCAAAGTACCGTCAAATCGGAACATTCGCACATTTTCGACCCAAGGCTTTGGGTAGAAACCAACATTCAGTCTTGAATCTAATAGGAGAGATTGAATCGGGATGAGCCTCCGCATTGACCACGAGGCGACATGGATATGAGTCCTGGGATGTACGGGTACGCCTAGCCCCCAATTCTAGACCCCAAGAAGCAAAAAAACAACTCTTACTTCTCAGAATCGTGTGTAGCTTCACGTTTGCGCTGTCAATGCCGTCGGGTGGAAGCACAAGGATGGCTCTTGGTCTGCGGCTCTCCACGTGTTTATCGTGGAGGCTCTTGTGGTAATGTGCGATTAACTCGCAGGATTTTCAAGTCTATACACCGACTATTTCCTGGTCTTCGATTGTTTAAATGTTGGTTATTTGTTATTGCCTGAAAATCTCCAGCATGCATCAATTTTACGATACTTGATCAATATGTTAATTAACGAGGAATGATTCGCTGAGTACTTGGGCCTCTCAATCATGGTACATCCACGATCAAATATCGCGCACGAGTCATAGTGTCTCCGCGAAAAGCGGCCCATATACCGCGTTGGTCTTTTTGGTTCTCTTACCCTATTATTGCAAAGTGTCCAGGGAATCGGCTGAGGTTTAGACGAGTGATCATCAAATGTTTTTCTTAAGAAATGACATTCTCTAGACGACAGTAGCTCCTCCTAGTCTATACATGATAGCTCGAGTCATTCATTTGTGTTGCATGCCTACATTATGCTTTACTGGTGGTAACCCTGTACCAGGACATTTGATCATGATAATTTACCATACATTCATGTGTTGAGCACCGAGCGTTGTAATATTACATATTACGTGTGGTATTGCTTCATGTATGTTACCAATACCCACACGCTAGCAGACATCGCTATTGATCTTCGTTACACACATCCATGAGCGGGACTACCCACCAAAATCTTACTTGAATAAGAGAACTAGATTCGATTATCACTCTAACTATTTGCTTTCCATGCGTGCTCGAACGCATCCCCCGCAGGCTCCCTGTAGGTTTGCCAATCACGATACTTAGAACTACCGACAGTACCCATCCTCATGGTAAGCTGATGCAGCTAGGAGCCTTTCCAGTGCACACGCCACAAAGGATGCTGGATTGTAATTGGACGGTAATATACATGGTCGTTTCAGGTTGCGCTGAAGAATAACCCTTCAAATGATGTAGACACTATCATTCGCGCAATAGCTCTCCGTCGCCCTCGCCTGAGTTTCAGGACTCGCCAGGCGCCTGGAACAAGCATTGGCGCTTTGCATCCAATTTGTAACCATATAATGGCTTAAAAAGGGGGTAGACGATCATTTGCAAGAAGCTAATGTCACGCAGTATTGAAACCTGACAAGGAAAATTACATAGAATTCCTCATCAGCGAACCGAGTATCGAAGAAAGAAAATAGGTACTGTACACGCACGAAGAATAAAGTTCCGCTGTGTCTAGAGAACGACAACTCATTTTCTCCTGATCTTGTTCAGTGTTTATATTGGTTCTTCGTTTGGGTGGCCATCACGAGAGACCCAGACAAAAATAACATACCGCCCACATCCCAAGTCCCGCAGCCAATGAGCGTAAATGTGACGAGACACCGAGGAGGTGGTAGATGCACTTAAGCGCCGGCGCTATACCCTTATAAGAGTCGTCCAATGCCGGAACGCTTGGGCTTATTTAGCCCCACCATCATAAAGGTAGGGTGGGGCTCAGATCGAAACAGCTATTGGCTTACTCTTCCTGCACTGATGGGATGCGAGGTGACGTGGTGAGGTTGCTGCTGCCGCCGACCATGCCCAGCCTACCAACACAAGAACCTGAAAGGTCGTTCGGAAATCCCAGGGTACAATCTTATTTGTTGAATTGGGGTCATTCGGTAGATGTATATTGTTCGCGCCGAAGCGATCTTTCGGTGTGACCGACTGTACTATTTTAGATAGAGTCATGATAAACTACACGGCGAGATCGCCCGAGGTATAGAGAACGATTATAGACCGAATCTGGCTCTCTGCTTTATATTCTCTTCAAAACTGATGTATTAAAGGGCTCTAGTCAAAGGCTATGGATGATCTAACTCGTAGATAAAATAAGGATGAGGAATCTGCTGGAGCTGCGGGTGAAAAGACCATCAGTAGTGTTGCTGCAGTAGTGTTAGATCTACAAGATAGTTATTTATGGGAGCAGTGAATAAGAAGGCTGGATAGAGGAAGAAAAAGGAAGAGTCCCCCGACTATTTGACGCTTATGCAGCGTGACAACTTTTGGTTTGGAAACCAGTGATCAACACTTGAGCTATTCATAGAACCCCCACAATTTTCTGTGCGAGCGTAGTTCCTGCATTCTAGCTTTATCTAAAATTATCTTAGGGTGTGATATTTTTGGAACTTGATATCTTCATCTTCAATATCATTATGATATTACCAGCGAGAGTCATTTGAAGGGACAGGTGGTTCTGTTCATTCCTCAATCCCAACTCCAAAGAGACGAACGGCTAACCATGTTGCTTCTTCTTCTTCTTCTTCAACTGAGTGAAATTCGTATTCTAGTTTGGGAATGATACCATACTCTCCTTGCTTGAATTATGTTGAATAAACATCGCAAAGCATCTCTCGAGGATAAAGACAGCTGATCATCTTCTTGAGCCAATCCCAGCTCGAGAAGAACCTGCCTTCTGCACGAGAGATACTCCACCGTTATCCCATCACACGTTCCATGTTCCACAATAGGTGTGCATGCTGTGCCCTGGTGTCTCCTCATGGTATACGCTCAACCTCCACTACGCTATCTCGAGTCTTCTAACCACTCATTTCTTTAGTTCATCTAAACTTGATCCAAGAATAGCTTCTAGAGGCGCTTCTGCTCTATTTTTGACCCATTACCCTGCCGCCATTGCCATTGTCGCTTCGTGATTTGTGAGATCAGGGGTATCAACATCGCTCATCACCCATATGAAGCTGCCATCGTCGACCTCCACAAGAGATTATCCTGTCCGGTTCACTTCCCCGGCGGGCTATTATCCCGGCTCGTCTGGCGGTTGTCAAATAGTGTCTTGCTCTGATGCCAATCACTGCTCGTCATTCAATTATACAACCCACTTTCCGTTTCTTCATCACATTCTTCAGACCAAAATTAGAACATCTCTACTCATCCTGAAGCTGTACCCTGCATAGATCCCCGCCTTTGTAAATCTTCCCCTGCATTACACCTCGCTACTGACCCTCTCGTCGAAGCTCATTGACCCAGCGTGCCTATAGGCTTGATGCCGGCGTCAACCTTCACTCCATTCACTCTCCCTTCTACCATATTTGCCTGCAGCTCATCGGCTCTCAAGCTAGAAGTTGTATGATACTGTATCGTACCTGTGTTCAATTACATACGCGATGCCTCCAAACACTGGTAATATACAACCTCCTTCGAGAGACATCGGCGATTAATTCTGGATTGAGTATAGATCTGGTGAGTGTGGAGATACGAATATTCATCAACTATTGTTCTGAACTTAGCTGCTGCTAATAATATGTTTGTGATCAGCTTTCTATCTTTAGAGACTGCTACCACCGCTTCGCGAGTCTCAGGAACAAGTCGCACGAGCATGAGACTCTTTGTTCCATGTCGACAAGTGATGTCAAACTAGACAAGCTTTTTAATCACATGGTGGGAATTTACACTCTTAGGAATATCTATCAGGTGCATGCAAATGCTAACATGCCTACAGATAGTCACCGCTTCGTCTGATGTTCCGGACATCCAACTTCATTCCACAGGCTATCGAGACCTGGAGGAAATTGCGAGGCAGACTGAGAGCCGATAGAGAACCAGACCAAGCTAGCTCATGAACTCCTGATTTACTGGTCTAGGGCATATACACTATGCCGCTGGAGGTCACTGGTCTATACAAAGCCAAACAGAGTTGCGCGTAGAGAGCATCAATGATTGATGTGATGGGAACAAGAGAGATCAAACAGGCTTATATTTAGAAGATAACCATTCTGCTTAGACTCGATATGCAAAGCCTTGGAGGTTTTGGGCTTTGCATGGTAAAAGAGCTGACAATTCTCTAAGGGATGGTGATGTTTGACGTTCATTGTTTATGCATCCCTAAAGGGCAAGCATGCCAAGACGGGGCGCAGATTCTATATTTAGCTCTCCCACTTTGATCCCAGCAGAAGATGAAACCGCGACAAGCACACCCAGTAGTTAGTAGGGTCTTTGTTGTCCCTCCTCCGCCTCTTGCTGAACGATCCCGTGATCGGCGACTCCATTGCGAAGTCCCCCGCCGCCATCTTCCCGCCACCCCATTCGCATGCATCCTGTTCACACCCGCCTGTCGAGTCTGTGTCCCGATCACTCTGCCTTCCTTGTGCCCCGTGATTCTGCCGGAGCCCGCCCCATTTTCAAGCCTAGATCCCGAGTATCTCTAGCTTGAGTCGCTCTTATCGGTACAGCCATGGCCCAGGCACCTCCCGTCTTTACCCCGGACAGCGAGTTTGCTGAGCTGGAAACCCCGCGCGGCCCAAAGGCCGGTAGCCTTTCTATCACGGCGCTGGCTAGATTTGAGTTCGAGGCTGGAAAGGGTAATGATGGAACCAAGATTCTGATGATCGAATGGGAGGACGACGATATCACCCGGTCTTCCTCGGAGGGGTCTTGGCAGGTTTCGTGGGAAGGCAAGACCACTGTCCTGCCGGCGCATGAACGTCCAAATGACAACACTCGCCGATTCTACTTCCTGCTCCCACCGAATGTCACCATTCCACCAGTCGTCACACTATCATACGAGCCGCAGACCACGGACAATAATGCAACTCGATCGTCCACGGCCCGCGAAGTCCTCCAGCTCAACCCGTTGCCTGCCATCTTTCCCCCGGAACTGGGAGCGACTGGCCGCGCAGCCGGCAAGAAAGGCGTGCTTCACACAATCTGGGCTAAGAAGCGACTACGCGTCTTGGAGAATGAGATTCGCGATGAATGCTTGACCAATGCCGAAGGAGTTGCGCTGCATATGGCAGTACAGGAGAAGGAATGGATTGAAGGGAACTTCGGCTTGAGTCCGCGCGGCGTTGAAAGTGTTGCGAGTGACTCTTCAACTTCTTCCTCCGTCTACCCAACGGGACCGGCCACGCCCGTGTCGCCCATCAGCGGAAGGAAGCTGACTGATAAGCTGAGAGGATTGAAACTCCAAACTAGCGAGAAGGAGCTAGCCGCGAATGACAGTATGATCTCTCCCGAAACCGATTGTTCAATGCATGGAAACTGATCATTTATAACACAGGTGCAAACCCTGCGCATCTACTCTCCCCTCAGTCGCCTGATGTTGCTGTCTCCTCGTTTAGCTCTTTCCGCAACATCGCTAACCGAGCTCCTCACTCAATGCTAACGCCGGACACGAATCCTACTCCAACTCCAAGACTTCAAGCGCCCTCTGGGCCCGAGTCTTTCAGGCCTGTTGCGCTTCATCCACCCGAGTCCGTTCAAGAGGCCCAGCAAACCAGTGAGACTGGAGGGTTCGCCGCAATTGGCTCTATGACAACAATTGCACGCACTGCGAGCGCCGACTCTGGCGATGATCTATTCGCTAAAGCCTTGAGTCCTCGCTCTCCAGATCTGCCTCGGAGCCCATTCTCATTTGCTTGACATTGCTGAATCGTTGTGTCTTGGCTCCTCCATTGTTATGCCCCCAACCCATCCATATACATTCATCACGATTTGCCTTACCTTATGATTCCCCCTCTGCGGTGTGACGACATATACTATCATTCTACTCATCGTCTCTACGATGTTCGAGATACATTTACGGTTCCCGGTCCATGCCCATGTCCATGTCCATGACTCTGTTTGACTCCCAAATTTCTCTAGCATCTTCATTTTCATATCATTCGTACAGAAATGCTATCATACTGTGCTGTGCCATCATGGACCTGTCTGTGTACATGAACAATCCCGAATCCGACGTCTTGAAGACGTTATCTTTTTCTCTTTCTCTCTTCTCATGAGCAAAACAAGCGAACATTCCTTTTTCGCTATGGACCGTATTGTATAAATTCCTTTGCTGTGGGCGGGAAAGAAATAAAGGTTCCATATACGCACCACATCAGACTAAACAAGCCAAGCCGCTCTTCCCTCCCAGGTAAACCCAGAATTGTTCCGAAGAAAAAAACAAAAGCAAGAGAAACAAGAAGCCGCCCATACGCGCCTAGTTCTTCTTGCGCTGACTAGCCTGACGACCAGGCTTACCAGACGAAGCCCCCGAAGCAGTCGCAGACGCGGCAACAGCCTCACCCTCATCCTTCTTCTTCCCCTCCGCAAGCGACTCATACTCCTGCGCATCCTTCCGCTCAGCATACCACTGACCAGCCTGCAACACCAAAACACCCACCAAAACCAGCGCCAGAATAGTATTACTAGCAGCCAGAACCTTCAGCGAATCCTCGCGGCCGAGAATCTGCTCCTTATCCTCGGGTGTTGTAGCGAGTTCGGCGCCGTACTGGCCCGCAGACGCGAGACGCAGACCCTTGACGATGTTGGCGATGTACACGGTGATACCGCACATGTAGAGGACGAGCGAGGCGCCGTCGAAGAGCATGTTTGATTCGGAGGGGCGGTAGAGCTTGGTGATTAGGCCGGCGAGACCGAGGAAGATTACGATGTGGAGGATGCGGGGGATGAGGGGGGGTGAGGCGTGGAGGAAGCGGAGGTGGGCTTCGAAGTAGTCGAAGTGGGCTTCTGGGGTGGGCGTGGTTGACCATAGGATTGGGTAGTCATAGGGGAACATGGAGAAGATAATGCCCAGGAAGAAACATGTCGCTGTAAGCGTGAAATTGTTAGTAATGCGGTTTTTTCTTGTGGATGGGTGTTGCGTTGATCTCGTGGGCGTTGGAGTTGAGGACGTGGTGGCCTCTGGTCAGCCGCGATTGAGGGTTAAGATTGGAGACTTACGGCATAGGATTAGGAAGGTCGCGAACGACCCGCTCTTGAATGCCATGTTGGAGGATGAGAGGAGGAGGGTTTGATCGGAGCGAAGAAGATGAGGGGGAATAGAAGGAAAAAGGAAACAGGGGGAAGGTGAGGAGAAGACGTGAAGGTTATCGCTAAGCGGGTGCCAAGGCGCCCCAGATGCTACGCGGGCGGTCCGAGATAAGGCTAGACACGGAGAAGGCAGAAGGGGCGATAAACTACGGAGTCCAGAGTTTCCAGAATTTGGTTAGACTTTTAGTTATGTCAAGGCTTCCCCGCTGATAGGTAGAACCTGGGAGAGTTTGGAAAGTTTTAAGAACGGCACGCACATTGAGAGTAAAGTTTATGATACATTTGAGGCTCTCAACGCCCTCGCCATATGACTGTGTTAATAAAATATGCGAATAGTGGTATCTTCCAGAAATATCCCGGCCCCTAAAATGCCAAAAAAATGCAGAATGTACAAGAATAAAGTAGAACAAAATGGCCGAATAAAATGATCAATCATCGCTGATACCGAGGTAAAGACTCGTCCGCATGCGCTGTACCGCCCACCAATTGATCGTCTTCATCAAAGTTGGGCGCAGTAGGAACACTGCGATCCTCACTGGGTTCGCCATTTGTGTCTGCAGGAGGAGCACTAGGAGCACTGGTTTGTTGCATAAGCCGTTGTCGCTCGAGTTCCTGCTTGTCGTCTGCGGGCGCCGAGGGTTCGCTGGGACCTGCTGCAGCGACGTGACCATTGGCTACGACAACGGTTTGTAGCGATTCAGCAGACCGTACAGAATGTGGCACACCGTTGGTAGCCGGGGACGGCAGATGTTCATAATCTTGTAGGTGGTGGTCGTCTGGCAGGACTGGCGCGGTCGGCACGGCCATTTCTGCATTGGACGGCCCTGCCTCTTCTTCCTCGGGCGGTTGACTAGGAAGAAGGGTTTCTTCATGGCGTCGTAACCTGGCTTTTTCATCAACGGGTTCTTCCTCCTCTGTATGCGCCATCATAGGACCGATAGGCTGAAACGGTTGGGCGTAATCATCGGGATACTCTGACCAGTGGCCCTGGGGGAAGCCGTAATCATAGTCTTCTTGCCCGTATTCGGTATGGAAGGTCGGCATTGGGCTTGCCTCAGGCCAATCTTCTCCGTCGGTGTGATTGACCACTGCAGAATGAGCTTGGGGTGTGGTATGAGACGCAGTCGATTCGGCAGCCATGGATGTCGTGCGTTCAAGAGTAGCTTGGCCACGCTGAGTGTCGCGCGTCCCAACGACTACTTCGAATGCCATCGAAACGACACCCTTCTCTCGGCGGATCTGGTCCGTATCCAAGATGTTGCCACCCCAGTTGGCTGTGATACCACTTCCGTTCACATCTGCAGGGTTGAGAATTTGGCCACTGGGTGAGAACGTACTTCCGCCAGACACCATGTTGAAACGGGGAATGAAACGATCGGGGGAAGTGATTTTGCCTCGCAGGTCTACCACAACCTCGACATAATATCGAAAGTTGATCATGGCGCCCGGCACACGAGTGATGGTGGGGAACGCGTCTTCCGGGACTCGAATCGATGTTTTGACAATCGCGGTCATGTTGCTCGGATCCACGATCAGCGGTGCGAATGTCTGTGACAGATCCTTGCGGAAAGTGCTGCTGGTACGACTTGTGCCAAGAGTTAATCCTCCCAGTCCAGTCCGCGAGCGTGGATAACAGTCCTCGTAGACCGGTTTCTTCCCGGCGGCCGTAGTACCGATGGGAATTGCTGGGTGCATATCAATGCGGCCCTGCCGATAAAAAGTAACGATAATTCCGTGCGCGCTGCGCACCTGCTTCCAATGGTTGATCGTAACCTTGATGGGTAAGGTATCCCCGGGCAGCACGCCTGCGCGCAAAACCTCGGCCTTCGCGGTAATCGTCTTATCTGAGATCGAAGGGGTCGCGCTGCGACCTTCGCTGTTCCGGCCTCCGGTGCTTGTGGAGGAGCTCGGGTCGCTCACAATCTGAAAGCTCTGGCTACTTTCACTCGGACGGCTGGAGGAGCTGACGTTGCTGGGAGACGGACTGAGGGGCGGACGGTTGTCCACTGAGGCAGCTGCACCGCTGATGGGGGTATCTATAGAGGCGGAATCTGGAGCCGCGGTCGCGTCGGAGTTTATTGATCTGGCTTTGGCCTTGGATTTGGAGCGCTTTGAAATCGGTTCAAGCGTGACAATGCGGGCTTTGGGTGCGGGAAATGGAGCTATATCAATGTTTTCGAGGAAATTGACCCGCCGTCGGCAGGACATTGTAGGGTTCATGGTTGTGGGTCGGGTAAGGGTTGATGTTAAAGCATATTCAATGGTGCCTCGTTCGAACTGGGGAAAGCGAATTTGCATGTCAGCAGTGGCCAGGCTTGATCAACCGGGGGAGGAATAAGAACACACATTGAGACTACTGGGCAGGGCGTATGGAGGTAGCCCCATTTCAAAGCGGAATTTATAGATGCCCTCTTTGAGACGCCCATCGCCACAGAGAACGACTTCATCCTCGAACAAGGTCGCCAGGCCGTTGCCCATGTATTCGGCGCCTCGTCGGCCGCGCCCCGGTCCAAGGAATCCTAGATCAGGAGTCGCTTCCCCGGCGGGGACGGCGTTTTTAAACACCTTCACATATCCATGCAGACAGACCACTATATGTGTAATGCGAACCGGCCGCACAACTGTGACAATAACTGTGCCTTTGATCACGTCTCCAGGAAAGTACGAGCGCCATGGGTCATCGGGATCGATATAAAAGTCGGTGATGCTGCGATTGCGGTTGCCAAGTGGGGACCGGAACTTGGAGAGAAAAGAGGTGCGATTCCGACTGACCGGCGACGTAGAGGCCTGGATGGGAGGGAGGGAGGACATGACACGCTGCCGCTATCCTACTTCATCCATACAAGATGGCGGAGGCTGGAGGGAGGGAGGGGAAATCGGAGGAGTAGAACTGGATGGGTGGCAGTTCAACCGACACAAGGACAGACACCACTGGCGCAGTATGCGGTATGGCGATATAATATTCAGACAGGGTGAGCTGGAAATGCCCCCAGGAGTAAGTCCAATCGAGCAGCGGGTTCCTTTTCCAGTCGTCCTAATCGTCGAGGGGGAATCTGGCTTTCAAGCCAGCGTCTACTGTACAAGGCACGAGTCCGATTCCAAACGCCACGGTATGTGCCCGTGGCTACTGCACTCGAGAGATTCCCCGGGTCCAAAGAACGGAATGGGAATTATGACCAAGAGCCCGTGGGCCACATTGTTTCGCGGCGACGGAGCGCAGAGCCCGGGATCGAAAATCACCCCCGCTTAGGCACGCGGGTGGGAGGTCGACAGCGCTCAAAGTCGCGGAGCGGATTGGAACTGGGATCGTGTTTGGACGAGCGGGGAGGACGAGCTAGAATGCAGGTCGTGGCGTGAAGGGCGACACGGTCGAGTATCTCACGAGGGCAGGTCGAGGTCGAGGTCGAGGCGCGACAGGAGATGGAATGTGGGTCTTGAGAGTGTGGCGCGGGCTAGAGAGGAGACGAGGAACGACGAGGGTCGGTGACCGTGGTAGTGGGGTTAAGAGGGAGTCTGATGGTGGTAAGAAGAAGGCAGGAGAGAGGGGGACAGTAGTTATGACCACGAAGAGAAGGGGGGAAGTGAATGGAGAAGAAGTGAGAAGAGTCAGGACCAGATCAGGCAGAGAGAAAGTCGGTCGAGGCCCAGCGGAACGGGAGTACGGGAGTGTAGAGTCAGTCAGACTAGTTGAACTAGTCAAGTAGAAACGAGCACGGAGAAGAGAGTTTAAGATAAGCCAGACTACTAACCAGCCTACAGGACTGCAGGACCAGAGAGTCCAGAGTTCCCCCGGGCGGAGAACGGAAAGCAGCCCGGATGGGTTTCCATTCGCGTATCGCACGGTCAAGCTTCTCTTGGTGGCTCAGGAGTCTGACTAGTTTTTCCCTTTCTGGGCAACTCGGAGGGATTATCATGATTATCATCATCATTGTTGATGGCCTCTATGAGTCTAATATCTTTCAACGATGACCCTCCGTGCATAGTCTTGGACAAGCCTCCATTCCTTGGTTTCACCCTGGAACACTACCCATGCTAAGCTTTTCGCTCAATTCCCGAAGGACCCGGGCGATAACAGCTCTGAAAGCCCCTCGTACTCGCTCCTCATTTCTCGCTTCTCGCTTCTTCTTACTTTTTCCCTCATCCCAGTCCTGACCGAGTTGTTGGTTGCTGGTAGCGGGTGGCTTTCAGCCTCACAACTCTTGTAGGCCTTCACCGTCCACGTACTCATCCCCATAACATTCACGCAGAATCGCTTCGACAAGCTCCCCGTTCCCACCAGCCAATCTGCGCAGATACTCCTCCAGCACGTAAGTATTATCGGTCCACTGAAGCGCCTGTTCCCGAAACCCCGCTAGCTCCGCCTGTAGCTGCTGCACGCCCTTGTTGCTCACCGAGTCAGTCGCAGACATCTTTGCAGCTTGGAGCCGGCACATTTCCTCTCGAAGGTTGGCTTTCTTGCCTTGCAGGGTCTCGCGCTCTGCATCGCAGCTGGTATCGTCGCATTCCTGTTGACGCTTCGTGGATTCGGCGGCCAGGCCCGCCTCAGCGTCGGTGCAGGATTTCCGAGCTTTCTCCACATCCGCCTTCACCCAGGCCAACTGGCGCTCGCGCTCGTGCTTTTCATCACTTCCGAAACTCCAGTACCAATTCCCGCTGCCGATCTTTTCGACTCGTAGATTGTTTTCATCGGTGAGCGCCTGGATGTATTCTTTGACTTGGATGCTATTGATCGAGGCCACCGTGGGTAGCGTCTTTTCCAGATCTTTCAACGTATGACAGGTGCCAGTGGCGCGGAGGTGAGTCAGGATCAGATCCTGCTTGTCACTTTTCGAAAGCTTGGGTGCCTGGATCGGGCCCGGGACGCGTCAGTAGTCTGATCTTTGGATGGTGGAGTGGGCGTCTTTAGTCCCAATAATTCCCAATCACTCATCAAACAGCCTAGGTGAGGGACGTCTCCGTAGTGGGGGGCCACGTACCATGATGTCCTCTGCCGGAGACTCGTGGTCCACACAAGTGGTTCTTGATGAGATCCTCCTTTCCGTGGTTCAAGTCTCAGAAGCTTAATCAATCACGAACTTATCCCGATGAGGTAGATCATGGAAGGCCAAGCATTCAACGGTGGAGGCTTGGAAGAAAGCCAAGTTGGATGTCCACCAACCTCGTCACCTGCCGTTCAGTCACGGCCTTACCAACTTTCCCCCGCGACTTTGTGTATCGTACAAGGGTGGGCTTATTTTGCTCTACACCGCAACTATCAAGTCGGAAGATATTTCAACTCAATTTATGCATCTAAGGGCTGAATCAATTGATTTAGTGTCTACCGATAGCTAGACTGGTGTGAAGATGTAAAGTACATTTCACTGATTGCTGACAACAGGGTATGTATAGCAGACACGTGAGCACATATGACCGCCCATGAGAAAGTCTCATATTTAATCAAAGATGCCCATCCTGGGGAAGGGCCAGTAACTAAAAGCGCAAGAAGACTTTTATGTTTCCAGTCGAACCTTTCGCGAAATGCTCTCCGCCAACACTCGATGGTATCGATGAAGTCCTGTGAAGCTATCGACGCCACATCACCTCATAGGGCGCTAACCAGTCGGAATGGCGATAAATCCAAAAAGACGATCAAGCCGCATTGATTGCCGCAATCAATATCGCAAATGGATAGGATACCGGTCAACTCCCGCCTCTCGGAAGTCGTCGCTTCAGGTTGGACAACCTTAAGCTTCTTTCCGCTGACGTGAGACTGCGAGGACCCCTCTCGGGCCCGTTGGACCGCACGTCTCTACCCCGGCATGATTCGTGCTGGCAGTGATTGACATGGTATCTGAATGGCGCAATTTCTGCAAGCCCAAGGTGGCTGTGTCGGAACAGCACAGCTTTCATGCATATGCCAGATCACCTGGCCGCAATCACAATGTTGTATGACACACCATCTGATGACGAACGAGTACCCAATAATTTCCGATCAATGGATAATAGCAAGCGCCAGAACACCAGGCGCTAGACTCATTTGAATCATCGTTCATCAAGTTCCGTGTCCGCATCCGTAGTGGAAGCTCCGCGCTTCAATTTCCGCCGCTTGAACTTTTGCCGCACTCCCTTGAGATTGTCCTGCGAGCTAACCATGCTATTCGCGCCGGTATTTGCTCTCTTCCTTCTCCGAACACGTTCTCGGGACTGGGAGGCGTTGGTGGTGTCGGTTTCGGCTCCCGTCTCGTCGGCGCCGGCGGCCAGCTCTTCGCCTTCCACCAGCACCAGATCTCCCGTCTCCCCGAGAGCCTCTTTGGCCATTTCCTCCACGAGAATTCCCATTGCGATCAAGGCTGTCTCGTCCATACTATGGTGATCGTGAAGGCCGTGATCTTCCGTTGCGAACTCGTAAAAGTCAGCGGCGTAGGCGTGGATAGCTTCGAGTATCTCGGAGCTCGGGAGGGTAATGTCAGGTCGTATATTTTCGTGTGCAAAGTAGTTCTCTTCTTCCTTGGGATCCGTCACGGTGTTCTGTGTTCGAAACAGAACCTCCTCTGGTCGGAGAGTCCGGGCTCCAGACGAGGCAGTGTCGCGGTAGCGAGAGGCAATGGCCTCTGCTGGGTGGTGCCCTTTGCGGTTGACCCGGCCTGAATCTCGTCAGTAGGGTTCTTTGATAGTGAGGTTTCTGTCTCTCGGCACTTACCAGCAACAGCATCATAAACATTGGTGGTGCGTCTGGTCTGTTTGTAAGAATACTCGCTTTCCGGTGCGTCGAGCTCAGCCTCAGGGGGCGCGAGAAATGCATTTTGGCTCAAATTGAGCGATTTGCCATAGGACATCCTCCTTTGCTGCCAGCAGCATGTAGTCAGACCCCGGCGTATCCTCGTGAAGGTGTAACGGTGATTGAAGACGACGCCCAGAATTATTTGCGCCGGTACAACAATAATCCGATGAGGTCACCCGCCCGCAGCTACCCCGTCGCTTGAAGTTTATCTGCGTGTCTTGACTTACCTTCTCTCTGCCAGCACTGAGGTATGAATGAATTCCTATCTTCTTAACAGAGCCCTCGGGACTGTCTCTCCAAATGCCTTCCATGTCGCGCAAACCACACGGCTAGTGCACAACCTCGAGCCTGCGCCGGGGATTCGGTTCTCCAGCCGCAGAGCCGCACCCACAGAGCAAAATCAAGTCGACGCGACACAGTTAGATCAAGATGATCCTACGATAGCGGAGAATGTGGCTGCTCATAAATCTGGCGTGAATTGCCTGGCAATCGATCAATTTGACGGCCGGTAGTATGTACAGCATCAGTAATTGTTCTCCGCGAATGGGCTTCTAACTAGTATAGCATGATATCCGGAGGCGCAGATCCATCTATTCACCTCTGGGACCTTGAAAGTCGAGGCTCAGATCTCAATCATATCCACAGCGCTTGCGCGACAGTTAGAAAATCTTCACATAAACATGCACATACACACGCCATAACCTCTCTCTCTATCTACCCATTCGATCCAGTCCCGTCCACCATCTTCTCCACGTCCCATGATGGCACATTGAAGCTTTCTGCGCTGCAGTCGCCCGAAATCACACCGGTCCACACGTTCAATCTCGATTGTACACCATACGCACACTCTTTCTCCTCCCAGCCGGGGTCTACCCTGCTGGTTGCGGTCGCTACATCGGAACAATCAGTACGACTAGTGGATCTGCGATCTGGATTAGCTACACAAGGCTTACCAGGCCATAATGGTGCAGTCTTGTCAGTGGCATGGGCTCCTCATCGGCCGCACTTGCTTGCATCAGGCTCTGTCGACAACCGAGTCATCATCTTCGATGTCCGGCGTGGCGGCCACAACTCCGCAATTGCAACCTTGGACATGGATGATCCGGTAGGCCTGGTAGCTCCAGGGTCTGGGTCTGCGCCGGCATCTTTTGAGAGCCGGCCTGCATTTTCCCGACACGCACGCGCTCATAACGGCCCTGTTACTGGCGTGCGTTGGACCTCGAATGGTAGCCATATAGTCACGACGGGGCAAGACTCGCGTATCCGGGTGTGGGATGCAGCGACTGGCGCAAATACCCTGGTACATTTCGGCCCTCGAGTTCGCAATAGCTCGACGTCTCACTTGGCAGAGCGGGCGCCGCTTTTGATACCCAAGGGTATTATGGGCCCTGGGCAGGAGACACTTCTATGGGCTAACTTTAACGAGCAAGATGACCGGGGCGAAATCTTCATGTTTGAGCTTCGTGAGGGGACGTTTATCAAGCGTCTTCGGGTTCCAGGGTTAATAGGTGGATCACAGATGGCTCGCGGCCGGGCAAGTGCCCTCAGTGCTGCGCGTATCAACGATCTAGTCTGGCGTGGGAATGGTGCATCCGGGGAAGGTCTTGAACTATTCTCTGCCCACGGCGATGGGACTATTCGCACCTGGGTTTCTCGGGACCCCGATGGCGGACCTGACGAGGAAGAGGAGGCAGAACTAGCCGACCGCAAGAGAAAGCGAGAGGTACTAGACGATCTCTACAAGGGCTTTGTTGGACCCGATGCTGGACTCCATACTTGATCTTCACATCACTTACAATACATAGTCAAGAGAACGAAATATCATGCATCAATCTAAACCCAATTCACCCTTTTAAATACATCCCACAGATTCTCACTCATTCCTCAATCTGTGCTCCCCAACATTCTCCCCCGCATCCTCATCCTCCTTAACATACCGATCAAACTGACTCCGATTATGATTATGATGCTTCATCCCCCGCGCATCTCCCGTTCCACCGGGGATATTCGTCCCCATAAACGCACGCTTAGACTCAATACTTGCCGGGAGAGTATCCCCCGTTCCGGTCAGGACTTCGCCCGTCTGTCCCACGTCACGAGTTGAACGGGGCAGATCGGTGGCGTTGTCTGCTGCGGAGGCGGTTGAGGGCTGGGCCAGGCCGGCGTTTGTGTAGGCTGGGTGCTCGGCACGTTGGTCTGGACGTGGGACGGAGGGGATTGTGTTCATTTTGCCGGCGTCGTCGGGGATGGAAGTACCGCTGACGGCGAAGTCGGAGAGGCTGCCTCCTTGGTGGGGGTCTTGAGATTGGCGGACCATTTTGGTTGTTTGATGGAATGGTTTGGTGGATTGGGTAGGGTGGAGGGTTTAGATGCGGGTTGATGGATATGGTGAACTTTACGTTGGGATGTAATGCAAAGTTGAATTGATGGGTAGTTGTTGGTGGCTGTTAGTCGGCAGGTTTGATAGAACTACTTATATCCCTGGAGAATGGATCTTAATTCATTATGCGATTCCATGATTTTGACTGTTGATGTCACTACGCTACAAGGTACTTGGGATGATGAAGGGATGATATCACACGAGAAGTTGCCATGACTGGATGAGACTTTTCCGCGAACGAGACGCGGGTATGCTTCGATGGGAAATAAGCAAGACAGACGAATTTATTGAAAGTTATTGTGATAAGTTGATAAATATGGGGCATCTGTCAACAGTGATTGGTAATAAGGAAATGATCGATGCCGAGCCCTAATCGAACGGGCGATACTAACAGTAGAACCATCCCCAAGCGGAGACAAGGCGTGTTGTAGATAACAATGACATGCATCTTCCTGCAGCACGATCGAGCGTTCTCTTCCAGAAGGCTTACATACATCTTACGGTTCGAGATATCCGTGCCTAGAGGCGAGAGAAAAGCAAGATCATATTTCAAGTAAATACTCGTGACACCTCATTCAAGACAGGCATTCAACATTAGACGACGCAATCAGCGCAGAGGTCACACAAAGCTATACGAAAAGACACATGACAGAGAAAAAGAATAAGAAAGCAGAGAAAATACAAAAGCAACGCAGTGCATCTCTCGATCCCTGACAGGCAAATCCGCAACTAGAGACATTATTACAGCACGAAAGCAAGGACACCCACGACGGCGGCAGCGACGGAGACAATTCCACCCGACAAACGGGCAGCGCTGCCTTGGAACATCACGGCAGACGGCTTGGATGAGGCAGACGGACGGTGCAGGGCGTCAGCACCGCTGGGCAGACCGTGGCTGCTGGCGGGGGTGGCCATGGACATCATCACACTGCTGGACGAGGGAGTGGCCATGGCGACTTGCACGGGGATCATGGAGTAGGCAGCGCTGGAGCTGGCGGGGCGCTGGGGCGCGTAGCTGTAGCTCGGGGAAGAGGCGAGGGATGAAACAGGCGCGGAGTAGTCGACCTTGGGGTCGGCGTAGGACTCATGGGGGGTGGAGGACATGGGCACAGCGACGGGGGTCTGGACGACCTGGGACTCGGCCGGGGTCGCGTAGACGGTCAAGGTAGGGTGGACCTCCTTGTACTGAGTCTTGGTCACGGTGTGGACAACCTCGTGTGTCTGGGCGGAACACTGAGGGACCTCCTGTTCGTCCTCGCGGGGGGTGGAGGGAGGGGCAGGCTGCTCCTCGGCGGCCTCAGGGATGGGAGCCGATGGAGGAGCGGGAGCTGATGGGGGAGCAGGTGCCTCCTCGGGGGTCTCGGCCTCGGGAACTGCAACGGGGCCGGGGTGCTCAATGGGAGCCTCCTCGTGGTAGGGCATCCACGGCATGTGAGGGATGGCAGGAGGGTGGACGTGAGTGCTGTCAATCTTGACAGCGTGATTGTCCTCGGAGTGCTCATTCACATTGCTGTCGACGCCAACAGAGGTAGGGTTACCGAAGCTGACGCCACCGTCCTCACCAGAAGGACCACCCATGGCAGTACCACCGCCAGCAACGCGGTCAGGAGAGTAGGCACGGCGGAATGGAGCACCACCCTGGGGGATGAAAGGTCCAGGACCACCGCCAACGGGGAAAGAAGGGTGGGGGTAGACATCCTCGTGCTGGAGATCAATGGAATGGTCGTCCTCGTAGTGCTCGTGAACACCGGTGGTGACATCGACGGTGATAGGAGCAGAGAAAGACTGACCACCGTCGTTGCCAGAGGGACCACCCATGGCCGTGCCGCCCTGCTCGGGCTCCCAGCGACGCTTGAAGGGAGCGCCGAAGGGAGGGAAGGGAGGAGGGTAGATGTCCTTGTTCTTGACATCAATGGAGTGATCATCCTTGCTGTACTCGTTCACATTGTTGTGAACCGAGGCCGTGATCGGGCTGCCGAAGCTAATGCCATCGTCATTGCCGGAGGGACCACCTTCGGCAGTGCCGCCAGAGACGAAGGGGCCGTTGAATCCCTGGGGACCGTCATACCCATCGGGGCCATCATCGTCGCCGCCACTGGGACCTCCCATGGCAGTACCACCGTACTCAGGACCCCAGCGCTTCTCCCATGCGGATGCCGGAACGTGGTAGTGCTCTCCGTTGGGGTTGGCAGTCTCCCGGAAACCAGCAGGTGGGCCTCCAAATCCGGCAGGAGGGCCGTGAGGAGAGTGAGGAGGTCCTGGGGGAATGAAGACGGGAGGAGGGTGGACATCGGTGTCCTTCACCTTGACGGAGTGGTCGTCCTTGGCGTACTCGTCAACGGTAGTCTGAACATTGGCGGTAATTGGCATGTCGAAGCTCTGGCCCTCATCATTGCCGGAGGGACCACCGATAACAGTGCCGCCGTAGTGAGGGTACAGGCTGCGCCTGGGGAAGGGACCCTCACCAGGTCCGAAGACAGGGCGAAGAGGAGGCGGGTAAACATCAGTGTCCTTGATCTTGACGGAGTGGTCGTCCTTGCTGTACTCATCCACATCGGTGTGGGTGTGCACATTGGCGCCAGTGAAAGGACCATTGAAGGTAGCATCAGCATCATTGCCAGACGGTCCGCCCATGGCAGTGCCACCGACGTGTGGGTAGTGACTGTGAGTCTGCATACCCTGACCGTTTTGCTATAGAAGCTGTCAGTACTCTTGGTCTTCTTCAACTCGGTAGACTTGAACTCACAGTGCCGTGCTCCATGGCCTGCGCGGCCGCAGCCAGCAGGGCAATGGGAATTCCACCAACAAAGCCCTTCATGGTGAATGTATAAGATAGGGATAGAAGTTTACTGGAGAAGAAACCGGAGCAGCTGTTTGGTAGTTAAAAGAGTGACTGTATATAATATGCCGCAGGGATCACGTAAAAGAGTGGCAGAGTTAGTTCAAAAAAAGACTCCCAAGCACGTCGCAACAGCCAAGAACGTGCGGTCGAAGGAGGTCGTTAGAGCTTTAGTACTTGGTTAGCATTCATGATCACCGGCGTTCTCGTACGATGGAATGTGAGTCTCCAGCAATAGACGGGACATCCAGGACCGAGCCAAGGCAAGCAAACCCATCAGAATGCCGCTGGGAATGGGAAATCACATCCACATCGCCGAAGAAACCCCTGGAGCCATCAACAAAATGCCGGATCATTTCCTGCGTGGGTTGTTGTTACTACATTCCGCGGCCCGTGGAGAGGGATTGATCACCAGGTGATTGGTATTCACGAGGGCGAACAAACCGGCCTGCCAGGGAAGGGGGGGAGGTTCTCTTGTTAAGATTGATCTGATCGTCCTTGAATTGCACGGCACTTGCTAGGCACTACCAGGACCATGACGGGGTGGTCATTCGATTTGATCTGAGCGCTGACCCAAAGGGGCTGGAAATATGGGTAGATGACCCAAGGGTGATCAGATTTTACGATGAAACATCATCGAGTGCCATCGCCACGGTGCCTCGTCTGGAATTCCAATGATGTCAATCAACAAGCCATTAATGTTGATGAACGTTGGACAACATTCGAGTTCTTATACACAGTAGTTGTGGCAGCAAAGCACACATGGATGGACCACAAAAAGTCTAACCACCACGGCCCGTGGTAAGGACCCTTGACGGAGAACCACCACGGGACGCCTGCATATCCAACAGCTCTGGGCAAGACCAGAAGCAATTACTGCTCCAAGTCTATGCTGACTGGCCATTTCTACTCAAGACTACGTGGATGATTTCAGTCTCCTGCAGATTGTTTTCTACTGCTGAGATTATTTTTAAATCACCCATGTTGTTGTAATTTGGAGATGTGTCCCGTCTTCGACATTCCCCTCCCATCGCCCTCACTGAAGAAGACCCAACGGGAGGCGAACTTCCTATCGGGGAAGTTACTCTACAGAGCCGATCAGCCCCGTAGGGCCGAAGGCAACCCATCGCCGTGAAAGGATGTCATGGAGACAGAGCGAGGGTCGTGGCGGGCTCTGATGCTTTTTTGATGAGGAAAGAAAAGAAGAAGGCTGAGAATTTTCTCGCTGCTTTTGTAGGTGTGGGTGGAGTCCCGTGATCGGGCCGTTGTTGTTCCTGCCCGGTGGAGATCTCCTTTTAGCTAAGGTTCTTACCGAGTTTGTTTAGCGACGAGACCCAAGGTCCAGCCAGTTCGACAAAAGTCTATAGACACAAGCGACGGAGTAAAGATGTCCGCTGCGATCAGTCTTTGAAATATTAATGATCACATAATGATAAGGATGGTTTAAGTCGTAACAACTTGTGCCAGCAAATATGAAATGTACATGCGGCTGTCTCCGTCCTCCGAGTTCTCCCAACGAGATTCATGAGGACGAGACGAGTCGCATCTGCCGTTCAGGCCATCAAGCCACAAAGAGTCCTTTCGCCAAAACGCCATGCAACCGTGGCTTTCGCCAATGAACCAAAATAAACCAAAAAGAGGGGGAAATAATCGCGCCCGAGCCAAGGTGGAAATTGAGCGCCCACCCAAGATGTCTCACCAGGCGTGAGAATGGGAAACTTCCGCTGAAAAGCTGAGCAGCATTCTGACACGGGTTGTCAGCAATGATCACCATCATACCTCTCCTTCGACTTCCAAAAACTCACTATCATCCGCCAGAGGCTGTCTGCTTTGCACTATCTCTCCAAGTTGCTCCACCGACCGCCGCCGTAATTCCCAGAGCGATGGCAATCATCGTGCCCACCGTGACCACCGCCACAACCGCTTTCAACGCCATACGTTGTCGTGAGGTCAAAGATTGCATACATGATCGGGGCTGATTCTCGCCTTCCCACAGCTTCGACCGTCGCGGGCTGTCAGTTCGCGTCGTTGTAACGTATGGTCCGGCATTTTCGATATCTCTCAATGTGCTGCGGTCGTGACTAGCAGTCTTAGTCTCGAAGGTGAGTTGTTCGTAGGAGATTGTGGGTGATCCATGGCGATAGAATGGGGAGCAAGGCTTCGCTCCAACGTGCGGGTCAAAGTCCTGCCCGCGCTGGTGAATGGAGGGCGTTGACTGAAGAGAAGCTGATGGTGAGTGAATCAGCGGCGTGGATGTGTGTTTCTCATCGTTGCTCTTGATGGACGCGGCCACTTGCGCCCCAATCACCCCGAGTCCGTGCAAGCTCATCGCGCACAATTTGGAAGAAGTCAGAAAGTGAGAGCGCGGGTTGGATGGTCACCGGGCTGAGGAGATCAGAGAGAGAGAGAGAGAGAGACCTCCTGAATTCTTCAGTGGAGGCTGTCAAGATCGCTTGAGACTGGGGCGCTTGGATGTGGGCTCACTAGTTGACTAGTTGTGGGTGCTGGGTAATTTCCTGGATGGGAATGGCCACGGTTGGGACTCCGCCGTACATAAACAAGGTTGTGTCCACCTGGAATGCGTTCCACATCCAGGAGCAGGAGGCCCGAGACAGTTTCATCGCTTAATGACGAAAACGGACGGGTGAAATGGGGACAGTGCCGTAGTGGCAAACTAGCAGGAGCGCTAGTTGGTCATATTAAATCGATCCAACCTGATCATGGAGGGAGAAAGAACGTGACTCTCGCTTGCCCAATAATTGCCAATCGAGGCCATTCTTTTTCCACTTTGTCGGCAATCATCTCCTCATCTCGCGAGTTTAAGTCTTGGCTTATCAGATACGCAACTTAATGAGTTACAGTGCCTTATTTACCGGCAGGATTCTACTACAACAGAGCGATTCTTGCCAACATGCACTGCCCTGTTTGCTGTTGTTTTCACCCCTAGATTCATACACCCAGTTCCACCTTCAAACAACATTCCTATCTCTCACGAGGGGAAGGGATTTCCTGCCCCTTTAGAAAAAGAAAGCCATATAATTGGCAGATTGACGCCTCGGGCGCATACCGGTGGATCAATTCGGTTGAGTCGTTGACGGCTGCATTCGTGGCCAAATGGTGAAATGGCCTCCCCATGCGGGGAATCCCCCTTTTCCCAGGTACGCCCGATAGTTAGTTTAACTAGCCTAAGTTAGCCCCAAACCTTTTCTTAATCAAGGTAAAACTTGAATTTTAATTGTGGGTCAAGTCCCACCACTTCTTCGTTCATTTGTTAGGATTGGGTGAGTGGTCAAGTGCCTTATCGATGATTTGCCACAGTCAAATCCAAGATCTGTCCCGACATTTGGGTTTCTTGTTCGCTAGACATTGTCTGTGAGTACGGTGTATGGATACACAGTACGGAGTAGTGTCACCTACAATCTGCCATATTGACTGATCTGTCCGCTGCTTTCAAAAGCAAACATGAGGATCGACTGGGTACCCGAGAAAGTTTATCCGGACTTGGCACTGAGAAAAAAGAACACAAGTCAACCTCAGGCCGCACACATTATTATTCAGGAGACATAACCAAATGTCAACGTTTTGTATTGGCCCCTGAGATAGTCAATATCTTCCAATATTGGTGTTGGTTTGAAAATTTAGGTTGCAGTTTCTCCGAGAAAGTATCCATGGATAAACTACCACTGCACGATGCTGGCAACGGACCTGCCCACCACTGGAAGGATCTATCCCAGGCAATCAGTAGCTATGTTGAATCTAGTTAATGTCACGTATTTCACCAATAGAGTCTGTCTAACTCATGGCCTTCGATACACTTCTAAATATATACAATGTTATCCACCCGTGTTAGAAGTTGGTGTGGAATTGGTCATATATTGTGGCGCTCGCTCGCAGGATATATATCCCGCTTCACATAGGTCGCAGACAGCGACAAAGCCCGAAGCGCACGTTTCACTCCCTACACATAGAATAAATCAGAATCTAGAATCATCGACGAGCGACGGGGGGAAGATGCAAATATAGACCTAATTTGTAATTCCGTAATTCGAGTTAAGTCAGTGTTGTTAAAACTTGAAGTACGTCAGCCTGCAGGCATGCGGATGCTATTTATCGACTCGAAGCACTTGCGGAGCTCTAGGCCTACTACAAATCATAGCCAATTCGGACGCCAATAAGCTTGTTCCCTGGACAAAAAATGACACACCAGATGGGATACGACACCATTGAACTTGGAGTTTGCGAAAGAAATTGAGATTGGGCCCCAATACGGCAAAAGTTATCATTCAAACCATGGAAGTCGTAGACCGAGACTTGAAAATTGTTTAAATAGCAATTGGTAAATCAAACAAATCTGCTCGATCGTGAGTATTCCACATGTGAGCTCCCACAACGAGGAAATTATATCGAGCCCTCAGCCCAGCTAAGAACTCTCAGTAGCCAACATCTCTAAGATCTGGATGGAATTTGTTGATTCTAAGTGGACAAATGTGATACACTCAAGGGCAATTGTACTATAGATATTCAATTTGACAGGTTTCCATTACATACGACCATAGGGTGTGGAGAACAGGGCTTCCCGTCCGCTCAGCCGTACTTAAGCCACACGCCGGCCAGTTAGTAGTATGGTGGGTGACCACATGCGAATCCTGGCTGTTGTATGTTTTTTTTTCATCCTTTCCAACTAGTTGCGCTTAACGCCTACTTGTTTGCCCATCAGGCTCCTTTACCCGAAGGCCCTGAACACCCCTGAAGTTGAACCCGCTTCGCCCTTTACATAGGGTGATTCTCTTGCGAAATTTCCAGCCTTGGCGTTCTTGGCAACTGCTAGATGGATGCCAAAGAGACATTCTCGCGAAGATACACCCTTGCCGAGTATATAACTTTCAGCATAGATAAGCTGCAATATGAAATGGGAGATAACTTCAATAACATAATTCTGGAGAGGAATTTTATCATTTATATCACTTACTAGTGTATGATTGCCACATATCGGCCCAGAATTACACGCGTTGTTATCAAATTGTATTACATCTTTTCTTCACCCCAAGCTGCTATTGCTCCTCAAGATATCGGCTGAATCACAAGAGGCGTATACGTTTGACTAATGGCGTTATATCTGGGGATATAGTGCCGTGGATCGCCTGCGAACTCTCAGTTGTCAGCCCATTGCCCATTTCTGGGCTTTGTCCGCGAGTTCTTCAACCTAGGTCAATTTGATCATGTTAGCGGCCGAAGGATTCATATAACGACAATCTAAAATGGTTAGCTAATAATAAAACGCCTTACTAATATAGACCAAACTCCATAAAAGCTACTTATATTCATTATGGAGGTTAAGGGCTAGGTCCTATCCATACTGATATCCTGTTGTACCCCACAACCGGGCTCGTCCAAAACGGGAAATAATAATCGCCATCCAGGAAGGAAGTTAACTCCCCTAACTAGTTAGCATAGACAGCAAGCGGTACCCTCGGACCATATATCGTTTGTGAGAAAAAACCTCAAACTCCCCAGTGAAGCCTCAGACTCAGCCTCGGCCTCGGGAACTGACATCAGTGGTGATTGACTAGAGTCATGAAGATGACAAATTGATCCCCGAAATCCGAAACTACGAGAGGAGCAAAGATCAAAGATCAAGTGGCGGGGCATATGATACCTGCTTGCACGCCCTGGGGATGCTTCCTCATACCATCCAGGCCAGCTAGCTCATATCTACTTTTCGATTGCATACTTCGTCATCTGCAATCCGCACTTCCTTCATCATGTCTTCTGATATCATCCTCTACACTTGGTCCACTGCAAACGGCATCAAGCCCTCTATCACCCTGGAGGAGCTTGGTCTACCCTACAAGTTTGAGCCAATCGATATTGGAGTCAATATCCAGAATGAGGAGTACGATTATCCTTAGCATTTGCACCCCAGAGGCCGTCTTGCTAACGACGATCAAAGTACAGGTGGTTCTTGAAGATTAGCCCGAATGTTCGTATCCCGGCACTCGTCGACGGCTCACAGCGTGTTTTTGAGAGCGGCTCTATCATGCTTTATCTCGCTGACATCTCGCCGACAAATACGACACCGATCGCAAGATTAGCTATGCTCCTGGCACTTCCGAGTATATTGAGCAGGTATCCTGGCTGATGTTCCAGATAGGTGGCATTGGTCCTATGCAGGGTATGTTGAAAATGAAATAGACTTTTGGGATTATCTGATTATCGTCGTATAGGCCAAGCAAACCACTTCCGACTAGTCGCCAATATCCGCTCCTGACTACAGTATTAAGCGGTTCCTTGATGAGACTAAGCGCCTTTACTCGGTCCTGGAATTCCGTCTAAAGGAAAGCCTATACCTTGCAGGTTCAAAGTACACAATTGCCGATATCGCCAGCTATACTTGGGTCCGCCATGGTCCTGCACTACTGGAGATCGATCTGTCTGAGTTCCCGGCTCTCGAAAAGTGGGTCGATGAGATCGGGAAGAGGCCTGCGGTGCAGCAGGGCGCAGATGTACCTCATGTTGACCGTACAAACGAGCAAAAGGAGTTGTTCCAAAGCGCTCGCGCTAAGATTGATGGAATGACCAACTCCGATAAGCATTAAGGATGTATATCTAGAAGCCACGGGAAGGCTTGTATGCATGGACATATACATCTAATATTTTTTGCGGCCCGGCTTCGTATTCAGTACCACAAATGAAGAAAATCAGTACGTTATAACATTTGATGATTTTGTAGTGATCCAAGAGAAACGGGAGAGCGTAGTTTCTAGCGGAGTCAAAAGCGAGAAGCACCGCTCTGTGAAGAAGTTTTCCATCTGTGGATGAAGTCATTTCGTCTATAGGCAGTACTCTGCCTCGTGGATCTTTGTTAAAGTGAGGTCTCGAACGTGTTCATCAGAGCCATTTTTGTTTCCATTATTGATTGACTAGCTATAGAATGCGCCATCTGCCAGAGCTTTCTTATCCTAAATGAACAGTGATCACCCTTCGAAGTATAGAGAGAGTGGTCGAAGAAATGCACAGACAGATCAAAGATTTTCAGTCGGGTTTTTCTCTTTGCCTATACATAGAACTGAGCGTCTGGCTCCCTCGACAAGAAAGTCTTTTGTATCCCTCCTTTTTGTCTAATTGGACCCTGCCAGTAACTGGGCGGTGGAATAAAGGAAATATGACGCACTGGAGCCGTTTTGACCACTTCCTGGGAATTGATCGTTAAGGGTTCAGATTTTGGGTTTCGTTGTACAAATGGTGGTTTACTAAAATATGATTCCCCCGGTGTGCTGTATTATGATCAAACTTTCTGGTAATGAATACTATCTCGTTCGACTTGTGGACTTAGAATCAAAATCTGTGTATATGTGCAATGATGTGGGTTTCTGGTTGACATGTGAAGACATTGGCGCAATTCAGGATCATATATCGAGCTGCGCGCAGCATCGGGCTGTCTAGTCACCAGTTGCTATCTTGAATGTTACATCAAACCCGTATCCTCTCATGAGAGGATTAACGGTATTCCATGAGGGTCTGTCCCAGAAAAAAGAAAAATAAACGCAACGCAACGTAACACAATGCAACGCTAACCGAATGTATGGTATCGGAGGTCCCGTGTCCGCGCCGGCACCGAGAATCAGAGAGCATTCATGAAGCAACAAAGGCAAAGCAAAATGGTATCGATAGGTCTGACGTTGAATGCATGTCGCAGATACGAGACACGATTGATAAGGGCCCCCGCGGCCTATGGAAAGTGACGAAGTGGGCTAGGAACCGTGATCAGGAGTCAGCGAGCAGCAATATCCCGACACTGAAGGGTGATAGAGGGCCAGCGGAGACCAACCAGGAAAAGGTTGATCTGCTTCGTTAAGTCTTCTTCCCCTCACCACCAGCTGCAGGTCTCTCTGATATCGATTCAACCTTATATCCGAATCAACTCACCTTCCCGGCGATCTCACAACCGGATTTTTATTAATGCAATCAAGCGTGCACCGCCTGATAAAGCGCCTGGTGAAGATGGTATCCCTAACCGCGAGTGGAATATACTAGCAGATAACAACCACGACTTCGTGGCGATTATGACGGCTATCTTCGACGCGTGTATACGAACGGGCCACAACCCTCGTCACTTCCAGGCGTCTATCACGGTGACGCTTCGCAAAGGCGGCCCGTGCAATTTTCGGCAGCCGAAATCGTACCAGCCAGTTGCCCTATTGAACACCCTCGGCAAGATCCTAGAGTCTATCATCGCCACACGCATCGCGTAGGCGGTAGAAGAACATAGACTACTGCCAAAGACCTATCTTGGTGCGGAAAGGGGCCTCAGTGGACTATACGATCCAGTCAATCCTTGAACGTGTGCACCGTGCTTAGGGGCGAGGCAAGAAGGTGTCGATACTACTACTTGACGTAGCGGGCGCCTATGATAACGTCTCACATAAACGGCTGCTACACAATATCAAACAGTTCCGGCTAGGCCAGTTCGTGCCATAGATCACATCCTTTCTAGGCGACAGGAACACTCGCATCAAGCTTCCGGGACATCTCTCAGACATCTTCCCCACGCCTACCGGTATCCCACAAGGATCGCCTATATCGCTAATCCTGTTCTTATTATTCAACGCGCCGTTGATCTCGGCCTATAGCGTATATGCACAGGGCAGAACGAGCGTTGCGTGCGGCATTGGGTAGGTCGATGATGTAGCGATCATTGCGGAGTCAGAAACATATTATAACAACATCAAACTACTAGATAAGGTGCTTAGAAGAGCAGAGCAATAGGCAAAACGGCATGCAGCAAGGTTCGCAGCCGATAAGTTCGAACTTATCCACTTCACCAATCTGACAGAGAGCGAAACAACACAATCTACCGATCTAAGTAAGGATGAAATAACCTAAGACAAGATAGCTACTACCAGATCCGACATCTTCGATTACTCGACACAACACCCTAAGGGTAACGACCAAATGCCCGTTCGATATAACGACAATGTCACTATACAGCCATTAGGAATAGCAAAATATCTAGGTGTCTGGCTCGATAAACACCTCGATTTCAATACCCACCGTCAGAAGCTGCTCGCCAAGGCTAACGGCAGCCTAGAAGCTCTCCGAGCGATAACAGGATCGGTGTAAGGTGCCTCACTAGCGGCAATGCGAAAGGTCTACTAAGCGGTGGTGGTGCCACAAATGCTGTACGGCGCATTGACAACCTTTATGTACATGCAGCACCACAGCCTCCTCAGTAACCGTAATTACCACTGGCGCTGGGATACAGCCTTACGCTATTACATCGGACTGAATTGCGAAAAGCTGGCTAGGGAAGCGCTCGGACAGAGCCTGAAAATCGTCGCCAGCTTCTCCTATGTCGAAGGAATTAATCTTGGCCGCACCGTTGACTAAACAGCACTCTGTGATGCAAAGCCCAATTCTACGATTCGCACCTTTGACTTAGAGCAAAAGTCTTTATTTATGGAATGTCAAAAAAGCGGCTGGGGTGGAGGAATCCACGGACCCCGTCTCTTCTGTTCAATTGTTTGACCTCTTCAAGCTAATTGGTTAAGGAGTGTATATGTGTAAGAAAAGCTCTCACACGGCGAGCACTCACAACCACCTTCGAAAACATAAAAAGAGAAAGAAAGCCATATCCGTCTCCTATTCTCCATTTAGTGTGTCTCCATCCGGATATCACATCCGATAATGGCCACTAATCGCGGCATGTTAAGAGCGCAAGGTAAGACACCCTACTCAAACCACACTGGAGGACCCGGGATGATATATGATGTCGGCTAGAAGGAAACAATTAGTCTTCCAAGCTCAGTGACAAGTTCACAATATATCGAACGAACATACAGGAGGGTAATAGTTGTTGAAGTGAATTCCAGGGTCCTCATTGTTATAGAGTCCAGGAATCGCAACCAGCGGCCCTGGATTGCCATTGCCACCTCCAGTCACCTGTACCTGGGCACAGTTGACGAAGAACTGAGCGCTGTTAGGGTTGGCTGCATTGTGGACGCCGATGTGCTCGATTCGGAGGAGATACGAGCCATCGGGCAGAGAAGGAGGGAGCTGGAAGGTGTAGCTCATGAGGCCTGGGATGGAAGATGACGGGTGTTAGTCAATCTTCAGAAAGTTGACTAGGCAGAGCAATGAAGAGTAAAAATGAAATCATAAACATATCTCACCAAGCTCGGGCCAGTTGATTGACCCAGAAGAGAAGTCTGCGCCCCATTCGTGGATCTTGAACCAAACATCTCCGGCAGCATCGAAACTTGATGGGTCCCCGGGTGCCTTGGCCATATACACCAGTAGTGGTCCGATGTGGCTGATGGAGTTGCTTAGAGTGAAGCCGACCTATGGGCGAATTAGCAGAAGCGTGTGAGTGTTAAACTGTGGTTGTATATATGATACCGTGGATCCTGCTTGAACGACAGCGGTCTCGGTCTGTGGACCAGACGCAAGGCCGCCTTCGTTGCATCGCAGATCAATGGAGTTGAGGTCCAATATCGGGTTGATGTTATTAGTGTTGAAGCGCACATATTTGAAATCAGGGGTAGGTGTGCCATCCACGATCAACGCAGGGAACTTGTAGTGGGCCACTGCGGACTGGGAGAACAGCGCGGCGGTGGTGAGAAAACTGCTGAACTTCATGTTGAGATGCATGTTTGTTTGCCGCCTTGAGATAAAAGAAGAGAGAACTTTGTGCATGGACAAGACACAAACAGGCTAGAGGACCATTGCCTTTATATAGGCCGACCTTCCAATGAAGATTGCCTAACGCCTTTGTGGCCGGCAAGTGAAGCTCAACATCTTCATCGGAGTATAGACGGAAGCAATGAAAATAGATCCCCGCCTCTGTGGGCAAGGAAATTAAAGAGTTTTCATTATATGCGAAGTAAACCCGAGCCTTGTTCTCAGTTCTATGCCTTCTATCACTATCCTTCCCGATTCGCCCTAGGCCACCAGTAGAATACGAAGTCACCGAATTGCGTCTCAAGCTGCTCACACTTACTCACCAAAAGGATAGCGGAGGCATTGCTAAAGCTAGCCAAGTCTCTATGCAGCCGCCACCAGGGCGTTGCAAGATTCCCCGCCGCAGCACCCCGAAGTAAGTCCGTATCCCCAGATTTGGGCTCTCCACACTCCTGCAAGCTCCGCATTCTCCATGGAGTTTAATGAGTCGTCATTGGAAAGCCCGTAACCTGTCCGGCTCTTCTAAAAGAGTTACATTTCGAACGCGTAAGATTCATCACGCAAGGATTGTTTTTAATACCGTCGGATTTTCGGAAACCTTTACAAAACTCCGTCATGTATGCAGTGGGTGTCCCCGCGATGAATATTCCGCCTTACGAGCCTTTCGACTGTAGTGTGATGGCGTAGAATGCTCAACTAGCTTCTACCGAGATCGTGTTACAGACTCCAACTTCCGTATATATCATTATGGGTTCCGTATGCTTGCTGAAGGATTCGGTTCCCGTAAGCATTCTTTTGAGCCATTTTAGAGTACTAAATACCCACTCATCAATGGATAGGAAGATTGAGGACATGCTCAACACTTTGCACATGGTTAGAATATTGGTCAACGCAGAGTGATTGTCGTAAAATTGGATACTTAATAAAAGGGACCACTGTATACAATAATGTATGGAAATAGTAAACTAAGCGATCGATCGCTGCCCCTGAGTCTCCGCATTCTCCATTGTGACTTTCTCCCCTCCCACAGTCCAGTCCTTGATTTTCAGACCCATAGTAAGATTTTCACAGCCAGGATAAGTTGTATCCTCTGTCGTGGCGATAATCGAGTCACCAATTGGCACACTGCCGCCAATCAATACACCTAAAAAACGCACACCCGTGAGCATGAAGTCCGCATAATTCTGCAACGGAGTCAGCCGGAATAAACCAGGGCATGGGCCCTCGCAGACGACGTTGGTGATTTGCATGCTAATATTCAAGAAGGGTCGAGGCTGCGTTCCCCGTTGTAAATGGGAGAAGTACCTATGATAGCTGAGGGGATGTAGGTTTCGCTCTTGCGGTAGCGCGTATGGATGATGTACAGGGTGTCAATGGCTCTCCAGATGATAACGTCGGTGGCTTTTACACCGGAGTAGCATGTTTTGATTCCGTCGTCATTGAAGTGGTACAAAAGCTTCCATGGAAATGTCATGCCGATCAGAGCTGCCGTCCTTTAAGTCTATCGTGTTGAACGGAGGTGAGCTAATGGTTGGACCAGCGCTGTGTCAAACCTGGCCGGCCTAGATACCGCGGTGCCACGACATGTGCAGACTGGTGAGATTGCTCTTTTCCGCAGTGTACGCCTGCTCGACGTTGGCTTGATAAACGTAGATTTCGCCAGTCAGAATGCCGTGCCCTGTGGCGTAGAAATCCATATTTGCTGTGGTATACTCAACGGCACCCTTGAAGAACGCGCCAGGAGCTAAATGCACCCAGTATGTGGAGGATCCAATTTGATATGCGAAAGACCCAAGGGTTTCGAGTCGATCCAGTAGACACCTGGGAGGAAATAGACAATAGGGGCACCGCCAGTGTCGGCAACGGAAAAGGCACCTGGAGTCATGACTTTGGTGTCGGGACCGTCGAGGGATGGAATGAAATCATCAGGAAGAAAGGCGCTGGCAAAGATGACCAGTGCATTGCGAGGCTCAGTCCCTACGATCTCACTAGAGCCATCAGTTGGGTAGCCATCACCGTTAGAGCGGTAGTTGAACAGGGCGTTAGCGAACTCCACAGAAAAACGATGACCACTCGAGTCTGCAAGAACCCGGATGACAAGAGTACCGGCAACATGCTGAGTGTCGAAACTGAGCGCTGTTGGACGAATGATGATATTCTCGTCGACGGCCAGGCCATCACGGCGGAGAATCCTCACGTCGACCTCCTGGCTGTGCTCGAATTGACTCCATGCCATGTTGATACCCTCGCCGAGTTCGACAGAGATGCCATCATCATCAGGGAAGGTACCATCGCTGTCGCCAGGCTTCATGATCTTTCCATTCCTATTCCGTGGAATAGCTTCGTATACGAAGGAGTCGAAGTAATCGTCAGAGCAGGCAATGGCAACCTGCACGAGATACTGACAGACTGCCTCACTGCGTCCGGTGCCATGGCAGAATCTAAATTGACCTCGCCAGTTTCATGCCACCAGGTGTACAAGTCCGTACCGCAGTGGGTGCTGGCGGTCCAGTTGGATTGACGAGGCAGCACAAGGCCATTATCAAGGCCGATGGCCGATGCCCCCATGAAGATGAAGGACTTGAGCTTGATCATCGCGACACAATATCAAAAGCGGATGATAATCCAGTCCAGCGGGTAAGAGAAACTGTGATGAATGATGTGAGCCCGGGTATGGTCCTCCACGACCTTTTAATACCTGTCTCCTCCCCCTTATGTCATATCAAGCCCAGATGGAAGACTCAACACAACATTCACAGAATGCCCGCTGCCATGGTTAATATGATACCCCGCGTCCACCACCCAGTGCCCTTACGGGGCTGTGGCTGAAATGAGAGAGTGGCGGCACCGAAGTAGCGCTGTCATCCTGTCCGACAGGTCGCTTGGCACCGTTCCTCCAGAATCTAGAAAGCCACCCGTGCAGCGAACGAAGACTGTGGAGTCCCCGCATCAGATAGGACTGTCCTAGTTGGTCCATCTCGTGCTCTCGTATCAAGAATACTTTGTGTTATTAAGACATGAGGGAACCAAAGAAATCCTAGCTACTTTTGCCATCCTTTGCTTGGCGTCCAGGGGCCTCCACAAGAGCAAGCTGGGATTGATTGTTCTAAGTGGAGAATCGGACTCTTGGGACGCATTTCTTTCCACGTCTTGAAGTGCCATGCTATGTTAATGACAAGCCTTGATGAGACATCCGTCCGTAATCCCAAGGCTGAGGCAGGCTATTGGAACGTCGTACTTGAGCACTAATTACGAAACCTCTTGGAAATCATCTGCAAGTCGTTTGAGTTCAAATAAAACCATTAGTCTCCTATTGACAACTTCGATTTGGTAGAAACATAGTTGGAATTAAGAGTATTCATGATTATTTATGAGTCGTCAAATCGTGTCATACGATAACTAATTCATGTCTCATTCAAACATTGAAGACCTAGCTATTTCCGATGAAGATAACCGGTTTTCAAGAACGCTTCCCCACACTCAAGAGGAATACCGTAAGTAGTTCGATAAGAATCTCAATCGTGAGCGGACAGTATTGAACTCCGTATATCATGTTCATCGTATCAGCACTTTCAATGTACGTTCATTTCGCTCCCTCTGCTTGAGTCCGCAGCAGTATCTGTGTATGAGCATGGGCATGATTACGGCAATGAGCAGCTTCCTGTTCCTCCACCGTCACTTCAGAGCAAAGAGTTTCAAGACTGGGCTGTTCAAGCGGTGTGGAAAACGGTGCGGGGATGTGGTTGGCCTGCAGCAGATCCTGTGAATTGTTCCAAAGCGTAAAAAACAGGTAAGATTGGCCGCCGCGGGTTCGCGAGAGAAACATGAGGATGCTCTTTAGGATGTCCCTTGTTTCGGCTGCGGACGGTGTTGTGGAGGAGGTGGCGGGGGAATATGCTTTATAGAGGAGGTGAGGTGGGAGGTGGGTTATGCTCTCTCCGATGTCGTAGAGTTTTTGTTCCTTGAAGAGGGTAAGTCGCTATCCAACGTTTGAGGGTGAAAGCACTAGTAGACGTACTATTCCAATGCCATGAGCATCAACAGAGGGCAAAGAGGCGCATGAGAGGCAAGCCAGCACGGTTCTCCCTGCAATCAACGGAATTTGTATTGGCAGGAGCGCTGTGGAGCTGGTTGGATTTCGCGGGTGGAGGGGATATCTCTTGACCAGGTAATTCCAAAGACAGACCAGGAGCCACTGCTGGCTGATGATGATGTCTACCTGTTGGGTTTCTGCTACCTCCTCAAGTAGAGCAGTAGGGTTGGAGATGGACTGGTACATTGTAGTAATGGCCGAGTATTCCTGGGACTCGCACACAATATTGGTATTCCAGTTGTAAAATTCAGGGATCATCTGTTCAAAGACTGTGATGAGGCTAACAAATCCGTAAAGTAAGGCCGGGACTTCTGAGTTCAAAACAGAAGGTTTGCGGACACTACGACGGAGCATGACGGGCCGACCAGTCTGGAGGGCATACGCTCTACATAAAGGTCAGTGTGAAAATTCCTTGCAGAAGGAAGTTGCAGGTACTGACCGTTCGGTGATAAATATAAGCCAGTAGACCCGGCGGCGGACCTCGATCTCGGCGGGAGGCAAACCAACATACAATTCTTCCCTGTCCATCTTCAAAATTTGCAAAAAGGAAATTGCTTGACTCAAATAGTGCCAAGCGTAGTCAGATTTGTTCAGGTTGCCGTAGGCACAGAAGAGGAAGAACATGGTGAGAAGAGAGTCCAGGTGTGGGTGCTCCAGCGAGTCATATTCACGGAATGCCCTGACTGCTTCGTCGATCAAATCCTGGCCTGAGATAAGATTATCCATGGATGATTCATAGCCTCCAATATCCAGGTTGAGCTGGAGGTGAGTCGCCGCAGACAAGGCCACTAGATATGCATACCGCTGCGGATGCAACGCGTCCGGATTGGCACAGTCGGCAATAAGTGTGGAGTCAGTAATTGGCATGATGTAGTATAGACGCTGGAAAAACAGGCCGACATGCGCCCCAAGCTCTGTGGACGAGATTCGTTGTTTTGCAGGGCCACGCGAAGAGGTCAACAGACTCGGGATGCTATGTTCTGTCGATGAGTGCGAACTCTGAGACATGGCCAGGGAAGGGGTCGGCGATGCAGAACCGGCATTTTCAGGATCGTTGGAAGGCAAAGTCTGCACTGTCACAGTTCTTGTTGTTGCGAAAGATTCTGGGTGTGCGGGGGATCCAGAAGGGGGTCCTTCGGCCCCTAAGCCACGCAGGAAGTTTATGATGTGGGCACTGGGACCTTTGGGCCCTTTTCTGCGGGGTACGGTAGTGTAGGCGCATGGAAGAGAGACCTCCACACATTTCTCGCAGGGTCGCTCACGGTTGCAGCGGATCTTGCGCCGGCGACAGCTATCGCAGGCCATCGATGGCTGTCGCTTCTGTTTGGGAGCAGAAGCAGGCGCCTCTGAAGTCTCCATGATGGGGTTTCTTACATGTCCGAGGGAAGCAGACTTGGTAGAAGTGAGTGAGGAAAGTGAGGGAGTTGGGAGAGTTGGGGCGAGCTCCGATATACTAGGGTCTCGGTACCGCGCTGGACTGCTGGATCCTTGGAGGCGTTCAAATCCCCGCTATAATTCCCAGCCAAAAGTGAGCCCTCGTATTCGCTTACCTTATTAACTTAGTTGAGTTAACTACACTGCAGTAATTAACTAGTTGACTAGTCAAATTAGGAGAATCATGACTCCCTCAAAGAAAACGGGACTACTTCGGAGACACTGCAGCATTCCTCAACCTCGAGGCTAACTAGATTAAGCAAATGAACGCCGCGTCGGGCCCAGCAAGATCGACCCCGACTCGACCAGCTTGGATCCAATTTGCCCAGGGTAATTTGACTATACCGCATCCAAAGCCGGAAATTGCCTTTGAAGGCAAATTCCAGCTGACTTCGTAGAGGTGGAAGTTGAGCACAATTACTGCCAGTTGCGAGATCGTCACGCCAGACCGGACAAAGGCAAAAACGTCCCGATCCTCATGGTCGACGAGTTGGAAAGTTCCGTACATGAAATTAAGCCTCGGCAGTCAAGAACTGCGTGGGGAGAGCCGTTCTACCGCATTGGCGTGCATGAATTTTCCCGCGACTTGAGGCGATACTCCGTCATCGCAGTTTGGTGAAGATGGGTGCCTTTAGGGTAGGAGGTAGGAGGATGCCAGTTTATGTAGCCGGATCTTGTCAGCGTAATTCGTAGTGGTCTAATCTGGAGGTGATGTCGCCAATGCTGTCGCCGCTGGTATCGCAGAACGCAAAAGGATAGACTTAGTAGACGTAGCGTCCCTTCCATCATTCCTTGAGAGGGTTTGGAGAAGGAGCGAGAGGTTGAGCGTATTTCAGAGAAGGCATCGTGGTTGATTTAGAATGCAGCGTTTTGATGCTCTTCCTTCGTTTTTCGCTATTTGCCCTGGAGACGAGAGAAGGGATGTTTCTCTCGATGGCAGACTTGCCGTTGTCAATCTGTTTAGACTTATATACCTAGCTGCAGTCACATCGTGCGGTATAGATTTACCGGTTCATTTCCGGTCCTTTCATCGTCTCTAGTCCCATGCGCACGGCGGCTCGCGATGTCCCACGACGGGCGGATGCCCCCACCATAGTTTCAGTTCAAATTCCGTCCTATAAATGGTAGGGCCGTGGGGTTCGTTGCATAGGATATTTTGAAAGACTAGGTCCTTGCATTGGGCACAGTCGTGACCAATAGGGACTAATCGAGAGTGAAATATCAGCGGTGGCTCAACGGAGATACTGTGGATACTGATGTGCATTCAGTGTTTCCAAAACGCCTATCTTGGAAGTAGGAATCGAAATGCAAATCCGAATTTTTCTGATCAGTTCCATAGAAAATCAATTACATTGTTGTTATTTCATATTTTATGACTTAAGCTTAGTGCTCCTCCGGTTATACTAACTACTAACCAGCGGCTCCCTACTTGCAAAAGCCACCTCCGTCGCCCATCAGACGACTAATTAGGGGGGACAATTTAACTTTGCATAGCCTTCAAGGGCTCTCAACAAATGCAGTTCTCACGCAGAATACGTACATTTGCTCCTCTATCATCTCCGCTCCCCCACATTCTCAATCTTCCAGAACAGTCTCTTCCACTCAGTCACCAGGTAAAACTCTCCTCAAAAAAATCAACTCTACTCCCACTCTGCGCCTCACGACATACCCTACGCACATCATCACTAAATGACCCATTCCCACAGCAAAGCACGCCCATCGCTCCAACCTGGTTACTCATCTCCCACGCCAGCAGCTTCTCAAAGCTAGGCCGTCCCGTTGACACCCGTATCTCCTCCGAACCCCCCAACCGGATTCTCTCCATCCCATCTGCATTGTAAGAACCCGTAACGTAAATTAAAATTTGCAACGCACGAGTCGGTGAACTCTCCCGCTCCTTACCCTTCCCTATACTCACTATACTGCCGATCCACTCTTCAACCCACTCTAAATAGTCTGGCGATCGAACAACCCACACAAGAGTTATTCTCCTCGCCGCCACCGTACCTTCTACTTGTCCTCGCACAAGTCTCCGCAGATACAGAAGGTGGTGCGTGATTCCAACCCCACCAGCGAACAGAACAACAGTTCCATACGAATCAAGAGAATGAATACCCCCGTAAGGCCCTTCAACCAGCGCATGCACCGATAGGGTCTGATTCACACTCCCGGAAACACGGCGAGCTAGGGTGTCGGTGAACCCTGTTCGACGGCGCATAAGGATGTATATCTGATTTGTTGGTGTTGTTTCGGGTGTCTCCCTCTCTGCTGCGAGGGAGTCGAAATCGTCGGTCCAGCATATTGAGAACGGATGCGAGGTCCAAAGGGATATGGAGGGAATATATAAGTATATATGTTGACCTGGGGTAACAATCCATGGGCGGGGAAGGTTCAAAGCGATTTTTAAGAGATCGTCGGGTAGGGACTCAATATCGGCCGTGGTCTGATCTCGGCTGACATTGCGGTAGAGGATGGTGACAATGCGTGCCGCGCGCTGTTATTCTAGATGGTCAGTATTTTGGCGTTCTTCTTTTCTCTTGCAGGTAAATATTGGGGTTGAGTAGTGTGTGTATAGTACCTCTATAGCCCAGAGAATTATGGCAGTAAGCAAAAATGGCTGCGCTGGCTTCCCGTTCAAATGCATCCAGAGGAATACGAATGACGTAGCTGCTATAACGATATGGAGGTGAAGAAAGGTCTCGTAGAAGGCATGACGTATTGGAGATGGAGAATGGACGAGAAGAAAGGCAAAGGCGCAGGAAGCCTAGGATGTCGTTTGTAAATTATTGAGAAAAGGCAAGAAGCTAGAGTGCACGACGACAACTTACTATAAGTCCTGCTCGGATGAAAGAGCTATCCATGAACGCCAGTCGAACTGCATCCCACCCGGCTTTGAATTCCAGACAGTCAGCGACACGCATGTATCCTAAACAGTTAATTCTGCCTACCGTTTCGTGCTTTGGGAATACACCAGGCAAAGACATGAGCGAGGGCTTCTAAAACAACAATACGCGCAAGCCACCGATGAAGAACGTTAAACGTATCATAAGGGACTCGAAGAAGGCTAATAAGAGGATTATTCCTACCAGCAATCAAGACCAACGGGATAAGGTTCATTGTCGCCATAATGCCTGTCCGTATTTGAATGACAGCAGCGGCTCGGTCGGTGCCATAGGGAATATTCACCGTACACAATGCCACATTCATAGCAAGAATTAAAATTAGAACACAAGCTTGAGCGCGGCTAGGCAATGTGCCCATGTTCACAGCCCGAGAGAGTCGAAACTCTTGATGGTGCCGAGTGCGGAAGAGTGGCGCATATAGGAAAAGAATCCGGGCCATGGTGAGCCATTTGTGTGCAGGCACATAATACTTTTGCCGGTCATCGCTCAGACATGTTATTTGTCTTAGGTAGCTTGAAAGGTGGAATGCGGTTCTCCAGATCAGTAGAACTGCTGCGAAGCATCCGAGGGCCAACAGGGCGTAGTGAGAAAGACCAATACCTTCCCGCTTGTAATAAGGATCGTCCAGTGGATTGTATCTGTAGTTTTCTCTGTTATGGAGTATCATCATGAGTGGTGCAAGCGAGGCCAGACTAATATCTGTCTAGATCTCATTAGAGAGGCTATCTCGTCTTCTGACTTGGGTACCTACCGATGGCGCTTTGTAAGTTGGGATCGAGGCTTGGGTAGGTAATAATGACCAAGGGCTCGACACACAGCGAATAACAAGATATGCAAACAGGAAGGCGGCCAAGGTATTATGTATAGATGGTAGGGCTCGTGCTAGGGAAATATAACAACATGCGTGAACCTGGGGTTGTGAGGACCCAAAGAAGAGGCTGTGTTCATATATATATGCATGGGTATCCTTGGCCCATGGATGTACAGGACTGTCACGTTCCGCCAGCTTCCAAAGAATTATGCAATGTGAAAGTCTTGAAGGGCCTCCAGGATTCCAGCACGGTTTCTACACCTCGGACGCACTTCGGAAATATCCTTTGGAGTTGCGCAAAATGCATTACTAGACCCCTGTCGATCTGAATATCTGCAGAACTTACATAGGGCTAAGTTGGTCCGATAGAGGATCTTTAGTGGATCCAGCAGTTCTGCAGGCAGGCGAAAAACAGGGGTTGGAATACATAAGACCGGGGCTACATAGACCTACTGACCTCTATTACGTCGAAATTAATCTGGGCTGGAGTGTCTTAAAAAATAGTATGGACTTTCACGTAAATCCTGGGCATTTAGAGTTTTACGACAATTATTACGGTGGTATTGCCTAGGAACAGAAGCAGGAAAAATGCCTGAAGACTCATTCAGCCTAAGGGTCTGGGGAACGGATCTAATCGACTTCCGAGTAAGTTTCGATTCCCCGTGGGGTATAGCGAGCTACTGTATCGGCGATTTTGTGGGGTCTTCAGACCTGTTTCAACTCTGAGTTCTTCGGATTAATTTATTCAACATTCAAGTCTGTACGCGGCCGTATAGTGTACTTAACTGGACGGAAGTAAAAAAAGCAAGAGATAAAGTTGTCATTAGTAGCGTTTCTTGAAAGTGTGTTATAGATAAAGTAATGGATATAATACAGATCAGTAATCAATACATCTGCCACATACCGGCTCTCGGCTCACCACTGGCTATCTGATTTTATCCCGATTTCTCCAAATTGCGTCGGAAAACACGGAACTTGGCAGCCTTCGCCCGCTTCACGAACAGAATACCGATCTCAAGATAACTGAGCCCGTATGGCTCGGGAAGCCTGAAATAGCACCACATAAGACACAGGATCGTGGTGCCGACAAAGAAAAAGGATGATTTCCTCTTCCAGTTCCACGCGGTGGGACTAAGCATGCCCGAGGCAAGCGTGTTGGTAATAATACTGGTGATATTGTACACCACACGCCCAACGCCAACGGTTTTAACTCGGAGTCGTGTGGAAGGAATTTCCACTACTAGCATATACGCCACGGGGCCTAACGTCGTTTGATAAACGGCAGTCAGCGCGATTATCAAGGACCCAAGAGTCCCTGGGTCGCACTTTCAGACATCAAGCTAACACAGCCACATATAATGAGAATGGCCAATGATAGCAAAACACCAGAAAGGAAGAGGCGGCGACGTCCGACCCATTGCAGCAGGAACCAGCAGATGATGTTCGCGCAGATTGACACTCCATACATCCCCACGGCTAGACTGAAGGCATCGTGCACTTGAGCCCCAGATTGTACATAGACGGGGAGGGCGTAAAATGTCAGAGTCGAGCCGCAGACCTGTTGCGTGGCCCACACCATTGTGGTGATCTCCGTTCGGCGCCGGTCCACACCACGAAAACGGTTAAGGTAGGTAATCTTGCCGTTTCCGTAGTATTTATCGACCTCGTTTGTATGTTTCATCATCTTCACAATCTCGTCTACACCCAAGGCGCCTGTACCTTTGCTAGTCAGACGCAACAGTGATTTCCGAGCATCGTCCGGCTGATCTTGGCGGATTAGCCACCCTAGAATGCGGCATGTTGTTAGATAAGCTGCAAGGAGGAGGGGAAGGAGGTTTCATTAGTAGAAGGGGTAAGACCCACAAGGGCTTTGAGGTGCACATAAAACCCCGGTCAGAATAGCTGTGATGAACACCCACTGCAATGCGAAGGGGAGGCGATAAACCCATTCGGAATCCGTATCGACCAAAGCACGGGTCACACCGACGCCGCAGGTCTGTCCTAAAACCTAGCAAAGATTGATACAACTGAGGAACTGGCCTCGGAGCGCCACCGGCATCACCTCGGCAGCATAAGAGACCGACCGACAATGTCTGAAAAATACCCCATGGGATCCCTTTGCGGAGTTAGAATCTTTCAGTGTCCAGTAATATTGACTGCGGGGTTTAGAGACACACCACATAAAATCTGTGCGGCTAGCAAAGTCTCCAGATTCCTCGCAGCAGGTGGAGGGGGGGGGGGGGGGGGGGGGGGGGGGGGGGGGGAAATCTGCAATAGTGCGAGGGTTTTATTGGTGGAAGGGATATTGATCTACGAACGATGGGTACATTCTGATAGAGGGTCGAAGATATCAGCATTGCTGTACAATGGCGGTCTGATGAGGAACTTGGAATGACATAGTCCCTGGAGAAGATGCCGTGGGCATTCGATAGAACTATCTTTAACTGGGTGGCGCGCGCCATCGGGACAGAAGCAGGCATAGGATTCATACCCGCTTCATTGGATATCGCATGGCAGGATCAGATAAGGGTTACAATGCCTTCTCTTTATCGAAAGTATTGAAAATAGCCGGATTCCCGTGCCTGGGTGTAAGAGATGCCAACGGACTCGATTCATCGCCATTGCCACTCGCTTTGTGGTCACAAAATAAGGTCTAGAATCACCTGTGGACCGTGCATACCGCGGGGGTGGATATGAGGGTGTGGAGAGAGTTTCTTGCTCCTCCTTGAGCCTCCAAGAGACCGATTGGTCGGAGCTGAAGTACTGCATTAAACCCGTAGTTGCCCCGTAGAACGCCCGCAAGTGTTCAATCTGGCATTATGATTCCCTAGTCTGATAAAACACAGATTTAACCGTGTCATTCAGGTCTTCGACATTAGATCGATAATCCAGATAGTATGCGACATGGCGTTCCCCTTCTTCCCGGAGAGCCACCGGGCCCTGAGCCTAGAGAATTACATTTACATGCGACAGCGCTGCGAGCGTCGAAGAGCGGTACACAAGCACGAGCAGAAGGATGCAGAGCACATAGAGCAGATCACCTCCTCGTCAAGCGCGGAACGATCGTCGTTCGAGCAGGCAAGCCTACAACTCCAGCGAAGTGGAAGTGGAAGTGGATCGCAGGGCGACAGGCATCCTTCAAGACTAGCCCGAATTCTCATCCCTGCTAGGCTTCGAAGGACAAGGTCTCTAGAGAATCGGAATGGTCCAAATGATAATGATTGCCATAGTGACCATGTCCTTTGCATCTCACCCACCTCAACAGCTACTCGACTAGCCACGTCAACAGGTGTTTCACCCTCAACAAGAACGACGACTCCCACCACCGATCCAGCAAAGCACATCTTTCGTTTATACTCCGCTCGCCTGACAAACCCTTTCTCTCCTCATTTCGAACTAAATCCCCTTCTCCTCAACATCACTCAGCCTCTTCTCTCCAAGCATCACTCGAGACGACGTAACCTCAGGGTTCTTGATCTGGGCGGTATTGAAGGCAGTATGTTTATACTACTCCTAGCCTCCTTCATGCTCCTGCTGACTCCCAAAACAACAGGTGTGTACACGCAGACGCTCGCTACTCTACCACACGTTGCAATATGCCAGCTCCCACAACAACAGCTACCCACCAAATTCCCGCCCTATCTACCGTTCAAGTCAAAGAGCTTCGATGTAATCACGACGAGAACGCTCTATAAATTCCTCGCGAATACCAATCGATCACGAAATCCAGAGCCAAGATCTTGGGTTCGAGAGATCCACCGCATCCTGGATAAAGGTGGTCATTTCGAATTTTTTTCTTTGACTGTCAACTCAGTCATGCCGGACCGCTTACAAGAGAAATGGAGCCCTGTCTCTACCAGGATCACCAATTCTGCGGCTGCAGGCAAATTTATGAGGCGTGCACCTGCTCACCAGCAACTCCAACCTCAGAGGCTATGACTGGAGCCCAGTTTCTCGAACTACTTGCCAGCGAGGGCTTTATAATGGAGAAGAGCACAATACTCATGTTTCCATTTTCCTTCCTTTCTCAAATTTTCACACAGGATGGACAGCGGTTGAAAGTCAACCAAGAGGACCCTCGGAGTGGCCAGTCAAATGCGACTCCGCTGCTTGCTTCACTCATGAAGATGATAGATGAGGAATGTAGGGCATCTCAAACGGCGTGGAGGTGCATTATTGGCTCTGCGCAGAAGAGAAAGTATTGAACTAGCATGAGAACAATAGAACAACGAGGCTCTGTTGAATCGAGGTTTCTTCACGTAGACTGTCTCAGCTCTTGCCGATTACTGGAACATGACGGCCGTTCTTCGGCAGGGAGCAAAGCTAAATCTATCTCCGTTGGCTCACGAGCGGGTGTTACTCTGAGCGAGTTTAGAGCGAAATCATGAATCACCACTCTCGGGTACCAGTATCCCGCCGGTCCCCGGATTTATCTCCTGATTTTCGATGCGGGGGCGTAGCTACACGTGGAGATGGGGGAAATGGCCTGTTTTTGACCGAAATAGCGCCGAAATCACACGCAATAATGGTCTTTCGCGGGAATAGTCTTCATTGGTTTATTCCTGGTGCAAGCCCCACGCTGCGATAATGCTGCATTCTTCAAGTCCAAAACACCTATGATGTAAATTCCAACAAAACGCCTTTTCAAGGTGCACGACGATTGTGGCAGATGGATAAACACCCGTCTTTCATTGAGCAGATACCTTGCCTATGTTGAACACATGTATTCTTTATACCTCGGGAAATCTACTGTTGTGACTACTTCTGATCCCGCCGACTGCCAAAACCCAGCGATTAATTTCATATCCAGAGACTCCGGCAGCCCGAACTGCCCGATTTAGGTTGTGGCGTCTTCAATCTCCGTTCAGGGGAACACGCGGATATCCGGTCTCTTCTTTGCCTTGGCTCAACTATACCATCTGAGCTTTTAGAAGATGCAACCAGGCCCTCGCAGGTATAAATACGCCGTGGAAACGCGGCTTCTTTGCATCGGAGCAGATATTTCTTTGAATATACTCTGACAATCATTTTCTACTGCGATTCAAGTGACCCTTCAAAATGAGATTCCACCTAGGGACGGCCATATTCATGGCGGTTGGCGCACGCTGCCTCCCTTCCTCAACTGGGGGAAACGCGACGGTCTGCGATTCCAACCTCTGCACCTGGTGGCACGACTCTGGTGAAATCAATACAGGAACTAGAGTCCAGCCCGGCAATGTGCGCCAGTCTCATCGTTACAATGTTGAGGTCAGCCTTGCTGGCACTGGCGATTTTCGTCCGTCTTTCGTCTATGAGACAATCCCAAGAAACGGTAACGGCCGGATTTACTCTCCATGGGACTACCCCAAGGACAACACTCTTGGCAGTGATGTGGATGATGGGATCAGCATTGAACCCCAAGTTGGCATCACCATGGCGTGGTCTCAGTTCGAGTATGCCCAGGACGTCGACGTGAAGATCACCCGCAGGGACGGCCAAAGCTTGGGCTCGACCTCCAATGTGATTATCCGCCCAACCTCCACTAGCTATTCTCTGAGTACTTCGAGTGATGGTGGGATTATCATCCGTGTGCCTAAGGACAACAGTGGCCGGCGATTCTCTGTCGAGTTTAACGATGATCTCTACACCTACCGATCCGACGGACAGAACTATGTCCAATCCGGCGGTGATGTGGTCTCTGTCGAACCCACAAACGGGCTTCTCATATTCGCAAGTGCTTTCTTGCCTGCCGACAAGGTCCCTCAGATGAACAATGATAACACAAAGACTATGACGCCCGGGCCTATCAATGCCGGTGACTGGGGAAACAAGCCAATCCTTTACTTCCCTCCAGGAGTGTACTGGATGAACTCCAACCCACAGGGCGATAAGCCCAAGTACGGAGAGAACCATCTCAAACTCGATCCAAACACATACTGGGTGCACCTTGCCCCAGGCGCCTACGTCAAGGGTGCAGTCCAGTACACCACCTCGAACGGCGACTTCTACGCCACCGGCCACGGCGTCCTTTCCGGAGAACACTACGTCTACCAGGCCAATCCTGCAACATACTACCAAGCCCTCAAGAGTGACCAGACCAGCCTCCGCCTATGGTCCCACGAAAACGTTGGAAGTCAAACCTGGCACTGCCAGGGCCCGACCATCAACGCACCACCTTTTAACACTATGGATCTTCACGGAAACAGCGACCAGGCCAGCGTCCGCATCTCTGACTACAAACAGGTTGGCGCCTTTTTCATGCAGACCGACGGACCCCAGATGTACCCCAACAGCGTGGTAAACGACGTCTTCTACCACGCCAACGACGACGTTATAAAAGCCTACTACTCCAACGTCGTCGCGACGGGCCTTACTGTCTGGAAAGTCCACAACGACCCCATCATCCAAATGGGATGGGACTCACGCCAGGTCAGCGGTGTCGTTATCGACGGCCTAGATATCATCCACACCCGATACCGTCGCTCCGAGACGGTTGTGCCATCTGCGATTATCGGTGCATCACCGTTTTATATGGATGGGAAGTCACCAGACACCAGCAAGTTCATCAGCCTGTCTATTTCCAATGTCGTCTGTGAAGGACCCTGCCCGTCTCTCTTCCGCATCCAGGCTCTCCAGAACTACAAGAGCTTTCAAGTCAAGAATGTCGCTTACCCTGATGGTTTGAGCACGGGTGGCTTTGGCCTCGGACAGAGCATTGTCCCTTATGTGTCTGGAACGAGAATGGAGCTTGAAGTGGAGAACTGGACGGTCAAGGGGGAGAAGGTCACTATGGCTAACTTCCAGGCCGATAGCCTTGGCCAATTCAATATTGCCGGTGAGTACTGGGGACAGTGGTCTATTCAGTGAAAACGCTCGCTTTCGCGCCCATTGAATGAGAAGTACAGCCCATATGAATTTTGAAGGGAAAACCCTGGCTCTGGGTTCATTGTGGTACTTGCAGTGGTATTATGGATCACTATTGTGGAGAGGTCAAGCAGTAGCAAGTCATTTTGAAGTAGATGTTAGAACCCGCAATGAAATTTCAAATTGATCAAAGTACTCCCTCGCTGAATGAAAGATGCATATAAATAATGTAAGGTTAACAGATGACTCTTATCCTCCAGCCGCTCTATCAGCCGCAAGTTGTCGCTGACCTGGCTTGATGAGTAGGAGGACTGCTGGAAGCTGTGCAGCCGCGAACCCGATCATCACCCTCAACTGGGTGTTGTAACTTGCGGCAAAGAAACCCTTGACTGTATCTTGTAATTGTGGTGAAAAGTTGGTGATTGACTTCACGTTCTCAAGGAATAAATGTAGTTCGTGCGGTGAAAGAATATTCTGCAAATGATGTGCCAGGTGACCGTTGAGGATATTCGAGGCAATGGCGAGACCCATAGCGCCGCCCAAAAATCGAAGCTGAACCACGGTGCCAGTGGCGATCGCTGAAAGGAGTGAATATAACTAGTCAGTCATGAAATCGTCTCTTTGTCATGGGGAGGTACACTGAGGAGCACATACCGAGATCTCTGTCCTCGACTATGTATGGTGTTGCTAGCATCAGAACACCCAGAATTAAACCCATCCCAATGCCGGCTATGACTCCATAGACAATATCGGTGGCTCGGAATCCGTGTGATGTGGCAATGGTAGAGAGAAGCCCGACGCCGACGGTGTGCACCACGCAGCCCACGAGCAGAGAATAAATGAAGGGTATACGACCCTTGGAGCTGACAATATTGATAAGCGCAGCGGCAGCTGCCGCAACCGCAGAGTATCCGATTAGGTAGATGCCCGAGTCAAGAGGCGATTTGTCGAGCAGGATCTGGGCTTGCTGTGGGACATAAACCAAAACAACGTTGAAGGGTGCGCCGGTTACGAACGAGGTACTAGGACGGATTGTCAGACTGAGTCATCATGTAGAGGAGATGTTTGAGTTTACTCACATGAGAATACCCATCCATGGACGATCAAAGAACCAACGCTTGGGAAAGATTGGATCTTTTCCAGGAATTCCCGATATGTACCACTCCCACGCAAAGAATGCGATCCAAGAAACACCTGTTAATACAAGAAGTGCAATCGCGCCTCCCGAAGTCCACGAAAATGCAAGATTCGTTTCGTTCAATACTGTGACGATCAAGAACGAACCGATTATCATGAGCACCGATCCCACGAGGTCAAGATTAGCAAAGGAACGGTATGATGCCCGTGTTCTGAATGAAGGTGTGTGTTGATCAAGACCGAAATTCTTGGGCATCGCAATCATGATTATGGCGATTGCGATAGCGCAGAATGGAGCACTTTTCAATAAAATTAGCATGAAATTCAACACGGAGTCGTGATGTATGGCGTACTTGATAAGAAACACCCATCTCCACGCCGAGTCCTCCGCAAGGGCTCCTCCGATGATGGGTCCGATCAGGCAAGCCAGGGTAAGGCAGCATGACATGAGGCCACTGTATGTTGGAAGTTTTGATTTTGGAGCGATCTCGTATATGCAGAGAATCGCAAGCGCATATGCACCGGCACCTCCAATTCCTTGAAGAGCTCGAAATATGATCCTATACCAGCACAGTAAGATCCTGAACAATCTGTATCCAGAAAGATGGGGTCTTACAGCTGATTCACTGTCTGAGCGCACCCGCATCCAATTGAAAATGCGAGCAAAATCACAAGAGCAGCAATTGTTGTTTGTTTTCGCCCGATGATGTCGCTGGCTTTAGTCCATATGGCCATGAAACCTGTGGGTGATTGCAAGATTAGCATCAAAGAGTTGATACCGTGGGCGAGAGATGATGTGCCGGGAAAAGTTGAGCGACATTTGTGACGAAGTTGCAAGCTGGGTACATACCCGTATAAGTGGCTAAGTATCCGGTGATAATCCAGCTCCGTTTCTCGAAACCATCGAGGCTATCGGTGATGTTTGTGAGCGAAGAGCTCACGATTGTCACATCTAGATTGGATAGAAAGAAGCCAATCAAAAGCCTGTCTCCAAATCATTGGTAAGCCTTATCCAAACATTCAAGTATTGTGAAGAATCAGGTACCCTGTGGCAGTGAGGATAAGCCTCCATCCTGTCGGGTAAACAATTTCACTGCCTGGAGACAGTGTCCTTTGGGTCGACCCCTTTTCTTCACTTGTGGTAGTACTCCTCGTGTCCCTTCGAGACGGTCGGACTTCTTCTTTCTTAGAGATCGGCTCTGCAAACTGGATACGAGACATGGCTGTCAGTCGGCACCTTCGAGGATCCTGGGTATGTCAAGTGGAGGTGATCAGAGAGTTAAGCCATCGCTGCATGAGAGGAAGAGAAAGATTGCGAACAGGACCATCGACAATGTTGGACCAAGCCCCACATATATTCACCCCAGGGGGCCCTTCAAGTGGAACGCGGGAGACGCGTGATGACAGAATGTGGAATATTAATGGGAATAGTGATCGGCGCCGATCATTGAACCTAGAGCTTGGCCCGGGTGGCTTGGCGCGAATCTGCCAGAAGGCTGGAAATATTACGAGCCTAGATGACGAAACAAGAATTTGAGACCTTATCGTAGTGAAGCTGTGAGGCTGTGAGCATGCTAGAATTGGTGGTAGGTTTGATGGTTCTTCGTGGCTGGAAATTCCGAAAAGGGGGTGAACGGTTACTCCCTTCCTGGGGACTGATTCATACCATTGGCGATAACTAGATGAACGCGCTCTCTGGTTATTCTCAAGTTCCATCGTCCATGGCCTCGATCTTTACAGTCAGCATCTCCTTACTCGGCCTGCTTATCTCCCTCTGAAACATGCAGATGAGGCTTAAGCTTGATTGATTCAACGTCCAGAAGTAAGGGTTACACACTCTCGCTAGCCATGTTAGGGAATGTGTTGTTGTTTGCCTTGATACAATTAATTATTGAACAGGATATGTTTGTGTGTCTTCCAAAGATATCGGAGGTCGCTTGATCATGGCAATCGGGTTCCATTGACAACAAAGAGGTTGCAGGCGCCAGGAGCCGATAAGTCGGTCTACCCGTCTAGCCCGTCGATCACTGTCACTAGTCGGGCGATCTACACTTTAGTGTCCCAACGCGGCTAATGATGTACCCACGACCCTCAATATCCCCGGACATGGATCTAGAGAATCGAATGATTAAATCGGAGATTGTAAGACTCATATGTGATGAATGCTGTAATTTACATCTTCAGAAATTAATCACTGTAGTGGAATAATAATCATGATATCGTAGGTTGCAATGAACCCAAAAGTAATTTGAAATGGTTGTAGCCTTGGATGAACAGTCTCAAGGTGTGGCTCATCAATCTTTGAAGGCTTGGCAAAGATCGGTGACAAATTTAGGTCAATCAACGCCCGAACGCCCGATTGCCGATTTCGGCTCTCGACTACTGTACAGTACATGCCTAATATGCCGGTCGCCTGCAGAAGGCTGAGTTCACTCGGCATTGAGACCCGAATTTACATACCTGACACCCAATTGTTATGTGCTTGGTCATATGAGTCTTCCTAAGTAATCCCATCCATGTCAACATCATAGTCGTCATCATTGTCATAATCACCCCAGAGATCTTTCAAATCTTCCACTCGCCAAGCAGTAGCCCAACCAGTTTCACGCTCGATTCTGATCAAAGTCTCCACGATAGCCATATGTTCAGAGTAGTGCGACATGACTTTACCTGCAATCCACAGAGGTTGTAGTGCATTTGTCCAACACCCACTGAGGGGAACTATTTAGCGTCTTGTTCTTGAGGCCATACTAAGTGGAGATACTTACTGATGCGTATTAGATGCGGAGATAGCACAGATCTGCCGAGCATGCCAAAGGACAGATTTCTAGATGTATGTTAGAAATGACTCTCCACCTTTAAGCAGACAGACTAACCGGTTTTTTGAGAAGCGATAGTGTTTTAGGCTTGCGTTGGAGCAAAAGGAGGGCGCAGACGTGGTAAAGTTGATTTCCAGAGACTAAGTCACGTTAGCCTTAGCATATGAAGGAACAGAAAGCATGTAGAACGCACTGGCAGCTCCATTGCCATATAACACCATTGGGAATGGCTGGTCTATCCCCGAGTACCCGGGCTGGGCGACCGTAAATATGGACTTCATTTGACTCGGGCGACTTTCAAACCACTGTTCAACCTGCCCAAAGAGCTCTCTCCAGCGATATACGTATGAATTGACCTCCTCTTCAGGAATGGACTGGATTGGGCTACAGGGATGCGCAGTGTTGGAGGAGCATCCGAAGAGGACACCCAAAGTCTGAGCACAGAGATACACCGTATAATTGGCGTACGTATCAAAGCCACTTCTTGCATATGAAAGGAAGAGCTGTGATGCCTCATTGCCGCTCATGTCTCGTGGTCTCCAATTGTGGAGTGGGATGATAGTTTCTTCCTCCGATATCAGACCACCGCATACATCTGGAAATGCATTAGTATGAGCTCAAAATCCAATCCTAGAATGACATACCCATGCGTGCAAAACACCAAAACAGAGCTTGCTCTTCTTTTCCAGAGAAGCCATTAATACCAGCTGCTTGTATGAGGTACGCACATCCGTCCAAATGCCTTCGCCACTCCTTGGGGTTACCTGTTGAGCATTAATATCCAAGTCAAACAGATAATGGAAGAAAAATCCATACAACTCAACATTTCAAGGACACACAGGATCACACAAGAAGCGATGACAGGAGTGGTTTTGCTTTCTAATTCTGGCAATAGAAGATGGATTGCTTCTTGGTAGAGAGATAAACTTTCCGATTGAGATTTTGCATTTTGCTGTCTTTCAAGTTGACGGGCAGACAACGCCAAACAGGAATACCTCAAATGGGGTGCAGTCTTTGCCATCTGTGGGAATGTAGAAGCGAAGTGGTGATTATTATCAAACATGTCGAGCTTTTAGAGTCAGTCAACGATAGCTTGAATTGCTGTCAGGGAGAACATACCCATGAGCATATTTCATTCAAGTAATTTTGCCACAGAATGTGCTCCCTTTCGGGAGACAACTCGAACAGTCTTCTAGTCCTTGGCTCCCTCTTAGTGCGAGTAAACGAGCCCGAGTCGCTGTAGTCCGTTTGCGTGCGAGCATGAGAGATTGAGCCTCGAGAGCTGGTACGACTTTGACCATCAGGTCTGGCAGTCCATAACTGCCGATTTCGCAAAGTTGTATGTAGCGCTTCATAGGTTGATCCAGGTAAAAAGACATCGTTTGTGAGATCCGCGGGATCAGAGAAGACACCATTGTCAAAGAGAGGCGAGGGGTCATTGTGATATGAGTCTGTCACGGACGCGTTAAATTGGGCGTGGTGAGCAAGACCCCTCAAAGCCGCGAGATCGTCGACTAGAAACTCTGGGTTTGTGTGAACGTAGATATGCGAAGACTTATCATCTAGAACAGTGGTGCGTTGGATATCATATTGATAAGTTGAGTGATGCCACCTAGTGGCCCCAGGCGAGGGAAGATCATCAGCACTCTCTTCACTGTATCGATTGTGGAGAGAAGCGGGGCTTTGCTGACGCCGCAACAAATCAGACGGCTCGCCCCTGGATAGTGCTGAAGATAGCCCTTGATGTGCTTCCGTGAAAGAGCCGGAATGCGGGATCACCGACTGCGATGGATCTTTCAACGTAGACTGAGCTTCCGAAATGGCTTCAAATGTTGGCGCAGCGATTGTGGACGAAGCATGCGGCCCTGCCTCTGGCCGGTCACGGGTCGCTTCGGATTGCCGCTTAGAAACCCCTCTCGTACGGGGTGAATTTGTGAGAGTGCTCAAAATTTTGAACTTGCTTGGACGCTTGCTTTTGTTGGTGATTACACTCTGGCTCATGGAGGGGTGGTCCGATCCTAGCACTTTGATGTTGGCTTCTCGGAAGGATCCAAGTAGGCGCCATTGACATTCATCACCTCGTCGCTTGCAGCCTGTGCAGGTTGGTTTGGCTTCGTCGCATTTGCGACGCCGGCGACTGCAATTGAGACACCCCGTTCGTGTGCGTTTCTTCCGCTCCATAGGCTCTACGTCTTGCACATGCGGCCGTGGCAATGCCAGTGAGTTGCACAGGCCATCATCAGTACCTGCCATGGGGCTATTAAGAATTGCTCTCACCATACTAGACCAGGTTAACCACCGTCATGGGAAATTTCTGGGGTAGGCATTGGTATGGAGAGTCCTTAATGGCGGGGGAGGAGAGGGCTTAATATTACCGGAAATGGAGCGTTTAAGCGCTCTGCCCGGAATGTTTCGAGCCCCACTCGGCTCGTTTCCGTTGGTTGGGGTGCCGAGTCACGCCGGTTCTTCCTGTGCCGTGTGGAGATATTTTCGCGGGGATTTCCCGGGATTGCACCTGAGAGTCATCAGCCATGCCGTAATAGCTGAACGAGGCAAGAGCAGGCCAGATGAGTGGGTATGTACAGTGGAAGTTCAAAAATCCGGATCTAGAGACCAGAGAATTCGCCTAACAGAGATGCCTCCACTTCTTGTTTTTTTGAGGGTCTTTCTAAAGATCATTTAACTCGTCTTTCTTAATAGCTTAGGCATCATTTTCTAGTCCACCAATAAACTTGTGACTGAAAAGGTGATTCTGAACATTGGTCATTGGGACGAAAAATAGTCTGAAATGGCGAACCATCATCACCGAACAACAATTCACAAAAACAGATGAATCTACTCGACGTGTTGAGCATTCACGCTCTCAAGATCTTTGCCCTGAGCGATTCGCGCATCTGCGTCGCCAGCCATGCCCATGGACGGATGCCAATACAGTTTGACCTTTTCTCCCGTGAAAAGATGATCGATCTGCTCTAGGGTGAGGTTGCGTGCCTCCGGGTAGAAGAAGTAAATGAGAGGAAGGAAGCAAAAGTTGAAGACTACCAGAAATATTAGAATGGAGTGCAACGTGTTAGAGACTGAATGGGAAATACCGGCAAAGTAGATATAGGTTCGATAGCCAATGTTAGAAATACTAACGGGAGTGATTTCCACAACCAAAAATGTAAAGATCCCTGAAAAATATTCATTAGCTCCCATCAAGCAAACAGAGGTCTCTTTATAGAGCATCATACAGTTGGTTGCAGTCGCGAGAGCCGCCGATCGAGTTCGAATCGCAAGTGGCGAGTACTCGGCGGGCACTGAACAGACAGAGTAGGTTAGCCAAGGTGATTTCTGGAGTTGTCTTGTGAGAGAACATACGGAGCCATGGAATAGCGAGGAGGCCAACTGCAAAGAAGAAGTTGAACAGGAATAGCATGACTGTTGCAACTAAGCCAGCCGCATGTCCGCCGTCCCATACTGTTCCCGCCAGGATCGCCATGCAGGCGCCTTGACCAGTAACGGCGAACATCATGAGTTTACGACGACCGAGTCTGTATTTCGTCAGTTGCTAAGTCAGGGGAATTGAATGCTGCAGAGCCCACCGGTCGATGACCCAGATAGGAATCAAGGAGGAGAAGAAATATGCGACTCCGTTAAATCCGGCCAGCAGGAGTGCCGTGTTGTGATCCATTCCGACGGACTCCTCGAAGATCACAGTTGCATACTATTATCCGTCAGATCAAGCATTCTGGGTAATTCTGTAAGACTTACATATGTGATCAGGTTGATTCCCGACACTTGCTGCATCATTTGCCCCCCCATACCCAAAAGTGTTCGGTAGAAAAAGCGCTGTTGCCCATTCTGGAAGATCAGCTTGAAAGATCCCTCAGTCGAGGCTGCCTGCTCATCTCGAATGGCTTGAGAAATTTCCTGCACGTCGAGACTAACGACAGCATCGTTCTCGTCAATCTCTCTGGCATTATCCTGCAAGCTCCAAATAATATGGCGAGCCTTGTCTTCGTTTCCATGTTTGATAAGCTATATCACCGGGTTAGCTCATATCAAAATTGAAAGCAAAGGTTTGAGGCGCACCCATCGAGGAGATTCAGGTAGGAAGACAACACCGATGAATGTTAGGATAGCAAAGACGATCTGCAGTGCGATAGGGAAGCGGAACTGGGCTTCACTCGTGTTATACGAGAAACCGTAGTCTAGATGGAGATCAGGTCAGTAAAGAAGGTGAGCGCAGAATTGAATGTACTGACCAACCCAGTACGAAAGCATAACACCAAAGATATTGATAGCTAGCTCAATGGCCAACTAGAGTCACTGTCAGCGCGGATGTTTCCATGCATTCAAACAATGAACGTACCCCCTTTCCACGACTCGCAGCCTTACTCAACTCCGAATGCCAGACAGCTAATGCGATAGTCAGACGGCGCTCGTGATATGACTCAGTCATGGAGACTCACGGATAGTACTGGTGTTGAGACCGTTACCAACTCCAGCAATAATACGACCGACAATAAGATGAGGGATGCTGAAGGCACTACACTGGAGAGCAGCACCGATACTCAAAATCACACATCCAGCCATGATGCACTTGCGGCGACCAAGTCTCTCACCAATAAACAAAGACATGATAGCCCCAAGAAAACATCCCTGATTCATTAGCATCTGAGGCTAGACTTTCTCGTTCATGCGACTTACTATCTCGTAGATGGCAACACTACCCAAGAAAGACCATGTTAGTGTCTCATAGAGAAATAGCAGCCGGTTCATTGTCTTACACTGTTCCCTGGAGGGACGAGCTGCCATGCCCAGTCTTAGTAGTGTTGATTTCAGGAAATGTTGCGGTGAATGCATCCCCCGTCAATAGACCGGACATAACACCCTGATCATAGCCAAACCTCCAAGCGATAAACCGTTAGTAGAATAAAGAAGAATCTGGCGGGAGCGTTTACTCACAGCAAGAAACCACTACCGGCAGTGGCAGTGATGGCCCAAGCCAACTGCCTTCCCACAAGGAATGACATGACCTAGGTTGCGAATCCGAGCAGCTTTCGAACAAACTCCAGGAGAGTATAGTTGGTCTTCGACACTCCGATTGAAGTAGCGAAGAGGGAGATGGGTGTACAACAACCCATCACAGTGGGGCCCATGCCCCTCTTATAGAACCCTTCACCACGATTCTCATCGCCAAAAGCGCCGTTAATCGGGTGGCGCTCTTCAAGGTTCCCGGAATCCATGGCGTAATGTTTAGGTTGGGGACCCCAAATGCCCCAGAGTCTCTTGCCGCGTTTCAGAGGCGGGCAAACTCCGCGATTGCGGGGTGCATAGATGGATACCTAGCAAGTGAAATGCCTCGTTGACGTTCCTGGATCGAAGAAGTGCAGGGGTGGGCCGAACCGGGTCATCTACCGGCACAAGCCACGGCGTAGTTTCGGCGATCTCGGCTAAATCCTTAAATGGCTCGATGCGCGACTGCCTACCAAGAAAGGTATTTCCGCATTGGGAATGATTTAGCACCATAATTAGATTTGTCGTTGGTGCATACGATATGTCCTACAGCGAAACTAAAATGCTCTGCCGGTCTTGCGCTAATTTGTACGAGTATTTGACCCGCTTAGATCATGTGTGATTATTCGATAAGTTGTACTCCGTACACATCAGGCCTTTCTCACCCCCGCAGCAAACCGCAGGTCCTCGTCCTCGCCGGTCTTGCCCCGCGACTTTACATCCCACTAGAATACTTACTGTAAAGCGTAGGCCTTTGCACCCAGTGTCTGTTCGTCTGACTTTGCGAGAATCGGCCTATTCTCTTAGTCTAGGGAAAGAAGGTAGAAAAAATTGGAACCTGGACAAATTCAATTGCCGCGTAAGTTCCACTGTGGTTTTCTCAGCTCAACAATCTACAATTCGGTATTCTGCGGTCGTGGTGGAACTAGCTGTTAGGGCCACACTGTAGAAGGTTTCCTATATAAAGTGCAAGTCCTTAATTGATGCAGTGGGATCTTCTTGAATCCTGTCAACCTTGAACATTTCTCAATTTCACACCCGAAATATAGAATCCACCAAAATGGCCCCTTCTTTTAGTCTCGATCATACTACTCCTGCGGTCGTTCCCGAGTCGAACGAGACTCCGGCCGCCTTTGTGCCCACTAGAGATCTTTTCTCTCTAGCCGGTCGCACCGTCGTCATCACGGGCGGTGGTCGAGGTCTTGGTATGACCTTGACCACCGCGGTCCTGGAAGCTGGCGGCGAGGTCGCCTGCTTGGACCTTCTCCCAGAGCCTAGCCCTGAGGAGTGGATTGCTGTTCAGAAGCTTGCCAAGTCCTGTGGTCTCCAAGCCACCTATACCAAATGCGATATCACCAATGAGGAGGTCACCAAAGGCCTGTTGGAGAAGATTGCTGCTGATGCTCTGAGCCGAAATAAGCCCATGCGAGGGCTCATCACCTGTGCTGGAATCCAGCAGATGGTACCCGCCTTGGAATATCCCATTGAGGGTTACCGAAAGATGCTGGACGTTAAGTTAGCGATAGCCGCATTGTACCAAGTGACGAATAATTTACTAATGTCATATTACACAGTGTTCTTGGGACCTTTATTCCCGCTAAACACTGCGCTCGCATCTTTGTGGAGCAGAAGACGGCTGGAAGCATTGTTATGATCGCCTCCATGTCAGGCCAGATTGCTAACCGAGTGAGTAAAAAATATGGTGGAAGAAATCATTCAATGATTAACCAGATTTTCTTGTTAGGGGTTGACTTGTACAGCCTACAATTCCTCTAAGGCCGCCGTGCACCAGATGTGCCGATCGGTCGCTCAGGAATGGGGGCAGCACAAAATTCGCGTCAACACACTTTCGGCCGGGGTAAGAATTGGATTAAAGGTACTCAATCATGACAGACTTGGCTAATTCATCTTCTCAGTATATCCGTACTGCCATGACCGACGCCTTACTGAAGGAAAAGCCTGAAGTCGAGGAGACTTGGATGCGAGGCGCCCTCCTTGGTCGTCTGGGTGCGCCCGAGGACTTCAAGGGACCGACCGTGTATATGCTTGCTGATGGCAGCGCCTGGATGACTGGTGCTGATCTTCGTGTTGATGGTGGTCACTGTGCATCGGCATAAACCCCTTGAATTGAATTGAATGTAAAGATAAATGGGGCATGTTTCTGGCGTCTTGGTTTGGGTTGATCATGGTATAGATATAGATGTTTCAGAATATAACGAAAAATCAATTGATTTGTTGACAGAACCGTCGTTAACTAGTGGCTTGCATGATTTGACAAATTCCCAATCTTAATAGAAATTCAAAAAGCCGAGGATAATATATGGATACACCAAGCATCTGATCCACACTGTATCTATAAATTTCATTACCGTAGATTATATACACAATTGACACCAAAGAATGAACTCTCGTAATCCATTTATAACTGCTTTGCTTGCTTGACGTGCTTAAAAATGACATTTCCCAGCATTTACTTGGAAGAAGAACCGCAAACTGTAGATTGAAGCGTTGTAAACACTGAACTCAGTATTTAGTCATTTCAAACTTTGTCGTGTATGCTACTTCAAATACTCGACCCTAAGACATTGATGTCTCTAGGTACAGTGAAGCTCGCCGCCGTCGTGGGTATGGCAGTTCTGTGGCAATTAGTTTTCGAGCGTTAATATTAGGAATTTGCATGGCTAACTCACAGCAGGAACATCGGCTGTGGTAGAAGGAGCTTCGCTAGTCGTTTTTGTGGCAGTTGGCGTGCTTCCATGGGAGTTTGCGGCATCTTTCTTATCATCTTCGTGGTTGTGCTCATGCTGTTCGCCCGGGCACCCGATGCCCGGAACTGAGATATCATGAGCATAGACTTCCAGCGCAAAGTATTGAAGAGTTTCCGAATCATGCGTTGACAAAGTTGCATTCTCAATAGCGAGGTCAAGAACCTCATCGTATCCATCCGTATAATGATCGACCCAGTTTTGTCCGATGGCGGGGACATGATACAATCGGTGCAGCAGATCCGATGCCCAAAAAGTATTGGTCTCTGATCCCGAGACAGTGTAGCCCATTCCACACATTGTTGAGAGTGAACGACGACGTTCGTAGCTCAGATCGCAGATAACGGTTTCTTTGGTACCGTTTTCACCTCGCCAATGTCCAGCGTAACCTCAAAATGAGTGTTAGCGAGTTAATGACAATTATTATCAGGCACTCAGAAACTCACCTTCAAGATCACAGTTTCCGTCCGGGTTATCACAACGGAATAGAACATCATTCTTGTTGCCATTGACAACCACTTCAAAAGCTCCAATAGCTTCCATCGAAGGGCTGTTGCCAAAGTACTTTCGGTAGATCTCGCTTTCGTTTCTCCAGCGCAAGATATGGTCTTTAGCATGAGCTGCAAGTTCCACAGCCTCGGCTAATCCCAGCTCGATCTGGCGACGCTGTGTTGCGTTGCAACTAGAGTGAATTGGGAACTCTGTCACTTCACCTGCATTCCAGGGGGTAATTTCGGTTTTCACAAATGGCTTTGACAAGTTTCCATGGCCTGGAGCGGGCAAAGCCGCTGCGGTAGCAACCGAGAGAGCCAGTATTCTGAAAATGAGGGCCATGATGAGTGCTTTCCCGCTTGAAATTTCTTTGTCTGGCTGGAAACAAGACTGAGATATCTCTTTTATACTTTGTATTTTCCACATCTATCCTGTTCTACTCATTTGATGATTTGATTGCCAAGGCTTGTAATTCTGAGCTTTTCCTTCCAAAAATGCCGCAGTGATCACTTGGCTCAACCTTGTGAGATATTCCTAAAGCCCCAATACGACTTGAAGACATGCAAAGCGAGTACCTTGATAACCGTTTTCTATGCTTTGGCCTTTGACCTTGGACGGGGTGGTATAAAGCTCCTCCAATGCCAAGAACCAAGCCCAGCGGAGTCCCGCCAAGAATCTTGGAAAGGGGACCTTGATGGAACAGGCGTTGTGAAATCCATCCTCTCTAAGACCAAATCTCACTCGCTAATGGATGCCTATGCTTGGCGGTAGTCGAGACAATCCTTTACCGACTTTGCGACCGGAGATTTCACGAAGGAAACCGTCAAGGTCCTCATCGGCTTTGTAAACCGAGACCCTTCATAGAAAGCCACTTCTCCGGAGATTTTTCAAAAGGCATTCCTCAATTGATTTGACTTTTCCCATCCTATGTGGAATATATCTCGATATGCACTTTCTCAGGTCTTTTGTCATAACTTTGAGCGCAGCAAAGGCATTTGCGGCCACCTCTACAACAGCCGCAGCCGCAAGCTCAATCACTGGATGCCATACTCATGGATCGGATATTTTCTGCTTCGATAGATCTGGTCATGAGGTCCTGGTATCGGTGACTGCAACACCAACGAGTGGAACACCCGCGCAGTACACTGGCTGCCACTCACACGGCGACGAATCGTAAGTCACTACGATTTGGATACCCGGTCAAGTTTCTAATATTTGATGTGTTCCTAGATATTGCATGGATCAAGATGGCAATGATGTTCTAGTAAAGGAGCAAGAGTCCGATGGAGAAGAGTCCGAAGAGCACGACCATGACCATGACCGTGACCATAGCCATGAACACAGCCATGAGGAATCTGAAGAATCCACGTCGGGAGAGAAAACTAATTGCCACTTCCATGCTGGTGTGGAGTAAGTTCATTTCTGTTGGCGGGGGCCCACAATCGCTGACTTCTTCTTTTCAATACAGACATTGTGTCGGCTCAGGAGAGTCCGAGGAAAGTAGCCATCAGTCCTGTGGCATCCAAACAAGAGACTACAATGTGCCTCTGAGGATTGGAACACTATTCGTGGTTCTCATTACCAGTGCGATCGGTGTTTTTGCCCCTATACTATTAGCCAAACTGCCCTTTGCCTCCATCAACTCCATGGTATCAACGGTCCTCAAGCAATTCGGCACGGGCATCATCATCGCGACGGCATTTGTTCACGTAAGTCGAATTCATGTATCAATCAAAAAGTAAGAAACTAACACATTACTAGCTATATACACATGCTTCGCTCATGTTCACCAACGAATGTCTGGGTGAGCTGGACTACGAAGCGACTACTTCTGCAGTGGTAATGGCTGGCATATTCCTGGCATTCTTGTTTGAATATATCGGCTACCGAGTTACTGCCGCCAGGGCCGCCAAAGCAGTCACGTCACCTTCGGAGCCTTCTAGCCCTGAGCAATCTTCTCGCAAAGAAGATGTTCCATCTCACCCGCAGTCTACACTGGCACAAATGGGACATAGCCATGGGGTTGCTCTTGATCCAACCAGGCCAATCACACAGTTTTCTGTAATTGTCATGGAAGCTGGTGTCCTGTTCCACAGTATATTGATTGGTATCACCCTGGTTGTTGCCGGCGACTCTTTCTATAAGACACTTTTGGTGGTCCTTGTGTTCCATCAATTTTTCGAAGGCCTGGCACTCGGGGCTCGAATTGCGACGCTCCCTGGCTCGATCTTTCCGTTAAAAGCCATTATGGCCGCAGCCTTCGCTCTTATCACTCCTATCGGTATGGCTATTGGACTGGGCGTGCTGCATTCTTTCAACGGAAATGAGAAGAGCACTCTTATTGCGCTCGGCACACTAGATGCCCTTTCTGCTGGAATTCTTGCGTGGGTGGGTGTTGTGGATATGTGGGCTCGAGACTGGGTTATTGAGGGAGGCGAAATGCTCAATGCACCTCTAGGTAGAGTATTGATCGGTGGTTTATCTTTGGTGACTGGGCTTATTCTGATGGGAGTGCTTGGTAAATGGGCCTAAGCGGCCAGCCATCCTGGTTTTCGCCAAGTTATTTACCAGATCTACTTCCACGCACGTGGCACCTCGCAGGAACCAAGATCCAAAATAGCTTCCAAAAATAAGAATAAACTATACGCGCCATCCATTATTTGCACTGGATCTACAAGCTACTATCTGAATACCCATTCTCTAGGCAAAGAGGATCGACTTTAAATCACAGACTGAATCCGCCTAGACTTCTTGTGCCGATAGGACCGGTGTGGAGCCCCGCTGAGTTTCTCATTCAGCCAATGATCGGCGATTTCCGCAACAACCTGCCTGATTGCGAATAGCTTCCCCACCTTAGCCAACCCAGGCCCCCTAAACATAGGACCCCCGCGTTTTAGCGAAAGAAAGGAGAGATTGGTCAACATACATGTGTATCTTGGTTAGTTCTTTTCTCATGACTGTACCCTTGGCTTGCCGGCTACCTTTGAGGGTGGTTGGTCTACGCTTATCATCGGAATGGGAACTGGATTATCATAGGTGTTGAATGATGCTGTGCGACACATCTACCAGTGGTCATCCGTATCTGTGCCGGATGGAGCTTCCTGAAATGGTTAGCGCAACGCCAGTTGAGGGGACAGCAGATAGGAGGAGTGATAAACAATAAAGCGGAGTAGGATAGGGACAGCTATATGAGCCCTTCCCTCCACCCCTATCGATTTTTGGAATAACCTCAGTTTCGATATACTGCTATCTCACCTACCTGCTACTGGCCCAGCGCAACATACCTAGATTTTTGACTCTCTCCTCTTTCTCACTTGGCCCCCATCAACCAGTGGAATTCACCACGACAATCCAATTTAGATGGCGGTTTTCTCACTCTATCCATTACGGCTCCATTCTCACTCCTATACCATATCGCTGTCCCAGCCTCTCCGCAGAGCCAGTAGAAACAATACGCAAAAATCTAAACTTGTGCTCTAAGTCAAGAGTCTTCCCGATTTCGTGAAACAATAGTGGCAAGGCCAGATATTATGTCAATTCAAATCGTCCCTTTGACTAAGGCCGACATACCGGCGGCCGTAGAGTGTGTCCAGAAAGCCTTTTCCGATGACCCCTACTTCCGGTGGGCGTTCAACGACCCCTCTAAGGTACGAAAAATCGTTACGGGAAGGCTAACCCAAAATCCCCCGGCTTGGTATCTCTGAGGACGAGAAAATAATGCCCTTGGGTCGATTTGCGCGAGAAAAATACACTAACACGCTCAAAATTTAGTTCAACATCGAGCGAAACGCAGCTTCTTTAGCAGCGCACTTTCAGTATGGCCTTAGCTGTGACTGTCCCATCTCGGTCGCCAAAGTGACCCACTCTCCAGACGACCAAAAAGTTGACCATGATGTCAAGCTATCATCGGGTAGCGTTGTCGGAGTTGGCTGGTGGTACTCACCTCAAGCAGCACGAGCATCTCAGACTTGGTCCCTTTGGGCGCAGAAGTGGCTCCTCTCCTTCCGGCAGCTCTTGAACAATATTCGCTTCCTGGGCCGAGGTGGTCTGAATGTTCCTCGATACTGGATCTGGAAGCAGGTGCAACAGGACGCACATAACACTCTTTGGACAGACCCTCGTGGCTACTACTTCTGCAACATGGTGGGCGTCAGTTCCCAGGCCCGTGGAATGGGCGTGGGCAAGCGCCTGATGACGAGTGTCATGGAGAGAGCAGACCGGGAAAGTATGCCATGTTACCTGGAAAGTTCCAAAGGTCACCCTAATATTACCATCTATGAAAAGATGGGGTTCAAACTAATCAAAGAGATTGAATGTGCCGAGGGTGGAGACGTCTGCAAGGTAAGCCGGTTCTAATATGATCTTTCGAGCGATGACTGACCAGTAACTTTTAGCTTTATTGCATGATCCGAAACCCGAAATCTAAGTCTTAATGAAACAATATAACACAGGGAGCAGAATCACTGCAATCAACCATGTAGTTGCTACTTGGAAGCATTGATAATTGATGTCAAGTCCTTTAATAATGAAATCATCTCGTCATAAATACCTTTCGCAGCACAAGCCCAGGCTGGTGAGGGTAGCTAAAAAAATTATAAGTAGTAAATCAACCTGGGTTCAAGCTTCGAGTCATGTGGTACCAGTCTTCGAGTTTGAATCAGAGATGTCAAGCTCGTGAAGGGTCATACAACTAGTGACGGTTTGGTGGTTCTGACGGAACCACAAGAAGCCCGTATGACTAAGAACGTTGCCTATGGCACATTTTTGGTCTAGCGGTATTATGCCCCATCTGTGTTCGACAGGTTCGCTGCAGCCTGAGGGTCGAAGTGTACGGTGGCCGGTAGTGGCCACCCTCGCGCAATTGACGTTTGGTTAAAATTATTTGGTACCAAGCCACATTGCCATATGTAGCTGCCAGGAATATTGACCTACTAGGGGGCGTTATAACAACATAAAAAGATATGCAGAGAAAGAAATAGAGAAATAGGAAAGAGGTGTGCAAAGGAGATTCAGCCGCCTTCGAAAGCAGACTAAATGACTTATTATGGATATTGATGCCCAGTTTATAAGGTATAGAGGGCAGGTGATTTTGATGAGGGTATAAAAATGTCCGTTGCCAGAGGTGGCACTTATCGGCCACCGTGCCAGAGGCTCAAAGTGGACCACAATGTAATTCGGAGACCCTTTTGTGGCCGACGGGAAGATCCCAGATCATATTAACTAACTAGTCTTTATCTGTCAGCCAATTACACAAGGCAAGCAGTCGCATTACTAGATTTGACATCCGCTGAACCTCATTTAACTACGCTGTCAATTTATGAGTCAGCCTATGGATTATTCCAGCCTGGGGTAAGTACTTGATTGTGAATCTGGGCGGTTTGCGGCCAACTAGGCAAAGAATCGAACTACTTAACTATCCAAATTTTCCCTTTCATTCCCTTTCATTCCTGGATTTCCAACACCACAACAACATCACAACATTTTTCTCCTCCCCACCATCCAACTACATCGATCAAAATGTTACTCTACGGCTGTTATTCCAGATCCCTGGAAAATATCGTCCGACCAATCAATGCCTCCCCCAGGTAGGGTTAGACGTGCACGCAACACTTCTCTCGACTACTTCGCGAGCGCTACTCACTCAGACCTTCGTGAATCCATCCTCAACAAAGCCCATTTCAGAAGTTTTTTATCCTTTCCCCCTCTATGGTGGAGCCAGTGCTGTTGGTTTTAATTGCCGAGTGGGAGCGGATATTATTCGGGGCAAGGTGCAACCCAGACAAAAGGCGGATGAACTTTACCAGAAAGCCGAGGCTGAGGGACAGGCAGCCGCAATCTTCGATCAATCATACGATACCAGTGATGTCTTCGGGACTCGTGTATGCAAAGTTCCCGCCGGTGGGAAAGTCACCATTGAAATCACCCTCGTGGAAGAACTGAAGCAAGATGCTCAAACAAATGGGCCACGATACACAGTTCCTACGGCCATCGCTCCACGATATGGTCAGCAACGAGATGCACCGCCAGCTGCACCCGAAGGAGCCGTTATCAAGACTGCGATCAAGGTTGATGTCATCATGGAAAAGGGCTCCACGATTCGTAACGTTCGGTCGCCAAGTCACCCCTTCGAGTTGAACTTGGGCCGGGCGTCTTACATGCCAGAATCTACTTTTGAACCTTGCTATGCCTCGGTCAAACTGCAGGAAAATTCAGTCATTCGAGAAGATCCCGTTCTAACTGTTAACTGCGACAATCAAGATAACCCTGTCGCATTCCTGGAAACGCCCCCTACCTTACCCAACTAGCAAGCATTAATGGTCTCCCTAGTTCCAAAATTCAGCCTACCGCCAGACCCCCCTGAAGTCGTGTTTGTGATTGACCGAAGTGGCAGCATGCAAGACAAGGTTGCAACCTTGAAGTCTGTCCTGGAGGTATTCTTAAAGTCACTGCCCCTTGGAGTGACGTTCAACATTGTCTCATTCGGCAGTTCCTACAGCCCCCTATGGCCTCGCAGCAAAGTGAGTGACAAAGCAAGTCTCTCCGAGGCGCTAGAGTTCACGAAGACTATCGATGCAGATATGGGAGGAACAGATATTCTGGCTGCGCTCAAGGCTGCATTGGAGAACCACTACAAGGACAAGCTCCCCGATGTCCTGCTCCTCACCGATGGCGAGGTTTGGAACCAAGGGGATATATTCACCTTTGTAAACAAGGTTGTCCAGGACAGCTCTGCCCGTTTCTTCAGTCTGGGTATCCGGAATGATGCTTCCCACGCTCTCATCAACGGCATTGCTCGCGCAGGACGTGGCTTCTCTCAGTCAGTTCTAAATTACGAGAAGCTAGATAAGAAGGTTATCCGAATGCACAATGGGGCTTTGATGCCACGACTGAGAGACTGCAGATTGGAGATCGGGTTGTCTCCTCTGGAGCACGACGATTCCATTGAGATTGAACCAGCAGAGGCAAACGAACAGCCGGCCGTGGAAGTATCCACAAAGCCACCAATTTAATTGTTTATGAAGGTCATGAGGACTCGGGAAATTTGGAAGTCACGAATCAGCCTTTGCCCAAGCTCCCTGTTCCAGCAATTCTTCAGGCCCCAACTGAGATCCCTCCTCTTTATCCCTTCATTCGATCAACAATATTCGTTCTTATTTCCAATGCAAGCTCCCCTCTTCCAGAAAAAGTCTTCTTGCGGTCAAACAGCAACCATGGTCCCCTCGAGCTAGAGATTGCAGTTCAAGACATGGGCCATGGAGAAACCCTTCACCAGCTGGCAGCCAAGAAGGCAATGACGGAGCTCGAAGAATCTCGTGGTGGATCCAGGATTCAAAGACCATCCAGGGTGAATTAAGAAATTCGAATGAACGAGCTCATTCAAAACGAGTGCGAAAGACTGGGGGGTTTGATTCCAGATCGCCGGCAAGCACTGCTCCTTCGTGGCTGTTAAAGAAACTAAACAAACTCACGACGGGGTCCCTCCCAATCCGTCCTCTGATATATGCCCGTGCCACCACGGAACACATAGTGACGAACCTAGTGTGTGATATGAGTAATTTGGGTGAGTACGCAGCACCAGCAGTTCGATTTTCATGCTCAGCCAGCCTCACTCCGTGTGCATCGGCAGCTGCTTCCGAGGCTTACGAGGAATGCGAAGAATCAGACGAAGATATCGGCTTCGCCCTTTTTGACGACGAGCCTTCTCTGCCTTTCTCCCAATTAACAAATGTGTATGAGGCAAGAGCCTTTGCTGGGCTGGCTAAGACCGGAGGAAAGAGACATACATCAGCTACTGCTCAAAGCGACGACCAAGACTCCAAGGCTAGCAGCGAAGGATCGAAGGTGCAGCAGCGCGTCCGGTTGCAAAAATTTGAGGGTTACTGGGACTGGTGGGGTGAAGTTCATTAGACACTTAGTCTTGATCAAGTTACTGTTATTGCAAAGTTGCTTTCTTGCTACAAGGTAATTACCGGCGAAGAGACTGATAATCTGGGCTACCCTGATTGGAAGGAGAACTTTGCTACCGGGCTTGTGTGTCTTTACTTGGAAACCCGGGCATTGGAATCCAAGGATGTCTGGGAATTGCTCAGGGAGAAAGCGGACAAATGGGTAAAGGATGCGTTGGAAGTCATGAGGTACGATCATCAACTAATCGCGAGAGATCTAATTGATGAACTTGGTTCTTGCTTTTAAGACCATCGGAAGAGGGGGACTTGTGGTTTTGCTCTTTTGAGGTCAAGAATGTGTACCTAAATTGCTACAGAGATTAACTGAATAGCTTGCTCGAGTTCAAGCGATTTTTTTCAGGCTAAGACTAATCGCACGACAACCTATGCTTTCGCAAGATAGACGATAGCCCTTTCGGATATAGCGGAGAATAGGTACATCTGGACCCTCGACATCCAGACTAGAGAAACGAGTTTATTACTTTGTAAATGTGTATGATCTTTCTAGATGTTCTTTGAATCGTCTCATTTGTTAGCTAAAGTTTCTTAATGGCCTACCGTTTAAAGTCGTGACTATTAAGACAATTTTAAAAGCGTATCAGGGTTTCTAACTTATAGAATATTACCATATCTATATGATGACTCGATCCCTTTGACCTCGATAGGGTTTGCAGGGTTTGTCGTCCTCTTTGGCCCTGCATGAAGCAGGCCGAGGATTTCCTGTCAGGACCAGGCCTTGTTCTTTTCCTTTGTGCTTCAGGGCCTTATAGACCCTGTTCTGTTCCCTTTTGCTTCTTCTTCTCTTAGTCGTCTTCGTCTTCCTGTTCTGGATAGACCAATTGACTCAGTCTCCCTTCTCTCTTCGGTTCCTGTGCCAGCAGTGCCGTGGGTGCCGTGGGCACTGTCACTATACTAAAAGACTTTACGCTATGGGCCTGTTATTCACTATATCCAAAAATGGTATATTCTGTCGCGCAAAGCACAGATTGTCGTACGATTAGCCCCAGCCATTTTTTGCCCTTGACTTTGGAACGATCATGTAAAGAGCAACAAGTATGTGGTGTGGCTGAGAATCTCGCTCTGGTTTATACTTGTGCTCATGTCTTTCCTGTACTGTAATTCGTGCAGTAAGCGTTTTCTAAAATTTGCGTCATTCGGTTTCGGGAATTATGCTGCCTCCATGCTGCTCTGTAGATCATCCACAGCACCAAAGGGGTTGGTTTCCCCTCTCCATTTGGCCCTCTCTATTATCCATTCTGGGCATATTGTTAAAATTTGAGCCATTTGAAATTTTTGAAAACTATCCATTCTATTCTACGTGTTTCACGGCTTGTGGATTTCCTTGATAACGGAATACCAGTAGGTCTTCCATCTCTGTCCTCTGTCCATTGACACTTTGACCCGACCTGAAACAACCCCACTCACAAGCAGCCCAACTAACAACGCGAGGGCCAATCGGTGGAAGCCCCGCATCAAGCTTTGCACTAATGAGCGGGCAAAATTGGAACCATACCTGAAATCTGCGTCAGCGCTGCTATTTTCGGGATGAAGGTTCTATTGTTTGCCAGTTCGTTCGAACGGTTCTTTATCGTGGTACAAAAAGAACGAAAATTGAACAGCACGCATGGGCAACTCGCCTGCAACTTGTCGGACTCCGTCACCCAGCTTTTGAGATAACATATCCTGTCGCAATAACGCATATACTATAGGTCGTGGTATTTTACTTGGCAAAAAAAGTCATGCTGGGGGCATCCGCCCCGATCCGCGAACGCGATCTGTGAGGGACGACATCGGATGGCCGAAATAGCCAATGACAATAATCTTACACCCCCAGCGTCTATCAACATCGTCGGCTCGTAGGTCCCAGAAATGTGCCATGATCAGCCAATGGTGATCCGGTCGTTCCGTGGTAGCACTAGAAAGGCACAGATCAGATTGCGAAATATGAGGCATCGCCCCTCGAGACTGTCGTAAGCTAATGATTTTCTGCTGCGCATTGTTCTCGGTACATGTACCTTGTCGCATCCCTGCCAGATCCTTTATTTTCCCTTTACCCCCCTCTTCTCCTCAGGTTTCCTATCTATTTGGCCCATTTCGCTTTCCATCGCTTGTGCAGTGTTGATTGCCGTCCACGACCCTCAATCTACATCCAACCCATCGTGGATCAGCCCCAGACCCTCGAACCCGCCATGCACTGACCAACGCCTAACGGCCCCAACTATACATTAAAAACGTCACCAGACTCAGAATCTGCCCGTACTGTCACGACTACCACTCGTTTAGTTCGACATTATTATCACAGCAACATGGGGGGTCTCACTACACCAGCCATCATTGTGATCGTCTTGGTTGGCTGCCTAGCCATCACAGCCCTCGGCGCTGCCCTCTTCCGTCACTACCGCCCGCTCGAAGAGGAAGCGCGATACAGCGCCTCCTACGAACAAGGACAATACATGCGTACAGTGCGAATGCGGAATTATGGCCACTTGAAACAGGAGTCGCTAGGCCCAGCGAGGGATCTCGAGTCACGGTGTACGTCATCACTCCGGTTGCTCTAGTTTGCGATCGCATATACTTGATGGCCTCCGCGATGATGCCGCTAACCGTTGAGCACCGATTAGATACCGCAGACGAGGTCTCGAGTCACTACAATCCCCACCCATACACTCCTCGCACACCACGAGAGTAAAGCACCATGGACTCTTTTTCTACGAATCTCCGATGACTACGAATTATCACGATGGAATTTTTGATATGGCAGAATGTTTACATGGCCATTCTATGCCTACATTGTCTATATGGCGCAGAACGGCGCTTACTATTGGAATATATGAAAGCATAGATGAGTTAGCAGGGCCCAACACCTTGATCAGAGATCGATCGTGTCTTTACACTGACGACTCGGCACATGGGGGTATAGGATACAATGGAACTTACAGCCTAGGCATTGGTGGGGTTCTAGCGCAAATTTTGCATTTTTTTAGACCATTGATTACCTGATCGCACACTACACAGCAAAATGTCTGTCTTTCATTCAATCGACTTGCATAAATCTCAACTCAAAATATTGAAAAAAAAATATCTATGTACAGACTCCTCGATTTGAATCATTCCAACAAGAAAGTCATATTGACAAGTCGAAAGACGGTCATTTCATCTCTAGCTGAGAGACCTTACAAGTAATATTCGAGAATTATTAGAGCTTGGGCTAGAAACTCAGCCACAAGATTAAAGGACAATAACAAATCTAGAATCTTGATTCATTAATTCATAGGTGATTACTGGAGTCAGCTTATAGGATTTTGCTTACGTGGGAGCGATTGAACACAATGAATATGCAACGAAGGAGATAATGGGTGTTTAGAAAATAAACTTTAGCAGGGAAAAGGGTCTGTTACTCTGTGCCCCGGGTCTTTATAAGGTAATCAAAATCCCTGTAGGACATGAAGCATTCCGAATAACTTTGTTCGCTCGTCCATGATCTCATTTGGTGCGGCCATGATTTCCAGTAACTTCGCCGCTACTTCATCTGACCGCGAATGTTCTTCCTGGCAGACCATTGAGACAAGGGCGTATGATAGCATATCAGTCGGCATTTTGAAATCTCTTTCCTGGTTTTAGATGAGAAGGTAATTCTCTATCTCCTGGAGCAGGCGATGCTCTCTGATATACCAGAAATGTCGAATTTGAGAAACATGGCGCACAGGCGACAAAGACGGCGCCTCTTGGATTCGGAATCTTCAGATATCCCTGGATTAGCCCATTAACACTCTCTTAGTGTCGTCATGATTTCTTCTTTCTCGTGGCTTTCCAGCTCCATGCCGGTAAACTCGCCACGGGCTAGTCCCAAGGAAGCCCGAAAAAAACCGTGATGCGGTGACCATGAGATAAAATAAACTCTTCCATCATATCATCGGTGACATTCTCGAAGTATTTTTCCATTGGTAATCACCGGGCAAGCTGCAGATTGAAGCTTTCCAATATGACTTGTTGGAATAATTCAAATTGAGGAGAATGGACGTTGGGACACGCATATGATATTACACTTTTACCGGCAATCAAAATACGTTTCAATCTGTGGTGGACGAAGTCCGCCTAAAACCATTATGACGCCGAGACTGGTGTCAGACCAGACGATTTGACGCTCAGTGGTGCCGAGAATAGTTTGATAGCACGCCAGAAGTTGAGCGGCCTTACCTAGTAACCAATATAGAACCCTCCCCGCGTAGACTGGAATACTTTGCATGTTTTTTGAATGACATCGTCGTCCACTGTGAAATGCATCGCATCTTTTACGGAGGCATCGGGAGGATTTTGGAGTCTGGCACTCGCAACACACACATAATCCGCACAGTAGGCCATATAATCATTATGAACTTCAATCAGATCTCTCTTGCACGGGTGGCTATCCGGAAGAAGATATTGAAGGATCCTGTTTCCAGTGGCCGCCAAAAACAAGGCATCGGCACCAAGGCTTTTAGGGTGGTGGACATGCCATGCCGGTAAGAGACTGCAGTCTGTCGGTTCGTTGATCGACTCTTCCAGATCAATTAACTCATCGAAGTGAACAGTAAGCATTGTGCACGGGCTGAAAGCTGCAGTAAATGAATATACAACTTTCATGTGCGATCTGGTTTGGTAATCGCGGGGTGTGAATTGCCGGTAAAAGTGTAATATCATATGCGCGTCCCAACATCCATTCCAGCTTCTATCTAAGGCCCCATTTATTACCTGTAAATTCAATGAGTCTCTATATCCAGACATCCAGATCAATAATTTACATGCTTAACCATGTCTGAAGTGCTCGGGCCCATACTGATTCTCGTACCTCCGGCATCCCAGGGATTCGTGCTATTAGACGGTATGCGTCCATGAACGGGCCATGGACGTCCACCATAGATTGAAGCCCATTTTGAGGGACAACCTGCGCATCCAAATTCTCCGTAGGCCGGGAAAGAGCGTCTGGATCGTCATGGCAATAATATTCTGCCACAAACGCGCGTAAAGCAGTTCGATCAAGATCGAAGCCAAAGAACGACGACATTTCAATTATCGTTTTGAAGTGTTGGTTCCAAGTTCAATAATAGATTATCATTTCAATAACTCTACATACGCGGCCCTGCTCTCTTATATTTCAGAAGTCGGTGAAGGAGCTATCACTCCGCTGCCTTGACTTTTAAGGGAATTAACTGACACAACGCATCGTCACAGAAGAAAGTTCAGCAGGATAGTCTTAAGGTTCAGTATTCATGCATGTACTGCCAATGGATGAGACACACGTTGGTAAAGAAGCCATGTGGGGCGAATCGATGTTACACGACAGCACTTCGAATGTGTCAAGGAACCATGGAATGCACATAGAGGCGGGCATGAACAGTCCCCTGAGCCCTTCGAGCCTGGTTTATCAAGACCGCATTGTTTTTCTTTTAAGAATTTCTACATATGATGTTATCTTTCCAGTGCATGTCGTTCCGAACGATCAGATAAGGAAGTTAATGATAAGTAGTTTACATTTCGCAAGGAGTCTATCCTCGCGTCATCCTGCACGAATTGAACTAGTGCTCGATTGACGCACTTCATCTAGATATCTTGTTTCTAGAGTTCTGCAGCCGTCCTGTGACTGGTGTAGGCTAACCTGTTGTCGAGCATGTCCAACAAAAATCATAATACAACCAGTTAAGGCATATCATCTGTCAAATCCGCGTATTCCCAATCTCTTGATCCTTTGGTTAGCCGTTCTCAATAACGTGAAAATGTCAGTCTAACCATAATATTACCCGCTTAGGCATTATATACGTAAGTTTAGGTCAAAATTCTAGCCATTAGATATCCTACGTTACTTACCCTAATTCCACTAATATTGTCGTGACATTGGCATCTGCTATGAAAGGTAGCTTAATTTGGCGCTAAATTCATCTTGTTCTACATAGCTCTTCCCGCATCGCGGCGGATCCCTAAGTGGGCGCAGGCAGGAGCCTCGCTCAGTCCTTTGGCGAGGCATGTTCACGGTCTGTCTTGCGCTCCGCTGGTGAAGTGGTTTTTTGAGGTCAAGCGCTGCGTTTCCAATCGCGTATCAGCTATTTTTTCTCTCTAAGCTCACGGGTATCTTGAATCTCGCTCCGCGAATCTCAATATCTGTCGTGCGTCGTGCGTCTGACCTCCCAGTGGGCAAAAAACTCGATTCGACGTGTCGACATTGCCGCTTGTCTTATTTGGGATTTTGCCTTGTATTTCATACATTGAGATAGAGTTCCCCTCATACTGAGTGCTGGTGCTAAGTTGCTAAGTGTATGGAGGGGGTGTTTTCCCAAACGTGGCATGTGGAGCTCGGGAAGAGGCAGAATTTGCCAGCCCTCCAGGTATTCTTCACCAGGTTGTTGCTTCCTGTCATAGTGTAGTGAACAGTGTACAGATAATCGTCCGAATCCTCGCCCTGATGCGGATTCTCACCGATAAATCCTAGGCCCCGAGCATGACTGAATGCTCGGGATTTTGAATAATGCGGACACGGGAACGGACACGAATAAACCCGCGGAGACTCTACGGGACTTAGGGACGTTTCAGCATTGTTACATCGTGGTTCCACGGTGAATGGGTCGGCGTTTTCTTGATGGCTTGGATCAGGATTGCACCTTACATCATAAGCGTAGCTGTAAGTAATTGAGATCTCTTTTCGCTCTAGTAGGTAGTGGGCTACCTTTAAACGGTGATTACCCGTAAGCCATGGACGGATAAGGTTGTAGCCAGGGCTGCCTCGGTTGATCGACACGAGCCTACCAATGACAGCTTTTTCTACCCTACAAGGCGCAGACCGACCCTCCAGTTCTGGTACTACTGTATAATATGGCCACCTGCTAGCCTTAGGCCCATCCCACCGGGCGCAGGTTTCACTTTGCAATTTGCGCTTCGCGGAGCTTCGGTCCCTAATTACTGGAAACCTTTGAAAATCATGGTGAGGCTGCAAGGCTGAGATCGATTCCGCCCTCGGAGCCCCACGTGTGACGATGAAGGAAACGTTGGGGGTCGCACAGCTTGCTCGATGCGGTTATTCCCGCTGCTTAGCCACGCTGGCCCGGTTTGTGGTAATGACATAAGAACCAATCGCGATTCCATGGATGCTATCAGGCCATCCTAATGAGGTAGACTTGCATTCTCGTATCTCATTTCCAGGCAACCAAAAACGAACTTACCTTTCTGGGAATACGGCGTATTCGCGGACCCCTAAGCCTGGCTCCCCCACATGGTTCGTGCATACGGCCGTAGAATGCCCGTAGAATGGATACGAGTACGGCTGGGTAAGGCTAAGGCCAAGATCGAACTAACTATTTATTGACTCGAGGCCTCGATGTATCGGTGAGAAGGAAAAAGTTCTCATCTTTGTGAACATATCTCACTGTCAATTTAAACTCTCGATACTGCAGCCGACAGATCAATCGTTATGATTTTCATGCGGCACGAGGCCAACATGAGCGCCTTCTCAGTCAACTACGATAGCGACGCGGCCAGCGATGAGCGGTATGTAACCTGCGGGCGTCACTGTCGCAGTTTCTTGTTCTTGTTTCTCGCGGAAAAAAAAAACCTAACAGATGTAATCAAAAATCTAGACCGACGTCGCAACCTGCACGAACCAAAATCCAAGCAAATTTTCAAATTGCCCGACCAGCCCCGAAATCATCGCTCCGACTGTCCGCAAAATTATTACTACAAATCCAACAACTCTCACATAACCACCGACCAGTTCCAGTCCTGGAAATATGGCAACCCCCATTGCGCAAATCAAAATTGACCCGGGATTTCCCTCAACGACCAAAACTACGGGCGGGCGATATTTACGCGACTCTCGATGAACCATACCTTTCCAGCGCACCGGCGACACGGAAAGAATCCACAAAATCCGACGCGCAGGAAAGCACTAGCAGCAACCTGGAAAATAAAGACATCATAGCGGCAATTTGCCAATCTACTGGTGAGAAGGCCCGCGCCTCAACTATACACTTTCGCGACGCACAATGTAGCTGGCAGGCCAGCGTGGGCACCGCGGGTCCTGAAAATACACCATGCTACCGATTTACCATCAACGATGAGAGCAGAGAAAAGAGCGATCCGGGACGAATGATTATGCAATGGGAAAAGCGCGGCCTTGCTGGCAAGGACGAGAATTCCTCACAATCATTCAATTCGGATCAGTTCGTTCTAGTGTTGATCGATCGCACGGCACGGCGAAAGAGCCGCATAGCGACGATGACCCCTGGTGGGCTGGAAATCATGGTCCGGAAAACTTCTATCATGGAGCACTTACAGGTGTGCATGGATTTAACAAATCCTATATCGACAGCAACGGGCGGCGATCGGGATGCCCACGAGAACTTGGAAATGTGGTTGTATACGCACGTTCTTACATTGGGAGTATGGGTGGCCCAGCAAGAAGGGTGGCTTGGTTAAGTAACGAGAAATACGAACAAATGATGACATTGAGACGCTAGTCTTTATATCGATCGCTTCAATACTAGTACGAAGCAATGCCCTCCTCCAGCGCCTTAATCTGTAGTGCCAGCAGACGAGAGTAGTATCTGCACATAGCCAGGTTTCCACCCATAAACCAGAAGCCTGGATAGCCACTGCGACGCCAGATAGTTCGCATCTCGCCCTCCGAATCAAGGCCCCATACATCACCGACCCGATCGGCAACTTCATCACCAAAGATAATCCGCGCCTGAGTGCGCATGTTCTGGTAGCCAGTCGCAAGAATAATTTCATCGGCTTCCAATTCCGAGCCGTCGGCAAATCGGAGTCCGTTTGGGAGTACCTCGCTGATTTCCTGTCCTTGCTTCACTTTGATCTTCCCCTCGGCGATCAACTGGCTACCACCGACATCGATATAATACCCACCACCACGCTGGAAGTACTTGATTAGAAGACCTGCATCCATGGGGCCGCGGTCGACCTTGAATCCAGCCTTCTCCAGCCCATCGAGGGTCTTTGCATCAGTTTTGGCCATTATCTCAGAGACTTTAAGTTGCTGTGCCTTGAATAACTCAGGAGGGATGCTCCACAGATATGCGTCCGAGTCCTCAGTTGGGGGACCAGCTTCCTCATACAGGCCCTTCAAACCGATATTCACAATTGAGTCCGAAGTCACAACGCAGGTAGAGCTTCGCTGCACCATTGTGACTTCGTAGCCTTTCTCCACGTAATCCTGGGCGATATCGTGACCGGAGTTACAAGAGCCGACGACGATCGCCTTCTTGCCCTGGGAGTTGGGATTCGCACCCTTGAACTCGGAGCTGTGGCAAATCAGGTCGCCTTTGAAGTTCTCTGCGCCCTTGAAGGTTGGCATGTTCTTTTTGCCTGAGTGGCCAGTCGCTTGGATGACATGGTGCGGATGCAGAGTGCGCGTTTCAGTGGTTCCGGCTTCTGTCTTGCGCTCAAGGACGACAGTCCATTGCCTCTTCCCTTCATCATATGATGCTGACTTGAGTTCTGTCTGGATCCAGACGTTCAGCTCTAGAAGCTTGACATATGACTCAAAGAATTCGGCGAGCTTATCCTTGGGCGTGAAGATTGGCCAGTTGGATGGGAAGTTCAGGTAAGGAAGGTGGTCGTACCAAACGGGATCGTGGAGAACGAGTTGATGGTACCTCCGACGCCAACTGTCTCCAATTCGGTCCACTCGATCAATGACAAGAGTGTCGACGTTGAGCATTTTGAGTCGAGCTGCGGCAGTAAGACCCCCTTGGCCGGCACCTGCGTAGAAAACGTCAACTTCACATATCCGTAGAGAGTAGCCTCAGCCTCATAGTTCAGTCATACCGACAATGAGTACAGCGGGATCTCTGTCCACGTATTTGCTGTCGGCAGTGCGTCGATCCTGCCAGTTCTGGCGCCCTTGCTGCTCTCCGTGCTTCACTCCAACAGGTCTTCGGGCATTGGTCGCCTCTTCATGGCCTTTCAACTCCAACAGTGTAGTAAAAACAGTGAAAATCTTCCACTTGGTCTCTTCCTGTGCCAATCTCACGACGCCTTGGCCAGTTCCGAAGTTGGTGGTGGCCTTGATGAAGAATTCAACTCCATGGACTTCGCCAAAAGCATCAATGGGGCCATTGTGCGGCGCTCTGAAGGCAGACGAGCGGTCAAGTTCAATCTTGATGGATGAAGAGCTCTTCATCACAAATTTCGAAACTGCTTCACGTCCCTTGATGGTTCGGAAATCCCAGGACAGGCAGAGGTGATCACGCCAGTAGCTGTTCTCCAAGAATAGTTTAGAGATGGCGCTGGCATCTTTCTTCTCGAGGGCCGTGTTCAATTGTTCCACAATCCCAGTTGCAATCTGGTCAGGGTCCTCTGGAGCGGCTATGTTTGTTTCGGGGAACCTACCGAGGGGAATATTGTGGGAGCCAGGTTCTACTCGTTCTCGCGATGGAAGAACCAACTGCTCGGTCACACGAGATTCAACGTCAACCGCTGCCATCTTAAACGAAACTATCTGTTTGTAGAGGATTTGAGATTACTGGGGCAAATAAAACCGGTCGCTGGTCGGAGTGAAGCCCGACTGTACTTAAATGCTAAAGTTAATGTTAACCCCGCACCACTGTTAGCTTTACCCAGCCCAAGCAACTTCCAAAACAGTGGACGGTTTCCCCACCAGAAAGGCTCAGCTGAGTGACAAACAAAGTTACCATTATGCGCTAATGCACTGTCTACGGATGGGGTCCACTACCCATGATTTAAGGTGTCCCGATTCTTTATTTTAGTGCCTTCGGCGAGGTTGTTCATAGATAGATAATACTCCATATTTCCTGGCTTCGTTGACTAGGCTCCGGCTATATCCTTTGCGAAATCGCCCTGATTCTGTCCTATATTGAGAGATCGCTAATGCCGTGACTCACCCCGTGTCCTTGTTTCTAATCAATGCTCGCATCATGCAGCAGGTTGCACGAAGGGAGCTGCATTGCTAGTTTGTACTCGGCATACCAACCAATCATTTACGGGGCGGCTCGGCGGTTTGTTACATCTGCACCGATGTCGGGTGGCGTCCACATCATGGATCAAATCTAGACCCCAACCAAGCTTAAGCGTTGAACGATGTTTAGGTTCCAAGTCATCCATCTTCAAGGTTACCCGTATGACCAAGTTTAGCCGTTCGGTTCCCACAAGAGCCAAGAAATTTCATAATTCTATTGAATTATTCTGTACCTGACCATATATAGTCTGTGGATATCAGGAGCTGGATTCAATAAGCAACCTTGGGCATCTTTTTGGAATCAATTTTCTGAACATAGGGTATATGGCGTGATGCTTCCCCGCTGGATATATATATACCTGCCTACACGCAAATATCCAGATGCCTAGGCCTTCTGAGCAAAGTAAATACGTACCCTGAATAACTTTCACTTATCATAAGAATGAGCTTATCTATCCTGTGCGGTATTTTGCGGATGAAAACAATGGATCATGAGGCAACACGCTAGGAGGGCAAAGATGACTATCAACAAAATTCATTGTGGTGACTGCTGAGCGCTGTCAAGTCACAAGATCATATAAGCAAAATGTGAGTAAATTTACACGAACCAGCATCATTGGTCTAGTGGTAGAATTCGTCGTTGCCATCGACGAGGCCCGTGTTCGATTCACGGATGATGCACAGCAATTTCTTTTTCGCAATTTCGTTATTGGGGCTATTTTTTGGTTGGATCCACATGTGAGATAAGGATAAAGACTACTCGCTAGAGTTATGCAATAGCAAGTATATTACTGTGTTGCTTTTGGCCAGCGGACAGCCGCAGTGTAGTCGCACAACTGCTCCTTGTAACGATGACCGAACATTTTGTCACCATTACTAGATTTTTCCCCCTCTCCGCCCCTGAGCGGACTAGGTAATAAGCGGCGGAAGTGGATGGGCTATTGTGTCTTCATATATATAGACTTGGCGCAATTGAATGCCCTCTATCATCTACTATCTTCTTTGAGGGGTTCTTTTCAAGGACCTTTTTATTCACATGAGCTTTACTGAAGTACCTGTGAGGAGAAAGAGAAAGGTCCCTGTTGGAACGCAACAGCCGTTAGCCGAGCCAATACCTTAAAATCTGGGCTGAAGAGTCTAGACCGTACCTAGCGCCCTATGCAGGAAAATCCCAACGCGGACGGCCAGACCACTTAAGCTACCCCATAGTGGTTCAAGACCAGCGGAAGCGTCGTAAGCCCGCATTGAATCTGGTCGCTAGCCAAAACGACGCGTTCGCGGGGCCACTTGCACTGAATTGGAGACAAAACTCTCTCCTCGATCACCTATTATTGATTAAAATTTATTTTTGATCAAACTCTTGGCAGGCCTGATCGGCATGAGCTTAGACACCCACTCGTTTCGTTGTCCAGTCTCGGAGGTGGCTCATTTCTCCTGTCTTTCCATCTTAATTACACCACGCCTTCACATTGATTGTCCATGTTAATCGTGGCTGCATCTATGAAAATGCTGGAGCCAAAACCTGCGGCGTGAAAGTTCAAACTAACATTTACTCAACATGAGCCGGGTTAGACGCCAATATCTGGGATGTTTCCTAGCTGCCCTAGTGGTACTTCTCCTGCATAATCGCAGCCGATCGTGGATGAAAGTCCACTCTCAAAAGAGCCCGTCGGCGATCTACCCCCCACTACTCTCGAACCGTTGGACGATCACCCACTCGATGAGCCCGAACATGACTCCAAACCTGACTCGATATGGTCAATATTACCAGCACGATTTCCTGTCACCTCAATCGGATCAATACCGGAAGGACACATCCAAAAACTGCCTAGGATCCGAACTGGCTCCTCGAGAGTGTCTCGAATCTCTCTATGGTATCGGATAGGCCGGTAGTCGGCTGTGAAGGAGGCATTCAGGCGGTGTTGGAAGGCGTACAAGTCCAAAGCATGGGAGGCAGACGAGCTCGCTCCCATTAGCGGCACGCCACAGAATGGACTTGGAGGCTGGCGCGCAACAATCTTCGACAATCTCGATACACTGTGGATCATGGGCATGCATGCCGAATTTGAAAATGCAGTTATAGCCGTCTCTCAGATGAGCTTTGCGGACACTTCCTCGCCAGAGATCAATACACACGAAGTCAATTCACGCTACCTTGGTGGTCTACTTGCTGCATACGATCTGAGTTCTGACCACAGGTTGCTACAAAAGGCGATTGAGGTCGGCGATATGTTGTATGCTGCCTTTGATACCCCAAACCGGATGCCGATCATCTATTGGGATCTTCACAGGGCTGCGCGCCAAGAGGAGCAAATTGCCGAAGAAATAGTATCTGCTTCAGAACTCGGATCTTTTATCCTCGAATTCACCCGCTTGTCTCAAATTACAGGAGACCAGAAATATTACGATGCAGCACAGCGCGTTATGGCGGCACTTGAGCGGCACCAGGACTCTACCAAATTGACCGGCGTGTGGCCTGTCGTTCTCAACCCCCGCACATAATCCTTCGACGGGGATTTCTAAACCATGGGAGCTGAAGTGGACTCCTTGTATAAATCTTTACCCAAGGCATACGCACTGCTGAGTGGTCAAGACCCCATGTATCGCAAGATGTACGAGAAATTCACGCACACGGCTGCAGGACACAGCCTGTTTCGACCTATGAATGCTGGAGAAAAGATATTCTGGTCCCCGGCTCGGTTCGAGTCATTATGACTGAGAACGGAAAGCCGCGCACACACTTGGAATCGCAAGTCCATAGTCGCGCGTGCTCTGCTGGGGGAATGTTTGCAATGGGTGGCACTCTCTTCAATATTCAGATTCATCGACAGATTGCCCACAACTTAGTGGACGGATGTGTATGGGCTCACAATGCCATGCCTTTAGGTATAATGCCTGAAATCTACGAGACGACCCCATGCGCATCGCAAATAACCTGTCCGTGGAACGAATGGCATTGGAAGCAAGAAGTCTACAAATGGACAATCAACCGACCCGACCCAACCCAAACTTGGATGTTGAGAAGTACATTCGGGAACATCATGTCCCCAAGGGGTTTATTGCCATTCCCGACACTCGATACAATTTACGACCGGAGACTGTCGAGAGCATATTCGTTCTTTACCGAGTCACCGGCCGAGAAGACCTTCTTGATATCGCGTGGGAAATCTTTGAGAAGATTCAGAACGCCACCGAGACTTCCGAAGCCAACGCGGCTATTGTTGATGTCACAACAAACGGCGAGCCAGTTCACAATGACTCCATGGAGAGCTATTGGATGGCCCAGATCCCCAAGTACTTCTACCTCATGTTTAGTCCACCAGACATTCTGAGCTTAGATGAATATGTTTTCAACTCCGGTGGGCACCCACTGAAGCTTTCGGAACATACAGAGGCGGGTTTTGAACCACAATGAAGGCATATTCACCCCTTCTCTGGTGACCTTTGTTCTTGATCTAGTTCCATATACCCTGGCAAATACACGTGAAAAAAGATGATTCCTATCTCGCAAAGCGAAGAAGACCTATGTAACTCCTACTCCCTGGCTATGTATTTAAACGAATGATGTCTGCGTACATACTGGCCTAAGATATTCCCTGGTTGACATCAATCGTGTAATTCCTAATGTAATTTTCTCACTGAAAAATGCCAATTAATTCATTTAAATGCGATTCAATATACAGCCGAATAATAATGACACGGTAAAACGCCTCCAAAAAGGTGTAGTGATGAAACAATAACCAACCACCATTGATCAGCACAATTCCGATCGGGAACCAGCTCATTGATCATTGAACTCTCAGGCTATCGGTCATCACCAAGCAGCCGCGACAAGTGCAGCTGCAGCACCTCCCAAGACAACGCGAGGGCTACCGGTGATCCGCGACAAGCCGCCAGTGCTCGAATGAGAAGCGACGGTAGCGGATGATGCCACTGAGGTCGACGACGCAGTGCTTCCAGAAATATGCGTCTTGTTAGATGTGAGAGCGGAGCTGGTCACATCATTCGTGGTGGATGCAGAGGCTGTGGTGGTGGGACCAGCTGTGACGGTGACTGGGAAGAATGTAATATCGCTTTGAGCATAATCGGACGTCGATGTTCCAGGGAAATTGGCCCCAGTGCCTCTCATCATCTCCGTGCAAACGGCACTTGTCGTGCCACCCATAGAGCAGACAACACGGCCCCAACTATCGGTCATTGTGAGCTCAAAACTTAAAAAACATTGGCTGAGAACGCTAAATGACGTACAAATCTTCTTCAGGCTCACTGATCGCGAATTCAATGGTCTTAGATGCTGAGGTATACCACATTCCTGGTCCCATTCCACAATCCGAGCCATCAGTACCGGGAGGGCAGTTGATGCTGTAGGTGATGGCACCATTACCCTGCGTATTTTGATCAGCTTAATTGAGTTTGAGGATCTCCACCAATGCATAAGTACTAACTTGTCCCACGACTGAGGCGGCCAGGGGTTGTGGGTCGGAGTCAGGGATAAACAGCGAGACAATGCTGCTCTGTGCAGTTGCCAACCCTAAAGCCGCCAAAACTGTAATGCAAGTTCTCAACGCCATACTGAACTGTGGAGAGGGTAGCCCGGTATGGATGAATTGTGAGGAAAAAAGAATGTCAGATTTCCAAGGGTGGCAGAAGACCCTTTTTTCCTCCTTTTCTCTTTGGGTCGGAGATGATCCGGCCCGCGACCCCGGCTCAGGGACCATTCAGGGACACTTCCGAAGTGGGGACCAACTAACCAAAAATAGAATAGAAGTAGGTTGAAGCTCCAGTCTCGGGGAGAAACACGAGCAGGGCTATAGTTCTCTCTGAGCCTTTTCACTTCATTGAGAATCGAGATTTTGAAGAGGTCCTGTCAAAATCTTGGAAATTACCATGTTTCATACATTGGCTGTCAAGGGGAAATATGTTTTCTTCACACTACGCAATCTTTTCGTCCACCTCAGTACAAATGTTCCTATCTCCAGACAGCCAAAGTCTCCAGACAGCTAATGGACCGACACCGGACTTTAAGGAGTTTGCTCCTGCATACTAGACACCGCCCACACTTCTCTCTGAACCTGACGACGAAGATCCTCTTCATCGGCTTGGAGATTGTCGCCAAAGACCGCTGCAACTTGCTCCAAAGACTTGTTGGACGTCTCCGGAACAAGGAAGTATGAGAAAACGCTCGCAATCAAACACCATACTCCGAAGAAGAGAAATGTGCCCCAGCCAATGGATACAAGCATTTGAGGAACAACTGTGCCGATGATGAAATTAGCGAGCCAGTTAGTCGCAGTCGCAATACCAACTCCCTTGGCCCGCCGAGAGCTAGGGAACACTTCAGCAGGAAGGACCCAGGCAAGAGGGCCGAATGAAAGTGCATAGGCAAGGACGTAGATATCTTAACATGTGAGCTGGGGTTTCTGACTAGGGATGAGGTGGAGTCACTAACAGACTAGTGCGACGCCAAACCACGCAACGGCTTGATGACTTTCCCAACTCGAGTTGAACTTTCCGACCACGCCTGCCATGATCAGGTGTGGAATGGCCATCGCGAGGGCGCCGTATATAGCAATCTTCCGTCTGCCAATCTTGTCCATGTACAGCAGAATGGGAATAGCACCGATGAGCTGGCAAATGTTGACCATTCCCGAGAGAATAAGTGACATATTATAATCTTGACCAAGCTCTGCGAAGAATGTCGGAGCGTAGTATACGAAAGCGTTGATGCCAGAGAACTATCAATATGAAATTAGCCTCGGGTTGTCCACAAAACAGCGTATGTGAGATTACTACCTGCTGGAAAAATGGAATTGCAATAGCAACACATGTGCGCTTAAGGTATCTTGGGCGAAAAAGATCAAGCCACTGCTTGACCTCCATCATTAATGGCCCAGTATTGGGGTGTTGGTCTCGCAATATTTGTTTCTGGAATCGATCTTCGGTAAGGATACCCCGCCACTCGAGCAGAACAGTTTTATCCGTCGTGGGAAGTCTTCGAAGCTTGGAAAGTGCTTGGAGGCTCTCTTGGTTTTTGTCTCTGAGAGCAAGCCATCGGGGAGAGAACGGGAAGCAATGAATACCGAAGCCAACGACCAAACCTGGAATCATTTGCAAGAGGAACGGAAGTCGAAAGGCCCAGTCTCCGCTCATCGCCCTATAAATTGATCAATCATACATACATTTTCTAGACGACCTGAATGGGTCAACTGAATTCACCTTGTTCCATAAGTGATCCAGTATGCGACAATGGCACCGATAACGATGCTGATTGCTTCAAGGACCATCAGAGATCCTCGCAGATTCGGAGGTGCAATTTCGGAAATATAAAGTGGAGCTCCCATGGCCAAAGTACCGACACCAATGCCTCCAATGAAACGGCCTGCGACAAGAGAGTCGTAATTCTGGGCAGATGTTTGTATGATGGCACCGATTGTAAAGAACGCAGTGGCAACCGTAATGCCCCATTTGCGTGAAATTCTATCAGCAAGATAAGGGAAGAGGAGACATCCGAGGAAGGCACCGAGCTCCAGCATTCCCGTCAAAAATCCCTTGTTGAAACCATAGTTGGGAGCATTTTCGCCGACCTGTGGAAATTGATCGACGAACTGCGGCATCACCAGAATGAGAGAAATGACACCCTGATCTAGAGCACGGGCTTAGCATATGGACATCAAGTTCTGGCAACAAACGTACCATAGCCGAAAGAAAACCCGCCGAAAGATGCCAGCAGAGCTGCACCACAGACATAGGGAGAATTCAGGATTCCTCTCACTCCATTACTATCGTAGTTAATGTCACTAGCTGAGAGCTCTGGAGACTCGTCGTCGCTCCTATGCTCATCATGTGCGAACGATGTGAATTTCTCAGGCGCTGACGCCGAAGTAGCCTTGAGTTCCGCCATGTGTTCGAGTGAAATATCCAGAAGTGAAGGCCAAATGTGGAATGGTTATTCCCATTGAGACAGAGCTTGGAGCATCAGAACATTGATGAACTTATATAGTCGCCAGCGCCTCGAGAACTGCAGATCCGGGGTTATGTCCATTCGGCTTGATTGAGAGATATTTGCCGGGGTAAACTGGGCCGAAGGTGGAGAATTACCCCGTGGGGTGCGGAAATATTCGCCCAAAATGGTTGGAGTGGAGACTTGTAAAGGCTAATCTAGCAAAGATCGTCCAAGAAACCCATCTGGATTACAGATCCATGCCACTGATTGGCAGGAAAGATGCTCTCTAGGCGTCAGTCTGGGGGAGGCTGCTTAGCTCACCAGTTGTCCTGAATATGGTTTCCCTTCCTTGGCTTCTGTTAGTGGCTTTACTGCTGTTGGGGAGTTGCCACATTTGCAATATCCATCACCAGCTCAATTTCCCGTTATGGAGCACAAAATCTCGCAGAAATCGCCTAATTGAAGGATGGTGAACAAATGACGTAGACCTATGTCAGTACTTCTACTTGGAAAGAGCATTTCATGCACGACGCGGAAAATATGTCTAATAGTGCTCAAGTATGAGGGCACCATTTACTTGAGAGAGCAACGCTGACTTCATGAAGGTGCAAGCATCAATATTTGAGAATAATAATACCCAATGAACCAGCGATTGGGACTCTAGTCTTTCTTGAAGTTCAGGGTCTCTTTCTCATGACATTAATTAAGAAGCAGGAACTAAAAAAGATTGAGTTCAAAAAATGATCGGAGGTTGAATTCTTTAAGGGATAGACTATATAATATGATAGATGATGCGATAATTTTATTCCACCTGAACTGGAATCTCCCTCCTCCATAGCTTGATTGGCATATCACCCATCAAAAGGTTGAAAGCCTCGAACCTCTGTAACTTCCACTCGGCACTCGGCAGTGCAAACTCATAGCGATGTACCAGCGAGGCAAGCACAACAGTCTGTTCCAGATAAGAGATATTCCGTCCAATACATCCTCTAGCCCCAGTGGAGAAAGGAATGAAATACGGCTCCATCCTCTTTCTTTGCTCAAGGTCCATCCACCGATGAGGCTGGTACTGATCGGGATTCGGGAAGATTGTTGGATCGTGGTGTGCGCTATAGATAGTCATGGAGACGCTTGTATCCCCAGGTATCCACTCTCCCAAGATTCTTGCTCCCTCTGGAGGTGTCCTACGAGGTAAACCGGCAGATGTAGGTGGGATAATGCGTAGCGCTTCATCGATGCACGCACGTAGGAATGGCAGATGTTTGACCTTGCCGTAGGGTGCGACGATATCATCTGGAGACAGGACACTATCCACTTCTTCTCGTAGCATTGCGAGATGCTGAGGGTGGTGGATGAGGAGCTCCAGTATTTGGGTCAGGGCTATGGCGGTGGTGTCTGCGCCCGCGTCGATGATTGCTGCAATCTCTCCAACAATCTCGCCCCACTCAGAATTGTAAGGCTTGCCAGTTTTATCATCCATGAGTGCGGAGAAGAAGTCATCAAGCTGCTCTCCTTTATTGTATCGGTCAAGTCGAGTAACAGCTTGGTGCTGGATGATATCCTTGAATGGCTCAGCGTCACTCCAAACCTTTCGCCAATGGGAGAAAAGTTTAGATAAACGCACGAAAAGCTTAAAGTTGTTGTAATCCCAAACAAAGTGCGAGGTCGCATAGGCACCTTGGTTCTGGGATTTGCGATATCTAGCTTGGTAGGTGGTGCCATCCATTCTCTGTGCCGTGACAAGATCGTCTCCTTTTTCCAAAAGGCCCAAGTCGGACGAGAGAGCAATACTGTTGATGGCTTCAATAGTGAAGAGGTTGACCCATTGATTGAAGTTGACAGTCAAGTCTGCTGGCTCTGGCACAGAGTCACTTGGCAGCGGCTTAGTGCATAGCTTGTCGAAAGCCTCCAGGAGACGTTCGGTGGTACGTGCAACTTTGAACTCCCAGGCTTCAAGGTTCTTGATGGCAAATGCAGCAGAAAGTCTCTTTCTTTTCGCAGCATGATTTGGCTTATCGACAACATCGAAAAGATTGGGATGGGTGCCCGCCGTGATTGCGTACTTGAGATCTTTCACGCAGGATGTGGAATGGCCATAAATGTCCCTGATGGCATCGATGCCACTGAAAGACAGATTGTTTGGACCAATTCGCAAGATAGGCGACTTGTCGTGTAGTTTTGTGAGATCTCGCGAACGAAAGCCGCAAGCACTGAGGTAACAGTACGGAATATCTGTGATTCCTGATAAAAAAGAATGATTTGGATACTTTCGAAGACCCTTGGTATCATGAAAATATCTAAAAATTGGCAGCAAGAGCCAAAAAAGAGTGAAATAGACGGCTACCACTGAGAAGACGATAGTCGAGAGCATCTTTGCGAATACAATAGTGATGAACGGAATATATTGTCCTCGCGCCTGCAAAGTGCGGTTTTGAGGTTTTATATCATGAGGACCAGGGCTCTCACGATAAATGCGATTTAATTAAAGAAGTAATCATATCTCCTCCCCCGCCAAATAAATGGGCTTCTCGTGCATGTATGATATTAGAGCAGATCTGTGAAGCCGGAATTTCCCCTCACTTTTGGGGCGACCATTGAGTTCTCCCAAAATGGAAAATTTCCTAATAAGCACAAAGCGAAAAACAATTAGCTTCTATCCCTGCTAATGAACGTCCTTCAACCGTGAAATATGATAGAATTATAAACTCTAACTTCTTGGGCAAGCGCGGGGGGCGGGAAACACAGAGAAAGGGGTTGCGGAAATTGTTGCCCGATTCGGTGTTGGCTTGACATCAATGATGGGCTTCTCGTGAAGCAACCGTACACAACTTTATTCAAATCTATTTGAAAGATTCTCTGATAAGATCTCGGCAAAATACACTATATTGATGTTTTCAGCATATACTGTCGAGTTGATCACTATTCTGCAATCAAATACCGGACACATCTAGCCGTAGTCCAAATACCAGTCCTTTCTAGTATGTTACAAGTGGGTCTGTAGGGAAGATAGCAAATGTCGAAGTTCTCATTTCACGAAGAATCAGGCCACTCTGCCTAGTAGCATTAGCGTCCCTCAGAGAGTAAATATATTTGTATGCAGCCTTCCGCTTTGAATTTCATGACATAGCCCTTACTTGCCAAGCCTCCTTTAGCGCGGAAGCAGAAGCAGCCGTTGGCCACGCATGCTGAAACTCCAGATCGGCCAGGAATTCAAGAACGGCGTTCTGCTCTGCAGGGTCCTTAAGGTACTCTCCGCAGACCGAGATACCAACAGCAGCATTGACAAAAAGCACAGGACACTTTGAATTCGACAAAGCCAACCCAACGAGCCGGCGAATGATGCACCTCAATTCCTCTTCCAGTGCCAGATTTGCTTGACGAGCAGCCAGACCAAGACGAGAAAGCTTCGGATCGGAGACTGCGAGGAGGATACGAGAGAGCTCAATATGCTGGGATCCAACGGCTTGACAGGCATTCTGGTGCCAAATTACCGGGAAGAACTTCCCTGACGACGGGTCCGCTTCTTCGAAATAAAGCGGCTTGAATTCTAGCGGTTTATTGGATTCCCACTTCAAGTCGAACGCCTTCAATACTGACCACCTTTTCATCTTTTCGCTAAAGGGTAAAGATTTGCCTTCGCCGAAACAGAACTTCAGAAGATCCGCACACCATACGAGAATTCGATTTGTCCAGGTGAAGTCGTTGACAGGATCTAATTGAGTATAGCCGTTAGTCGGGCATACTGGAAGACGGAAGGTGCGTTGATTGAGAAAGGCGCTCCAAATTTCTTGTCGAAGGGCGATCAGACATGCAGAATGACGGAGTGATGTTGATGGAATGGCGTGGAGATCCCGGTTTCTCCGTGGACCATGAATAGTATCGTATGCGTAGAAGGAATCATCTTGCTGGGAGCTCACGATGAATTGAACGGTACTTAGGTACGCTTCCGAGTCGATGCCAATCGATGGAGCTGTTCTCGGATGGTCAGCGGTTGGAATCTATCAAATGCGTAGAACCAGATACTTGCCGTCTATCTGCTCATAGAATCTTAGTATTGTGGCAGCGGCTAAGACATCCTCATTATACTGCTCATTTGGATCCTTGGACAGCTCCAATAAATATGAGATACAAGTATCATGATAGTGAACAACTGCGTCCACATTTATTCTGGGAAGTTCAATTCCATTGATTGACACGGGGGTTGATTTTCCCCGGCAAGAAGTCATGCGTATTAGATGACCAGCAGACGCAGTCAAGATCGCATACCGCAAGACTGGGCAGAACATCGCTCTTTGAGGGACGTGGAGCTCAAAATGGCGGTCTCTATCACACGTATCGAACTGTATCAATCATCCCTTATTAGAACTGAGCAGACATTTGTTATTTTGTGAGACTTACCCATGGAGCGAGATATTCTGTGAAGTGTCGTATCAAGCAAGCCTCCTCTATGTTTGTGAAATATTTATCAGTGCAGCTTTCAGGGAGGCCTTTTAAAGGCCCGAGCGGATATCTTTCCCTCTGGACTGGAAACGCGGAAATCGAAGAATGATATGACTCTCGGTCCTCACTTGGGGCTGTCGGTGGATCTGACGTAAAAATTGATTCGGCTTCCATAGGACCATAAGGGGGCCTTGAGTCAGAGACTGAGGCGTAATTACTTGTCAGTCCGTCTTCGGTTGGGCTTTGAGTTTCAATGACTCCCGAATGTTGGGGCTCATTTTGTTCGGTTGCTATCTTCGAAATGCCCTGTATGCTAGGCGCTGAGGTAGCAGTACCGACATTTCGAAACTTATTGGGAGTATCATCATCTGCTGGTGATGACTCTTCCTCCCCCTCAAGTCCAGAGCTTTGCGTTGTATGCACATAGGAAAGGCGCCCTTCATATCCAAAGTTAGCCTCTCGACGTCTGCGCTTTTGGCCGTAGGAATTCACCTGTCCGGTTATAATCTACCCATTCTTGATTGGGAGAGAAGTCAAAACTTTGACGTCGCCGCCGGCCATTCCTGAATTTGAAGCTTGTGCTCAACGCCTCACAAGGTATCTTGGACTTGACACAATGCGAGCAGGGCCTTTTGCCGTCACCTGAAAACAACCAGCCATGAGCTATGACATGTGATATGGAGGCTGAGAGTCTTACATTTTCGGTGACGTGCTGGTAACAAGCATGTCAGATAATTGTAAAGCTACACTTGATGGGGCACATACATCTGCACGAGTCACAAGGGTTTGGGGTATATCGCTGACGCGACGTCATTCGTCGTCGCTCGGTATTAGCGAGAGGTGTCACAAGCAAGAATGCCCTGGTCGAGTGTCTTCTGAGTTAAATTTGGCTCTTCAGCAGGGCCACAGAGACGATAATGATGACATTAAGGGCACGGCCAGAAGAGCGCACGGTTCCAGGTAAGGACAGTGCCTTTTTCGCTCGTGCGGGGAAGGAGTGCGTGTGTGGGGAACTGCAGCCTGAATAGTCAGGCAGGAAGTTTTAACGCAGTTCCCGGCCGACCCGATCACCCTAAAACACCATACTGAAGGCAACATTTCACAACTTCATATCTCAACGCTCGAGACTAATTCCATGATTCTAGGGTATCTGAGCATTAGAAATATCATACTAGGTGTACCTATCAACTCAAAAATATTTTGGGCCATTAGAACATAGATAGATATATTTATACTGCCCGACCGGGGAGTATTCTTGGTATTGCAGGTAAGTAACTATCTATGAATATACCAGCTAGGCTGAAGTATTTCCAGTGTAATGAGATTCTAGCATACTAAAAATCAGACTAAAATATATTCTCGTTGTTGATTTATGGGCACCTAAAAATTCGCATGTAATATGGTGTTTTGGGGTGATCGGGTCGACTGGGAACTACGTTAACTATTTCGGGACTATGGGAAGATTCTTGAACAGACTATTTCAAAGTAAACAACAAGAGTCGTAGTAGAATGAGTTGTCCAAAATTTAGACTGAAAATCGTCAAATTGAGTTTTGCCCGTACTGCGACGCTGCCAACATTTCAGTGTTCAAAAAGTCAGGAATATCCCAGAAGCCCAAATCATCGAAGCCGAGATCCGGAATCTAGATATACGTCAGTGCTTCCCCCAAAATCTCACTTCGTTGGATGAACTTTGGACTGACCATATATTCAGAGTCCATGCTTGACCCAACTGCGCTCTCGGGTGTGAACCCACACACAACATCACTCGGCGTAAGCAGTGTCCCATCGGCCACCTGGCCGGGAGGACCATTCGAGATATGTTTTTGTAGCAATTTACGACAAGTCCTCATACTATCCATGAAAGCTTCCCGGATATGGGTCCACTCTGCCTGCTCTCCCTGAGGTACAGCTTGAATCTGTGCAAGAACACCTGTGAGTAGACAGTACCGCTTCATGCTTGGGATTCCCGCGGCTAATCCTTGATAAAGGTGGTCTTTGATTCGCTCAAGTGCCCGGATGAGTGGATTGAGAGCATTCTCCGTCTTTTGATCAACTGCGTTTGGAGGGACTGGTGCAGGGCCGGTCGGTAGCGTGGTAGATTCGTCTTCCAGTTGGGTGATGAGTTCTAGACTGATTACTATGATGACATCCAAAGAAAGACAACCCTTGAAGATTCCTGTCCCGGAAAGGGCTAGTCGTTGAAAATCTCGATATGGGCTTTTATCGGCGTACAGGTCTGGAGTGGGGCTTTCTGTATAGGATGCCAAAATGAGGGCAGAGTCGATACTGAGTTTTCGTGAGAGATAGAATCGCGGATCTCGCGCAGCCTGGGATGCGAATGGGCGATACAGATTGAGCAAAAAGCGCCGTAGGATTGTGTCCATGATTCGCTGATGGAACTGGGTTGGTGGAAACATGCTTTTGCTTGTCCGTGAGAACCAGGTGTGAAAGAGGGCGGCCATTTCCTTGCAAGCTGCTGTTACCTCCCTGCCCAGATGCAGCGCGTTCTCGTAGGATTGCTCATTGCTACAATCGTTTATAGTCCGTGCAATACGCAGCCGTACAGGGAGGGACTGGCAGAGGAGAGTTTGCAAGGACGATGTGGTGTAGTAGTGTTTGGGTTGTGACGGAGGTATATCGTTTGTCGATCGATCGAAGTCATCATCTCCCAAATTTGCCGGTGGTCGCGTATCGTAATCCTCTGGAGTCAATAGCGGAGGCATGGCCGCATCAAGCGAAAACTGAATATTGATTTCAAGTATAGAGGCCCATATCCGGCGTCGCATTTCTGCATCAAACGCAGAAATTGCTGGGAAGTTACTCGGGTCGCGATGCAGGCCCTGGTAGATAGCTTGACGCAACAAAGTACCAGCAGCGGTCCAATTAGACTCTTTATCCATTGCATAGGCTTGACGACAGAGAAGCAGCAGACAATGCACCTGCAATCCTTCTATGCTTTCACGTTCTTTTTCGAAGGGCCCGGAGATCCACCACTGCGCGGCATAGATCCACCGTCGAGTCGGTAGACCGAGTTCATTAAATGGACCAGATTTGCAGTGGAATATAGACCCGATTGCAAGGATCAGCAAAAGCTTCCTCACGAACCCCGTTGACGCCGAGTGAGAATTTCCCCAGAAGCGTTCGTATTCCTGGTAGAACGACGGAATATGCATGACTTGATATATCAAGCCCAGAGTTCGGAAGTAGTGGCGCACAAGCTCGTCGCAAATCTCCCTTGAAGGGAGATCATTGAGCAGATCTGCGGCTGGATCTAGTAACAGCGGCGTCTGTCGGCTTTTGATGATCCTCCTCAGGCCTCGAACTTCTCTGAGAAGCTTGCTCATCTCGTTTTGATTACTATCAGTATAGCTGGCTGTGCTGCGTACTTGACAAAGTAGGCGGAGCTAGCAAGGTTGATCAGCCCAGTGCGATATATTCCTTGGAAGAGACGTCGTACCTGGTGAAATATCAAAGCCCAATGTGTAGTACCGAATAATCGAGTTCGTTCCCCAACACACTTCAGCCGAGGCGCCAGCGGAGGAATCGTGGTTTGAGGTGGAGCCGATCGCCCAGATCTACTAGGTGCAGACAACCGTTCCAGCTCAGCAATGCGTTCCCCAAGTCCATTCAAGTCATTTTTTGAACCCGAGGTACCATGAGATGGCAATTGACTGCTCGCTGGACCTTTAATCTGGTTCTCCAGACTCGATATTCGATCATGAAGAACCCGAACACTGCTCTCCAACTGTGCAATTCGCGCTCCATCGCTCAGCCTATCCACAGAAGTACCAGTACTATTTCCAGCCGCTATACACGACCCAACAGGAGAAGTGGGTGATTCATACCCACTCCTCTTAGATGTCTCGAGTCTTGCATCCAAAGCAGCTTTACCCTCATGGACATACGAGCATTTCAAAGAACCATAAGCTTTGGTACATGGACCGCATGGCATCTCTTTGTCGCATTTGACCTTGCGGGCGCGACATTGTTGGCACGACAATGCCGGGCGGCGACGTTTGCGTGGATTTGACGGCGATGATGGATCCGCATCGGTGCCATCCATTTTAAATAGGTTAAGTGAATGAAGAATCCTCAAGATGAAATTCAAGAAGGTTTGATGGAGTAGTTTCTTGTGGGCGCTTGGTGTAAGCGTCGCTGAATCACGGCAAATTCCGGGCTTTGTCCGGACAATTAGTCAGCGCAAACGTCAGGCCATTTGATTGGAAGAAAGCCAGCAAGTTGGGATGTATGATCAAGATTTGGGAAATCTTTAGAGGTAAACTGGAAGAATCTTTCAGGGTAGATCACCGTCAGGGATTAGCTTGCTCAGCCTGCAATTCTCTGCCCGTAGATCTCTTCTACTTGATCAATTAGCATAGAAGTATCGATACCATCCAGGTAAATACTACACTAAATTTCTCTACATTTAGGTGTTGAAGCCAGTCCAGTAAAGTGTAAAAGGGGGTATCTATTCAAGTATTTCCAGCCAACGATAATACATCCGGGCCCCCACGCAACCCAGTCCAAAGGATTAGAAGTCCACACAAATTCCATCCACATCACTCCAAACTAAAAGAGATGTCAAGCCCTGAATCCTGAGAAACACCGTCTATAGATCACAGCAAGGAAAAAGTATAAGTAAAGAATAAAGGGAAAAAGAAAAAAAAGAAGAATGAAAGAAGAATGACAAAAGTCTAGCCACTGAATGACATGGCGCGTTGCCGAGATGCCCTCTTCCGCAAATTATTTTCGCGACTCTTGCGGCCCATGCGGCCAAGAGATAATGTTTCGAGGGTATACGGCTTGCCGCCCCAGATCAGGTTTGAGCCCTTCTTTTGTTGCAAGGGCGGGATCCAGAATTGTGTGACTGCTGCACCGAGGATCATGCATGCGCTGAAGACGAAAAGAATGATGCCGTGACGGCGTGTTGAAATGGTATCGGCACCGCTGAAGCGGTAGTATGTTGAAAAGATTTGAACGAGAATAGAGCCGAGTTTGCCGGCGCCAGCGCTGATACCGTGGCAAGTGCCGCGGTAACGGGTAGGGAAGATTTCGGCAGGGATCATGTAAGTTGTTGCATTGGGGCCTGGAAAATTGTTAGCTCATGATATGGATAGCATGATTGATGGAGGGGAACACACCAAAGTTGAAAAGGATTTGGCCAACGATGTACAAAGTGACGACGGCCGGCGGATAGGTATAGAGATTGATGAACATGCTGCCCAGAGCAATGAAAAGAGCTGCCAGAGCCACGAACATGTACTTTTGGAGAGCGACACGGTCGATGCGGTGGGAGAAAAGAATGAAAATGAGACCTCCGACAAAGCTGCCAATATTCAAAATGACAAGGCCATGGACAGAGGTGTTAAAGAGTTGATCATAGACGCTGGCGCCGGGTCGGTCATCGGTCTCCCAATTAGGTGCTGGGTGACTAAGGTGTAGAGAGCCCCAGGTCTTGGCCAAGAACTGTGGGCTGGAAAGACCAATTCCATAGTATCCAAAGTCAAGGAGCAGCCACGCAAAAGCAGTACCAGCCAAGCTGCGCCAGTTACCTTCAGTCCAGAAGTACCGAATAATATCTGTGCGGGCAAGGCGCCAGTGGGAGTTCAGCGTTGCCGGTGGCATGTGACTACTGTACTCCTCGTCCTCATCGATAGAGTCACTGGCAAGTGATGAGATGGGTGGTAATTGGATAGCACTGCCAGTCCCTGTTGCAAAGCTGGTTTGGTCGAAAGCAGGGCTCGAGGCCTGGTCACTGAAGAGCGTGGTCGCGTCGAACTGGGCAGTAACGGGGTCATCTTCGATCTCCACGAGATAGCGCGGACTCTCAGGAATGGCAAACCGGAAGAGACACGCAATAGCGCCTGGTACGACACCGATACCCAGCACCCAGCGCCACATAATGTCGACAGTGCGGGTGAGGTCGTCAGAGCCCTTGCTACGAGCGATGGCGATGACGATTAGAGATACCAAGTTTCCTGCGATCTGTCCCAGCGGCTGCATAAAGAAGACGCTAGCCATCATACGGGCTCGATGTTTCGTTGGTGCGAATCTATACTCGTAGTTAGTTCCAAGTTCATCGCAGGCCGTTCCTGAACAGCGTTGTATACATACTCAGAGGTGATCACAGCCGATAATGGGTAATCAGCGCCGACACCAATTCCGACGCAGATTCTCCACCAGATCAACCAGGCATAGATATTCATACTGCCATTCTCACCGGTTGACGACATCACAACGCCGAGCGTGGACGTTATTAAAAGGACCAGCTCGACACCGTACATCTTCTTTCGGCCATTCTTGTCTGCCAAAAATCCAAAGATCACCATACCAAACAGCGTACCGGCCAATGTTGCGATATTAATGCAGGTCAGTCGCAGCGAGGAGATTTCATCTCTCCAATAAACGTAAGAAATCATGGGCAAGGCCATGTTACTGGCAAAGAGCTGTTGCGAGGCTCGTTAGCCTTCTGTAATCATCTTATCTGATCTCGTTTGTTCCGCCCACTCACTGTGTAACCATCGAGGAAGAAACCGAGACCAGCGACCAGCACGACAATCCACTGATAGCCCTGCCGGTCGATAGTCTCGTAGATCTGGCGCATGCGAACATATCGATCCTAACGTTCAATAACTTCACGTTAGCTCTATCCACAGCTCCTCTCACTTGATCGAAGACCCCACGAAGTGGGCGTCGAAAGCGGGAATAAGCAGCCCACCTGTTCATGATCGAAGTCCCGCGCACGGTCGGTCTTGTATAGTCGGGCGTGAAACCTCCCCATGATCGCATTCAGCGGAAACCCTCTCGACCGTTCAACGATGTTTCATACCGGTGCCCGGAAGGATTAAAAGGCGAGGTCTCAGGAGATCGCAGGCGAGATATAGTCAGACCCAGTGATCGGGTCTCGGGACCTTTCCCCTCGTCAGAATCGCTTTCACTTTCCACCATGGAAAAAAGACCAGGACTGGCCCAGCGGCCATTGCCCTTCCACGCGAGTTGCACGGCGTGGGGCCAATGAGTGCAGCACGTTGAGCCTCGCTGGTGACCCAAGATGATCCCTGCTCGCGCTACTGCAGCCCAGCTGGGTAGCTCCGGCGCGCATAGCGCTGGGTTCGGTTCAATGGGATTGAATGAACTGAGTGGGGTGGGCACATTTGAGTCTATTGTTCGGAATACAATAAGACTAATGAGTGGGGGGGAAGTGGAAAGTTTGTCACTCAAAGCAAAGGACTGGACATAACCAGTCCAGAAGGGTCCTCCTCGTGGATACAAAGTGTAAGGCGGAGAAGACTCCCCGTACGATTAGGAAGGAAGTGTCTAAGAGAACAGAGCCTTGAACCAGTTGAAGCAGTTGGACCAGGGCGAAAAGCCACGAAGATAAACTAAGGACCAACATGGTTAAGCTGCCCCCACACGCCCGAGCCAAACCAAACGATCGCTGCCCACACGTGCGGGCGTCGAAGTGCTTGAATCGCTCGGCGCACCGCCCCACTCCACTTAAATATGCTTTGCACCACGCCTCTTTTGACCACGTTAATTCCAGTATTCGTACATGAGACATGACAGTGACATGAGCCCACTACCATGCTTTCTTGATACTATCCTACTGTGGTATCATCCGATTACGACCACTCTCACTATCATCTTACGACTACGACTCGGCGTCTTGGCAGTTTATCAAAAGTCCATGCCAAGGAGTTACGCGATCCAGGAGAAATTAACGGTTTCAATCAGATAGAGACAGTGCTGCATTATATGGTATCACACGGTAATAAATCACACTCCGAAAAACTCCGCCATGCAAAGTGGGAATTCGGTGGAAAGGTAAAAAAAACAAAATGTATGAAGAGACAGTCAAGAAAAAAAAACCGTCAAAAAGTCAAACCCGAAAATAATGAAAAAAAGAAACCAAAAAAGGTACCCAGGACCATAGACCTGGGATTTATTCTATTCATCCAATCGTAAGGTCCGTTGACAGCAGCTGACAGAAGCTCTTGCAATCTAAAGAACAATCTTTGTTAGCGATGGGTGCTCGGACTTTCGTCATTGGCATGAGTTCCATGCGGGCTGGAAAAAGCACTGACCATCATCATTCAGAAAGGTGATCTGAAGGTTTCGCATTTGCGATAAGATCTCAAAGTTTGGATTGAGCTCGACGATAACCGGTCGCCCGGTTTTCTTGGGCGGTTTCACGCTCCCCACGCAGTTGACTGTGGCTGGTTTTAGATAGATGTTCCGGAAGTAAAACAGAGAATTTTAGAATTGCCAAGGGATAATGGGGCTGGCCCAGGTGTTTCGACACGGATATGTGCCAACAAGAGGCCAAAGGATTGCGCAAAATGGGCATAATTGGGATGAAGAAGAGGCTGAACTCACGAGGAACTGATACGTATCGTTTGAGGGCACCACGTTGAGAATTGGCAAAGAAGAGCATGACTCTTTTGCCATTATGCCCACGGAGGATTCGGAGGTTCTGGCTAATACACTCTTCTCCGCGGCCCTTGGACTTGGCCTCGGCAATGCCACCTAGAAAGACCAATTTGGAGCATAATAGAAGCTCTTGGAATTGTACACAATCTGCTTGCAATTAGTATAATCCAAAAAGGCCAGCAACAGTTATACGGTCGCATACCTTGCCAGTTTTCAAATTTATATGATAATTGCGTCATAAAGACCACATGCGCGGTCTGGACGGTCTGTTGATCGAGGAAGGAGATGCGGAGAGGGTAGTGTTCGTGGTCTTTAGGATGTTCGAGATGTGGGACGGGTAGTTTTGTGTTGTGAACTGCTCTTGTCATTAGCTTCTGTGCAATCATTCTTCGAGTCTATCGCTGGTCATGGTCACTCACAGGCGTGGATAAAGGGTGCTTGCTGGCCGAGACCTCCCCCGAGCTCAAGACATTTCAACGCCCCCGTTGAATCTTTACATACGTCAATGTATGTATATCTTAGTTTGAAGAGTTGACCATTCTTAACAAAGGAACTGTGATCGACATGGGCACGTTAACGACTTGGAGCACCAGGCACACACCCTCCACGGCAAACACTTTGAACGTACATGGTCATTGAAGGATTGAGTTGGAGCCGCACTACATCGTCGTAGAGCTGCCATGACTGCTTCCGTGAGCTTGTCCCGGGGGAGGTTGAGGGGCTCTGGAAGAGGATGCTGGTGGAGGCGGACGACACGGTGGAGGTTGAGACCGAGCTTTCACGGCGTGAAGAAGTGCTTTCCCACTCCTGGAAGTCTGATGAATAAGGGAAGTGATGGCTCATGGCCGCGATCTCGGGGAGGGACGAGGTCCCGAGACTGTTTATTTTAATAGCGACAGGTGGTGGCGGGGATCAGGCGCATTTGAGGGGTGGACAAGGCGGGTTCAAGGCGGATCTCCATCCAGAGATCGGCCGGCAAGAACCATGACATGAGCTGATGGGAATGGCTGAAAGAGTAGGTTCGCAAGAAGAGGTCCTGGGACGCGAAATGAATATATGGCGCCCGTGATAAGCGCCGAGTTGTCAATATCGTGAGAAGGCCAGCTGAGTGTCCTATGGCCAAGAGGGGTGACAGGACACTAAGGCAGGCAAGCAGCGAACCAGTTGAGTGCGTCGAATGGCGCAGGCAATGACAAGAACAAAAAATCTGGAAATTCCCGAGTGAACCGAATACAATAATATCAAATTACCCAACGCTGGCCGAGTGTGGAGCACCCGCGGCAAAACGTGCCCAAATGGCTGGCCAACAGATCGTCCCGCGGGGCGGGTCTCTTATTTCCCCCCCCTCTTCCTCTTACAAGTCTACATCGAGTCCCATCGACTGTTCCTCTTTCCATATGACATTGGATCCTCTCTTCGATTTACTCGATACTAATTTCCGGAGTAATAGAAACTAACGGACTAGTTCTGACATGAACAATGCGTTACCTAGTCATGGGCCCTAACTATACTCGGTATCTCATTGAACGACTACTCCCACACGAGTCAACTTGTGCATCGTACTTATTCTGGATCTCATATAGCCCCCATCTGGACTCGGCAATGACTGCCTGCCATTGTCAGAGATGTATTCATCCATGATATACTCCTGTAGACCCCTGATATGATGATATCACACTTTGACCAGCCACGGATCTCATAACTCCGTCAAAAGAGAAAACTCTGTCATTATCAATCTTCAAATCAATCATCCACTATTGTTTCCTTCCTACTTCATCCGGATTTGGGTTCTTAGCTCCCATGGATCTTCTCCCGAACATGGAAAAAGCTAATCCCAACCCGGAAGTGCTCCGAATGTTTCGAGAAATGATCTGGAATCGAGATCGACCGGTGTGGTCATAGCTCCGGACCATCCCAGGCTCCAAGGGGGCCGGGGCTCAAATGTTCGCTTCGTCATCGGGGCTGGAAAGATACCTAGAAAGATCGAGGCGGAGTGAGAGGCTATGGCACCGGGGCGTGACCCTCTTTCTATGCGATCTTCCGGGCACAAGGCTCTCTCTATACGGAGTAATAGTTATCTATAGATCAGTCACCACACAGGCCACCTGGTGCCTTGTATGCCCGGTTTCCCCAGACAATAATCTCACCCTTCTATCAATGTCAGATGTGCTTCCTTTGTTGCTCTCCTTGCCACATCTCACCTTCTCGTTTCCATCACGTCCATTTCCGCCGGAATCCGATACAACACCACGTTCTCCGGCTTATTGTTGTATTGCGGCGTAACGTGATCCCAAGCCCAAACAGCCACCACAACTGCACCCGCGCCTGGATCCAAACGCCTCTCCATCACTGCATGGTGTCCACTAACGCACGTGCGCAGACCCATTATATCCAAAGGCTCATGGAATCCCATCTTTCTGCCAAGGTCTTGGACCTAGCGGACCGGGAGTAACTAGGCGACCCAGTGAAATGCGCCTAGGTGTCGAAACCCAGATAACCGTATACAACCACCCCGGTCACGTCCAGGAACCACACGTACCCACTCACCGCAACGAGGTGGTCTGTCCGCGCCACAGGAGATCGTGAAAGAATGGCTTTATCAATCGTGGACTCGTTTATCATCGCATTGACCAGTAACATTTGCCCGACGACAACCTTGAAGTCAATCTCTTCATATCGCGAAGAAAACGTGGTATGTCCCTGCGCCCGTTGTAGATTCTTCAATTCACAATCCCAGCCAAGGATCGGAAGTGCCACCGCCAACGCCAGGTCGCCTCCATCCGGTGACCCTGATGGTAGGTCCGCCGAGGAGCTCGTGCGAGATAGTACTGTCACGAGGCTCGGATATAGTGCCTTCATTTCCTCTGCCCCGCGAGTGATCCTATTCATAATGTTATTGCTTTTCTTTTCAAGTTCCAGACTGCTGCCTGATTGTTCTCTCCGGGATATGCAACAACCAAAAGGTCCGCGACAACTCGGGAACCTTAATCGTGAAGAATTGGAAGCATAGAACAGGGACGCAGGAAATGCATCGTTAGACCTCGGGAATAGTTTGACCCGTGAATTGACATGAAAAAAGAGTTGACGTCTAGAGAACGTGCCAAAACGGGTGATCGTCCACTCGACCGAGCTTTTGGGAAACAATCGGCCCCGTTTGACAGTTTGTCGGTGTGATGCCATGTGGCACGGCACGGTTAGATGAAGATGTTGATCTTTTCCCATTTTCTCTCCCTCGACGATCCTTCTCGCAAGCTAATCCATTATGGTTATGATGATCTGCAGCTCCTGCTAGTGCCATTCCGAACAGGGCAGGGTTCTTAATTCGTATTTTCCGGGGGGCTACGGTCTCATGTATCCCTCACGTCCTAAATTTTGACGCCGAGTACCCCTAGCGGAAAGTCGTTTCACCCGAAATGGCTGTTTCTCGTCGCACTTCCAACACCTGTGGATCAGAGCGGGCAACTCGAGCTCAATGCACCTTGCAAGGCCGACTTGCTATAATACTTAAACCGCCGCTACCGTTGCGATCGGCCCAATTAAAGACAGTACGAAAGGAACAGCAACCAGAAATCGGAGATTTAAGGCCAGACGAAACGTCTATTCACGCTATGCATGGTGTTTTATACGTGAGTCCAAACAAAGCGTTATTGCAGTATTGACCCATGGTCAAGATTCTAGCATGAGTGACTCTTACTTACTTCTATGAAAGTCTCAAGGCAATAAATATGACCTTCAATGCAATAACCCTTGGTCAATTTTCTTATTGTTGATACCCCGACAGGGATCGAGTACTCGTTCATCCTCCTATATCCCACTCCCGAGGGTTGTCGCATCTTCGCTTCCGTCTCTTGCTTTTAATGAAGGTCCAATTCACATTAGCACAGGCCCAGATGAGCTGAATGCCGCTTCAATCTGCAGAATATGTGAGGGTCACGAATCTCATTACCTTATTGATCCCACAGCTCCCACAGCGGCAAGCGAGTTGAATCCCATGAACATTCCCGTGTCGATACTCAACTATCGCAGCAGTCGCATAAGGTGCGCAATTGCATAAGTTATTCATGCACACAAGTCAATGCCGTCAGTGATTCTCATAGACCGTTGAAGGTGGATGGCTGTCGTGAGCTTGCACTAGTCAGATCTTGCAATTGATTGCGTTTCACGATCTGACGGCCACTAGGCTAGCTGTTCAGCAATAGAGTCATCGTTCCTTTCAACTTAAACATCCACTTGGCATTGCTTACGAAGCTTGGTCCCCACAGTGACCACATCGCTCGATGTACGTGGATGGCATCTTGGGTGTGAAGCGCTGGAATATTTGAGCTCCACAATGAATCAGTATAGCCCATTCTCATGTTGCACGCGACCTGCCACAATCTCGAATCAAGATCGGCATATCTGAGACCACATTCTAATAGATTGTGGGGTCTATGCGATGCCGGAGTTAAGCGGACCTAAGATGCGGACTCGGTATCCCGAGAGACAGACCATCTAGTCAACTGTTATTTTCGTCAGAGCAATTGGTTTCTCAATACCTGTCGCTGTGTCCCTTGAGATCCTATTTTCACGATTTCGTCGAGTGTAAATACCGCCGCCCACTGCCAATGCCTTCCCTAGCCGGGAAGCCGATCAACCAAAATGGCCTGGACCTGATGCATACGTTACTCACACCCATTGCCCGGTAGCAATGTACGAAAGCTCACAATTGCATAGGTCTGACCTGGAAAGACGATGTTACGCCCGATGAGAAAGCTTTCAAAGTTCTCAAGGCTGTTCTCGCCGCGGGCGTCAATGTCTGGAACGGAGCCGATGTCTACGGCACACCCGACAACAACTCTCTCCACCTCATGAACCGCTATTTCAACATCTTTCCCGAGGACGCCGACAAGGTTGTTCTTACTATCAAAAGTGGTATCAAGGATATGCGAATATCTACTATGGACTGTCCTCCCGAGGCAATCCTGGCCTTCGTGGAGCGCGCAAACGCCAGCCTCGACGGGAAGAAGTAAATCGATATCTTCGGCTGTAGACAAGTCGACAAAGATGTGCCAATTGAGGACACAGTCGATGCACTGGCAGAGCTTGTGAAGGAGGGCAAAATCGGTGGCACCCAGTTGAGCGAAGTCAGTGCCAATACTATTCGGCGCGCCGCAAAAGGTGGCAAAGATCGATATGGTGGAAGCGGAAATCAGCTTGTGGGCGACATATGTCTTCGAGATGGTGTCGCTGAGACTTGTGCCGAGTTGGGTATTCCGATGGTAGCGTATACTCCTCTTGGTGGTGGTATGCTCACGGGGCAGATCAAGAGTCTCGCTGATATGCCTGCCAATGACTACCACCGGTTCTTCCCGCGCTTCCAGCCAGAGAACTTTGAGATGAACTTGCAGCTAGTCATAAAGCTAGAGGAGATGGCTGCGAAGAAGTTGTGTACTACTGCTCAGCTTGCGCTTTCTTGGATCAAGGCTCAAAGTCGGCGAGATGGAATGCCGGTCATTGTGCCTGTTGCTGGTGCCAGATCGGAGCAGAGAGTTCTTGAGAATGTGACGGATATTCCGCTGTCTGAAGAGTATATGGCTGAGATCAAGGCTATTCTGGACAAGTTCGCTGTTGCGGGGGATCGCTATCCGCCTGCCGCTGCAAAGCTTACGGAGTACTAAGCGGACTTGGGCTGGCCATCAAGAAAAGCTTTACAAACCTGACTATATATATTCTCATTTACATATTGTGAGTATTTGAAATCTAACACATTGAGTCTGAGAATTTTAAGACGAGAATGCTCTATTAGAGATGAAATGCCATCTTACTGTGGCTTGGGGTGGGCCGGGTTGTGTTTCTTTGTCTTCCAAATCGGAAAAAGCAACGATTGGTTCAAGAAGGAGGATCTTCTGCGATCTCGCTACACTAGGATCACGGGCCTTATTCTCAAGGACAAAAGGACTCCTGATGTACTGGGATTACCTGCTGGAGGAGACTTACATGGGTACTGTACGAATTGAGTTGTCAATAACATAAGGTTTTGCCACCTCGCTGCAGGGTCTGGGCTACATTACTTGGCCAAAATCTGGTTGCTATTAAACACCCTTTTTGGTTAGTTTATCGGTGCCATCACAATACTAGTGGCTGGGATATGTGATGGCGTTTGTCCTACCTATTGATCATCCTCGACGATACCCACTTCGCTATGGACCTTGAGTTCAACTTCTTTGTTTGCTCATTTCATACTTGAAGATGACCATCCCATATTCACTAAAACTTCTTCTGCCATATTTCTATTTTCAACCTGAGGAATGTACGGCCACTTTTTTCTTCCTGTGCATGAAAATCATCTCCCGTCCCCGACTTTTTCAACCACGATGGACATAAGCTATCCGAAGAAGTACCAACTCGTGCCTAAAGCAGAGCCTGACGACGACGCCGGCAGCGATTCTACTGCGACAAATCGCCGACGACGTCACCTAAGCTCGCTATTTCTCAAGAGAAACCTCGCTGCAATCACTATCAGCAGCCTCCTTCTCATCCCGATACTACTAGTCTTCACCATAATTGCCATTCTCACATTTGAGCCTCTACGTGAAGTCCTCATTATCAAATCAGGCACATACAATCCACCAGCTGGATTGCACGGTCAGTGCCAAAGTCCCCAACGACTCCCCGAACAACCCTCTCCTGTGGAAACTCCACAACAGAAGCTGAATCCTTAGGCTGCAAATACGACCCTCTCTCAGCGTGCTGGCTTCATCAAGAATGTCCACATGATTACTCAAAGGAGTTTGAGACATTCAATGCTGGAAAGCCATTCGTGTACTACTATGATGAGGCCATGACGCACCAGATGAAGGATTATGATGAAGTTGGACATAATACTCAGGGGTTCTACTGGACTTCTTTGCGTGAGCATCTTGTGCATTGTTTGTACCTTTTGCGACGCGGACATGATATTTATATGCGTGGGGATCGACTCGATGATATGCTGGCTAAAATGGAGCATGTGGATCATTGTACGAATTTTTTGGCGAGTTGGTTTAGGCGACCGGATCCTGAGTTGGATAATCCAGTTGGCACACAGGGGACGACAAATTGTTTCATGTCTTGCAGCTGAGTCAATATAAGTGAGGAGTCCGTGAATTTGGACCTGGATGATGGGTAGACTCAAATTGTTGAGGTGAAGGTGAAGTTTCTGCGTCTACCTTCTGAGTCGTGATTTGGATCGTGATCTATTTTAACATGAGGCTGAACGTTAATGCGTGAATAGTCTAAGTGGAGATAGGCGACAAGCCGCAAGGGAACCTGTATCTTTCAAATTGTCTGTACTGAAAATAAGAAATCCGAGATATTGTGCGCTTATGTCCAGTGATGCTCGCCAAAAAAAGTTGAAAGAGTAAGGAAAGTAACGGCAGAATTATACAAGCTCAGGCTTTGACCACAACGATTCTAAACCGAGACGAAAGGCGCCGACAAAAATTTCGAAACAAAAACCCACCCCTTACAATTATTCATCATGATATACAGGCATGACAACGTCTCCTATCATAACCGTCCTGTGATCCGGCTGTGACTCAAACCCAGCTGTCTTCCCCGGAGAAAGTGCTGCATATTTACCAAAACAGACTTTCCCATTCATGTTCCTTGTTTTTGCAAGAGTAGAGAAGGGCTCCTGGCTTCGCACACCGGTTAATTGATCGATGCAGACCATTTGGCATCGTTGGCATGCATCTAGAACATCAACGCGGAGCTGAGTTGGGCCGATATGGATAGCTGACCAGTAATCCTCAGCATAAGGCTGTTCCGCATCACCGAGTTTCACAAGTCGCTCTGCCACGACGATATTGCCTCGGAAGACATCCGCAGCGACGGTCTTGCTTCCACCATTACCCTGTCTAGAGTTGGCCTTGATGCTTTCGTTGAGGTGGTTGACAGATGAGCGTGAGACGACGAGAATTGGCATCTCGTTGGAGAGACGAAGGGGGTTTGTATTCGTTTCGTGGACAGGGAGGGGGGAGGTCGGGCGGAAATGAACCGGGCATGATGAACTTTCGGAATCGGTTTTTCCATGTGCCAGATAGGCGGGGCGGTCGTGAAAGTCGGCTGGCAGTTTGAGAGGGGAATCTGGCAAGTGTGCAAGGAACACCAAGGAAGTCTGAGAAGAACGCAGATACCACCGGTGAAGAATAAGCGTGCAGGAAGATTTGATCGCCACAGACCGTAGAAGGCCGTTTGGTGTTTGTGCATGTCGAAGTTGAAATGAGAGTGGTGTCTTTCCAGCCAAGTGAAATTTCAAGGCTCACTTGTTCGGTCAGCACACCGCAACTGATACGCAAAATACCCCGGTCAAGATCAATAGCAGGGCGAATGAGAGCCATGCGGGGATATCTCTTTTGATTCAGAGCCGCATTAGTTCCTTGGTGAATCAGGCACCATTCTCGGTCCCAGGCCAGACCTTCTCGTCTGATCTCCCATCGTTTCCCTTCTGGAATCTTGAAGGCACCGCAGCTCTTTATGGGGAACACCGAGAGACTTTCAATATAGAAGTGACGCTCAGCACAGGCAATTTCTTCAACAGGTGGTGTCAATGCAACAACAGGAGGGATCTTCTCCACATAGAACTCCTCAATGAACTCAACCATTGAGTCGATATCCTTCATACTTGTCATTGCGCCCAGACTGACACGCAGGACGCCCGTTGGTTTTCCACCTATGAGATCATGAGCGTCTCCGCAACGGAGACCGGTAGAGTAATGGCGACGCAAATCTTGACCCACCCATCCAAGAGCGCGTGCAGTACCTCCAGGATTGCAAACGGACCCAGTCCGTATTTGGATGTTCTGGACGGTTGCCAGCTTCTCCACCTCAGTCTTGGGAGCCCATTCACCAAGGCTATTTCGTATATTAAAGGGAATGATGGGGCCTTGTGTGGTAGAACATCCATAGACTCCATTTGTCTCGTACACGTGGCACACTTTCGTCTGATTCCAATGGGTCAAGCCAGAGATTCGATCATAGAATTGTTTTGCCAGGGAGGCACAGTGTGTGGAGATGTTTGCCATAGAGCCATATAAACGTTCGTGGGTATCAATAGCGGCGTCGAGAGCGATGATATTATGGAAAGGGATAGTTCCGTCCTCGAGACGCTCATGGATAGAAGACTCCTTCTTGGCGTGCCATTGTACGTCTGAAGCAATGACCATATCGACAGTACCTCCACCAAAGTACTTGCGTCTCTCAAGTATATGTGCAGCACTCTTTCGGACGATCAAGGCACCCAGATCTGGGAATCCAAATATCTTGTAGAAACTCAGTGCCGTAAAGTCCGGTGCCACTGAGCCAATGTCAAGCGACCCAGTCGATAGAAACGAAGCAGCGTCGAGTAATGTGTAACCATTCCCTCCGTTCTTCTCGGCTGCTGAACGCACTTCCTTGCACCATCTGAGAGGAAGACGGCGGCCATTCAAGTTGGACTGCGCTGGGAATGCGATAAGTCGAGTGGCCTTTGTCTGGAGAGTGGGGAGATCAGAGATCCAAGAATCCACATCAGTATCGCTCTGGAAACACCGATGTCCCATATGTGCTATCTCACGCACCCCGACCAGACTGGTGTGAGCATCGGTATGGTAGCCGTACCAGAAGCCGCGATGATCAGAGTCCCGAAAGCAATCGGCCACAAGTTTTATAGCCGCAGTTGCATTAGCCACAAATACAAGATCGTACTCTTCAGGGTCTGCGTTGAAGAATTTAAGGACTCGTAGGCGAATATCGTCTGTCCGCTGTGTAGAAAGTTGTGAGGACGAAGACATTGAGTGGGGATTTCCAAAAAGGCTTGATGTCATCTGCCGCGAGAACTCCTCAATCATAGACTTGGCATATACTGTCGTGCCGGCATGATCAAGGTATGTCGTGTCTACATTCCCATGTAGTCGTGATTAGCATGATTTTGAGTGAATCGAGGTCAAGCATCCGTACCTTTCAACAAGGGATACTCTTTTTCGCGGATGGTATCCACATCTGTAGAATAGCCCTGGCAGTATCCAGCCAGGGGAGATGTGGTGCTGGGTGGCTCCATCATTATAAACAATAAAGTAGGGTTGTCTGTAGCCTGAAGCCTGGGAATAAACCCGACAGATCCCTGCACGGGTACAAGTTCACAAATCAAAAGTGGTGGTATCGAGCAACGTGTTTCCAAAGAGGTTTACTAGACGGTCGCTTTATAGTTCCACTGGCAAAGCATGAATCTAAGGCAGACCATCTGTCAGTCTCGTACTCGAGGAATATATTGCATATGAGAATGTCAAAAGAGGCATCCAGAAATAGACTGCATATTGGTGTAACGATCACCCCATGAACAACGGTTTGGAGGAATGGAACTGAGGGGGTGTACAACAGATAAGGCGGATAACTATAAACGAGCGGAGCTTACCGACGGGGATGCGAGGAGCGTGGGGAGGGTCATGCGGAGTTCCTCCTCCCTGATACAAATGATCCGAAAGTTGATGCTCTTTCCAATAACGATAGGTGTATTCCTCAGGAGCGGCCATTCTGGTTTATAAAGAAATGGGGTCGGCATGAGGGGCGATGACAGGAAGGCGGATGAAATAGGAAACTGCCCCGCATTGTTCAGTGGCAATATGGGGAATATATGTGTCACGTGGTGTGGAATCTACCGTTGAGGCTTCTGCCCACGCGAGGACGAGTCCTTTGGGCACTCATCCTGGCATGTCCATCCATGTCCATTATTCATCAGGATTTGGAATTTCCTACAATTAGCGGCAGCGCCTAAGGTTTTCAGCTGATTGGGATCTTGGGGGCCAACCAACTAGTGACCGCCCCCAGAACGTCAACTTCGCGTAAATTCAGCTGGGAGCTTGTTTCCTATCTCCATTCTCCACATGCCGTATACGGGGCCTGTAGGGTCGAGAGCTCTTCACTAACCAACCACTTACCGATTTAAACGATGAACGAATAGATATCAGCCCACATCGCATCCTAAGGTTTATTTCATGCTTCCAGAATAAAAGTTCCGAATCGCCAGGTCGCCTGCGCTCGTTACGCTCGGCTAAAGTTATCCAAACCGCCTTACCTCAGCTCTCAAAATGATAGCCCAGATGTCAGCTTGACAACCCATGTTCGAATCTGTGGAGCCACGTAAAAAATAGCTGCGCCCACTTGGGCCCTTGGGGGCCATATACGAAGGCTGAAAACGACAGTGGCTCACCACCAGCAAGTTACCTTTACTATATCGGGCACAAAGTTAGCACATTTGCTCCAAGACCCTGAAACTGGGATCATCGTGGCAGGAACTGCGCCGGTCACAGGAAACAGAATCAATAATTAGACAAGGATTCGGGGATTCCGACGAGTACTGAATTGACCCGTAGGCATTCCGTGTCAAATGATGCAGGAACAGGGAGTGGGCGTGGGGGCCATCACCTTTAGAACTGCAGACTCGACACCTCGGTTCGAGTTTAGTCGCCCGATTTAGATATCTATCATTACGCCCTATCTGGGAATGACCGGCACCTGCATATCAGACCCTTGACAATGCAATTGTCTTTCGACCAATGAGAAAAGCATGATATAGGTAAAACTCAATGTTGATTCCCTGGTGTCTCATGTGCACACAGTGGCGAGATAGCTTAAGCTGAGCCTCCCGAATATCATTGGGCAAGATGCCCACGCTATATATTGTACAAGGTTTGAATAAAAAATAGTGACGCAAAAGAAACAGTACTCCCATCCCAAACCCCTGCAATGATTCATACAAATGCTTCTGCCGAGGGGATTCCACACGTAATGGAAATGGTCGAGCGAGGGCGCAGACAGATATGGCAAGAGTGGACCAGTGAGAAACAATCGACAGAACTAAAACAATATTTTCACATAGGGCTTCGGCGTCCCCTTCACCGCTTCGGCCACTGTCTCCATCCACGACCATGACCTCTCTGCGAGATAGAGTTAGCGATGTTCCCATGACCAGATCGATCGGGACGATACTAACCTGCTTCCACAACCGGATCATTTCCGGCATCTCCACCATCGCCTTGCGGCGCTCCTCGAGTCTCGCTTCCATTGTCCGCTCCCACTTGTGACCCTTGACCTTCTGGCCGATACCAGTTCCCTTAATCCGCAGACCACGCTCCGCCAGCTTGGCGGCCTTGTATTCGGTGGACTTGGGTCCAGGGGGCAAGAGTGGCTCGACGTTGTATTTAATAGCCAACTTGACTAGATCTGCCTGCTGTCGGAGTCCATATCGGGGACCCATCCACTTCTTGGAGTTGAAGATCTTCCGCGGCAAGAATGGGTTCTGGTTCTTAGGGTCGTTGTACAGGAGCGCGCGAGAGGTCGAGAAAGCCTCGGGATCTGGACGGCGAGCACCCTTCGCATCACGATCCGGGGTGTAGGGCGAGGGAAGAGTCTCGTCGGCGGAGGCTTCGCCCTCCGGGGCAGTCGGACGCGATGCGACCAGGGACGAATAAATCTGCGGAGGGTAGCGAGCGAAGAAGTTGCGAAGGCGAGAAGGCAGTGCGCCCACGTTTTGAGTGATGGAAGACATCACGGCCGTCCGATGGTGATCAATTGAGGCCGTAGACGATCTTGAATGTGTTGAGTGATGGGGCAACCGATAAAAGTTGAAGCCGCTCTGGCCGCAACGCACTAAACCCCGGCGGGCAGTGTTGCGGCCTTGTGGCCTCAGGCCGAGAGACTTCCCATCTCGTCTTTTCCCTTCGGCTCCAGTTTTCCGTCGCTGGTTTCAGCCTCAGCATCCCTTTACATCTGCCATTCTTACCACAACCACTGTTCTTATCGCTCATCGCTCGCGCATATTCTTCGCTGTGATACCCCTATTTAATTGCGCGCATACCCAGAATCCCTGCCATCATGGCGGACTATCACTTTGGAGGTTCGGAGGAGGAGAACGCGGAGTTGAGGAAGCTCGAGACCGAACTGGTACGTCTGGAGCTCGGATACCTGAACCACATGTCTCTGATCGTTGCTAACACTTCACATAGGTTGATGATCCAGATAACTTCGAGACGTGGGAGAAGCTTGTCAGCGGGGCCGAGGCCCTGGAGGGCGGAATCAATCGCAACTCCAACCCGCAAGCCATCACCACAGTGCGCAACGTTTACGATCGCTTCCTCGCCAAGTTCCCTCTGCTATTTGGATACTGGAAGAAGTATGCCGACTTGGAATTCTCAATTACCGGCACTGAAGCCGCAGAGATGGTATGGACCCTTGTCCCAGCCCCCGCTTTTTACGTATCCATCTTGAGACTTGTCGCAGTTGCTAATAACATGGATTATAGGTCTACGAAAGAGGCATTGCCAGTATCTCCCCTTCCGTTGACCTCTGGACCAATTACTGCTCCTTCAAAGCCGAGACGTCGCACGACTCTGATATCATCCGAGAGTAAGTAGTCAGAAGCTGGTTTCCTTCCCTTTCCCTGTAACCGTTACCAATGCAGCTCGCGAAGCCTGTATGATGCCGATTGGGTTTGAAAGATGGATATATGCCGGTGACTGCGGTTCCATTGATGATGGGTGAGAGATCATCGCCTTACCACCCAGACTCAACTGGTGTTTACTTCTCACCGATGGCTCATTCAGGCTGCTTTCCTTCTCCACATGACCAAAGACATTCTACCTTCTACCTGGACAACACAAGGAACAATTTCGTTCGATGGCCCTCTCTTGACCTTTTGCGCAAAGCACTAGCTGCTTTCCCCATAGCTTGCTCACCCTCGTTAAATTTCGGGCCTGTCATAACGTGACAGAGTGATCGCCTATGTTTGCCCCATCATTTCTTCCTCCCCATACCTCCCTTTCATCCCAACTTCCAGCAGTGTTATGAACGTGTTATGCTAACGTGGCATTCTTATAGTCTGTTTGAACGTGGCGCTACTAGCGTGGGTCTGGACTTCCTGGCACATCCATTCTGGGACAAGTATATCGAGTTCGAGGAACGCGTTGAGGCCCAGGACAAGATCTTCGCTATTCTGGGCAGGATTGTTCATATCCCGATGCACCAGTATGCACGCTACTTTGAGCGTTATCGCCAGCTCGCCCAGACTCGCCCTCTGGCCGAGCTAGCTCCTACAGAGACCATGTCTGAATTCCGGTCAGAAATCGAAGCTGCGTCCTCTCACGTGCCCCCAGGCGCCAAGGCCGAAGCTGAGATTGAGCGTGATTTGCGCCTGCGTGTTGATAACTACCACTTGGAGGTGTTCTCAAAGACACAAACCGAGACTACCAAGCGCTGGACCTATGAGTCAGAGATCAAGCGGCCATACTTCCACGTGACAGAATTGGACGAAGGCCAGCTCACAAACTGGAAGAAATATCTTGATTTCGAGGAGTCCGAAGGTTCCTTCAACCGTATCCAGTTCTTGTATGAGCGCTGTCTCGTGACATGCGCCCACTATGATGAATTCTGGCTTCGCTATGCCCGCTGGATGGCTGCTCAGTCGGGCGAGGAAGAGGTGCGGATTATCTACCAACGTGCCAGCTACCTTTATGTCCCCATTGCCAACCCCACGGTTCGACTGCACTACGCGTACTTTGAAGAGTTGTCAGGCCGCACCGATGTCGCCAAGGATATCCACGGTGCTATTCTCATGAACCTTCCCAGCCATGTTGAGACCATCATCTCTCTGGCCAATCTGTGCCGGCGCCACGGCGGCCTCGATGCTGCCATTGAGGTATACAAGACCCAACTGGATTCCCCCCAGTGTGAAATGGCCACCAAGGCTGCGCTCGTTGCTGAGTGGGCTCGTCTTCTGTGGAAGATCAAGGGTGCTCCCGATGATGCTCGTAAGGTGTTCCAGGATAACCAGCAGTACTACCTTGACAGCCGACCCTTCTGGACCAGCTATCTCATGTTTGAGATTGAACAGCCTACCAGTGCTGAGATTGAGTCGACTCAGTATGAACGCATCAAGCAGGTCGTTTCTTATGCGCGCTCGAAGAGCACACTTGTCCCCGAGACTGTTAAGGAGCTCGTACAAATCTACATGGCCTACCTTCTCGAACGAGGCACCAAGGACACTGCCAAGGAGTACATGGCCCTCGATCGTGAGGTGCATGGCCCGGCCTCTGTGGCTGCTGCTCGCACTGGGGGCACTTTCGCGGCTCCTCCGACAGCTCCTGCTGATGCACAGCCCGCCGTCCCTCCCCCGGGCCAGCAACCCACTCCAGACCAAGCCGCTACGACTGCCCAAGCCTATGCTGCTTGGCAACAGCATCAGAGTCCCGTCAACGGTGGACCAGTTGCCTAGGCCCATACCCTGCCCATCCTAATGCCTCTGTAATGGCTTCGATCTCCTCACGTCTCTCCATGAATGCTTTCATCCCGACGGCCTCCTCGCACAGCTGTCTCCTTGTTTTTTTTTTTTTTGGCTGGGTGCCTGACACCTTCTCTACTTGGGTGGGTGACTTTCTTTCCATGTAGCATCATGTTCTTGCCAATTCCCGGCATCGTTCTCGTTCTCGTTCTCCTCCAGGTTTGTTAGCGATTTTGGTGCGCCGAAATGGCCCTCATTTTCCTCAAAGTGGTCTTAACTTCGGTCACTGCTATTTCCCCTTTCCCCATTCCGGGACCCTTTTGTGATTGGAGCAAGATAGGTGGTCCATTCCGGATCAAGTGTACTTTAGTTACTCGTGCAATGTGATTTTCGTAACTCAAGTCTTTTCCTTGTGCGTCGACGGTCCAAACCATGTAGAGACCTTTTCAAATCCTGAATTCATGACCAAGGATATCTGACAATGCTCCTTCCTCTTCGAAAACTCTTCCAGTATTCCTCTCTTTCCCATCATCTTTGTAGGACATCTCAAGCCTGACAGCCTTGAGCACGGACGCCATATTGCAGCACGTGACCACGCGTCTGGCCCGTCCTGACCGCCGTAGAAATTCGAGATGCCGATGCGATCATCGCTCGTTTGGCCGTCTGTCCTACATCCTCGGCCATAATCTTCCTCTCACTTCTGGGCAACTATGGAAGGCATAGTGACCAACGGCTCAGCCGACGGCCCTCCCGCGCCTCCTCCGGACTTCATGGAGCGCCCACCAACTCCCCCTCCGCCTCCTCCTGAGGACTTGGGTGCTCCGCCGCCACCTCCAGATGCTGGGGTCCCTCCTCCTCCGCCAGAAGATGCGCCACCCGCGCCCCCTACCGAAGTCAAGAAGAAGAAGCTGGGATGGGGAGCGAAGAAGCCAGCTGCAGCTCCACTGAGTGTGGAGGATCTTATCAAGAAGAAGAAGGATGCAGACGCCGCAGCAGCAAAGGTATGAGTGCCCTACGAATCGATCCTCGTGCAATCGCGATGCTCGGGATCATATGCTAATATTTGTGTGTTTCCTTTAGCCGAAATTCTTGTCCAAAGCACAACGTGAGAAACTCGCACTAGAGAAACGAGCTAAAGAGGTGGAAGCTGAACGACAAGCTAAGGCGTCCTCCAACGGTGCCAATCGCAATGGGGTTTTATCCGAGTCGCGGCCAGTGAGACGAGTAGAACCGGAACCTGATCGCCGAGATCCAGCTGGACGAGTCCCTACCGGACCGCGTGCCATGCGCGGCGACATCCCGACAGGACCAGCTGCGTCGCGAAATGGACAACCATCACGGAATCGCGACATGGACCCGCCGCCCCATCCAAAGTCCAAGAACGCAAGAGGAGAGAAGCGGGCAACAGAGGAAGACGAGGCTGCGGCACAAGCAGCACTTCTGAAGCAACGATACATGGGAACGGAACAGACCTCGAACTTCTCGGCAAAGAAGAAGCGCAAGCGCACTACGGACCGGAAATTCAACTTCGAATGGAATACCGAGGAAGACACTAGCGGCGACTATAATCCACTATACCAGAGCCGACATGAGGCAAACTTCTTTGGCCGCGGTCGACTGGCAGGATTCGGAGAGGACGTTGCGGATAACATGGCGCGCAAGTATGCGCAAGCACTGGAAAACCAGGATCATGAGTCGGGTAGCATGCGCGCCAAGGAAATCTTGGAGATGGAGCGTCGTCGCCGTGAAGAGAGCACACGGAATCAGCTTGATAAGCACTGGAGCGAGAAGCGGTTGGAGCACATGCGTGAGCGTGACTGGCGTATCTTCAAGGAAGATTTCAACATTGCCACCAAGGGTGGTAGCGTGCCTAATCCTATGCGATCATGGGAAGAGAGCCAGCTGCCGAAGCGTTTGCTGGAGCTCATCGATCGCGTTGGCTACAAGGAGCCCACTCCGATTCAGCGTGCCGCTATTCCAATCGCTCTTCAATCGCGCGATCTCATTGGTGTTGCTGTGACTGGTTCCGGTAAAACAGCTTCATTCCTGCTGCCACTGCTTGTATACATCTCAGAGCTTCCACGGCTGGACGAGTTTGAATGGCGCAAGAACGACGGACCATATGCGATTGTTCTAGCGCCTACTCGTGAATTGGCCCAGCAGATCGAGATTGAGGCTAAGAAGTTCACACAACCACTCGGCTTCAACGTCGTCAGTATTGTCGGTGGTCACTCGCTAGAGGAGCAAGCGTTCAGTCTGCGCGATGGTGCAGAGATTATCATCGCCACTCCCGGGCGTCTCGTCGATTGTATCGAGCGCCGAATGCTCGTTCTCAGTCAATGTAGCTACGTGATTATGGATGAAGCCGATCGTATGATCGATCTTGGTTTTGAAGAACCCGTCAACAAGATTCTCGACGCTCTCCCAGCGACAAACGAAAAACCTGACACAGAGGAGGCCGAAAACCCAAGTGCCATGCGCCAACATCTCGGCGGACGAGACCGATACCGCCAAACAATGATGTACACAGCCACCATGCCCGTGGCCGTTGAGCGCATTGCGCGAAAATACCTCCGTCGTCCAGCTATCATTACAATCGGCGGTGTCGGCGAAGCGGTGGACACAGTCGAGCAGCGCGTCGAAATGATTTCCGGCGAAGACAAGCGGAAGAAGCGACTCGCCGAGATTCTCTCCTCAGGCGACTTCCGTCCCCCGATCATCGTATTCGTCAACATCAAGCGGAACTGCGATGCCATCGCCCGCGAAATCAAACAAATGGGTTTCTCGTCTGTTACCTTGCATGGTTCCAAGACTCAAGAGCAGCGTGAAGCCGCTCTGGCGTCTGTTCGGAGCGGTACTACTGATGTCCTGGTCGCCACTGACCTCGCTGGTAGAGGTATTGATGTGCCAGACGTCTCGCTTGTCGTCAACTTCAACATGGCTACCTCCATCGAGAGCTACACCCATCGTATCGGTCGTACCGGTCGTGCTGGTAAGAGTGGTGTTGCTATTACATTCTTGGGTAGTGAGGATTCCGATGTCATGTACGTTTTATACTTCCCTTCGTGTTCATTCTCTCCCGCTTTGATCAGAAAACTAATCTGTGGATACAGGTACGATCTCAAGCAAATGCTCATCAAATCGCCCATCTCTCGTGTGCCTGAGGAATTGAGGAAGCATGAGGCGGCACAGTCTAAACCGACGCGTGGTCAGGGCAAGAAGATCGAAGATAGTTCCGGGTTTGGAGGAAAGGGTGGATGGGCGTAATTGCTCGATAATTTTGTATTATTTTGAAACCATACCACTATCTCCCAGCTGCATCGACGCCGGGTTCAGGCCGGGCATTTGGGGGTTTAACGATGTTCTTCGTGAAATGGATTGGACATGTTCTACCTCGATTATCTGCTTTATCAAATAATCTCCTGAAATCATATTGGGGAAGGCCTCTGCCATCCCATCTGGCGTCTTACGGAAATGAAAGGGACGACCCCGTCAACGACAGGCCAAGATGGCATATTAATCCATAGTATTCTTTTTAGCTCTAGTCTAACTTTTCCCAACGGAGGTACTAGGAGATTCCATGCCAGTCAATAAGTGAGTAGAGTGTGGAAAACAGATAGCAAAAGTGAGTAGCCACAGGCTTGAAAAGACACAACCCGTGTGTCATCGCCTGGTATTGCTTGAACCCGATTCAATAAAAAGCCGCAAACCCCGAAAAACAAAGGAACATCCATCCCCGGCGCCCTGAGAGAAAACAAATTACAGCTTGCTCTGGAAGTACTGGTTGTTCTTCAGCCAGTTCTCGACATCCTCGCGGTCACGTTGCAGCCAGTTGATCTTGGCGCGGATAGCGTCCAGGCTCTGGGAGACGGCGCGATCGTAGCCCTGTAGATATGTTAGATGAATATATATACGGAATATTAGTGGGAGAGTGAAAGCTTACCTTAGTGTCCTTGGCACCGAAGAACTCCTCAACCTCCTTCAGCTGAGCCTCAGTGCAGAAGGAGGAAGATGACAGCTGCACAACGGTACCCAGCATGCCCAGCCCGGGAGGCAGGCGCTTGTAGATAGCGTCCCAGTTCTCCTTCAGCCAGGTCCAGCGGGCATCAATACCAGTGACGTGGTTGCGGAGACCAGCTAGCGGCATGTAGATATCCTGACTGCGGACCTCCTCACTCATGGCGAGCTCGAGAGTGCGCTGGACGAGAGCCGGCTCCTCGGCGACACCCAGGCAACGCAGGGCAGTGGTCTTCTCGTCCGAGGTAGCGGCCTCACGGAAGCGCTTCAGGATAACATCGTACTCCTTGGCACCACCGAACTTCAGAACAATGCTGAACACATTGCCGCGGATGTTGGGGTGGATGGCGGAGTGATCGCCAGCAGCAAAGCGGGCGAACATGTCCTGCGCAGCCTTGACAACGACGGGGTCACCGGCGCTACCGGCACAGCCGAACATGAGAGCCTTGAGCTGCTGCAGGATGTGACCATCCTTCTCGGAGAACTCCCAACCCAGTTCGTGGGTCTTGGCAGAGACCAACTCACGCTGGAAGGCAGTGAGGGCATCCTTGGTTTGCTTATCCTCGAAGACCCAGGAAGCGCGGACAACACCGATACGGGTGAGCATCTCGTTCCACACGATGAACTCGGTCTCGGTGTCAAGGCCCTTGAGCAGCGAGAGCAGACCGGAGGTCTTCTGGTAACCAGAGGAGGCCAGAGCACCGGAGTCGGCAATCAGACCAGCACGGTCCTCGGTGGTCAGAAGACCATCCTTGGCGGCCTGACCGAGCTTGGTGAGGCGCTCGGGGGAGTAAGAGGTACGGTAGATACCAGAGTGGTCAGCATTGACCTTGAAGAAGTCAAGGTCAGGGACCTTGAACTCAGCCTCGCGCTCAGTCAACATGGTGCTCTCATCAACGCCCTCCTTGGTGCGCAGGCCAAGCATGCAAGGGTACAGGGTCTGGTCCTCCTCGGGACGAACGTCGCCGGTACGCAGGAAGCGGTTTTGCTTCAGGCTGATGGAGGACGAAGCAGGGTTCTCGGTCACACTGATGACGGGGAAGCCGACATTCTTGGTCCAGATATCCATAACAGACTGGACAGGCTTGCCACTGGCGTCAGCCAGAGCGGACCACAGGTCACCGGTCTCGGTGTTGCCGTAGGCGTGCTTCTTGATGTAGGCACGAACACCCTGGAGGAAGACGTCCTCACCAAGATACTTGGAAATCATGCGAAGCACGGACGAGCCCTTGGAGTAGGAGATGGCATCGAAGATCTGGTTAACCTCATCGGCGCGCTTGACGGGGACCTCGATGGGGTGAGAAGAACGCAGCGAGTCAAGAGACAGGGCACTCTGCAGATTGTCGATGACATAGGTCTGCCAAACCTTCCACTCGGGGTAAAAGACGTTGCAAGAGTACCAGGACATCCAGGTAGCGAAGCCCTCGTTGAGCCACAGGCCGTCCCAGAAATCCATAGTCACCAGGTTACCGAACCACTGGTGGGCCAATTCGTGCTGGACGGTCTCGGCAATTCGCTCCTTGCGAGAAGCACCACTGGTCTTCTCATCAAGCAGGACATCAACAATACGGTAGGTAATCAGGCCCCAGTTCTCCATGGCGCCCGCACTGAAATCGGGAACGGCAACCATGTCCATCTTGGGGAGAGGGAAATCACTATCAAAGGCCTTCTCGTAGAAAGCCAAAGTCTTCGCGGCAAGCTCGAGCGAGAAACGACCGTGCTCAATATCCTGATCCGGGGTGGCGTACACACGGATGGGAACACGGAAGTTCTTGGTCTCAATGTAGTTCAGATGACCAACAATGAAAGCAACCAAATAGGTGGACATCACGGGCGAGGTATTAAACTTGACAGCTTTCTTGGAGCCGTCCTGAACATCCGTCTCTGAAGCAACATCCATGTTGCTAAGACAGGTCATATCCTTATCAGCAATGAGGGTCACCGTGAACTTGGCCTTAAGAGCGGGCTCGTCAAAGCAAGGGAAGGCACGACGGCAATCAGTTGGCTCCATCTGAGTCGAGGCAATGTACTCCGTCTTACCATCCTTCCTGTATGAAGAGCGGTAGAAGCCAGCCATGTTATCGTTCAAAGTACCGGTGAATGTGAGGGTAAGCTGGGCATCGGCACCAGCGGCGATGGCCTGCTTGAACTGGACCGTGGCCACCTGGGTATCCTTATTGACAATAATCTCGGGCTTGGACTCGATGACCGCGCCATTGGAACGAACGGTAGCACTGTGGATATCGATTTCGTTGGAGTTCAGAGAGATGAAGTCGGTGTCCTCATTGACCTGGAGGCTGCATATAGGTGTCAGCATCTACTCCAAAGCACCAGCCATCTCGGGGGGATGCTAACTCAATGGTGACGGTTCCGTTATATTTGAAGGTCTTAAAGTCCGGCTCCAAGGTCAAGTCGTAGTGAACAGGCTTGACGTTAGTGGGCAGGACCTCACGGCCCTGGACATTGGTCGAGCCGGAGGGCTCGTCACGACGAGAGCTGCACATTCTTCGGTATGAACAGTAGCGCTTGGAGGTTTGGGAGAGAGGTGAACGGGATGGGCGGGATTGAATGGAACGAGGGCGAGAGATTAGACTTGAAGCTGGAGCTGAGCGAGGGGCGGAGAGTGGAAAGAGGGGGAGGGGTCTGGCGGATAGAAGCGGTGGCTTTGCTTGAAGCAACGCACGCGAGGAAAGACGACGCATCGGCAGGTCAACAACCCCCGTCAATTGAGGGAGGAAAACAGAAGGAAAGAGAATAATATACACAGGGTCCAAGCACCCAATAATATACAGAAGCTAAAATGCAACAAAGAACGACTGCATCCACCGCGCGCCGAAGAACAATCGAATGGCGCTCGATTGAAAAGAATCACAACCCGGCAGAACACATCAGGCGGTGAGGCCTTGGCCTTGCCGCCTTTTCTTTTTCTTTTCCTTTTTTTCTCCTTCTTCTTTCTTAACCTCACGCAAGTTTCAACCAGCGAATGCCACGATTCTTCTACGGCAGTCGACTGTGGAGTAGCTTTCGAGCTGTTCCTCCTTGCAAGACTATGCACCAGTCAGTTTGAGGGGCCTATGATACACAGCTCTTGCTGTTTTCCTGAATAGGCATCCATAGAGAATTGGGACATCTACTCGTGATAATTAACCTTGGAGGAGTTTATCATTGCACCAAAAATTGAGTTCTATGCTACTTTGACCTATCAGTACGCTCCAGGCAAATTGCCCTGGCTTAAGCTAAGACGAAGCCACATAAAATGCCAAGATATATACATATATGTTCAGAAGCTGAGGCCCGTTACTTCATCGAGATATAAAATAGTTCAATAAGTAATACAATTAGTTATGTCCATTCGAATCCTCGTATATCTACCGTCTTAAATCAATCCATCCCGTCTAGGGACGTCCTGCAGGAGTTAGCGGCAACCGCGTAAACACACTCCGCGACCAGCCATCAGCATCCACCACCGATTCCTTGACAAGCACATAACCACCCCACCGAGGCAGCAGTACGGCCCAGACAACATAGTAAAGAGCTCCGAACGCAAACAACCCCAAAGCCACAACGCAATGCAGGTAGTATGGCAGCTGCTCGTAGACGTTCTGGCCAGCATCGGGAGGCACATAGGGAGCAATAACCAAGTACACATTCGACAACAAGAAGAACACAGTCACTGGGAGAGTTGCCCGGATTCCAGGGTTCCAGTTGGGGTACTTGGTGCTCCGGTTCAGGTAGATATAGATGAGGCCACCTGAAACAAACACGTTGATGATCGAGAGGGGGTATGAGATGAGGCTAGAAGATTGATTAGACCGAGGCCAGGAATCTTTCGGGGACGTGTGCTCACTTGAGAAGGAAATTATATGCATCGCCAGGTGGAGGAGCAAGCAAAATGATCGCCGACACAATGTAGTGCTCGAATAGGCCGGCGGCTGGTGAATGGAAAGGCCAATTACTGGCAAAGAATTTGGAGAAGGGCAAGACGCCCTCTCGACCGAGCTCTTGAACAACTATAGATCCCTATTAGCATGTACAAGTACATGGGATTCAGGGCATACATACCTCGACCTTGCGAGAACAGCACCGACAAAACATTCCCAAATGCTGACAGAGCCACAAAGACCGACATGACTTTCTCGGCCTGCTTGCCGAACATATTTCCAAAGAACACTGCAGCGACCACAGTGCCCGATTCCAACATTTCTTCCTTTGATACTGCTGCAAAGTAGGCAATATTGACAAACATGTATAGAATACCGACAGTGCCAATTGCGAGTGGCGCGGCGATCTTCAAGGTGCGAACTGGGTTTTTGGTCTCGCTCAGGGCCTAAACGACATTAGCTTTTGAGTCGACTGATCAACAGGTTTTGGTTTAGCCCACATAATTAGCATTAGAGTATCCAATGAATGACCAAATGACATTGTACAGTGCCATAACAATGCTGTACCCACTGCCTTTCGTTCCTTCAAACGCATTCCGGAAGTTATGCGGCGTCTCAGCCTTCGTGTGTCCAGCCAGAGCAACCCATCCCGACACGACAATGAACAAAATGATAATCAATTTGATAATACCGAGTAGATTTTGGAGACGAATACCCCACTTGAGAGCGATGGAGTGCACGAGGAATGCAGCTGTGAGGCAGGCCAATCCAATACCACGCTGATTCCATCGATCAACCTCAATCTCAGCGGCGTTGAGGATATACTGGCCAAAGACCACGCTGTTGCTTGCAGCCCAACCTAGGAGAAAGGCGTACGCAGCGAACATGGCCGTGGCCAGGAACTTGGGTTTTTTGTACACATATTCGAGGTAGTTCTTCTCGCCTCCGTTTCTAGAGATTCTCGTCAGTGTTGAATCCTTTTTGTATTAGGAATTGAGAAGGACGTACTTTGGGATAGCCGTGCCCCATTCCATATAGACCGCTGTTCCAGCCATAGCGATAAATGTGCCAATAACCCACATGAAAAGTGAGAGACCAACGCTACCCGACAGAGATAGAATAGTCCCTGGTGTCGCGAATATACCAGTTCCAATAACACGGTTGAAAATTAGTAGTGTGGCACTGAATACACCCAGCTGTCGACGATTCTCAGGTGACGCCTCGAAGATATTTCCTTCATCTATAGACAACCACGCAAATAAAGTCAGTCATGCCAATACTCCAACAAAATTCGAAGCAAAAACTAACATAAACCTGTAATTCCATCCGCCGGCCTAGGCCCATTCTCAGCCTCTGCAGGTTTCGCACCATAGACAGCAGATTTAATCGGCGTCCTCTCGGTCGCCGATGAAACAGTCGAATCTGCCATCTTGACTTTCAAAAATTCTCAGCCTTTACCAACAATAATTCAACCGTTAATTTTCGATGCAGAACCGCTTCTAATATTTCCTGGTACACGGCTAGCACCGGCATCAGCTATAGATGATGTGCTAGCACTAAAAGTGATGCAATACAATCCCGCCTGGGCAGGATACTACCTCAGCAAAATCCCGAGCACGAGCGTATCGCCGCCTGAATCATTCAAATAAAACCATGTGCTTTGACTCGTGGTGCTTTCTAGAATTCTTGGAAGGCTGCTACGCCTCATTTGATCCACTTTCTGCATTTCTAATGGAAGGATGGTTGTGGATAGTTATAGCGTCTATGCTATCCTCGGCCGGGCCGAGTTTAGTTCAGGTAGGCTTGCCAGGCGCAAAAAGAAACTGCATAGCATGCGATGAACGGTAGTATTCATGTAAATCGCATTAAGTAAGAGAAAACGTATGATAATTTGCATTTTCATGCCGAGACTTCGCCATATTCTCACTTTTGTTTGCGATTTCGTTCTCAGCACGACAGTCTCGGCGACAACCCAAAATAGGTTTGTTCGGGGGCAGCAGGCAGCCGAGAACAGGCAAATGCTGGGCCGAGCTTGGACCTTCGGGATGGATGCGGGAAGGGCTTCGCGGGAAGGAAAAGGAATGTGGAGGGGGATTCCATAGGAATACCAACATAGAAAAACTTGATAAATATTTGCGAATTACTGCTAGTACCCAGAATAGGCTAATTGATCCAACTAGAAAATGTCTCACAATGCTCCTTAGATCTTGAATCTACGGAGTATAGATGTCAATATTGCAGTCATCTCGGCATTCCCGCGCCTAGACCCGGCCAAGAACGCAGTGAAACTCTGACACATGGAAACCGATCACGCCATTGCGTGGACCCTTGGCTCGGATCAATCAACCTCAAGCTCCACTATAACTAATTCGACGACAGGTCTCTGACCCATAGATCAACGAGGTGACTGAGGTGACATCGATTGCGTCAAATCGCCTCATATTGTCTAGACCGGGACTGCTGATTCAAATTCAATGTCAAGGTACGACTCTGACGTAGAGGGTTGGACCTCAATTGAAATGCCCTATACTTCAGAAAATGCTCATGGCAACCAAACAGTGCCCTGTAGATTGACTCCAACGGCGAATGCATGACAAGCAAATTCTTGTGTTTGCAACCATAACTCTCTAGCGATGGCAGCAAAAGCTCACGTAACAGTTGGAAACAAATGGGCTTGCTTGACATGCATTTGATATTGGAATCAATCTACCTTGAATCTGCGTGTGCAATAGAATGGTGATACATACTAGTGAGAGCTTCTGCATAGAGAGTAACTTTCACTCAAAACAGTTTCCCCTGAAGACGATTTGTTGTTAGGCTTGATCATTTTGATGCGAATTCACCGGCTAGTTTAGTTTTGAGGTATAGGTACAGACAGGTAGTAGGGAGCTCATAGGCCCTCCTCAGTAAAGACCGATCTACATTTACATCCTCATCTAGCATAGATCATGATGTGATATTAGGAGAGTTTCATTGAATTTATGTCAATTTCATCCAAGATCAAGGGAACATCTCGTCTCATCTAAATCTGCAACAAATGCAACCCATCCATCTTCCCAATCCAACCCATTCCATTCCATGACCAGAATCCCCAAAACTCCCTGATCTTGTGCAAGTATTCCCGTGAAAACGGATTCAAAAAGTACCAATCTGTATACCACAACGGTCCCAAGAAAAAACGATGAACGCCATGTAAGCAAGCCAATCGCAAAGAAAAGACAAGAAAAGAAGAGGGGGATAAGATTAGAAACAAGAAACAAGGTCAGGGGAAGAAAGAAATGAAAACGAGACAAAAAACTCCGCTCCCCCTCGTGCAGTGGGATATATGGCAGGGCACTGAAAATTTGGACATGAATCAACGACATGAACATGAAAAGAATTAGCATCTCCCTCACCAGGGGAGATGGAAATGAGGTTAACGTGAAAAAAAGGACGAATGCCTGACGCAGAGACGCTGTTTATATAGTGACTCGAATCTTGAGAGGTTGGGCACAAACGACTTCGCAGGATGTGCGTAGATGGAAGGGGGCATTGTTAACGGGGTTCATCGAGGCGGCGTGGCACCTGTAGCATGCGATACAGGAACTAGATTTGACGATGGCATTCGACCACTGTGCATGGTCGGTGTTGGCCGCTTTGCTAGAATCGCGAGCTTCTTTCGAAGAGAGGCAAGGCGGCCGCGCATGCTAGATACCACTGTTGCAAATGTTAGTGATCAAAAATTTCATACTAAGGAATTGAAGGGAAGAAGATACTCACGCTTGACTACCACTTGCCGATCCTCCCCTTGTAGCCCATCCACCGACGTCTTGTCACCGCCGTGAGAAGAGTGCTGCTGATGACCGGATTGACCCGAAGACGAGTGCAATCCATCATCCTCAAGCACCGCCTCCAGCATTCGAATGGCAGTGACATAGGCAATTTCACATCCAGCCAAATCCTCACTAGTCAACTCATTGATAGCCGCGGTGCGACTCATCTCCAATGCGCGGTCGTACATCAGCTTTTCAGCCGTAACCCCAGGACTCACCACCACGTCGGCGGATCCACTCGAGGCAACGGTCGAGCCAACCGAGTGATTATCCGGATGACTAGGATGGTCGAGAGGTAACCGCTTCTGGCTTTCGATAAGCTTCAGACGCACAAACTCGGCTTTCTCCAGAACTTCGTTGAACCGGCTTCGGACCCATTGCACCACATTATTGATCCGAGCGCCGGCGAGTACACTGTTATCACCGCGGTGCGACGAGTCTCCGTATGTATCCTCCCGGTTCTTGCGTGTCCACCAAGCACCTGCAATATCCATGGATTTGGCCAGTAGAGCTAGCGCCTTCACGTAAAGAACCAGGGCTTCCTCAGAGAGGGTCACGATAGCGTCGACCGTTAGCCCATCATCGGTGGAATCATTGGGGTCCTCGGATCCACCAACAATATGTCGCGCAGATGGATCTGGTGGGGCCGATGGAGCCAGTGGAATAAGCTGTTTATATTTGACCTCCGCAAACCCATAGACGACATCACTACGGGTAGCGCATTCTTCGATGATCTGGACCGTCCTGCAGTCCTCATCAACAGCTGCGGTGGTCTTGGCTCCATCGCCCATCAGCATTAAACTTGCTTGTGCGGCAGGGTAAGCCGGGAAGGGGTTGTAAGCGAGAGGCGGAGATCGCCCACCCTTGGTGATTGCCAAAGGTGGTGAGAACCCCATGCCAAACAAGCGACCGCTGGCCATGTTAAGAGCCTTTGAAATCGCTGACGTCGCCGACGTCGGGCTTTGTCCATACCGTCGCTCGTATGAGTGTTGGCGTTGGTGAATAGAGTCAGCTCGTGCACGCCCAGGGATGACCTGCATCGCCTTGGAAGCGTAATGCGGAGACGTCGAGGCCACAGTCGGGAGCCCTTGCGTAGTTGCACGACGAGGTGCGGAACTACCTGGGCCGCGACCAAAGCCGCCTTGGATCCGAGGACTATGAGCCAATTCGTCCGCGAATGCATTAACTTCGACCGCCCGTTTCTCAACCACCACATAATCACGCTCGAATGCCACCTCCTGAGCTGCCCGCTCCTGCTCCTCCGCCGTTCGATCGTCCTGACTGGGCTTTGACGTTCCGGAATATGTTTTCCGGCTTCTCTGTCGTTCCATTGCAGCTGTTGGTGTATTCCGATCGACAAGTTCCTGTCGGCCAGGTGCCGTTGCGTGTGTGATTACACTTGGCCGTTGTGGCGGTGTCCCACCCCGTGGAGTCTCTCTCAAAACACCAGTTGAAGGCTGATCAGCGCTTCCCACCCGACGCATAGGTGAAGCACTGGGCGGAGTATCGGACTTCTCCCGAGTGGGCTTTGGCCGGTGCGGAGGCGGATATGTGATACGTTCCTCCTGGTCAGTAGTATAAGGCGAATCTCTCCCGGCATTGGGATCATGCGCGACTTGACCAGGTCGAGATTCTGTCCGGTACGGCATTGGCCCACGTCCAAGCTCTGCAGAGGTATGCCGACGGTTTCGGGGCAGGTCGTCAGCGATCAAACCTGGAATGGGGTCCGTAATGACATTGCTTTTGAAGAACTCGGGGAAATTCAACCGCTCCACAGGGTTGCGCTTCAAAAGTCCTCGAATCAGCCTCTTCATATCATCCGACGCCGGGTTCTCCTCAGGAAATCGTATTCGATCTTCTCCCTTCTCGATCTTTCGAAGTAGTTCGACATGATTCGTAGCTCGGAAAGGAGGACGTCCCACCACCATCTCATAAAGCACCGTACCAACGGACCAGAGATCAGCCTCTGGTCCATACTTCTCATATCGCAAGATCTCGGGCGCCATATAAAGTGGCGAGCCACATAGCGTCTCTGCTAATGAAGTGGCAGGCAGAGATCGAGCAAACCCAAAATCTGCAATTTTGAGCATCGGCAGCGTCTCCAAGCCCGTTATCGGTTCATAAGAATTATCGCTGCCTTTGTACGGAACGACCGGAGCGGTTCCACTCCGGTATGAGGTTGGCGCTGGGCAAAGCAAAAGATTTTGGGGCTTGATGTCCCGATGAATGAGATCTCGCTCACGCAGAAAATGAAGGGCGCTCGAGAGCTGTTTGAGAAAATGTCGAACAACAACCTCGTTGAGGGCTCCACCGGGTGGATTAGGGTATTTGGCAATCATATCTCGGGTAGAGGAATGGTCATATAAGGTGTCCCGCTTCTTGATAAAAGCCGAGAGGTCCCCGAGAGCGCAGAACTCCATGACCAAGTGAATATGCGATGTAGACTCATGGCAATCGATGAGGGCGACAATATGCGGATGATGAAGGTCTTTCAGAATATCGATTTCGGAGGAAAGGTTATCCTTCAACTTCTTGTTGAGCTTCGATAGATTGACGGATTTGATGGCTACAAAGGTGCGAGTTTTCTAATCATCGACACATTGCAACCGTTAGTCTGCATTCTCCAAGCCAAAAAGCTTATCTCAATCTTTGATGACTCACCGTATGTACACCCTGGTAGACCGTCGCGAAGCTCCCTTGTCCGATCTTGTTATGCCGAGTATAGGGACCGATGGTCATTTCGAGTCGAGAGGTCTCGCGTGACCTCCGCGAATGTTGAGTTGCCATGGCTGTCGCCGAGTGGCTCCGCCACCTGTGTTCTGATAACCCGCAGACGAAGCCCCCAGGGTAATCCCACGGCCCAACCACGCTCTGTCAACCACAACTACCGCAGCAAGAATAGCGACGTTGGACTCGGCGAGAGGCCCATCAGGGGAGCCAGGATGAGCAAGGATGGGTACAGCCAGGAGCCGAGTAGGTTCGAAGAACGAGGAACCGCCGGGATAGCGAGTCTGGACTCAACCTAGGAATAGTGCCGTGAAACTAGACCAGTCGAGTGTGATCGAGTGAAGCGAGTCCCTGTCCAACAAGGTATGAAAGGATGAAGATATGCTGCTGGACAAATTAGGGTGTGTTCGCACGACAGACGTTGTCTCAAGCACGTCGTGGAAAGCGGTGAAGGTGATGATGTATAGATGCGAGTAGGAATGTATCGGCGTAATGAGTATAATGAGGGGGGAACGTGAACCAAAAGTTTGGGGGGGGAGGGAGGTGGAAAGGGAAATATGCAGGAGGGGGCGGGTAGGAGCTGGTCTAATGGAGGAAGAAGATGATGTGATGTTTGAAAGGGCGGGAAAGCTGGACCCAGAGGAAGCCCAGGACGGCGGTGGGTGGTGAAGGCTGGTGATTGGGGAGGGGGATGACCTGCTCTGATGGCTAATGGCCGATAACGAGTGACAGGCGATGATCTGCTGAAGGCGGTGAGTAGGGCGGTGAGTGAGATGGACATGGGGTCCAGTAGAAAGTACCTTATGTATGGGTCTGGGAGGACCTTGGACGATGTTGAATCACAGGCAATAAGAATATAAGTTGCAGGAGGAGGAAGAAGATGAAGCGATTTGAGTCGAGTGAAAGAAAGGAATCAAACGAGTCCAGGAAGCGACAGAAAAAGGGGGAACAGCAGGAGTGGCCATGCAGGTGGCCAGCTTCAGGTGGTTTATCGATTAGATAAGGCCGAGATCGTGACCTATCGCGAGTCACGAGTCACGTTCCGGGGAATAATGATTCATTTCGGGATGATGCTATTTATACGGGGTCGACAGGGTATACTTGTTTATATTCTTCATATCTAATATCAGATGAATAGATCATATCATTTATTTCTAAGTTACTACAAGATCATACCAAACCAACAATGTACAACCCCAAAGCAACAAACAATAATGCCTGCCATCTCAATCGTATCGCCCATCCCATACTTGAGGATCCACATGATTTGCCTCCCGATCCGAGATCGGCAGCCCCAAGGGTACACTGAGTCCTGAGAAACAGACCAACCGGACATGCTTCAATGATTCTTATTTGAACGATCTTGCTAAATATCTTTCTTGATGGCACAAGTACCATATTTGTAATATATCTTTCAACTCATGACTGCATGATCACTTTGAAGAACTGTCGGCGCTTCAAATTTATGGAACCCCTCTGTACTCGCAAGCGATAACCCCCAAAAGCTTATCGGCCAGGCAGAAACTGGTTTTCTAGGCCATTGCATTATGACTCCCAGTCAGATCCGAATCGCTTTGAGTCATACGAATTAAATTAAGTTAGTTAGAATATGGGACATCGAAATTGGTAAGGTATCATACATGAAATACAACAAATGTCTCTCTACATTCACAAGGCAGCCATTCTCGCTCCAAATGCCCGCCCTCCACCTAACACGCAAGCCCACCCACCCCCTTCCCATCTGCACGATCAAACGCCCAGACCCCGCACTAACAACCACAACACAACCGGCACGACAACGTTATCATTACAGCCAGTGAGGATCGCCTCGGTCGCGCTAGTCCCGCTAGCCGCTAATACGGCCTTGCAGCCCGTCCAGAACCAAAAGCGAACGGTGGAGGCCTCCACTCCGGCTGATTCGGTCCCTGTCACGGCCCACCCTCCTACTATCAGCCAGGCACGTACGGCAAGTAAACCGCAAGTCACGGCCACGGCGAAAGCCACGCTGCCTTCAAGCGACTTGCCCCCGCCCCAGAACCATTTCAGGCGGCCGTATCGACGGCCGATGAGGGAGGCTGCGGCGTCGCCCATGCCGACACAGATAATACCGCTCACCATGCTGACATCCCGGGTGGGTACCTCCCAGCCTGTCCAGGGTCCTTCACCGGTGCGATCGAGATCGGATAGAGATAGCCATAGGGGAATTGAGCAGCCGATCAGTAGGAAAATGTGTGAAATGATGACCGGCCCGCGGTGATCCCGCCCGTCTACATACGGGGCCAGGAAGTAGGTCAAGGGGCGTGAGATTGGTGGGAGCTGAGATGCACGGAAGAGATCCAGAAGCAAAAAGACCGAGAGGACCAGGGCCAGCGCCAGCGCACAGAATGCCGGGTCCACGAAAACGGTGGGTAGGAACATTAGCACCATCATGCCATGGAACACCTTGCGCCGCGTGTCCACCTCGGCTATGGAACTGAGCTGAAACACGATTGCCAGCCCAGTCACTAGAACCAGGATGCAGTATGCGCCCATCAGAAGGCGGGTATTGGCAGGCCCGAAGTCTGTCTGGCGGATATGCTCAACCCAGCCCAGCCAGCACGATGGGTCTTGGAAAGACGCGTCAGGCCGCGCGGGTAATTGGATCCAATACTCGAGGTTCAGCATGAGCACCCAGAATCGGACCCCTGATAGATTACCCAAAAGGTACCCCACGGCCCATCCGAATGGATCCTGGCCTTGGAGAGCTCGGTCGGCAATGTACTTCCGGATGGGCCCCAAGATGATTGCCAGAGAGATCGCGTAGACATAGATCGCATACAGCCATTTGCGGACCTGAGCTTGGGCTGCAGTCATGGACAAAAATGAGGCAAGACCAGGTCCCATCATTTTCTTACGGCGACCACCAGGAGTAGTGCGCACAAGTTCCTCTTGAACCGCCTCCTCAAACGTCGAAATAGTATGTCGTCGTCGCCGGTTTTGGGCATAAGCATGCTGTTCAAAGGCTTGCTCGGCGGTCATATTATCAATGGCCGAGACGGGATCTCGAGAATCCCGCATTGTCTTCGACTTGCGAGGTCGAAGTACTCCACCAGGTCCATCGCTGTCAGACGTGGGTTCATCCGAGACCCCAGCCCGACTGAGCTTCTGACACAACCGGTGGTCCATCATATTAAAGAATTTCCGCGGAGAGAGCGAACCGCTCAGTGAACGGCGGAACTTCCAACTAGGAATCCGAGCCAAAGCCACCTCCCAACGAAGGATGTGCCGACAGGCCGCAAATAAGCACATCCCACCGAGCCATAGCAAGGCCTTGAGAATCTCCGCCTGAGGAGAGGCCGCAAACAAGTACAAATTGGTTAGCGCTGTCGTCAAAAGCTGCAATTCCGCGGGGAGAATGCTAGTGGTCAACAAAAAGTCTAAAGTGGGTATCAACGCTTGATGTAAAGGAAAAAGAAGAATCAACGATTCCGCATCGTGCCCCCGGAGCGACAGCGGCTTGGGAACTGTATTATCGAAGGAGAGATATTCCGAGGCGACTACTGGCACCAGAGTCACCATCCAATGCGTCACACTGAAGCCATTGACCCAGCTCTGCAGAGGGATGACAGAAGCCGGAAGTGATGCAAGACTCAGAACGAGGTTGGGTATGAGCAAGGTCGGAAGATGGTTTGTCAAAGATAGCGAGACGAAAACCGGGATCAAGATCGGATAGAGCAGCGGTGCGGGATCAAAACTCGCGGGTATAGAGAAAAACGGACGTTTAGATTTGGAGGGCCATATGCGCCACCTTCGGCCCCTCGACGCTCGGAGCAGAACGGGGTAAGCAGCATATAGACTGATGAGCGTAAAGCCATGAGCGGCAAGCTCTGCACAATCGTTAGCAAAAGCAAATCCAGATCTCGAATTCTTATCCTAAAAAAAGTAATCCTACCTTTCCTCCAAGCCCAAGCAATTGAACGAGCATCTTCTTGCACCAAGACGACAGCCCCAACAGACAACAAAAGCGCCGTCTCCATCAGTCGCCGCAAGATCTCAACCCTCCTCTGCCGACGCATATGTTTCCCCTCCGCAAATCTATCCTCCGTCTCTTCAGACGAGCTCCGTCTCGACGCACGCAACGTCTGGCGCACAAATGACGGCCACGGCTGTAACGTAGGCAGCCAAGCATCGGTATCAAGCGACCCATTCGCGCCAGAGCGCAACCCCTTGCGCGGCCGAACAGGCGGTGCCGGCAGACCTCTAAGGATACCGGTACTCTCATCATCCGCCTCGGTGCCACTGTCGCTCGGTGTCCGCGATGATTTCGAGTATGCGGATAGCGGCTGGAGGCGGTCGCCGTGTTCGGAGGGTGTGCGCGAGCCGAGACGTCTGTTGTTGCTGCGGTGGTAGGGATGGGGAGAGCGAGTGAATTGTCTCAGGTCTTCGGCGATCACTTCGGAGTTTGAAGCAGGCGTCCTGCTGCGAGGGATCGCCTCCTGTTCCTCGTAGCCCCGCGGAGAACTCATGACACCATTCCTATTTCGATGAGTACGTCATGCCGGGGTAGGGGGGAGAATGGTAGAGGAGCGTCGATATTGTGGGTTCGTAAGAATTAGTGTCGAAGCGAAGGAAAAAAGCGCAGTACTTCTCGGGAAAGGAATGGTGGGATCGTGGGGATCGAGCGGGTTGTTGTTATCTTTCCTGAACGCGGAAGGGGAGTCTGCTTATCACATGTCCGGGCCACCTGGGGAGATCCACCATATGACAGTCGGAGTCTCTAGAATCCACATTCTGGCCACCGAACGCCTGATGGGACTAAACGAGTGGGCCTGTTACTGTATTTACTACCAGTAGAGAGTTACTTGGGATTTATTGGACAATGAGTAAAAATGGTCTCTCGAAATCTTCGTTTCAACATGGCCAACATGAGAACTTTTGGTGCAATTAGGTTCCACGATGCATCTACAGAATCATCAAGGGTATTTACACATCCAAGCCACGCTCCTCTTGCATAACCATGGCAGCAGTCAACTGTCGTCCCTCCCGTCCCCAAACCGATCGGCATGGGATAATCTGGCCTGGCCAGAGACCCTCCGGTACCGGTAGAGTAGTGTATAAAATTGCCTGAGACAGACCAGACACCTGGCAGTGGGACATGATCAACGGACGAAGCCTCTCTTCCAACGACACCTCAGAGCTCCCAGCTTCAAGCTCCACACAGCGGTAAATGTATCTCTCATTCACCGTTGTTGAGGTCCCATCTTCCAAGTTCACCAACGTAACCTGCTGGCACAGACTACCCAGTCCCTGCCACTCGATATCACTACCCCGAGGAAGCTCATCGACCTCGACAGCCAGGAAAGGCGGGATAGTTAACTCGGATTCCTCATCAAGAACCGAGAACTTGGGTAGATTCGACTCTACCGCTTGATGAATCAGCTCCTCCGCTCTGCGTCCATACTTGATATCCCAAGCATCAAGCTGCGGGCCGTCATCCTCGTCTTCATCATCCACAGGCCGAGTATGCATCTTCTTCCACAGTTCCCAAGCAATGCGCACCTGTGCCTGAACATGTTCACCACCCGTCATGAAGACCACGGCACCAAGCCACCAATCAACTTGCATGGCCTCGCCGATCCTCCATAGATGTTGAAGTGCCAGCACAGCCCGGGTACAATACCCTTCAAACCAGGGCTCGTCTTGCGTAGCAATCTCCATAGAAGCCGGTTCCAGTGGAATCTGGCCCGCAATGTAAACAAGTCTACCCTGGTCTTGCAACGGGATAGACATTGCTTGGGAGTAGGGGCCGATATTCGCGGGTGCCCAGTACGAGCGCGACTGGACGTGCAGACCTTGGCGCTTGTCTCGTGCGCCCCGGTCAATCACAAAGGAGACCATTACCCTCACGTGGGAAGGGAGGGTATCACCACAGGCGACTGTGACTCGGGCGGGTGGGTTTGGCTTTTTGAAGAGAGAGACGTAGACTTGATTCATCAGGGCAAAGTCGGACATGGAACGCAGGAGAACGGTGGCGAAGACGATGTCGTCTGTTGAGCGAGGAGTTGAGATGGAATCTGGAGGAAATGATAGTGCATGTTGAGCCTTTTGAACAATGGCGTTCATTTGCTCGTCTGCACCGGGACCTGCCTCTGGTGCAACGAGGTTGGAAATAGTCCACGTCGACGGAGACAAGCGATGACTCGGTTCATCGATAGACCAAGCCGTCGCCAACGTAGGCTCGCCAGAGGCCGTCGAACCCATCTCATTCAACGATAACGACTTAATCCGCTCCAAAGCCGTAGCAAACACCCCATCCAACAAAGCCGGCCTCCTCACATCCTCCGGCCTAACCACACCCCCATCACTGACCTTATCCACACACCTCGCCCCCCTCAACTTAACAAAAGCCACACCCCCTCACCAACCCCAACCTCCCTACTATCAATCTCAACCTTCCCCTTCCACAAGAAACCAGGCCCATCAAGCGCAAGAGTCTCATACTCCCCACCCTCCCCAAGAACCGCCCCCTTAATATCCTCCGCCGCCGCAAACCGACTCATCCCCTTTACAAGGCGTCTCCTTACCCCAGCCTCAGACCCAGACCCAGACACATTCTCCCACAAGAACCCATCATCCAGTCCACCAGAGGCAACTTTAATAATACGGGCATCGCACCCGCACGCCGCCATATCCTCTAGTAGCCCCGCCTGCACGACAGCCGCGGGATCCGCGGTGCGCTCAACGGGCGCGGGCAGAGAGGGGTACATCCACAGCCAGGCTAGTGGGATCAGGCCGAGACGCCCTGCGACGTTCTCGATGCGGGTGCGTTGGTATGTGGATAGGATTGCGCCGGCTGATACGGCGTTGGCTTCTGGGTGGGCTTGCATGATGCGGCGGAGTAGTGGGACGAGAGATTCTGTTTCGTCTGAGTCTGAACCTGACTTTGAGTCCCGCCCTGTCGAGGAGACGTGCTCTGCTGCCTGGTCCACTGCATCATGCCTGTATATCCGGGCAGTGTCGACTGCGCCGCCGGTAATCGGGGCGCGGTAGAGGGGTATGCCCAGTGCCTTTTCGTAGAGAGGAATCACGCTGTGACCGATAGTTTGGTACATGAAGCTATCGATATCTTCCTCGACATCACCAGAGTCATTTTGGACATTTTCCCCATCGTTTTCATCATGATCATCTGATGTCTTGACTTTTTGATCAGGGTGTAGGTTTGCTAGGGCGACTACTTTGTGTCCATTGCGGATGCAGTGCAGGATGGAGTAAAGAGAGTCCTTACCGCCCGAGATCAGGGCAATCACGTTGAGGCCTGGTGATGCGGTAGGTGTTAGAGGAGGAGGCATGTCGCAATTTGAGAGGGTTATTGGTTACTCTCAATGCCTGTTTGCCCGTTGCCCTGTTCTGCTTTTGCTTTTGGTTGTATCCAATGGTTGAATATGACATGGTGGGCGCGGTCTTTTTTGTGGTCCCCACCTTGGGCTTATCGATAAAATCGATAAGCCGGGGAGTCGCGGCTCGAGCGCTTACCAGGTTGTTTTTTCTATGCAATGCAAAGTTAGAACTATCAGGCAGGTAATGTAAATTGACTGGAATTCTGCCAAAGCTTATCGATCTTGCTATTACCAAGATTTAGGCATTATGATAATGGTTACTGGCTAACAATAGAAACCAATTGTGAAAAAATTATACTTGTAATTGAGATGCTAGAGATCCGCTAGAGACCCCTCAAAACCTGAGACCAAAACAAGGCAGGCAAGAAATGCAATACAAGAAAGGGGTATGAGTGGCAAAAAAGGTGTGTGGATGAAAAGAAAGGGTAGTGGTCAAATTAACTTATACACGAATGTGACCAGCACAAGAAACAGAGTGGGAGAGCACAAGCTGAAAGGGAGAAAAAAAAAGACAAGAGCTCACAAAAAGATATTACATCGAAATAGGGCAAAAATCAGATGTGAACGAAATGGACAAGAATCCAAAAAAGAAGGGAATCAGAAGAAGAAAATCACAGGGAGAAACGGGGACCAGAAGGTGATTCCCAAGGGAGACCCAGGATCTTGCAAGTCTTGCATCAACGGACCGAATCAGCTCAAGTCAAGCTGATTGGGTTTTGCGGACAAAGTCAAGAAGAGAGAAAAGGGTGGGAGAGAGAGAAAACATAGGAAAAACAACAAGGAAAAAAAAGACAATGACAAAGGAAATCAACACCAATCCCACCACCTGTAACCAACCATAGAGACCAGATAACCATCCATTGACTCTATTTTCTTTTTTGGTTTCCTCTTCATGCTCATGGACTCCGAAAAATATAAAAGAGACCACCCATGAAAAATGGGACCCGTCTTCCCGCCGAAGAAGCCCAAGCCCTTGGGCCCAAGAAGAAATCATGAAAGGCGAAGGGGAAAAGAATAAAAACTCCTCTTCCTGTAATTCGCCCCATGCTGTATCCCCGTTGTTCCCGTATAATGTAAAAAGTTGAAGGAAACCAAGTTGTTGCCGTACACCGATGAACCATGCCGACACCAGTGTAAAATGCCCGGACGCCAAACCCAATCAAGACCGCAACGGTGACCCAACTCCCCTGTAATAAAGAGGGAGATACGCCGACCGAAGACGTGTATGTATTATATATGCAGTAGGAGAGAAACTCCTGGTCTCATAGAAATCATCAAACGCAGCAATGAATCAAGCCCGAAGAAAGAAAGATTTAGGCAGAGTCACGCTTGCGCTTCTTCGCCGCCCGGCGATCGGAGGCAGGAGAGTCTTCGATGTCAGCCGACTGGGCAGCCTCGTACATCACCTGGCCAAGAGCACCGGCATCATGTTGCTCGTCGAAGGACATGCCAGCCTCACTGGGATCCAGAACACCCATGACGATGGAGCCACCGCCGTGGGTGCGGGCGTGTTGGGCGAGATTGTCGCTGCGGGAGAACTTCTTGCCGCACTCGTTGCACTCGAAAGGCTTGTCCTGGGTGTGCAGGGAGCGGTAGTGACGCTTGAGGTGCTCCTGGCGACGGAAACGGCGAGAGCACAGGGTGCAGACGAAAGTCTTGGACGGGTCATCCGTCAGCGACTGCTTACGGCCGCGACGGTTAACGGAGACCGGGGCGGGCTCGGAGTCGGTGCAAGGGGAGCCTACAGATTGGGCACTGCACTCGGAGTGGGCCACGGCCTTGACGGGCTCCTCCTCATCCTCCATCTCCACATTGGAGTTCTTCCGCGAAGACTTGCGACTGCTGCGCTTCTTGGACTTGATCTCCTCCTCCTGGACGATTTCCTCGGTCTCCTCGGTCTGGGGCTGAGTCGACTCAGTCCACTCGAACGAGGGAAGACCGTTGTGCAGGAAACCCTCGTGGTCGTCGGCGTCCTCCAGGCTGTGCTCGCTCAGGAATCCATCATCCTCGACAATGTACTGGTTGACACGCTGGCGCTTGCCGCCCAGGTAGACGGCGTTAGCACCGGGGTGGAACTCAACCAGACGGTTCAGCTCATCGTCGGAGTCGAGGTCTGAGAAGCTGTCGAATGTAGGCAAGGAGCTGAGAGGATCCTCGGTGGAAGCGGTGAACGAAGGAGATGGGTTCTCGTTCACAGGCAAGGTCACAGACGCACTGCCCAGAACCGCGCGAGGGGCCTCCTCATCACATGTGAGAGTCGGCAGAGGAGGGAGATCCTGAGGACCGGGAACGTTCACGGACTCGACGGTCAGTTGGCGGGGGTCGCAGAAGTCCGAGCCGACGGAGCTTACAGACTCGGCGGTCAAAACCTGAGAGTGGGCGAGGAACTCGGAGGGCACTGGAGAGGGGGGGGGGGAGAGCGAGGGGCAGGACGTGGCGGACAGGAGATCCGACGTGTGGCTGGCGGTGAGTGACTGCGGGTGGATGAACACTGGGAGAGCCGCACGGGAAATTAGCCTTCTTGTTTGATCATCACTCCCCCTTGCATGAGGGAATATATTCATCATCTGCATGTGCATGGGTTTCGCCATATGACATCTCGACTCGTTTCATCAGACTTACCAGGTGTCATAGGTGGGGAATCACAGCGAGACCAGTCCGGGTTGGCCAGAATCTCGGTGTGCACGTCAGTCTCACAGCCTTCCTTGACGCCTTCCACTTTCTCAAAGGCGAAGAAGCTGTCGTTGATTGGCGTGTGCAGGGTACCGTTGGCAGACGGAGGGCTACTGATGGAGCTTCCCGCCGAGGACAAAGGCGGCGTTGATGGGAAAGCGTACAAGTCAGCATTAATGAAGCGAGTGTCGATGGGCATCAAGGCGGGAGAGCCCTGCTGCACAAAGATGGCTGGCTTCATCTGGGAGGGTTGAGGCGAGGCAATTGGAGTCATGCTCATGGCAGCACCGCGGAAGGCATTGGTGGTGGCCATCTGGTGCATGTTCATGACGGGCTGGGCTGAGTAGATAGGCTGCTCGGCGCATTGCTGGCCGGGATACTGCATCTGTCCATAGTAGGGCACGTCTTGTGGCTGGCTGGTGTAATGGCCTTGCTGTGATGTTGAGTCGGGATAGTATGCAAACGAAGGTTGACTTTGGACCGGATTCGAGGTCATTGTGTATGTTGCGTCCATTGTGGAAGATCTGATTGTTAATGGGGGAGTTAGATTCCTTCCCAATAGTTTATATCCACACAGATGTTGTATGATGTGTAGACAATGAACATTTGGATCGATCACAAACACACCTGTGGAAGTTATCGCCAATTTGATCCGCGAAGAGTTGTTCAAATATTAGGGTATATAGTTGTGAGTAGTAGTTGTTGTTGTGGACGTTGATGGTCAAGTCCGGTATTCCTCAATAACCAAGACGCAGGTAGACAAATGAGTGTAATAGACCACGAGGGTGATTAGGGTATAAAGGTAGATGTGTAAAGTGAGGATGAGAGAGAGAGAGAGAGAGGATGAACACTTGTTAAAGGAAGGACAGGAATCCTTAGCGAAGCTCAAGGAACCGGAGGAAGTGATTGGGGAAAAGAGAGGAAATATCACAAGTTCTAAAAGCCCCCCAAACCCAAAACAGTCAAATCAGACAGACTAGTGGGAAAGTATATAGAAATTGAGAATAAAGGAAAGGTTCAAGAAATAAAAAGAAAAAAAGGACTGGAGAAATAAAAGAGAGACAGAGCCGATAATAGGCAATCTTGGGTGGTGGTGATGGGTGGGAATATGGGAGGAGAGAAGGAAGGGAACGAGATAGACCAGAAGGGTGTCGCGGTGGATAAAAGAGGTGATCTGCTTGTGCTATTTTCTACTTGCCGGGTCACTAGTCATGGACCGAGTGGGCCCCAGGAACGGGGTGCATTGAGTTGAGAGAGAGAATAAAATAATAATTTAAAAAAGTAATAATGGATTATGGGGGGCAAGAATTAAAGTGAAAATTAATGGATAAATTATATTTATTTTTATGATTTCATGGGACTTAATGGGAGAAAAGAAAATATTTAAATTTTATTCCCAGTTTAATTTTTGGCGTGTCTCACAGCACAGCCAGATATGACAGTAGCGTACAGTATTGGACTACTACTACTACTACCATGGAGTACTCCGTACTCTTTGCTCCGTGAGTACGAAGAATACTGACCGTAGTGTGTGTATATGCGGTGTAAATTTGGTGGTATCAGGTATCCGGCCAGTCTGGGGCGGGATTGGGAAAGACACTGGGTACATAGTCTGGCACATCACCAAGTGTTCAGTCATTCAGTGATTCAGTCCCGAGCAGGTGGGAAGGACCTCCAATCGCATTGAGCGAGGATGAGAGGATCGGGGGAAGTTAGCGTGGGATAGCTACGAATTTAGCGTGGATTTTTAGTTAGTTCAAAGGAAACAGCACGGAGTACTTCTCCAAAGGAACCAGAACAGAACGATTCCCATTGGCATTATCTATTATCCATCGGATACCTCCCGTATCTCCAGTATACGGGTTTCTGGTTGACCAAGGTGTAAAGTTTCGTGGTGGATCCCTCCATTTAAAGAGCAAAGAGCGTGTGAGTGTGGTATGTACTCCGTAGAAGGGCTCAGAAAGGTCCTCGGTATGGGAAGCGTAACCTCAGTACCAGAAAGGAGGACACACTGGCCTCCTCTGTTTCGGACCAGGAAGAGGCCCACATCGGTCGACGAGCCCAAAAAGAGAAGTGGAGCAGCACGGTGCGACGCTGAAAATGCGGAGAGGCTGTGCTGACTTTGACTGGGAAAGGCCCCGAAAAAGCCTCCTACTGGGTGAAGGTGGTACTGTTGGATCAGTGGGATGGTCCTATCAGTCCTCGTTGAAGGTGTCTTGTGTTAACTTCTGGTCTCCCCAGCTGGTGGTGGTGTTGGCGGTCGGCAAATAGAAGGATAA